CTACGTTAGGCTCGACGTCATGTGCCGAACGCCGAGTCCCGAATGCGAATCCGAGACTGGTACATAACCAAACTCCTGCTCGGATCAACAACAATAACTTCATCTTTCCCCTTTCCCCCCCAGCTTTCAACATGTTCCCCCTGCGCCTAGTATCACTTCACTCGACCTACCAGCTCAGCAGTCCGGCCATCCGAATACATCCGCCGGTCCGACTCCCAAGCCGCGGAAACATGTCCATTCGGGCAACATGTCCATCCCAGCAAGGCATCATAGGCTGCTTCGGAGTCTTCATGCCAAGAAAGAACCGCTCCTGAACGCATGGTCCAATTCTACCAAGGAGCTCACGAAGCAAATCGCAGGCAAGCCCGGAAGTCTAGACAGGAAGTTCACCGGAGTCCCGGATCAAGAGAGTGCTACATGGCATCACAGCTGGCACGAGTTTCAAACCGTTGGAACGCATTGCTACCAATGCCTTGCCTAGCATGGTCGAAGCGGCCATTGCAGTCCTTACCAAGAAGCCTCTCTAGTGGAGCGAAGAGGCGCGATGTGGGAACGCCAATTCCTCTCCACATCGACTAAAGAGATCGAAATGACATTGATGCTTGCACCGAGTTGCTTTTGAAAGTGCTGTACATTTGTGCTGCCCGTAGTCTCAGATCGAAGACCTGATCAATATTATATACAATATCCTTCAGTCCCAGTAGTGGAAGCCCAGCAACCTAACCCATTGACATGGCAGCGGCGTTCAATCGTCGTTTCGGTTCCATGACATTTGAGCTGTACATCTGCGTCAGCCTGATCCCAAGCAAGCAAGCGCTTCTGCGAAACTTACCAGTCTAAAGTAATCCGGACTGCAGATATATCCGCCATCGGCATCGACTTGGCGGCATGAAGTCGGGCCCCTATTCCGGTTCTCAGGAGTAAGTCCGTTGGCACAGTATCCATCCCTGGTGTTGGCTCTGCAGTCGTTACTTCCACAGAATTGCGAGACAACGCTCTTCGGCTCTTTGTCTGGTTGGCAGTACTGGACCTGGCGTCCACCAGCACCACAGATGTACCCGAAGCCACTCGGCAATTGGCTGCAGCTATTCAGTTGGGCGAGCGCCCCAGTTGTGAGAGCAGCAGCCAGGAAGAGAATGTTGAACTGCATGTTCGGGTCTGATGTTCTTTGGTCCTGTCGATGGAGAGAAGTTTTTTGAGTGATACCGAGGGATGCAGATGCTCGTGACGCTTGTACTGGAAATCTGAAGGGTACGAGGGAACGGCTGTACTTATATTCGCTGATGAACCAGCCTGGTTGCCGCCAAGCTCTTCGCACAGCCAAGAAAAGTGTGAAGGTCTCAATGGGAACGGGTTTCAATTAGGACATGCTGCTTACATCCTTCCATTATAGGCTGTCAGCCCATTGTCGTCGCCAATCACAATTCAAGCGAGAGACATAAGGTCCTTCATGATCGCCAAAGCCTCAGAATGTCTGGGCTATCCTTGCTCCGGATGGGTGGGCTGCCGTGATGGAGGCTGTATACGAGTTCGAAGTTTGATGTGTGTCTGGACCTCTGGGCACAACCTCTGGGCACGAAGGGGTGTGACCAGATCAGGCGATTGTCCGAAAACGCGCAGTTTTCTGTGTCGAGTTCGGCGTATGAAAATTGGCAGCCAAATCACTTTGCGAAATATGGGATTCGACACGATAGACGATCACTTCTCTCGTCAAGCCTATACATGTGGTCTTCGCGGAACACTGTACTTTGAGGAGATATGTCTCCATGCGCGATGCTGAGTCCGGGCTACGAGTACCGGGATGCCGACCAGCATCTACTCGATTACGGAGTGTCGTGACCAGGTTTCGTGACCCGGATCGTTCCAGTGCAGAACCAATCTTCATTAGACATGGTATCACAGCAAGGTCAGTGCCATCTCTTCTCTGTCTCCTGCAGTTGCTTTGCTTCTCACCGTGGACAGGCGAAATGAGGTGAAGTTGTAGCAAAGACCCCTACGCCGAAGACGACGGGAGGTTTGACAATGACGTAAAACGTTCACTTCATGTTGTCGATCGAAAGGGCACCCGCCCCATCCGCAACCATTGAATTAGAACCAGAGGCACATCCATACATCAATCACAATCTCCTCCGTTGAATACCGTATGCTTCATGAGTCTCGGTAGGACTTTTCGAAGTGCCAGCAATTCGACTCTCTACAAGCGCCTGGAACCCATCCGGTTGGCGGCAAGCTACTACAGACCATCGACGAGCTTTCCACCATCGCAGTACTCGCTTTCGAGTCACCCGAGCGCGGCGAGACTCTCAAGCAATATGACTCGTGAGTCGCCAGCTGACTGGTGTCAGACGGTCCTAATAGTGCTGATCAAGTTTTGTCGTCAGATACCACTGTCCCCAGCGATCTGCCAGTCCCGAAAGACGATGGAGCATGCAACCACCTCACTGGAACGACATTCCCGTCGATCCAACTGCCATCAACTGCCGGGAACAATGTCAATCTCTCCACTCTGTCCGGTTTGACAGTGCTGTTCTGCTATCCGCGAACCGGTGCTCCGGACGAAACCATCCCGGATCCATGGAACGAGATTCCCGGAGCAAGGGGTACGCTTCTTCAGTCCTCTATATAACCCATAGCCAAGCTGATGATGATCATTCCAAGGCTGCACGCCCCAAGCATGTTCTTTCCGAGACGCAGCCCAGGAGTTTCTCCAGCTCGGCGTAAGCCACATCTTCGGTGCCAGCACGCAAGATACCCCCTACCAGCGAGAAGTGAAAGAAAGAGTTCATCTGCCCTACCAATTGCTCAGCGACGAGAAGCTGGAGTTGCAGAAAGCTTTGGATCTGCCGACTTTTGAATGGCAAGACAAGAAGCTGATCAAGCGGATGAGCATGGTCGTTGAAGACGGCAAGATCATCAAGGTCTTCTATCCCGTCTTTCCGCCGTCGGAGAGCGCCAATGAGGTGATGAAGTGGTTGAGGACGTATGCTGGTCGGCAGAACCTGTCGACCGTGCAGGAGAATGAGACCATGCGCAATTTGCAGCATCGTTGAAAATCATTATGCATCGATGTAACTGGGAATCAAAAACAGATCAGTAGACATCAGCAATAAACCTCTCGGCCCTGACGCTTTGCAACCAACTTTCCGCTTCTTCCTCACTCTTCCCCGTCTTCTCACTATAAATCTTCTTGCAGACATTCGCGCAGCTCTTCCCCAACTTGGCAGCAGAGCCACACAAGAAGATCTTCCCTCCGTTCTGGAAAAGGTTTGCCACTTCGCCAGCACGATCCTCCCAGATGACATCCGGAACATAGCGGCTGCGATCGCCCATTTTGCTAAAGGCGGTTTTGACTTGCACGATGCCCATCTTTTCCCATTCCTGCAACTCGTCCTTGTAGATGTAGTCTCTCGTCTCATGACGGCAGCCAAAATACAGAATTGCTGGGCCAAGTTTGCGGCCCCCGGCTTTGGCGATTGCTGCACGCTCCTGTAGGAAGGCTCGCATGGGAGCAATCCCTGTACCGGCAGCCATCATGATCAGGGGTACCTCTGGTGGTGGGAGTCGAAAGCCGACATTGGTGGGTCGGACGAAACAATTGATCCGATCTCCGATCTTTCTCGTTGCCAAGTAGTTGGATGCGACGCCTTGGAACATTCCATGACCCGAGAGTGCTGGAGCTTCGAGAACGTCAATCGCCAATGCGACGGTTCCCGCATCGTGCATGGGAGAGGATGCGATGGAGTACATGCGGGGCGCGAGAGGAGGGAGCATGTCCAGGAACTGAGCGAATGGTAGCTGGATGGATGTCTCGTCGAGGACGTCAAGAACGCTATAGCGTTTGGAGAGTGTGCCCTGGTAGTCGTCCAAGAATTTGGCGATCTTGGTCTTCGCTTCGGAATCGGCAAAGGTCGCAATCGTCTCCAGTTGTCGTTTGGTCGCAGGACTAGCAAGCTCGACCGCGCTCCGGAAGAATTCTCCCGCGACTTTGAGAGACTCAGACAAGATCTTCTTTGATGTTCCAGTCACGGTAAATTCATCATACTCCTCGAGGTCGAAGAAAGTCATGGCGCGATGGACGGTTTCTCGCGGATTCACAGGCTGAACAACCAGATAGTCTCCAGCAATATACTCGGTCTCTTCAGGGAGCTTCACCTCCAGGTGCCGCTTTGCGAGTCCGACCTCGGTTCCGGCCAGTTCGCGGTTAGCCATGACTGTGCCGTACCTTATATCGCTACCACCAAGAGCTCGCGCCAGCGGGTTTCTTTCAATCTTCACCTCGATTTTGCTTGCCTGCGGAGGGCCGTCGATGTCGCCACCAGAGATTGAAGTGAACAGTTTAGGCACCCAATCTTCCCAGGGCCCAACGAGATCCTCCTTGACGTTTGAAAAGCCGGCGTCCACGGTACGTGAGGCACCATTCTTTGCGAGAAGCTCATCCACCAGCTTTGGGACTTTGTGAAACGTCGCTGACCAGTCTGAGTTGCCGACCCCAAAGACAGCGTAATGGATGCCCTCTAGCGATTTGCTCTTGTTCAGGCTTTCGAGCCATGACACGAACTTCTTAGCATTGTCTGGAGGATAGCCTGTGACCAAGGACATAGCTTAGCATGTATCTGCGGCGTGTGAGATCATTACGATGCCTACCTTCGTACGATGAAGTGATGAACACAACAGGTCGATCAGATGGTATGTGCTCGGTTGCGGCATCCAAACTAGAGACGGAAGCCTGGTATCCATAATCCCCTGATGAGGTCAGTACTGCCTTCCCATGTGTAAATTCGGCACGAAGAGTCCATCCTCTTGGGCGAACATGATCAATACGTACCCGCAGTAGTTTCCAAACTTTGTGCCATGGCTTCGCAAGTGCCTACTTCAAATCAGTATCACACAGAAATCTCAACCACATACCGACATAAATCGGCACCTACCTGTGTTACCGCCAAAGAACACGGAAAGTGGCTTCGCTGTCTTCCCATCGCCCACAGGCTCATGTAATGCATGGCTTTCTTTGTGGGCGCTCGGCTGCTGCACACCTCCTGGGATTCCAACATTGATCGACTTTCCAGGTCGTCGACGAACTTTCATCTTGAAGTTCCACGGCTTGATGGTCAAGGTGGATTTCAGCTGCAGTTCGTAGGACGGGTTCGCAAGCTCTAACTGGAAGCGTTGCAGCACCATGGCTAGATTGATTGCCATTTCCTGAGTGCAAATGTCAGTCCACCTTCATGTCGCAACTTTCTCAGTTCCGTCGTCTCTGTATGCATACCTGCTCCGCGAAACCTCTACCGATACAGGCTCTGGGACCATTGCCGAATGGCTTCCAGGCGTTCGGTGGAAGATGTGCAAAGCCACCGTCCAAGAATCGCTCGGGCCTGTAGGTGGCAATATCATCTCCCCACACCTCGGTATCATGATGTAAAGATCGGATGTTGACTGAGATTTCAGTGCCATGCGGAACGAAGTATTTGCCTCCAATAACTTGATCCTCTCCCGATGCGACTGTATACGCCGGAATTGGCGAACTCAAACGAAGGGTTTCTTTGACGCAAGCATCCAGCTAAATCTCATCAGCTTCGCGCGTTGAGGAGTTTGTGTGTTAGACTGACATAGTCAAGCTTGGGAATATCATCCACCGTCATCACTCTATCCCCGAGCACTTCGTCGACTTGCTGCTGCGCCTTCAGAAACTTTTCGGGGTTCTTGAGCAGGTTGTAGTAAGTGAATGACAATGTTGCCGATGTCGTTTCATGGCCGGCCACCAGGAATGTCGCCAGCTGATAACGAATGTTCTCATCGGAAAGGCGTTCGCCAGTCTCCTTGTCGACAGCGTTCAGCATGGTATTGAGCAGGTCATGATTGTCCGGCTGTGGATGTGCTTTTCGGTCCGCAACGATCTGGTCGCAGAGTTGGTGCATCTCAGCAACGTTGTCTTGACGTTTCTGTTCGGCAGAGTGGTAGAGAGCTTGGGTCCAGGACGGTCTGTTGGCTCTCTTGCCAGACTCCAAGAGTACCTCGGACATTTGGCGTGCGAAAGGGTGTACGTCCTCGGAGTAGAATTCGTTGAAGCGAAATGAGAATGCGCACAGGCCGATCGTGTCAAAGGCCAGTCTCGTCAAATCATCGCTGCATACGATCTCGTGGTCGGGCCCTAGCCGATCCCATTTTAGTATCATCTGAGAGGTAATATCGACCATCCCGCCGAACATCTTGCGTATGCCGAAGGGACCTTTACCCAGTTAGCTATGATTTCTGTGCTGCCAGATTGACGAAGAGGTCTTGATGCACACCGAAAGCGGAGATCAACATGCGATGAGCCTTCCCCCAGTTTGCTTCCTCGTTGCTGGCTGTGAATAGGCCATCTCCGGTTAGCGCTCGAACCTCAATGATGGGTTTGGGGAGTGATTTCTGGAAGCGCTTCGGATCGCTGATCTCGTTCACCAGACGCTGGTTCCCAACAAAGATTCGTGGCCCTCCTAGATTCCTGTACCAGTGGCATTGTCTCAGCAAAAGGTAGCTAGAAGACTCTTTCCACGCTCAACATACAGCTTCATTATAGGACCATATTGCGCCTGCAGCCTCCAAATCTCTCTGTGAGGGAAACTAGGATCGATATCGGGTAGGTTTCCCAGCAGGCCGAACGCGTGTTCTGGAGGCTGCGGGATCTTCTCGTAATTGGTGTCGTCGGGCATGGTGGATCTCAGATCTGTTGTATCGCGTTCGTGTTCCTGATAGTACGGTCATTCGCTCGCTCTAATCGTGCAGGTGTGGAGGGATATAGCTGTAGCTGTAAGTGATGCGTAGGTGGGGTAGGATGGTGTATATGTCAATTTCAAGCTGCTCTGACGTCTTTGTAATTGCGTTTCTCAACATCAGTGGTGTAGGCTCAGCGCATGCATAACCCATGAGCTTCCTCCGGCCGAGTGTCCAGCCAAAACGTTTCACGACAGCCCGACCAAGCCCGACATGGCCTAGACAGCGGACAGCCACGGCATGGCGTCGACAAGCATTCCGATTGTACACTGGTGTGTACCGGACGCCGGAGGCGGTTCAGTGATGGATTCCGAGCCGGTAGTTGTCGGAAGGCGGCGCAGATGTCATACTTCAAGGCCGTCCCGTCCTACTCCTTGATTCCTTGCAGGTGGTGAGCGAAAGCGGACGGGAACAAGTTGCGACGCGGAGCTTCGCGGAGTTCCGGACACCCTCAGCCGCTGTCGTGCTGAATTTCCCCTCCAACGTCAACCCACATGCTGTCGTTGACGGTGACAGGGTCCTGCGAAAAAGCAGAAGTGGTGGTGAGGGTCAACAAATGTTTGTATTGAACATCGGTATGCGGAGGTTCGGAAGTCGGTACTGATGGTCGGCCGAGCCTGCGGCCCGTGACGATCGATCATCCAAGCCCAGAGCGGTTAGCCTCATTCGCTAGACAAGGCATCTTGACACTTTAAACCAAACGTCACCGCTGCACTCTTTCCAAGTTCTCTCCCGTTCTCTCACCGACTACAACCACTTCACTACTCGATGTCCATCAAGCTGGAATCGAGGCCATGGCCGGATACCAACGAGATGAGTGGAGAAACCAGCCGTTGGAAGGCCCGACGTCCGCATATCAAGCGTGCCGGGAAAAGATCTGGGCAGCAGCAACGACGATAACCTTCCAGACGGATGCAAGACAAAGACTATAAATGCTAGACGCCCTCCTCCCGCCATTTCGCCTCTCTACATCTGTATTCGACCATTTCCAACCGGTGGGTGTTATACCAGCTTATAGCCGTCGTCTTCGGTCCGAAGCTTCAGCGGACGATTCAAGTTCAAGTGTTGGCTTTCATTGGCTTTTTTCAAGTGTCCCTAAGCTCTAATAATGTGATCATCCATACACTTCAACAGATCTTCTACATTCAGCCTCTCCGCTGGCTTATATCTCAAGCATTCTTCGACCTTCCGAATCAGGCCATCATTCCAGAACGGCCAGAGATCTTCGGAAACCCTAAGCTCGGGAAGCTTTCATACAGCAACTGGTGAGAGCCATGTTTTGTCATCAGGCTCGCGATGCTGGCGTCTATTCCTCAGACTGCACAAACATCTGTTAGGATTCGCACTCTCGCTTCTCCAACCAAGACTTACCGTTGCAAGGAGAGAGGATCTTGAAGTCATCGATTGCTCCTTGGTGCTCTCTTCCACGAGGCTCCATTGCTCTGGTGGAGTATAGCCTCAGGCGCCCACTCCTGTCTACCCCGCTGGATTTGAGACATCATTCGGAAATGTTACCATGGCGAATGTCGAAGCCGCAATCGGCATCCTGCATGATTGCGTTAGCTTTAATCATGAACTCTGGGCTTTTCTCGCTTACTGAGGTCTCGGAAAGCCTGGCAAATGATCGGCACAGGCGCATCAAGGAAAACATTGTCCTATGCCGTATCAGTATAAGCCCAATGCTTTATCTCGGATGCCATACCGGCTTCAAATCACGATGAACTACCTCGAGCCGGAGGTCGACTGCTCCTTGAAGTGTACCCTTGTTCATAGTTACCGAAGTCTCTGCCAGGGTCTGAAGAACTATGAGAACCGCCCCATCACAGCCATGCCAAGAGCAGCAGCCTCCGATTGCACAGTGCGAGCCCGCTGGACAAGAGTCTGCATGTCTACCAGTCTATCCATCCTTCCACAGTCAGGTCTGGAGTACCCACATCCACGACTGCAACAGGCCTCTCCGAATTGAAATCGAGAGCATCTTTAATGTCACAGACACTGTTTTGAACCAGTTTCGCAGGCTATCTCGAAAGAATGGGCGCATCCGAGGCCGCGCTTTCCCTGCAGGCTGTTCCGGACTGGCGAGAGAAGACGTCGAAGCGCTCGCTGCGTATCTTTGGGGAGGCTTTGGCCAATGCCGCGGCGGCAGAGATTAGGATGGTGATAGTCGCATTGTGGGTCTACCTCTCTGCTGAGTGGTTGCAAGTTGTGAGCAGTACGGTAGAAGCGAAGTACACCGTAGCAAGATTTGGACGCAGCTCTGTGGCTTAAGTTGTCCAGACCTTGCTCGCTTCCTCCATCGCAGCAGCTAACTAAGAGCTATACTGGCAGTAGCCTGGCAAGGGCCCCGTGTTGGGCGCTGTGCTACGATAGCTTGATCAGACCATACATCTATAGCGGATGAATTAGCAGCGGCCGAAGAATCGATCTATAGCAGTGGAATAAGCGACGCTAGTATGCGAATTGCATTTGTGTGTAACCGACCGCATGGAACAGTAGGCTCCCGGGAAGTAGCCTAGATGGCTGCTTCGACACTGAAGTGATGGTTCGCATTTCGCCACAGTATGACGAGTACATGCAGAGGGTTCACGTAGAGGAGGTGCAGCCACAAGGGGAGCCAATCGATACAGCCTTCTACCCGGTACCGAAGTTAGCCAATGAGGATCACCAAGCGAGTTTAAAGGACCTGATGCTTGGCAACGAGCCTTCGTAGGACTTGTTACGTGATTCCATGTCAGTCAGGCACGGTCTCATCATGGCTTGACTTCACCAGCACCGATGCCTCGCTTACTGCTGTCATCGACAAAGGTAGACAATGGCATGCGGCCGCTCGATGTGGATGTGGCATGCCGGAACAAAGCAGGCCGCAAATGCTCATTGTCCAGGAACCATCAATGGATTGCCATCTATTTTCAGGCTTTGAAAACAAAGAGTGTTGTTGAATACTCTCGTGCAAAGTCAGGCATCGCGTCGACGTGGACGCCTCTACTCCCGCTTGAGTGAGATTGTACGATCGAACCTCATTTCCCGCGTTTCTTTGTGTCCGTCTATATTAGAGCAAGCGACACTCCATGGAGAAGTTTGGAACATCAAGCCCAAGTGTAATTTCCCTTTCGCTCTCATTTTCAATTTCAGTTTGTTCAGATGGCCCCTAAGAGCGGCAGCAAGGCGGCAGGCACCGCCAAATCCAAGACTACTGCAGCGCCGAAGAAATCGGCAGCGGGAGTCCGAAAGAATACCTCGACCAGAAAGACGGCTTCCACCAGGAGTGCGACTCCAGCGGCGAACGAACAGCCAAGGAGAAGCGGACGACTGGCAGGCCGGCAGGCAGAGCAGCAACAACTTCCTGCCAGAGTACCGGTTAGACCCAGAGCCAGTCGTAATAAGCGCTCAGCAAGAGAAGTCACTCCAGAAGCCGCTCCAGAACAAAGCAAAGGCGCTGAAGATGTCCGAGAAGCCACCGCTGCAGCTGATCCAGATTTCATTCCCGGCAACCCACTCGCCACTGTCGATGAGGTCGTCCAGTGCCAGTTCGGTGCTGGAGATAACAAACAAGCAGGTTTGCTAGGGGGAGTCCTTCAAGTCTTTGCTGACGGGCAAGGTGTCAACAGCCGCTTGGAATATAGAGCTACTTTCGACATCAGTCCTGACGACATGAATGCAGACGAGCCCACATTTGCCGGTATTATCGATTCCTGGAGAATTGACGGCGCAACCAACGCTCGCCCATCCGCGCGAGCTAGCTGGATAGAGGAGCTCCTGGTGCCCACCTGGAACGCTGCACACCCATCTGGAAAAAGCCTCGCCGAGACAAGACTTTGTCTTCAGGGCGTCTACAACAAGAATGGAAGAGTGAAGGCTGCAGTCCCGGCAACTCATCCACTCAGACAATCACTCATGGATGATGGCCTCATATTCATCGAAATGGTTGGCATCAATGAAGACCTTCAAGGCCAAGGCTTACTGCGTCCCATGCTGCAATGCTTCCGGAGTATGTTACAGCGTCTCCCGGAATGGTTTGCGTTCAACGATCTGTTGCTTCTAGTCCCGGCACCACCGGACGAGGGCGCTGGCGAAGTCTGGGCAGGTACGGATGACGCAGAGATCGAGAATATCTTGACTGGAGTATATCAGCGAACTGATCAGTATCAAGTCTTGGTAAGCAGTTCGCTAGTCGCGAATGGTCGGGGTGCTGGGTCCGTAACAGCCGTGACGGTCATGGGTCGCAGGGTGTAGTTGCAGTAAGTTCAGGTAAGCGAGCCGAGATGAACCTCTTTCCTTTCCGTAGATTCCAATTACAGGCCTCATGTCGAATTGACACTGACTCTTGCCTTCCTCTGTTCTCCCTTTCCATCAGTAGCTTCCTCCTCTTTCTCTTTCTCGCGCTCTTGCTTCTGTTTCTGCGTCCGCCGCCATTTGGAATCATTGGCCGTAATGTACCAAAGAATGAGACTAAACAGGACGAGCGATCACGCAAAAAAAGTATCAGTTCAGCCCACCCCGATCTCGTTGATTATAGGAAGTACTCCAGTGGTTGCCACAGCACCAAGCCAGCGTCTGCAGAGGTCGGTAGCAGCAAACGCAAATCCCGCTCTCTCACTGGGAAAATGTCGACAAGCAGCACCATGCATGTATTGACCGTAGCAGTGGCGCAGAACCAGACAAAGGATAGGAATATCAACGGTCCGGCATGATCGACCTTTTCTTGTATCATCCAGCCAAATCCAATGCCGCAGAAAGATCCAGAATACGGAACGGAAGGGTCCCATGGATGCGGGACCGCTCGACTGGAGAGTTGATAAGATCGATCATAGCTCCCAAAGCCGGTCCGGCTGTTGACATTATTGGCATCAACAAAGCATAGACGCCGCGGTCCTGCAATGTGACGACTTCGCTAACGGCTGCCACATCAAGCGCTACGGTAGCACTGCTGCCTGCACTTTGGAGACATCGAATTGGACTCGCCAGGTCGAGGGAGACGTTGAGATCTCGTGCGATGGCGGGCAGCGCTGGCCAGTAGGACCTGGCTTGTTAGCGGAGAGGAGAGAGAGCACAATTCAGCGCACCGAAGGATTACTTACTAGCATCTCGTTGCGAGTGAAGACGCAGTATAGCTTTGCTGTCGAAGGCATACTCGGAATTGGAATGGCCTCGAATTGTCCCGAGGTCGTGTTGGGCATCGGCAGCATCTTGTCTCGCCGCTTCCACATTGTTATCGTCTGTTTGTATATGACTCGAGGGCGTCAAGTTGTCGAGCGGATGGGGGAGGATGTTTGGAATGTCTGGATCATGTCGTGGGGAGCAGGAAGGCTGGTACCTTATTTGTGTGAGAATGGAAACGTCGGCGAATCCTGGGCAGTTGTCTTGGCAGGTCATTCGTCGCAACCATCACGCCGACGGTATATCATCTTTCATGTTTCCACCTCATATATTTTTCTGAAAGAAGAAGAAGAAACATCTCCGTTCCCTCGCGCCTCGTACACCATGGAGCGGGAATGGCTTCATTACTCGTGGACATGCAACAACCAACCCCGAGCCTCCCGCCGCCTTGACGCCTCATCTGGTGAGAAGACCTTGCCCAACAAAGTCCTACGACAGGAGAGCTGCGACCACGCCCGCAATGCACCGTAAAGCGCTCAAGATGACGGAGATGGTTGATCACGCCCGAGAGATGCGCTGATATCACTGCTCTGAACGGGTGGAAAGACCTCACACCCAGGTCGGCCCTGTTCGAGGGCGTAACAGTCGCCTCGGATGGTTGTGCTGAGCCCAGAGACGGCGTCGACGAGATATGGACAACAAGTGTCCTTCAAATGGCGCACACGTTACCGATTTCGAGGAGGGCATGAAAAGGCTCAAACAAAGCTTTGGAGGCAGCTGCTGTTCCTTCGAATCGAGGTCTGCCATTAATAGGTCTGAAACTGGCCGGACTACTATTCTGTGCATTCTGCAAAGCCGCATACTTGATTCACATGCCGTCGATACATCATACATTGCTCAGATTCACTGGGTGAAGCCTGTTTCGTTTACAGCAGGTAGGCTGCAAGACCGAAGACGGCCGCTGCGAGGGTGGCACCCACAGGCGCAAAGGAGCTGGCGGCACCAGTGAATGGCTGGACGCTGCTGCTTGACATGGCGCCGCTGGAGGCCGTGGATCCTGCGCCGGAAGTGGTGCTGTTGGCCTTCATCGGCTTGACAACGGGAGAGTACAGAGAGCACGTAGCGTTGGGGGAGATTGGGCAGTCGTCCTGCAACCTCGTTAGCTCTTCTTTCCCGGCACATCTGTCCAGGGGATACTTACGGCAATGCAGATAGACTGGGGCTCGGCAGTAGCAGTCTTGGGGATGCTCATTGCCGGGCTGCAGCGGTATCCGAAAGCGTTGTTGAGCGCCGTGCCAACGGCCATGACATCGTCGTTGGAGACACCGAAGGAGGCAGCTGACAAACCAACGTTCTGGATGAACCAGCCGACCTCGTTGACGTCGAGAGCCATGAACTTGTGGACCTGGTACATGTTTGTGCTGCCGGCGTATGGCATGGTGGTCATACCAAACTGGCTGCAGCCGAGAAGGTATCCGAAGTACTCGTAGAGGTGGGTGAGCAGGCGGCTATGCAGTCGTTAGAAGGCAGGTCGCGCCAGGCGATCTTGGCAAAAACTTACTACTGGGCAGAGCTCGTGTTGTTGGCTGCAGTGTTGTTCATGAGAGGAGTGGCACCGCCGCCGTCCAGGAAGTTGACAGAGATACCCATGCTGCCGCCACTGTTGGTGGAGGCGAGCATTCCGTTGAAGTATGGGAGGAGGTTGACTCCAGCGTACTTGCCGGTACCTGGAGCAAGGAGACCGGGAACGGCGATACCGACATTCGGCTTGGTGTAGTTTCCAATGACGGCGGTGTTGACAACGAGGGTGAGCAGGGTCTGCTGGTTCATCGCGGTGTTCTCCTTCAACAGGGCGGTGGTGTACTTGTCGCAGATGGACATGTTCTGGGCAGAGGCGCCCGCCGCGAGGGCGAGGACAGCAGCGTTGTCGAACTTCATCGTGGATGTGTGGAAAAGAATAATGTGGATGTTACAAGACCCAACCTCGAATGCGACAAAAACCGATCAAGACCAAATAATGGGTCTGGGGGGGACTCAGCCTGCTCAAGTACGGATGCAAAGGAGTGGTCTGGAACGAATCAACATGGACACATTCCGCCGCCCAACAACCACATCACACTTCGCAGATTCCCAATCTCCTCCCGGCTCGTCAGTGACAAGCGCGCCTTTTCCCCCGTGGAATGCTGCGGTATCGCTGGCGCGAGTCAAACAGCGGCAACGGGCGTGTCCGAGCGGTCGAACGACGATGATCTGGGGCAAAAGGGACCTCAAAGCGCGGATGGCAGGACAGCCGTGCGCGGACTGCAGAGCTTCCGAACAAAGCGACGATTCCCTTTCCAGCCTCTGTATGGAAGCGCATTCCTGCTTTGGGAAGGTGAGGTCTAGACACTCGAGCGAGAGAGGAGGCGTCGACCAACCAGAGCCGACGGAATCGTCCGCTTCCGGAGTGACTTTTGGCGGGATGAGGAGTGTGGCCAATTGCTGAAGAGGTGTTTGTCAACAACGCTACCGCAGACTATCATATCCTATACCGGACGGCCACGCGACAGCTGCATATCACAGGGGTTCGCAAATTAGGATGGATTGACGCTAGTTGCTTGGCATACCACTCTGTATACAATCTCTACCAAATAGAGTCTTTTATACGCTGTCTACTATTCAAAGTGAGTTGTCTACACCTCTATAGTATACTCTATATCCTATGCCTGATTTGCTCTATTGAAATCTCATTCCAAACACGTATACAGGCTGCTTTAAGAGCTTGAATAGTCTATTTAATATAGGGCCTCTCTATATACCTTTTTTAGGCCTTCTTAAAGTAGTAGCTATATACCTTTAAGTAGGTTAAGGTTAGGGCTTTATACTAGGTACTAGTAAAGCTAGATTAGCTATTCTTGCCTTATCTTTTTAGGTAGATTATCCTTTAATCTATAACTATATAATAGATTACTATCTTCTATTAAAATAGTAGGGTGGCCTTAATTCTTTATCTATTTAATCTATTTAATATACTTTAGAAGAATATACTCTATATAGTAGAGCTAGCTTATTAAATTGCCCTTCTTCTAGGTGTGTAGGGGCTCTAAATTAGCCTATTCCTTTAACTCTACTTAATACTACTCTTCTATCTTCTACCTTCTATTTCTTCGTAGTTTTTAGCCCTTCTAGATTTCTATAATATACCTATAGTCCTACTATTTATCGTTATAGAAGATAAGGTCTAATTTATGCTACTAAGAGACAGAGGCTGTAATATAGGCTACTAGATAGTTAGGCTTAGGTTGCTCGTATATTATCCCTTTATAATTGCCCTTCTTACGAAAGATTCGTTAATAAAGAGATATAGCCCGGTTAATATAAGCTTCGTCTGTCTAGTAGATCTATTACTAGAGGCTATCTACTATCTCTAACCTATATTAGTGCCTATATTTAATCCTAAGCCTCTTATTAGTTTGTAAGATCTATATAGTACTCTGCCTCTTACTACGTAGTATTTATAGCTGCCTTTTATTTATCCTCCTTCTTAAGGTTATATATAAGCTTACTATATACTTTTAGAAGAAGGAATAGTCCTATTTCCTTAAATCTTAGGGACCTTTAGCTATTATCTTAACCTAGTAGGATAGATCCTTCTTTTTAGGCCTAGGTACCTACTTTCGTAGTAGTCTTCGGGTAGGGGATAGCTCCCCTTCTACTCTTAGCTATATACGTTAGTAGAGCCAATTACTAGCTGTTATGTAGGCAGGGTACTATTCTTTATAGCTATAGAGCTAGTAGAAGTATTTAAGTATATATTAGTCTCTAGATGTATCTTAATAGTTAAAAAAACGCGTTCTATATAGTATCTTAAATTTCCCTAGTCTCTTTAACCTTTCTAAATAATTTCTAAGCATAGGAGGCATAGTGGTAGTAATACAGAGCCTTCAAAAGAGGTGTTGGTAGGGAGGTTTGGTATGCCAAGCAACTAGCGTCAATCCATCCTAATTTGCGAACCCCTGTGATATCGACAAGGTTTCGAGGCGGCTCCTTTGAGATTGCAGGAGACGCTGGCGTGTGACACCGAAAACAACTTCCACATGGGAGACCGTATGCTGCCATCGTGGAAGTAGAAAAGTTTTGGAACGCGAAAAGCCTCTCGAGACTTGCGACACAACAACAATGCGAAAAGTTTGGTCGAATGGCTGGGTGAAAGAGGTCGCTGACGTAGTTTTGCAGCAGCAAATACTGGTCTCAGATTGCTGGTCCCCTTACGGGAATGATCACCACAACAAGCGTGTCACGCAGAATGCTTGGCTTGAGCCTATTACTCTCGTGGCCGGCCTTCATCAAGACCTTCTGGATCTTCTGAATGGGATATGAGTTTGTTGACCTGCGTCTTTTCCATGCGTCGCGATTGACCGCAGAGCCTTGCAAAGAGCGAAATGAACCGCTTGCTCGATGGAAGGAGCGCTACGATTCACTCCCGGGTAAGTAGAGGGGCAGACGCTCGCCGAAACGCACGGTAATGGAGCTCTGGCATTCACAAATGTGAATGAGATGCGGCAAACAACTCTTGATGTTGTGAATACGGTGAGTACGGGCCATCTAAAAGCTTGCAATCGCCAGTTCAGTAGTGGCCAGTCGAACTACGAATCACCATGGCAAGCTCTGTCTTCATCTTCGTGGGCATCATTGGCTCTCTCTGGCTCTTTCACTACCTACCATTCTTCTACGCTCGATACATTGCTCCACCGCCCGAGACATCGACGAGATACGAAAGGATCAAGGAAGTGCAGGATCGAGACTTCCGTGTGCCCAGCTATATGATCAGGTAATGAGAAGGTGGAAGGGAATGGAAGAGTATCGATAGGGACATGAGGCGAAATACGAAGTCAGGCAGCATCGCCTACTTTACATGCCTCCATCAGAGCAGTCCTGCCAGGACAACACAGCACTTTTAGGGCGTTAAGGCTGTTACCTTTAGGCTTGATGGCTCCCAGCATCCGAAAAAGCAGAACCTGAGTTCATCAAAATTGCGGACACGATCAATCGACGGCTATACTCGGAGACGCCTATAATCACGATAAAAGTTGTACAGAAAACGGTGTAGAGGATCATTGCAAGTTGCATCCGCATGTAAGCATGATACATCTCATTCCCTACGACGAACGTCGTATCATCCTCTCATCTCGCTATGTGTAGTGTTGAACGACTGCGTACAAACATGTGAAATTGGCCAGATGGCTGATCATGAAGTCGGAAGACTTGTCCATCCAGACAATGACTCTTCAAACGCCATTACGAGAGGATAAGAGCAATCTGCACACCGACCATGATGGACCAGCGCTGGGGGATGAGACCTGAGACCGGAGACGGACCAGATGTAAGTGAGTATGCTCCAAAGCTTGGCGTTGTTAAAAGAGCTTCAGATCCGAACATACTGCGGCGGAAGTCAGATGCTCCAGGCGAAGTCGATGGAGTGGAGAGTGACTTGCTGCTGCGACGGTAGTGGAGGAGTGCGGACGAAATGGTGCGAGCGCCACGGATGCATCTTCAGCAGGATAGAGTTTGGGAGGATCTCTGTCGAATTGCGGGTTTGCCAGTGGATGAGAGCTATGGAGAGATAGCCTTATTATTATATTGAGGGATGTCGTCTGTTCTGAGCAATAATAACAGAAGAAGAGACAGCTAGTATGCGATTCCATTGCGATCGAAACATGCGTCCTCTCGAGCTCGGCCGCAACGGAGCACCCCGCGAGCTGACCAAGCTCACGTCTCACACCCGAGAGCTTGCACTGGGATACAATACGCATCTCCCGGAGCCCATCTCGACTAGATATCGATCAGATCTCGACTATTCGAATAGATCTCGAATAGATCCGGAATAGAACTCGAATAGACGCGGAGGACTGTGACGGCGACCATGACGACCCTCAACAAACGAATTCTTCACTTCGGCCTTCCCGGCCACCCAACTGACCCCTCGGTCAGCAACGAATCCATCCAAGCAATCGTCACCTCGGGCGCAGAGAAAGCTCGAAAGGCCGGTTACGACGTCCAATTGACATTTCTGGACCCAGAAGACTTCACTTCATCGCTCAGCAACCTGAAGAGCGAGCTCGGGACGGGCAAGTGGGACGCACTTGTTATTGGAGGTGGCATTCGGGTGGCGCCACAGTTTGTGGTACAATTTGAGCAGACGATCAATATTGCGCGGGAAGTGGCCCCAAAGACGAGGATCCTGTTCCAGGCGGCCCCGGGGGATATTTATGAGACTGTCCAGAGAGGGTTTGAAGGAGGAATTTGACTGACCTGCATGAGATTTGTTACTTGGACGCAGTAAAGTCATAATTGCAAGAAGGCCATTGACCGCCGACTATGCCAGAGCTTCCAGCCTCCTAGCGACACGTTCTCTGTCCCATAGCCTGTCCCTACCGTCTCCTAAGCCTTGCGGATCAGCATTCGACGCCTGACGAGCGAACCATGTCTTCTTCTCGCGCTGCTCTCGGGTGGGTGTTGCGGCACGATAGGCATCCAGAACGTCTTGCCAGCCTTGGTGGCATCCGGCGTCCTCGGCAATGGGATGGCCTTCACCATCGAGACAGATGATCTTGTCAGTGGAAGGGGCTGTGCCCAGAATCTTCAAGTCGTGCTCCCAGTTGTCTCCGAGGTCGTACACATACTGGAATGGCTTGTCTGCATACCGTCATTGACACTTCATCCCAAATGACATGCGGACATTTACCTCGATACTGAGCTTTACCAAAGACGTCAAACAGCATAGTCTGGCCGGCTTTCTTGGTGCGTGGGCCAATGCGCAGCCTGGCAGGTCTTGGAGCAATAGCGAGCAGACTTGCAGCGAGCACAGGCTTGGAGAGAGGCCTGTGTCTTGCTGCATTTGGAGCATTGAGCCTGAGGTGCCGGAGAGTCTGCCATGTTTTGTCGTCAGGAGATGTTGACGAAGAGATCGGGATGTAAGATGAGCGGTGGCCCGAGGACTGGACAGGGTAGATATATTGGAAGCACTATCGCGCTCGAGCCATCTGGTCAGGATCGCCCCTGAAGGGTTAATTAGATAACAGTCGTCGCTCACTGATCGTCAGGTGGATGCTGACGATGTTGCTCTCCGCAGCGGAACGTTATTGTCCTCCCGCGAGTCCTGCCTGAGGCATGCATCAGGGTCCTGGGGCAAGTGGGGCCCCCGCTATGGGATCCAGGTACCGAAAGTCTATCTCGCGAGGTCCTTCCAGAGTTTTTGGGTGTAGCTCGGACCCTGATGGCTTGTAAGTGAATGAATTTCACCTCACCTCTGACATGTGATCCTCCCAACACACCCTCTAGACGTCTTTTCTCCACCAAGCGCTGATGACGTAGAGCACTGCCCCGCGGTGGCAGGCCCTGCAAAAGCTTGTGCGGTTCAACGACGATGATTTGCACAGACACTCTTGGCGCCAAGGTCCAGTGCCTTCCGGTGAGAGCATGAGGTGAGGTAGGAGCAAATAGAAACAGACTCTCCTTCCATATCTCCTCCAAGAAACAACCAATCTCTCCACACTCACTGTCGCAACAATCCGCACACAGAACACGACCGCCATCATGGCACTCCGTACGAGCAGCTGGCTGCCCATCCTTGCCCTCGCCCTCATCCTCTACGCCCGCCCCACTTTGGCATTCGGTGCCGGAAACATCGGGACGACCTCCAAGATCGAAGGAGTCAACTGGCGCCACGGCGATATCGAAGACACCCTTCTCACCATCCTCACCGCACGTGCCTTTGGCGGCAAGAAGTTTAGCAAGCTCGACGTGAAGAGGACGTACTTCGGCAACTGGTTGAGGGACTACAGTCAGGCGGTCGATGTTGGAACCGTCAAGTATGTCTCGGCCGAGGCCATCCGACTCCTGCTCTGGGTCTTGGGCTTCATGAGCTTCGGATACGGCACTGGCGAGTTCGAGGTCACCGCCGAGAGATTGGGCTGCTACCGACCCGAAGAGCACATCGACAACCCAAAGGACTATGCCGACAATCTTGATGCTACTCAATATGATCGCCGCCTGAGAGGTCCTGTTGACGAAGAGCGGGAGCTCAGCATTGACCCGCGTACGGGCCTGAAGCAATATATTGCTACTGAAGATGCTGGTATTACAACTTCTGCTGGCCTGGTCCGTCATTTGTTCCGCCGCTCAATCGAGCTTGGTCGACGCTACAAGCAGTCGAGAGATGACCGCGACTTCTACGAAGCTCTCCGATTGCTGGGCACTGGTTGTCACTGTCTCGAAGACTATTCAGCCCACAGCAATTACACTGAACTGGCACTTATCGAGTTGGGCGAGCGCGATGTCTTTCCCCACGTTGGTCGCCGCACGCAGATTCAGCTTGAAGGTGTCCGCCATCCAGTCTACCCGATCGTGACCGGCACTTTCGGCGGAGTGGACTTCCTTCATTCGGTCATGGGCGAATTCTCAGACAAGACCACCCAGTCAGAGCTTCAAGAGCTGGAGGGAACGATTGAGCAGTCTCAAAACGCGGACACGAGCCTGCTGAAGGAGCTCCTTGATAAGCTTCCTCCAGGCATCCTTGGAGACTCGGACCACGACGCCAAGGCAGATCAACTCCAAGCCAACGCTCAAGCTGCCCAGATGCAGAACCTCACTGTCTCTCCGAAGGAGCCAGAGGAAGTCACGCGACAGATCGCCGAGATCTCTCAGCAGATCTATCCCATTCTGAAGTTTCACGACGAGATTGTCAAGTCCATCTCTGAGGCAATTGACAAGATTCCCGTGCTTCCCGATCTGATCGAGGAGCTTCAGAACCAGGTCTCCGTCTTTGTATTCTCACTGCTAGCGCCGTTTATCGTGCCCATCATCCGACAAGTCAAGGAAGAACTGCGCACTGGCTCGTCTGAGATCATTCAATCCAGCAAGGACAAGCAACTTATCGTATTCCACGACGACAACTCGACGGACCCAACGCACTCGATGCTGTCCAAGGATCATTTCTCCAATGTGCTCAACGAGCCGGCCGGCAAGGTCGCTAGCCAAGTGTTGAAGTGGGTTGTTCCTCAGATAGTTGCATGCTGGGATGACGACGGAATCGACATTCGACGCACCAACGACCGTATCATCAACGGAGTCTTCCATCACCCGGCTCTCCGCGAGTCTGGAGACGATGATGCCCGCGATGGTAGGATGGCCATGTTTGGCGTTGTCGAGCGCTGGTGGAGTGAGCTGGATGATGGTGAGAGGGAAGATCTTCGCGAGAAGCTGTCCCGGAATGGCGTACAAGAAGGCCGCAACCACAAGGAGGGTGTACAAGACTCTGGCCACGGATGCGGCAAGCCTCTCGGTCTGCCAACAATGCAGACGAGCCAGAGCTCTGGCGCTATGGGCGGTGTCATGGGCGCTCTCAGCGGCACTGCAGGCTTTGGCGGAGGACGGCAAAGCAGCCAAGCTCAGAGCAAAATTAGTGATACTGTAGGTGAAGCCGTTGGAGGCGGCGCCCTTGGGTCCATCGTCGGAGGCTTGGCTGGCGCGGTCGGCGGAGGCCTCCTGGGTGGAGCATTTGGTGGCGAGGAGAGCGAGACGAAGACTTATCAGAGCAACCAGTATCGTGAGGATGGATCTTACAATACCCGTATCACAGAGACAGGCCATCGCCCCGGCGGCCATGGTCAGCAAGAGCGTTACGGCCAGGCACAGATTTCTGAGACTCAGTATGGCTCGGGCGGCTATCGCGAGGAGTATCAGCGCTATGAGCAGGATGGACGTCAAGGCGGTACTGGCTACGGCTTCGAGCAATCTCGCGACGTCCGTCCCACGTACGGCGGCGGCTACGAGCAACGCACTGAGAGGACCTACGAGCATCCCGGTGGCAGATGTGAGACCGAGGTCCAGGAGCAGCGTGTCAGCAGTTCTGGGCGCCAGTATGCACATGAAGAAAGCTATAGTGGACACAGAAAGAAGGACGACAGTGACGATGACGACGACAGTGGTGATGATGATGACTGGGAGAAGAAGGAGAAGAAGGAGAAGAAGAGGCGCGAGGAGGAAGAGAAGCGCCGGAGAAAGCAGCGGGAAGAAGAGGAGATGTACGGCGGCGGCGGCGGACATGGTCGACGCAAGAGTCGCTCTCCTTCTCGCGAGCGCCGCGGCTCCAACGAGTACAAGAGACAGAGTGGTGGCTATCGTCAGTCTGAGCATTCTGATGAATACGAGCCGCGAAGCGGCCACGGACGCCCAGAGTACTCCTCCGAGAGCCGTCACGAGCAGAGCAGCTACGGTGGCGGACGCAACCAATACGAACAGCAGTCAGGCTACGGTGGGCCTTCCGGCAACGAGTACGGCTCGTCGGGCTATGGTGGCCGCAGTGAGTATGGTCAGCAGCCAAGCTACGGCGGCGACAGCTATGGCGGTGGCGAGTACGGCCAGTCTAGACCGGAGTATGGAGGCGGCTCTGGTCACGGCCGGGACGGTGGGGGTGAGTACGGACGACGTCGCGATGATGAGGATGAGATGCCGGGCGGCAGGGGTGGATATGGCGGTGGAGGCAGCTACGGAGGTGGAGGATATGGCGAGGGAGGCTACGAGGAGCGCAGATGGTAGAGATATCGCGCGGCAAATGAAGTTCATGTGACCACCAGTACGGCTCTTGCAATGAGTGGCTTTTTAGAGAAGCATGTCCAACCAACAGACAATCAACAATACTTTATACCGCAGCGTCTGATCCATTGATGCCCGTGCGACACCCAAATTCGTCGTTCGCTTGGACTCTTGAAGTATGTGCGGGAGAAGCAGAGGAAATTTGTTGACTATCATCCCAGAGTAGTGCGGAAGCGTGGCCAGTAGACGTCATGATACTAGCTACGCTTTGTATGGGCCAGGTCGTATAGACATGTTTCGTGATTCTTCCAAGTAGCCGCTGCCATTCGCTTCACAACACCGGGAGAGACCATGGATGCGTTCGTACTAGATGGAGCTGTCTACCCCACCTGATATCATCACTGTTACCGTACATGTAGTATCTCGTGGCTGGTACATGTAGTACATTACATGTCTACGGGCTATATCTAGGTCCTGCAGCAGCTGAAGATGCCGACAACAAGAGGACCAAGATAGATTTGGTGGGTCGATGTGAGGAGGAGAGTTCGCATGCTCGGACACCCCCCCGGGGGCACCGCAACAGGTAGACACATGATACCGACGGATTCATGTCGTCTCGTCCTACGATGGGCCTCCGACTGACTCCCTGTGGAGATTATTGATTGTGGAAGTGAGGTGAGGCGTTGTCCACGGGTATTAGTAAGGCGGAGTCGAAAGATCACAGAGCACGATGCCGTGACAGTACATTCGAGACCCTCGCAGTGTCATACTTGTTATATATTAGTCAACGTGTGTGTTGTTCGATTTCCTGCAACCGTTTTGCTGGCTGAGAGAGACTGTCACGATTCCCAGCGCAGCAGTCCGTCCGTCCTCGTCGCATGTCGCGACGAGCATCCGAGAGCCATCCAAGTTCAAACCCACCCTGCAGGTCGTAATAATAAGCCAGTTGAGTTCCCGCACCGCACCCTTGTTAGACTCGGACATATATGCACCGCATGAGCACGAGTCAAGTCATCGCATAAATCAGTAAAAATACGCAACCTTCTCGTCGACCGCGGCATAATAATAACAATAAGAAAGCTTCTCGTGCCACATATAGTCTGAGAAGAGAAGTGAATGTCTGGCCGTCTGTTGCGAGTCTCGTTGGCTGGCTGTCTATTGCGTGTCCTCGGCAACACATGGAATTGATTTGATCGAGGGCAGGGCTCCATTCCGATTGGTAACGACCACTCTGAGGGAGGACATTTCCGATATGGAAGCCATGCATGCTGCCTGGATCTTGGATCACACAGCACGGGTGTTGGGGAAAAGTAAGTTTTGAGATGGCTTCGATGTTGTCGTTATCAGTATAAGGTTGACGTTGTTGTGGGAAAAGGGAGAAAGGGAGAAAGAAAGGGGAAAGTCGGGACGAGCAATGATCAGCAGGCGGCCCGAGAAGCTGTACCTTCTTATCATGTATGATCCTTGTCTATCTGCACTCATCATCAGCTCCTCAGACTTGTTGCGTGCACGCCAAGGCTTGACGGTCGGACGAGGCAGTGCAGTTCATCACTTGGAGAATCTTCAGTTACTGTATGTAATCATCTGTTGATCTTGGACATTACTTTCGCACTAACTTCGACCTCGATCAGGGAAGGTCGGTCATCTAACTACCTCAGCCACCGAAACCCCATCATGGCAACGCTGCCAGCAGTCAATACAGAGAGAGAAAGCCAGGTCAAGAGGTCAAGAGAGGTCAAGAGAGGTCAAGAGAGAGATGGGGTATAAAACGCCGCCAACAGCCAGGAACCATCAACCCCGTCTACTGCCCTCGCCTGCCCTTGCCTGCCCATCGCCTCCCATCGCATCGCATCGCGTTTCCTTTCCTTTTCCTCCCCAAACTCCGACGCTCAAAACAACGGCACATGTATCAATTCACAGCCTGCCCTGACATGCACCTCTCGCACTCTCAGATCTGCTGTATTCATCCGTCCCTCCTAACGCCTCGCCACAAATCGCTCATTTTTGTCCCTTCCTCCCATGTGCTATTCTCAGCTCTTGTCCTGAGACAAACCCCTCACGAATCGATCAAGGCTCCAATTGCAGCCTGCTTCTTCACTCTCTCCCTCATCTTGTCAAACGCATTGACGGCCTCCAGGTGCCTCTCGCACCCCAAATTCCACGTCTCGCGCACCTGCTCGTCCTCGCGCACGCCCTTGAGGTAGCTGTCGAAGCCCTGGTTGTCGCTCGTGTCGCCCCCGGCTTCCAGCCAGCGCGATCCCCGCAGCAGACGTGCCTCTGCCTGCTTCTGACGCGCGTCCACATGCGCCAGCATCGTCTTGTTGAATGCGTGGAAGTGCTGCAGATAGTTGCCGAAGCAGAGGGCGTACGTGTGCCAGCTCGCCTTGGTCAGTCTCGCCGGCATGTCTGGTACCTTGGGCAGAGGCGGCATCTGCAGCCGATCGGGCTCCTTGGATTTCTCCGACACAGACGGTGCGGCCTGCGAGTCGAAGGGTAGCGTCGAGCTCATGTCGGCGAGGTTTTGCAGACCGGCCGCGTCCTTGGCGAGAGGCTCCACATGCGACAGGTCGTCCAGATTCGTCGCGAGCTTCGGCTCCGTAGACGACCTACGATGATCCGACGACTTCTTGTTCTGTTGCTTTTGCTGTTCTTGTCGCCATGCTGACGGCGGCACCGAATACAACCGCGGCTCCGTCGCACTGAGAGTGCTGTGGCGCGGCACCGAGTTCGCCTGACCAGCGGGTGGTGGCGTGTCGATATCCATAGCATCGTCGACATCGACACCTGCACCTCGGGTGCCACTCGCCTCCCGATGATCCACATGTTCATCGTCAACCACGACATGCGGATGATCCTTGGTTCCCGTAGTCCCAACATTGTCCGCCGACGTCTGCGGCTGCAGCCTGCTGCTCTTGCGGCTCGGTGTCTTGGAGCTGGGCTGGCTTCCCGCACCGTTCGCCTGCCATGTCCATGATGCGTCTTTGAAGGTGTTTTTCCATTGCTCCTCGCTGAACTTCGTCTCACTTGGTGAATTGTACATGGAATTGGGGCCGTCTGGTCGCCGAGGCGGGGGCATCTCGGAGCTGGTGGACGGAATATCCATGGTCGCGGGACGTCCTTGGCGGCTGTTCCCCGTTCGACGACCAGGCGAGGGCCTCCTGTTGCCGAAATAGTCTGGCACATTCTCCAAGTGAGGAGTGCCTTTGAACTCCCCAGACCAGCCACCCGGCGAAAAGTTGGTATTGATATCCTCCGTACTCCGACTCTTACCACTCGTCGCGGGAAATGTATCCTTGTCGATTGGAAACGTAAAGCTGTTGACAGAAAACATGTGGTCAGCAAGTTGTGGTCGCGCATCAACATCGCGAATAGACGGATTTGCAAGTAGTGCGTGTTGAATCGCAAAGTCGCAATCGGCATGTCCGGTCGACTGTCCGTTGCATGCTTGCGAGACAAGTTTGAGGAAAACATCCAAGTCGAGCATGTACAGCTGCTTGGTATCGCTTCCACACTTGCTCTTCAGAACTTCACGGAAGTCTCGATAGGCTGCGCGCACAGGACCTGAGACCCGTGCCCACAGTGTATCCTGTTCGAGAGATTCGACGGTGCCCTTTGCGCGCGAACTCACAGTGTTGAACTTCTTCCGATGCGTCGTCGGAAGCACAGAACTCGGAACAGCCCACTTGGGAACTGTCGCCTCGTGCGTTGTGCCATCCGACCCGAACGCATCCTTACGCCACTGCTCGCGATTGAAAGGACGGGGGAGAGGGTTAGAGAAAGGAGAGGGGTTGGCGTACATGTTGGTGCCGCTCTTGCGCTGGCGCATGCTCCGAGGCTCCACATCAGACTGAGCACCAGCGGTCGAGCTCTCGCCGCGCTGCGGTGAAGTAGCAGCATTCGACGACACATTCGATCCGGGCAGGTTGGAGCCGTTGAGTCTCGAACTCGGGGGTTTGGGTTTGCGTATCGGTCGATCTCGCGGTGGCGGTTGGAAGGGACCGGCATCATCGGGAGGATCTGTTCTTGGTCGATCTGGATAAGTTTCGTCGCTGTCATTCACGTCGGATGTTCCATTCTCGTCGCCCTCCATGGAGCCCTCCGTGGACTCGCTGGAGTCGCTGTACATGCCCGGGAAAGGCTTGCCCGCGGTGCCACTGCCTGCTTGAGTGGAGTCTGCTTGCTTGCGGGCCAGGGGCGGACTGAAACTCTTGGCGCGGGCCGCGCTGGTCTGGTCACTGTCTGGGTTCGATCTGTTTGTATCCCGTGTACTTGCCGATCGGCGTAGACCTTCACTGGAGAACTGCGTCTTCTCGCCAATGAATGAGGTGTATGGTGTCCGAGCCCGATTACCTTCCGCGTACGGCACCTCACCCTCTCCCTCGCGACTTCGGAATGGGCGTAGAGGATCCACAAACGGTCTGGCATTCGTGGTGGTGGGCGAGGAGGGTGCCGTCGATGGCGGCGGGCCCGGTGGAGGCGGAGGGAAGCCTTCTTTACCCATGTCGTCGGACCTATTCCGATGGAAATAGTGACCCGTAGATGTGGGCGCCGGCCTCTCGTCCGATCCAGGCGCGTTAGGATCAAATCCTCCGGGCCGCCTTGGCGTCGTCGGCGCTGCTCGTCGCGGCTTCCTCGGACCACCTGGCATACCGGGCTTGCCCGCGTTGCCCGTCTGAAATGCCTGCCATGCTGATTGCTTCTCAGCAGCCGGAGACTCTCCCTGCGAAGGCGCCTTTCCATGCCTCATGCCCGCCCTGATCTGCTCTTCCGTGGGCATCTTGGTGTCCTGGCTCTGCATCCTCTGCCGACCGGTGTTCTGGGGCTGCGGCGGATGCGGCTGAGCCTGTGGATTGGGCGACCTCGGAGGTGGAGGGGGCGGCTGCGGCGGCTGGCCATACTTGTGCCTGTCGGGAGCGCTGTTCATGTGTTGCCATGCGCGGAATTGCTGAGTCCTCTCCGCAGCGGGATCTCTGCGAGGGCCTGCATTGCCGGGCCTGGGGAAGTTGGTGAAGCGATCGGCGCCGGTGGCCTGCTGTGCATGTGTACTCGACGGAGGCCGCTGCCACGTACCGGGCTGTGTACGGCGTGGTGGCGGCGGGTATGCCGAGCTCGCGGTGTATGGATTGCCGGTGGGCACTGGACCGGATGCCTTGAAGGTCGGGTAGAGGCCCGCTTTGCGGCGATCTTGGTCGTACTTGGCCTTCATGACCGGGTCGCTGAGGACTTCGCTGGCGGCCTGGATGGCCTGAAAGCGTGGCACACATTCCGCCTCTTTGCCCGCGTTGCGATCCGGGTGGTACTGGAGGGCGAGCTTGCGGTAGGCCTTGCGGATGTCGTCGATGGAGGCGGTCGGGGGTAGGTCTAGGTCGGAATAGTCTGGTGGTGGTGGAGGAGAAGGGGTCAGTATGGAGGGAGAAGTGGTGGGAGTGGAGGGGGACGTGACATACAGTTCTGCTTGACATCGGGCTTGACCATGGTGACTTGGGCGGGGCGCGGGGCGGCGATGACGGAGGGGAGGGCGGAGAAGTCGAAGGCGGAGGCGGCATTCGGGTGCAGGAGGAGGGAGTGGTGTGACGGCAGCAAGGCATGTGAAGAGAAGGTGTCGGATGGAGGGGTGAGAGGCGAGAGGCGAGAGGCGAGAGGCGTTCGACGGGTGGAGGAAGGGTGCGGAGGGGAGACAGGGTTGATGGAGGATGGTGAAGCGAGTCTGCCTGCCTGTTTTCCTCTGCACAGTGCTCCGGTGTGCACGTGCACAGTGCGTGGTGCACAGTGCGGTCGGGTGTCTTGACGCTGCCCTCTGTCTCTGGCGCTGTCTCTGTTGCTGCTGCTGCTGCTGCTGCTGCTACTGTCTCTCGTGCTCTTGTGCGCGTGCGCTGTGGTGCTCTGGTGCTCTGGACTGTGCTCGGGGTGGTGCCTGCCGCTTGGGGAAGTGAGGTGGGTGGCGGTGTGAGACAAGGGGACGGAGCCTCGTGTGTCGACGGGAGAGGCGCAGCAGGGGGACGGGACGGGGTGTGTGGTTCACTGGTCTGGTGATGAGGCCGGATCGAGCTCGAATTCGCCGTTGTCGTGCAGCGCAGTCGAGCGTGCCGTCCAGCGTCCAGCGGTGCAGTATGGTATGCAGTGCCGTGCAGTCAAGCAGTAGTGTAGCGCAGCGCAGCGCCGAGACTATGGAGAGACTGTGGACGGAGAGATATAGCAACGCGGGTTGACGTGGAGGCTTGCGGGACCGAGCGCTAACCTGTTTGGGACAAGTCCTGGTCAGGGTCTCCCGGTCGGTCTTGAACCTCCCCTCCACTCAACGCCAACACCAACACGCCAACACGAAATGCAAGAAGAATGCTCCGTGTGCCATCTGGGAGGCTGCGATGCGCTGTTCCCGCATGGCCGGACGACCCGACGCTCCCGTGCCGTGCCGTGCCGTGCCGTTCCGTTCCACTCATCAGCTCAACGAACCCGAGCCGATCGGCGGTGAGATGCGCTCTCGCTCTCCATTGGCATTCCATTGGCATTCCGCCGTCCAGCAGGCAGTGCACGTCGAGACACGAGACAGTGCACGTCGAGACAGCCATCTTCCATGCTCCCCCATACCGTAGCTACGCGGATGACCCGACCCTTCTCCTCCTCCTGCCTCCTGCCACCTGCCACCTGCCACACAATCATGTCTCTCCCTCCTTCCCTCCCTTTCCCTCTCGCGCCTTCCTTGCGACAGCTCCATGTCCTACGCGTCTGTCCCTTCCACAAATCGCAATCGCTGCCCTCTCCCGCCATCGATCCAATCCTCTCCCGGCACGTGTGCGAATCAGGAAACGTACGTCTCAACCGATGTCCTCCGTCTTCAACCTTCCACTTCTCCTCGCACACCCCACCCGTCATCGCGTTCGTTGTAATCATCCATCATCCTCCTCCTCCTCCTCCTCCTCCACATCCACAGCGTCTGGCATTATCCTCAAACCCTCCGGACTGCGGCTGCGGCTGCGGCTGCGGTCAACTGGGCCGGCAATGCCCACAATCGAGGTGATGGCGATGACGCCTTCCGCGTGCTGTATCTGCTATGGAAAATCGAAAAGATTCCGGTAGTGGTCATGTCTGCGCAGGCCAAGACGAGCTCGATCTAATAGGCCGAGGTAAGTACTCGGGTAGTACGAGAACCAAATCTAGCTACAGCTAAGTGCTCGAGTACAAGAACCAAAACTCGCTAACCATCCATCACATGTCATACTTCTCATCAGCATTCATTGTCTAGATACACCTACCTCCACCACCTGATTCTCTCGCTACCTTAATCATCCGAACATCGTCAGCCACGACCTATCATGCGCCACATCCATCCAATGCGCCCCACTCGTCCCGCTGTCTAACCTCGACCAGACCTCCTTCACAATCTCCATCATCTGCAACACCGATCTCTGTGCATACTTCCTCGACAGCGTGAGCATCCTCGCCTCCAAAAAGTATCTCGCCTCGATCATCTCGTCGTATTGTTGGCTGTCCATCGTGCTATCCGGCAATCTCAGTTGACTCGCCAGTGACAGGAGGACGAGCGGCAGTAGACGACACGCTGCGGAGATGATGGACACGGGCTTGATGCTGTCCAGGATGTGTGTTGCGATGCCCGTCAGCCGGAGGTCCACATCACTCGCGTATCCCATCGTATCCGTTGCCATGGACAAGAATATTAGATCCTTCGGCAGGGTGCGATTGCCGACCCTCTCCTGCAGCAGGCTTGGGAAATGCGCATACAGTTCTAGTAATCCAACATATCGATAGGCCCTCGCCATCCTCACCAGATCGATCTTGGGCGTCCTCGCATCTCCATAATCAAGCACATCTTCCACCTCGCACATCTCCGCACCCACAAGCGCGCCTTCCAATTTCGCCGCCCATTCCTCATCCGCGGAGCGCAGGTGTTCCTTTCGGCGCGCGTCGAGGTTGGGCGACGCGACGTATCTATGGCGTCGGAGGATCCGACCGACTTCTGCGAGGATGAAGTGTAGTGTACTTGCGACACCGGTCCAAGGATGAGGCGAGACGCCTCCTTCCTGGCGGCCGGGGATGGGTAGGCTCGGGCACTTGAGGCCGGGGAGGGAGAGGAGAGGGACTGGGTCCACGAAGCTGGCGAGCATTTCCCAGTGTAGCAGCGCGTCGAGGAAGAAATTGTCATTTCGCGAGGACTTGTCGTGGGACGCCATCCTGCCGTGTTGCTGCAGTCGTGTTTGGATCATCCCCCGTGCCACGAACAGGTATTGTAGTCCGAGGTTGGAGGCTTGATGCCATGTCGAGGACAAGCCTTGGAGCAGGAGGCAGAGCAGAACGCGATCCGTATCTTGCTTTCCTTCCCGCAAGAGTTGGAGGTCGTGCTGGAGACTGAGCCAGGCCTGTGATCTCTTGGCCAGGCCGAGTGAGGCCATGTGAGGGTAGAAGTTTGCCAGGTGACCGACGCTCATACTCTCGATGCTGAGTCGCGTGGTCTTGCAGTCCATCCATTGTTCGGCAACGAGTGTTCGGAATGGATTGAGATCGGAGTCGAAGCACGAATAGAGGGTGCATACGTTGTTGAAGTAATGGCTGACGAGATCGTCGTCCGAGAAGCCGGGGACAGCGCTCGGGACAGATAGTCGATAGAATGTTTGGAGAAGGTTGGCGGATTCTGTCGCAGGCTCGGATGGTGATCTCGAGTTTTCCCGCGTCGAACTGCTCGTCTCATCCTCCTGTAATAACGGTCGACAAGGCTTCTGTAATCCGTCATCAGCAGCGGGAGGCACCCCACAGGGGATGTCTTCTACCAAATACGATGTAGCTCGTGGCATCGGCCCGCCACCACCCAATCCTCCTCCGAAATAGGGAAAGGCGAGGTTCGTGTCTACTTCCATGCCAAAGATGGAATGACCGAGAGGCGTTGAGAGTCCGAGATCCTCAAAGCCGTAATTGTCCAGGCTGGGCCAGTCGAAGAGCTCCATTTCTGCATTGCTCCCGCCGCTCGAGTCCTGATTCATGGTCTCGCCCTCGGAAGGGCCAGTATGATCGCCATCACCAGGTGTCTGTGATGGATCTTGATGATGATGATGATGATGATGATGATGATGATGATGATGATTTTGGTGCTCCTCTACGCCACCGGGGCTCGATAACGGGCTGACATGTCGTAAAGCAGCCGCCGCCGCCGCTTGCACTCGGGACGGGGGCGGCGCCGTCTTGGGGAATCTCTCATGCTTATTGCTCCATCGCAACTGCTTCGCGTACCCGGGACATTCCACTCCATTCGCACGGCAGATCTGACAGTACGGTTTGGCCTCGTCGCATTTGATCTGATATCAAGTCGTCATTATTATTCATTCATTCATTCATTCATTCATTCATTCATTCATTCATTCAGCTCCCCCGTAGGTACATGTAGATAGATCATCATCAAGAGCAAACGATGGATGAATTTTCGACTGACATGTTTCGACTTGCATCGTTGGCAGCCGCCTCGCGATTTCGGCGATCGCAGTGTCCGTTTCGCTTGTTGTGCACGATCCGGCATTGCGATTCATGATACTTTTGTGAATTTATTTATTGATGGATTGATTGAATGATGGATCGATGAAGTTGTTTGATTGTGCAATGAGGTTCTATAAGGTAGCGCCTTACCTTATCAAATCAATTCCTTCCCCTCACACGTACCTACTACCCCAGCCCACGCTAGCGAGAGCCCTCTCGCTACCTAACGGGAAGTTTTAGCCCTATTCATGCTAGACTTGTTACACCAGTCTAGAAACTGACTGGAACTTGTTATGGATGTTCTGCTGGTCATCATGACATTATCATCCTTCTACAGCTAGAGAGAGATAGCTATAGATTTTCGCCTGCTGCCTCAAGCATAGCCTTCGCGGCTGGCATATTCTTGCGAGCTCTCGAGAACTACACTTGACTCTCCCGAAGCCTCTCCGTGCGCGGAAATATCACAAGGGAATGCGGCAAGAAACAGTCATCTGGTGTCAGTACATGTAGGTCGTGGGACTATGGCAGGCCGAGCTCACTCAGCAACTGCTTATGAAGCACAAGGCAAGGAATACTCCACGTAACCTATATAGCTGCTGCGATGCTGCCGTGGAATGCTTGGCCGTCCATCTTTTCTGGGATATCTCTTGCCGCCACCCGTGCTATGGTGCTGGCATGGAAATTCCGCAATTCAGCGGGCGGGCGGGCGCGTAGTTGTTCCTCTCGCGGCTCACGAGTGGGTGTTGTTGTTTCGTTGCGCGAACAAGCTGCCAAGAACGGCACATCCGGGTCACGTGCTCGCGGCGGGACCCCCCGAAGGCAACAGTGCCAAGAGTGCCCGGGTGGCACGAGATCCGGGTCAGATCCGGGGGCGGAGCAAGGTGACGTTCCTGGCCAACGACACTTCAAGTATCTCCTCCCTCACCACACAACCAACTTTCTTCTTCTTATACCGCCTTTCTCTGACACTCCCCTTCCTATTTGCCACTCCCTATTCGTGCATTTCGACGGCACCACCGCCATCATGTCGGGCGTCCACGGGCAGGTGCTGGGCCACCTCGTCCGTCGCGGGTACGAGACGGCGCAAGCACACTTCACCAGCGTCGACAGGGAGTACATTCAGCGGCTGAAGCATGACGCCAACCTCTACGACAACGCTGGGCCGGGAATGGAGGTCAAGCCATACGAGATGTTACCCGTCCTCATCACCGGCATCATCACCATCATTGTCATCGCTTCGGTGGGTATCCGTACCATGTTGCGGCACAGCGTGCGTGTTCACAGCTGACTGTCTTCCAGGTTCGCTACACAATCGGCGAAGTCATGGCCTCCCTGACCATGATTGAATCCCAAACGACCACTGCGATTGTCGAAGATGAGCCCCCCGCGTACCCCGGCGAGCCAGATGCTCCCATCGAAAAGGAACCCGCCCTCTCCGCCGAGCCTGAGGTCGATGTCGAGGTGACGCTTGTCCAGAAGAAGCCTGTGACGGCAAAGATTACAACTACAATGGCACACCTGCGTCGTGTTGGAGGCTGGAGGGCCCAGTGGAGAGGTCTGGGCTTTAGCCTGCTCTACCACTTCCCACACGCGGTAATCTCGCACTTCCTCGGCTCTCTTCTCGGATTCGGCCTCTTTGGAAACTCTCTGGCCTATATCTTCACCTCCGTCGCGCTGTCCAGGATCCACATGCTCTGGACGCACTCGATGATCGCTCTCCCCAGCAACAAGTCATGGCTGCGGCGACTCGTGCCTCGCAAGCAGTGCAAGGCTCTCCTCCTCCCCAGCTTGGTCTTCGCAGCTGCACAGCAAGCGGCGTTCATCCTTCCGGTCGTCGTTGCTCTTGCTGTTGGCATGCCCGAGAAGGACCACGTCGTCCAGGCCGCCCATCGCAAGGACTGCGCGGTTCTCTCGTTGATGGGACTGCGCTTCTTGGCTGTGCCAGCTACGCTCCTCTTTGTTACCTTCGCAGTGCTTCTGCCGGCCGCCGTCACACTCACGCGCATCGAGGCCCTTCTCCTACCTGAAGGCGAGGATACTATTGTGCCTTTCGACCGCCAGGCGGTTGTTGGTAGCATCGATCTTGCTGCCCGCGGAAGCTCCTGGCAAATCTTCGTCGAAGCCTGGCGGTCTTTCGATGGCGCATCTCGCTGGAGACTCATCAAACTCTACATCAAGATGGTCTTCGTTCAACTTTTTGTCGTCTTTACCGGCCTCCATATAGTGGCTGCCGAGCTTTACCTTGTCGGTGGCCAGAGACTCGGCCTCCTCATCAAGAGTACCGCGGCACAGCTGCAGTTGGTGGCCATTGAGGCCCAGCAGAACGGCAACTAGGCCAAGCCATCGCCTGAAAAAATGCGCACAGGACAAGCCAGAGAGCTCTGCCTTGGAATTGGGGCTAGTAGGCAACATGTAACAGAATCGATAGACTTTGAATATAACATCACATATGAGCCGCAACGCCATAACTCTGCGAGGTATCCTAGAGACGATTGCAGTCGCGGCCGATTTCGTATACCAAGGGCAGCCAGAGGTATTGTCGAGCTTGCCACAATTTGCCATAAGCAGAGCTTCACCCCTTGCGGCAATACCGGTTCTATGGCGCCCAGAATGCAATTTTGAGTCGGTCCTGTGGACCGCCCGTCCCAACGACCTGGAGTAGGAACGCAGGACAAGCAAAACACCGGCTCATGGCATGGGCGCCTGAATTCGGCCCTCGATTCAACACGCGGTACTCGGACACGTTTGGTAGTCACCTCGACTGTTACTGCTCACATTTGAGCTATAGCGCTGCGAGTGCATGTGTTGGCCTCACAATGCGGCTCGCGGTTTACCTCCGTGTGCTGTGCTTTGTTTGGCTTTCCGCGGCACAGTCGACAACACCACAACCGCCTTCTGGAGCTGTGGCTGGTCCCTCTGAGACGTCCTCCGTCTCGCTCATCACCAAAACCATTCACAGGAGTTGCCCCGCCTCGACGCTGTACATTCCCACCTATGGCTGGATAGCGAGCAATGGAAGCACAATACCCTACACATTCACCATCGGGAGCTCTCTCTCCTCTCCAGCAACACTGGGACTCGCGTCTGCTGATGACACAACCATCACGAGCTTGCTTTCCGGTGGCAATGATCCAGGATCTTCGCAATCGGGCTCTGCTGCTGTAAGCGTGTCCAAGGAAAGTGTCCAGGGAGCACACTCGGAGCTATCCACAACGAGTAGATCTGATATCGCAATCCCATCGACTTCTTTGAAGGCGAGTCTGAGCATAGGCAGTGGATCAGAGGCTCCAACTGCGTACGACACGAGCGCCGAAAACTCTCCTGCTGCCACCAGTCGATCCATTGTGACGGGAAAGTCGTCAGATTCTGCAAGTGCACGGGGTACTTCCACTCGGTCCTCAAGCGAGCCTTCGATACCTCTATACTCGTCGTCCAGAGTCATCTCTGGAGTGAGTGTGACATCTCTGGTACCAGACATTTCCTTTTCGCTGTCCATTGGCCCGACATTCATTGGCCCGACGTCGCGGGTATCCCCTTCAGCGTTCTCTGGCGCAGCTTCTGGTGCGTCTACCTCAACGATCGCCTCTTTGTCGTCGATTTCCACGGGAATAATATCAACCAGCGTATCGCTGCTGAGTCTGCCAAGCTCAGCCGTTCCCCCCAAAGTCCCGACCGCATCACTTGTACAGAACACGCCATCGTCCGCTCGCCCGCCATCGAGCGTATCCCCTTCAACGTTCCCTGCAGCAGCTTCTGGTGCGTCGATCTCGACGATCGCCTCTTTGTCGTCGGCTTCCACAGGAATACCAATCAGCTTATCGGTGCCGAATCTGCCAAGCTCGGCCATTCCTTACCCAGTCAGGACCGCATCGCTTGTACAGACCACGCCATCTTCCACAGAAGTCGAGGTTGCCTTCGAGCCCGCATCATCAACATCGACTTCGTCGGTATCTCTGAGTTCAGGACTCGCAATCGTGACGCGATACGTCATTTCCGGTGGCGTCCCATATACAGCGGTGGTTGGAGGCATAACTACCATTACAGAAATCAATGGCCGCCCGACAACTTCAATATCCGGAGGCTTTGTGACTACCTTCACTTCGGGTGGTGTCACTCAGACCGTTCTCGAAACGGTCGCAACAGCCTCTGCCACCTCTGAAGCAGTGTTTGGACCATGTCCAGATTACAACGGGAGGTTAGTGAGCACAAATACGGGAAGTACGCTTATAGCTTGCTACGTTGTGTATCGAGGCACTATCATCTCCACCGTGGCCCGAAGAGGAGTCCACCTCTCGAGAAGGGCGAGTGCCGACGACTGCGCTCCGGAATGTGCTGCTACACCAGGCTGTACAGGCTTCTCTTACTCAGACAATCAGTGCACCCTCTATAGTTCCGTTGATGGCCAAGACACGTCCCAAGACCAATCATTCTCCGCCATGCGATTGGACAGCCCAGCGTCAAATGGATCATCACCCGCTGTGTCCCCGTCCAGCAGTGGTGCGCAGACACCATCACCTGGCAACGCAGCTGAATCTCAGTCACAGCCCTACGCTCCTCCAAGTCAAAGCGAGTCATCCTTTGGTGTTGCAACGGCTCCATCTGCGCCGTCGGATGGAGCCTCTGCTACGGAGTCGAACGAATATTCCATCCTTACTGTGACAACTACAGTCCCTGGACCAACTGTTACCGCAACATATTTGACAACATATCCCGCCAGCACAGTGCAAGAGCCTGGATCCACTGTGGTTACAATCCGCACGACGACACAAGTGACCTTGAGCCAGCTCCCACCTGTCACAACAACATATGAAATCACGTATACTCTCACTCAGCCTACTACCGTCGTCTCAACGGAGCGATCGGTCAGCACGCTCACGACTGTCCTGCCAGGTAGCACAGTTGTAAGTCTTGCCCCGCCAACCCATACTTCTCCTGGAAGCTGATCAGCAGGAAAGACAACGACATTCGAAACTACTTACCCAGCTTCTACGGTTACAGTATCAATCCCGGGGCCAACGACGACACAGATATCAATCAGTGTTGCGCCCGCCTCCACGGCAACTGTCACAAGCGTGAGCACTCAAGCAGGGTCGACTGTCACTTATGGGGTTACATACACAGCTCCTGGGGCTACGGTCATTTCCACACAGCCGGCAAGTACGACTCGCCTTGTCGAAACTGCAACTGAGCAGGTGACTTCCGTCTCGCTTTCGGTTCGCACAGTTACGACCACCCTGCCGGCGTCGTCTATCACGTTCCTTCAAACGACAACAGTCAGTGCAGAGCCTGTTACGGTAACAAGTATCAGTGTTCAGCCAGCTTCTGTGTCGACATATGAAATTACGTACACAGCTCCTGGGGCCACGATTGTTTCCACGGAGCCAGCGAGTACCATCAGCCTCGTTGAGACTGCAACTGAGCAGGTGACTTCCGTCTCGCTTTCGGTTCGTATCGTTACGAGTACCCTGCCGGCGTCGTCCATCACGTTCTTGGAAACGACGACAATCAGTGCCGAGCCGACCACGATAACAAGTGTCAGTGTTCAGCCGGGTTCTGTGTCAACATATTGGATTACGTACACAAATTTTGTACCCACGACGGTGCTTTCGGTAGAGTCTATCGATCACACTCAGACTTTACTGGTGACCACCGATCGTCCAACGACAGCAATATCGACGCAGTTGGTTCTGACTACCCTGACTACAACGCTGCCGGCTGAAACTTCGTATATCGAGCGAACATCTTCCATCGTCTTGACGACCTCGCTTCCCGGGCAAACCGTTACAGAGCGCTACACGACCGTCTCAGTGTACACCGAGACGACCGTATTGCCTGCGCAGACATCGACACTCGTACTCACTCTCACTCAATCCGCCAGTACAGTGACGGCAACCCAGCTTACAACTATTGTATCCACCGAACTGCTCCCAACTACGGTGCTATCAGCAACGGTCTCCCTCAGCACAATCATCACGACTCTCCCACCTGCAACTTCCTACATTGAGAGAACGTTTACCCAGGTTTTAACGACTTCCCTCCCTGGGCAGACAGTCACTGAGCGGTATACGACATTGTCTGTATCGACTCAAACGAGCGTCCTTCCCGCCTCTACGATTACGCAGGTTCTAACGTACACTCTTCTACTCACAGCGACGGAACGGACCACGCTTGTTTCCACGGTTCTCTCTTCCTATCCGATCACGCAAGTGCAGACGACCAGCTTCGGCTATCCCGTGACGCAGAGCCTGACAACTACAGCACTTTCTTCCTACCCAGTCGTCTACACGACGAGCTTCAGCTATGGGATCACCCAGATTGTAACCACGAGCTTTGGCTATCCGGTCACCTATAACATCACGACAAGCTACGGGTATCCGGTCACTCAATTCGTAACTACAAGCTTTAGCTATCCAGTCACTCAGATACAAACAACCACCCAACCACCATTGCCCGCAAGTACGGTAATAACGAGCTACAGCTACGCGGTCACTCAGGTAGTCACTACGAGCTATGGGTACCCCGTCACCTACAACATCACAACTAGCTACGGATATCCGGTCACTCAATTCATAACCACAAGCTTCAGTTATCCAGTCACTCAGGTACAAACAACCACCCAACCGCCACTACCCGCAAGCACGGTAACAACGAGCTACAGCTACGCGGTCACTCAGATAGTCTCCACGAGCTATGGCTACCCGGTCACCTACAACATCACAACTAGCTACGGATATCCGGTTACTCAATTCATAACTACGAGCTACAGTTATCCAGTCACTCAGGTACAGACCACGACTCAACCTCCGTTGCCCGCAAGCACCGTGACAACGAGCTACAGCTATGGGATCACCCAGATTGTAACCACGAGCTTTGGCTATCCAGTTACCCGCAACGTTACTACTAGCTACGGATACCCAGTCACTCAGTTTATAACCACGAGCTACAGCTACCCAGTCACTCAGATACAGACCACGACCCAACCACCGTTGCCCGCAAGCACGGTGACCACAAGTTATGGAGTGACTGCAACGTGAGTAAATCTGTCCTTTCTTCCCAAATGCCATGCTAACTTCGTCTCAGATACACAAGCATTTCGATTCAAAGCTTGACTTATACGACAACGTTTTCGATCACCTTCACCACATCGTACCCAGTGACTTATACGTCTGTCCAGACAACAACAGCTCCCGGTAAGGTCATATTCTGCTCAGACTTTGGGGAAGAGCTAACGGATGAAAAGGCACCACGATTCTCCAAACGGTTACGTCTGTGTCTGTTAGCACGGTTTTGACCACATCTATCCAGGTAAGTGCAGCCATTGTGGATCAGTCGAACAATCAAGACTGGTTGTATTGCGTGGAACCCTCGCCGGCTGTAGCCTTCGAGATCAATGTCACATCGGCGAAAGAAAAGAGTACTCAACTGACTCATATGCATAGACTACTACGGCTGTGACCACACAGCAAACAACGATCTATAACACAGTGGTTAGCACCGCGCCCGGCCCTACAGCTACAATCGTGACAACTCAACCTGCGTCTACGCTTCCTGCTTCTACCATCATCACCACGCAGCTGGCCCCTACGGTTACCTTTACGCCTCCGCCGGGCACTACGACCAGTTCATATCCCGTCTTCATCACTACTACCTATGTCTCGGTTCAGTCGGTCACCTATACAACGAGCTTTACAGCGACTACGACACGGGTCTCGACGGCTCCCGGAAGTACAATCACACAGACTGCGACTTCAGTGGTCACCAGTGTGGTCGTAACGACCACCCCTGTAACGTACACAACGACGCAGCCCGCTCAAGTCGTAACCGCGACAACCGATCCGGGTGCTCCAACTCCATCTCAGTGCGGCAACCTCGGCGTCCAATACGAAGTTGTGGCTGCATACGGCCTGAATTACGGTACCGCGTACGACCCATCATTTATCAAGGATCCATCGGTCGGCGGTCTCAGTTACCCGGTCACTTACAATGCCACGACAATGGACTACGTGTCTATTAGCTTCAGCTGCCCAAGCTCAACTTCTACCACTACGGTACACTCAGCATCAACGGCATTCAACTGCAACGACTTTTACATCAACCATCGCGCCTACTTTTATGCGTATACAACAGGCAACTTCACATTCGCATTCACGAGCGTCGATGACAGGGTACAAGCGTGGTTTGGGAGTATCGCTCAGATGGGATGGACCATCAACAATCCCAACATGTCAACAGTCGGAACTGGTTCGGGTATCTCGACCTATACCATCTACTTGACTCGAGGCCAATACCTCCCATTCCGATTTATTTACCGTCAGGACACGGGTGGTGGCTCATACTCTTTCACCATCACTGATCCTTTCGGAAGCACGGCCGACTACAGTAGCAACGAAAACAACAACCCTTGGGTGGTGCAGTACTCATGCGACAGGACGAGTGCGCCGCCGTGGGCATATGCTTTTGGAAACGAGCTTTAGAGACGATGGTCGTACATTCTGTAGATCGGATTAGTAAAGCGTACACAGCTAGTCTTCTTCATCCACGATATCTCTTATTGTGAGGTCTCTACTTCTTCTAGAGGAAGGGCTCGCGACGTGTGAGTACGCAACGAGAGGAGCGCAAAGCCGGTTTGTTCTATCGCAAGATTGTAAGGGCATTCTGAAGCGTCCAGAAAGACAACAATAGTTCAGCCAGGCTTTGTGTGGAGAGATATTCGTATCTGGTCCGACGAGCAGGTGCCCACGTGAAATCGCTAAACAATCTGCCGAGCTACAGCCGTATAACAACACCTTCCATCTATCACCGACCCGCGACACCTTATCGCAAGGTGGACTTGCATTAGATAACGCACTTGCGGGCAATAGCTGTTCTGGGACGGCCTCCTATGTTCGTCTCTTCCGTGTCGAGCTTCGCATTATCTGCTTCGAATTGTCTGCTTTGAATAATCTGGTCCTAAGGAAAGGAACGATTGGATGCCTCGTTTCCCAGCCCGCCGATACATCGCTAGATTGGCCAGAGTAGAAGGCGTCCTTTCTCTTCATCTTTGTCATTTTGCACGGCATCCCTCCAGCTTGCTTTGTGTGATTCTTCCACGTCAGGGCCCAAACCGACTTGAACTGCACGTCAGAAAGAGAAGACTAATAGCCCGCAAGCAGTACCCGCAAAAGGGTCACAATCTACGACAAGTATATAATCGAGCGCTTACTTTAATATAAGTCTTACATTAACAATCGCAGTCTATTATCGGGCTCTATCCGGGAACTCCGAGCGCTACTAAGTAAATGATATTAAGGTTCAGTAAGAGGGAGGGGGTTAGCGGTATGTAGCTCTCGTATATAGACTAACGAATAATGTATAACTAAACATTCGCTATAGGGTTTTAAGGACTATCTTCTTAGACACGAATCTTAATCTTCTATACCTACTTAGTATATTACCTATTAGTAGATTATAAGTCTTCTTACCTACGGCTCGTATACTAGAGACGTATATACAATATCTTAGCTTATAATATAGAACATATATACGTAACTCGCCCGAATTCCTTAGGAGAAGAGATATAACTTTATTTACGTAATTTTAAAAGTAACTAATATACTAAACCCTATCTTATTATTTTAACTCTAGATAAGGATTATACCTATTAACGTAAATAAGTAAATATTTAAGAATAACTACTTAAACAGAGATAGTAAGTCTTAAGAAGTATTTAATTAAAGGTATTAACTATTTAAATAGAGAAACTAAGTCTTACTTAGAGCTTTTCAAATTTTAGAAAAATATTAATTTATAGAAATAACTAAAGAGAGATTAGTAATTTTATTAGCTAAATTAAAAGTTTTACTATAAGATAAGAAGATAGACTTAAATAGAGAAAGTAAGTCTTATTTAGAGTTCCTTAGATTTTAGTAGAAGGTATTATTTCTAAAGTAATACTATAGAGTAAGTAGTAGTGTATTAGCTAGATTAGAGGTAATACCTTAGAAGAGAATAATTAATAACTAAAATACTATTTGAATAGAGAAATAATTCTTTTTAGAGTTTTTTTAACTTTAGAAGAAGTACTTTAAAAGTTTTTAAAGTAATAGTAAAGAGTAAGTAGTAATTTATTAGCTAGATTTAAGGTATTTCTCTAGAAAAGGATAGTAAATAACTAAAATACTACTTAAAGATAGATATAAAGACTTAATTAGATTTCTAGATTTAAGAAGAAACTAAATTCATAAAGTTATACTATAGAATAAGTAGTAAGTCATTAGCTAGATTAGAGGTATCACTTTAGAAGAAGATATTAGATAACTAAGATACTACTTAAATAGAGATACTAAGTCTTAATTAGCGTTTTTAATCTTTAAGTAAAGACTTAATTTCTAGAGTAATAGTATAGACTAAGTAGTAGTTTATTAGCTAAATTAAAGGTATTCCTCTAGAAGAAGATTATTAGTAGCTAAAATACTACTTAGATAGAGATAATAAGTTTTTATTAGCGTTTAAAAGATTTTAAATAAAACTTAATTTCTAGAGTAATACTATAGACTAAGTAGTAGTCTATTAGCTAGATTAGAGGTATTCCTTTAGAGAAAGATAGTAAGTAAAATACTACCTAGATAGAAAGACTAAGTTTTTATTAGCGTTCTAAGAATTTTAGAAAAAACCTTTATTTTTAAAGTTATCCTATAAGATAAGTAGTAGTTTATTAGCTATACTAAAGGCAATACCTTAGAAGAGAATAATAAGAAACTAGAATACTACTTAAATAAAGAGGTAAGTCTTTTCTAGAGATTCTAAACTTTAGAAGGAGAAACTAAATTTATAAAGTAATACTATAGAGTAAGTAGTAATTTAATCGCTATATTAAAGGTAATACCTTAGGAGAGTAGAATTTATAACTAGAATACTAACTAAATAGAGATAAAAGGTCTTATTTAAAGTATTTAAATTCTAAGAAGAGGACTCTATTTTCAAAGTAATACTATAAGGGAAGTAGTAATTTAATAGCTAGATTAAAGGTAATAGCTTAAAGAAAGATAGTAAATAAGTAAAATACTACTTAAAGAAAGATATAAAGCCTTAATTAGCGTTTGTAGATTAAAGAAGAAACTAAATGCCTAAAGTTATACTATAGGGTAGGTAGTAGTTTATTAGCTATATTAGAGGTTATACCTTAGAAGAAGATAGTAAAGAAATAAAATACTACTAAAATTAAGTCTCCTTTGAAGTTATCTAGATTTAAGTAGAAGATCTTTTATCTAAAGTAATACTATAAGGTAAGTAGTAATTTATTAGCTAGATTAATAGTAATATATTAAAGAAAGATAGAGAATAACTAAAATACTACTTATATAGAGATTAAAGGTCTTATTTAGAGTTTTTTAAATATAAGACGAAGACCTTATTTCTAAAGTAAAACTAAAAAGTAGGTAGTAGGTAATTAGCTATATTAGATACAATAAGTCAGGAAAAGATAGTAAATAACTAAGATACTACTTAAATAGAGAGATAAGTTATATTTAGAGATTTTTAATTCTAGAAGAAGTCCTTATTTCGAAAGTAATCCTAAAGACTAAGTAGTAATTTATTAGCTAGATCTAAGATAATCTCCTAGAAGAAGATAATATATAACTAAAACTCTACTTAAATAGAGAAGTTAGTCTTATCTAGAGCTTTTAAACTTTGGAGGAAGAGACTAAATTTATAAAGTAGAACTATAGAGCAAGTAGTAATTTACTAGCTATATTAGAGATACTATTATAGAAGAGTAGAATTAATAAGTTGAATACCACTTAAATAGAGAAATAAGTTATATCTAGAGTTTTCTAATTTTGAAAGAAGTCCTTATTTCTAGAGTAATACTATAGGATAAGTAGTAATTTATTTACTAGATTAAAGGTAATACCTTAAAAGAAGATAGTAAATAACTAAAATACTACTTAAAGAGAGATATAAGGTCTTAATTAGCCTTTTTAGATTAAAGAAGAAAGTGAATTTCTTAAGTTATACTATAGAGTAAGTAGTAGGTTATTAGCTATATTAGAGGTACTACCTTAGGAGAAGATAATTATTAACTAAAATACTACTTAGATAGAGAGAGGTATAAAGTCTTTATTAGTATTTCTAAGATTTTGGAAGGAACTTAATTTATTAAGTTATACTATAGAGTAAGTAGTAATTTATTAGCTAGATTTAGCTAAGGTAATATCTTATAAGGATATAATTAATATCTATAATACTAGTAGAATAGAGGGAAAAAGTCTTATTTAGAGATTTAAAGATTTTAGAGATTTAAAGATTTAAAAAGAAGACCTTATTTCCAAGGTAATAGTAGAGAGTAAGTAGTAGTTTATTTAGTATACTAAAGGCAATACCTTAGAAGAAGATAGTAAATAAATAGAATACTATTTAAATAGAGGTATAAGTCTTATCTAGAGTTCTTTAGATTTTAGAAGAAGATTTTATTTTTAAGGTAAGACTAGAGGATAAGTAGTAGCTTTTAAATAAAACTAAAGTTAATAACTTATAAGAAGATAGAAAAAACAAATGAAATACTATCTAAATAGAGAGATAAATCTTATGTAGAGTTTTAAACTTTTAAAGAAGAAACCAAATTTATAAAGCAATCCTATAGAGTAAGTAGTAGTTTACTAGCTAAACTAAAAGTAATACCTTAGAAGAGAATAATTAATAACTAAAATACTAACTAAATAGAGATTAAAGGCCTTAATTAGAGTTTTTATATTTAAGAAGAAGACCTTATTTCTAAAGTAAAACTATAGAGTAAGTAGTAGTTTATTAGCTATTCTAGAGCTTATAACTTATGGAAAGATAGTAGATTACTAAAATACTACTAAAGTAGAGGAATAAGTCTCCTTTAAAGTTATCTAGATTTAAGAAGAAGAGCTTATTTCTAAGGTAGAATTATAGAGTAAAGAGTAAGTTACTAGCTATATTAGAGGTAATACCTTAGAGAAAGATAGTAAATAACTAAAATACTAATTAAATAGAGATATAAAGTCTTTATTAGCGTTCTTAGATTTAAGAGGGGACTAGATTTTTAAAGTTATACTATAGAATAAGTAGTAATTTATTAAATATATTAGAGATACTATCTTATATAAAGATAGTAGATAAATAAAGTACTATTTAAATCGAGAGATAGGTCTTATCTAAAATTCTTTAAATATAAGAAGAAGTTCTTATTTTTAAAGTAATACTATAAAGTAAGTAGTAATTTATTAGCTATATTAGAGGTAATATATAAGCAAGATATAGAAAGTAACTAAAATACTACTTAAATAAAGAAGTAAGTCTATTCTAGAGTTTTGAAACTTTAAATAAAGAAATAAACTTATAAAGTAGAGCTATAGAGTAGGTAGTAATTTATTAGCTAGATTGGAGGTAGTACCTTAGAAGAATATAGAAAATAAATTAAATATACCTAAAATTAAGAAATAAGTCTTATCTAAAGCTTTTAGGAGAAGACTATATTTCTTAAGTTATATTATAAAGTAAGTAGTAATATGTTAGCTATATTAGAGCTAATACTTTAGATATAAGATAATTAATAACTAAAATACTACTTAAAAGGGATATAAAGTCTTTATTACTAGGCCTAGATTTAGAAAGAAACTAGAACTTTTCTTAAGTAATACGATTAGGTAAGTAGTATATTTAAATAAAATAGAGCTAAGATATAGGTATTAAGAGAGTTAATAAGCTAAAAAGTAATATAGTAAAGATATAGAGTCTATTCTAGAGTTTAAAAGATATTATAGAAAAATATATTCCAAAAGTAATATTATTAGATAAATAGTAACTTAAGATCTAAGTCTTTACTTAAGCACCTATATCTATAGTAGGAAACCTAACAAACTACTCTAATAGATACGATTAATCTACTATTTCTATATTATTGCCTACTTTATAGCCTAGAAAGATAGTATAAATACTAATTAACTATTAAGAGAGGTATACTTAATCTATATTAGAGTCTTTTAGATATTAGGGAAAGGCATATTACTAAAGTAGTACTACTAGGCAATAGGTATTTTTATAACTAGATATATACTTTAGGGCCTATATAAAAGGTAGAAGAACTAAAAAACTAATAGAATAGTAGAGATTAGTCTTATTTAGAGATATTTTAGATACTAGAGAAAGGTATATTCCTAAAGTAATACTTAAAGGTAAGTAGTATACTTCTATCTTCTTACTTACTTAGAGACCTAGAAAATAGTTAGAAAGAGTAATATACTAGTAGAAAAGATAGGACTAGTCTAATTTAGGGATTCTCAAAAATAATAGAAAAGGGAATATTCTCTAAGTAATACGACTATATAAGTAGTATTTCTATCTCTTATAACTTACTAAGAGACCTAGATAATCGGTAGAAAGAGTAATATACTTATAGAATAGACAGGGTTAGTCTAATTTAGAGTTTTCTAGATATTAGTAAAAAGTCTATTCCTTAAGTAATACTCCTATACAAGTAGTATTTTAATATCTAATTATTTACTTAGGGTCTTAAATAATAGGTAGAAAGACTAATATACTATGTAATACGTAAGCAGGTCGCAGGCGATCCGGTCGCGTCACGTAGCGAGATTATGTAACGCGAGGCCTTACGAAGGCCCTACGGACGCCTTGCGAACCCCTTACGATCTAGTGCCGAGATGTTACGTAATAACGTCACGTGTAGGGAGGCCCTACGGAGACCTTGCGAACCCCTTGCGATCCGGTACCGAGATGTTACGTAATAACGTCACGTGTAGGGAGGCCCTATAGAGGCCTTACGAACCCCTTACGATCCGGTAACGATATATTACGTAGTAACGTTACGTACGGTAAGGCCCTATAGAGGCCTTACGAACCCCTTACGAGTCGGTTACGAGTCGGTCCGGAGCTTACTCTAGTAGTTACGTAATACTTAGTATATATCCCTAGATATCGATAGGTCGTACGACCTACTCCTAGTCTCTTTAGGATTATTCTAGTATATATTACTATACCTATACTACTATATTCCTAGACATTATACTAATATCCCTATATCTATATAGTAATCTATTATAAGCTACTAGTATCTTTCTTTTCTATACTATAGTAAACCTAGGAGAGGCCTATAGTAGAAGGGGCTCTCTAAAGAGAGAGAGAATCTCGGAGAAGGACCTAGGTATAGTAGAGAGTAGAGAGAGGTAAATTACTAATTAGAGTAAAGTATAGAGACTATATAATATTATTAAGCGTTATACTAGGGAGCTACGCGTATTTAGAGAGCTACCCGTAGGGTTTGTAGACATAGCTATAGCCGCTATAGCTTCGACCTATAGTAGATGCCTTACGGTACTCTTATAATAACCTTATAGAAGATGTCTTAGACCCGTTCTTAGGTGTAAAGCCCTAGTATTAGGCACAATTTCAGGCTTCCGTCTCTATAGCCATTATAGATAAGGCGCCATTCATAATGAACGAGCGGCTAGAGCTGTGTATGTGTTATATGAAAGCGTTGACGGCAATTATATTTCTCACAATCCAGCGTTGCACCACTATGCCAGATCAGACCCACGTGATCTTCGATGTCTAAAGTAGATCTGTTCCAGCGATGTACGCTTCGCTTATCTGTACCCATGCCTATCAACACCGTCTCAGCAGCAACTGTATGTATCCCGCCAACTATCCACACCCAATCACCCAGCATAGATCTTTCCGACTCTCTCCATGACTCGGTCGAGCGCTAAAAAGCAATGCATCCTGATCAACAAAGCCCACAAAAGGGTATACGGAACTCCTGGATTCCCTTGCTTTCTCGTCTTGTCTAGGACCAGACATCTTCCTGGTACTGGTTCGCCGATCTCATCGACTTCACAATCTCGTCTCCCTTCTTCTTATCAACGCCGCGTTGCTCGGAGATGATGGCGGCGAGAATGTCGTTGACCTCACGAGCCATGTTCGCCGCATCACCACAGACGTAGAAGTACGCCTTTTGCTCGAGAAGCTGGTTGATTTCTTCGGCACGCTCCTTTAATCGGTGCTGGACATAAACTTTCTTCTCTTGCTCTCGCGAGAAGGCTGTAACGAGTTCGAATTGTCCGTTCATGTCCTTGGACCATTGCTGTGCAATTCAAGTCAGTATGATGTGCAATGAGATATCTCGAGAATTGTCTTGTCTTACCTCCCACTCGTCCTTGTAGATGAAGTCATCGTTCTTGTTTCGGCAACCGAAGAAAAGAATGGTCTTTCCAACGTTCTCGCCATTCTTCGCCTGCTGTGCTCGCTCCTGGACGAAACCACGGAAAGGAGCAACACCAGTTCCCGGACCAACCATGATGATCGGCTTGCTCGGGTCTGAGGGGAGTCTGAAATTCGAGTGTCGAACGTGAACCGGAAGGTGGACACCATCGTACTTGTTCCTTGGGCCCTTGATTTGATAGTCCAAGCCATGTGGATCAGGGTTATCAGCCCCGTGTTGCTGAAGAGAAAGGGCGAGCAAGTAATTAGTTGCGACACCTTTCACCACGTGTGGTGCACCTGGAGCCTCCACAGACTCCACAATGGCAGTGATCGTTGGCTTCTGCTTGTCCACCAGTGATGAAGAGGAGATGGAGTAGTACCGCGGCTGGATCTTGTTCAAGCCCTCAATGAAGAGCGAGAACGGAACCTTGTCCCACTTCTGGCCCTTGCCTGCCCAGCCAAGTAGTTGTCCGATGTTGAAGTTCTTCTTGGCCACCTCTTCCGCGAATGCTTCCTTGTCTCCCCCAAGCTTTGTCATCTTCTCCTTGACCTCATCGTTGGGTGCGAACTGTGCAAGGGTCGAGACGAATTGGCGAGAGACCGGGGCGCAGATCTCGAGTTGGTATCGGAAAACTGTGTCGTACGTTGTCGGCGTGGGGAAAGGAACCTTTGCGGTAGCATCAAGACCCTTGACCTTGATGACAGTCTCGCGCTTATTCTTCAGATCAACAACTTCCAGCAGACGGTCAACTTCTATTCCGGCGTTGTTCGGCCAAACGGCGATGTGGTCACCAGTGGTGTAGGTCAGGTTTGAGCCAGACAGGTCGACCTCCATGTGCAAGCAATTCCGAGACTTGTCGTTGAAGAGTTCGTGTGACTCAGCAATTGGCGCGATGTAGGGGTTATGAGCATTGTACGGGCCCTTGGAGTGGCCCTCGAGATGGTTCTTGTTGGGCTCGCCAAGATACACAGTCTCGTGGGATGCTTCCATTTCAGATTGCTCAGTGACCTCGTAGACGGGCTCGTAGACTGCCTCGCGCTCCTCAAGACTCATAGCCTCAGACAACGCAGCCCACATTGGTTCTTTCCAGGCGAGAAAGTCCTCCTCCATCGTACCAGCACCATCATCGCCCTCACCAGCGTCTCCAATACGCGTCGCACCGAGGGTTGTCAAGAACTTGTCCACGTTCCTCACGACAGCGTTGTAGTGCTCGTATGTGTTATTTCCAAGGCCAAATGCCACGTATCGCAGGTTCTCAAGGGGAGCCTCGTCCGCGCTCTTTTCGCTGAAAGATACGTCGTCTCCAGACATGAATTCGTAGAACTCAACAGCGTTGTCCGTCGGCTCACCCTCTCCGTATGTCGCGAGCACAAAGAAGGCAATCTTGTCTTCGGGCCACTTGTCCAAATTCTCATAGTCGTACTCCTCCAAGTCTACAGTCATCGTCTTGAGCCCGAATCTTGAAGAACCTTCCTTTGCTAACCGTGAGGCGTAATCCTCGGCTGTACCAGTCTGCGAGCCGTAGAAGATGACGCAGTTCTTGCCCGCCTCCTCCATCTTCTCCAGTATGTTTCTGCTCTTGCCAGCTTTGCCAGCCGAGCCGTTGGCCATGGAACTCGCATATGGATCCTTCTGTACGGCCCAGTACGTGCCCTTGGTGAAATACGCGAGCGTTCCCAGCAGTAAAACTGCTAGGACAATGATGTCCAGTGTGTCGAGCTGAGCCATCTTCGCAGCGTTCGGCGATCCGAAACTCACTCAGAGTGTGAGAATGAAGAAGATGCGAGCAAGCGGCCGAAATATGTTTATGAATAGCCCAGCGATGGTTCCCTGGCGTTTGTCGTGTATCGGCAGATGTTGGCCCGGAATACTGCGGCTGAGCCCTGAAGCGTGCGTAGATCCAGTCAGCAGTGTTTCATGCGCTGACTGACGATTCCTCCGAACGCTATCTCCTCTGCGAAAGTCGACTCAGCAGTGAGCAAAACCAGTGTTCGGGTGTGGTGCGCGGTGCAAGCCTGCGAATGGCGCGGCGAGAGCGAGCACGAAGCCCTCGGGTGTGTCCCTAAAGCACAGGGCAAGGAATCGATGACCTGTTGGCCAGTCGAGTGCAATGCGTCAACCACACGGGACTGCGATCTGGATCGGGAGTCTGGTGTTTGGCGGTCGGGGAATCGAGACGGGTTTAGCGGCCGATGTCGTCAGGGACTTTGTAGCACACTATAGTGAAGTCGTCGTTCGATTCGGCTTCCGAGTGTGCGGATGCTTGGAGGCGTGTATTCTACACGTTGCGGTGGTGGTGGTCGTCGCTGATCAGGGTGTCGGAGCAAGGTGCGGGTCGCGGAGACGGAGGGACGGGAAGGGAGTGGTCTGACAATGCTGCTTAAAGGTCGCCGTCACTTTCGGTCGGAGGAACAGGTGGCAGCAGTGGAATAAGTCTGTCCGTTCGGGCGCTGCTCTCAACGACCCGCTCTCAACGCTGCATTATTCCCTGCGCGAACATAATGACCAACTCTGCACTATTTCGACTCGCACCGCCGTCTCTGCGGCCCATTTCAATACCGCCCCGGCTGAGGTTGTGAAGCGGAACTCCGCCGCGCTTCTCCGTCCATCCCCTGTGCACGGCTGTTGAGGACGGTATGTATCCCGCATGGAGCCGTCATCAAGCCAAGGTTCTCCCTCGGCGCTTTCATGCCCGGATTCGGGAGATCCCTAGCCTCATAGATCTGATGAAGGATGGCGATGACGACGAGATTCATCCATGGATCAAGAGCGAATGGCGCAGCATCAGCTGCGAGGAAGGTATAACATCAGCAATTAACAGTCTAGGGTATCTCTATCCGCCTCCTCTTGGAATCCGCTCCGCGACTCACGCCCCTCACGCCCTCTCCTTAGTCCTGTCTCTCCGCCTTTGGCTGGTTTGGCTCTGCTGTGCTCACGGCGCTGCTGACAGGCGACTCGCGCGGAACACCATGCGTGACGTTCGCATATGTTTCAAAAAACGACCAATCGCCAATCTGCTCGTCGAAGAATTGGTCGATGTCCAATCCCATCATCTCTGCCTCTTCGCTCACCCGCAGGTGCATCTTCGGGATGTACTTCAGGATGATGAGCAGGATGCAGGTTACCACAAAGCTGTATGAGCTGATGGCGGTGATCTCAGCGAACTGCTTGCCGACTTGAACGCCGTTGCCGTTGATTCCACCTGGCGCGTCCGTCGCCCCGTCGAGCATTGAGATGGCGTGGTCGGCGAAGATGCCCGTGAGGAAGGATCCTACCATACCACCAATACCGTGCAACTTGAACACCTCCAGACCTGAAGTTGTCAGCAAACTATTCAGGAAGAGCGGCGTGTGTGAGCATCTGGATCATTCAACTCACCTTCGTCGATGCGAAGCCACTCATTGAGGTTCTGCAGACTGGCGCATACTGCCGCTGTCAAGAATCCGATGACAGCGGCCAGCCAGTAGCTAACATAACCTGCAGCTGGAGTAATACCAACAAGTCCGGCAATGGCGCCTTCGCAAGCACCAACCACGCTGAACTTGCCCCCTGTCCTGATGTAGTCGACCATGACCCAGCCAATGGTGCCAGTGGACGCAGCAACATTGGTGTTGAAAGCGGCGTACATTGCTCGAATGCTTGCATTAAGCGCCGAGCCGCCGTTGAAGCCGAACCATCCAAACCAGATCAAAATGGTGCCCAAGAAGACAAGAGTAGTATTGTGAGCTTTCTTGTGCGTCGTCTCACCCGCGTGCTTTCTCTTTCCGAGAATCAGCGCATATGCGAGACCGGCCCAACCAGATGCGATGTGGACTGGACCGCCTCCTGCAAAGTCGAGCGAAGGGAGTTTGTAGAGCCATCCGTTGCTGTTCCAAGTCCAGCAAGCGATGGGGCAGTAGACGATGGTTGCCCAGAAGAAGCTGAAAACCAGCGAAGGTAGGATCCTACCGCGCTCAAAACTGCCGCCGATGACAATCTGGACCGTACACGCGCAGAAGAGCAGCTGGTACAGACAGAAGACAATCTCAGGGATAACGGCGGATCCAGGGGATGGTGCAGCGCGGACTCCTTTAAGACCAAAATTTGCCAGGTCACCGATGAATGCGTTCGCAGTTCGCGAGTAGGCAAGTGAGTAGCCCTTCCAGCTATTAGCAACAAAGCATGCATGTCTGTCGAGGCCCACATACCCAGAACATCCATTGAAATGTCGTAACCGCCACCACCATCAAGCTCTGAAATAGCAAAGACAGACTACTCTTGCGACGAGCCAAACCGCCGTAAAGCAGACCAATTCCAGGAATAATAAGCCAGACGAGGAAACCACAGACTATCAGGTAGACATAGTGGTATTCAAAACCCGCAAACTGCGCGTTCACATCCACCTCGAGCGGATTCCCGCCCCATGGCTCCGAGGAGTTGAATTCAGGCTGTGGTGAAAACATCAGCTCATGGTGTAAGCAGACAGCCCCGTTGCTAATGAATGACTCACTGTAGTCGCAGACATTTTCTTGCGATTCTGTCCCAGCAAGAGGAAGACAGAAGAGCAAGAAGCAAAATGGATGCAGCTTATCCGGAGTAATTGGGAAGGAAGTAAGACGCCGGCGCGCGCGCGCGAGGCAGCTCGGCGCGAGCTCTTCATATGAAAGAGCGCCGACCCCTGCTTCCCCAAACGAAATGACAACAATGCGGCACACACCTACCGCCAAGAAGTTCGAGACATCTTTTGGCTTGCCTTCTTTGCTTACCGGAAACCGAAAAGCTTGGCCTGATAACAGTTCCACAACACACACAAAAGGGTGGCCTGTGAGACAAGAATCCTTTTTATTGGTTCGAAGGATTTCATACCCGGACGCGTTCTGGTCGCACCCAACGGAACGAGATCCCCTTATCTTTTGAATTGCGAGAGCTGATGACGCTGTTCTCTTTGTTGGTACTCGGACACATGTCTTTCTCTGTCCCCGGGAATCCCTCGATAACGTTGGGGAGAAATTGGCATGGTCGAGTGACAGGGCTGAAGATAGGCGAAGGACCGGGGTTGCGTACCTATCCCTGTCGACCACGTGCAAAAGGCAACAGATGGCTACTTTGGGAAACATTCTCCAACATGTCGTTGTTAAGCACCCGTATAATGCACAAAGTTTTACGCGTGTGCATTGTGGACATCGCAAGTTTTGTTTCAGGAGGCAAGGCTTTCTATAATGTGCAACCGTAAGCCGGCTGCTCACCTATCCTCCTAGCGCTGCGATCCTTTGTCTTGGCATTCTTCGGCCTATAGCTGTTTTCGGAAGGTACATTACGAATGATGAATACCTGGGTGGGCTGTTCATATCAGGAGGAGCAGCCGTTACATGTGTAGCTGTGCGTTCGAAATTTGGAGGGAGGCCTGAAATCACAGCACTTGACCAGCTAATAAAATTCCAACGCACTCCTGACGCACCACCTTCGCCAACGAGCCACAGCTCTTTCGGAGCCTTGCCGACCCAAGCGAAGTTCTATACTGTGGAATTTTCCTGGATGCGGAAGTCATTATTCTGCCGTTGACATCTAGGACTTCGACTCTGGGACCGGCTCCCGCGAGCTTTGATAAGCAGTCGATGCGACGGGTCGTTCTTTTGTCAGTGGAATTACATGCCTGTCACATACACAACCGTTCGCTACGACTTTGATTCCATCCGCGACTTCATCTTGTGGATGGTAGATCGTTCTTTTGTTGATCAACTATTCTCGATCTTCCATTCGGTCGAACTGCTAAAGACCTTTCGGTTCAGCTTGATCGGAGGGGTCCAGAGGTAATCCTCCTTCGTAATGGTAACTCGGAAAGCGCCGGTGTTGCTGATGTAGACATGTTTACCGTCGGAAGACAAAGCAACAGCGTTGGGCTGCTCAATCGTATCCTCGACAACTCGGAATTCGCAAGTAGAAGGGATGAATCGGTAGGTGGCTGTCCGTAGTTTTGGCGGAGTGTCCGTGGATCGTTGGACGGGACTACCGGGAATCTGTGAACTAAATCGAGCCATCCGCGGGATCCATGAAAAGGTCATCGACGCAGTTGAAGTACCTGTGTTTTGTTCGTGAGAAGATCGACCGTCTGACTGCTTACCCTCCGTTCTGTTCCGCCTACGGAGTTGAACCGCGAAAACTCCATGAGCAAGCGAAAGACGGCAGACTGAGAAAGCGATGGATCAAGCGATCATGTTGTTGGCTGCCTAAGCTTACGCTCCCTGGTCAGCAGGTAGCTGGACTTGAGGTCCTTCGTGTCCATTCCAAGGAGTGGAAAATTTTGGTGGTCCTGCTGAGGAGACGATGTTGCTCCCGGCTGGCGTGGAGAGATTAGCTAAAACTTGATTGATCTCGAATGAATATCGCCTTGGCACCTCTGCAGAGCTCCTACCTTCCCGCGTTTGGTTTCTGCGAAGCTCGACGCGACTTGAGATTTTTCTAGCTGCCTTGAATAACTGCAAACATCCCCAGCGACTGCCACTTCCTGCCGACGCTCGACAATCAACACTGTAACTGTATCATCAAGCGCTGAGCTCCCCGAACGAAAGCCAGAACGACCACATCGAGCCAGTAGCCTGCCATGGCGGGCATCTTCGACCAACCGCGCAACCAGGGCACCCTTTTCCTGGGAGGCCAGAAGATCTCAGGTGCCGATATTAGAGATCAAAATGTGCTCGCAACTCAGGCCGTCGCCAACATCGTCAAGTCCTCTTTCGGTCCTAGCGGTTTGGACAAGATGATGGTGGACGACATTGGTGATGTGACGGTCACCAACGACGGCGCAACCATTCTCGGTCTCCTCAATGTCGAGCACCCGGCCGGCAAGATACTTGTCGACCTCGCACAACAGCAAGATAAGGAAGTCGGGGACGGAACTACAAGCGTGGTGCTTATTGCCGCCGAGATGCTGAAGAGGGCCAACGACCTCATGAAGATGCGGATACACCCCACAACAATCATCACAGGATACAGACTGGCGCTACGAGAGGCCGTGCGGTACATGAATGAGAATGTGAGCACAAAAGTGGAGACTCTTGGAAGAGAAAGCTTGATCAACATTGCAAAGACGAGCATGAGCAGCAAGATCATCGGCGCAGATTCCGACTTTTTTGCGAACATGGTTGTCGATGCCATCACTAGTGTCAAGACTACGAACGCGAGAAACGAGGTCAAGTACCCAGTCAAGGCAGTCAATGTGCTCAAGGCCCATGGAAAGAGTGCAACAGAGTCGGTACTTGTGAAGGGATATGCAATGAACTGCACTGTTGCTTCACAGGCGATGAAGACGAGGATCACGGATGCCAAGATTGCCATTTTGGACATGAATCTGCAGAAGGAGCGCATGAAGATGGGCGTGAACGTGGTCATTGACGACCCAGCACAACTGGAAAAGATCCGTGAGCGAGAGTCAACCTTGGTAACGGAGAGAGTCGAGATGATTCTCAAGGCTGGTGCGAATGTTATCTTCACAACGAAGGGCATTGACGACTTGTGCCTGAAGCATTTCGTGGAGAAGGGCGCGATGGCTGTGAGAAGATGCAAGAAGGAGGATCTAAGGCGGATAGAGAAGGCAACTGGCGCAACGATGGTCAGCACACTAGCAGACATCAACACCGGCGACGACTACTTCGACCCGAAAGCCCTCGGCGAGGCTAAAGAGGTGGTCCAGGAGCGGATATCGGATGACGAATGCATTTTGGTGAAGGGACCAAAGGTACACACTGCAGCCTCCATCATCTTGCGCGGTCCGAACGAGTACTCGCTCGACGAGATGGAGCGATCGGTCCACGATTCTCTCTCGGCTGTTAAGCGCACTCTGGAATCCGGACGCATCGTACCAGGAGGCGGCGCTGTGGAGACAGCACTGCACATTTATTTGGAAGAGTGGGCAACCAGCGTTGGGTCAAGAGAACAGCTCGCGATCGGCGCATTCGCTGCTTCGTTGCTTGTCATTCCCAACACCCTCGCTGTCAACGCCGCCAAGGACAGCTCCGAGCTAGTTGCCCAGCTACGCTCACGGCATGCCCTCTCCCAACGCACATCGGAACCGGCATCAGCGCATCCTCCAGTACCCGCAAATGGTGCACCGCCTTCTCCGGCAAAGTCCAACACACAACAAGCTCTTGACCAAGATGCCAAGGCTCTCGCAAAGGCAAAGGGCTACCGAAATTACGGTCTTGATTTGACCAAGGGCAAAGTACACGACTGCGTAAAGGCTGGTGTGTTGGAACCTAGCATGAGCAAGGTCAAGCAGCTGAAGTCCGCTGTCGAGGCGTGCGTGGCTATCATGAGAATTGATACTCTGATCAAGCTGGACCCAGAGCAGCGAGGCGGAGAGGATGATGGACATGGTCACTGAATGATGTAGAAGAGGCTGCAACTTTGTATGGATATTGACAGCATCCAGGCGCTGTAGATTCTGTAGACCAAAGTCATGTGATACGTGAAAGCGAGCGGTTGTCTCGAGTTTTCTTTCTTGGCGCGGCATGTGATAGATCCCGAAGTGAAACCACGTCAACCCCCGCCCCACGTCAGTCTATTTACTTCAGACGGTCTACAGTCTCACTTTTCCAACACGACTGTACGTATGCATCGTTTTCGGCCCGCCAACTTCACATTCTGCAGCCAACACATCAGAGATGACGTCCCAGCTTCTTGAGTTCCTGCGAACGCACGAAGAAGCTTTCCGTAGGTAAACCCATTCCCATCTCCTACTTCTTGTCTAGTCCTACCAGGAAGAGCAGAGCCCAGCTAACAACCATTTCCGTCATAGCCGTTCGCGCCTCGCATCGCTCTATTCCGATTTCCGCTACCAACGAAACACAAATCCCGATGGCTACGTCGCCAACTCCTCCGCCTGGCTGCGCGCCCTTTCCAACGCCGCGAAAGAAGGCCTGATTCCCTCACAGTCCGCCACCGGAAGCGATAGACTCCTGCTGAGTACGGGAGAAGAGCTTGTTCGAGACTTGCAAACGCAGGAATATGGAAGGCCGCTTGCGCTTGGAGCAGTGGTCCAAGACGCGGTCAAGAGTGGGCGGCTGGTCAACATGAAGGAGTTTTTGGAGAAGGAGGGAAGTATATACCACAAAGGAGGAATTGCGAGCTGGATTCCTGGGCCTGGGGATGTTGTCCGATGGGGACTGAGGCAGGTTGGTTTACTGGGAGAGGGCAGGGAGGACCAACTTGTGAAGGGACAGTGGGTTATCGTCGCGAACGTCGAGGTGAGTTGAGCAGAGCGCCATAGACTGACATTAGGCTGACTTTGTTCAAGGCTGCAGCGAAGATGGTCACCGAACAAGCATCAAAGATCGCGACCTCAAATACAACCAGAGTCTTCTCCAAAGACCTCTTCAACAGCAGATTCGCATCCACGGTCGGTGTGGATTCTCTCACTCAGAACGACCTCAACGTTCTCCTCCGACACCTCCAACGCGACCGCGCAGCCATCGCCTACTCGCCAGCATCAGGCACCGTCAAGTTCAAAGCCGACGCCGAAGCGCAGCCCTCCCCGATTTCGGAAGAAGACGTCTCAATCGCATCCCTCCGAACCCTCATCTCCGACCTCGAACCCCAAATCGACCAGCTCACAGCCCGTATCTCTCAGCTAGACATCATCGCCCGGACAGCAGTCTCCAAGAAACAGCTCTCAGCCGCCAAAACCGCCCTACGACAGAGGAAACTAGCAGACACCAAACTCCAGCAACGCACTTCCACACTCGCACAACTCGAAGATGTCTACGCGAAGATCGAACAGGCTGCTGATCAGGTGGAAATCGTACGAGTTATGGAGATGTCGGGACAAACCTTGAAGAATTTGAACAAGCAGACTGGTGGTGTGGAGAGAGTGCAAGATGTGATGGAGGGATTGAGGGAGGAGATGATGAACGTCGATGAGATTAGAACAGCTATTAACGAGGTTAGTGCTGGGGAGGTCGATGAGGTGGAAGTTGAAGATGAACTGGAGGCGCTGGAGAAGGTCGAGAGGGAGAAGATTGAGGCCCAGGAGAAAGAAGATCGAGAGAAGAGGGAGGCCGAGGAAAAAGAGGACCGAGAGAAGAAAGAAGCGGAAGAGGCGGAGCAGACGAGGAAGCGTCTGGAGGAGCTGGAAAGTGCTTCGACCATGAAGGACCCTTCGCACCAGGAGGGAGAAGCGCAGAAGGAAGGAGCTTAATTGCCCTGCTTTCAACACTGTCTCTCTAGCGAAGTACTTCCACAAGACGCTAGAAATACGGCATGCCCACGTCTTACACTACCATCTCAGAACTCCACCGAAATGACAAAACTATTGTCTGCAGCACGATTGTCGTCATTCTCGATGGCGAAGACAGTACGTATCCGCACAACAGGGCTTTTATGAACTCCACGATCAGTGTCCTGGTGCATGGGATTCTACATGCTTAAACTTGCGGCTTAATCGAATCCACTTCCAATCCGCCTTCTGACATCGATCTTGCTAGGGAGGTGTGCAAGTATCGCGGAGCAGGAGTTTTCCATGGACCGATGTCCAGACAAAGTAGAACGATGTTAGCTAGGTTTTTGGACTTTGAAGGCATTGCTGCTTGGGATTTGGCTTTGATCAAGGAGGGGAGACATCGTGTCTGGAACGATGAAAGTGAGAAGAAGTGGAATTCGGAAAAGAGATTGGGGATGCCATCGTGGCAGGATTGTATACTGGCAGGTCTTCCCTTCAGATCATCGAGGGAATTCATGCAGTAGTGACAAGACGGGAAGAGACAAGTGGAGGTCCGTGGGGATGTCGTTGAGATTCGCCAGTCTGCGGCTTAGCTCTACAATGTTGTTCTTCGACTCTCTAAATGCTAAGTACAAATTGTGCTCCTTTTGTGGACAGCGAGTGACTCTTCATTCGGACATCAAAGAATATCAGACAGCAATGCATTGCGCCAAAGTCAAATCCGTCAAGCATGCTGAGATAGGGTCGGTTCGTAATGGAGCGTTAGAAGTAGACGGGCTGAAGGTAGACATCAGCACAGCTGGATGGCGTCTTGAAGCCGTAGCGTGCGTAGTAGCGAATGCGGAAGAAGAGCTGTGGAGCTCCATGCCACCAGTCGCAGACCAGCCATCCTCCGAAAGCGTCGGAACTGGAACCAGCCTGGGCAGTATTGCTAGTCCACTGGAGACCGGTTCCGTTGATGAAGAAGCCGTTGGTCTCGAAGCTTGATCCGACATCGGCGTTGAGGCGAACAGGCTCCCAGCCGGCGTAGAAGTTGGTGTTCTCCTCCATGGCCAGGCCGAATGGGAAGGTGTTGTTCAGATCAAAGAGCTGGTTGTAGTACTTGGTGCCGTTGGAGGAGGTGACGTTGGTTGGGCCGAGATAGCCACGGATGGCGCTGGATTTGTTGGCGGCAGACATGAAAGTTGCATCGCTCAGGCCAGCACCGGTGTGGTACGAGACGCTGCTCAAATGTGAGAATGCGTATAATGTGACGGATTGCGAGGACTTACAGCCAGAGATTGTCATATTGCTCTTTGCCAGCCTGGCCCGGCTTCAGACAGGTCTTGAGACGGTACTCCTGAGTGCTGTTGAGAGCAGCGAGGGCGACGGCAGCACCGCCCAAGAGGAGAGCAAAGAGCTTCATGGTGGGTGCGATGAATAGATGGCGTTGATGACGACCTCTACAAGGAGCAACAGGCAGATGTGGTCGAAGAGGGCGGCGTCGGGGACGAGTGATGGGATGGATGTCGAATGGTGCGTGTGTCGTTCTGCAAGGCACAGTTTCGAAGTGTCCTGTAAATGGCATTCGCGGCACGTCGCAGGCGTAGCTGCCACTGTGCAACGTGCTGAGGTATTGGAGAAGGCACGATCACATCAATGCTAGAGGTAAGCGCTGACCGCAACTGAGACATCCATCATGGCTGTCTCAGCTCGTGACGACTGACGCTTGTCTGGCTTCGAGGTATGTTGCTTTGATCGTCTTTGCTGCCATCAACCGGCCGGACCGGGAGGAATATGTAGTACAGATTTGTATCTCGATTCAGGCGATCTGGAGCGATGACATATCTCAGAGCCAGAGATCTGGTACAGAGTCACGGCACTTGTCCGGATGTCTCCCCTTCCATCTCACAATCCCGTATTTGCTCCTGCGTTTGTGAAACCGCTATCATGTGCCTTGCCGCATCTGATTTCAGCATGCCTTCTGGCTTGGCGACGAAGTTCATCACCTCCGATCTCTTCTATCAGCGCCTGTTCAGGCCGAAGACGGTTGACAAGGGCGTGCGGATGGGAGCAATGATCAAGTGTTGTCTGGGTCTGATGGTGAAGTCAACCCTTTTTTCACCTCCTCCAAATGTTCGCGAATTTTGATTTGTCTTATAATACCATGTCTGCCTGGAGACGACAGCTGTCCTCCGAGATGAGTCGTGCCGGAATCTCAAACCTACGACGTTACCAAGACGTGGTCATCTGTTCGAGAGTCTGGAAACTTTGTTGTGCGATTCCTTCCCGAGTCTTGTGCGATATGCTGATGCACCAGAAGAAGAAAGCTGATAGAGGTGAATCATCGGAGCTGTCCAGGCCGCGTAAATGCCGACGAAATCGCTCACACGTCTCCTTTCCATATCTCTGGAGGATGCGTGGAAGAGCGAGCTGATAGAGCTCGCAGACTGTCGGCATTGTTGATTTGCTACTTCGCGATAGCCGCCTTCGTCACACAATGCCGCGCAATGTAGGATTATGAGGGCACTGAAGCACATACTGGGAGCGTAGAGCATCACCGGAACGCACGGCTTGAAATTGGGCCCACGCGCTGGAATGATAACAAGTCTTGATGCAATTCAGGTCTGAATTTCAAGTCCTTGGTGACAGGCGGAAGTTGAGCATACCAGAAGCAGAGCTCCAAGTATCGAATTCTGGCTGGATACAGCGCGGTCGATGTGATAGCTTGTCCAGTTAGCATATCGTACCACAGCGTTCGGGGGAAAGTTCACACAGACCGCCTTGAAAAGCACACATCTTGCACATGCGCAAATTCGATGCGGCAGGCTTGCAGAAACTCATTGGATAGTGGGACACGACCAAGCGCATACGATTCCTGGGACATAGGTTTCGGCGGTCGAGGAACTGATATGTCCGCGACCGAGATGGGGCAGGCTTTGCCCAGTAAGATTGCGGTGTATCTTCATGGAAGACTGTATCGGCGAGTCCCTCTTTGACTTGCTCGAGGAGATATTACCTCTCCAGTCTGAAGCAAGCCCAGAAAGTGGCGATCCGCTCATCATGGTTGGATTGCTGCACATCGTTATCACCGTTGCGCAGCGATGAGATGAGTATACGTGAAGAACTAGCGGTTTTGCCATATTGCAAGGGATACCTAGAAGCAATCGTTCAGCACCACCTCTATCAATGGAAAAAGCTTGAACATTCGACAGTGACACCCTGTTGATCTCCTCGCCAAGCCACAAGTTGAACTTCCTTACCAAGAATTTGAGACATGCCGCTCGTGTGGAATAGTACCGGTCATCTGCCTGATAAAACCAAGCACCTAATGCCAGTACCTGATAAACCAGGAACTCCGTTGTGCCTGCAGAGGTTGCCGCACAGGGAGAAGCGCTGCAGCTATTCTGGCATTGCCGAACTTGCGCGAATAATGGGAGATGCGGATGCACTATGGTTCAGTACACATCGAAGAAGCACTGCACAGAGCTTGGGAGGCCGGACTCGACCTGTCTTGCGGCCATTAGGCTCGAAGGTCTCAAGCCTTGGAGAATCGAGCGCTGCAAGTTTAGGTTTGTCGTAGGCCCGTTGTAGCTATAATTCTCCATCCCATCATCGAAATACTGGTTTCCAATCCTAGCAGAGAGAGCGCCCACGATCTCAGAGGGCGAAGGTCCTCGACGGGTCGTTCGCAAAGTTCCGGGCGCAAAATCATGAAGCCATTCTTGAGCCGAGGCATCAACGGCTTCTGCTACGTCTCCTTCGGCAATGCCCCCTGGCGAAGGTAGCCAACTTTGCCAGCCGAGGTTGCCATCGAGGAACTCATCGACGAAGACAGCAGCGTCAGAGACCAGATGCAACGATTGTGCTTGGCCCAAAGATATGTGCGAAAGCTCTGAGTTCTAGCGCAAAGACAGCTCCAGCTTACGCTCCAAGAAATCGATGCGATCACGCAAGCAATGACCTAATATTCTGTGCAGCGTGACTTCTGATCGTCGGAGTAGTCATAAATACGTTCCAGATCCAATCGGCGGCATGGCGCACACTGCGAGCTCATGAGATTCCTAATATCTGCTTTGACCAGACGAGAATTTGCGATGGGCGGCAGCAATTGGTCTTGCGTCGCAGGCGTTGAATACAGGCCGTCGTTGTGCGAGCGAGTGGCCGTGAATTGGCGGCATGAAAGGACCATAGCGAGTACTCGGCGCGTTGAGGCATCTCTTCGCCCATGGATCCAACAGCTATGGCTTAGGTTGTCAGTGGGAAGTGGAAAGTGGAAAGAAGGAGTGGAGTCTGAAATGTGAAGTCTAAAAGCCAACTGAAGCAGGGCAGCTTTCACAGGATTTGATGAGGAGTTTAGTGAGCTTTGATGGAGCCTTCCGCTGGCGGATAAACGATTAGAGTTCAGCTAAGTCCTCTTCGATGCGCGTCACCTCTTCAGACTCGCGTGTTGAAGTGCAAGACAACGCGAAACACCAACCACATTGATCCCCTTCTCATGGACGCCGCTTACGATGTCCCGGACTCAACGGACTGGCTTCATACACCTCTCAAGGACTTTGCGAGCCTCGAAAATGCCCTCCATTGCCAGATTTGCAAGGAGTTCTACGACACGCCGATGATCACTACCTGTAACCATACCTTCTGCTCCAAATGCATACGAACATCGCTCTCAGCGGATGGAAAGTGTCCCGCTTGCAGGACTGCTGATCAGGCAAGCAAGTTGCGTAGCAATTGGGCCCTTCAGGAAGTCGTATCGAATTTCCTCGCTGCGAGACCCGCTGCTCTTGTGTTGGCGCGCAAGGCGCAAGAAGAAACAGATACACTCAAACGGCCAGGAAAGCGGAAACGAGCCACCGTACCAAATTCAAGCGATGCGGCAGATGAGAGCTCATCGGGGAGGACTTTGAGAAGTAAGAGTAGGCGGATCGCAGCTTCACAAGAATCCCAGCCGGAGCCAATTGAGATTGAGGACAGCGAGCCGGAGGATGACGAAGAGCCTGAGCTCGATGATGGTCGAGTGGCGTGTCCTCTTGGGTGTGGCAAGCGCATGAAGGAAGAGGAGGTCTTCAATCACCTGGACAGGTGCGAAGACGAGAAGAAGCAAGCAAGTAAAGGCAAATCCAGGCCACCTCTCAATGGATTTGCGAAATCAAAGCCGCCTTCGAGTCAAACTGCGAGACCACAGGATCGTACAAATGAGCTCAACTATTCCATGATGAAAGAGACGGCGCTTGCAAAAAAGCTTAAAGAGATTGGGGTACCAAACTGGGGATCCAAGCAGCTCATGATAAGTCGACATAAAGAATGGGTCAATATATGGAATGCAAATTGCGATTCCACTCGCCCTCGCACAAAGCGCGAGCTATTGCATGATTTAGATACATGGGAACGAACGCAAGGAGGCCGAGCGCCAGTCGCGAATGGGTTTAGCAGTACCATTATGCGCAAGGACTTCGATCAAGGCGCATATGCAAAACGGCATCAGGACGATTTTAGCAGGCTCATTGCAGATGCGAGAAGAAAGAAGAACAATCCCGCCGTCGAAAACAAGCAATCACAAGAGGACGATGACCATGAGAGTATGAAACCAGAAACCGAGGAAGGAAACGACAAAAGTTCGTTCTTCATCAACGCAGACGGTGTGACTGGGAGAAGGCCATCAAATGGCTATAGCCCGCCGTCGCTAAAGCATTCTGATTCAGGAGATCCTAAGCCGTACGAGGACAACCCGGAAGCGATCTCTTCCATCCGAAGGAAGGTTGAAGCCATTAACCGTGGAGAGCAGATCACGCCAGTTGTGAATCGAGGCTTTGAGATTCCTAGCGCTGGTATCGAATCCCGTGGATCCCCCCCTAGCGACACCAAAGATTTCGCGCGAAGTCCGCAAGAAGAGTCGCATGAACCTCCAAGCATGTTTAATGAGAGGATCATGCCAGCACAGGAGTCTTTCCCCAGCCAGCGGAGATCCGAAAGCACACGCGTTGCCGGCTCGGCATCTCCAGGTGACGCCAAAGCGACTCTTCGACGAGGAAGTAGCAGAGACGAACATCTTGCGCATGAGAATACTGGGTCGCCCTGCGATCTACCTTCACATCTGCTCGACGACACGAAGAAAGTGCCGATGTTCGCGGTGCCATCGCAGCCCGTGAGAGACATCGACGGAGGCGAAGGCAGTGGAACGCCGTAAATGACGAGTATATGATAATCCTGGAAGCGTTGACGGATGGCACCTTTCAGATATCTCCGGATATAAGCCGCAAAGCCTCGACTGAAAAGCGATCTCCGTTCACGAACAATTTGACCTCTTTCCTCTTTCGTCAACTAACAATTCCACCTCTTTCCTCTTTAGTCAACTTGGATCCGCGTTCTACAGCAGAGCCACATTGCAGAGTTGCATTGTCGTATTATTGCCACTAGGAAATGAATATCTTATGCGACCCCGTGTAGTTAATTGTCCAATCGTAAGGCAGTGCTCTGCGACGTTCCACCGAGAAACCCACTCTTATGCTCACAAGGCGGACTCGTGAACTTCAGCTGCGGAAGACGGGACTCGTATTTGCCTACGCCATTTCTCAATCCGTTTGGCCTCAGCCCGGTGAATGAGGCACGCGAGATTGTTACTGACGATAAGAATAGTAACAAGCTTCAGTATAAGTACCAGTCGATCTCAGGGCACCTCTTCTCGAATAGCAACAAGCTTCAGTACAAGTATCAGTCGACCTCACCTCTCCTTTACCATCAGTAACCACACACCCCCGTTGACCAACGGCACTCGCAACATATCCGTCAATATGCGCACCACCACCGTCCTCGCCACCGCGGCCTCTCTGTTCTGCGCCGTCGACGCCCGCATCAGCGGCTTCGCAGTTCCCTCTATCGTCAAACCCGGCGACACCCAGGTCGAAATTGTCATCACCACGGAAGGATACATCCAATCCGTCGAAGACGTCGCCATTGCGTTTGGCATTTCCCCCGCAAACGCCTCATCCCCTGGAACTCTTGGGCCGGATCTTTTGACTTCGAAGTTCCTCGGACCAAGTGAGTGCATCGAAGAAGAACAACGTCACAGAGAGAGAGAGAGAGAAAAAGGAAAGTGCCGGATGCTGATTGTTTGTAGGCCTTTCGAACACGAACGAGAATATCACGCACTATGTCTCTATACCTACGGATATCGCAGAGGGACCTGCGGTTTTGCAGGCGGCGTTGTTCTCGCTCTATGGAGTTTCCTTGGGTCCTACTATTTCAAGCTACACTGCCAACGTTACTGTCGGGGATGCTACTTCGACCGACTACGTTGCTAGTACATCCGTCACCCAGCAGTAGTTGACTAAGGGGCCTCTTGCGTGGGTCGGGAGGGATAATTGGATTTGCATAGTATAGCATAGCGAAGAGGTTCAACTTTTGTAATTGCATACTGTTCGTGAAATGGAAAGCAAAGTTCCCACAACCTTGAGGCCAACATCTCGTTTGAAGGAAACAAATGATTTGAACAAATGGGGTATCTTGCATAACGAAAAAGACCAAAACAATCGCCATTCCAACAAACGCCACGCTCGCTAAATCTAACAGCCAAGAGGAGAGAAGACAGTCCCCGCTGTACATTGCTGCCTTTCTCCATCCACTCGCAAGCGCCAAGAAGCAGACACAACAAAAGGAGAAGTAAAGGAGAGAAGAACTTATTAGTCTCGTCGCGCAACGAACTGACTAGTACCGGTCATCAGAGAGTCGCCTTCACAACTCCCTTTTCCATACTCAGAGTCACGACATAGGCGGCCCGCACCTTCTGGTAATTCCTTTTCTTACAGTCAGCTTTCGTCTCAAAATTCTTACAATGCTTCTCGTCAAAAGAAAACTTGTCGGGGTCATGATGGACATCATCGTCGTCGTCGTGGTCGTTACCTTTGCCTTTGTGGCTGGTGGAGGGAAGAGGGAGAGTAGCAAAACGGTGTACGAACCCATGAAAGATGGCGTGGTCGCCATTTATCGCGACGTCCAGACCCCCGGGAGCGGAAAGACCGAGTGTGCCGGTTTTGAATACGGTTCCGGAGCGTTTGTAGGGCCCGGTGATTTTGTCTGCGATGGCGTATTCGACGTCGTAGCCGGTGGTCATGTAGCATTGTGAGGAAAAGAAGAGGACGTATTTCCCGTTCATGTAGGTCAGAGAAGGGGCTTCGACGTATGGTCCGTCGCTGGCAATATTGGTTAGGATTTGCGTCGGGCCGCCGATGAGAGTGTGTCCGTTGGCTGCGACTCTCTGTAGCATGATGGGCGTAGGGACGATGGGGGCTACGGTATTACCGCAAGAACCGCCGTGGCCGATTGCGTTGCCGTCGATTTTGTACACGACGTAGCGGGCATTGCCATTCGTCTCGTCGGTGAAGCCGGCAACGTCGATGGCGCCTCCTCGAGCAGTCGGACAGATCCACGGTGTTGTGCTACTGTCAACGAAAGGGTCTGTGATCTTATTGGCAGTAGCGAAGCCCAAGCAGTGAAGGTTTGTTTTGGCCTTGTATGCCGCTGTGTAGTACATCACGAACGTTCCATCACTAATACGAACGACGTCCGGTGCCCAGACACGTGGGTTCTTAGGGTCGACCCAGGACGGAAGGTTTGGAAGAGCGTCGACGCCCTTTCGAAGAGTGAAGCTTTTCCAGTCTGCGGTGAAGCCTCGCTGCACGTGGACCAGTTTGCCACCAACGTTGGCATTGGTGGAGAAGAGGTGCCAACCATCCGTAGTCCTGATTATTGCTGGATCCGGAAAGTTCGCTCCACCCATGATGGGAGCGATAGTGCCTCTTTTTTCATTTGGAAGAGGCGTGGCGGTGGTGCATCTGGTGGTGAGAGTCAAGGCGCAAAGCGCAATTAACCTGACAATAGGGCTGTACATTGAAAAGAATAATACTGGAAGGGAAACGAGTGTCGGTAACGAGTGTATGCTGTAACGAATGTGAGTGCGCGCAGCGCAGTGGCGAATGGCAGTCGTCCGAGGGAACGGAAGTGTGGTCGAATTGTGCTACTCTAGGAGACATTGTGGGCGACTGCGATGGCGAAGATATAGGGGATTGTTGCCCTCGACTCATTTCCTATCCAAAGTCATACCAAATATATTTGGGGCTTCATGAAAGGGAAGGGACAAAGCGAAAGGCGTCGAGAGGTCAAAGAAAATAAAGGATGTCGTGTTCTTACACTTGGACAAAGCAAGGCGATCTGGACCAAGCCTTCGAGAGAGGTGGACGAAAGGTCTGAATTTGAGGATGAGGCACACTTGGCCACGCTGCTCTAGCAAGGAGCTTTGCCGAATGGGCGGAGATGTCAATGCAGCGTGATACTCGCTCAAGCCAGTAAACGCCTCGTTCGTGCCAATTGCGCTGTGCGATGGATTTGATCATTGCGTGGCTCACGTTCAAGTCCTTTTTAGTTCTCGAGAACGGCCGGAAGGGACGAATATCTCCGTTAACTTGCAATTCCTCCGCTGGATATCCATCGTGTCCAATTTAGACTGTCTCGCAGAAGGAGTACGGCATCAGCCATCGTAGGCGCCCGCACGACCTGGTTCAAGATGGCTTGAATGGAGAGTCGAGCGAAGTGCCACCGTCCACGGTAGAACTCGTGCCGCGGGCTCGATCCGAGAACGGGACAGACACCAGTAGTACGGTCCAAAGCCTGGCGAACGTGGGCTGTTGCATAGCAACGTGATCCGTGCGATCTAGCAACTGTAACTTCTGATTCCGATCAAGTGCGCGGTCATGTCCGTTGAATCCGAGCGTCAAGAAGTCATTGCTTAGAGCAATCCTCTGAAGCAACGTACTGATCACCAGGCGAAGGATTGCAAGCTTGGCCGAATGTACGGCTCGGAGGGACGAAAGCTAGTCACCTCAATATTCAGTCCTCTGCAACGACTTGATCAGCAGGCACGCCGACTTGCTCTCCGACTGCTCGCACTACGTCTTTGAGTGCTTTGCATGCGGCAGAATCGCCAAAGTTGTCGAAAAAGCTCTCGCCATAGTCGCAGGCCATTCCAATCCTCGGGTCTAGCGGGACAGCACCCAAGAAAGGCACACCGGTCTCCGTGGCTAGTCGGCGGCCACCACCAGTCGTAGGCCTGAAAATCTCGCTTTGATGGGTGCATTTGGGGCAGACAAATCCACTCATATTCTCCACCAAGCCCAGAACCTTGATGCCGGCCTTTCGGCAGAAGTCGATCTCTTTGCGGACGTCCAGTAGGCTGACTTCCTGAGGAGTCGTCACAAGTACTGCACCGTCGATTCCAGCCTCTTTCAGGAAGCTGTTGACACTGAGATGTTCGTCCGAAGTGCCAGGCGGAGTGTCGACTACCAGGTAGTCCATCTCGCCCCACTCTACATCTTTCAAGAACTGTTTGATGAGACCGTTCTTCTTCGGTCCTCTCCAGATGACCGCATCATCTCTGTTGGGAAGCATAAACTGCACGCTCATGACTCCCAGATTGTCGCTGACCCAGACTGGTTCCCATCCAGTACTTGTCACGTGAATCGTTTCCGCCTCGACGCCCATCATCTTCGGGATACTAGGTCCACAAATGTCGGTGTCCATTATGCCGACCATGTTATCAACATTGCTGGCGAAAGCATGCGCAAGCATGGTGGTGAAGGTGCTCTTCCCTACTCCTCCTTTGCCACTCAAGACCAAGATTTTGTGTTTGACTCCGGCAAGACGCTGGGTGATGATTGGTATGTCCGGATCAGGTCCTTTCGGCGCGGAAGCACATATCTGTTGATTCGGGCATCCAGCGCATGCATCTGCCTTTCCAGCCGATTCCCCAGTTGGACCTGGGCAATTTTCAGGCTCCTTGGCGACAAGCTGCGGCGCTTTCTTTTTGATTTGTTCAAAAGCATCGTCAACGGGCTGTAGAGGCTCCTCCAGAGATGGCGCCATGTTCAATTCTCCTGCTACCGTCAAAGATGTGAAGTCGAGCGGAAAGGAAGATCGATGTCGCGCGAGACGGAGATCAAGTGGAAAGTTTGGTGACGTCTGCTTGGTAATCTCATATCGTGATTGGCTCTCGGGCCGCTTTCTCACGTGCGTTTCTTGCCACGCCCTAATTCCATGACCCCTACACTACACGACTGCCACATTCCCCCGGCGCAGACTCAACACCTTCAAGTCCATCTATGGCAGCGTCGGTATGTTGTCGCGGACGACGGGACGTTATATGAGAGCTGGTCTCTCCTACCGAAAGACTGGCTGTCTTTTGCAGACTCGATCTCGAAGCTTCCTATCTCCGCCGTTTCTCCTCGACGACTACCTTCCTAGATACCAACTCTTGACAGCCCAGCAAGAGGCGAAGAAGCGAAGTGCGGCATACGCGCATTTACGAGCGTGCAATCTGTGCCCTCGTCTTTGCAATGTCAATCGGTTCGAGAAGCGCGGTACCTGTCTGATAGGCAGCGATGTCGTTGTCAACACGATTGCGCCGCATTTCGGCGAGGAGCCGTGTGTGCAAGGACACAACGGGAGTGGCTCTGTATTCTTCTCGGGCTGCAATCTGAGATGCGTCTTCTGCCAGAACCATGACATCAGCCATCAGAAGAACGGCTTCCATCTGAGTCCTGAAGAGCTTGGAGAATGGTTCATAAAGCTACAAGAGGTAGGAAATGTTCACAACATCAATCTTGTCACGCCAGAACATGTTGTGCCGCAGGTCGCTCTAGCCATTCTGCACGCTAGGCAGCTGGGCCTTCGAGTTCCAATAATCTATAATAGCAGCTCGTTCGATTCTCTCGAAAGCATCGCATTGATGGACGGCCTCGTGGACATCTACCTGGCAGATTTCAAAGTCTGGGAGCCAGAGACCTCCAAGCGACTTCTCAAGGCCGATAACTACGCGAATGTCGCCATGGAGTCAATCAAAGCTATGCATGACCAGGTCGGCGATCTTTGCTTTACTGCGGACGGGATTGCTAGGAAGGGGGTGCTGCTTCGCCATCTAGTCATGCCCGGCTACGAAGAGGAGGGAAAGCAAATTTTGCGCTGGCTTGCGGAGAATGTCAGTAAGGATTTGTACGTCCATATCATGGAGCAGTACCATCCTCGCGCGCACGTGGGAAAGAAGCGAAGGACAATGAGCGGACGCGCGCAAGACATCGCGGCGCAGACCGTAGAGCCTGGAGATCAGCCGGCAGGCGAAAAAGCCAAAGCAGAGGTCAGGTACGCGGATATCAATCGCGCTGTCAGCTTGGATGAAGTGGACAACGTGAAGAAAACTGCAAAAATGTCTGGCCTATGGCGCATCCTGGACGCTGCAGACCAGGGCAGTTTCAACATATGAAAGGTCTTTCAATTTTGATCGAATCGAAATTGATTTCCAGAAAAATCGGTGCTTCAGCTTTGGCGACTACCAAATTCGTGTTAACTTGCACATCCCTGTGTCTTTGACCGGCACCCTGCGATGTTATCGCAGATCAATATCGGCCCGGCGATCAAGTTATGGTCGTTTTGAGTGTTAATTTGGGTCCGGGGAACGCATTCCGATCGGGCATGATGTCGCTTCCTCCCCCAAGAGCTTGCTTTACTGTTTCAGGCTCTCCTTGTTGAGTGGGCTGCCACGCCACGCACAGACCGCGGATATGCCACGCGAGTTGAAAGGGGGCTCTTTGTTCGTTATGAGGCTGTCTACCGAGGTTTCAATTGCAGCGAGTCTCGCTCAGCTCAGATCGACGGCTCTAACTCAGTCTTCGAACATGTTTGAAGCGTGCCTGTGAGCTCGGTCAGCAGCTGAGTCTGTGTAGCGTTCAGCCCAGCATAGCATCCTTCATGCGAAGATGCAGTATCTTGCCCAGAGCGTAGTCTCCCTGGCGTGTGTTTGCGGACGGCGCGCTGCCCTTTGTCCCAATGCGACCTGCCACGCGCCTAGGCGGAGCAATTAGCGGACTTCAAAGAAGTTCATTGACACTGGCAGCCACTGAGGCGAAGAGCTCAGGAATAGTTGAATCTCATTTGATCCTGCTCAATAGGTCTTCCCGCACTGGCACAGCACGAAAGAACTCCGTTTCAAGCTCCAACATACATCAAAACTGCTCGAGGGCCTGTCCAGCTTGAAGAGTACGGCATCTTGCGCGACGAGCGGGCCTCTTGCGCTCTAGTTTCGATATCACCAGTTGCGGATTCGGAGAACAATTGAAGATGTCATTCTCACCTATTCCACCAAATATGCTCAGCGCTTTGTACTCTCAACACGTTGCGTACAGCGCAGAGCTTGCATCAACGCACCACGCACTGAGCAAGCTCTACAAGAAGCTGGCCAAGGTCGAACGAGTGCTAGCTGAGCGAGACGAGCGACAGTTGTCCCGGGCCAACAAGAAGAAATGGCAGTACACTCGTGCTATATCGAAACGAGCGGTCACGAATCTGGAAACGCAGCAAGCAGAACTCCATGACAAGCTGTATCAATGCAACAACCTCATTGCATCGTTTGAGCAAGGTGCTTACAATTCTCCGATGACGCCGTGGACCGCACAGATGCCCCCGTCGCCCTTCCTGTTCACGCCATTCAGCCCGGTTGCGTATCCTCCGTGGCCTGCATCTTCTCTCAGCTGCCTCAGGCCTAGTGGGAGCGGTGCTAGCGGACAGTCTGGAACACAGCCGCAGTATTGGGATTTGTCGATGCTGCGAGAGCGACGCCACTCCTCGCCGTACGGCTCGTCTGCCGACAGTGGGTTCTATGAGCCTCTTGTTCACGGGCTTGGGCCTCGCGACGAGCCCATCCATGATGCAAACCATGTGTACGCGCACGAGCTCATGTCACCCCTGGCTCCCATTTTCCACTCTCAGCCGGCGGAGTCGAATGGCGTGGAAGTGGATGGCGAAGACTCGACTTCGGCAGCGGAGCAGAGGAATGAGGTCCTGGCACCCAAGACACCAGTCTCACCTGCCCGAGTGGGCGCCGAGAGCACAAAACCACACAAGCGATGTTACTCAGTCGGTACGGCAGCACCGCAGATCAAGAGCCACCTGGAAGCGCCATCGACCAAGAGGGCAAACAGCGTTGGGGGACCGAGGAATGTAATTGAGGAAACACTCGCGGAGGCGAGCAGAGAAATGGAGATTGCGTGAACCATGAACAGAGAAATTTGATGTTTGCATCTACGTGACGTTTAGCTGGTTGGTATCGAGAAATGTATATGTCATTTGCGTCATGCTGCACCCGACGCACTGGCTACAATCAACCAGACCCTGGTTGGCCGCAACCACACCTCACTCTCCCCTTAGGCTTCAGCCTCATCTTGATACAAACTCCACCTCATCCTTTTGCGATGAACAGATTATCATTTGATGTCCGGCCGGCCCAGTGACCCGAATCCAGATTCACGGACCAGAAGAAGGTCCCATACGACTGACGCGCTGCTGGTCCTGCTGCGGTGCGACTCTGGCTGGTTGCAGTGACGCCAGAACATCCTCGAATCCCTGTTGCTGGCCAAATCTTTTCAAACACGGCTTTCTGCAGAGGCCGTCCGGTATGTCTTCGCTCGACAGACAACGTCCCGTCGCCAGCGTGGTGGCAGCACAAAGAGGTGTCCCGCCGTCACTCGCTCTCAAGTCCACAAATAAACTCCTGCAGGGAAGAAGAAGAAGAAGCATGTAGACGGACAGTGGTTGAGTGGCACCTTTTTTTCCATGTGATGGTTGGAACATGCTAGGATCCCCTGAGCGCCCCAGCAACCGGTTTTCGCACCCTTTTCAGGTTGCGATGCATCGGCTCCGACGACCTGGCTATGCCACTGTTTGGCATGTGGATGGGGAAGAAGCACTCCCTCGTCCCGATCCTCGTGCAGCAGGAACACCCCGGAAAGAGAGGCGTCTCCCGTCCCCGAAGTCGAAACGCATGGACTGCTGCTGCCGGCTGCCAGTGCGGCAGCGGCACTCGAGCCACAGTAGGTTGGTTTGATACGAGTCTCCCCTTTTCCTCTCCCTCTCTGTTTCCGCTTGATCACTTGGCAGGCAGAAAAAAGATGGGTGGTGCCGGAGATGGAACCTGTAGCGCAGAGACAAAAAGACGTATCTCTATACAAGTTCCATGCGCCTCGTCCCAAACCTTTGTGACATGGAATTCAACGCCTTGCCTTCCGGGTGGGGTTGGGATCCTGGACCTATTCACCTTCACTTGGAATTCCCTCCGGCTCCCAAATGACGAAGTTTGGCGGGCTATTGCTTTGACAGGTGCATCTGTACCGTGTTACTGGTATGAGCTGCGTTTGTCACTTTCCCTGGCTTCGGGGGCCTCTGCAGGTATCCCTGACGGCTTCGTACGGCACACCCACTACACAGCAGCAAACAGACATATAAAGAAACGTGCGTGTCTTTGACGTGCAGCTTCTGGAAACTCTTAGACTGCGCGTTTTTTTTTTCTTTTTGGCGCTGCATTGCCAAGTCCCGCAGAGCCTTCTGGATTTCAGATTGAGACAGGACCCCTTGTTTGTTCGACTTCTTCTTGGCGATCGTATTCATTCCTTCTGGTTGATGGCCGCGGCTGTACGCACTTAGTTGGTACAAGATCTGTAATCTGGAGAAAGGCACATTCGCGATGAGGGCATCGCGTCAAGATCCGCCGTCCTACTTGCCGCCGAGGAGACCTACCTCAATGTCGGATTCCCAGAAGCGGGAGTCGCTGCACCATGCGACGCCGCCATTTTTACCGCCCCGACGACCAGCTTCACACGCTGAGTCAACAACACATGCTGAGTCAACAACACATGCTAAATCGACAACACCTGCTGAGCCGACAACGACACATGCTGAGCCGACAACGCCAAGATCACTAACGTTTCGCGTTGCCAATGTGCCGAAGCCTCCGACACTGCCACCCACAACATACCAACGACCTTGGCAAGAATCAACAGGTGGCGCTTCGAACCTGCACGAACACTCGGTGATCACGGATCATCTTCACGACAGTAGTCGACCCAGCACACGGGACAATAACAATGGGGAAAATGAAGCCATCGAAAAGCATTCACGTGGGTCAGCAACGCATCGTGCTTCACTGCACTTGGAGAGCAGATGCTCGAAAAAGGCATCGCCACGGCGCTCCCATGCCGACTCGACAGAAGGATCGTTTCTGGATGATCAAAATAGCGCATCAAGATGTCGACCAGCCTCTAAGACACCTTCTCGAGCGGGATCGGTCTATCGCAGTACCGATGTTTCACTCCCAGACATGACACCATTGCCAGCGACCACACCACACGTACAAGAAGACTTGTGGCCCATACCACATCTACAGCCACCTTCACTGAGCCGTAGCAGCTCCACAAGATCCGCCATGCTAGGTCCGAAGCTCAAGTCGTCGTTTTCCCGAATCTCGAGTCTCGACAATCTCATCACGTATCGTGAAGAGAAGGCGGAACGGAAACGAGCCTCTTCAACTCTGCAGTCTGCAAGCTCGGAAACAGACGAGCAAGAGCAACACCACCGACCTCCCACTGGCACCTCAGAGCTCAAGACCACCCGCAGTCCAGATGGATCCGAAGAAGAAGAAAAGCAGATGCACAGCCGTCCGACGACATCAGGATACACCACCTCGCAACCCGCCACGCCGCCGCGTTCGCTCCACGACGAAGACGGCAAGGAGCAGCAACCCAAGAGCAGATTTCGACACTTCGCGGCAGAGGTGGGCTTCTGTTTCACAATTGCCATGACGCAGTTCCTGGTCGAATACATGATTTCCGGCTTTGCGATCGAACTTCCCAAAATCTTCCAACGCCATGCATCCGACGGAGTCGGTAGTATGGGAATGTTCTGGCCTGCTTCCTTGCTTTCCCTGATCCTCAGTGCGACGCTGCTGATCTTTGCGAGGGCTTCGGATATGTATGGCGGTTACTTCCTGTTCATGTTCGGAGGCATTTGGCTCGGGATATGGTCCGTCGTGGCAGGTTTTGCAGGCCCAGGTGTGCTGCTGGATGTTTCGAGGGCGATGCAAGGATTGGCGATTGCGGCATCGACGCCTTCTACATTCGCAATGGTGGGAAGTATCTATCCCGAAGGCCCGAGGAAGAATATCGTGCTGGGACTCTATGCTGGTTGCGCGCCGCTGGGCTTCTTTGCTGGATTCCTGGTCGCTGGAGCTTTGCCTGAGAACTCACCCGGTTGGTACTTCTGGATCGCGGCTGTACTTTCGTTCGTCACTGCTATCACGGCTTACCTGACTGTTCCCTATGACAAGACGGACAGAAAAAAGCTCGACTTGCAAATGGATTGGGCTGGGGCGTTCCTCATCACGGCTGGCTTGATCCTGGTGTCGTACGCTTTGGCGGTAGAACCCTACGCCAACCAAGGAGACACCAGTAGATCTGGCTGGACGTTCCCGATGGTGCTTGCGCCACTCCTTACTGGTCTTGCATGTCTAGGCGTCGCGTTCTGGGTGGAAGGCTGGTGGGCCAAATGCCCTCTACTACCATTCGACTTCTTCAAACCTAGAAGTACCATCTCCTTTTCGCTTGCTTGTCTGTGCTTCTACGCATCGTACGGCGTCTGGCTTTACGAGTCGGCAAACTTCTTCCAGAGCGAGAACGCGACAGGAGTTGAAGGCGGTGTTCGGGGATTGACACTGGCAGCCTGGTACACCCCTACGGCAATCGGTGGCCTCCTTCTCTGCGTCGTGGGCGGCGCGCTACTGCATATCGTTCCGACCATGATACTGCTTTTGATCTCCGGTCTAGCCTGGATCGCGGCGCCGCTCCTACTGGCTCTCTGCCCTTTGCCAGTGAGCTACTGGGCGTTCGTCATGCCCTCAATGGTTTGCGCTACTCTGGGAATCGACCTGACATTCACGATTTCCATCGTGTTTCTGTCTTCGGTGCAGCCGCTTCGGTATCAAGGTCTTGCTGGCGCCGTGTCCTCAATCCTGGTCAATCTTGCAATGTCGTTTTCGCTCTCGATCTCTGAGATTGTGTCGAAGTCGGCAGCGAGCGATATCGTAGTGCCGAATATTCCAGGCCCAGATGCCGACGCTGCTTTGGCCAGACAGGAGACCTGGGGTTACCAAACAGCGTTCATCTACGCTGCGGCATCCGCTGGCCTTGGTCTCATAATCTGTGTCCTTTTCGTGCGGATTTCACGATCGGTGGTCCAGTCCAAACCGGTCGAGTCCAAACCGGTCGATGAGGAGCGACCGCGGCCGTCCTCGGAGGCGTCGACGTCAGGGGAGGTATGAAGGGAAAGGGAGTTCAGTCTGCCATGGTCATGAGCGACCGTCCAAAAAGCATCATTCCAGCGTTCAGAGCATAGCGACAAGAGAGGTCAGCGTTTGTTTTATCATTCAGAAGAGAAGAGAACCTTGCTTGAGAGCAACTGTATATGACCCACAGAAGATGATAGAGGCCGGAGGGAGGCAAAAGTGTTTATAGATTGGCGCATACCCGGGCTGGAGAGGTCGGGGGAGGCAAAAGGGTTTATAGATTGGCGTATGCGGTTTTCGCTCGATGTATTGCGTGCCGCACATCAAGGTCCCGAGTAGCGGGTCGCGATTTCCCAGGAAGGAAGTTGAATCCCTTCCTGGTGTGCGCGGTCAAACACATGTATGGAGGATTCGTGCGGGAGTCTATTTCAACGTCACCTCGCGAGAGACTATGTTTTCTTGCTGTTCTACTGTTGCACTCGTCAGCCCGTGGCATGGTTGGCGGACCAAGTTCGCCAGGTGATGTTCTGCGGATAGTGTTGCGTTGCGTTACGTGCGTTGACGAAGCTCCAGAGCTCGCGTGCCTCTCGGAGCGTGGGAAAGTTGGCACGGCTTTTGGGAGCGGGTCGACTGCCCAAGGTACTTACTATTCACGCCCTGAGGCATTCCATTAGTGCGAGCTGTATCCTAGCTTCTCCGTGGGCGGCTGGAGTTTGGTGACGTGTAGTTGTGCAGTGAAGTAGCTGCCACGACTGTGCATGTGCTGTGCCCACCTTTCATGTGTTGGGAGTCTACGGTGGTTCCCGTCCTGTTCCTGGTGGTGTGGAGAAGTGTGGGCCCTGCCTGTCAATGAAGATGTTCTGCGATCATTTGGATGTTTCCCGGTACATCTGTATCTCGTAGGATAGCACCGGATGAGGATGCCGGAGACGGTGACAGTCGCCTTCAAGTCGGCAGCAAGAGTGGAGAGGGCAGCTGACTGAGAAGGCGAGGCGAGGTGCGAAGTCGCAGCTCCGTAGAGTAGGAAGGTAGGGTACGGTAGGAGCTCCGTATCCGCTTCCATGGGGTAGTCGTGGATGGACTCTTCGCCGATTCCTGCAAGCCAAAAGCTACATCGAGGCAAGAAGCTGGGCCTGCCTGCAAGTCACACCTGCCTGCAAGTGACAGCGTGAGCATTATTCGGTTGCGAGTGGGTGCGTTGAGGGCGGCAACGCTCGCTCGCTAGGCCGTGAGAATCGCTCTGGCATGTCGCTCCTGCCGTCTCGGCCCACTTTCTCTATATCCTGGAGGTCGCGGGACGAAGCTCATCATCATGGCACTTCGGGGAGGAGTGCGGTTGTATGGTACAATAGAGACTGCGGGAGTGGCAGGTAGCCGTCGAGAGCTTCCGACGAGCGACATGCCACGACTTTCGTCGTCGACTCTGTGGAGACAGTCGCAGTGGAGCGCAAGCAGTGCTGTGGTGGCACTTGGGCCTTGTCTGCAGCGCGCATGCACCATGTCGTACACCTGCACGAGCGCAGAGGCACTTTTCCAAGTCTTGCACACTCTAGACACTCAAATACTGTGCTTGCACACGATGCTCGCCTGTCGTCTGCTGTGAGGGCGCTGGTTGGCCAGGCGTCCCGCGGTATTCTCGTGCAACGCTGGTCCTCCGGGAGGACCAAGTACCTTACAGTGCAAGTACAGTGTCAAAGTGTGAAGCGCGCGGGTGCCGAGGGAGTGACCGCAACTTTTGTCCTCCCTTGTCTGGCTTCTAGCGTGCACCTCCGACGTCAGGCGGGAGAGAGGCCTCTCCAACGTTCATGGACCAATGCCGTCGCCAGGTGCAGCATTTAGACCACCACATCGTCGAGCATCGTGCCCCTCTACCACCTCACCTCCTCCACCAAACACTCCCCATTCTGCCGCCCCGCTTCGCTCCAAACCTTATTATATGGCTGACGATGCCATCCTCGTAATAACCCGCTCTAGCATCGTCCTCACGTCGTCCTGACTCTCTTCTTCGACAAACCTCCCTCCTCTTCCACACCACACCCACCCTGCCTCGATGACCACACCACCAGGAGATTCGAGAATGAGTGAACCCAACGGTCATGCCGGCATCGACGCCAGTGGCCTGCGTGAGAGGCTTCCCAACAAGCCAGCGGCACCGCAGAAGGCCTTGACCGTCGAGACCGCTGAAGAGGCAGTGAGGGCATTGAACCAGCAAGAGGCAGCAAACGGAAAAGATGAAAAGGACAAGAAGACGTTCGGACGAACGCCAGACGGCACGGGTGAGTACTTCCAGTGCTCGCTCAGACATGGTGTCCGGCGAGTTACTCCCACTATAGCGATATTTAGGCAGGTTGAAAACGCACAGAAGACCCAGATGCTCGTGTCCAGCGTGCCTGGGCCTCCCTCCACACCACCACAGCGCTGATACGTGTCGAGTGTAGTCTTCACAGTGCCTCATACAGAGGACATGGTATCCCAGCTTTTCGACCCCACGCAGCCCAAGAACGTCTCAGACGTGATCATTGTCGTGGCATTGGGAGGCCAGTTCCTCCTCATGTATCTACTCCCAAAGCACCTTCGGATACCCGTCTTTGCCTGCATCTTCCTCTTCTGGCGATTCTGCTACAACTTTGGCATCGGATGGCTCCTCCATAACCAGTCACACCATAAGCGCCTCGTGAACTGGGCTAAAAAGACAAAGATTTTCGAGAATCCCGAACGCGGCAATAACCCCCGTCCCGTCTTGTACAAGTTCCTCAAGCGAGAAATGGAGTGCAAGATCCCCAAGGACTATAAGTTCGAAGACGCCCCCATCGAGTACAACACCTGGCTCCTCTTTCGCCGTGTTGTTGATACCATCCTGATGTCTGACTTTACCGCCTACTGCCTGTTTGCAATCGCCTGTGCCGGTCGCCCAGAGAACGAGAAGTTTGCCATGACCGTGGCCCGATGGGTCGGTGGGTGGGCCCTCGTCCTCTTCAATCTCTGGGTCAAGCTTGATGCCCACCGAGTCGTCAAAGACTTTGCGTGGTTCTGGGGTGACTTCTTCTTCCTCATCGATCAGGACTTGACCTTTGATGGTGTCTTTGAACTCGCGCCGCACCCGATGTACTCCATTGGCTACGTGGGATTCTACGGTATCGCCATGCTCGCAGCCAGCTACAAGGTCCTCTTCATTTCCATTGTCGCTCACGCGGCGCAGCTGACGTTCCTCGCGCTTGTGGAGAACCCGCACATTGAGAGGTACGCTTTCCCCGGAGCTTGTGGGAAGCGCGTCAAACTAATCCTTTTCAATAGAACATACAACGCCCCGCCGCCAGTCAAGCGCTCCGAAGATGTCCCAGACTCCCCGCCGAACCAACGACCACAGTACACCACACGACTTACGAGCACTGGCCATGTCAATGGCATGCCTCCGCTCGCTTCGGCCGCTCAGCCATCTCCAGTTCACAATCTGATGGGGCTGCAAAATTTGGATCTTCACCGTGTCACTGACGTTGCGGTCATTCTCTTGCAGGTGTACCTGTACTCCGTGGCGTTCCTGACTCCGGCAACTTGGGGATGGCAGGCGTTCTTTGTGTTCAACGCCACGGTATGGCGCCTCTGGTACTCCATTGGTATCGGATACATCCTGGACCGGCAATCCAACAAGAAGTCATGGACACGCCACTTCGTAAAGTATGGCGAGAGTACGGAGGAGGCCTGGCGCCAGTGGAAGGGCATCTACCATGTTAGCATGGTCATGTGCTACACGAGCTTTGTCTGCGCCGCCTGGAAGATGTACTGGCTGCCACAGGATTGGTCCTACGGCATGGCCCTCCTGCGACACGTTGTCGGAGTTGCTCTGATCGCACTCCAAATCTGGACCATCGCAAGCATCTACGAGTCTCTTGGCGAATTCGGATGGTTCTTCGGAGACTTTTTCTTTGACCAGGCGCCCAAGCTCACCTATGGCGGCATCTACCGATTCTTGAACAACCCTGAGCGGACCATCGGTCTGGCGGGAGTCTGGGGCGCGGCTATCATGACCTGGAGCAAGGCAGTCTTCTTCTTGGCGCTTCTCAGCCACGCACTCACCTTGTGCTTCATCCAGTTTGTTGAGTAAGTTGCCCGCGAGCCCATGACGAGTAATTGAAGGATCTGACATGCCACAGGAAGCCACACATGCAAAAGGTCTACCAACAAGGCCTCCGGCAGACATCCGGAGTCTCCAAGAGCCTACAGCGATCCCTTCCGTCTCCGATTAAGAGCTGGACCGGTAGTGTCGACAAAGTCCTGGACGAGACCTTTGACTCCATTGAGGAGTTCATCGATGACGCGGCTCCCAAGCTTGCGACGGGCTTCAATACATTTGTCAAGGATTCGACGACACTCTTCCGGCAATTCCCTGCTCGCATCAGCATCACCAGGCTGACTCCAGACCTTGCCGGCTACGATCCCAAGGACTACTCCATAAAGATCGATACTTCAGTGCCCGGGGTTAAGACCAACGAAATCGCTCACAGTGGACGCGAAGGCGAGAACGGGCAGCAGCCATTGAAGCGGACCGACAGCTTCGAGAGGGTCGTGGTGCAATACGGTGCCCCCATCAAGATCAAGTGGACCGCCCCGCTCAACCACAGTAAGAAGGACTGGATTGGCCTGTACAGGGTCGGTGACAACGCTTCCCGTGACATCACCAAGGTTGGATCACAGGGTCGGTGGTGCTCCACTAATCCCGGTGCCTTTGACTACTCCAAGTCTGATAAGGGCGTCCTGGTCGCGGATCAGCGCGTCTCCGCCGCTGAGCGTAGAGACGGCGAGGACAAGGACTTCCTGTATGGAGAAATCGAATTCGCCGGCGACAAGCTCTGGTGGACGCAAGGCGTGTTCGAATTCCGATACCATCACGATGGGAAATACAACGTCGTGGCCATCTCGCTGCCCTTTGAGATCAAAATCAACCGCTTCGACGACGAATTGCAATTTGAGAAGACGGAATCCAGCGTTGTCCGCAGTGTCGTGGAAGAAGCGCTACTGCCCATTGTGCAGAACTGCTTCGACCGCGATCCGGACGTTGCACCGAGGAGCGTCGACGAGACTTTTGGGCCGACACTGGAGCGCGAAGGCAAGTATGCCAAGAGAGTTGTGTATGCTGTCCAGCAGATGTTTGGGATTGAATTTGCGCCGGAGGTGGTGCAGGCGGATGGGAATGTGAGGAATCTGGCCTGGAGGATTGGGAATGCGAAGAAGGTGCTTGCGCCTTACAGCATGAAGGCTGTTGGCAATGGGACGCCGCAGTGAGCGAGAAGTGTCGAAGAAGAAGAAGAAGAAGAAGAAGAAGAAGAACAGGATCCAGGCGCTGTGTCGATGAAGGCGGCGAGGTGGGTGGTCGTTCCAGGGCTGCTTGGATTGTCGGATTGGAATGATACCAAAAAGTTGCCCTTTTCTCTTTCTTGCTTCGGGGAACGAGGTGCAAAGCGACGCAATACTATTGTAACTAGCATTGATGCATGTAGAGCCATAACAACATGGTCTTGTACGCCCATATGTGTTTGTCGGGATCTCCGAGATGCGGGAATCACCCGCCAAGAGATGAGCTAGTTGAGAAGAGAAGATGGATCATCGCACACGCACGGGACGGTGCCACCTTTCGTTCTCTTTTGCTTGTGTCACCCATCCTGATTCCTGAGGATCGGACGGTATACGACCTGATGATTGATGTGGGAGCCGGGAAGTCGATGGAGTTGTTCGGCATTGCAAGCATTGTCAGCAAGAATCAGCCCTGTCCTGTCTGTCGTGGTCGCCGCCCGACGCCTTCTTCCTTCCCGTCTCCTCCAACATCACCAAACACTCCACGCACGCCACGCACCGCTGCACATACCGCGCGCGAGGAAGAACGCGAGTCTCGCCAATGAGAGAGCTGGGAGGGAGGCCAAACGGCCGAGGGAAGGTGTGGGAAGAATTTTACGGTACCGGACGTTTTGAACCTTATGGCGTTCTCGCCTCACAAATCTCCTCACAGGGCCGTGCCGAGAACCAGACCAGGAACCAGGAACGGGCACCCGGAGTGAGAGAAGGGACCTGTGCTGTGGACGCCGGACGGTAGGTTGGTTTCCTGTCTGTCTGTTCTTTTCTTCCTTGTTCCACACATCGTTCTCTTCCAGTTCTTGTGGTTGCAGTGGGTTCGGTCATTCGTTTCGTTTCGTGTCGTTTGAGTCGGAGGAAGAGGGGATTATTCCAGCAACACATATTCCATTCCATTCCATTCGCACCGCGATGCCTTTCCTCACCAGCAGCGTCCGCCACGCTCTCTCGGCTGCCACTCTCTTGACCGCCCTCGTCGACGCGCAGCAGTGCTATTATCCCGACGGAGCGCCTTCGGAGGATACACCCTGCAGTGATGGAGAGGGAGCTTCATCGTGTTGTGGATCGGGATCGTTCTGTATGGACAATGGATTGTGTTTTGGGGGAGGGCTGGTGAGCAGAGGGAGCTGCACGGATAAGAGCTGGAAGAGCGAGGCGTGTACGGGATACTGCAAGGCAGGTGTGTGTGAATCCCGAGCACTGTGAATTCAATTGAAGGCGGTGGATTGGAGAACTGACACGAAGAAACGTAGACTTCCCCAGCGGCAGCATCCCCCTGATGCCCTGCTCGTCCAGCACGTTCGTCTGCGGCCTCTCGGCCTCCTGCTCCAACACCACAGCCGTCTTCTCCCTGTCCGGCACCGGCTCCATCGTCCTGCGCCCCTCCCAAGTCGACTCCATCGTCCGCCCCGCCCTCAGCAGCCTCGAAGCATCCTCGAATGCCTCCTCCTCGCTGAACACGACCGCCCTATGCGCCCACACCCCGGGCTTCTACACCTCAGGCGCCATGGCCGGCCTAGGCTGCGCCCTCGGCCTACCCCTCCTCTTCTGCCTCCTCGCCATCGCCCTCTCCCTCCACCGCCGCTCCCAGCGCGCCAAGCCCCCCAAACTCATGTACAAGCTCCCGGACGACCACGACGATTTCCATTCCCATTCCCATTTCCCGCGTCCGCTGCCGCCTCTCGATCGCTCGCGCACCGCCCTGTCGCCACTCTCCCCCATGCCTGTCTCCCGCAACGGCAGCGAGTGGAGCCTCGCCATGAGCTCCGCCGGCAAGGAATCCTTGGCGCCGCCCGTGCACATGCAGAGTTTCCTGGAGCGGTACCAGGCTATGAGCGAGAAGGCTAATGGGGGGCGGACGCGGGTGGTGGAGTTACCCGGGAGTCCGACGGTGCATGAGTTGAGCGATATGAAGGTCAAGAAGAAGAAGATTGGGGGGGAATGATGAATTGGATTTTTTTTATGTCTTGTTCTGCATTTCTCCTGGTCGGTCGCGATATGATATGATATGCAGGGACGGATGGATTTGATACTCTTTTTTTTTTGTTTTCCTTATCATCAGATGACGACGAGGGTATACATAGCGATGGCGCCGGCAAAGGGAAAGGGGAAGGATAAGGGATAGAGATGTTGTTCTATTAACGGTTCGATGTTGTAAGTTACGTACGCTAGATCATCATTGAAAAATCGCAACCATTGCCCACCCAGGCCGGCTTCTTCTTTCTGTCAGCCGTGCGTTGCACAACGCTTGAAGGTTAGATACGGACAACGATTGTTGATGATCGGAGCCCCAACAAGGAAGAAATAGAATGAGGTAGTCGACCGAATCATCATCATCATCAAAAGTGCTTCGTATCTATCCCCATTCCCCGTCCATCTCCTTCTGGACCGTCCCAAGAGCCCAGGCAGAGTCTATTTGCTGACTGTATCGGTCGGGGGCAGGGCAGGATCCCTGGAAAGCACGCACGCACGCACGCACGCACGACCAGACCAGACCAGACCAGACCAGACCTCGAATGGGGGAACAGCAGGCCGGGGAATTCTCCACCACCCTGGAAACCACAAATGATTTTTGATCCAGAACGCAGAAACGGCGCGCGCGCGCTTGCGAAGGATAGGATAGCGCACGGGTTTGACTTGACTTGACCGATGATGATGATGAGGAACGGGAAGGGAGAGAGAGACTTGATGAGAGTAGTGTCGTATTACCACATATATATATATAAAAGGATGGTTCCCCCTTGCATCAGGAACTTTCCTCGAGGAAGAACAACTCACGGCAGGGAAATCCCTCTCTCTCTCTCTCTATCCTCATCGTCATCCATCGACATCGACAAGACCAGCCACCCCTCCCCTCCTTCCCTTCACGATGATGAACCCCCTCCTCCTGGTCTTCCCATCCCTCGCCCTCGCCGCCGACTTCCTCAATTTCCTCCCCCCACCCCCAGCACCCCCGGCACCAGCCGCGGACATCACCCCCGTCCCCTGCACGAGCACCCTCACCGTCACCGCCCCGGGTGGCTGCAACGGGTGCACGACGACAAGCTACGCGGCGACGAAAACGCACAAAGTGGATTGCCATGGGTGTGGGGTGTTGAAGACGACGACGACGTGGCCGGATTGGGTGGGGTTGTGTCCGGTGAGTTTTTTTTTTTTACCCTTATTAGTACTTTGTGAGGATTCAGGGAGTTTGGGGTGTGGTTGTGCTGACTTTTTCGGGGGGGGATTTTTTTTAGGCATGTGTGGCTGGTGTCAAGACTGTTTTTAATGAGACGGGGACGAGTACCGTGACGAGTTGTTCGGCTTTGCCTTCGTGAGAGGGAGATGCAAGGCAGGGGTGTAGAGAGGAATTGAGATTCACGGGGTGGTGGACGGGAAGGGAAGGGGATGGGGCTTCAGCTGCGCGCGCGGTCCGGGACTCTCCTGATGAAGATGAAGAGAAGGAAGAGCAGAACGATGAGAGGAAGATTTCCATCTGGGAGAGAAAAAGATATCAAGATACCTTACCTTTTTGGTTCTCTCTTCTTTCTTTCCCCGATGACGAAACCCGTTTGCTTGCCCCCTGACCGACTGAGTGATTGACTCAATTCGCTCTGCAAGATTGCCTCTCAATCCCCGTCTCCCCGTGCCGATTGCCCTCTTACAAACAAACATATAGCAGACCAGGAATCCCCGTACCCTGCAACCTTGCGACCACCTGCGACCACCCCTTTCCTCCCGCCAGCAACACGGGGCCAAAGAGGACCGAGCGTGCGAAGAAGAGAAAAGAGAAAAGAGAAGAAAGAAAGAAAGAAAGAACACATGTGCACCCAAGAACTCATCTGGTGCCACTGCGGGCACGGCGAACTCTTCCCCATCCAGACGTGCTCGCGGGCGAAACTTCTAGGGTTCTGCTATACCATTGTGCACGGGAATCATGCCGTGGTCGTGGAGAGTGATTGTTCGTATTGCCAGGCGGGGCTGAATGGGGGGCGAGGAGGATTGGGGAGTGCGAGGCCTGTGGGGGAGGTGGCGAGGAGGGTTGAGGAATTGGAGGATGGAGGGGAGTTGGGGAGGTTGTTGGAGCAGTCGGAGGGGTGGAAAGAGGAGGGGGAGGAGGAGGAGGATGGCAGGGCAGGAGGAGATGGTGGTGGTGGTAGGGGAGTGGGAGGTGAGTTGGAGGATGATGTGTCGAAGACGGGTGGGTATGATTGGGAGGAGGAATTGGGGGAGTTGTGGCGGTATTGTGAGAATTTGGAGAGGGACGATGGGAGTGCCACGGCGATGGGGCAGAGTCACGATGGGGGGAGAAGTGGGTCGATGCAGTTGTGAGGAAGCTTGATGCTGGAGAATCTCCTTTGGATTCTTTCGAACCAGGAGTCTCAACTGGACATAGCGTACTCACAGGAATCCGGTACTTGCCCAACTTGCTGACATGCTGCCGGACGGCCTGTCTCCAGGCAACGAAGTTCGCTGCGCCCTCTATTTGGGGCTGAGGGAGGTCGTCGCGGCGGCGGTCCTCATCCACGCAAGGTATTCGGTGGCGCAGGTTCACTAGCATGTTGCTGCTCCTCCCTGATGATGATGATGACGGAGATTCCAGAGCACCGAGCATCCCTACGAGAGTATCCAGATAAGCTTTGGACAAGGATGAGATGGCTGCGCTGCCAGGGCAGACAAGATTGCGCCAAGGGCTGGGAGTAGTCATCGGGGGGAATAGCGATGACGGCTCTGCAGCGCTGGTGGTTGGCAGGCATCTCGACGCTCCTGCTACAGGCGATTGCGGTGATGATTGAGGGTGAGCAATCGCGTTGTTGTAGTGAGATGGTGATTTTCTTTCTTTCTTTCTTTCTTCGGTCTTCCGTCTTCCGCGCGCCAAGGCCGTCCATCGCTGTCGTGTCATCCATCGCAAAGCTTGCCAGCGCAGCCAATTCTGACGCCGTGATGTTGCTGGGAAAAGCAGGATTGTTGCAGTGTCGTCTTTGATGCCCCGCCCCGCAATTGAATTGGCACGAGTAGCGCCGTCTCAAGCGATATTAACATATTGCGCTGTCGTTTCAGCGCCAATAATAAATACAGTACCATCGTTGACGCCTTCGCTGCACGGCCCCGTCCACTTTTCGCATCCATCTGGCTTCTTTTTTTTTTCTTCCGCCCCAAACCTCCCCTCCAGAAGACCAACCACAACCGAACAGGTGAAACTGATGACGGCGAAGCGCATGTGTGGCGTCTGGTGAAGCGGCGACAAGACTTCCGCCTGGACATCTCCCAGCGCCCTTCCAAACGCACTGCGCCACGCCACGCCACGGTGATCGGCGTCGCAGAGCCACCGAGTCGAGTCGAGTCGTTGATCAAAAGGAGAGGCCGCCCGAGTCTGCGCTCCCCCATCACCCTCATCCGGTGGCTTGTTCACTCACGACGACACCACCACAACCGACAACAACAATCTCCTCGCCCGAAGCGCCGCATCTCCGGCATCCCCTCAGGCATCCGCTCAGGCATCAACACACACTGACACGAAGTCTGCGGCGATTGGGTTGGGCGTGTAGCACATTACCACGCGGCTTCGCACTGTGCCAATCGCACGCCCGCCAATTGTGGGTTCCGGGGCCGAGCAAGCACAGCAACAAGGGAGCTTCCATTACCTTACCTTACTCCCCACATCCACTCCACTCCATTTCGTCAGGGCACCCAGCCCTCACCCTACTCCCTACTCCCCTACCCTCACCCATGCGTGAGTCGCCCCTGAACATGCCACCTTCGCTTCCAGAATCCGCCTCCTAATTATGCGTCATGCGAATAGACAAAATCCGCCAGACGGCGCGTCGCCACGCATGGTACCACAACTTCGAGGACAGCGATGGCCCCAGGACCTACAACTTCTTCGGCAGGATCGACACGCGCCGCAAGCCCAAGACCGATGAGGAGAACCAGCTGAGGCAGATATCGACGGAGAACGATGCGACATCACCCGTACAGGAGCGGAGGAGACAGGACAATGCACCGTGGCCACCCCCAGACAGAGCGGGCACCTTCCCGCAGGACAGACAACACGGCGACTACACCCAGCACGACCGCGGCGATTTCAGCTCCAGCGAGAACGCGAGGAGCCTCGACACAGACGAGAAGACCGGCTCCAAGGCACCCGAACACGCACCCGAAGGGACCATGGAGCAGTCGGTGACCTCCAACAGCCAGAACGGCAAGCCGAGGAAGCGCAACAAGTTTCTCGGCATCATAGGCAGGAAGGAGGAGTCAGAGGAGGGCAACGAGGAAGAGGAGGAGAAGAAGAAGAAGAAGAAGAGGAAACCATCGCCGAAGTTGACCGTCATGAGCCAGGTCAAGGCCGTGTTCTTGTCGTGGATCAACATCCTGCTGGTCTGCGTTCCCGTCGGAATTGGCCTCGAATACTCGGGCGTCAACAAGGTGGTCGTCTTCGTCATCAACTTTCTCGCCATCATCCCTCTGGCCTCGATTCTGTCATACAGCACCGAAGAATTGGCCTTGTACATCGGAGAAGTCTTGGGCGGCCTGCTGAACGCGACATTCGGAAACGCCGTCGAGCTCATTGTCAGTATCATCGCGCTGGTCCAAGGTCGAGTCCTCATCGTGCAGACTTCCTTGATTGGGAGTATGTTGAGTAACTTGCTCCTCGTCATGGGCATGTGCTTCTTCTTCGGCGGTATCAATCGTCCCGAGCAGTACTTCAACATCACCGTGGCGCAGACGGCATCCTCGCTTCTGGCTCTCGCAATCGGCAGTCTCATCATCCCGACCGCATTCCGCATCTTCGCCGATGTCGACACCGGCGTCACGCCCACGTCGCGTGGGACAGCGGTCCTGCTTCTCGTGACTTACGCATGCTACCTGTTCTTCCAGCTGAGGACCCACGTCGAAATGTACAACGAGCCCAGCAAGAAAGTGCCCAAGCGATCGACGGGAAAGAAAGAGGCGGGAGACGCCCTCAAGGGGATCGCCACGGTCGGTGCCGCCAGCGGCGCAGCTACTGCGGGCGGATCGATCAACCGGGAGAATCTCGTGCATGACGCCGAGGAAGAGGAAGAGACTCCCCAGCTCACGCGACTGGGAGCCATCGTCACACTCGCCATCTCCACGGTCTTCATCGCCCTCTGCGCGGAATACATGGTGTCCGCGATCAACGTGGTCTCGAAAGACGTTTCTCAGGAATTCATCGGTGAGTCAAGCGCTGCATCTACATGTGCGAACTGTTACTGACGAGAATCTAGGTCTTATCCTGCTTCCCATCGTCGGGAACGCAGCAGAGCACGCAACTGCCGTCACCGTCGCCATCAAGGACAAGATGGATCTCTCGATCGGTGTCGCAGTCGGCTCATCGCTGCAGATTGCTCTTCTGGTCTTGCCTCTGATGGTCATGCTCAACTGGTGGGGTGTCGGCGCTCCCGCGGACCTCGATCTCAACTTTGACGGTTTCCTCATCGTTGTCCTGGTCATTGCCATCTGGCTCGTCAACTACCTGATTGCGGACGGCAAGAGTCATTGGCTCGAGGGCGTTCTGCTCATGATCACGTACGTCATGAGATTCCTGACCAGCCTGCCGGTCTCTCAGCTAACGAGTGTTACAGATACCTCATCATTGCCATTGCGGCCTGGTTCTATCCCGCCAAGGGCGACGTCGCCGGTTGAAGAGCCGATCTTGCAGTGCGGCCTTCCCCCATGTACTACTACCTCTCCTATTTCTTTGCTTTCATCCCGACGGCGGCGAAGTTCTCCATCATACGAACGCTGCCGGTAACCCCTGGCGGGTCCCTTTTTGCTTTCAAGCTGCGAGGCGTTTGGAGCACGAAATCCAGGGCTCTGGATCACAAATGGCGGTTGTCTCTTCTTCCCCTCGAGAACAGTTGAAACCCCTGGAAACGGAGGAGAGGTCTTCTTAAAAAAAAATGATACCCCCGAACCATTCAAAGGAATGCAGATAATTTCGAACAAAAAATTCTGTAAAACATGCGTTTTTTATGGTTTCTTTTCTGTCGTTGTTGTTTGGGTTTGATGAAAGTATATGATATGACAGGGGGTGGGGGGTGTTTTTGGGGGGAGGTGAGATGAATGTGGGATCATCGATGAACTCTTTTTTTTTTTTTTTCTTTGGTGAGATTTATCGTCTCTTAGGAAGGTGTGGAATAATGTGTGCTGACTGACATCTCTCCATTCTGACGACGACGACGACGAGGACGGGAGCCACTTCCAAGTTCTACCATGCATGTGCCCTCCGTCGGGCGGGCTGCGAATCGGCTTCGATCCACAATCCACTAGGTATCCGAGCGACTCCCTCGTCTTATATACGGAGGATTTGACCGTGAGCTGCGTAAGGTAGTGAAGTTCTCCCTCCTCCCCTTCATGCTGCAGCGACGTTTGGATGCCGATGCCGATGCCGATGCCGATGCCGATGCCGAGGGCGGCGGCTGGAGCAGCGTTGAACAACCTAGGTAACGTAACTCACTTTGAGGGGGGTCGCTCTTTTCCTTTTGCTGTTACTGTTACGAAAGGTGCTTTTCTTTAGGGAAGTTTCTTGAGCATGTGCTTCGGAGGTGGGGGGCTAAGTAAGTACGTGTTGCTTATGAGGGCAGCTCGGACGCTCTGGTTCTCTGTCCGACTAACATCACTTCAATCATTTCAGCAACATTATTGACCTTCAGACTTGTGCACATGATCGGTTTCAAGGAAGGTGGTAATTAAGTCTCTCACAAGCGCTCACATCCACAAACCTACCTCAGTACACTGCAGTGGTGTCACGGGCTTCAAGTTGGGCCCTTTCACATGGGTGGACCGTGCTCCTTATAAAGACCGTCAAGATCGGATCGAACCTTTCCACCAACAACAACACCTTCCACCACCGACAACAATCACCAGTAACACACAGACAACACTCCGATCATCACCAACATCATCATATCATTGCCAGCAGCAAGCAACCCTCCTACTTCTCGACTCCAGCAACACGAGACAACTCACCTCCACCTCCACTCCACCATCATATCATGGCCAGCGACGCGTCCTCCTCGCAGGCCCTAAGCGAGCTCAACTTCAACGACCCTTTCTACTCTGCATCGTCTGGAAATTTCACCCAGACCCCCTTCGCCCCCGATGGCATGTCGGAGATCTGTGGCGGCTCGAGCGTCGCCGACTCGCAGGCACAACAACAGAATACGGATTCCATTTTTGGTTTCTGTGGTGCTGCAGCTGAGCCAGCAGGCGCGAATGGTGCGGAGGACCAAGCACAGGCAATCGAGACGAGTGGCGATGTCCCGAGTAAGGATGTGGCTGTGACTGATGAAGCCGCTGAGACGAGTATTGAAGAGCCAGTTCAAACGACCAAGCTCGCGCGGGATCTCCAAGCTGAGCTGGGGGGTGATGATCCTGTTGAAGTCAGCGAGACTATGGAGATTGTTCAAGCTGTGGAGAACAATGAGCCAGCGCGCCAGCAATCCGCTCCAGTCGCGGAGGAAGCTCGTGGCCGTCCGCGTTCGCGTTCTCAGTCATCGCGAGCATCCAAGGCATTGATGCCGCCTCCCCAGCTGCCGGATACCATCCAAGACACCGAAGTTATAGGCAGCACCCGCACAGAGAATGATCCTCCAGCTAAGGACTTCACTCGTCCATTGAACCTTGGTAGCTCTATGCTGGGCAGGAAGAAGACAGGGCAAAGCGCTCGCGAGAGGCTGCTTGAGAAGCAAGCCGAGAACAGAGCGCGCCACCAGGCCTCTCCGGCCGTCAGGCAATCGATCGAGCGAGACGCCGCCACCACCGCTGCGCCCGCAGGCTCCTCGGACGTGGAGATCATCGACTCTCGCCAATTCCACCAGTGCGAGGCGTCTGTCTTTGGCCAAACGAGACAGGTCCTCAGATACAAACGCTTGATGAGCCCGCGCCGTCAACGCACTCCGTCCCAGCAGCCGGGAGGACTGATGGATTCCAGAAGTGAGAGAGTGGCTGCCGCGTTCAGAGAAGTCGAAGCTCTGTTTCACGAGAAGAAGCAGGCGGGATCTTTGAGCACGGATGAGAAAATCGAATTCATGAACATAGAGGCACAAGAGAAGGATCGTCTCCGTAAGAAGACGATAGACGCGATGTCCCGTCGCCCGTCCTCGGTCGGTCCTCGCCGCGTGCCCTCGTTTGCTCCTCGTCGGACTCCAGAGGCTGAGTCTCTGTATGTCGGCGACGATCGTCTGCGTCGCTACCAGAGTAAAAGGCCGGGCTCTCAGATGCCAAGAGACTACCGTCGTGCGAGCTCTGAGATGCCTAGAGACCATCGCCGTGCGAGCTCGGAGATGCCGCAGGCCTCCGGACGCTCATCTTCGCGCCACTCCTCTTCTCGCGAAGGCCCCAACGCCAACTCACGCAAGCGCTCGTTCAGAGAGGCGTCGGTGAATTTGGATCCGGACGGTCAGACCGGGAGTTTCCAATGGAGAACTCCTCAGGGAAAGTCCACCAGCAGCTTCTCCCGCTTCAACAAGCACGACCAGCAAGAGTTCACGGACGCAGAGATGAACGCCTCGCTCGATGTCGCAAAGCGGCAGAGAGACGACGCTTACAACCGCCGTGACCGGGTGCACGTCGAGGACGGGTTCGCCGAGGAGATCTCTTTTGGCGACTATTTCCTCGAAGCGTGCAAGAACGAAGACCGCAACGGTGTTCCGGAAGCGTACCTCGAAAACTGCGTCGAGATGATTGCGAAGACAATCCGCACCCAAGTCCATCGCCCTCAGTACAAGGGCGTCCCGACCAAGCTCCGCCTGGAAAAGTACCGCACCATGTGGAAGCAACCGAGCAAGAAGAGCCGCCACACGGGCCGTGATCTCGTCGACAAGCACGCCGTCGACCATGAATTCGACAAGCGCAAGCATTACGTGTATTCCAAAATCCGCACCTCGCAGATCACGGTCGAGCAGGCCGCTCGCTTTGCTCTGGAGTGGGACATTCAGCGCTCCCGGCTCCAGCGCCGGTATCTGCACGATGCCGGTCGCTCGCGCACGCAGCCGTACCCGCAGGCTTCTTCCTCCGCGAACGCTGCTGGTCAGCCTGCCAATAATAATGGTCCTCTCCGCTTGCCCGAGTCTGCGCAGTTCGACACGGCGCTCAAGCCGGATTTCAAACCTCTCGTGGAGGAGGCGAGTCAGATGCTGGCGGAGGCGCTGTTCCATGTCGGTGCTGCGAGCCATCGCATCCAGCAGTGCTTTAATAATGATAATAATACCATGCCACCACCACCACCCGCTCCAAGCAGGGTTCCGACTCCAGCTGCTCGGAATGTTGCTGAGGACACCGAGGGCTTCCAGAGTGAGGTCCAGAGTGAGAATGGAGACCTTTTTGCTAATGATTAGCAAGCATCCGCCTGGGATCTCGAGCCATCACTATCACCATCTAAGGCGAAGACGGACCGGAGAACTGCATCTGACTGAGATCTTCTCACACACGACTTATCATCATCACCACAACCACAACCCAGCTTGCCAGCCAGCAAGAGACCAACACACCTCGATATGCTCATGACATGACAGGACATGACCTTTTTCCTTTTTACACAATTACACAAGTTCAAGGTAATGATGCACCTGGAGACTACTTTTCAGAATCAATAATCGACCCAAGCTGACCGACCAAATCTCCAGGACTTCTTTCTCTTTTCCAACGACATAGCAAGCAAGCACCGGGCAGGCTCCCAGCGACGGCTCCAACCTACGATCTGGCGTGTAAAATTATTGGGGAAAGGCTTGGGAGATGGGAAATGGATGAGAAGGAGCGAGCGGATCTGTGATTGGATTGCGATGGATGTATTATAGCGGGCTTCGGGAAGACTCTTCTTTCACATTTCTTCCTTTCTTTTCGTGGATGATAATCATCAAGGCAGGCGGGAATTGGGAATCTTGAAAATCTCGAAACCATTCTCGGTCATGGGTGTTGTGCCAGCCAGTCCAGTGTCGAAGATCAGCGGCAAGAATAAACTTTGCTGCCGGGCCAACGTGCATGCAGACTAACGGTGTGCGGGGCTACCTGCCAAACGTGCTGCTCATCACAAGATCTGGATTCGGCATCTCTGTTTCGTCTCGTCTCGTTTCGTTTCGCGTGTGTGAAAGCAATTCCCAAGAGAAGTCGCCAAGGAGGTGAGAGAGTCCCACACTTGAAACGCGGAAAGTGACCGGGTGCTACCTATCTATCTCTGGCTTGGCATTTCTTTCCTTCCTTCTTTCGTCCTTTCGCCTTATCATCATCATCATCACGAGCGGCGGGAAGCTGCTGCGCGCCAACTACTGAAAGTCTGTCTGTCTGTCTGTCTGTCTCTCTCTTTTGAGTGGGTGAGCTTGGGTGTGTCTCTCACTTCTCTCTTGCTTCTGCTTCTGCTTCTGCTTCTGCTTCTGCTTCTGTCGCTCGTTTCGCATCTTTCCACTTGCGGTTTGCTAGACAAGCCAGCTGGTGCTGTACCTTTCCGCTCGTTTCCGCTGGTCGACAGAGACATACGCACATCCGAGGGCGACAAGTTCAACGAGAGGAGCTTATCATTTCTCTCAAGCTCACTGGCCGAAGCCGACCCGCAAACATGAAGTCGGTAAGAGACGTCACCACCCGATCCACGAACTTCACATGGGAAAGGTAAAGCAACGAGAAGGATCACCCTTGCTAACATCCAGGTCCCAAAAGCTTCTCGGCCTCACGACATGGCTACTCTGCACCACCGCCGCCCTCGCCGTCAACCCCATCGCCGTCCGCCAACAAGAATTCATCGACTCCAAATCCAATGAACGCTTCGTCGTCCTCGGCGTAGACTACCAACCCGGCGGTCAAGGCGCCTACGGCACCGACTCCGGCGATCCCCTCAGCAATGCCACCACCTGTCTCCGCGATGCCGCCCTCATGCAAGAGCTCGGCGTCAACACCATCCGCTGCTACAACGTCGACCCGACCCTCAACCACGACCAATGCGCCTCCATCTTCAACTCCGTCGGAATCTACATGATCATCGACGTCAATTCCCCCCTCAGCGGCCAGTCTCTCGACCGCTCCAACCCCAGCGGCTCCTACACGACCGACTACCTGACGCACATCTTCACCGTCGTCGAGGCGTTCAAGAGTTATCCGAACACGTTGGGCTTCTTTGCCGGGAATGAGATCATCAATGATGTTCCCACTGCCGGGCCGAATCCGCCTTACATTAGGGCTGTGCAGAGGGATTTGAAGAATTACATCAAGGCTCACGCGGCGAGGACGATTCCGGTCGGGTACTCTGCGGCGCAGGTGCAGGACGTGTTGAAGGATACGTGGGCGTATCTGCAGTGTAACAATTCGCAGAGTGGAGAGGACATGTCTCGTTCGGACTTCTTCGGTCTCAATTCGTACTCATGGTGTGGAGCGAGTTCGGTAGGTCAACATCACGTGACTGTCACATGCGAAGCAGAGCTAATGCGATCTCGTTGGATAGAGCTTTACGACATCCGGCTATGATACACTGGTAAACTGGTTCTCCAACACTACCATTCCCGTCTTCTTCTCCGAGTTCGGCTGCAACCAGCCCAAACCACGCTACTTCGACGAAGTCCCCGTCCTCTACGGCCCCCAGATGACCGTGCTCTCCGGCGGTCTCGTCTACGAGTGGACAGAGGAAGCGTCCGACTACGGCCTGGTGGACGTTGCTTCCAACGGCTCCCTGACCCTCCTGAGCGACTTCAACACCCTCCAGTCCCAATACAACAAACTCAACATCACCCTCATCACGACGCAGAATTCCACCGCCACGAACCTGCAACCTCCACGCTGTTCTTCCGGCCTGATCAGCGATTCGGGCTTCAGTCAGAACTTCACCATCCCGGATCCACCCACCGGAGCTGCGGCCTTGATCTCTTCCGGGGTAAAGAACGCCCCGACCGGGACCATTGTCCCCGTCACGCAGACGAGTGTGAGCCTTCCGGTTTTTGCCACGAATGGAGCGAGCATCAGTGGGTTGGCCATCAAACCTGCCAGCGGGGCTAATCGCCCGGGTCAGGGTGGCGGCCTCTCTACTGCTGGTGGGAGTGCGAGTGCGACGGGGACGGCGGCGGCGGCCAAGACGAGTAGTCATTCCGGACTCGCGGCGAGAGCGACGGCGGGTGTGTATGGGTATGGGGGTGTTGCGGCTGCTGTGCTTGGAGCGGCTGTTGTTGCGTTGTGAGGAGAGGAAGGAGCCATTACTCAAGGCAGGATCTTGCTTTCTGCAAGAAGAAGAAGAAGAATACGAACGACAGAGAGAGTGATATGTGTGTGTCATGGCGAGAGGGATCATAACGGGACATGATTGATGTCACTTCGATTTTGCTTTCTGCTTTCTGCTTTCTGCATTGCATCGCATCGCATCGCATGGCATTGCATTTGTTTTTCGAATACGTCTACTAGACTAAAGCGTTTTGTGATTTTCAGCGAAGCAGCAAACAAAAGGCAAAAGAATGCAAAGCGAGTGTGTGTGTGAGCGTGTGCGTCCTCGTTCGTGGAAGAGTTTTTGTTAGAAATTGTGGGGGGTTCTATCTAGGAAAACTTCCACAAACAGCCGACTGGAGGCTGTCCCTGTCGCTGTCGCTGTCTGGTATAATCTATCTCCATGCCAACTCTTCGAACCCAACCGATGATGATTCTGAATCGATCACAGCTTCTCACACAGAATTTCCAATCCAAAAGATTTTAAAAAAAAAACGCCCAGCACCATCGCTCTAGTATCTAGGCCCTACACATAGGCACGGACGGGCAAAACAAGAAAGCAAAGCAAAAAGAGAAAGAAAAACCAAAAAAAAAAAGTCATTAGACATTAACTATTTGTGGTCTCAGTCCACATTCTCCTTCAGAGGCGACATGAGCGGACTCTTGCGCGTCGGACTCGTCCTGCGACTCCTACTCGTGGTGGCCACGTGTAAGCGCTCCTTGCTCTCGCTGCGACTCAGGAGCCCGCCGCGATCGAACGGCGTGATGCCCAGGCCATGCGAGACGCCCACGGGCATATCGAAATACGCGCCGCCCGGCTTGGGGGAATGGCGGGTGACGTCGGGGGAGAGGCCTCGGAGGGCTGGGGTCGCCATGCCGGATGTTCGACCGCTGCGTGGCGCGGGTGGTTCGCGGGTGGTGGTGGTGGTGCTTTCCTCTTCCGAGGAGACGTCGTTCAGTTCAAAGTCTTCCGGGTCGCCTTCTTCCATGACACGTTCATAGACCGGAGAGCCGTTCCCGAAGAGTTTGCCACCTAGGGAGAAGGCAGGTTTGGTCTTGCGTTTGGGTCGAGGGGTACCGCCAGGCCTGCGGCCCATCGTTGTGAGGACCTTGTGCCAGAATGTGAGTCGACGTTCGCGTCCGCAAAGGAGGTATACGGCCAGTGCAAAGATGGAGAAGAAGATGAGAATGCCGGGCATCCGTCGTGAGTATTCACTAGTCAATATCCGGTCATGCCAGTCCTGACTGTCAGTCTCGTTGACGTTCGGGAGAGGCTCCAATCGGCCGGCAGGAAACTGGAAGTCGCCGGGAAGTGCGGTGCCTTTGACATTGCTGCCGAATCCAACAGCCATTGCACCTTCTGCCGCTGGCATCTGCGATGATGCGTACAGCACGGCCTTGCCCAACGTCCAGCTGACTTCCTTGTCATCAATCTTGTCAACCGCCTGAAAGGGATCCAAGAAGCCGCGATCCTTGGCGCCCTCTACGATGGCGTTGGTCTTGTTCGAACCACCGTGCTTGCCTGTCTCGATCCCAACTCTCGGAATACCGATCCCGTCATGGAGCATGTTGATCAGCCAGCTCGCCTTGAAGCACACCTCTTCCACCGTCTTTTCGTCTACCTTGTGGCCCCACTTCTCTTCCGCGACGTCCTTCTCAATGCGCTTCCAGTCCCGTGAACAAAACTCCGTCACTTGCTTTTGGTATGTCTGCAGATCGTACGCCTTGTCCTTGTGTGCCGTGGCGAAGACCTCATGGGTTGTATGCCAGTACTCGGAAACTCCAACAAAGTGGTTGACGCTGAAGTCGATCGCCGGAGTGTGTTGCCCGTTAAGTAGGCACGGCGTATCCGTACATTGCTTCTCTTTCTCTAACAGCGGGTATGTAGCCTTCAGACACTGCGTGAAGTCTCCAGTTCCGAGCAGGTGGGGTTCCGCGCCCTTGAGGTCCTTCGACCCGGGTGCGATCTCTTCGCCAGTCTTCTTGACTTTGATACCGACGGGGAGACAAGGATCGGGAATTTCGTGCACGCTCGGAGATGCCTCCATCAAGCCCTCCACGTACCGCCGTCTCGCCTCGTTCGCGCCGAATCCAAGCCAGGTGGTAACAAAGACTCGGTACTCGAGAGGCTCGCCATTGACCTTCCGCAACCTCAGAAGCTGAAGATCGTTGGCATGCTTCTCAGCCTCCGTCGCATTCGGCGCAAAGGCGATCTGCGCCGATGCGCCGCCCATGTCCAAGAATCCATAGGTGTGATGTCCCTTGCCGTGGTCATGCTTATCCGGCGCATCGAAACCCCCAAGCAGATAGTTGGCCGCGACCCAACCGTAGAGTCCTTCTGTTTCCCCGGGGATGACCTGCACATGCACCTCGCAGTCCGGCAGCTTAAAATTCGTGTTCCGCTGAAAATACGAACACGTGGATTCGAGCAGCTGAGCGCGCTGATGGTCTGGCAACAATCGCATGCCGGCCGTCGCGAGCAGAAAGATGGGGGTATTCGCGATTTCATCCTTCTCGACAATATCGGCAGCAAAATCGACGAGTTGCTTGAGGTGCTCGTGGCCGACAGCTTCGGGCTTATCGCCGAAGGTTGAGATGCCAGGGTGTACCTTCTTCCGCCATTTCTTGTGAGTTTTGATTTCCGGTAGTGATTGGAGATCCGATGCGTCGCCCTTTGCGCGCGCTCGCGCGGCCTTGTCCCATCTGTAAACGTAGACTCGGGTGCCTGAGCTTCCCGCATCCAGGACGACGGCAAAGTTATGCTTGCCCATGTCGAAAGCCTTATCGCGTCCTCAACATTATCTCTCTCAGTCGACGGTAGACTTCCTGTACCTCCTCGACATGTCAGGCCTACGCGGAGGGTGTTGCGATTGGCAAGTGAGCGAGTGTGGAGTAGTTGGTGGGAGAGGACAGTTGGGAGGGAGCACAGAGCGTCGCGGGAGTAGTGCTCACCTCAGTAGTCGAGTCGAGTGTAAGAGGCGAGAGGCTCTTTGCGGAGAAGAGCAGACGCGTCGTTCTTGGCAAGAGCAAGCTCCCGGAAGCTTGTCGCCGTTAAGCATTCAACGCCAACCGCTGATTGGCGGCAGATCCTCGTTGAAAACAAGGGTCCCCAGGCCCTCGTATCGCCAAATGATCTCACCGGATAAGGACCATCGCTGTTTCTGCCTCGGTTCGTCCTCTTGGCCTCGACAACAACACGTCCTCCCTTGCTTCAGAATGCAGGTCCGAGGTGGCGACGCCCATGAGACTTTCGTCGTTGCACGAGCACGATCACGGAGAAGATCGCATTCACGTGGTCGAGGTAATCGGCATCTCCCGATGGAGCATGGCCGTAGACATTCCATCATCTCCCAGGATTACTGTCACACAGCAGCATACCAACGATTCATCTCTATCTCTATCTCTATCCCCATCCCCATCCCAACCCCTTCATCACTCATTCCAACAAAAATCTCAAGAAAGCCACACTAACCGCGACCCCATCATGATGCTTCCTGACCCTGCTCATCCCATCCTCAAACATCCCATCATCGAAAATCCCCCTCGCATGTCGATTCTCCAACAATTCAGTAACAATGTCCCCGTTGAACTCCGGATGCCCTTGTACCGTGATCAATCTCTTCGGCGCATACATGCCCTGAACGCGACACCGATCCGAAGACCCCAACGCTTCCACCCCCGGGGGGTATTCGCATACGATATCCCGATGCATCTGGTGAATCGCCTAGAAAACACCACAAATTTAGCATATCCCCTCTTCCTCTCCAAAAACCAACGTGCAGGACGTCTGATCTGTCTCGACTCACCAATCTCTCCAACCCAAACACCTCCCTCCCCTTCTCACTCAACCCCACCTCCGTCACCGCAACCTCCCACCCATCCTCCACCGGCGCCCGCGCCACCCTCACCCCCAGCGCGCGCCCGACAATCTGATGTCCAAAACACACCCCAATCACCCGCACCCCATTCCCGCTCCCCAGACACTCCTGCGTGAACCGCACCAGTTTCAGAATCCACGCGTCGTCGTCAAAGGCCGTATACCGACTGCCCGTCAACAGCACCGCATCCACCGCCGCCACGTCCGGGTAGACTTCGTGGTGCACGACGTCGTATTTGGTGATTTCCAGTTCTACCGGTGGCGCTTCCTCTTCCTTCTCCTTCTTCTCCTCGCTTTTGCGGTTCACCTCGTGCGCGCCGCGTTCCAGCAGTTCCTTGAAGAGATTCCCGTAGCCGCCGTATTTCTCCTTTGTGCGCCCGATGGGTTCGTCGCATTCGAGGATCGCGATGCGGAGGGTGCGGGGTGCTGCGCGCATCTCTCTCTCTCTCTCTCTTTTAGCAATTGAGAAAAGAATGCCTTTGCAAAAGTTCCCGGATTGGTTTTCCTAGATCTTGAGGCTTTTTCACCGTACTAGTCACAAGAGATTTCACGACGGTAGTAGTAAAAGGGTAGGTAGGTAGTGTAGGTAGTGTAGGTAGGTAGGTGGATCGACATTGTGAGAGCTTCAGCTTCCCTTCCCTTCTTCGGGCAAAAGATCGGAGATAGGCGGGACAAGGCAAGCGCTACCTACTATCGATAGTAGAGAGCTCCGCAGCACACGCGAGAACACCACCTTACCGTCTCTATATGCATCTGTTTCTTCCCTGTCGTCAATCAACATTGGGCAATGTGTTTTCGGAAAAGCTATAGAACTAATGACCGCTACTACGAAGAAAAGTCTCACTGTCTGTCCTCGGTCTCACATTCATCATTCATCATCCATCCAAATGACGCGCGCGCCGCTGCCGCCCAGGATAAATGTAGTAGCGCACATAACAATAGCCGAGACTTCGGCACTTCCCTTAGCGAAGCAACACTGGCCAGTGCACAGTGCATTTCACCAGTAGTTAGTTCCGGCTCTTGTTGATTGAGCCAACCAACAACAAATCAACGACCGCGAGACTAGATTTTCCAGAAAAGAATTTTGAAAAAGAATCAATCAATAAGGCAGGTGATCGATCAAATCATCTCGTCTTCTTTCTCCGCGTACACCGGACGGACTATGAGACATGAGGCATTTCCCCGGTTTCCCTTTTGGCCCATGTCCATCTCCATCGACTACCTTACCAACGACAAGCCATGAAGAAGAAGGAGGAGGAGGAGGAGGAAGGAAAAGTAGAAAACCACCAACAAGGCTGGTCCCTGATCATCCCAATATTCCCCTAAGAAGATCCGTTCCCCAACAACAGAAAGGGTGCCCGGCCACCGCACCAAAAAGAGAAAAAAAAAAGAGGCCGGTCCCGGTCCAATTCCTCGCCAAATCGTACCCATAAAAAAAAAACAGACATCAAAATCCTCTCGCCTGCTCACAACAGCATTGGAAAATGACATGCAGAGATATATCATAACATCGTAAAGATCATCAGAAGCCAATCCGACAGGAACATGGCACGAGCAGAGAAGGCGTCCAAGAGGCGTCGTGCAAAACGAGCGAGGCATGCAACAGGAGGACTCTATCCTTGCCGCGAGTAAGGCTTGTTCATGGCCGCAATCTCACGGGCAATCGTCGCCCAGTCCAGTTCGCGGCGGAGCGGTTGGCCGCGTATCTGGCATTGCATTTCCTCCCATTTCAGGAGCTCGTAGCTGCGAGGGAAATATGTCAGCAACCGCCGGATCCCAGCTTGACGGGCAGGGCGACTCACGAGAATCGAAGATGAGGCTGGATGATCACGTTCAAGCGCCTCGCTCGAACGAAACAGTACGCTCGAGGGAAGGACAAGCCCAGCTCGTTCATCACCTCGGCGATGCAGATGGTTGCGCTGCGGGATACGCCGACTCGGCAGTGCACCAGTGTTGCCGTGCCATTCTGACGTCCATTTTCTGCCTAGAGGTCAGTACCATAGGTAAAGGCAAACATGCGATTACTCACCGATGAACTCTAAACACCGCCTGAAGTCTTCCGTCAGGGGGTCTACACCATTGTCCTGGACTTTGTCGACAAAGAGCAAATTCTCCGCCGGCCAAGGGTCGATCGTCTCCTTGGACCAATTGACAGGCTCACCGACACTGAGGATCTGGCCGATACCGAGCTCTCTGAGCAAACCCGGGTTGTTCGCATGGCCGAGATTCCCAAGGTACATGTACGGGAGGATACGACTGGGTAGCGAACCGTCCATCTTCTCCAGCCATTCTGGAGCTTTGGGGCAGAGCTGCTTCAGATTGCCGGAATGCTTCGGCGAGGACTGAAGGATACGCGGCTCGATGGCCCGCAACAGGTGGACATCCGAGCCATATGCAAAGAAGTTGCGCCCCTTTTCAAGATGCAGCTGGAGCCACGCATCGTGGACCGGAACGCAGTTGGCGTACATGTAATAAGCCAATGCGAGGAGCGATGACTCGGTGTAGCCGTCAGTGCAGTGGATGAGCAGCTTCCTACCCGGATGAATCTTGAAGTCGGAGCCTTGCATCTGGCTATCACCATCCGTGTCGCGAGGTGGTGTGAGCGAAAGCTTGCTATCCCTTCGCTGTTTGGCATCAGGTCCGGCGCTGGCGTGCGTGTAGATCCACTCGCACGTTGCCAGCAGACCATCAACTTCAGTCTGCGACCAGGTAGGTGGCATTATCGAGCCCGAGCCGGGGAATTCGAGCTGGTGGACAATACTCTCATCGTACGAACCATCATCTTTCCGCTCGAATTGGTCCTCGAGGAATCGGAATGCCTTTACATCCGGAATCTGCGCGATGTCGCTACACTCGATCAAGAGGTCGAAAGCGGGCTGGCCTTGGGAGCTGAGCCCACCCGGGCCTACATATAGGCTTGGGTCAGGTGTTGGACCAAGCCAGACATTGGGCGCAATCTCAGTAGGTGCCGACATGGAGCACATCTCCAGCCGCTCCCGTTGGAAAAAGTCCATGACTTTGCCCGTCGTGCACCCTTCCGAGTCGAGCTGGATCAAATCAGGGTGATCGGTCTCGACGATCGTATATTGGTCTGGGATAGGTCAGTAACACTGTCGAAGATATCCACACTGACCAGACTCACCTGAAAGAATGAAGGTGTTGAACGGGCGAACACTCCCACAGCCACCTTCGGTCTTCTTCTGCCAACTGGTCTGCGCCCTGGAGATTCTCTTCGCAAGTCGTATGACTTGTTCTCGCGGTGTCTTGTCGTCTCCATATACCACGATGTCGCTCACGGTCGCCATCTTGCAGGCCTGAATCTGGAAGTTACGAACGCTAAATCCATCCCTTGGATCAGCATCCAAGAACTCCGGCTCTTCGACGACCTTGTTCTTAGAGACCTGTAGCGGCTTGAGAATCTCCTCGGGAGCAATTGCGCCAACGATTCTGCTACGCGTGAGATCACCGCCCGCCTTGACGATTGTCAGCCCTCGAACGCATTTTGGCGTGCGTCGCACGCTCTTCTTGCGTGCGAGGAAGAAGGCCAGTTGCAGCTGGTTGTCGACATGAAGGCCGTGCAGCCAGGGGAAGACTTGTTTCGGGGAAGGCAGCGGTTGCGTTGCCAGATGATCCAACGCTGAGGAGAGTTTGGCTGCTGTCATCGAATAGACGGGCGGATCGTTGAACAACTTTTCGAAGGCATTGGGTGGGTGGGTGAGGGAGGTTGTCTCTATGAGATTGGATGGCGACGGTGGGGAGGCGGGTGGTGTATCGAGCTGTCGCGACGCCGGGCGGGAACCGGGCGAGCAGAAGGGCAGATGTTTGTTGGGCACGGGTGCGGGCGTTCCTCGCTGGGAGGTGTTGATGGTCAATTGCGGAGGAGGGGTTGTTGTCCGCGTTTCTGGTGCTAATGGCGTGGGCCTCTGCAGAATGGCGGCCATTACATGGGCGAGGGCAGGCAATGTTGGGTCGAGAGGACTACTCTGGTGGGCTGGTGATGAGGTTGAGGGTGGAGGAGATGGACGAAGAGAGTTGCGAGACGAAGGCGCTGCACACTGCACACTGGGTGGTGCCGTGACTCGTGAGCGTGCCGGGATTGCGGTGGTGGTTGTGGATGGTTCCTGCCGTCTGGGAATGTCGAACTGGGGGAGCGATATCGACAATGCGTGTGCGTGTGCGTGTGCGCGTGCTCCCGGGATATGGCGATAGGAATCACGGGAAGCGGAAGGGAAGAGCAACAACAAGCAGGATCAGAGCGCTGAGTTGGGTGGCAGTGGCAGTGGCAGTGGCAGTGGCAGTGGCGAGGGACGGCGGGACGGCGGGACAGTGAAATGGCGAGAGGTGTAAGGTAAGTTCAGGTAGGTGACAGTGGTGACAGTGGTGGTGGTAGTGGTGGTGGTGGCAGGTGCATAGACGAATGCAGCAGAAGCGAGGCGCATCCCCCCGAGAAAATGGGATGGGATGGATTTGGGGCGACGAGGGCTTGCGCGCATGGCTGCTCCCCGCACAGCACAGCGTGCACCACCCATCCACCCATACCTACACACCACCCATCCACCCATCCACTCCATTCGCCTCGCCTCGCCTCGCAGCCAGGCAGCGTAAGATCGACCGGCCTTGAAACGCAACGCAACGCAACGCACAACGCCTCCTCCCACCCCTCCCCTCCAACGCCTTGCCTGCAGCAACACCTCCACCCCGCCGACGACGACGATCACGACGACCACGACGATACCCACGCCGCATACGCCTCACTCATCCTGGGGCGCGTCCAGGAGCGGGGCGTTGGGCTGTCCGCGGTCGCGGGGCCTGGGCCTGCGGCAGCGGTTGGGAAGCGAGGCCTCATCATCAGAGGAGCACGAGCAAGAAGAGCAGCGACCAGCGGCCAGCTTCCAGGTTCGCACGCAAGATGATATCGGCAACAACCTTCTAAGCGCGGCATCAGGGTCCTCCCTACCGCGGGCTCCAACGGACGCCGGCCTGCTCTGCCAGTCGGGAGTATCGGCGATGGATGCTTGCATCTCCTCCGCGCACCACTTTGTCGCAGTGCATAGCTATAGCAGTGCGTATAGCTATAGCTAGAGCAGTGCATGGCAGTGCATAGCAGTGCATCGGTACCCGTGCTGCCATTTGCAGAGCTGTCCTGTGTTGCTTGTGCCCCTCCAGCGCCTCGTGACGAACGTCTTCGATTGCAGCTTCAATGCCTCTTCTGTACCACCACCGACGCGACCAAGATGTGACTACCGGCATTCGAGCATCAAACCTGGCCTTTGAAACACATCGGGACAGGCAATGAACTTCCCGCTGCCCGCCCTTCCAACGTCCCACCTCCAGCCCCAGGGATCGTCGCCTCCAAGCTCCATCCCCAGGCGGTACGGCTGCAGCCCACCCACTAGCGGAACGTCGCGAGCTCAATCGATCCCCTCCGTTCATCGACTTCGCAACGTCGCGCATCGATGATCCTCTGCAATCATCCACAGATCCTCCCTCTTCCTTGCCATGATGTGTAGCGCTTGCAGTTACGAACCTATCAAGAAGCAACAACAACATAAACGGCACAACCAATCATTGCAATTGCCATCCACGACCGACACCTCCTCGATGCCAAGCTACGACAGGAAACAAGGCCGGAGCCAAGAGAACATAGGTCCACCAACGACAGACGTTTACAAACGCAATTGCTCGACGTCGTTCGAATCGCCAGCAGAGTCATTACCCACAGACCACAGGAGCACGCGACTCTCTTTTCGAGCTACCAAAGCACCACTGACGTGAGCACACATGAAACAACAGGGACCTCCCTCAGATTCAAGCACGTGAAGAAACCTTGCACTGCGATCTTCAGACATCACTACTGCACAGGCAGCACACACTCTGCGCTGTGCACGATCTTTTACTCCTCACCCAAAATTCCCCAGATTTGGTGCCTCAGGCATCAAACAATTCATCCCCTCTGTATCGCATGGAGAATAGTCCTGCTTAGGCGTCCTCCCCCCGGAAGACCAGCCGCAGTGTCGAGTTACAAGAGCAGCACATATCCTAAATCGTTTGCAACTTTTGTAGACAAATGCTGCGTGCGAAAAGTGAGCCGTCCGGGAGCCTCGATGTCCAGAGATCCATGTCCTTCCGACGTCTAGCGAACGCCTCGACAGCGATGCTACTATTCATGTGCCGTCCGCATATAGCCAGCCCTCTTCGCCACAAACACGCAATCATGCACCTCGAAGTATATCGCTTGAGACTATTCTTGTGAATCGCGCAATCGCAAGCACGGGCAGCAGACTGGTAGACTACCAGAGTCCTATAAGTCATGTCAAGGCAAGGGTCTGTCGTTCAGGGAGGTAGGTGAGTTGTGACATCACGGGCAGAGCGGCGGCGAGAATGGGAATGAGAGGAAGACCGAATGTTTGTTTCTTCAGTTCACGCGCTAGCTCGATCAAAAACATAATGGCCAACGAACGAAGCGCTGCATATTCTACACACGGAAATAGAGCATAAGAAAAAGAAGACCGCATCCACACGCACAACAATCATCATCTATACTTGACAACAACAAAATGACAACCCCCCTTCCTCATCACCAATCAACTCAACTCAACTCAACTCGGCAAACCGCTCATGCAACAGCGAAGAACTATCCCCACTCCCACTCCCATGCCCATTCACCATCTCACCACCACCATCCTGATAACTCCTACTCATCCCCCTCCCCTTCTCCACCATCTCCATGCCCAACCGTTCCAGATAGAACCCCGCCACATCCGCCGGCAGGGCCTCAAAAAGCCTCACAATCCTGCCCACATCTTTCCTGCCCCGCTCATACGCAGCCAGATCGCGATTCCCATAGACATCCCTGCCCGCCGCGTATCCGTGTGCGGGGAGATTCTTGAAGAAGACGTTCACGGCGATGGAAGTGGCCGTGGTCGGGGCGGCGGTATGGACCCACATGGGTGGGATGAAGAGGATATCGCCGGGCTCGAGGAGGGCTTCGTGCGGATGGGTGTGGGAGATGCCGGGAGGGTGGGTGGGGGAGGCGGGCGTGAAGACGTCGACGGAAGAGGATGAAGCGCCGGGTTCGAAGCCTAACTGGGTGACGTCGGAGGGGGGGAAGAGGTAGAGGTGTTTGCGACCGCGGACCTGACAGAGGACGTTGGCCATTACGTCGTAGTGTAGCCACATGTTTACCGGTCCGGAGATTCGAAGCGGAGAGGAGTGGGCGTTTTCGTTGACGTAGTGGAGTTCGTCGGGGAGGTGGAAGTCGTTGGCTAGGACGGGGAAGTCTTCGGTGAGCGACGTGGGTTTGTTGTTTGGCGCTTCTTTCGACAGAGCGCGGAGGTAGACTTTCTCGCCTCGTTCCACGGAATCGAGGAAGGTGCCGAAGGGCTGGGTGATGTATTGGAAGTTCTTCTTTTGGAAGTCCATCCTCTCCGTGCGTGACGAGTGCACGGCGACTTTACGGTCGACGCCGACCGCTTGTTTCAGATAACTGTTTGTCCAGGCCGTCGTGCAAGATCCGATCTGGCAGTTCCGTAGGATGACTGGGCGTGCGGATGCGACGTACTGTTCGAAGTTGACGCCGTGGGAGATACGGATATCTTGGATGCGAACTGGAGGCGGCATTCTCAGGTCTGGTGTAGAGCCACTGGTGGGCGATTCGACGTAGATGGAGCTCTGATCTGTTGTTGGCTTGCCGGCGTCCACTGTGGATTGCAGTCGCCATTCTATGTCAAATGCTCCGGGCGAGGCATCGTTCAGTATACAGCTTCGATTCCAGGTCGTCCCAAATGAGAAGCAGGTCGCACCTCCGCCGAGAATCAGAAGGCCACCGTCGACCTGCTGCACAGAGTGTCCTATAAACAGAGGTCGTGGGCCTTGAATAGGCTGTGGCCGTAATGTTTTCATGTTCAAGATTTCGTCTTGTCGTGTGAGCATCCGGTCTCCCGTAATGCCTCCAATCATCAAAATTCCGCGGTTCGACCGTACCAGCTGCGCCCCAAACCGTCCAAGAATGCACGCATCGGCCTTCAAGAACGCCGTCGCTCGAGATGTCACGTTGCGGCAATGTAGAGTCATGTCAGGCTCCAAACTCCAATGCCAAAAGTCGTTAAGAATGCGGCCAGCGCTTGTCATTCCACCCACAAGGACACCGGATGTAGCCTCGCTGCTGTCCCTGACAATGACCGCACCGAAGCGAGCAGGCGGCGCTTCTCCACTGACAGGCACCTGCTGCCATCCTGTTTCGCCAGTCCAGATAAGCCATTCGTCCAGCACTTGCCCATCACTGGTCTTTCCGCCGAATACAAGGACAGTGTGAGCAGGTCTTGGATCTGTCGGTAGCACCAGTGGCACAGCGCAGTGCCGATAGCGTCCGCGTGGAACATCTTGCACGCGTCTCCATTTCCCATCCAGTCGGAGCCAGCATTCGGCGCTCGCCTTGTCGGGCGATGTTCGTCCTCCGGTCAGCAGGCAGTTGTATGTGCTACCCAACCGGGTGATAGTGTGACACGCCAAGCCTTGCCTGAGGGGAGGAGGCACGATAGGCTGGATAGCATCATATCGCGAGTAAGTATTGCAGCTGTCAAGCCTTTCCTGGGTGCCGATACCTCCATGTAAGCCCACGGAATCGCTCGCGGCATCCGTCTCAGGCGGAGGCACTACAGCTGCGAATCTTCGGAAGTTGTGAGGCTCCAACAGCTCGTGCGTCTGCAGAATATCGCCAGGTCCGAAGTGATACTGCGGAGTATCGGGACTGTTGCCGCTTGTGGTTGGTGTCGTTGCTATTGACGTACCACGTGTTGAGCCAGCCCAGAGTGACGCCCGCGTTGATCGGTAGGGCTTGTGAGAATAATCCTTCCCGGCTTCCTTCTCTGCAATGAGTAAGAAGTAATGCGAGCCGAAAAGAGCGAATTCTTCCCACTCGTCAAATGGCTCGACTCTGTCCAATGATCTCCGTTCCTCTGCTGACAGGAACGTAGGATCCGACCACAGCTCCCATAATGACCGAATTTCTGTCCCAGCCTCCGGGTATCCCGCACCCACGAATCGGGCCTTCATTTGCTCCATGGTTCCAACGGCTCGGAGAGGGGTCCTTAACTTCTCGAAATGGGCCAGCATTGTTGCTGCAAAAGGATGATCGGTACCATCGGGCAGATGTTGCTCGAGCAGGCAAAACCGAACATCGTCATACGTTGCCGTCCAGTCAAACACTGCTTGGGATGCTTCACGTTCCATGTATGCTGTAGAGACTTCTGAGACGAAGAGGATCGCTGCGCCTCCTTCACCTAGTTGTAGGTGGTCCTGGAGGATGCCCTGCAGAGGCTCAATGTTGCCGAGGTCACATCCTATGGCAACGTAGGGGTCGCTGGAGGCAAGAAGGCCAGTCTCGTTCGAGGTCTTGGTCAATTTGGGCAGCAGTCTCCTCAGCTGTTCGGTCTTGTCGATGATCCCGACTTTGTTCTGCATCAAAACTGGATAGTCTACGTCCACGAACGTTGTCCCTTGGCATTGGAGGGGGTATTTGCCAAGAAATATGAACGGTAATGGATCGCTGTGGCGGTCGTCAACTCAAGCTTGGAGCATGTCAAAGTTTCTCGAATACTCACTAGCCGCAACCAAGATTGATAACCACCTTCTTCTTGGCCGTTCGCTCGGACAAGAATCGTGAGACGGCGTGCTCAATGGCTTTCATGCGTAGCCAGTAACCACGATTGATCAGCGGAGACCGGCGCTTGAATTTGCTCACGAAATATCGGAAATATTCCGGTTGGCCTTGGAAGTAGAGCTTCTCGACGGATCGTTTGGAGACGATGCTGCTCTTGTTAGTGTCCATGATGGATTCGTCCCGCTGGTGCTTGTGAGGATCCTTGACCGAGGTCTCCCTGTCCTTGAGGAGGATAGGGACGGAACTGCTCCGTTGGACGTATCCATTGGACAGGCCGAGGACCTTTTCCGCCTTGAGCATTTTGGCGTTGGAGCGACTATCATGACCAGCGTCTGAGCTGCGTGCGTAGACAGGAGAGTCTACTCCGAGGGGATGAGAGAAGTGGTGCGGCACATGGCGAGTTTCAAGACCGAGGGTGAGTATGTCAGGCAGGGAGGTGTCGGGCTTTTCATCCAGAAAGCCCATTCTGCCGTGCCGACTTGTGGAGGGCGAGGCGAGTCAATCGCCCGTGCCGCAGGGATTGCTACTCAGGCTCAGGGGACGCGAGGAGGAGAGTCGGAAGAGAATCGCTGGACGAGGATGTGGAGACGCCTGAGGGCCGCAACGGAGGAGAGGTGATGGCACCGCACACCGCGCTGGCAGGCGTCATACATGTACATACAGTAGTATGTACAGCGCGGTTGCCGATTGGGAAGAGACGGGGGGGGGGGGCACAGGAGCGGGATTGCTGCGTGAGGCCGATGCACGTCGAAGGGAGATGGATGGATGAATGCGGTGAATGGATAGATGGATGGATGGATGGATGGATGGATGGATGGACGGAGAGGGAGCGAGATATTCACCGTCGCGCGTGTGTGTTCGGCGGCTCCCCTCTCTCGTCCTGTCCTGGGGCCTGGGGCCTGTGTGCTGTGCGCTGTGCTGTGCTGTGCTGTGCTGCCGTTCAGGCAGACAACAGCAAGGATGCCAGAGACGACAATTTCTGTTTTTAGCCGCCTCCGCATGTCAGCGCACTTTGAGTTGTGATGCGCCAGTGCCTTTTGGGCGCTGGGCACGGAGCCCTCGGACCGATCCGCTCCAAGTCCGCTTCGGCTTCTCTCAAGGGTTCTGGCATCTTCACGACCAACGACCGACCCAACCCAACGCTTGCTTCCTGCAACTGCAACCGCCGTGGACACGAGACGTCGATAGATAGTCAGCCGGAACGCGACTGGTAGACTGTCGTACCCATGCTGCCCTCTGCGCCCGCATAGCAGACGAACCACAGCCAAGCAGTCAGACGGCAGCGGCTATGGCCGGCCTGAACTATGTCACCTTCAACCAGGACCACAGCTTACTGGCGGTCGGTGCGTAGTCGCCAGCGGTATGCGATCCAAGAAATGTAGGCTGAAGAGCATGTAGCTACCACAAGAGGCCTGCGGGTCTACAATACCGATCCCTTCGAGCTCCAGAACCACTCATACCAAGAAGACATCTCCCTCGTCGAACAGCTCTTCTCCACCTCGCTCGTTGCCATGATCCTCACCCCGAGACTGCTGCGCATCGTGAACACCAAGGTGAGACTGGGATGATATGCGAGAAGAGAAGAATACCTCACCAGACTGAGTAACTTAGCGGTCGCAGAAACACTCGACCATATGCGAACTCACCTTTCACGGAATGGTGGTGGCTGTGAAGATGAACAGGAAGCGCTTGATTGTAATGCTGGAAGAGGTCGCCTTCATCTACGATATCAGCAACATGAAGATGCTGCAGCAACAGAGCACGCCCGTCAACCCCGCGGGGATATGCGCCATCTCGCCCAATTCCGAGAACAATTACCTCGCCGTGCCTCATTACCAGAAACCTTCCCAGAGTACCCAGGCGCAACCCTCGCATGTACCGAAATCTGTCGCCAAGGAGCCCATCAGCGGAGATGTCATGCTATTCGACTTGAACAAGATGGAGGAGGTCACAGTCATCCAGGCGCATCAGGCAGCCTTGTCCTACATTGCAATCAACAACGATGGCACTCTGATGGCCACGTCCTCGGAAAAGGGCACGGTCATCCGCGTGTTCTCAATACCAGACGGGAAGAAGCTCTACCAGTTCAGGAGAGGGAGCATGCCGGCTAGGATATACTGCATGAGCTTCAACGCAACCTCCACCCTCCTCTGCGTGTCGTCCGCCACCGAGACCATCCACGTCTTCAAGCTCGCCCCTCCGGGGAGCCACTCAAATGGCAATGAGAACGGCGCGAGACCCATGTCTCCCCAATCCCCGCCACGCAAATCCTCCTTCACCGCCGGCGACCGCAGTCAAAGCCCTTCCCAATTCTCAGAAGACGCGCAAGAAGGCAACTCCGGACGAGACGGGGATCCGGCCGCTTTGGAGAATGCTCGCCAACCACGCCAAGCAGGCTTCATGTCCATGGTCCGGAGAACCTCACAGAATGTCTCGACCTCCTTTGTCAGCAGAGCAGCCGGCTACCTCCCTCAATCCGTGACGGAAATGTGGGAACCGCAACGAGATTTCGCATGGGTGCGAGTACCGCGGGGAGCTAACGGTCAACCCGTGCGGAGCGTCGTCGCCATGGCGAACAATACCCCGCACGTCATGGTCGCGACGAATGAAGGGGATTTCTACGTCTACAGCATCGATTTGGAGAAGGGTGGAGAAGGGACTCTTCTCAGGCGGTTCGAGTACGTTGCGCATTCTCCCGAGAATGAGTAAAGTAAGGAGGTAACGACTGCTGACATGGCGTGCACCAGTGAGCTTCACTCGTTGAAATATCGCAAGAGCAACGGCTTCGACGAGGATTAGGATGCGGTATCTCTGTCATCATCACCACATCTTGAGCCTCTGTCTGATATGGTACCAGCTTCGGAAGCGGTTGGAAAGTGCCGATGTGGCTTTGTATCATGTTTGCTTCTTCTGCGTTCCAGCGTCGGCGCTTCAGAGTGAGGGATTCAAACGAACCGTCGAGAGCTCTGTTCTTCTTCTTACTTTGTTTGCCAGTGATGGTCATCGGATACGCAGCAGTATCCGGGAGACAGGCAAAAGCACTCGTGATGAGAGAAGAAGATCCAAAAAAACGGAACGGAACGAAATGATGGCACGGAAGAAAGGAAAGCACTCCAGTCTCGATTTCATGTTCAATTTTTTCAATCTCATCCTCTACAGCATCTCGCTCGCTCGCCAATTTGATCAGATCTCGTGATCCTCCCTTCACTTTTTTCTTTGTTTCAGCTCAGCTGATTGGGGAAAAAAGTCAGATTTCTCGCCTTTTGTATGCTCTACCAAGATCTGGGGTATAGCAGTGTGCTCAAAAGTTCTCCTGCGCGGAGAAATGTAGGTGGCGGATGGGTGATGGGTTGCCGGGGCCTGGGCTACACGTAGGGGTGGAATCTGGCCAGGAGAGAGTACGGATGGACTGGACGGGAACGGGAAGGGAGAGCTAAAGTAGCTCTACCAGTCCTTCTTGACGTCGAACGACCATTCGAACTGCAGGTGCGTCTGGTTGTCGTCGTCCACGAACTTGGAGACGGCCTTGTAGTGGCCACGGCCCATCATGCCCGAAGGAGCGTTGTCGGCTTCGACTGGGAGAGGATTAGAATCACAAGCCAGGGATTTTCAAAGCTTTGGAGTGAGAGGAAAGGACATGAAGGGAAAGGACCTACACTTCTTCTCATACTCCGTCTTGTCAGTCGTGTTGGGCGAATAACTCCCAATCATCTCCTGCATCTTATTCTTGATCGGGCCCCGGCTGACGACCTGGATATACTTCATGCCGCTGAGGATCTGATGCTGGACGCGGAAACGGGCCTTCATGCGGAAGGTGGCGCCTTCCTTGATGGTGAAGGGCTGGTCCTTGAGCTTGTCGACGGCGCCCGGTTTGTCGAGGTCGATGATGATGTCGGAGCGGCCTTCGACTTCGAGGCCGAGGGAGAGGATGATGACGGTGCGCTTGTCGTTGGGGTCGCCGATGGGAGTGCCCGTGCCGAGACCTAGGGACTCCTTCCATTTGCGGAGGGATTCGTCGTTTTGGTCTGCGAGGTGAGGTTAGTGGTGTGTGTTTTTCGACTGGAGGACCATTGGCTGTGAGTGTCGAGTGCGAGAGCGGGCAAGTGGCGTCAAGGAAGCTGTAGGACTCTTTTGGACAGTGCCATTGCACCGGAAGTGCCAAGGCATCTCCTTCCCGTGCGGCGAACAGGCACAGATGTGTGGGCTTCTTCACTTTCTCGGGCCATGCCTGAGGCCATTCGGTCCTCATGAGGAGGATGCTTCTGCTCTCAAACAGGGGCACTTTGACCACGCCGTGACTCGTTCTGGGAGCTCGAGCCTGCCGACTTACCGAGTTTCTGGTACTCGTCGATGGTCTTCTTCTCACCGACCTTGAAACCTTCGGTGTGCTCGGGCTCCAGCTCATCCGGATGCGGGGCGGAGCCGACTCCAGTAGACATGATGGCGGTATGGATTGTGTTTGTCAGTGTGGTTGGCGTGGCGTGGAGGAATAAGTTCGCGTTGCTTTGGTTGTCGTGCGAGGGGTTGTTTGTCGGAAGACAGGCAGTAAGACGTGGCAGTGAGGTGTTTCAGGTGTCTGGCGAGTCTACGAGGAGCCCCACTTGGAAAGTTCGAATTCGATTCGATGCTAGAAATAGCTTGCTTGCTGGCTTGACCGCCTTCCAAGGGGGATGGGGGATCGGATAGGATAGGATATCTGGCGCTGTCGAACAGGAGGTGTATAAGGTACTGTACTGTCGCTGGAGTGCAGGAGTCGCGAGCTGAGAAGGGGTTTTGAGATGAAATGAGAATCAACGGAACGTATGAGAAGGTATGAGATAGGCGTATAGGATCCCCCGCCAACATGCAAGGAAGGCGCGATATTATTGTACGTACATACATGTAGAGCAACAACGTGAACGGGTGCAGTCGCATCGAATGGCATCGTCAGCCCTACGGAGTGATGGGAAAAGACTACATGTATCTATCTACCTTAATGACTGCTCGTGCTACTGTGCCGTCCTGATCAGGGTCTACGGTCTAACGAGAGAGAACCTAATCACATAATGGTGTTCGCGCTCATTTCCCAGCCTCTGAATTTCGCCGCCGTGCCGAACAAGGACAGGACGCGGGCGAGTGACCCTCCTCCTCCGTCTGCTTCGGCTTCGTCGCGAACAGAACACCTCCTCCCGTCCTCCCGTCCTCTCCCTCTCCCTCTCCCTCTCCCTCTACTCTTCGCGCAGGCATCCCCGGCCATCCATTGCCAGCCTGCTCCTCCGCCACTCACATCACTCGCATCTTTCGCCTCTGCTGCATTCCACTTACGAAGCATTTGCGCTTTCCTCTGCAGACATCTCATCATCGCATTTTCGTCATCGCGTCTTGCACGTGTTGCGAACGTGTCAGAAGCGCGCCCGGGGCTTTGCGACAACCACCGCGCCTCCAACGAGTCGCAACCAACTCCGGCGCATTATCCGCCATTCCATCCAGCATAGCTACCCGCACGCCACCGCAATGGAGCGCCCGCCACTTCCCCAAGACCGCAACCCCATGCTCACCGAGGGCCGGTCGCCAGTGCGTATGTCGCAACCACAGCCTTACCGAAGCTTGGAGAAGAGGCATTGCTAACACCTGGCGCATGTAGATGAGATTCTCGTAGAAAGGCGATGCTTAGGACAGACGGAGCTCAAGGTGAAGCCAGGCCAGGTCGGCACCAGCAATGCGACCAAGGCCGAGAACTTGGGCACTCTGGATTACGCCCATCTTCGCGTGCCACTCCCCAAGGACCTCACTGGCAGTGGCATCTTCCAGAAGGGACAGAACCGGAAATGGCCGGAGGCATACTTCTTGATGGTACGTGAATGCGCCCCGCCGACGACGCGCGAACCCGTGGAGGAGCTAAGAGACAGCTGCAGCGACGCTCGAGCGACGGCTTCATCAGCGCGACCGGCATGTTTAAGGCTGCATTCCCATACGCGCAGGTAGAAGAAGAGACGGCCGAGAAGGAGTACATCAAGTCCTTGAGCGAAGCCTCGAGCGAAGAGGTTGCCGGAAATGTGTGGATTGACCCCGGAAGAGGTGAGCGTTTGAAATTACACATTCCACAGCAACTTGCCCTGTTTCTCACACGCTTCTGTTTGCACAGCGCTCGAGCTAGCCGACGAATACGGCATCACATTGTGGATCGCCGCGCTTCTCGATCCCGAACCCATCACCCACGGCACAAGCGACTCGAAGAGACTGATCAAGTCGCCGCCCGCGTATAAGATGAAGGACATGGCCAACGGCATTGGACGAACACCAGACAAGGGCGCAGCAGGAAAGCGCTCCACGCGCGGCACACGGAGCATGCGCTCAGAATCGCCCACATCTACCAGACCCAAAGCCACACCGCGCACCAGAAGAACCGCGAAGACTCCGCGCAAAGGTCGCGGCGAGGACCTCGCGAGTGTCGACGAGAACGCTTCCTCACAGGGCGAGCCGGTGAATGGCACGAAAGGTGACAGCGTCACAGTCGAAGTTGAAAACACCGTCATCCCCGACGCGAAGGGCGAGGAAACCACCGAAACAACAAAGGTCAACGTCACCATGCCATCGGACAACCCTGACCTGCACCTGGACGACCCCAAGAAGGCCATGGAGGTCGCGCGCCAGATGACGGAACGAGCCAAGGAGATCGGCGAGCCCAGCGCGGCCGGTCGCAAGGGCAAGAGAAAGGCAGAGGAGATGATCACTTCGGATGACGAGGTCGGACTCGAAGGGCCTGCCTCGCGGGCAGCGAAGAAGGTCAAGCCGACGGAGTTGGAATTGAGAAAGGAGCGGATCAGGAGGAGAGCGCTGACTGGTCTTGTGGCCACTCTGGCTGTTGGGTACGTCCTCTCCCCAATCCGCCATGGCAGCTGTTCACGGAATGCTAACCATCTCACAGCGCCGTCTTCCCTTCCATCGCGTCTTTCATGGGTTTCCTGGCATGATCTCCATCCACATCCATGGTCTGAGAGTGTGTGGAGAATGGAGAAGGGAGGGGGGGACATTGCGTTTGTTTTTTTCCTCACCAAACATGTCATTTGCTGCGCCGGCGATACCACTACTTTACTACTACCCACTGTTGGAGTTTTCTGGGGCGCGCGCGCGTGTGATCTTCTAGCAAGAAGAAGAAGAAGAAAGAAAGAAAGAGAGAAAGAAAGGAATTGTACTGTAAACCCCCAACAAGAAGAAGAATTGGCGCTCTCGTCCGCGGAGGGCAGCAAGGCTTCACACTGTATTCTGCTGCTGAGGCTTTGGAATGTGATGGATCAAAAGGCGCGTTTGCCTCCCGTCTCTTTTTTGCCCGGAATCACAATTCAACACCTAGGTTGCTTCGTGCCAAAGCCAAATCATATGACACCTTCAGAAAGACTGTGCTTGTGCTTGTGCTTGTGCTTGTGCCTGGCTTTTCACGTGGCGGTTGAAATGTGTTTGGCTATCTATCAGTCGGTCAACCCTCCACGTGCACGGGGCTTATATATGCTTAGGCACGGCCTTTGCGGAGACGAGCTGCATGGGAGGATGTGGGATCGTGCATGCATGCATGCATGCGGAAAAGCTGAGAGGAATGGAATGGAATGTGGACGTGTCAATAATACATGTAATTGCCTTGGGTATGTCGTGCATATGACGAACGCCGCCCGTGCGGCGGAGCACAGAGGGGCAGGGCTGAGCACAGAGGGCTGAGCATGGGAACAGATGCTATCACGTTTCCCGCCGTGTTGGTTTTGCGGATACAGCTTCTGGAAGGTGGGAAAGCTGAGTGGAAGTACCGGACTTGAGATTCATTTGCTTCCAGTCATCTATCAGCCCTCACGATGTGATGTGATGTGATGAGATGTCATAGCATGGTAAATCTATTGCATTGCCAAAGAAAAACATGCCATCCTCATGTCACGTCGCCGAGGAAATGTTTCCCCTCCCAACCGTTCCGCTCAGTAATCTCCTCCCCACACATCTTCTTAAGCCTTCTCCAACTGCGCCTTGATCGCAGCATCCAGAGCCACCGGGTTCGCACCGACGACTTCCTGGAGCTTCTCTCCACTCTTGAACAGCATAAACGTAGGCATGGCGCGGACGGACCATTCCTGCGCGACGTCGGGCAACTCGTCGACGTCGACCTTGAAGAAGCGCGCGTCGGGGTAACGGTCGGACATTCTGTATCACCCCAGAAACATTAGCAATCTCTCTCCCCTAGGATGATACATGTGATGGGATCAAAACGTACTCGACGACCTTGGGCGCAATGATCTTGCAAGGCCCACACCAAGTCGCATAAAAGTCGACCACCATCAATTTATCCTGCCCCAACGCCTCGTCGAAATCCTTCTTGTTGCTGAGGACGTGGACTCCCTCTTTGGCGGCCATGGTGACGGAGAAATAGCGGAGGAGAGGTTGGTAGAGGGTCTGTTTCGTTGCTGCTGGGGTGCCACGGGTGGTGAAGCTGCTGCGTGCGCTGGTAAGTAGTGTTCGTCGGAAAGCTGAAGCTGCGGACATCCACACTGTTGCGACGGGTTGGGGGGTGTGGGTGTATATATGTAGTCGAGAGGAGAGGTGTAGAAGGTGATAGTAGTGTGTTTTGGTTAATAATAAGTTTTGGGGGAGGGTGGATAGACGTTTCTCGACAGCGAGCAGCGAGGCACGAGTTGTCCCGCTTGCTTAGCGATCAGAGTCTGAAATTCGGCCAATTGCCGGACTTCACCACCACTGTGACCATGCCGTGGCCGCTTGCGTCCCACCGACCGAGTTCGGCATCTTCCATCCAGGCAAAAGGGCAGCGAGCGGGTAGTGGCACTCACCTTGATTTGCTTGTTTGCTGCTGGGAATCTCGTTGTTTGCAATCGATCTAGAATGTCGTTGTTGCAGACGTCGCTGCTTTCTCGAATGTCGTGCAAAGTGAGATTGGATTTCATCATCAGGATGACGCACTCTGAAGGTGGCGGCTTCGGCTCTCTTTCGGCTTTCATCAACGCAGCCAGCCCCGCCCGTTCACGTGGCAGCACCACACGTTCCACATGCTTAGCGTTGCGCTTCCATTCACCTGCCGCACAACGCTAATAGGGTCAGATAGCTCTTGTATTGCAAATGGACGCTGGATCTCTTCGCTCATCTGAGACAAGATCTATACTTCCTTCAGAGCCTCGCCACGCCCATTCCCTATTGCCCCCTCGCCATTGCCCCCTCTTAACTCGCGGTAATATTACTTCTTGATCTCTCTCGCTATCCTCTCCTATCTTTCGTGCCACCTTCTCAGCCCAGTCTAGTCCGGGAGGCACGATGTAGCACACAAGTATCCCAGCCACGACACGGACGACCACTTCATTCTCGCAGTGGCACCCAACGGCGTAGCCAATTCCGGTCATCTCCAGAGCCCGTAAGGCCAACGAGAAACAGTCTCTGCAACGCTTTTGAACACAGTAAACATTCGTATCGTGTCTTCTACAACTTAGCTATTCAACAAAAGAAAAGCCATCCCTATCATCAGACTGCGCAAAGGGTATATACCGTTTCCCGACCAATTCCCTTCCAACGCCATGCTTCGTTGCAGCAAACAATTCAATGGAAACAACGCGTTCGTCTTACTCCTTCAGTTGCGCTCGTAACCCAACGTTCTCCCGCTTCAATCGATTCGTCTCCCGACGAAGCTTCGCCGCCTCTTCCTGACTCTCCCTTAGCTTCTTCTTCATTTCCTCAACACCCTCCCCTCCTCGGACAGCCTTCATGACGCGACTCAGTTCGTCGTTGAAGCGAGCGTACAGGGCCTCGTTCTCCGCATTGGCTTCGCGATACAGCTCGTCCAGCTTCTTGCACTTCGTCTCAGAGACATTGAGAGACGTAGAGAGGTCTGATTGGATCGTATTGATTCTCGCGTTGAGCTCTTCGACCTGCTTCGGCAGCTGTCCCTCCATCTTAAGAACGCGCTGTGCAAGGTCCATACTGCTCGGCGGCGAGAAGGTGTTACGTGCCGCCACCGTTCTACTGCCACGCATCGGACTGCGAAGACTGGAAGTAGATGTGAGCTCATCTCCTATCTTGCTCAGCTCATCCTGCAGCGCGTTCGACGCCGCTGTAATCGAACTCTGCTCGTTCTGCAGGCGCTCACGTAACTTCTGCGGCGACTGCATGCGTAGCTTCCGGTGTGGCGTCAGTGGTGGTGGCGCCAGAGGGTTGGCTACTGAGTCTGTCTTGCTTCGGCGCCGTGTAATCTTGTCAGCCTGAGGAGATAGCTTCTTGACGATGTTGCCGGCGCCAGGCCTTTCAGAGAGGCCTGTTCGACCTGGAGTCGAGGGAGCTTTGGTTGGAGAGCTAGCCCTCGGAACCAAGCTCGGAATGTTAGAAGTAGGTCTGGTGGTAATGACTACTTCTTCTACAAGTCCGCCACTGGTCTTTGGTCGTGGAAGCTCGCTGTTTGCCAGGCTTCTGTTCGGCCCAGGCGAAATGGCTCTGCTTGGCCCTGGCGACATATCGCGGCGGAAGGAGGAGGGTAATCTAGACCGTGGAGATGCCTGGGGAGTACCGTACTTGGCGCTGGTCGACTTGGTTGTGGGCGTGGATGTTGGAGGCGATCTGGGCAGCTCCTTCTCCTCCGTCTTGCTATGGAGCAGAGGTGGTCGACCTGGTGACTGTGCACTCAAAGGCTCTCGTTTGGGTGTCGTTTCGAGTGACCTCAGATCAGACAGCGAGCTACGCCGTTTCTTTCTGGGAGGACCAGTTGGTATAAAACTTGGGTGTTCGCCAATGGTTGACAGGCTCAGGTTATGGCTCGAAGGAGGTCGGCCAAGTGCTGGCATAGACGGCGTCTCCGTGAACTGGTGCTCACGGGCCTTAGTGCTGTCTTGCGACAAAGGGCGAGTACCGAGATGACGCCCATCATCGATTGACTGCGAGCGACCGAGCGTGGCCCTCGAGATACTACCATGAGGACTAGCATCGGTCCTGCTGGTCTTGCTGAGAGTGCGCCAAACAGACGCGACTTTCGACTCCTGTTCAGATTTACTATTCTCACGAGACAGAGTGCTAAAGCCAAACTTTCGACGCAGAGACGAGGTGTTGCTGGTCAAAGAGGATGAGTTGACAGACCTCGCCCGCTTATGAGTATTGATGGATCCGGCAGCGTGACGGGTCTCCTCTACAGGCTCTCCAAAGTAGGTGTCGGTGTCGTCCACGAAGCGATCCAAAAGCGCAATGTAATCGTGAGGATTCGTCGCCGTGATCAGGACCTCAGCAAAACATGCAGTCAAGGTACCGCGGTCGCCGTCATTGCCTGTCCCGTCCAGAAGCTCTGCTAGCAGCCTGATGATGGAACGAAAAGCACGCTGATTTTGGGGTGCGAGTCTACCAAGAGCGGCTTTGAAGTACTCGTCAAAGTCTCGCGGGAAGAGGCTCTCGGCTTTCAGGGAAATGTCCTGTAAGACATTCAACGGCAGAATCTGGCCAATGTTGTCTTTCCAAGCCTCATTGAGGAATTTCTCAAAAGAGGCGAACAAGACATCCAGCGGGGCTTGTGCCGCGAGGACCATCATATTGGGATCCTCGATCAGTCCATTATAGACCTCATTCACCAGAGCCTCATCAGCGGTGAGCCGCATCTTGAGGTTCTTGCCTACGATATTGCCCTTGCGGGCTTGTAAGGCCAGGATGTAAGCCGCAAAAGTTTCTTCCAACTTCTTAATGGGAGCAGCGAGGGGCTCAGAGGACACTGAAGAGAACGAGGTCGACGCGGCATCCACCGAATCCGGTCGCGACTCTCGGCTTGAGGGCTTGCCGGGAGCTGTCGTGGGAAGTCGTGACAGAGAGCTCTGCGTTGAAAACGCCATGAGTTCGCGCGACTCTTTTCTGAGAACGTTGGGGGGCTCAGCTCCTGGACCAACGCTGGAGAGGAAGCTGGACAGCAGCTTCTTCGGCGACTTTGGCCGATGAAGGCGCTCGCGCGCGTTCAGCTGTGGGATGCCGTCGTCGCCTTCTTTGGGAGCCACTTGGAGTCCGATCGATTGGAGGATTTCCAAGTTCCTTTCGAGCATGCATGCCGTCATTGATGGTTTCTCCATGGCAAGGCGAGTGCCAGCTAGTGTAGCAAGCTTCCTCCTTACCGCTGGCACCAGATCTTCAGTCTCGACATGTTCGCGGCCAATGTGTCCGTCCACCGTGTTCAAAGAGACTCGCCAGTTTCCATCTCGGCCAGGTTCAACGCTGACAATAGTTCGCAGCCCATCTTGACCAACTAGTGGGTTTTCGGGATGCCGCTCAGGGTCCACTAGAATGCGTACCTCTGCATGGCCATTGCGCGACGCCTTATAGTTCTGTTCTGTGTCGTCGAAGATGGCACAGAACAGACCAAGGCTGTCCGAAGCTGGATCTGTTGCCCGAAATTCCCATATGGTTGACTCTCGCTCTGCCTCCGAAAACCGACTCTCGATGCGAGCTTTCGAAATTTCCTCCACTAGCCGAGACGCTCTCCCGTCATAAACGTTCTCCAGCCGAAAACTTTGACAAGAATCAAGAATAGGCTCTCGTGCCGCGATAGCGCCCATGGCCATCTCGAAAAAGGTGAGTATCTGCAGTGCCTGGCCATCGTGACTCTCGGTGCACTGGACTGCGTCTAGCTGGAGGCGACGGATGAATTGAAGGTCGCCAGCTGTATCCGAGAGGCTCTCAACAGAGCGAGTGGGTAATGATCCACTCTCGAGTTCAGTAAGCAAGCTTCGAGCTGTTGTCTTGCAGCTGCCAGTCTTCTCCACAAGAATAATTCCGTCGGTAAATACCAGGAGGATGCCACGGGCAGCATCACAGCCCTCAAGACTCAATGGTGGCATGAGCTCGACATAATCTGCGGCGGTGATCAAGCGGCCTGTCACACTGATGTCTGTCGGCCATCCGAGCGTTCGCGATCGAAGACGCTCAACAACAGCGCTCGCCTCTGAGTCTTGATTCTCCGCGCAAATATCTGTAATGATGTCTCGAGCTTTGAGCAGTGGCTTCAGCGCCGGATGTCTTGCAGGAAGCTGCTTGGAAATGCTATCAATGTAGAGGTTGTACCGAGGGAGTCTCTGGACTGGCTCGATCAACAGCGAGGTCATTTTTTGTTCGCTGACCTCCTGTAGCTCTACGGCTAGTGAGTCGCCATTTCTCAGGAGCGTTCGCAGCGTCTGCGAGGCTTCTGCGTGAGCGCCGAGATACTCTTTGTAGCCATCTGCAAACCTCGGAAACCACTCGCACAGCGATTTGGCAAGTGCGATAACGCCCTGCAAATCGGATGTAGGTTCGGGACTGCCAACGGTGGTGGTGTCGACGTCTTCTGAAGCTTCAATGTCTTCCTCAGCTGCAGCTTCGGTACTCTGGATCACGCTGCGAAGGTCCCCCAGGAAGTTGCGATTGATGTCCAGAATCTGCTCAATAGCCGGGGAGAACACCTCTTCGAGCTGCTCCTGGTACTTTTCCTTCAAATCCGCGCCAATACTGCCGGACAGTCCCTGCAACTCCCCCAGACGACCCACATAGCTCTCCTCGGTGGCCAACAGCTCGCTCATTTCTTTGCGCACATTCTCTTTCTGATGTCTGGCGAAAGATGCACTTCTGCCGATCGCTGTAGCTTTGGAAGGAGCCCGTCTCATTCGCGATGTTGGCAAGAAGGCAACGTCGCCGAAGCTTGCGATTAGCCCTGCATATGGACCGTAGTGCTGCTTCAACGATTGTTCATCGTCGACGTCTTCGGAGCCAGGGGAGAGTGGACAGTCCCGGATCGCACCAGGCGGAAGGACAACGTCAACATCCGTCCACGAAAGGCGCTGCTCGCAAAAGGCCTCTGCAATATCTCCCACGACGTCATCGATGTTCTCTATGCGTGCCATGCGCGTCGCCAGAATCGCGATGTGATCGTCCCCAAACAACGCGCCAGGCGAGGGCGTCTTGACGTGTTGTGTCCATGTGTTCCGTACACCTTGGGGTAGCTCCGAGAAGTACTTCTTCAAGCCAAAAGCCAAACCGCGGCAGATCTCATCGCCCTGCTCCTCTCGTGGCAGGTTGCTGACAGCCGAGTAGAATGGCGAGTTGGGGGAAACACTCAGTCGCGAATAGGATCCTATGCCCGCCGGTGTGAAGACGTGGACCTGTATGCGCGAGCTGGTCGCGCCGATGGTGGAGGCAGGGCCGTGGAAGACGAGCACGGGGGAGTTGCCCAGCAGCGGGTCGGTGGTGTGGAAGAGGGCCAGCTCTGCTGACAGAGCGGGCGGCCCTGGTACGACTACCGCCATATCGATGCCCTGTTGTCGACCAAACTCTATCACGCGTAGCCTGCTCGCCTAGCTGCTGCTCATTGTCGGCTCGTCGCGCGTCGTGAATGTCGTGATGCGGCGGCCTTGGGATGGGAGGAGTCGTGAAGGGAAGTGCGGTGTGGGCGGGCAGGCGCGAGTGCGCGGCGGTAAGGTAATCTGAAATGTCGAGGAGTAAACAAACCCTCGCGCACACGGGTCGCTGAGCTGCGGTTGCGGAGGTCACAGGCGCAAGGCCGCTCCTGCTGTGAACCTGGACCTGGTGTCGCGACGAGCTTGCCGCCCCAAACAGTTGCACCGCATCCACCTCACGCAGGAACAACCCAGGTTGAGGTGCACTTAAGACCCGGGGTCCCATGCCTAGCCCCGAAGCCCAATCGCGCGCTCCGTGCGCGCCCTCACCTGACCGACCGACCGACCATCACCTTTCCCGTCTCTCCCTCCGCCTCGCATGTCAACTCTCAGACCCAACCGATTCACTCACACTGCGCTACTGCATGCCGCTAAACCATGTCCACGCAACATCCCGAGGCCGGCGTCACCGTCTCCATTCTGCCCGAGAGAGCCCTCGAGCATGTCCGCCTGCTCGAGCTCCCGGCGGAGCTGCTGGCCCTGGTCACATCGGAGAACCCACCGATGTAAACAAAAATAGCGCAAGATCTCCCGTCTCGTGGCTCCAGCTGATGAATAACACAGACTACACCTCAGGTCGAGAGAGAATCTCAATGGCGAAGCAAAGGATGCAAATGCCGTGTTGTGTACTCCCGACAAGACATACAATGTCCGCCAGGTCAGCACATCGAACAGCGTCTATCTTACACGACCACGTGGGACGGCAGGCGACGAGGGCGGTCTGCCACAGAAGGCAATTGAGGCTGTAGCCAAGTGCGACTCCACGCTCGAACTCGTGCCCGCGGGAAAGCAGTCCGCGGTACCCTATATCAAATCCACGCTCCCGACATTCGCGTCCACTGGAAGCTATGGCTCGGCAAAGTCAATATCGAGGACCGAACTCTTCTCAAACATCCCTCTCAGTCAGGCTGAATGCGAAGCTGGGTATCAGACCTTGGCCTGCTTCGAATCTAGCGATCCACAAGGATGCTTCATCCCGAGCGCAAAGGTCAAGATGCAGATTTGGGAGACAGCTCTGACGACTGCCATAGCAGAAGGTGCGGACCTTAAAGATCCTTACCTCGCGGAAGACATTCCGGTCTTCGCCATGGATCTCAAAGAAGACTGGCCTCTGGAGCTGATTGCTGCCGTCTTCGCTGGTGTATCAAGTCCAACACCAGGAGGGAATCTCGTCATCGACGAAGACAAATGCGTTCATTTCGTTGGGTTGAACCTGCTTGAGCAGAGGTCTGCAGGTAGAGCGACAGATGTGAAGGACTTCCTCAAAGCATGGAAAGACACTGTTCCTGAAGCCTGGCGCCAAAAATGCGAGATCTCCGCTATCCAAGGCTGGTACAAACTGCAAGATAACGCTACCTCCATCTCCTTCATCGACGGCTCGAGCAGCACAGCGGAGACACCAAGCGGTGCTAAAGAAGAAGCCAAAACCGCCCTCGGCGCCAAAAGAAAATGGCACGAGAAGTTCCGCGCTTCGAAAAAGACAGCCTGAAAAAATCCTGACAGGGAAAAAAAACAATACCCCATCATCCAGAAGTCCTATCCCGTTTCCTTTCCTGTCGTACGATCAGACCTACATCGGCATTCTCATCATCTCCTCCGCACTCCAATACCTTCGCATACTCTCCGCCATCAACATCTCCACCTCCTCATCCAGATGCCTCCACAACACCTCCCCAAACCCATCCATCACCTCTCCCAACTCCCTCAACACAAAATCCCTCTCCCCACTCTTCACCTCTCCCACCCATTTCTCCAAAGCCTCCACACCATGATGTATAACTTCATGATCCGTCACCGCTCTCGAATCCCCCTTGAAGAAATCCATTTTCTGAGCGAGGACGGGAAAGATGTGCTGTTCTTCGATGGTATGGTGGATGGTAAGGTGATGGCAGAATTGCAGGATGAGGGCGAGGAAATTCGCCATGGACAAGTTCCGCGGTCGTGTGTTATTTTTGGTCGCCGTGTGGAGGAGATTCCAGGTCTGGCGAAACCTTTCGTGCTATATAGTACATCATCAGACCGGTCCGTTTGGGATATCTGTGAGGATCTTGGGATATTGAGGAGGAGAAGGAGGAGGAGAAGGAGGAGGAGAAGGAGGAGGAGGAGGAGGAAGGAACACCAAGAAAGAAAAAGAAAAGGGAATTAAAAATACGTACAAACATATCCATATGTTCCGCCATGCGGTTATAGATTTTGAATTCTCGCGGCGACAGGGATGATTCCTTCTGCTCTTCTTCTTCCTTTTCCGATTCGGATTTCATCTCGGTGGCTTTTTCTGCTGCTGCTGGAGGAATTGGGGGTATGCCTTCTTCTTCTTCTCCCCGCTTCATCCCTCCGAACGCCTTTTCCGTTTCCATTTGGTTCAGATGGTGGTGGTGGTGGTGGTGGTTTATTGTTGTAGGCGGCAGGCGGACGGGAAATCCTTGGCAGAAGTTTCTCGCTGTTGCTCTCACTGTTACTGTTGCTCTTACTCTTACTCGTGTCGAAAGCGAGGTCGATTGGAAGATCCTTCGCATTCCACGGAACGGGAGAAGAAGAAGAAGAAGAAGAAGAAGAAGAAGGGCGATGGGGGACAACAGCGCTGATGTAATTAAGAGAAATTCAAGAAATTCAAGGAGCTTTTTTTATGATGGATTTAGATTTCACATCTCCGGAGAGGGAGAGGCGAGAGAGGACCCTTTTAGCCACCAATTTGCTTACCTTAACCAGAAAACCCAACAGAACCCGTTTCCGTTCACGCCCTTCCAAAATATTTGTCGGCGCGCGCCGATAGAACTCATTACATGTAGGTCCGTGAGAAGCCCACCTCACCCACTTGCCACGATCTACACGTATCTATCTATCTATCTATCTAATCTTGCAAGGATCTCTTCGTTAAAGAAACATTCATTCCACTGCGGTAGTAGTAGTAGTATAGCTAATCTCTCTAATCTACGTCTGAAGGTTATATCTAGCAGCTTCTGTCCAAGAGGCTTAAGAAAGAAAATCAGAGAGCCCTCTGTCGTAGTCAAATCTTTCCAATCAACAAACAGCACCTAACAAACATATCTGATGCTAGCCGTTAAGAGGCTGGGTATAGAACGTATCAAGAGAAGAAGGAGAGGCTCTGTGCCTTCTTTTGCCGGTGGTTCGGCATGCTGGGGGAGAAGCAATCGTCAAGCGTGAACATAGATAAATGCACAGTAAAGTGGGGCGTGAACAAATCCAAAAAAAAAAAAGAAGTCGTCGCTCCACAAAACGCCATCGCTTGCTATGCCATAAAGCTTCCATAAGGGTCGTAGCCATGCGTACAATTCGAGGAGAGGTATCGCTGCTCCCAGTAGTCGTGCTATGAACGGTCGGGATATCCTCCGGGCCGGGAGCCTTCTGTGGAATCGCCTTCGATCGTCTTCGCCCAGTGCTGCGGTAGGCACACGCAGACCAACGGGAAAGCCTTGACTTCCCCTTCGTCGTTGTCCTCCGCCGGCGGCTTGGCGCTGAGACCACTGTCTCGCAGCACCCTATCCTCGGGCCGCCAGTCGTCCGCTCTTTGCCTGACGCGGACACCGGTCGCCCAGCCATCGTCCCAGATGCCCAGGACCTTGACCATGTCGCCGCGCTCAAGCTGGAATTCATCGGCCGCACGAGGTTCGTATGCCCAGAGTGTCGCTACCAAGTCGCCTTGGCGAATCTCATCTTGGGAGTAGTAGTCCTTGAAGAAGTCGAGTTGCTCGCTCTGGCCTTGCGATTCGGGTGAAGTATATTCGGCATTGGAGCTCGGCGAGGTATCGAGATTGTCTCCCATGGCAACACCAAGCTGCGAACCGCTCGAAAGAGAGCCACTTCGCTTTGGAGGCGGTGCAAGCCTTCTCTCTGGACTGTCGACCTCTTCCGAGCCGTCCTTGGCATATCCAATGGCGTATGGCATTGCATGGTCCGAGCTGCTTGAGCCCTCCAATGCAGCCATGCGAGCGACACGGCCGCCTGATCCAAGCGCAAGACCTGCCGCTTCTTGATGATCCCTCGCCCCATCGCTATATGACATCTGCGGCGTACCTCTCCCGGCTGAAGGTTGATTGAAAATGCTCGTGGCCGGACTATGGTCTCTTCGCCGTCTCCAGAACGTGCAAGCGAAGATCAGCAGCGCCAGCAGCAGCAGCGCTCCCAGAACAGATCCTATCACGATCCCGGCAATCGCTCCCTTTGATAGTCCATTACCGCCGTTGTTGTTCGATGCACCCGCCCCCGTGGTCGAGGAAGTCGGCGAGGCTGATGCCGTCATTGTGACAGCAGCCAGCGACGATGAGGCCACGATGGGCAGAGTCACGCCCTGGCATCTCTCTGTGGTGTTGGAGAAGACACAGCAAGAGTCTGTAGAGTTCGGCGAGCTTGATGCGCAGTATGAGCAGAGGCCGCCGAGGTTGGTGGAAAAGCCACATTCGGTCTGCTGGTTCTGATAGCCCTGAATGCAAGTACCAGTGATGGAGTTGGCGGGCAGGGCGCAGTTGGTGAAGTCGGCTCGAATTTGCTGCAGTGCATTGGAGTTGGTAGTACCGCAAACGTTACTCGCAGCAATCTCTTGCTCACTCTGAGCGTATTCGGCGCAAGTCTCTGCGCAGAGGGGCGTCGCTGCGTCTCCAGTAAGGGCGCAGGGCTGGATTGAGTTCTGTACAATTGCATTGCACAATACACTGGTGGTGTATCTGGCGTAGAAGGCCGTGGTATTATCAAGGTTTACATTCGAACAACCTATTAGTGTTTGGTATCTGCGACGACAGTCAGCTTCGATGCGCGTCGGGCGCGAACAATGGCATTGTACTGACCTCGATTGTGTAAAATTCTGTGCAATGTAGTCTCGGATGCCGGAATCGAAAGATGCAACGTCCCCAACGGACGAAAGGAATGGGAACAGCGCGGTCAAACTGCTATCCGTGGAGATGGAGGACGCATTGAACGCCGGACACGAGGCTGAGTTGGCAAGAGAAATGCAGCTCTGAGCCATGGCTGTTTGTGCAGTGCTGGCGAGCAAAGCGCATAGGGCGGTCTTGGGAGCGATGTCGATGAATTTTCGCCGTGCTTTGTGCTTGCGATGGCGCTGCGAAGTATGTCGTGGTGGATGTGCATGTTGCGAAGGCGATGTATTGCAAGGGCGAGCACCGTGTCTGCCTCTCGGGTTGCTCTGAGGCGTTTCGAGATGGTCACGCAAGCGACCAACGCCGACTCGTCGGGGCATGCTGTCTCTTGCTCCCCGCCACAACGATGGTCCGGTGTCGACGCTGCCTGCTCCCTCCCTCCCTTCCCGGCGTTCCGCAGAGGTCGGTGTGGTGCGTGAGGTGATCTCGGGGGTCGATTCGGCTTGTTTATCGCTCGGCTTCGCGCTCAGATGGTCGACGCGTGTGGGCGCTGGGGCATGTTGCGGCGGAGTGGAAGTGGTGCACCGGCTGGGCAGCGAGGGACTGTCGCTGAAGCCGTGTGCGACTTCACGATGGAGCCAGGGAGACGCACCGGACGGGAAGGTGGAAGGGGTTGGTGCTACGAGTGAGGAAAGAAGCGGTGGTAAGGCAGGGTAGGCCGAGAAGCGCAACTCACACACAGACTGTGCAAGTGCAGATTGGCATAGACCAGAGATGCCGGCCAGATGTGGTGTAGCGTGCAGTAGCGTGCAGTAGCGTGCAGTAGCGTGCAGTAGCGTGCGATAGCCTGCGGTGGCCCGCCAGCTCCCACGCTAGAGCGATTGCCCGCGCGCGATTGGCTCGGCTGGCCAGCACGTTTGAAGCGGCCGGAAATGAGGTCGCGACATCCTCTCCACACCACCACACTGCTATTGTACTGTACATGTACTCTTCACCTTCATCAATCACCACACTCCCTGCTTCTCTCTTGTGTAACCCAGCATGGGCGGCACACCATGGTATGTTATCATCCGGGGCCTGCATTGGTTCCTCTCGGAGACTGGCGCCTGTGCTTGTCGTCGTGCCTCACACCTATGCTGGTCGAAACGGCCGGTCCGTGAAGCACCATGAATCATATACCCCGCTGTGCCCTCATGCCTCATGTCTGGCTTGTCCGAGTGCGCGGAGCCGCATGCAGCTCGTTGCTGGGTTGATTGCTGCAAGGTACGAGGGACGAGGACCAGCCCTCCTACTCTGAGACTTTGCCTGACTTCCGAGACCCATCATCCTCTCAATTCGTGTCGCTTTGGATACTACTACTGACTTTCAATCTCGATCTAGCTTGGACATGACACGGGCATGACCCTCGGGCATTCGCGCCAGCAGGAACCAGAAAACAGCATTTCGCATCATCCACTCGTCCAGTACATCGACCTCGATGCTCCTTCCCCCGTCTCTCAAGATTGGCTCCGTGGCTTAATCGGCTTCGGTCTCTCGTGGATATCCAAATGCGCAGCCACGTTGACCAACCACATGTCCCCCGCCTTCATCGACGGCGTCTTCTGCCCGCCGAAAAGGAATTCCATTGGATTGCCAGCATCCCATGACCCCGCCTGCTCAATCCCCTCAATGTCCTTCGGGGTAATCTCGATGCTCAATCTTGCGTCCGCCAACGATTGGGAAGACATTCGGCGTCTTAGCCATGGCGTACGCCAGAGCAATACTGGTAATCACCGTGCCTTTCTCAATGCCAATCTTCTCCAAGACCTTGGAGACCTTGATGTCGGTCTCCGAAAGTCCTCCCTGCTTTCGTCCTTTCTTGCTCTGGTTCTGCTCTTCAGTCTTAAAGTTTCCCCCACCAAGAGCTCCCCACGGACAGATCCCCATCCTCTCAGCCTCGCACGTTGGAATAATTTCTCTCTCCATGTCTCGCGATGCTGCACTCCAGTTTCCCTGGTAAACCGAAAATTGTCGCAATCCGTGGTCCCTCGCCCATTGGTTTCTAATAATCCGAAACGGTCAGTATCATCTATTCCTGTCTCTCGGACCTTCCTTCTCACGCTTTCGACACAATCCATGCTGGCGTGTCGCTCACTTCCAGATACAAGATCTTCCCCTGATCGGCGAGCATGTTGAGCGACTCCATCACTTCTTCGACCTGCAAAAAGAAAAGCATCAGGAATGAGCATCTCGTCCGTCCAAAGCGAAAGTCAAGGCAAGAAAACTCACCGAAGCAGTAAAGTCCCAAAAATGCACGTAAAAAACATCCACATAATTTGTCTGCAATTTCTTCAAACTCGCCTCGAGACTCAGCACCATGCTCTTGGTACTGTTTCCCACATAATTCGTCTGCAACGCCTTGGGGGAACCCCAGAATTTTTAGCCACTACCGTATTTTGTAGGAATCACCATTTCGTCCCCGACACCACGGAAGGCCATCCATTCCCGGATTCACGTTTCGGATTCTTCGGCTTGGTAGATATTTGCGGTGTCAATGAAGCTGCCGCCGACGGAGTGGAAGTCGTCGAGGATTTCAAAGGTGGTCTCTTTGCTGCATTCGCACATGAAGGATTTTCAGGCGTTGCCGAAGTTCATCGCTCCGAGACATAGAGGGGAGACGTGGACGGAGGCTGTCGGGGAGAGGATGCGATGGTAGCCTAGGAGGCTCTTGGGGAGGGGGGCCTGGTTCCATCGTTGTTGATGGGGAGGTCGTTTGGTCTGGGAGAGTGGTATGGCGTTCACGTGTTGCTGGTTGGGGGGATCATTTGATAAGGTGGAAGAACAGGACAATCTTGGATATTCATACTTTGCGGAAGGTATTTGTTCAATCATGACTTTCTATCCTGAGATGAAGCACCACAATTGCTTCCCATGACATACACGGTAGCTCCCGCCGACAGCTCCGGGTGTAAAGAAGATGCACTACCTCCGGTATGCAGGGTCCACTTTGTCGTTCATGGCTCCTTTCGCGTCCTGGTATCCGGACTTGGAACCGATTGACTTTGTGCTCAATGCTTGGTCGAAGGCTTCAGGCGATGGAATATGCTCCTGGTGTTTAGGATGATGGTTTGTATTCGTCACGGACGGACCGGTCTGGTGCTATTCTTGCTCCGGACTTGGGAGTTGACAGAGAAGTCACCTGTCCCATCGATAGGGTTCGTCGATCTCATTCAAGAGTCCAGTTCACATGAGATGTAGTCCATGGTGGAAAGTGTCCAGGGATTTTGACCGGTTGTGTTCTCGCAAGGTCGGGTGAAGACGCAGCAGGTATTGCACGCCAGCGTGTTCGCGTGGACAGCGGGAGGGAAGCTATGCGGTCTAGAGCCGGAGTGATATTCAAGTACGAGTTCCTCGTGCTTGTGTTGCCTGTAAGTGTTCGAATGGAAAAGAGCCAACGTTGTCATGTCAAGTCGATGGAAGGAAGAAAGTTCTGCCGAACACCGAGCATCACGTGGGAAATAAGCTCTAGACCCCTGCGAACAATCAGATGGCGGGGCTAAATTTACTGGAGGCTCGTGTGCGAGCGTTTCTTGAGGCATGTGAAACACCTGTCCCCCTTTCGCACGAGACATACACACATTTTGCTTGAGCAACACCGTCAAGTATCCGAGGCTAATCGATCGCAAATCCTACGCGGCCCGTCATTCGAGTCACGAGTTACAGTCAGAGGGAGCGATGAGTGCCAACGGCATTGAGTCAAAGATGGAGAACCTCGACGTGAAAGAGCCGCCAGTCGCAACCTCAGAGTCTGCAACTGGCAAAGACAAACCAAAGAAGCAGGACAAGGAGAGGAAAGACAAGAAGAAGGAAGTAAAATCAAAGCCGCAACAAATGCCAGCCAAGAAGAAGCAGGAGGGCCCCGAGCTCATTGGCATCACGGAGCCCAAAACGGGGGATCTCTCGGAATGGTACCACCAGGTCATTCTGAAGGGTGAGATGCTTGATTTCACGGATATTCCAGGATGCTACATCTACCAGCCTGCCTCGTACAGAATATGGGAATTCATTCAGGACTTCTTCAACGAGCGCATTCGCAAGATGGGCGTCAAGAACTGCTATTTCCCTCTCTTTATTTCGGAGGCAAATCTGCAGCGAGAGAAGGATCATATCGAAGGTTTCGCGGCGGAGGTTGCGTGGGTCACAGAAGGCGGAAAGTCGAAGCTGGAGAAGAGATTGGCTGTGCGTCCTACCTCGGAAACTGCCATGTACAGCTTCTACAGCAAGAAGATTCGGTCGCACAGAGATTTGCCTTTGAAGATGAACCAGTGGAACAACGTTGTGCGGTGGGAATTCAAGCACGCCGTTCCTTTCTTGCGGTCGAGAGAATTCTTGTGGCAGGAGGGCCACACGGCGCACTTGACGGAGGAGGGTGCCGGAGAGGAAGTACTCCAGATCTTGGACTACTACGCCGCAATCTACGAAGATCTTCTTGCCGTTCCCGTCGTGAAGGGCCAGAAGACCAAGAACGAACAGTTCCCGGGAGCACACTACACCAAGACTATCGAAGGCTTCATTCCCGCCGTAGGGCGAGGTATCCAAGCTGCAACATCCCACTGCCTCGGCCAGCACTTCGCGAAAATGTTCGATATCACAGTGGAGGATCCAAGCCAGGAGGTCAAGGAGGGCGAGAAGCGGAACAAGGTACACGTCTGGCAGAACAGCTGGGGTTTCACCACACGATCCATTGGTGTCATGGTGCTCGTCCACGGTGACGATAAAGGCTTGGTCATCCCACCTCGAGTAGCAGAGGTCCAAGCTGTCATTGTCCCTGTCGGCGTCACTGCCAAGACGACAGAGGAGGATCGCAAGCAGCTGTACGACGAGGTCGACCGTCTGCAGACTGTGCTTGAGGAGGCAGGCCTGCGTGTGGAGAGCGACATGCGCGAGGGCTACTCCCCAGGGTACAAATTCAATGACTGGGAGCTCAAAGGCGTCCCACTTCGTCTCGAGTTTGGACCAAAAGATCTCGCCAACGGTGTCGTCACCACTTCCCGGCGTGATCAGGACGCGAAGACAGGCAAGGGCACGATCGCTCTCAGCGAGATCGCCACGAAGGTCCCCGAGCTGCTCGAGACCATTCAGAAGGACCTTTTCCAAAAGGCATCGGATGAGTACGCATCGCACCGCAAGATCATCCGTGACTGGAAGGACTTTGTCCCCACTCTCAACGACAAGAACGTCCTCGTCGTCCCGCACTGCTTGGGCGGCGACTGCGAAGACGAAATCAAGAAGGATTCGGCCGGCAACATCGAGGGCCAGGAAGTCGACGCTCGTGCCCCGTCTATGGGCGCCAAGTCGCTCTGTATCCCGGCTGAGCAGCCCGAGGCGATCGCGGAGGGCACCAAGTGCATCAACCCCAAGTGCGGCCAAAAGGCTGAGCAGTGGGTCATGTTCGGACGCAGCTATTAAGTCGTCCCTGCGTTTGGGTCCTCCTTTTTCTTTTTTGGCGTGGCGTATGGTGCAGCAGGCCAGGCAGGGCGGCAGTGTTTGAGCGCGCAAGGTAGTTAGACATTGACTATGAAGCGAATGATGATGGATGAGTGAAAGAAGAGATGCAAAACACTCGGGCTTTTCCCCCAAAGTCTGTCAAAGATCTATAGACACCGAAGAACATTATTCTCGCTACGTGGGTATCTCGTCGTAAAGTACTTACACGCTGGTTTTTCTTCTTCTTCTTCATCTTTCCCAACCTGATTTCCCCTGTCGTTGGTTCTTCTGGCTCCAAAACTTTTTTTTTTTAAAAAAAAAAACCACAACCCCCAAAAACCCTTCTTCACCCCGGTGGTTCTATTCCCCAGGATTCATCTCCTCCCTCTCCCTCTCCCCGTCCGGCGTAAACAAAGCCTCCGTACTCGCATGCCTCTTCAACTTCTTCACCGCCAACCCCCTCCGCACCTCGACGCCCTCCAATTTCTTCCGCATCAGGAAAGCCTGCCGGATCAGCTCGACGATCTGCGTCGGATCTTCGGATACCTAGAAAGACAAAGAAAAAAAAAATTAGAAAAAAAAAAACATTCCAATTAGATTTTTGGGTAGGGGGATGGTTGTTTACTTTGCATTTATTACTCATGTAGGCGAAATATTCGCCTTGCGTTTCGCATTCGAGCAAGGGTCTGGTGTGGTTGGAGAGGAGGGTCAAGGCGATGTTGAAGAGGAAGGTCTTTTGGGAGGGGAGGGTGAGCCTTTTTTTATTGCGAGGCGAAAGATGATTAGCGAGAGTTTCTTCTTTCTTCGGATCGATCTTTTTTTTGGGGGGGGGGGGGGGGGGGGGGGGGGGGGGGGGGGGGGCGCAAAACAAAAAAAAAAAAAAAAAAAAAAAAAAAAAAAAGCGAGGAGACGTACCAAACATCCCATATCCTCAGAAGAACCGTTTCGGGCAGGACGCTGGCGAAAGCGGTGAGGAACCAGCTGAGGGGGACGGTGTGTTCGGGGTCGATTTCGAGCTCGTGGAGTTTATCGGAGAGTCTGGGGAGGAGTTCGCCGACGTATTGGCGGAGGACGATGTTGTCGGAGATGGGCCCGTTGAGGGAGGTTTCCTTGGAGAAGTAGTCGGGTGGGAAGAAATCGTCGACCATGTTGCAGAGGACCCAGAATGCGTCGCTTTCGTCTGGGAGGTGGGTATGTTAGCTATGGCGTTGTAGTGGGGGGTGAGATGGAAGATTTCACGGGCAGGGCAATGGCAATGGCAATGGCAATGGCGTGCCTACATCCAATCTCCAATGTTTTAGCACGTACCTGCAATAGCCAGAAGTAAGTATCCCGCAATCATGTTCAGGCCTTGAGTATAGCCCAGTCCGGGATACTTGTTCACGAACGCAATGAGGACTTTCTTCAATCGATCGTACCCCTTCTCGGCGTAGTAATCGTACTTGCTCGTGAGGGTCCTCGGGACGTCTTTCAGGATCGCGTCAATCTCTTCGGGGTCTTCGTTGTCTTGCAGACCGAGATAATGCTGGTACGCGTCCGGCTGCATGATGGCATAGGTATTGGAGAGTTCCATCCAGATCGGTTGGCGGAGGCGCATGGGAATTCCGGAGATCACGAGCCGGGTGAGCATTTCGAGTTTCTGTTTCCCCCTGCGAAAGACTGTGAGCATTACGGGACTTCCAAATTCGTCCGAGATTCCTGTAGAACGTACGCGTTGCCTTCATGGCCCCATCTCGAGGCTCCGAGTAATTCGCCACTGCGAGCTTCCTCTCCACTCTGCTCCCTCGACTTCATCAACCTCACCAAGAACTTATTCCACTCCGCCTCCTGCGGATCTTTCGTGGAAGGCTGCGACAGCGTCGGCGGTAACTGATCCCTATCATGCCTCGTACTCATCTCCACCGGCTCGCGATTATTCGTCGGTGTCCCTCCTCCGCCACCATTCCCTCCCACACTACCACCACCGCCTCCACCGAGCCCGCTGATACCTTTGATAGTACCAGTAAACGCATTCCAAGTCGAACTCTCGGTACTCTGAATGCTCAAAACATCCACACTCTTCGGCCGTTCCGTCCGCTTCTTGACCGGCGCACGCTGCACCGAAGCGGATCGCGAAGAACTCGTCGTCCGAATCGAAGACCCGGAAGGCTTCAGACTATCCTTCCTCTTCCCCGCTCCGCCAAACAACCTCGTCAATCCCCGAATCGTCCCATTTCCATTTCCAGTCGTCTCCAGCGGTAAACTCTCCTGCTGCGCCGCCCCCGTCCGCTGCTGCGCTTCCTCCCTCGCCGCCTCGCCCAGACTCCCCTTCCGCCTCAACCTCCGCACCCTCCCCTTCGCCTCGGCAATCTTCCCATCCGGCACCCCAACTTCCTCGCATAACCGCCTCAGAGCCGTCACCTGCGCATCCCGCTCCGCCAGCAACCCGCTCAGATTCCGCACCAACTCCATCGCTCCCCGGTGCGCGATGATCCTCTGCAGCACATTCTCCTCGCAAGTCGCCAGATTCTGCGGATCGTCATCATCGTCATCTTCTCCGTCGGCATCGAACATGCTCGGCCGCCCCGCGGTATCGAGCAGGCCATTCAGAGCAGCGGGAACCGCCGCCGCAGCGTCGAGACCATTCTCATCATTTTCTCCAAGAATTCCCGCCGTCGGATCATCGAGCAATCCTCCCTCATCATCATCATCATCATCATCATCATCAACCCCCTCGACGACGGCGCCCTCCTCCGGATCCGGAAACGAAGTGAGGGAATTCGTATCTTCCTGACTCGTGGCCGTCGTACTCGACTGGACCCGTGAAACGAGCGGCTGGCGACTGGAACGCCGGCTCAAATTGCTACTCATCATCTGCTTCTGCTCCTCCAAGAAAAAAAAAAAGAGCCGCCTCACATGATGTCGCCGTGACTGTTTGAACTCGTAGAAAAGAAAACGCGGAGATGTTTGTTGTTGTTTGTGCTGGTGGCGGGCTAGACGCGCCAAGAACCACCATCTTCTCCATGAATCTTTGATGCGTGTTGATGGGAATTTGATGGCTGTGGGAAGAAGGATCCGCCCCCGTCGTCACGATTGCGTCGTACAACAACAGGGGCGAACTTGGTAGGAGGTACTGTGACATCCTGGCGAAACTTGAGCGCTTAACGGGACGAAGAAGCCATGCTACACCCTCCGTGATCGTTGAGGTTATGCGAACGGGATAGAAAAGAGGCCATCACGAGCTTGTAGACTCATCAAATTCAATGGCTTTTCTCATTATACACACTCAATTACCTCGCGCACGGCTGCACCCCTCCCGCAGAAGCCCGTCTTCCTTTTCCCATAACGCCTCGCTAGTAGTCTCAACCGGAACAGCGTCTCGACCAATTCAAAGTGGCCCGTCAGTTTGACGCTTCTAACCTTGCCCAGGTGCACGCGGAAGGTCTCGATCTGGGCCATGATTGTTTTGCGGTCGGTTGTGACGCGCCATCACGTCTTGTAGATCGAGGAAACGCTCGTCCAGGGCCGCAAATCGAGCTGCCCACTCATCACCGAGTCGCGCGGGCGCTGGGAAATTGGGAGCTCGGAGGGGCGGGTGATGTTGGTGTTGATGAGGCCTAGCTTGTGCTTGCTGTTCAGCGGCCTCACCAAGATCGAGACCTCTCCGTTGTCGAGCGGCTTGAATATGTTGCTGAAATGCTCGTGGGTTCAGACCTTCCCTTTGCCCAAGCTCATCTTGCCTTCGCCGTAGCGCAGCCTGTTGAAGAGCTAGTATACGCTGCTGATGATGCAATCGATGCAGAAGCGCAGGATCTCCAGGGCGAGCGTCCGGCCCAAACACACCCAGCCGCTGAAGGAAGCCGGGCTGTGCTTGTCGATCGGGTGCGTCAAAACGATGCTGGTGTTCATTGCCAAGACCGACTGCTAGATGCGGAGGTTCATACAGATTGCCAATTCCAGGATTATTAGCTTGCCCAGCAGGCGCAGGTTGAGGCGGTAGGTATGGCTGCTGAGGCCGAGCTTGCTGACCGATGGGGTTTATTCCGAAAACCGGGATGAAGCCTTGCACCTGAGGGCGTCCTGCAGCGGCTGCAGCTCCATTCGCAAGTCGCGCTTCCTGCACCCGAGCTGCTGCATCCACTCTTGGGATGTTCAAAATCCTGTCACCATTGCCGAACCGCAGTCTAGGCCTTCCGGCAATCCTCTGGCGGCGCTCTTCTCTCTGGGCAGCTAGACGTGCACGCACAGGTTCCCAAACCCCTTCGTCGACATCAAAATCCTCGTCATAGTCAGCCTCTTCGCCCTCGAACATTGGGTCCATGTGGTTATGCATCCTGAACCAACCTCCGAATCCAGCTGGCACGGCCCTGCCAATACCCCCACCGGCTTGTCTAATGCGGTCCTGAGTGGCTTTACTGACAGCATCCGACACTTTGATCTGCAGATCATCCGCAGACACATCAGGATTCTCTTCCATGACCTGGGCGCGAGCCGCTGCTTCCGCCTCTTTCACTTCACGTTCGTGTCGCTCCTCGACATTGTCGTAAAGAGGACATCGCTTGTTGCCATCGGCGTTTGGTCCCCGAGGACCTTGATCGAAGTGATTGTAGTCCTTCAAAGACTGCGAACAGACGTAGCACTGCAAGTTTCCGCACGATGGACAGGTCTGTAAATGTTAGCACATGGAGTGTTGAGCCGGGTAGGATACGTACCATCTTGTTGCAGCCATAGTCTTTGATGAAGTGCTTCTTGCACTTGTTGCACGAGCGGATCATAGCAGCAGTCATGGCCTCTTCGATCTTGTGACGAGTGTTCAGCTTGTTATCTTTGGCGTGCTCTTCGCAAGACTGTGGTACGTGGGATATTGCTTTGCAGCGGCGGCAGCTAACTTTCTCACATTCCGGATTGGCACACCGAAATTCGAAGTCCACATCGACAGGTGGGAGGATAGCTTTGTAATCGCAGAACGGGCATTCCTCCAAATCGTCGAGCCCTGCATCGCGAATGTCTTTTTCTTGTTGCAGCTGCGAGAGTTTCTCCAGAAGCGGCTTGTCGGCTAGCAGTTGGAGTTGAGCGTGGGCAAAGCCCGCGCCACAGCCAGCGGTACATAGCACTCGGCATCGAGACTCGCCGACTTCTGATTTGATATACGTCTCAGCGCACTCGAAGCACGTGAAGTGAGCGGTGTCTCCATTGCAGTGGATCTGCCTGTTCATGGGAAGGTCCTCGAAGCATGCTTGGCATTCGGCGGTTTCGCCAGCGTCAGTCGCGATTCTCAGATTCTCTTCCTCGACCCTCTTCTTGGCCTGATCTTCAACCCGCTTTGCTCGGACAGTCTGCACGCGCTTGCGCGCAGCTTCAAGCTCGTCCAGGAGCGGCTCGTGACCAGAGTTGCGAGCGATATCTTCGGGAGAAGCATTGGCTTTCGATGGTTTGCCAAGCCATTTTTTACGACCATCGCTGGTGTCTCTCGCATTTGCAACAGCCACATAGGTCTGGTAGAGATGTTTGTGGGTGGCCAAGAACTGACTGATCATGTTCTGTGCGACCTCCGGAAAGTCGGCTTTGATGATGGCAGTAATTGCACCTTTGCATTGAGCAGGTGCAGCTTCGCGTGTTGGTGCCTCCCAGCGCTCGACCATGCCGTCCTCGTCATCCTCCCGCTTCCGTTTCTTCTGCTTGCCTTTGTCTTGCTTGGGGTAGCTCTCTCCAGAGATCAGCTTCTCGATAATGTTCTCCAACCGGGAGCGTCCAGAAAGTGACTGCAACGAGGTGTCATGATCGAAGTCCGAGTAGAGCTTATGAACGTGTTCATGGTTGATGTCCGGGAAGATTGCAAGGACACGTTGTAGGCATACGTCCGCAGTGAAGTCGGAGTCGAGCATTTCAGCCATATCAGCGTCGAGGCTGGGTTGATTTGCCGGTGGAGCTAGCCCCATGGCCTGCGTTCGAGGCTCTGGGATATCATCCGGTATGAAGATATGCTCGCCGTCAATTTCAAGCCATTCCCCACCGTTTGACTGGTCGACTGGTGCTCCCTGCGGGGCTGGCATGTTGTTCAGCAGGTCTTGCGGAAAGTCGCCGGGCATACCGAAGTCGTAGTCTTGGAGCATGTTGACCTGGGCGGCCCGCTCTTCGGGGCGTGGAGCAGGTCGCGCAGGTGGCCACTGCATGGGTGGCGGTTGATTTTGCAATGGGAGTGGAACCTCGTGAACGCTCCCATCCTCCTCCTCGTCGCTTACGAGATCAATGACGATTTGCTGCTGTCGGGCAGCATCAGAAGCCATTTCGCGCTGATCAAGTGACCGGGGAGCAGTGCAAGGGAGCGGTGCAAGGGAGCTGTAGCTAGAAGCAGCGCTCGAGGAGTAGCCTCCAAGAGCGACAATACTGAGGGCAGGTGAGTGGTTCGAGAGATGGGGTGCAGTCTGAGTTTCGAGATGACGGACCAGCTCCGGCGGAGAGTGGAAAGAATGATGCGTTTTGTGCTGGTGAGCGCCGGGCGGTTTCAGTTGGGCTCGTGAGCGCGCGAGGCTTGCACGTCACTTGTGACAACGCGACGGCGTTTGTGTGGGCGAACAGGGCGGGCGTGAAAGCGGATAACAAGTGAAGGGCGTGCTGAAATGAGGACTGAGATTATTCAATGAGGGGAGGCCGGTCGGGGGGTGGAGGACAGGCGAGCGGCGGCCAGGCTGGAGGAGGTGCCAGGTGTGTCGTGACGGTGCGGTGGTGATCCCACCAGACGTCTTCCCGTCTCCTGAGAGGAGAGGAGAGTCCCGTCGTTTCGATGGATGCAGAGTCGATGTGTCGGGAGCGAAGTCACGTTATTATGGCGGTGGAAGTTGCTCTCGCGTGCGTCTGTGCTGCCTGCTGCCTGCCTTTCTTGTCTCGCGCGAGGTTGTCCGGGAAGGCGGTGGAGAACCTGAAGGCGAAGCGGTGCACCGGTCCGCATTCACATTCACCTTCACCGTCGCCGTCACGGTCGCCGGCGTGTGTCGAGACGACCTCTTCGCGCCCCATCTGCCCGTGGCCGCCGGGAAGCTCCCAGCGAGAGAGGTGTGCGGACCGAGTGAGAACCTGTGAGCGCAAGGAGGCCATCCGGAGACTGTCCAGTCTCGCTATACAGCACCCGCGTCTCGCTCCAAGACACCGACGACTACGACAGAGTCAGCAAGACACATCCTTCAACGGCCCGGTGCTCATCGATGAGATGGTATGCTGCCTGAGGTAGATCACAGGCGCAAGACTCGCTCTCCTCTCCAATGCAGTACGATGCTTCCCCTTCCCACTTGCTCTTCTGGGACTAGCGCCCTCGAGAGTCATTGGCCAAACCTTGTACCGCAAGTTATGCCGGACCTCCATCAAACAACATCCTCTCCTCAACGCTTACCATCGGGTATTCGATATCATAGCAACCCACCACTGACTGGCGCCCGTGAGTCCATCTGCGTCTTCTACGTCTCCGAGCTCTCGTATCGCACCCTTCTCCCGCCACTTACACACAGAGCGAAGAACATCCTAACAGTCCGAATTGCTACCCTTTCATCCTCTCTTATTCTTCCGTCTGTCACAGTCAGCTTTCCAAACACCAACACGTCTGCAATATGGGCAGCTTCGACCTTCCGAATAGAGACTCTCCCGATCTGCACCTCGTAGTTGCGACCAGAGACGAGCTCCGCGCACTGCAACATGAGAATAGTGAAGAATGGCGCGGCGCCCTGTCACTCGAGGCATACCTCCGCAGAGAAGAGCACCTATACAGCCAGGACATGACGAAAGAGGGCGGGATGACTCCGTGGATGCTGGTCCACCAACCCGATCCAGATGGTCCACGGAAAGTCCTGTGCGGATGTGAGACTCTCAGAAAGAATGCATTGGTTGGCCGCCAAGGCAAGGCAGAAGATGCAATTGCCTATGGAATCTGTTCTGTCTTCTGTCCTGAAGGGTATAGAGGCCGGGGATACGCTGGTAGGATGATGACTGAGCTGGGAGAAAAGCTGAGGAGCTGGAAGACAGACGAAGGGGAGCTATGTCTATTTAGTGTGCTATACTCCGACATTGGCAAGGACTTCTACGCTGCGAGAGGATGGCATCCGTTTCCATCAGCTCATGTTACGCTGCCAGCTTCGACCCGAAGACCTGCAGGCCAAGTGCGCCCCCTAGAGGCCAACGATCTGCCCGCACTTAGCTCAACCGACGAGGCGATGCTCCGCAAACAGCTTTCCGCTATGAAAACTGACAATCGGCCTGCTGTAGCACTCCTTCCTGACGCTCGTACGTTCCAATGGCATCACGCTCGCGAAGAATTCGTGGGCAAGGAGCTGCATGGCAAGCCACCGGTCGTCAAGGGTGCAATCATCGGAGATTCACCCGGCGCACGTGTCTGGGCGATCTGGACTCGCGTCTGGTCGAATCCAAAGGAAGAAACGCCAAACACATTGCACATCCTACGATTGGTGGTCGAAGATGAGGCCTACTCGGACTTCAAGCCCGCATCTCCCGATATTGCTGCGAAGTCGAGAGACACGGCGGTTGCACATGCGGTGGCCGAGGTCTTCAGAGCTGCACAGTATGAAGCTACGCAGTGGGATATGAAGGAGGTGACAATCTGGAACCCTACATCTGCGACGCTAGCAGCAGCGCAAACCATCGATCCAAACGTCACCGTCATTCAGCGTGAAACAGACAGTATTGCAAGCCTGCAGTGGTACGGTAGCTCCAGGACGTGGCAGGACGTAGATTGGATCAAGAATGAGAAGTTTGGATGGTGTTAGGGCCAGGCAGTAGTGGTAGGGGTACGATAGATCTGCACACCTAATTCCGGGCGCCTTCCGTATTGGCGATGTAGCTCATCTCTTCACAAGATGCGCAGAGGAAAAGGTTGCATGTGAAAATGCTGTCGGATCTTCGTCCCTGGATACGTACTCTGCATGCTCTGCGCCACAATCTGCCGACCCTAGCGGTGTCGGGGTGGTACACCACACGGGCAGCACAGAGTGGGGTCAGAGACTGGATCTTGATTCAACTCCGAGAGAAGCAGTCGGCTGTGAACGAAGTAGTAGCAGGAGCCAGTATCGCTCCGCTGGCTGATGACTCTGCCGAGCTGGCAGTCACTACTATTCAAATGGCATCCTCGAACCATGTGGCGGCAAGTCGTTCTTCCGTCGACGCTAGAATGCAGGCGAACAGGCGGAGACCTTGTTCCTAGCAACAACAGCACAGACAGCGCAACGCAGCAGGTTCTGAAACACTCTGGACAGCAAGATCTTGCACATCAGTGGCACAAGCCCCAAGGCAGCCAGCGAACGTGTTTGAGACGTGATCAGGAAGCAAATTGAATGAAAAGCGCGCGCAATGGTTGGGCAGCAAGGAAAAAAATTTGGGCAGTGGACCAGACTAGATGTAAACACAGACAGATTCCACTATCTCCCTCGCTATCTCTTGGCCCGCTCTTGAGAGAGTTGCCTCCTCCTCATCCTCGTCTCCGCCTTCTGCCTCTGCTCCTCCATGCCTCCTCGTATCTCGCTGTCGCCGAAGGATTCGTGGACGAGTTGAATGCGCGCGCGCGGGGAATAGGATGTCGTGGCTCAGCAATCAAGCGTCTTACTAGAGTGAACTCAACCCTCGTGTTCGACCGGCGGAACGTCATCACGCCTGCCGAGAATTGCGTCCCTCCCACACTACTACCCTAAGGTACTGCTGCAACCGCACGAGCAGAAGACGAAGAACGGCAACGACAGAAGAGGGACGACACGGACTCGTCCACGACGGCGGGAAGGAGTCCTCGTCCTATACTGCTTTGCTGCTACTACTGATCGCGGACAACGCCTTCCACGCGCCGGCCAAAGCAGGCATCTCGCATCTCGCATCTCACAGCTCTCTCTGCCCGCGCCGCCGTCTGCAATTGTCGAGTTGCCCTACCCCAAGTCCCGCAGCGGATCGGCGACAGGCGAGGCGAAGCGAAACGAAGCAGCGCCGCTGTGTGTTTGGAATCTTGGAGCGGAGCAAGCACCTCCTCCCCCACCACCACCACCACCACCACTACACTGCACTGCACTGCACTTCTACCGCGCCGCTGTCTCTGCCGCCAGCGCCCGCCTGCTGCCTTTCACTGCTCCCTACACCCCCCTCGAACCGGATCCAGCTGCTGAAGCTTTGTCCAGTGTTCAGAGCTCTTCCGTCAGTCCGCGCGGAGTCTGCGAAGACCGCGTAGACGTATCGCGGCAGCCTGCACGTGCCTCAATCCACACATCACCACGGCGACGACATCCCACCACCCCCTCCACCACCGACTGATATTCTTCGCCGGCACCTCAACTTTCCCCACAGACCTGCGCTCGGCGGGCACCCAACACCGCCACCATGAACGAAGATGCCGCAATCCAGGAGATCCACCGCAAAATGGACCGCGAGAGGCAAATTATCAATGCTGCCAACCAGATGCGGCAGGCTACCAATAACCCCAACGTCACATCACGGGCTGAAGCCAATATCCGAGATGCGCGGCGAAACATCCAGTATTTTGAACAGACGCTGCAGAACCTCCAAGAGCGAAAGATGGGTGGGGATATGAGCAATCTGTCGATATCAGGCAACGGTGGCCCTCCCCCGCCTCAACATAGCAGCCGCGGCGGATCGTCTGGAGGCATGAACAATGAGCAAGGATACGGCGGAGGCGCAGACTATGGTAACCCAGGCGCTGGAGGATATAGCATGGGCGGAGGCAACGGATTGATGCCACCCAGAGCTCCGTATGCTCCGCCAGGCCCGGCAGATAGATCGCCAAGAGCACGTCCCAACTACAGCAAACTGGGTGAGTTCCGTGTACGGAGCGATGTGGGTATGAAGCTGACCATGATCCAGATCTCATCAAATATGACACAGCACATCTCGGGCCTCGCATTCAGCTCATGTTGTCACAGCTCGAGTTCAAGCTTTCTGTGGAGAAGCAGTACAAAGATGGCATTGAGAAAATGGTCAAACTATACCAGATGGAAGGCGATCGTAAAAGCAAGGGCGAGGCAGAACTGCGCAGAATGGAGAGTAATCAAAAGATTCAGCTTTTGACAAGAGCATTGCGCAGATATGAAGGCTTGCATGTTGATGTGGAGAACGGAGCAGATGCGGGAGACGATGACAGCCTGGATACGCCTAGCCAAAGGAAACCTCTGACTGGACATCTGTCTGTCAAGATTCATGCGGTGGCCGATGTGGAACACGCCTCTTCGGGTAGATTTTCTCGAGGCCCAGACACATTCGTCATCATGAAGGTTGAGGATGCTTTCAAGGGCAGGACAAAAGCAACAAAGACCGACCGATGGACGGACGAGCAACACGAGTTCGATGTGGACAAGGCGAACGAGATTGAATTCACGGTCTACGACAAGTCGAGCAGCGACCATCCCATCCCAATTGGATTGCTCTGGATTCGCTTGTCAGACCTGGTAGATGAGATTCGGCGAAAAAGGGTAGAGACCGAATTCAACCAAGCTGGATGGAAAACCGCGGACCAAATGGATGGATCACAAACTCGTGCGGACCTTCAGTTCCAACCTCCTCCTGGCTCTTCCGGTGGTCTTGGCGGTCAGGGAGGTGGTGCTACCGCAGCAGCGGCAGGTGGTCCGGCTGGATCTGGTCTTGCGCCGCAGACTGGACCTATCTACGTCGATGCATGGTTTTCTCTGGAGCCAGTGGGTCGCATTCAACTCACATTGAGCTTCATCAAACAAGTCAAGGACCGACGCCCCTTCGATGTGGGTCTCAACCGAAAGGGAGCTGTGCGTCAGAAGAAGGAAGATGTTGTGGAACAGTATGGCCACAAATTCACGGTTCAGACCTTCTACAACATCATGCGTTGCGCTTTGTGCGGCGACTTCTTGAAGTACACTGCTGGCATGCAGTGCGCAGACTGCAAGTATACTTGCCATCAAAAATGCTATCAAAAGGTCGTTACGAAATGTATCAGCAAATCGAATGCTGAGACCGACCCGGATGAGGAGAAGATCAACCACCGCATTCCGCATCGCTTCGAGCCTTTCTCAAATATGGGAGCCAACTGGTGCTGCCACTGTGGTTATATGCTACCACTGGGCAAGAGACAGTCGCGAAAGTGTACAGATCCTTCATGCAAGCTCACTTGCCATGCTGCTTGTGTGCACTTCGTTCCAGATTTCTGTGGCATTACCATGGAGCGTGCCAATCAGATCTTAAACGAGATCAAGAAGACGAAGAGAGATCCGGCTGTTACACAGGGCAGGCGGCTACCTGACACCCTTCGTCCTCAGTCGGCAACAGCAGGCAGGCCGACACCACCTCCTTCCGCACAAAGCTTTGCCCCGGCGCCAAACCATCAAGATCAGATGTCACAGAAGGAGGACCGATTCTCGTATGGCAAAGAGCGGATGTCGGATCATTACGAGCAACCGCCAAGAACTTCTTCCTTCGAACCACCGCCTTCGTCCGTTGATGCCGCCAAATCTTCAATGAGTGCCGGCTCAGCACCATCCTCCCCTGAGACCACTCACCGTCCTCCGGCGCAGCGTGCACAGTCGTCTCAGTCGCCCGCGGCAGCTGCTGCTGCAATCGCCGCGATTGCTAACACTAACAGTGCGAAGCGCGGCTCTGCGCAGGACCAGCGACCAAGCTACAGCAGAGGGTCCACAGACTACGCTCAACAACAGCAACGACAATCGGGAGGCTACGCTGATGGCTACAACGAAAGCAAGGGCTACGCTCAGTCGCTCCGACAACCGCAGCAATCCTCCTACAACCCCGCGGACTACGCTGCAGTTACAGGCTACTCTCAAGGTCCGCCAGCCCAACAGCCTGTTCAGCAAGCGCCAGCGCCGCCACCAAAGCCCTACCAACCTCAGCAGTATGCCCAACAGCAACAGGTCCCACAGATACAGCACCCACAGTCACCGGCACCTCCAGTACAAGCTCAACCGCAACAGCCAAATGTCTCCGTCACGACTCCTGTCGTGGAAGAGAGGAAACCAGCTCCACCAGCCAACACTTCAGGTACCGGAAGGCGCATTGGTCTTGACCACTTCAACTTCCTGGCCGTGCTCGGAAAGGGTAACTTTGGAAAGGTCATGCTTGCCGAGACAAAGACCACGAAGCAACTTTACGCCATCAAGGTCCTGAAGAAGGAGTTCATCATCGAGAATGATGAAGTGGAGAGCACCCGATCCGAGAAGCGGGTATTGTTGATTGCAAACAAGGAGCGTCACCCGTTCTTGCTGAATCTCCACGCTTGTTTCCAGACTGAGACTCGCGTGTACTTCGTCATGGAATACATAGCTGGTGGTGATCTGATGCTGCATATCCAGCGCGGTCAGTTCGGCACTAAGCGTGCACAGTTCTATGCGGCGGAAGTCTGTCTGGCATTGAAATACTTCCACGAGAACGGAGTCATCTACCGTGACTTGAAGCTGGACAACATCATGTTGACACTTGACGGTCATATCAAGATTGCCGATTACGGTCTGTGCAAGGAAGACATGTGGTACGGCTCGACGACTAGCACTTTCTGCGGTACACCCGAATTCATGGCACCGGAAATCCTGCTCGACAAGAGATATGGCCGCGCAGTGGACTGGTGGGCGTTTGGTGTGCTGATCTACCAAATGCTGCTCCAACAATCGCCTTTCCGCGGAGAGGACGAAGACGAAATCTATGATGCCATTCTCGCGGACGAGCCGTTGTATCCAATTCACATGCCTCGGGATAGTGTTTCGATTCTGCAGAAGCTGCTCACTCGAGAGCCAGAATTGCGGCTGGGATCGGGACCTACTGATGCGCAGGAGATCATGAGCCATGCTTTCTTCCGGAATGTCAATTGGGAGGACGTCTACTACAAGCGGTTACCGGCGCCTTTCTTGCCTACTGTCAAGGGTAAGGCGGACACGAGCAATTTCGATTCGGAGTTTACGAGTGTTACGCCGGTTTTGACGCCTGTGCAGTCTGGTGAGTCTCACCCCCTACATGGGAGAAATCAAGATGAGAATGGATTTTTGCTGACTTTGATATGCAGTTCTGTCACAGGCGATGCAAGAGGAATTCAGGGGCTTCTCTTACTCTGCCGACTTCGTTTGAGAATGAACATGCCCTTTCGCTACTTGGTTTGGAAGTCCCAGAGAGAAAGGGAAGAAAGTTTCGCAATTTCCCCCAGCAAAGCAGATCATGGAGGGAGGTTTTTGAACCGAATCGATCTGATGCACAAGAAGAGGGCTTCGGTCATTTTGTGATACCCAGCAACGACCGTTCGGTGCTTTGTAGTTGCACGATGAGTGAGATGGCTGGCCGAGAGAGAGAGAGGCATGCCGAGGAGAGGAAGGGGCTTGAGGTGGTGATGATGACGACGATGACATTGCGTATGAAGTGGGAAGTGCTGTCCTGTGCTGGAGTGGTCTGTTGATGGATAGAGAAGAAGTTTTTTACTTGTTCCAACCCAACAACTCTTTTTGTTGGTTAGTTCTGATTGTAATAGAGATGATGAACCCAAGCGCTGCCTTCTTGTTCGTCGACTTTTTTGGTTCTTCTTGTACTGTCTCGTTTCCACTTGGGGTGTGACTTGCAAAGATTCGGCACATTGGATGAAATCTGGGGAGAAGACCTTCTTTCTCCCACTCCAGGTTTGTGATTCGAATCATCACGAAACCGAGGACCGACTGACTGACTGACTGCTCTTCTGCTCTTCTGCTCTCTATTCTATCGATCCGATTCCCTTTCGTATATCCAGACTTGCTCGTCATAATCATAATCCTTGTACACTTTTCTCTCTCTCTCTCTCCCCGTTCTGACTTTTTTTTTTGTTCCTTTTTCCGTTCTCCCTTTTTCCCCAACGCCTGCCTCCTCTCTCGCGCGCGGAATTGAACGATTGAATCGAACGAATGAATGGCAAAGGTCTGTGTGTTTCGTGATCCGTCAGTTTCTGTCGTCTCTCGTGGTATCTGGTTGGACGCTTTTTTCACCATGCACAGACGGACAAAAAGACAAACAAGGAAGGTGTGGCCGCCGCGTCCTTTTCTTCTAGGTTGGAATTTTCTATCCTTCTGTGGTCGGCCGTCGAGTGACATCCACTCTGAATGTGTAGGAAGATAGACGGACGGACTGTTATTCATTTGGCTGGATAAGGCAGGCGTGGCGTGTGATGATTTCTTCTTTAACAGAAATGAGGGAAGGGAAGGAAGGAAGGAAAAGATGAAGAGAGACGTAGAGGATGAATGGAGGGGGTGGAAGAAAAAGCGCCCAATTCTTTTGGGGAATTCCGAAGGGGTTCTTCGTCGATGAGGAAGAAGGATATACATGGCTTCATCGAGAGAGAAGAAGGCTGCTGCCACTTGGGGCGTCGAAGGTATTGATTGGTGATTGGTAGGCTTATAGATTTCAGGAAGCGAGTCGACGGGGCTGGGGTTGTCTCTGCGTTTCACGTTTGTTGGAAAAGGAGAATATGGGGTTGGGGAAGTGGGAAGTGAGAGAGGGGGTTTGGCGGGGGATTTTGAGGTTGAAGAGGGCGTGAGAATGGAGACCGCGATCATAGCCAACGGCACCGATACCTGGACCAGCGCACGAAACTTCTCGATGTCGAAGAGTGGGGTGCATTCTTGCCTCCTTCATCCAACGTTCCGTGCGCTTTTGTGAGAGACCAACTTGGTTGCTCGACAATTGGGAAGAGAGAATTTGAGTGTGTCCGCAAGGAGTACATGAACCAGAGAGATGAAAAGCCGCAAGCGAGAGAGTGAAGGACTTTCATATCGGTTGTATCGCGCCTGTGGTTATCACAACACGGCGCTGCTAAAGCGCACGGGTCCAGCGTGAGTTGTCGTGGCTCGAAGACGTGCGATGGGCTCTCGAGGGGCATCTTCGCGCTCCGAAACCGTCCATTGTGTGTGTGCCCATGCCTCGAATCTGAACAAGCCGCTGACGCGCACTGCCGGATCTCCGTTAAATTGGCGATGAGCACAGTGCAGAGAATGCTGATATGGCACCGTCCACCGAGTCAGATGACATGAGACTGGATCTCCATGCTATAAGTACCTTCTTGTCACACGAAGTATTCGGACAGGCGTATGCGCAACAAGTGAAGTACTTTCGAATCGCTGGAGAGCTCCTGGGCCGCTTAGAGCGCCACCGCCGTCTGCATGTCGCGTTCCATCTCTTCAATCGTGTGCCCAAACCAGCATTTCGTAGTCTTTAACAATCTTCTGGAGGACACCGAATCGATCGCGGTCAACAGACTGTTATGCCAGCACTGCTGCTTGTGTGCCTGCCTGGTGCAGCGAGAGCTGGCATAAACCCTGGAATCTAACAGGTGAGGTCCGCAAAGCTTCTTGTCCAGCAAAGTGAACGCTTTCCAGAACCATTTTGGGAGACCGCCATACATTTTCCCTAGTAGCTATCCCGTTTGCTTCTTCACTTACCTTCGGAGACCCTGGTCGATCGCGCTATGTGAGCTTCGAGCTGCGGCCTAGAAGGTCTTCAAAAGCTTCTTCTCTTCCAGCCTCTTTCATCTTTCTTCCACTCCACTCCACGCTCGACCAACAACCAGCAAGCACCCCTTCCCACACACCAAGACACCATCCAAGCCAACCGGACATCATGACATCCAATCTCACTCTCAACCTCACCGCCCGCGAGCAGGAGCTGCTCAAGGCCGTCGGATCATACCTGCAGACCGCCTCCGTATGTGGCTTGATTAATATCCTTCAATTCAATGCCGGATTCATGCTGACAATACCTTCCGTAGGTCGACTGGGCTAAGACCGCCGAGAAGTGCAATTACAAGACGCCGAAAGCCGCGCGCGACAAGTGGTATCCACTGCGCGACAAGCTTTTCGATGCCATGACTTCCGATCTCACTCTCACTGCCCGCGAGCAGGAGTTGCTCAAGGCCGTCGGAGCTTACCTGCAGACCGCCTCCGTAAGTGGCTCAATCAATTTCCATCAATTCAATGCCGGAATTATTCTGACAACACCTTCTGTAGGTCGACTGGGCCAATGCCGCCGAGAAATGCAACTACAAGACGCCGAAAGCCGCGCGCGACAAGTGGTATCCATTGCGCGACAAGCTTTTCGGTGCCAGCGGGGATTCCAACGACGCACCAAAGGCAAAGGCGATGTCACGCAAGCGCAAGGCCGGTATGGTTCATTCGTCCTAGTACAATCCCGAATTCGCACTGACCGACTTGACAGCCAGCGGCCAGACTACACCAAAGAAGAAGGCGAAGAAGGCGAAGAAGGCTGCCGCGTAGACGGCTGACGATGAGGAGGATGCCACCGTCGGCGGTTTCGTGAAGTCGGAGCCCAGCGATGAGGACGAAAGCGAGCTGCTCTGAGCGAAACCTTCCACGAAGCGGGCCTTTTCGCAGACATAAGAGTGCTCGTGTAGCACAACAGCTCACAATTTCGACGATACCGAAGACACGAAATGTGTTGTTCCGTGAATTAAGCGACACCGGCCAGGTGTAGACTTGATTCCCCCAATGTTGATGCTCGAAAGAAGGATTGAAAGGGTGCATCCAGGCACAGCTGTACAAGTTTCGAGCTCCTGTATTCAGAAAGACTCAAAGTCCTTTCAAATTCTCTGCTACATTCCAATTCCCAGCTCGTGCGCGACGCCCATGGCCAGTACACTTGCCAAAGCTGCCATGGCAAAGTTGACTCCATTGTTCGTGAGAAGATCCTGGCCGAGCTGGATCCTACTACCGTCCGGAAGAACCTTGACTCTCTGACCACCAGCGCCTTCCACAACTTTCCCTGTCCTCTTGTCCGTCACAGTCGCTTGCACCAGAGCTCCAAGAACAGAATCGATGACACTTCCCGCCAGACCAGAAGCAGCCAGAAGCAAGCCAGTCCGTACATCCAGTACCACATGCGGCGGAGCCACATACAACATCGCGCCCGCGACCAACGTCAGAAGCGCACCACCAAGAGCCCCATAAAGCAACCCCTCCACCGTAACACCCCCATTTGTGCCCCTGGGTACCTTCCTCCAAGGCGCGGTAATCATGAACGGTTCCATCTTCGCCAGAATGCCCAGTTCCGAACTACATGTATCCGCCGCGACAGCCGCATATTGCGCTACGATTCCGATCGGAAGCACCCGCTGCAAGACCGGAAAATACGGGCCCGCTGCGATGGGAACTTGGGAGGAAATAAAAGGCGTACCGGTCCTCAGCAGATACGCATGTATCGCGATGAGTATACAAGCCGTGCCAGAATTGGCAAAGACCTGATTCGCCGTCCTCGCGCCTTCGCCTCCGGAGCCTCCCGTCGCAGATTGCGTGACGTGGGCTTTGGCTTTATGTCCAATCTGCGATCATCTCAGCATCAGCTCCTAACACACCTAACCCTTTCCAGGCAGTGACACTCACTTTTGTAACTCCAGTCCCTAACACGAAAAACACAATCAGCAGCCAGAAAAACGCAGGCCATGGATGGAGCATATGGATTCCTGCTACCAAGATTCCCGCGAGTATGCCGGCAAGGGTGAGTTTTCTCCGGGTGCTGGCGTAGGTCACCAGGCCTATGGTGGCTGTGATTTGGGGAACATGATCTCGAGCGAATGTTGAGACGTCCATCCTTGCCCGAAGATTGGGGAAGATGTCGAAGATGGAAGCGTCGCGGTTCAAGTGAGGTTGGGAAGGCGGATCCCGCGCGGGAAGCACCGACGCGGGCAAGGTTCGGCTCGCGAACAGTGCACAGATGCCTGCAGATTAGGTATGATTATTCAGCCGAAAGGTAGATCACGCATCCATCAGTGAGAGTGCGCAACTAAAATTTGAAGAAATATGGGATACAGCGTGTAATCAAAGCTTGCGCCGCTTGTGCAGCTATTGGCGATTTCATTTCCGTCTTTATCGACGTCTGTCGTATAAGAAAGCGTCCGGCAACTTACACGCTGAAACGCAGCAAATATGCCTCTTTTTGTTGTCCCTTTTGCGCACCAGCCATTTGTATCGTTGCCATCCATAGCAAGCCTTCCCTAAGGTCACATTGCTTCTGCCACTTTTACGTGCTCCCCGGCCCTCCAAGGAGCGCGAATCGCCGGACAATGCTAGGCCCAATCTCATCATACTCGGCCTTCGTGTGGCAATAGCTTCGGAATTCCGGCGTCTGACCGAGAAGTGAGCCTCCGAACCACGGGCCGTGTCGCTGTCTGCGATGCGTGATGACCTGAACGTCCAGACCGCCACTCTTTGCCGCGTTCCCTGCGCGGACTTCCGAAGCGGCTATTCTCGCGTCCACCAGATGACGGATGTCACGTTGTAGGCGGCGTCCGAACTGGTTGTAGAGCGTTGAGCCTCCCGAGAGCACAATGTTCTTGTATAGGCCTCTTCGCACATCAATAGGCGAGGTTTGGATGACAGTGTCGACGATATTGGGAAGTGGTGTGAGGAAGTCGGAGCTGTAGATTTCCGGGTTGAAGAAGATTTCAGGCGCGAGAAATCGTTCGTAGCCGACATCGACGGTTACGCTCCGGCCGTTGGGGTGCTTCACTTCGTACTTCTTGAAGCGATCCTCTGGCTCGCGATCGAAACGTGCGAATTCCTTGACGATATCCGGGCAGACATAGCAGAACTCCTCCTTTATCCGCTCCGCCGTCTTCAAGCTGCTGTCTGGCTCGCCGCGATCTCGGAGGAGGGATTGTACAAAGTAGGTGATGTCTCGTCCTGCGATCGGTATGCTCTTGATGCTGCTTCCGATTACATAACCTTCTGCCACGGGAATGACGTGCGTGACACCCTCTCCTGAATCAATGACGGTACCAGTCAATGATCTGTCCTGCACTTTTGACGAAGTCCAAGATGCAGCCAGCGCGAGCACCGCCTGCACTGCAATGTAGAGACCAGCGCAATTGAAGGATTCGAACATAATCTCGGCGGTATTCTCGCGGTTCTCTGGGGGATTGAGAGGAGGCTCGGTCAGGAGGAAGTGGTGGTCTTCGGGCTCGACTCGCAGGTACTTGAAGATGCTGTTCGACCAGAAGCGTTCCATATGATCCTGAAAACATGTTAACTGGGTTGGACAATAGCTCTTCAGTGCAGTATTCTTACCCAGTTCTCAATTTGACCGTGCCGTATAGGGTAGTGCAAGCCATATCCTGTCCTCAATCAGCTTCCTTCGTGTTCGATATCTATGTCCAATGCCGAGCATACCGGGACCCGCGGAGGCGGTGAGCGCCTCGTCTCCAATGAAAAAGTCCAAGTCCTCAGTCCCTCTCTTTGCAGATAGATGGCCAGTCGGGCCAGCACCTCCAGTCAGGAAAGACGGCTTGTTGGCTACAGATGGACGTCCTGAACCTGATGAACCACCGCCCGCGCCGGGACCCTTGGTTGCGATTGCGGTCGGGAAGACAAAGGAGGGAGAATCGTTGCCGGCGAAGCCCAGTTTGGAATACCCAGTACCGCTGTAAATCGCATCAGCTGTACTGCACAGCAGGCTCAAGCGCATGAGAGCAGCGCATACTTGTCCATGACAACGGCGGGCGTTTGATGCGCCATGGTGGCCGGGGCAGTCGCAAATCAGTCTCAAGAGTGTTGTTCGGTGGTCGAGCAGCTGTACGGGAGGAATTGGCGTCTGGCAAGGCGGTGATAGAGTGTTGCGAGGAATTGTTGGCGCCTGGGCCTCGTTTCAAACGTTACCTTACGCAACTTCCAGCGGAGCGATTCAGGAAGGCGGGGCGCCAACCGTTGCCAAGACTTTGTGAGGCTGACTTTCACTCACTTCACCTTTCACATGGCGTCGTAACACGCCATCAATACCATCGGAATCTACTTGGTTTTGATGGAGGAAATGGAGAAAATCGTCTAAGCCGAGTAATATGGCCGGTGTTTCGATGTCTGAGAAGACTTTTACGCGTGAAAACGAAATGTTTGTTTTGAGGCCGCGCGCATCGCTCTTTCCTTCTTGGATCAGGAGGAAAGAGCAGTAGAACACATCCCGTACTTCCGCCGCTGGCTGAAGTTGCAACTCCAAGTTTCCACTTCGACTTGCACTTGGATGTCTTCTCGACACCATCACCACTCTCCCGCACCCGGCGGATATCTATCTCGCCTCCCACAATCCGCCTCTTGCTGCCGCTGCCGCGCCACCGCACTCTCGCTTCCGGCCCTCCATTCATCAGCAGCATCGCTAGAGCCGCAGCTACTTGTTTGTCATGCCACTGCGGTCACCAAGTATTCTCGCAGCAATCTTTTGAAACAGACCTACGCACGCAGCCACACCTACGATACATCACACACTTATGATCCGGAAAGGATACAACAAGATGCTCTCCACCCGTTCCTCCGCGAACTATACTAAAGGTCGGAAAGTGAGCGACATTGCTTGCATATTTGTGCATGCTGGTGCAGGATATCACAGCAAGGAGAATGAGGGTCACCATCTCCAGGCCTGTAATGAGTGCGTGGAACGGTCGTTGATGTTGTGCCAATGAGAAACTGACTGAAGCAGTGCATGCAAAGCGGCAATGGCTGTCATGAGGGCTGGAGGTTCCGCCGTGGACGCCGTCGAGATTGCTATCAAGACTCTAGAGGATCGTGAGATCACCAACGCCGGCTTTGGCAGCAACCTCAGCTTTGACGGTGTCGTAGAGTGCGATGCCATCCTTGTTGACCACTTTGGCCGCAGTGGGGCTGCCGGCGCTGTTGCCCGTATGCATTGATGTTGCACTCTTCTGACCACATGAAGCTAACTTGTTTCTAGAGATAAAGAATCCAATCTCACTCGCCCGTCTCCTTTTGGATCATTCCTCCCAATCGCTTTCTCTACGACGCGTTGCGCCAAATTTGCTCGTCGGTCAAGGAGCTACAAAGTTTGCAGTCGAGCACGGTATGCCGGCCGTGGCATACGACGACCTCATTTCCGACTTCGCCAAGCATCGTTGGCAGAAATGGCGAGCGGACCTGTACAAGGCAGAGCGTCATCGGCGCCGTAACTTGCCAGAGTATATGCAATCGCAGGGGGAGTCTGAATCAGACCACCTCGATTTTCACGAGCAGAACACCTACCACGAAGACTCTCGCAAGATACACGAGAAGGCTATGTCAGCCGCCGTGTTCAACGATGCTCAGCCTGTGTCGCCTCCGCCCGTAGACACGAGAGACCAGGACTCATCTTCTTCGCTCGGACACCCTTCATCTATGTGGTCTGTTCCGGTGGCTAGAGGCTCAAGAGACACCACACCAGAGAAGCGTCATCCTGACGAATACATTGATCCCTCTGGCGATCCATTCCTCACTTCGGGTCAGTCTGCGGAGAGAAATCCATTTTCCAACAGCGCCCAGCACCTCACTCCAACGCGTGCCTTTACCCGCGTTCAATCCCAAACCAGTGTTGACGGCGGCCAGCACCGAGGAGACTTGTGCCCTCATGAAGGATCCGAAGAAGATGAGCTCGTCATGCGTTCGACTGCCTCAGAACTTGCTGTGCTCGATGATGATGCAGCGCCATACTCAGGCCAGGACGAGTTTGCCGCGCATTCTGGCTCGTTCGATGCACGCCGGGCGTCGGATTCTACGGTTGTACCCGCAAGACAGTCTAAGCACCATACAGATGGTCCTTCAGAAGATCAGCCCTCGCTTTCTGCCACAACACCTCAAGAGGCGCCGTATAGCAACTTTCAGATGTTCACGCCCACCCCGCCGACCGAGAAGAGAGGAGACATGATCACGGATACCGTTGGAGCCATCGCCATCGACAACTGGGGAAACATCGCCTGCGGTGCTTCTTCTGGCGGTATTGGTATGAAACATCGTGGGCGCGTCGGACCAGCGGCGCTTGTTGGCGTTGGTGCAACTGTTATCCCAGTGGACGAGGCAGATGAAGAGCAGATGGCTGTCGCAACTGTCACTAGCGGCACCGGCGAGCACATGAGCACGACAATGGCGTCCAGTGTCTGCTCCGACCGGATCTACAGGAGCGAGCGAAAGGCACCGGGAGGAGGCTATGTTCAGGTCGATGAGGAAGACACCGCAATTCGATCTTTTATCGAGAAGGACTTCATGAATCATCCTTCGGTCCAACATTCTGAATCAAGTAGGGCTATCGGGATGCTGACTGTGAAGAAGACCAAGGATGGAGCGTACCTGTTTTTCGGGCACAATACGGATTCGTTTGCTCTTGCGAGCATGCACTCTGACGAAAAGTCGCCGGTGTGCACCATGAGTCGAAGCAACGGCGGTTCATCGATTGCGCAGGGTGGACGCAGAATTCGTTGGCGAAGGAAGCATTGAAGTGACGGACAGGATCAAAGACTTTGGATGAGAGGGGCTACCTGATCGTTCTCCCGCCTATGTCACGTCACGCATGGGTTTTGGCGGCGTGAATGCCGTTATATCGAAGTTCCTAGTAATCTAGGAATCTACACAAGAACACGTCCCTTTTGGCACAGCTTGTGAAGACTTGCTTCGAGTGTCACAGATGTTACCATTTTGACACACATGCCCGAAAAGCAAAAGTCTCACGGCGAGGCTTTGAGTCGCTTGAAGCAAAGAGATCTTTCTTTTCCAGTGTTTCTGAATATAATCGCACAATCGACCTCCTAGGCTGATGCGGCGTACAGACTGCCGTCAGCCAGGCAGACGCCATGTCGCATGGACCGAATGCTCTACCGACCGAATTGAAGAGTCATCAAGACCTCTCATCTCCTCTGAGAACATTCTATGCCCATGAATCTATGCCCTGAAAAAAGTTTCAGTTCACCCATGTGAGCGCGGAGAGATTCGAAATCACATGCACCTGCCGAGGATCTGCCACGTGCTAGCGCATTCCCACCTCTCTCTAGGTGGGATCCCGCCATCGGAAGGCCTATTCGTCTGACGACTAGGAGGACACTGAATTGATCCATAATGCGTTCCAAAGAGCCTGAGTCTGAAAGAATGTTCGAATACCCTCACAGACGCTAAGATTGATATCATTATAAGAGCCGAGAAGAGCACGATCGTACCCTGATGACTTTCCCAAATCTCTTGTCCCACCCAGGGGCACGTCTGTACGCGCGTCGCAAACAAATTTCGCTCTCAAATTTTGGTTCGTGGAACACAAGTGGCCACCCCCTTCTATGTCCAAACATTTCGTCCCCGTTCTATGCAGCAGCATTCCTCTGCGCGGCTTCCTCTGAAGCCTTTTCATAATTCGTCCGGTAGATGTAGATTCCTTCCAGAGCGGAGACGATTGCCAAGCCTATCGCGGGACCGGTCCAGAGTCCGATTAAATCCCAGTGGAGACCGAAGCCTAGACCGAAAGAGAGGGGGAGGGCGATCTAACAACAAGAACAAAACCAAGTCAACACTTTTTCGCTTGAATGCTTTTTTGAGGTGAGGGGGTGGAAACTTACCACATAATACGCGAAGAGGTTGATATACCCTCCGATTGCCTGCTTTCCAAGACCTCGGAGGAGACCATTGCATTGCGCCGCTAGAGCGTCGAAGAGCTGGAAGGCGGCGTTCACGGGCAAGGTGGCTGCTGCCAATTCCACCACATCCAATTCCGAGGTGAAAAGCCATGGGATGTAGAATCTCAGCGAGGAGAGGACGACCATGTTGAAGATTCCAATGATAGTTCCAAGCACGAAGGTGACTTTGGTCGTGGTCTTCGCTGCGTCTGGGAGTCCTGCACCGACGAGATTTGCACAGCGCGTGGAAGCTGCGATGGAAAGGGGGAAGGGGAGTTGGTAGGTTAGGACACTAAGGGATTGAAGGACTGTGTTCGCGGCGAGATGGGTGGCTGATATCCGTGCGGAAGCTAGGGTGAGGATTTCGAAGGCGAGGAATTCGGCGAGGACCATGACTAGACCGGGGAGTGCGAGACGAACCATGGGACCCCAGTTTGTGAATGCTTTACGTGAAAAGCCTGGCCAGCATTCCATTCCGCCAAAGAAGCGGACGTAGAGGAAGAGGAGCAATGGCATGAGAGATTCTGTAATGACGACGGCGATGGGACAGCCGATGAAGCCCCATTCCAATTTCCAGACGAAAAGCCAGTGCATGAGGATGTTCAGCGGAGCGGCGATTAGGAGGACGTAGAGTGTCGCCTCGAATCTTCCCTGTGCTTGCACGTAGCGTTTTGCGCTTTCGAAGCAAGCGTAACCTGGAGCACCGATGATGAGGATCTTGAGGTATGCGCCTGCTAGCTCGGCGATTTCGCGTTCGGGCACGATGAGGTCGAGAATCTCTGTTCCGGCTGCCCAGATGATTGCGATGGGAATTGTGATGGCCCAGAGGAAGTAGATCATGCGTTGTAAGTACAAGCCAACCAGCTTCTTATTTCCACTGCCGTACGCTTGCGCGCAAAGCGTGTCCAGACTTGTTGCCAGGCCCTGGTAGACCGCGTATCCGGTGATATTTGCTGTCATACTCCCCAGACTCACAGCTCCGAGCTCATTCTTCCCAATATGCCCGACAGTAAAAATCGAAGTCAGAGTCAGAGAATTCTGCAAGATGAAGGTGAAGATCAAAGGCCCCGAATATCGGCCCAGCACTTTCGCCTCCCGTTTCCACGAAGTTTGGATCTTGCCTCCTTCAACAGCTTCCTCCCACTTCTTCGAAACGTTCTCCGGCGAACCTTCCCCTCCATACGGCGCAGTCGGATCCCTTCCCCCATCACCTAGCAAAGCCGTGTTCTCACTCGGCTCTATCCTGTCGTCAACAGCTTCCTCATCCACCCGACTCTTCCGCCTCGTACTTATCCGACTCAGAATCTTCCTCAACCCCTTCCCTCCGTCTCCAGTAGCTTCCCCCTCACTCCTGCCCCTCGGATGCTTCGGCGGAATGATTCCATTATCCCTCAACAGACTCCTTTCCTCCCCAATGGCAGCTTCCCAATCCTGCTCCACGGGAACCACGTGTTCAGGCTGCTGGGTGCCGAGGAACGGACGCGGCGTGGTGGCCATGTACGAGGGCCGTCTGTAATACCCGGTCATGGAATGCGGTCCCACTGCTATCCTCTCGGCCGTGTTGATTCTTTCTAACGGGCTCTCTTCCGAAGCTTCTTCATTGTCCTCGAGCGCTTCATCTTCCAAGTCCTGGGCGATGGATTCTTCTGCTATGGCTGCGATTCGACTCTGGGATCTGTAGCTCGTGCCGAAACTCTGCGAAGTGCCCGTGGCAGGCGAGGCGCTGCGGTTCCGAGCGATTGCTTTGCTCATGCTGTCGTGCTCTTCGTGTCGATATCGCTGTCCAATCCTGCCAACAATTCGAGCTCAATCTAGAGAGCAGCTATCCTGCCGTCTGCTGCAAGAGGAAGTGAGTGATGTTATAGAAGATAAAGGAATACAAAAGCAAAGAAGAAAAGCTCGGTCAGGTCAATATAATATCATTACTGCGTACGTCGGGCCTAATAACAGTGTATATCCACGAAGCCTTGATAGGCAGTTGGGAGCGGGCGTAGGAGGTAGATCGTGGAGCTAGACGAGCTGGTGCAGCTTTTCCTGGCCGGCCATGACGTCGGATGCGGAAGGCCGATCCGAGAAATCGGAAGTTGCCTGCACTGGAATGTGCACTGGTCAAGATAGAGAAAGAGATAAATGGATGCGCGCAAGGATGTCAATGGGTATGAGTGTACAGGAGTGTCTTCATGCTTTGCATACAGCGCTTGTGTTACGCTCTCAATCATCGTTTCATGCCCACGAGGTGGAGGCTGAGAGTACAAACAACATAACGCCGTCGTTAATGCCGTGCCACCTTGGCACATGGCTTGCTATCCGCCTTGTCAACGCCGAATTCCGTATCCATGCAATCGCTGTTGATTCAATAAGGCCGATTGCCCAGACTTGGGCCGAAACGAGCCAGAACCAGCTCGTTCACGCCCTCTCTACACTCTCCAACCAAGCCTGCGGTGCCCAGAATACTCATCTCGAACCCACGAAGAGTGTCGGCCAATTCCTGAACTGTATTCTCGGTCCTCGCCTGCGCATTGTCGCCGTTGATTCCGGCCTTGCGCTGGGCCAGCTGCTGCGCCTGCGCACTAGCGGAGCCCTCTATCACGCGCAAGTGGTTCTCAATTTCGCTCAAGTTGCCCGCATACGCATTCATCGTCTGTTGAAGCTCGTTTGCCAATGGTACAAAGTAATTGCCAATGAGATCAGTGTCGTAGTTGTGAAGGTCGTCAGGATCGTTGGAGGGTGGTGCTTGTTGTGGACGCTGTTGACTGCCATACATGCCCCCAATACCACTCATGCTGGAGTAGTGATACATCTGCGGCAGGTGAAGGTTGTGGATGATGCGCTCGCACCGCTCTAAATCCTTGCGGTCTTTGGCCGCATTCTGGCGCTGCGCATCCACGCTGACGGCATCGTGCACCAGAGCCTGCTCGACATCTTCGACCTTATTCTTGATGAAGTCGATGTCGGGCCCGAGGGACATGATCATGTTATCGTGCCCTGGAAGACTCGACTCAAGCGCCTTGCACAGCGACTCTTGTTCTTGAATGACCCTGTCAATGTCTTCCAATTGTTGCCTGACTTGGTCACTGCAATCTTCGAATCGTGTGGTAGGCCGCATGCTATCGTAATCGATCTTGACAGCGCCAACGGTGTTGGTGGTGCCTGCATTGCTTTGGCCCATACTGAGTCTGCCGAACGGCGCAGAGTTGTTCATTTGTGCGTGTTGCGTAGCTCCGAGCAGTGATGGAGCTGAGGGTTGTGGCATTTGGTTTGCTGGACGCGAGCCCCCCAAGCTAAACATACTTTGACTGTTCGCAGACGGAGCAAACATGTTTGGTGCTGAATTTGTGGCTTGGTTGCCTCCTAGCCCTCCCACGCCGCCGAACAAGCTATTGCCCTGCTGAGGACGAAAGCTGGCATCCCCAGTATTGCTTGTGTTTCCCGCATTGTTATTATTGCCGAACAGCCCAGCGCCGCCTGTGTTGCTCGTGTTCGCCGTGTTGGTGTTGTTGCCGAAGAGCGACGAGCTGCCTGTGTTGCTCGTGTTCGCCGTGTTGGCGTTATTCCCGAACAGCCCGGTGCCGCCTGTGTTGCTCGTGTTCGCCGTGTTGTTATTACTGCCGAACAGCCCTGAGCCGCCTGTAGTACTTGTGTTTGCCGCGTTGGTGTTACTACCGAACAGCCCTGAAGACTGCTGCGTGTTCGTAGAGGGCGCATTTTGCGGGGTTGATTGCTGCTGAGCGCTGTTGTTTGTCAGTCCAGGCCCGCTAGACTTATGCTTCTTTTTGATCTGCGAGAAGACATCTCCGTAATCCTGCTGCCCCTGCGCACCACCACCTCCAGTCGACTGGCTTTGATCATGGCCGCTCGAAGAAGACGAGCCTTGACCCGTGGGCTGGCTCTGGCTTGGGCCAGGCACTGGGCCTGCCATCGTGAAGGGTATGATGGAGTTGGCATTGGAGCCTGAAGGAGCAGGAGTCTTGCGTTGGCACGGTACTGGCATATTGGAATGGAAGAGGCGTGGAGTGTGCGCTTGGAGTGTCTGGAATGGAATGTTTGACTTACAAGAGAGAGTTGGTTGCGCCTGTATTTAATGAGAGCGAATTCGATCGCCCGAACGCCATGATTGTCGTCGCGTATTGTGCTCGGGACTATTGAAGAGCTATTGTGTAGCTGTTGAGGTGGGCCGCCTCGCTGTTGTAGTCGTTGGCCGTGGTGGAGTGTATTGACGAAGCTATTGTTCAAAGCTCAGCGCGGAGGTGAGGTGGAGCGCGCTGAAACGCGAAACAACGTGACTTTACCGGCCCAAATGCCTCAGGCCGAAATTACCCGGTCGCGACTTTTCTACAGTCGAGCCCTCTGTGTCTCTGGAGACTCTGCTTGCCTGCGTCTATCGCGTCCATCGCGTCCATTGAGAAAGGAGAGAAATTGCATCCCCGCGCTTTCACGAGGAACTGTCTTTCTGGCTCTGTCCTGCTGTTAGGTTTCTGAGGAAAGGAAATACTACTTCTTAATGATTGTGCCAGCTGGATCAGTGCTGCGCGACACTCTACGGGCACTGTCTTCATTGAGATATGCGGAATCGAGCCACCAAGAGCCTTTTTCGTCCTAAATCTATGAGAGATATGAGAGAACAAGGGTATACCCAGGAGCGCTACGTCTGATACGGTGCTCTCTGCTTCTTGGAAGCCATTTCCACGAGGTGTTGGAAAGAGAAACATAGAAAGATTCATGGTTACTGCTATCAGCCTCTCTGGAGGCTCTTTGTCACGACAGCTTCTGGGGAAGATACAAGAACCTCTACATGGTCTCGTCACTAGTGTGGTGCTCTTCTCTCCCATTCTACCTCTCCTTATGGAAGCACTGAAGAGGAGTCTGTTACCCATTTAAAGGACCTTCTCACGCCGCATAGCGCTAACCTTGAGTTTACTGACATATGGAATCCGTACGGCACTTTAGCCAACGATGCATCCAGGACTTATTTGTAGTCACTGTTCCAACTTGTTCCGGCAGGATCTCTTATTAATGCTCTGAATTTGGATGGTCGCCTCTACTCGAGAGGTTTCCTGACTTGGCTGGATGTTCAAACATTCACTTCATATCAGGCCAATTCATCTGGCCCGTGCGCCAGATCCCGGTCAGCGCCCCACAACGCTGCTCTTGGATCAGTCTTTGCTCTCTCTGCAAGCATCAACACAACACCTTCCAGACACGCGCGCGATCTCGCATTTGGACGGAAGGGAATTCTCAACAGGACCAGCATCCGCGAGCCGCCTCGAGGTGAAGCACAACTCGTACTTACATGAGCGCAAAACATGTTGACCTAGTCATATTTTCGGGACACACAAGAAGAGCCCATGTTGGAGCACTGGCACAGAGGAAGATGTTCCGGAGGAGACCTTCGACGCCAAAGTAGTCCGTTGTCGCCATGGAGCTTTGCAGGTTCTTCTTGCAATCTCGCTGCACCAAAGGAGATGCTTGCCGCTTCCGACATGATGCTCTACCTCTAGGCAGCATGCCTTCTGAACAGGTCGACATGCGAAGAAGACCGTGCATTTTCTTTCAGAAGGGTTCTTGTCGCAATGGCGAGAATTGTCACTTTGCTCATGCCATCCTGGCAAGTCAACCGCCCGCAAACCCCTCCGCCGCCTCAACCGAATCCCCGGCGCCTGACCTACGCTCGCTGGCGACATGCATGTTCTTCCTCCGCGGCACATGCGCGAAAGGAGGAGAATGTCCCTACGACCATCCCACGACAGCTGAGCCAGGACAGCCTCAAGTACGTACCTATAGCCTCAAGACTTTGAGGGAGGAAACGTGGGGAAAGTAGCGGTCCTGATGCTGACCATGCTCTAGCCCGACAGCGACGACGACAACTTTCGGCGTGTCATACATGGCGCTCTTGTCCAATTCGAAGACGGTGGCGCCGTGTCTGATGTCTCCATTCCTTCCGAACTTTCGACTGCTCGAGTGCAAGGTCTCTCAAGCACCAGCAGCACCAACTCTATTTGCACGTTGCTTTCTGGACTTGACTTTGACATTCCGCAAAGCGCCGTTCGCCTTGGTCTCCAGTCGGACACTGCCAGTGCCAACATCACAGTGGAAGACAAAAGTTTTGCGAGAAGGCTCTGCAAGGCCATCAAATCCAGTGACTTGCCCGAACACGCCCGGCTCACTGTTGCTGTTGTACCTCCGCAACTTCCGAACTGGGTGACCGCACGGACTTCTAGTTGCGAAAAGGCTGTGGTGCAATGGCCAAACAGGATGCAAATGGTCGAGCTGCACTACGAGGAGGATTCCTATGATGCTTTCAGAGTTTTCACAGCTTTCGAAACCGGAGCATACAAGATTCGCGACCAATCTGTCAAAGCAGATTTTAGGGTTAGTGCGAACATGGTAGTGCTGGAAGATGTCCCGTATGGCATTACGGAAGATGACGTGAAGAATGCCATTCTGGCAAGTCACGATTTACCAGAAAGCATCCATATGTCTGAAGCCGACCAAGAAGAGGATATACCAGCCGTTCCGGCGCTTATAGAATCCTTGTTGAGTGGCATTGGCCCACTTAACTTCACGGTGGTTTCCTCGCCATACCGCAAGCGTGGCAAAGCGATCGCACGTTTCTTCGACGAAACCGACGCTTGGAAAGCAGTGAGCAAGCTCCATGGCAGAAAGTGCGACTTCATCGATGGGAGACGCCTCTCACTAAGGCTTGTGGCCTCTTTCAAGTCCCGACTCCCCATGGCCGTATACGAAGCAATCGAGGATCAGCTGGCTGCACTGGTACCTCTGTGGACCGATCAACGTCTGACATACAAAGTCTACCCTGATCCCACTGGTAGCAAGCGCTTCGTCACGCTGAAGCTCGAGGGTCTTTCCATGTCTCACGTTGCCGAAGGCGCCAATGCTATCGAGAAGATGGGAAGCGGGAGAGTCGTCGAAGCTGATGAAAAGCCTTTTTGGTAAGTAAAAGATCTCTGCTGTGCTCTTATACTTTAGTGTACTAATGGACACATAGGGTTACGACTCTCGCTGGTGATAATGCTACTTCCGCCCGTCTGGAGCGAATCGCGAAGGAACATGGCGTACTAGTCATCTGCCACAAGCCAAAGCGGCAACTCCAGTATTTCGGGCCACCAGAAAACTATCGCGAGCTATGTGATGCCGTCGTGCACAGTCTTCAAGGCGAAGACACACTCACGAACGTCTTCAACCTGAACGCAGACCAATTCAGTTGGGCGTGTCGAGGCGGATTCAGTCAATTCGCGGAAGTTCTCGGGTTCGATACCTTGTCACTTGACGTGGTCTCACAGCCCAAGAAGATTACATTTGCAGGCTCGCGAAGCAAGTACGGGGAAATCCTCCGCCTCCTCGAAGCAGAAGATATCAAGCTAGAAGAAGCTACGCTTGGGGTCCCTGAGTCTCGCGACTGCGCCATCTGTTTGACGCCTGCAGAAGACCCTGTTGTGCTCCCTTGCGGGCACCATTACTGCAGGTCCGAGTGCTTTGAAGGCCTTTGTATCTCTACAGACGCAAGCACTACCAACTTAGGCGTCATCTGCAACGGCGACCAGGACAAGTGCAACACTGCAGTTCCCCTGGCGATGATCAAAGCACATTGCTCAAAATTTGTCTTCGAGGACTTTCTGACGTCTTCATTTGGTGGTAAGTGATATCTTGGGCGTTACCGACCCTCCGCGGTCAGCGCTACACCGAACTCAGACCTCGCCCAGCACAGCAGGTAGATGGTGCTGCGGAAAAGACCTCCTCACTAATCAGCCACAGCATACCTCCGCCGTCGGCCAAATGAGTATCGCTATTGCCCGACTCCTGACTGTGGGCACATCTTCCGTCTATCCCATCATGACGAAGAATTTTCCGAGTTCAGACACTGTCCAAGGTGTTTCGGCTTTGTCTGTTGCTCGTGTTACGAGATACACAACGATAAGATCAGCTGTGAAGAACACAAAGACCTCTCGACTGGCGGTTACGAAGCATTTGAGCGCTTCAAGAAAGACACCAATATCAAGGCAAGCATGGATCCAACCTTTGCGATTTGCGTGACGTACTGACTGTCGGTAGGACTGTCCTCAATGTACTACGCCCTTGGAGAAGACTGATGGCTGGTAAGTCGCTCGCTACGATTGTCTTATCCGATAGACTCTTCTCACTGACAACGGCGTAGCAATCATATGAAGTGTCCTGGCTGCAGAGCCCATTTATGCTGGGTATGTCTGGCGAGCTTTGACGGAGGGGATGCGTGCTACGACCATATGCGGGAAAAGCACGGAGGAATCGGCCTTCCTCAGTACGATGAGGACATCGATGACGACGACTACTTTGGCGACTGATGAGGTATCCGAATGTGCCCTGTGGAAGTCGAGAAGCCTTCTGAACTCTGGAAGCTATCACGGTAACGAGCTCCTGACTTGATTGAACGGCCTACACAAGGAAAAGATGTCTAGCAACGTCTTCCTTGCGCTGAAAGTTTCCGCAACGTGACCGCTTGTTGGTGCCCAGATTGACGCCAGATGCCATCCTGGCGCTCGACCGTCTCGCGCGAAGGAAGGACAAAATATTATCCCCGCGGAGTCTGTGAGTTGGCTCACAAGACGTGGCACTTTTCTGTCCCACGACGATCAACAAGTGCCTGAGAAATCAGACTTGTCTAGGGCATCCGGACAGATCTGGACTCAAGTCTCATCGATATGGGTAGTAAGGTAGAACGCTTCGTCTACGGTCCAAGTGTCAATTCCATACTACCATTCTCACCAAGAGCGCGATGCGAACACCATGCCAGTCGATGATGTTACTGGAAACACCGCCGTTCTAAAAACAGAAGTCAAATCTGGCGTCCGCGGAAAGGTCTCCTATCCGCCATACACTTCACGACCCGATACCGTTGTCATTGCAGCCATTCCTGTGATGGACACCATCCCTACCCCGGGCGAAAGCTTAATAACCCTCCCATAACAGGCCCTGGAGATGAAGTGAAAGTCGCTCAATACTCCTTGGTAATAGAATCGGAAACACTTCTCGACCAGCATGAGAATCTGTGAGAAAGATTGATAGTCGAAGAGAGTGTTATTCTCTCGCTCGCAGATGTTGTGCCTGGGCTCACACCGGTCTTGACGGTCCCGCTCGTCAAATAATTGACCTAGTCCTGATTAGAATCTCGAATCGATTCAATGCATAATCGATATCTAAGCAAGTCTCAGAGCCAAGCTCAACATTACTCTTCCCTCGAGATAACCTTCACCTCCTTGATGCTATGGTTCTCCACATCAAGACTTTCCATCACCTCCTTCGTCTCCTCCCATGGTACAGCAAACAAACCCGAATTGATCTTACAAATGCGAACTTCGCCTACAGCATCTCCATCGGCATGTTCCGCGTTCCAATCCTGCACTTGGCGTAGAAGATCTTCCATGGCCGGCTTTGTCGCCTGGAGAATGGCGGATGGGGAGTCTTTCTTCTTCCCCTTGGACCGAGAAGTGAACAGGCACCCGACGAAGTGCTGCTTCTTCTTATCGAGCTTTTGTGGTGGGATGAGTAGGGCTTTCCGGAACAGGTCGTGGCCGTTCTGTTTGCAGTGCGCTGCGTATACCTTGTAGGCGCCCGCGTAGTGATTCTTGAATGCTGCGGCGATGCCTGCTCCCCAAGAGCCCTCGCAGTTGCAAGCGTGGATGATGAGGCTGTTTGGAGGGGCGTCGAAGATGTCTCCGATGGATTCAATTAGTCGTAATTGGATGCCTGGAGTATCTTCAGTCTCCGTGGCGCTGGAGGTGTTCTTGGGTTGGTTGTTTGCTTGTGGCTCGGAGACTCCGTCATTCTCTGTTGCGGAGGTCTCTTTCTGTTCATGACTCGTAGATTCTGAAAGCACAGCTTCCTTGGATGGTTCCTGATCTTTACGTGCTTGATGTTGAGGTTTCGGCTTCTTCATGTAGTCCATGATGCTGTTTGGTCTTGCTCGTTTGACGCCGCTATCTGGTTGCGTATCGACGAGGTCAGCACGCCGCTTCGTACCTGAGTGCGCTCCTTGTCGAGTCATGTTGTCTCATGCGCGGGTCTCAACATGTGAGTGAGGTGAAGTGGAGAGACGGGGGAAACTCGAGAGGCGGACTTGGTCAAGGCATCTAGATAAGGCATCAAGGCAGCCACGCAGGTTCCGAAGCGAGCCAATCAAATCGCCTTGACATCTCGGCAGCATCTCCTCCTTTACTCCTTCCAACACCTCCGGAATACTCGGCCACTCCCGTCACATCTACCGGCCAAATCGTACACAGGTATGCCCTGTTAGCAACGTGCATGACGGAAGACGCCGCAAATTGGACGACTCCCTGGCAGGCAGTTCTCGGGTGTCGGCATGTCGATCGAGGACGCTCTTATTCTACCAGTATTACTTGGCCCATCAATGACTTCAGTTGAAGCAGGAATAGCTTCGGAAGTCTACGATCCGATGCGTTCTCCTGATACCAAGGTGGACTTCGCTTTGTACGATCTGGAACCAACCAAGAATTTGTCGTTGGGAACGGCGTAGGCAAGGGCAAGTTGTCATTGGGAGCAGTGCTCAGACACGCATTAATAACAGCCCGTCGACGACAATGGTACTGTCTCATCTGCATTTGTATCAGCCATTGTCCAGTATCATACAGACCTGAGACTATTCGTAGTAGTACATGTAGCATCAAATGTGAATGACGACGTGGACGATGTAAGGCACCAAGGCAGCAATCTCGCAGCCGGCAGCCGAGCGAATCACAGGCGTGCGGTAAGCATCGACATCTTTCTTCCTGCGCATTGACTTCAACGACAGCTCCTCGCCCTTCCTCGCGACGCCGACGACAACATCCCATTGAGACCGTTCTTGTCCCCCTCCACCACCTCTCGACTCTTCTCTCGACACAATCATGTCTCTCTCCTCGCGAGCGGCCACCTCGTTGGTGCGCCGCGCCGCCCAGCAGCAGACTCCCGCCCTGCGCTCCTCTACCGCCATCGTCCAGAAACGCAGCGCCTCGGATGCCTCCACGTCCCACGCCGAATACACCTCGCCCTTCCACCGTGGCACGTCGAATAAGCAGGATACCACCGTCATCCCCAACTTCAGCAAGTACCGCTCAAGCAGTGGCGAGACGGCGAACAAGATGTTCCAGTACTTCATGGTGGGTGCTTTCGGTGGTCTCTCGGCATTGGGCGCAAAGAACACTGTACAGGGTATGCATATCCACATCAAGTACAATATTCGAGAGATCAGAGCTGACTGTGGATGATGAAGACTTCCTGGTAAACATGTCCGCATCCGCCGATGTGCTTGCCCAGGCCAAGGTCGAGGTCGACCTCTCAGCCATCCCCGAAGGCAAGAACGTTATCATCAAGTGGCGAGGCAAGCCCGTCTTCATTCGCCACCGAACTAGCGACGAGGTCAAGGAGGCCGAAGAGATCGACTGGAAGACACTGCGCGATCCTCAACCTGACGGCGACCGCGTCAAGAAGCCCGAATGGCTCATCATGCTGGGCGTTTGCACTCACTTGGGCTGTGTGCCAATTGGCGAGGCTGGAGACTTTGGTGGTTGGTTCTGCCCATGCCACGGTAGCCATTACGATATCTCGGGACGTATAAGGAAGGGTCCAGCACCTTTGAACTTGGAGGTGCCCGAGTACGAGTTCCCAGAAGACGGTGCGCTTGTCATTGGTTAGATGAGGAAACAGAGTACATCCTAGCAGCAGAGCGAGGAAGGGAGACAGTGTGGGAGTATTAGTGCTGGATCGCAGGAGAGGAGCCAGCTCTGTACAGTTAAGATACATCTTCTTTTAGCGTCTCCGAAATCAGGTCTGTAAAAGGGTCTTTCTACTGCCAACTGCATTCAAACTCACGACGTTTGCATTCGAGGTGGGCCAGCTACCAGATACGAATTGCTCCTTCATCCCACATCTACTCGCCGCTCAGGTACTCCCCGACAGCCTTGACAGCATCCGCAAAATTCTTCCCCTCCAACAAAATCAAATGGCCCTGCGGCTTCACACCCAGCTCCGAGAACGTCCTCTTCGCATCACTCGCGCCCTCATCCCCCTGCCTCTCATACTCGAAATTTCCATAGCCCAACGCATGCTTCTGCAACACCTCATCCTCGGGATGAAAATAAAAAGTCTCCGCCAGCGAATCCGCAGCCTTCTTCTTCTTCGAGGGAGGATTCTCCTCCGCGTCCAGTTTCGACGCGACCTCGGAATACGTCTTGGAGATGACGAGGTAGTGCGAGAAGTGATAGGGTTCATTCTCTTCCAGCGCCCATTGGATTTCTTCCTGTAGCATGTTGTACATGGGCGGGACGATCTGGTGGGGCACGTTGATGAATCGCTCCGTGAGAATCAGCCCGATTTGCGCCGAGGCGGCGTCCGGGGACAAGAGGGTCTGGAGGTGTTGATGGAGAGCTTGCTGGGGTTTTGTTCGGTTCAGAAGGTATTCGGTCAGTTGCTGGATGACTTTCTTCTGGCGGTGTTGGTGGAGGTTGAGAACCGTGAGGAAAGCGTACGGGTCGCTCTCGTTGCCGTCGCATTTCACCGTGCTGCCCAGTAAGGGTTGGGCGAGGATCATGTCCGCTAGCTCGGAGAGGTCGAAGAGCTGGTTGTCCACGTCGAAGAGTTGGCGGAGCAGGGTTTTGAGGCCGTGGAAGTCGACGGCCGGTTGGGGGTCGAACCATTCGAAGTCGACGTTGAGCAGGTCGGTGTCCTGGAGACGTGTTATTTAGATTTTTGTTTTATTTTTTGTCGTGAGGGTTTGATTTTTATGGCTTACGTCCTCGCTGCCGCTGTCTTCGCCATCGACGTCCATTTTGTCCTTGGATGGAATTTCTGCGTCGCCATTGGCCTTTCTTTTGCCCATGATGAATGTTACTTCCTCTTTTTGCAGTGTGTATGGGGCGATTTGATGTTATATGTTGCTTGCGACAGAGTTGTAGTTTGCGCGACTCTTGAAGTGGGTGCAGTGGTTGGAGTCTAGAATTTTGTTCCGACGGCGAGTAGAGGCAAGTATACACGAGGATTCACGTGACTCGCGTACAGCTTCCCTTTCGATGGAAGTACGCAGTTCTCACTTATTCGCGACACGTCTTGCCAATATCATTTCACGACAACATCGCTCATTGTACAGCATCATGTCTGTTGCCAATCCAACCATCCACCCGGTTGATTGCTGGCGTGGGACGCCTAGTGTACGCTTCAGATGTCTTACATGAATGCCGGGGACTCACTCACGCCCTACCAGCTAACGTACCAGAGGCTAGATGACCCTCTCTGTGTTGAGGCTTCCTCAACGACCTCCTTTCCCTCTGATTCTGCCTTTCGCTAGGAATCGATCTGACATACTCACAAACTTGATCTTAATCGCAATATGACAGGCTCGATGCACCTAGACGACTGTTTCGCGTCCAAGGGACGCCGCATCGTCGAGAATACGCACCAGGTACATGCTGCAACCGTTGAGTCGGACGGCGATCCTCTCTACGCTGTTGAAAACTCTTCCATTACGACGTTGATGCGTTCAGCGGCGAAGCCAGCTGAGGCTTTAGCCATCTTGGACACTGGCGGCTTGGAGAAGTATGGGTGCAACGATACCGACCTTGCGCGCTTATGTGCTCTTCGCATAGCAGCGAATATCGGCATATCGAAAGAGCTCGCTTCATGCTGGCCCAAATCGGAGCCAAAGAGGAAGCGATCACGGCCTTGTCCGACGCTGTCAACCAGGCCTGGATCAAGAACGATTTCGCACCCGTCGCAACTTGCAACAATTATTCGTGCGAGCATGCTTGGATGCTAGCTGGTGCCTTTGCAACTGGTGCGAAGATAGAGGGCCATCACCCTCCTGATCACCCAATGCAAGGCCGTGTCAAGCAAGCTGTAGGAGACATTTGCAAGTCAAAAGCTACTGCGTGTGCTCTGGTAGGGTGCCATAGCCCAGCGCCTGCAATGCCACTCAGAAACATCCTCTGCTGTACGCACGCCTTGCAGATGCAACGGAAGGTATCGACTCAAAATACCCTCCCGAGGACCACACACCGCCACTACGCAGGATATTTCACGCCATGTCGAGTTACAAACGCAGAATACTGCCGAGACGACCCGAATTTCGTACGTATCAGGGGAAGTTTCCGGTATCCTCCCATGCATCGATGAGTCGTCAGGTTGCGTTGGTTCCAGTCTGAGCAAATCTAAAGGCTCACCCCTTTACCTTGGCCTCGATGATGCTCTCCCCTCCTCCATCGGTTCCGTACACTTCGACAAGCTCAAACCCAGCCCCGTCCAATAAGTTGATCCACTGGGACCGACTCCGTTCCATCGCATTGAACGTCAGCATCATATTGACATCCAAACAAGCGGCCTTCAGGTCCACACCTGTTTCTGGCAGGACCCATTCATCCAACAACAGTCGGGAGTATTCTGGATCCATAGCTTGCTTGGTATTCGACAAGATCTTGTGGCAGTCTTCGTCTGGCCAATCGTGGAGTACAGAGCGCATGAGATAGAAGCGAGCTCCTAGAAGGATCGCATAAGTGATTGGCATTGAACGTACTGTGGATGGCAGTCATACCTTTCAGTGGCTGCGGCGTGAAGAAGTCGTAAGCCATAGCCTCTATACCTTCCGGCGGACTATTTGTCTCGACTGTTTCCGGCAAGTCTTGAGCATAGCACTTCCCTGGCAGATCCGGGAACTCCTTCCGAAACGCCCCTACTTGTCCGCCAGCACCAGCGCCAACATCCACCATCAACACCGCACCTTCGCCCGTCGCCAAGTTCCCACGCTCAAGTTTAGTGCAAGGAGGATATCGCGAGGACCACGTCGTCGACTTTCCGCCTCTCCGAGCGGAATTCATGTAATCATTGAAAAGATTTCGCAGTTCCGGGTACTCGTCACATAGCTGCCAGAGAGTCTTGCCGTTATGTGCGAACTGGAGCGCCGATTGCGGCTGCCTGTTCTCGGATAGCGTCGAATCCAAGTAACGACAGATCTCCGAGCCCATGTTGCCGTGAAGAGTCAGGAGATATTTCATCCCGGCGATTTGGCCTTTCTGGACGAGAACTTCGGCTTGTGGTGTAGAGCGATAGGTCTGGATATCTGTCTCCGTGAAGATGCCCGTTGCGGTTAGTATACGCATCAGGCGGACTGTCATACCGGGTCAACTAGTGTCTTTGAACACTCCAAGGACCTGCGGAGAAATAGGTACCGATCAATCTTTCTTCGCACTGACATTGCTGCGCCAATTGCCTCGCTGTGATAGCCTTGCCATCCTGGCCGACAATGGCTTGCAAAACGCCCAGATGGGCAAGCATCACCAAGGCAATATTCTGAAGAATCTACTCTCGTATGGTCAGTGTCGCAGAAGCTAGATCTCCATTTACTGAGCACGACCTTACCTGGAATCGAACTCTATTTGCATGATCGACTGGCTTTTCCACTCGGAGCTGGAGTTCTCGAATTGATGCGAGCGCTTCGCGATAGGTGTTCTCATCTCCGCTGCTCTCGTACTCCAGTACGTTCTTCTCCGTATCTCCCAACAACCGGCGCAGAGACGACATGGAATCGTTTCCACCGGGAGATTTAGTTGATATCAGCCTGTTTGCTCTCCCAAAGGTTCGACCTTATGGATCTTGTCGCCAAGTGGGCGCAGATACACAACAAGTCTAGAAGTGCATTCGTGAAACCCCCCTTCCAGTGTTACCAAGAGAAGGTTCAGGTCTAGATTCGTCTCCAAGTGCGTCCCACTGGTTTGCGTTTGAGACGGTCAAGGTTTCAGCAAGCTGCGCGCAGGTCAGCACGTGGAACCTAAGACATGTAGTCTGTGATACACGACTTCACACTAATCAGCATGTCGCGCCCTTTTCTAGGTGCAGGTTTCCATTTCCGAAACGCACCTTGTGGACGTCGAACTCTACACTTGACAGCTCCCCCGAATCCTACACTCGAGCCTTTCCCGAGCTGAAGGAGGCATGCGATTTCTCGGAAAGCCGAAACTCTCTGAGAACCCCGAATAGGTGTGCAAGACATAAAAACCTTCGAATACTCGGCTGTCGCTCTCACGACGGGTGACTGACGTCGTAGGATGAGCAATGAAGTAGGTTGCCTCATCCTCTCCGGAGTGTATCTGTTGATATTAGTCCCAGAGTCCCACGGATCCAAGCGGTTGTTCGGACTTCCTCAAAGCGATGGAGAAGAAAGAACGCGCAGAGATTCAGCATTCGAGAGTGAAGCTGAAAGTTCTCATCGCAGGAGCTGGCGTCGGAGGGCTCTCGGCCGCAATCGCACTGGCGAGAAGAGGCCACGACGTGACCGTCTTCGAGCAAGCCGAGAAACTGGCAGAAGTCGGAGCTGGGATCCAAGTGCCCCCAAACTCCCTCCGCATGCTCCTCGAATGGGGCCTAGCGGAATTCCTCCAAGGTTGGACAACGGAGCCGCACAACGTCTACTTCCGGCGATGGCAAGATGGAAAGATCATCGGGAGGACTAGATACATTCCCGATTTCCGCGAGAAATTCGACGCGCCTTACTATGTCATCCACCGGGCCCACCTGCACCACGCGTTGAAGGAACTTGCGCAGAAGTATGGCGTGGCGATCAAGCTCGCGAGCAGGATTATCGCCGTCGATGCCGTGGCTGGTAGCCTACAAACGCAAGATCGTAATGCGTATTTCGGAGATCTCATCGTGGCAGCCGATGGGATCCACTCAGGCCTACGAGGTTCGATCTTCGGCGGCCAAGCCAAGCCCTCTCCCACTGGGTTCGTGGCATATCGATGTACAGTCAACACGGAAGAGATGGTACGCGATTCGACGACGGCGTCACTACTAAGAAGTCCCAATCTGAACCTCTGGTGAGTTTCCGAACGCACTGGTGCATGCACGTCGGTGCTGACGCCTCCCAAGGGTGGGTGAAGACGGCCATGTCATGAGCTATCCTATCTCGGGCGGGAACTCTTTCAATGTGGTCGTAAACAGGTATGATCCAAGTGATCCGGCATCCTGGAATCGGAGCGATGCTCTTGAAGAAATGAAGACCATCATCAGCGACTGGGATGCCGTGTTGATCAAACTAGTCGGCATGGTCAAGCATACGGAAAAATGGCCGCTGTTGCAGGTCTCCACATTACAGAACTGGGTCTGTGAGAGGGCGGTGATTCTGGGAGACGCTGCGCACGCAATGCTGCCATACATGTCCCAAGGAGCGGCTATAGCGGTGGAAGATGCCGCGGCATTGGCAGAGGCCATCCACTTGATCTCGGCCGAGGATCAAGTTCCACATACCCTGAAAGTCTGGGAAACGGTGAGAAGACTACGAGCTCACGAGATGCAACAGGCGAGCGAGCTGAACTCCGTCCTGTGGCATTTCGCCGACGGGCCGGAACAGGAGGCACGCGATGCCAGTATGGAAGCTGAAGTTGACGGTCGGCAGATAATCGACTCCAGCGCAAATCAATGGAGTGATGGAGCTACGCAAAGATGGTGCTATGCCTACGACTGCGAGGAGGAGATCCGTCGGGCGTGGATGGTGCAAAAGCAGACATGTGATGATGAAGACCTTGATGCCGAGTGGCGTGATTCGGCGTATGTTTCCAGAGCGACATCGATCGCTGCGGTCGAGCTTGATAGATAGAAGAGCATTTTGATGCTGCGACGGTACGCAAGATGGCGTTTGACTGTGGCCACGCCCCAATCATCAGTGAAGTTTCGCTGGTGGGAAACGCGTCACGAACGCTCCGCATTTTCTACCCCGGCCTCACGCTTTGCTAATTGTCTTCACGTCGTGGCACGGTAGCATGTGATCTGGAGCCTGGTTGGGACGACATGGCCAGAAAGCAGATAGGCGAAGTTTTGATCGGCATCTTTGAAAGAACCGGTCGGTCCATCGGGGTCTTGATGAGCGAGAAGACATCTGCAAGCACTCGCTCACGAATCGTCTGATGGTAGACAGTAATGAATTCTGCTCAGTAAAATGTTTAACGGAATGTTGTTTGTGTCGCTTTGGTCAACCTGTTGGAGGCTCCCAAGAGCAAAGAAAGCCCTCGTAGACTTATCCGACCCGAAAGCCCAGCGATATGAAAAATGCCCGGCGTCTGGCCCCCTGCCAGTTCCCCACCTGCGAGACCACTTCGCCGCGTGTTCTGGCTCTGGCCACGACAAATTGTTGACCTGTTCATTTTCTCTGAATCACGTCACTCTATTCTTCGACCCTCTGTGTTACCAATTGGAAAGCGCTGTGAAATGAACCGATGGATACCAGACAGATATGGCAGCCCATACATCCGAGCCTACGGCCGTACCTGGACCCGGAGTACGTCGCATTCCACGATCAATATATGCAATATGTCATCCCAGATGATCTCAAGATCTGGGACGGAACGGCACGAACACATCCTTCCCTTCCACCCGGAGGCTCGGCTCCGATCAAAGTCGGTCGCATCCAGGATATCTCGCTGTCTCCGAACTGTAGAGTGCGAGTCTTTGTGCCCGACGATAACATGGGCGATGCGAAGTGGCCAGCGCTATTGTGGTTTCATGGAGGTGAGAATGGCTGAACGATCGATCCGGGCGCTGCTGACGATCAGGCGGGTGGGCAATTGGCGGGTTAGATAGCGAGAACGACTTCTGCGCTTATGTTTGTCAATGTGAGGACGCCTTCTTTTCACCAGCCTAGAAACTAATAGCATCAGCTGTCAAGGCGATTGTAGTGACCGTCGACTACCGGCTGGCTCCGGAGCACCCATATCCTGCAGCTGCTGAAGATGCCGTGGAAGCACTGCAGTGGCTGATCAAAGAAGCCACGAAACCGACGAGTCTCAACATCGACTTCAATAGGATTGCCATAGGTGGGACATCAGCGTTGGTCTTTTGCATCAAACATTCCTTGCACCTGAAGTGATTCGCTGACGAATCCGATTGCAAAGCGGAGGGAATCTGGCCGCCGTGTTGATCTTGGAAGCCGCCTGTCTTTTCAGAAGTTTCAAGCCGGTCATGCAGTTGCTCGTTGTGCCAGTCATCGACAACACTGCCGTGCCCGGGCGAGGCTGGGTCAACTTGAACGCCCCATGGCTGACACCGGCAAGAATGCTGTGGTATCGAAATATGTACCTGCCGAGCGGCGGTCCCCGAGCAGACCTCTCGCGAGAGGACTGGCAAACATCTCCGAATTTGGCACCCAAGAAGCTCCTGTCGAAATGTCCGCAAACGTGGATCGCGGTCTCGCAGCATGACCTGCTGGCTACGGAAGCTCTCAGCTTTGCGCAGCAGTTGCGAGAAGTAAACGTTCGAGCAGACACCAAGATCTATGAGGGATCGACGCATTCCATACTTGGGTTGAATGGAGTTTTGTCGAAAGGGCGAGAGCTGATGGTGGATGCGGTGTTCGTTTTGAGTAGAGCGTTCCGACCGCAGCACTTTGTACCTTGGCCTTCGCCCGAGGGATCAGTCTAAGAGACTAAAAGAGGGTATCTGGCACTAGCTGCTCTGGTCCAGCTGCTTCCAGCCTTCAGGTTTCAAAATGGAGAAGTTCAAAGCTCGGCCAAGGGTGTACAGCAGTTCGAGATAAGGGACCTCAATGCCGTGCTTCCTGGCAATTCTGACCGTGTTCCCAAGAATGGCCTCTACCTCAATCGGCTTCCCGTGATTCGCGTCGACCAGCATCGAAGGCTCCTTGCCACCAGTCTCTTTCTTCGCTCGGTGCCACGCTACGCTGGCTTGTATTGCTTCCTCGGTGAGATTTCTGTGGCCTTCTGCGAAAGCAATCGTGCTGACTTGTCGCAGTATCATGACAACCATGTCATCGGCGTCCTCAGAAGAGTTTAGAAGATTGGCGCCGTCGCATCTCGAAAGCGCACACATTGGATTGAAGGCGCAGTTAATGGCCAGTTTCGACCAGCGAAGAGGCTGGATGTCGTCAAAGAGCAGGACGTAGCCGCCTCCATAGGTCCAAAGTTCCGAGAGCTGCTCAGTCCTCAGCTTGTCCATGCGTGATGCGCTCGAAGGGTAAGTTCCAATTTCGAATCGTTCGCCGGAGCCCATCTGAATCACTCCAGGGGAGATTTGAGTCGTCGGTAGCCAGACGACGCCAGAGACCAGAGTATTGTCAGGATACAAATAGGAGTACTCAGGTTCGATTTCAATGCCGTTCTGTGCCAGCACAATCACGGTTTTGGGACCGACAGCATGCATGATCTGCTCGGCGACTCCTGGGAAGGCCTTCGCGCAGACCAGCAAATAGTCGAATGGGCCATAATGAGCTGCCTCGGTCACTGACTGTACAGCATTCGGGCGGTAATGGGCGGTTCCCCAGCTATTGGAGCGGATAGTTATGCCATTGGCTTTGACGGCATCGAAATTGCTCCGGCAAACTGACGTGACGGAAGCACCTGCTTTGTGCAGAATGTACCCATACACGCTGCCGACTGCTCCGGTGCCGAATACCAATACTTTCACCATCTTCTTCAATACCGTTGGCTGTTAGGTCCCTCTCACTGCATCAATCTATAATGCTGAAGTTGTAGTGAAGTCTGCGAGGAGGAGGAAGGTGTCATTTGGGAGTCTAGATCGGCCGCATCCGCAGTTGCAGGATTCGGCAAGCCGGCGGTGTCAGAATGGCGGTGACAGTGGATGCCCGAAAACTTGGAAGTCGAGAGCAAATGGCAGGGTTCCGTTTTATACTCTGCGCAGATAAGCTTAACTCTAGCGCGGGAGCTGGCGCGTCCGGGAAGTCTATTCATCTGCCGACCTCGTTGCGATTTCCTGCGAGAGAAGATTGGAGACTATCTTATCACGTCTTGAAGGGAGTATCAGGGAGACCAATCGTCATGAATCTATGTGATTCAGCTGCCGTTCACTGAAACCAAATGGTGTCTTGTCTATGAAGCTTGGTATTCTATTCTTGGGCACAGGAGAAATCATTCAAGGCGCTGCTCCAAAGTGGTATCCCTTTGACTCGATATCTCAAGACCTGCTGTCTTTGGTCAAAGTCGAGAGGAAGTGTGACGTGGGCCACGGAGTACACAAAGATAGCGACGGCGGCTTTTGTCGTCGTTCGTAGTGGTATATTCCACGAATTTGCTTGTGGGTTGGCTTGGCGGTAATCCGAGACTGGAACTTGCATCATGTGAATGCCCTGATGACTTTGAACACGAGACATGCCAACATACACGGAGACGCCCTTGATGTGATACTCAGGATTGATAATGTGCATGGAGCGCCACGAGCCTGGCTCTGACCTGTGTGCGACGTCCGCAAAAGAGAAGAAGAAAACTCCAAAGCAGGCTGCCAGATCGAAGCTTTGAACTCGCCGCCGCTCGGTGTCGTGATCGAGCTGGCTCCGTTGTTGGGAATGAGGTTGAGGAGTCGATTGATCGCGAGAGGCTCGTACTCGCTGGTGGACAACAAATCACAACTGTTGCGCTGTTCTTCCGTAGTGAGCAAGCTTGGAGAGGGCTTGAAGCAGAGCACCTCCTTAAGCTGTGAAGAGCCTTCAATGGTGCCGCGAGATTTATTATTGACTAGCTGACTGAGAAGCAGTGTGCGCATGGCACCTCTTGCTTGTTTGTTGCGCAGATAATCATAAGGACCGTCCACGACCTTCAGGGTGTCGATGATCTCGTTTGGTGGTTTCCTGGGCGCGGCACTATTGCTGATGCGATGTTGCCGCAAACGAGGAACGTCGAGAAGCTGCAGAGTTCCTCGCTGGATGGAAGGTCGTCAACACTCGCGACGGCTGGTCTCGCGGCATACTCAGGTGCAAGTGATGGGTTGTATCTGCACGTGCGCTCGCTTTTCCTCTTCGCTGCCTTCAAAGTGCGCCGACGCAGAAATCAGCGTCTTTGAATAAATGCACGCGACTGCAGAAAGCCGAGAAAGCGTCCACTGCATGGACTTCCTTCTAATTCTCTTCTTGGCCTCGCTCTACTACCTTCTCGCTGTTTGCCTCCACTGATCCATTCGTCGAACTCTCTTTACGCCTCAAGATAGCCACGCCCTCCACATGACTTGTCTGCGGAAAGAAATCGAAACCCCTCACGCTCTCAATCTCATAGATTCCCCCAGCTCCTCTCGACCCTTCCTCTGCTCCGGGTAATCCGCCGACAATCCAGCCGACATCTCTCGCCTGCGTATGCACGTTGCAACTGACGTAGCAAATCCGCTCGGGACCATAATCAAGTAACTGCTTGATGAATCCTTCGTCGCAACCCTTTCTGGGAGGATCAATGACCATAACGGTCTCCGTTGGAGGGTATCTGTTCTTGTCCACAGAAGCAAATAGTTGGTTCGCGTCTGCAGCAATGAAGTTGGTAGAATCGGCAGGCAGATCGTTGAGCTTGGCGTTCTTGCTGGCGAAGTCGATGGATTGACCAGATATATCAATGCCTATGCTGTTGTTGAACATCTTGGAGAGCGTAATGGTGAAGAAGCCAGAGCCACAGTAAGCATCTATCATGTTTTTGATTTGAGGCTTGTCTCCCGACTTGTCCAGAATGTGCTCCCGAATGTACTGTGTCACCACCGGCAGAATGGAGTTGTTGTTCTGGAAGAAAGCGCCAGCTGGGTTGTCGAGCCGATATTCGTCTATGTATTCTGTCGACGTGGATTTGTGGTCGGTGATGCAGATCTTCCGATGCACATGACTGCCTTGGTCCTCGATGACTTGGTCCTCCTTCTCGGACTCGTTGTTCTCTTCAACCATCCCAGCCTTCTTAGGCAGACGCTCGGTGTGTTCTCGCAAGAGGAGCGTGGCGCCTTTCTGATATTGATTGATGTTGTCCGCAACTCGTTTCCGCTCTCGCCTCATGCCTAATCTCACAGCTTCAGTGCCAATAGGGCAGTCCTCGATGTCCATCGTCTTCCTCGTCCCCTTCAGCATGTATCCGATAGGCGGCACCTCGGGCCAAGTGACCGGCTTGCCATGTCTCTTGTCTCTCCTGCCTCCCGGCGGTCCATCGAAATGCGGCGTGAGCTTCGTACGGTATCCATATTGTAGGGGCGAGCCGATCGTATCGCCGACTTTGGGCACAACAGAGGCAGGGAGGTTCGAGAAATTGCGGTATGCCTTCTCCACTATCGTCCGTTTGTGCGCAAGCTGGTATGAGTAGGGAAGCTGCTGAAACTGACAGCCCGAGCACTGAGTGAAGTAGGGGCACCTCGCCTCCTCCGTGCGATGTTCTCCGGGCTTCACAACCTTGACGAAGTCGGCGAGAGAGTAGTGTTCATCTTCCACGTGTCTGTAGATGCGTGCGGTAACAGTATCGCCGGGAGCAGAGAACGGGACAACGTATACTTGGCCATCTCTCTCCGCAAGCCCGTCTCCTGTAGAGGACAGCTCCGATATCGTGACATCTACCTCGGCCTTGAGCTCTGGAAGCTGCCTGGCAATGGCCGCATCCGCATCCGCATCCGCATCCTCCTCCACATCGTTGACTTTGAGATCTTTCAAGAGACTTCTGACATCTGCCAGAAGCACCTCTTCGTTCGAGCCTTCGTTGGCATTTGCATTTTTGGGCTTCTTGCTCTTCTTGAAGTGTCTCTTGCCCTCGTTGAAAGGCCGCTTCTGCGCCATGACAACTGAGTGGTCCAGTGGTCTGCGCAGTGTTGGGCGTGTGGTCAGCAACAAACGTCGGAGAGTGAGCATTGGAAGTTCACATGCAAGCTCCATGCCCAACCCGGCGAAGAAGCTGCTTTACATAGCGCTCTATTTTCATTGGCTAAAAGAAGCTTCACGCTACTGGATGTTCCCCGACCTTTCTAATATCGCGATCAGTGCTGAGGCTGACATAATCGCAGCCTTTTTTACACTTCATCTCCTTTTATTACATCCTCGTCTCCCATCTCCCAACTCAGGGATGCCATGCCACCTGCGTGCATCCAACATCTGCGCCCGGCAGCTCGTAACGCCTCCGCTATCACTCCTTCCAAAGAACACTCCTTTTCTTGACTGCTTCCAGTTCAACAACCGAGCAAGAAACCCGTCCCCTCAAGCCCGGACAGCACACTCGCTATCAGAGTCTTGACGAGACCGGAACGGCCTCGGGCTTGTTTTAGCCTCTTGCTGGTGGAAAAACTCAGGTTCCTCGACAAAACATCGAAGTGTTTCGCAGTGGTTGACATTGCAAAACTTGGGTATCTATACGGCTATAGATTTGGATTAGAGCCTTTCTAAAGCATAGAGAGCTTTCCTTTCCATCTTCAAGTCCTTCGGAACCGTTGCTAGGTCTTCGAAAGAGATCTTGAACAAGAACAGATACCCTTGTCAAGACCGAAGCCTATACTCGCCGCACCTAGGTTTTGGTAATGACTGATTCCAGGAACTGGTCGGGAAAAAGATGCCAAACGACACTCGCGCACGCAGGGTTTGAATACCCTTCTTCTTGTTCGCGTCAGCTCAGCGGTGCGTTCTTCGCTTACTTGACGCGCTTTATGCCTACAACCATTTCAATACTCCAGAGGATGCACCGGCCATGCTTTCGCTCTTCCGGATCGTCTCGTTTCCGTTCCCCTCACAGCCCCAAGGGCAGCCCATGCGAACATTACAATTGACTTTTCAAGCTTCCTGGACCAACACCAAGCAGCAGATTGGTCACAAGCAAGATTGCAGGCATTGCGCAGCTATGATTGGCCCATTCGCCCTTCCGGCAGGGAATTTTAGGCTATAGCCACAGCTTCCACCAGAAGGACTCGCCTAACACCCTTTCTGTAGAATACCCATCCTGGTGGTCCATACGAACGTCGCAGGGAGAGGCCCCATTTAGATCAAAGTCAGGCCGAGAATGCGCGAAATGACAGCCTTGGGCCTGTGGCCAGGGAGTAGTCTGACCTGCGCCATGTATTTGTTCCGGAGCTTGCCTTCAAGACTTTTGAAGAGATCTGTGAGTTCCAACTGCCTTCTGGAAACCCATCTTTTGGCAAGTCACTGCGATGAAAGACACGGTAGTCCTGTGTCTGTGTACATGGCTTCTGGGAGCTACGGCAGCACTACCAGACTCTGCAAGTTCATCAGAGTCCGACCCTCTGGAACGCCGCCAAGGAGGCTCATTCCAGGCGTTAAAAGCTCAGTATGTGCAAAGTACTCTCCGATCGCTCACAGCAGGCGGTGCGTGTAATGCGCAAACTGTGAAAAGGAGACAGGAATGGTATGTACCACCTCCACACGTTCGAAGTTTGAAGCCAACGCTGATGTGATTCGAAGGGGAGATATGTCTCCGCAGCAGCAGCAGCAGTTCATCTCAGCGTGCTATTGTCTTGCGTCGCGACCTGCACGATCTCCAGAAACGGGTGCCAGAAGCTTGTGGGATGATTTTGTATGTACCTACATGCAGTCACGAGGCTACCTTGGGCAACGAACTTGCAGTGCAGTGAGAGCCTAACGATGTCTCCAGGTAACAGCGCACGTTGGCAACAACGAAGCGATCCACGTGTCTGCCTTTCTCCTCCCATGGCACAGAAATCTGGGCTCGGAAATGGAAAGAGCGTTGCAGCGCGAATGCGGATATGATGGCGGCTTGCCTTATCTCGACTTCACGAAGTACGAAGGAAGACCGCTACAGGAGTGGCCGATCTTCGATGGGTCGCCTTCTTCACTTTCAGGCAATGGGGTATCGACATCCGATGGCTGCTCGTGTGTCAGGAGCGGACCGTTAGCACAATGGGTTGTCACCATACCGCCCAGTGCTGATGGTACACGCGCTTGCAGTCAGAGCGTTCCGCGGTGCTTGGAACGACGATTCGACCCCACGAAAGCACTGCCAATCTTGACGGATGCCAACATCGCTCAGCATATCCGGGACGGTGTGGGTGAGTCTCTTCGATCTATTTTTGGAGGCTCTGAATGTGCGTGGAGCTGACAGCCGTAGATGCCGCGACCTTTGCTCCTAACCTCGAAACTCTGCCGCAGCCCATCCACAGTGCGATTCACGATCTTATCAGCGGCTTACAAGAAGACGTCGCCGTCTCACCAGGAGATCCAATGTTCTTCCTGATTCACTGTTTCCTGGATCTCATATGGGCAATCTGGCAGAGCTTGGACTACAACTCGAGAACCTACGATCTCGCACCCTCAGAGGCATGGGCGCCGGAACGGCAGCAACTCAAGAGTAAGTGGTTACACTCGCAGTTGTGCTTTAAGGCTCTTGATATTGATGACGAGTGCAGGGTTACCGCCGCCACAGGTCAGCCTCGGGACGCCACTTCCCATGACGGCGGCCTTTCCAAATAGTGTGAGAGTCCAGGATGTTATGAGCACATTCGCTGGAGCCAACTGTTACATGTTCGTATAGAGCCGGAGCCAGAACAGGAGGAAATTACGACCAGCGTCCGCAATCTTGAGAGCCACAGTGGAGCGACACTGTTCCAACGTGCAAGTGATGCCTAAGCCATGGTATAAATGGTTTCGTTGCCAATCATTGGTGCAAGTTCTGTTAATGCTTAAGCCGTTAGCTTCGTGGAGATGTCCGCCAGGAAATAGACGATTGCCTTTCACTCCCCAATGTCCCTTTCTGCTCTACCAATGGCCGCGTGGCCGGGTCCGTAATGATGGACCTTTACGCTGGTCCCAGATGCCTCCGTATAGGAGAACTGCTGCCATTTGTCAGGATCATTGGCGACTGCTGCAGCAGGCTAGCACAGCAAGTCAGCGACTACTTCAAAAGACTTAGAAGGGAGCATATGCGCTCGCGATTGGGAGGGATAGTGCAGTACCGGCTAGTTCGAAGACCCTGAATGAATGAGCACGAACTTCACTTCAGGCTACTGAACGCGGGCTGGCGATCCGAGAACTCGTGGAAGAGGTCTTCCGTGGCTGGGGAAGACGTTTGCAACTGACACGGGAAGTCCCAGGAGGTATGCGAAAAGGTCCCTGAGCCGAAGATCCAAAGAAAAGAACTAGAAGTGAGTAAGACAGATATGATATCGAGGCGGATCAGACGTATCTGCTGCAAATCGACGTTGAATGGGGACTGGCATGTGCAGCACGCACCAATGGAAACTCGAAGACTTGGAAAGAAAAGTATTGACCTAGTAGGTCGGGGCAAGATGTTCGAAGCAAACGGCTGTGTTCTAAACGACTGTGTTTAAATGACTGGTTCTAGAGTTGATCTGTTCCTGCTACAAGCACCATACGAGACATTGAGAGTGGAGGAAGATCGATAACCGGTACCGATTTCTTCCCGAGGCAAAGTCGAAGCAGCATCAGCTGCAACAAGCCCACCATCCATCTACTGCTGGTGCTTCTTGTTGTAGTAGCTGCTCTCGGGGTAGTAACTGCCGTAGTAGTCGTACTGGAGGTAGTAGTTAGGGTAGCGCTGGCCGTTGTAGCTAGGGTAGCGCTGGCTGTAGTAATTGTTGCTCTCGGGGTAGTCATAGCTGTAGGGGTAGTAGCTACCGGACTGGGCGCCACGCTTGGCGTGCTGGTACGCGTTGCCGTACTCCTCGGGATAGTAGCTACCGTACTCGCTCTGGGGGTAGTACTGGCCCTGGCGGCCGTACTCCTCGGGGTAGTACTGGCCACGGTTGCCGTACTGGCTCTGGGGGTAGTACTGGCCCTGTGCGCGGCCGGAGGAGTACGAGCCACGGTTGTTGGTGTACTGGGATTGGCCGGAGGAGTACTGGCCGCGGTTGTAGTACTCGCGGTCCAGCTGCTGGGGGTACTGCTCCTCAGATCCGTAGTCTCCGTACTCTTGCTTGCCGGCCTTGGCTTGGTCGGCTTGGTCGGCCTGCTTGTCCTGGTCGGCACGAGCGACGATGCCGTCGGCTTGCTGCTGCGGGGGTTAATTGAGGTTGACTTCTTGGTGAAAGAGCTTTGCTGGAGGCTTACGACTGGGCTGGCAACGGCGCCGCTGGCGGCAAGTCCGAGGACCATGGTGGCGATGGTGGAGTACTTCATAGTGAATGTGGTATTGGTTGTGTGGGTTTGTTGTGTATGATGTTGTAGTGTAGTGAATGTGGTGCTGATGATTTGTCCAGTCTGCGTCTTCCGCGCCCATTATATATGCGTTCTGTGCAGACTTTGGCTTTGTGGAAGACACCGCAACGCAAAAGTCATTACTGACTCTGAGACAACCTCGTGCACTGCTTCGTCCAATCAGTCCGCTGGCAATCGATTCAGGCAGTGTGGTTTGAGCAGTTGCATCCAGCTTCTTTGCCCGAAGCTAAACTTCGCCGCCAGTCTCAAGAAGCCAGCGCGTCTGGAAGACGTGTGTTACCAAGGGCGAAACAAGACTCGACTCAGTCGCAATTCCTAAAAGTGGTATGCGCAAGTTTCGCAAACAAGCTTTCCGCGGACAACTCTATTAGAGCAGAATCGCTCTTGATTGAAACTCCCGGGAATTGTTCTACGACCTTGGAATCTATGCCAATATAGGCTGGATAGGCTGGGAGGGCGCTGTGTGCCTGGTCCTGACCCTTTGAGACCGGAGTCTAGCCTATCACTTTAACTCTCTCAGTGCTAGCTGTGCTAGGTCATACCCGTAGCAGTCGAAACCAAAGACTTACGTAACATGCTCCAGATTGAACAATAGGCATCGTCGTCCTTGCTGGGCTTCCAGCTCGGTTCCGAGGCGTGACGACTTACGAGAAGTCAATCCGTACGATTGGGATGTCGTGTTCTTCCAATCTCCTGGCATCATCGAAGGAGCGCTGACCGGCCCTCTCCCAGTGAGTTTGACTGCAGTCGCTATTGCAATTTGGCTCCAGTCATTAGTAGGCGCGAATCCCTGATGGACCTGACTGTATACCGTCATTCATACCGTAGGTAAGAAACTGGAAAGTAACTCCTCCGCGCCAGCAGTATTCGCTGTGACGATGTTCCGAGTTAGTGTTTGACGTCAGAATCCGGTCTTACGGATTGCATGAGATAATTCTTCTGTCACATTGTGATAGCCTTCAACGCGCGACTCACAAGCCCAGTTCGCTCCTTTCTCACCCCACAAGGGAAACGCTAGTACAGACACCTCACACTAGTCAGTTCTGAAGGCACATCTTCCTAATTCTGGAATTCTGGGCTCAGCTTACAAAGTTCCACAGACAGACGAAACATGGCGAACATGCTTCCCAAACTCGTCCAAGTAGTGGGTATTGCATAGTGTCAGCAGATGGAAGTTCCGGTCCACGTTTGCGAAGTCGGACGCGGTACTCATTGGCCAAAAATGGAACATCTATGGAGCCTCTTTGTCTATTGCATTGCTCTCAAACGATCGACGAGACAAGTCGTGCGATCATGAACGCACAGCAAAGCGGCACGTACCCTGGAACAGCCGGCAGGATGCTTCAAATCTCACCAAACGCGACGTGGAGAGCAGAGTGCTAGCAACCGTTTCGAGGTACGATCGCATTTCGCTGTCTGGAGCTCGAGGTCTGATGTATTCTTTAGCGAGTTGAGACGTTGTTATTCGATTGTTCTGTATTTGCTCCGTGATGTATGGATAGAGTAATCGATAATCTTCTATCCGCATTAGTAGCATACGGTTCTGTCGTCTCGAAAACCACATCGACACCTTTATCGCATCATCAATACGCACTCGCTCTCTTCTTCCATGCCGGCTGCGGTGCAGGGGCAATAGGTCCAAATCCGCTCTGGACAGGCACGCCCGCCACCAGCTTCAATCCATCGACCTTGGCACCTGTCTCCTCCAGCGACCAGAGACTAACGGCAACATAGTTGCTCCCCTGATAGTTCCAGATACCCTCCGGAACCGGAAAGACATCCTGCGGGCCAATGTTGTGAATATACTTGCCGAATTGATAGCCGTTGACGTAGATTTGACTGCGGTAGCTAGGCGTCGTTGCAGAAGTGTTGCTGCTACTGTTCGCGAAGCTGAAGCTGAGCGGGATATCATAACCCTGGGGAAAATTGAGGTCAAATGTGGTGGAGTAGAACGCTACGCCTGGGCCAGATATGCCTTCTGCTGGTCCTTTGCTATCTTTCCAAGATGAAGTGGGCGCACCTGGGAGATGGTAGCCTTGTCGCTCGGCGTAGAGACCTCCTTCATTGAGTGGTCCACGGGTGCGATCCTCGTAGTCCTCACCGTGGAGGTTACCGGTAAGCTTCCAGGTGACATCTTTCTTGGCATGGCCAGCGAGGTTGAAGTCAAGAATACCGCGAGGATTCTTCATCTCACTGCTCGCCGCCTCACCATTCTCGTCCAGGCCATTATTGTCAATAAGGACCGTGATCACGTAGCTCTTGCCAGAAACTGTGGAAGGCAGATTGTAAGTCGTGTTCCAATTCTCGTACTTGTCGGCTCCGTAAAAAGATCCGACAAATGTGCTGTCAAGCCAGACTGAATGTCCGAAGGCGCTACCACCTTGCGTGGCGAGGTAGAGGCTGCTCTCGTTACCCGTGGCTTCGAAATGGCCTCTGTAGAGTAGATTGCCGGTGTGGTAGCCGTAGTCGCTGGAGTAGAGAGAAGTTGGTGTGGTCAAATTACGGGCAGTGTTGTTGCTGTAAGTCAGACTGGCTGTCGTCCAAAGGCTGTCGTCGTACCCGTTCTGCACTTCTGGAAGACTGTCAAGAACCTTCCATTTGATGCTCGCGAGGTCAGGAACGGAGAAGCTGGGCTCGCTGTACGAGGCGGTCGCGCTCACCACTCCATTGTGGGACTGATTGAAGTGAATGTCCTTTCCGTTGAACGTAAGCTTCTTGAGAGGCTGAGGAGCTCCTCCGATGATTTCGATGGGCGTGGTGGCGTTGAGATCTCCGACGAGGTGAACGCTGCTATCCTTCACCTCGACAGACCGCAGCAGATACCCGGCCTTGACAATCGGAGCTGAGTTGAACGTCTTGCTGTTCGTGTAGTTCTTCGTGATCGCATCGCTGGGTAAATCGATCACCCAGTAGTTGTACGCATCGTTGCGATCGAGCAAGTAGATCGCGACATCGTTACCCAGCTGCACAATCCTTCGAGTTGAGCTGCTGTCGTACTGTATGACGGTCGCTCCATTCTTGCTGGCAAACTTGACTGCCGGCCCTTCAATGACTTTACCTTGGCCGCAGCCGGTAAGAGCAAGCTCGTTTATCTCTCCGGGACCACTGTATGCAACGATCACCTTCTTGTTTCCGTACTTCTTGTGCGTGAAGATCTCTGCAGTGGAGTAGAGGAGGTGAACCCCACTGGCATCGTAATCTGTAACAAAGACCTTGGAGTCGCGGCCGTGCAGTGAAAGGCTGCCGCCAAGTTGAGGTACTGTTATGTTGCCCTTGCTGGTGGGGAAGGTGATAGAGTACGGCGTAGTGTCGTAAGTGTTGTATACAGAATGGCGGACAACGAAGAAGTTGGTGACGTTGCCAACAAGTGCTGTCGTAGCAACTGCGCTGTTGCCAGTGTACGAGCCATTCACGCTGCTCGCGTTGTTCTTGTTTTGAGTCTCGGCCGTGAGGTAGGCGGGCGAGGACTGCAAGAAATTTGCAAGCAGCTTGGCTTCGCTGTACTTTTCGCGGTCCACGGTGCGCTCTTCGGTGATCACGGCGCCGTAGTCGTAGCTGGTGTATCCGCCGGGGTGTCCCAGATTGCCTATTCGCCCGTTAGCAAGACGCTTGAGTGTCCAGATTCAAAGCCATACCCCAATTGGTTCCTCCGTATGTCATGTAGATGTTGAAGATCGTGACGCCAAAGCTGAAATCGTTCTTGTAGAACACTCGTTCGAACTCCGGCCCAAGAAGTGTAGCGCACTGCGCAAATCCGAGACCACCCCATGGGTCGAAGCTACCACCTTGGAATTCAACGATGGAGTACGGAGTGCTTGAACTCTGCTCTTGATGCAAGAAGCCGTAATAGATGGGCAGGTCTCCTTCAGGCCACGTATAGGGATTGGCACAATCAAAGCTGTGAGAGATTAGCTAGCTTCTATCCATGGCTTCTAGCTCCTCCAATCATACCCAAGTGGGTATCCATCGTGACCGTAGATATCAACAGCAGCTGGCTGGCGTGGAGGACCCGTCGCAAAGTATCCATGCGGATAAGCATCGTTGCTGATGAGAGGCACAACGATGCTGTTATTTCGGTACTGTTCCTCGACATAGCCAAAGTACTCTGGATCCGGGAAGAGATCATAGCCACTGATAGCCTGCGAGTATTCATTCTCTGGTTGAAGCAGCACCACCGGCCCTCCGTTCGTGATCTGAGCCTTGGCAACAATCTTCGAGATGCTGTCTACATAGTTCTTAGTCGCATCCAGGTATCTCTGATCTCTGGTCCGAAGGAGTCCTGGGTTTCTCTGCAGCCAGCCAGGGTAGCCGCCTCCAGAAACCTCAGCGTTGATGTATGGACCAGGCCGAGCCAGAAGGTAGATACCAGCCGTCTGTGCAGCCTCGAAGAAAGGCTCGAGAGCGAAGATTCCCTCGGCGGAGAAATCACCCTGCTTGCCTTCTAGTAGAGCCCAGTCCCAGTATACCGAGACACCATTATATCCGAGAGCCTTGATTTTTTGGAAGACATCGAGCCATAGCGATGGCACCGGCAATCGGAAAGGGTGGAATTCGCCGGAATAGAACAGGACTCGCTCGCCGCGAACGAACAGAGAATGCTGGGAAAGGCAAGTGTCAGAACATTTCCCATCCATTGAGTCAAATGCTTGCCGAATTCCTCACCTCATCCCAAGTGACAATGTCCTGCAGCGGCTCCCTCTTGTACGGCTTGATCATCAAATTGGGCTTGCCGCCAATGGCCAATGCAGTCGTCTGTACAGCTAGCAAAGCTGCCAAACACAGCTTCTGGAACAACATGTTGCCAGTCTATCCTCGGCAGCAGAAAGTGACAAGACGCCCGCAGCTTGGGGGGTACGCGGATCCGTGTTCCTTAAAGAGGCAGTCAACAACGCGTTCGCCGCATCTTCTGCCGACGTTGCATGGGGAAACATTGTCCTAGCTCTTCCGGAGGAGCTTGACGTGATGATCAGGTACGACCGTAGGATCTCAGGGTTGTCAATGCGATGAGGAGACGGGAAGGCGACTTGGGAGGGTGGTGTGTGTGGATTGCAAGGACTCTCCGCCGCTAGCGCAAGGGCAATTTAAGCGACGGTGCCGTGTGTGGGTGAATAATGATCCTGTGATGTGTGGAGAGCGGGGGGATGGGGGATGGAGTGAGTCGTATTCTTCCGGAAGAACAGCGGAGGTCACTGCAGGGTTCGGGATGTGGAGGGGAACCTCCGACCCGCTTTTGTCGGGGGCATGGCCGGCGACTGAATCTGAGGTTGGAAAATACTGCGTGACGTAGGTTTGTATAACAAATATACGGTATCGTACCGTATCCCTCGACCTCCTTCCGGGGTCAATACGAAGAGATCCCCCAATACCGGCAACAGCCGAAGCAGTGTATTCTGTCCGTCCAGTCTGCTACAGAAACTCGCAGGGCCTTTGCACAGACGTGAGCTGACCAATAGATACCTCGCATGTGGGCGGAACTCTTCTCGACGGATGAGTCTCTAAAGGGATGGCATATGTGACATCCCATCACTCAATTCTGGGCAGCCTTCACAGCCGCAACCTCCTCATCCAGGGGCAGAATGTTCGGCACAGGTCCCACAGGCGTAATCGAAAACGGGTTGATCTGCTTGTGGCTCTTCGTATAATGCTTCTTGATATGCGTGAACTCTGTCGTCTCTCCAAAAGCCGGCACCTTCCAGTACAGGTTGCGGACCCATCTATGGATCGCAGGGTACCCGCTCCGAATCTCGCGGATATTGCACTTGAAGTGCTGCACGTACACGGCGTCGAACCGAATGATGGTGGTGTAGAGACGAATGTCTGCTTCTGTGATGCGGTCGCCGTAGTAGAAGGGACCTGGGGATTTGGAGAGGTGTGCTTCGACGCGGTCGAGGGAGTTGAAGAGCGTTGTGACGGCTTTGGTGTAGGCGTCTTCGGTACTGCCAAAGGGAAGTTTGAATCAGTAGTCTGATCATCAAGACATCAGCGAATTCGCTTGATACTCACGTCGCAAAGCCACTCTTGTAAACCCCATTGTTGATATCATTATAAGTCCACTCATTCGTACTCTCGATCTCCTTCTTCAAATCCATCGGCAAGAGGTCTAAATTCTTGAACTTCTCCGGCAGCACATCATCAAATTCGGTATACAGCATCCGAATAATCTCACTCGACTCATTATTCACAATGCGTTTCGCTTTCTTGTCATAGAGTGTCGGCACCGTGAATCGTCCCTGGTAATCAGGATCCTGTGCAAAGTAAATATCCCGAAGATGCGTATATTCTGGATGCAAAGGATCAGGAATTGTGTTCTCTCCAGGGAGGTCTTTCTCGTCCTTCGTAGCGAATCGCCACCCCTTCTCGAGCATTTCCCAGTGCACGCTCGTGAAGGGCAAGAAATCCTCTAGGCCTTTAAGCTTTCGAACGATGAGAGCACGATGAGCCCAGGGACAAGCGTAAGAGACATAGAGATGGTATCGATCTTTCTCGGCGGGGAATTCTGCATTGGGGTCCTTGGAGATCCAGTTTCGGAAGACAGAAGATTGACGTTTGAATTCTCCGGATTTGTCTTTTGGATCGACCCAGTTGAGGATGTTCCCCGCTTTCTGATCGGACTGTGGCAAAGGTTAGCACTTGATGCTGGGATCATCATGACCTGGTACAGACATTGGAGGCCATCCTTGCCGTTGAACTGCTCAAATTGCGGGAGATATGATCTTTGATATGATTGAGTCGTGGTATCGCTCTTAGCATTGGCATCCAAGGGAATATCGGTCGTCGATGAAGGATCAGTTGATTATTTGAATGCTTCTTCCTTATAAAGGCTGATGGCTAAACGATGACATAAGGCTGACCATGTTTTAGCAAAGAATCTTGTCAAATTTGATTGGACAAAATCCAGCCTAAATAGCTGCTTCAAGACATTTTGCTGCAGCAAATGCGGGCTAAACGCTCTTCGCTAACAGAGCGGGATACTGTATGGATATAGGTACCCACTCCTCTCGTGAAGACTGTGCTGATGGCATAGATCAGCAACATGTCCACTTCATTCACCGTGCAATGAAGCGGAGGCGATCCGAATCAGCCAGCTTTACAGCTTGTTGTGAAAATGCATCGAGCAATACAGTACTATCGAGATTTCAAAACAGTCGAACGTGACTTGGATGTTGAGCAGTTGTTGATTATCTCCGCTGGCGAGCAGGGCGCGGATGGATCACGCTATTTCTTTCTTGCGCCCCTTGCGATCGACTCTCTCGTCTCGTGGGTCGAAGCCCCCGTTACCCCAAAGAGCCCATTCGGGAGTGGGAGCACCAACATAATCTTCTGGTCCGAAAGGCTTGCCGCTGTCAACACATTCAAAAAACTTTGGGTAATCGATCAGAGTATGCCATCTCTGGATGCCATCTACATTCCTCCGATAGAACCGGTTCTTGTCCGCAAGCAGGATACAGCAAGAATGAGCATGTTCGGCACCAATACCATACTCCAATCCGCGACGATTGAGTTCAGCTTCGAGCGCGAGAACGAAAGTTTTGACTTCCTCGTAAAAGGGCACATTCTGCATGCTCAGTCCAGCTCCGGCAGCGGTAGAGGTGCCGCAGTACGTCACGCCCTTCACTTCGACGAAAGCTGGTAGGGCACGTTCCACAAGGTCTGCGTAGCCTGAAGCCTCCTCTTCGACGTTGAAGCCTTTCACTAGAGTCAGGCGGAAGACTGTGCGGTGTGTGAAGCGTTTCTCACGCAAGATGTCCATGCACCGAGTGAAACGCTCCCAGAAGTCACGATGAAGAGGCCTGTCAATGCGCCTCAGACTGTCCTTGTTCGATGCGTCAATAGACACGTACAGTTGGGTGACGGGACCCAAAGCGGCAAGCTGATCTGGATGCTGGGCATTGCAGACCAGAAAAGAGGAGATATGCTCCTTGTGCAGCATTGCCAGTAGCTCATTGATATGAGGATAGAAGATCGGCTCGCCAACCAAGCTCAAGGCGCAATGCCTTATTCGCATGGCCTCTGAGAAACGCTCGCTCCTCACCCCAGGCACACCACGCATCATCTTTATTTTCTGATAGTGGCCTTCCTTCATTCCATCGAATATGAGCTCTGGAGGATCGACTTGCCATCTCCATGTCGTGCCGACCGGGTTACTGCCGTGTCGCCAGCAAAATACGCACTTGTTGCTGCAGCTCAAGGATGGAGTCGCTTCCATGCAGAGATGGGATGAGATGCCATAAAAGGAGAATTTGTAACAGCTCCCACGGCCACGAAGAGCTGATTTGGTCCACCGGCAGATCTTGACGCCGGAATGCGAGCCGACGATGGTGTAGCCTTGTTTGGTGAGGTTCGTGTACGTAGGAGAGGTCTTCGGTACCATCTCTTTCGGAATCTGCAGTCTACCGGTTTTGGTAGACGTGGTGGTAAAATCGACCGGGATGGGTGCTTTGAGATCTTCCAGATCACCAGTCCTTGCCCTTAGGATTTTACGTTGTGGTTTAGTAGTCATGACCTCTTCATCTTCATCCTGATTAAAATCGTCCTCATCTCCACTCTCGGCAGGATCCCCACTGCCCGGTACACCTTCACCCAGCCCTTTACCCAAACTCAAATCGTTCATAACACTCACCACACCGGCTTGCCAATCGTCCAATCTCGAGTCCAGCTCATCGCCCTTCACATCTCCGATGCCCAGAGGAAACGCTCTTCTTCGACCCGTCAGTCTGGCCAACCATTTGTCCACCTCAATCGCCTGTGAGCAGTATCCTTCTTGTTCTGTGGGCCACTCTTGCTGGTCTCCGAGCCCAAATACACTGTAACCAGCAAGGCCTGACAATGGAGCCGTGTCGATTCGGAAGTCGTGATGCGTCTCCTCGAGGTGCGAGAGGAAGTTGGAAAGCTCGGTATCGATGTTGTAAGACGGTATGAGGATGAGGTAGAAGTTCGCGGTACTCGAGTCTGCCGCCTTGGGTGGAGAAACGAAGAAGTCATCGTAATCGATCTCTGCGAGGTCATGAAGTACTGGCTTGAGCATGCGAGACGCATTTACCTGATCAACAACCGATCCAACCAGTCTCTCGGCATATGATCGAGTGGAGCCGCCCAGAGAGAAGTAGAAGACATAAGGCTGTATTCTCTGTATCGCAGGGCCGTCACTTCGCTTCCTGGCTGTTTTAATTCCCTGAACTCGGCGTGGACCTTTCGTTTTCGCTGCATTTGACGTCGGCTTTCCTTCACTCTCAGGCAGCTGACCTGCTATTGAAGGCTGCTCTTCAATGGGCGTGCCCAAAGTAGGAGTCAGGACAGCCTCGACCTTTCGACTTCTCCAGTGGACGGATAATCGCACCAGGGCCAGCAGTACGCCCGCCGTAAGCAAGATTTCGGTGCGATGAGAATGCCACAGCAGGAACAGCTCTTCCGGAAGCTGGAGCAGCTTGGACGATTCCATGTTATGTTCGACTGGCAGCGAATGTTCTTGCGACAGAGAGACACCAAACTAGTAACTTGCCATTGCATAGTCAGCGAATTTGCTTTCACGTGCCGAGCTCGGGACTTTCGGGAAGCCGCTGCCGAAAAGTGGGGGCGGACCGACTCGCAGCTCCCCGAGAGCTTGCCGCCGATCAACAACGCGCTTGCCGCATCGTCACTACATCAACAGAGACCGAAAGACTGCTGACCTCCTGTTTCTCTTTCTCGTGCACAGCGACATCAACATCGACATACAATGTTCTGACTAACGGTATCCTTCTCGGGCATGTAACCTCGTCTACACGTACTACTCACACCGCAACGATGGAGACGTTCAACGCACGTTCCGAGCACTGTCGCCCACTCGAACATCCAGGCATCTTCACAACAACCCTCGCAGCGCTTCTTGTTGTTGGTATACTGGTCTCCTACCTGCCACAACACGCGAAGATTATTCAAAGGCGGACTTCAGAAGGTCTGTCCCCATACTGGGTGCTATTGGGAGGACTGAGCTCCATCGCGGCAATCGGCAACATCCTCACACTGCCTACGTCTCGCTCCGACATGGCTTGCTGTAAAGAGCTTTCGCCCGGAGCATGTACGGCTGCTTTACTTGGGGTCGCCCAGATTGGCATCCAGTGGACGTCCTTTATGCTTCTGTAGGGACCTTACCCTTCGAAATGGAAACATGTAGGCCACGCTAATCTGTCCTGTTAGTGTGATGCTCTACCTCGCCTTCTCCGACCCGGCCAAGCACCGCGAGCCTCTCGTTGTCGGCTTCTGCATATTCGTCTCCGTCTTCTTCGTCGCCATCATCTCCATCGCTCTTGTCTTCCGCTTCCCAAAGCACACCCAGATCTGGGCCGACATCCTCGGAACCATAGCCGGAGTCCTCGCGGCCATACAATACCTACCTCAAATCTACTACACTTGGAAGCTGAAGGATTTGAAGAGCTTGTCAGTCACTACATTGGTTATTCAAGCCCCTGGCGCTTTCGTCTTTGCGCTGTCGCTGGGATTGAGGGTAGGGGTCGCTGGATGGAGCACTTGGCTGGTATACCTGGTAACTGGAGCATTGCAGTTTGTGCTGCTCGGCATGGCCATCAATTGGTGGCTCATGGAGCGAAATCCAGCCAAGATCACCGTCGAAGACAGTAATGCGAATGGCGACCAGCAACCCGAGGCGGTTGCGGATGAGCGTACTGCTCTGATCGGCTCGCGCCCTAGATCAGCGTCGTAGAACGAGCCATGTCTGAGGATTTACCCAAACCTTCAAAGTCCATCTTGCCTTCGTGGAGGGAATGGCGACGAGGTAAATGCCGATGAGGTGCCTCTCCTCGACGACGTCTCGGAGGCGGGCGACGAAGAAAACGATCCAGGGGTCGGAATCGGCTTCCAGCCTCGAGAAGGGATACACTTGGATGTCGACGGGGCCGATTCAGCTCCCGCAGAGGGCAGTCCCTCTGCAGACTCTGCTATGACTACCGTTCGACGTGTTCAGGCCGACGACGCTGGATCAGATCAGCCCTCTTCGTCTGTTGGGTCTGCTTGTACCGCCATCTACTGGCCACAATCTGGCATGACTCCTGACGACGGGTCGGCAGGCTCTCCTTCGTACTCACCTCGCTCACCATCAGAATATTCAGACTCGCAGGACGTCAAAGATCTTATTGAGCTCGCCAACGAAGACAAGGCGTCCACAGCTACTGATGTAACTTCATTGTCTTCATGGAACAATGTGCCACCTCCACCGCCAATTTCCGCTGCCCCCTGGCGCCAAAACCTTCTTGGTCTCTTGGGAGGCCACGCCACTCGTGCTTCTGTTGATAGCCGACCGCTCGGCTTCGGCAATTTCCACGTCACTTTTGATACGAGCAACACACCTTCCCGCGACACGCGGGTATTTGGGCAAACAAATGTCCCTGAGTCCCACGCATCCGATGCCAGAAATTGTAACGTCTCCGATGGCGCGAGCAGTCGTAAGGACAGTAGGAGCGGCCTAGGTAGTGCTACGACCCCTAGCATGTCGAAGCCGGCTGGCAACAGGCATGGAGAAGACCACAGCAGTATCACCGATGTGGCACGCATGGATCTACTCTCCGACATGATTCAACGATTGAAAGCAGAAAACGACATTCGCGCTGTCGACATTGCTACTGGACTCCCTGTCCACCCGCCTCGTGCTGCATATTCTCCTCTGTCTTGGTCGCTGGGGCTCCCATCTCGACTTTCCCTGGTATCTGCAGTACCACTCAATTGCACGTTTCCGCGTGGCCAAGGCATTCCAACGCTACTGACGGATACCGGTGCGCAGGGGTATGCTTCTACCGACGCAGGACCGGCTCCTCCAGAGCAACCGACCACAACTCGCTATCCCATCAATTTACCTCCCACTACCAATGGGCGAAGTCAGTCCCCAGAGCAGGACCAATTCTTAATGGATGATATTGATGGACCACATACCGACTACGAGGTAAATGTTCCTGTGTTGCCCTTTGCCGCATCACTCTGCGACTTCCTCGATCTGCTGGTCCATCGCGTCTTACTGACAGAATGTAGCACACCGACCAACCGATCGCCAAAATGGATGAGCGAGAAAGGATCAAACGTCCTTGGGCAACGATCACACTTGCGGCGCCCGAGCCTAGATACATCCCTGAAGACTGTACTCGCACTCCACCAGACGAAGTCCCCTTCATGCTAGTTGGAAGTAGAACCATGGCCCTGGACAGACCTGTTGACATGCGATGGAATCTTCGACTAGCTGATCTCGGCCCGCCTCCGTTGGAACCCTATCCAAAAGGGCCTCCTCTTTCAAACGACATAGCGTACCTGTACGTAGACAATCGAGTATGGATGCGGACTCCCGAGGAAAGACGAATGCTAGCGCAATTTGAAGAGAATTATCGTGAATATCTGAAGCCGTACTGGTGGGAAGTCGGGCTGGCAAGAGCTGAACACTTCTGGCTCAGTCGCGACCGCTTTCGTAACAGCGAATCATTCTACATTCGAGCTCAACGGAGCTTCGCTGGATGGATAGGTCGGCTCATTTCCTTTGGATACTCGGGTATTCTGTTTCAACTCGAACCGATTGCAGGCCCTCTTCTGCATGGCTCTTCCAGGCGCGGTCTCTGTCAGATCATTGGCTGGCAAGCTGAGCGACGCAGGCGCATCAGCTAGCAGCTGGACTGGAAGATCGCAGGTCTGATATCTCAATTGTGGACAACGACGGAGTTGCCAAATTTTCGCTTTGGCGTGGCATACGACGTGAAAGAGCGTATGCAACTTCTACGGCAAGGTGGCAGATGTGTCAAGCAGAGAGCACTGGAGCTAGATCGTGAGTGGCAAGATGTTGTGCATGAGTTCCACAAGCTCCATGGCTTTGTCATGCCGACTGGCAAACGCCAAATTGAAGAGGACCCTATCATCTGCTATTCTGCCAAGGCGAGGCGCCTAAGTAGCCCTGATTCGAGCCGGGAGAGGAGTCCTGATGGACAGCCCGGTCCAAGTGGAATTTCCGGACACGAGCGCAGCGCCGCACCTGAAGCATCTGGATTCCGACCGCGTAGCATCAGCTTTACCCCTGGCACCGCAGATGGACCACGGGATGACGGCATATATCGTGAGGGAGCTCCGCGTTCAGGAAGGCCTGTCAATGCTTCTTTTTCCATTTCCACCCACGCAGAGCAAACGAACGGGGACAGCATTCGCACCCAAGGCAATACAATGGCAGGACGACCCAGTCTAGGAACAGAGGCGCGTGGCCGGACTGGGCAGAGAAATAGCCAGCCCCGCGTCAACGCATCTGGGAGTCGTTCTCAGGGACCCTACGGCGCAAGTCCTGGGATGCAAGAGCGTTACAGGGAAAGCAGGATTCGTGACCAAGCTGCACGCAGGGCAGCCCAAATATTCGGCCGTCGACTAGAGCGTGACAACGTAGGGCGAAGACCTACTTTGGGTCAGTGGCTTGCCTCTGTCCTGTCTGGAGGTCGGTCAAGTTCCGAATCATCGACCAAATCCTCGCTAGACAGCCAGCGGCCTCGTTCTTCCAACGAAGAGAATCCTCGACAAGATCAAGGGGCTCAGAGGCCTAGTGCAATGCCCGATCCCAACGCAGCTCTCTTGCGCACCTCAGAACTGAGGAACTGGGCCGATCGTGGTTGGCCATCAGTTTCAGTTGATGAAGCGTTGACGCCTGGACGCACACCTCCTCCGAGGCGCATTGTCTTTCCCAACCCTTTCAAAGATCGTTCGTACGCGAATTCCAAAGTTGGTGAGCCGAGTAACAGAGACGGCAGCGGGGATTCAGGACCTTCTGCATCTTCAAGCGCTGGGCCAAGCGTCAGAGACAATTCTGGTCCTCATAGATCTCCCGGCAATCGTCGAAAGTTCTCGACAAACAGTGCGGTCCCATTGCAACAGTCGCCCGAGACTTCGCATCTGAGATCGATGGCGGCAATATTCCAGGAGTTCCAGGAAGAGATGGAGAACTCCTCAAATGAAGATGGCGAGCTCGACGGTAGAGATGCGAACGAACCTCAGGACTCCAACGACACCCATGACGAAAACCCAGCGGACACGACGGTCCCAAGTTCTGACGATGGTGACGCAGCATCACCGGATCCGCGAAGATCAATGTTGGAAATCTATGAGGGCCTCAGCGCAGATAGGGACGATCTTTCTGATGGTGGTAGTTCGGAGGAACCCTCTTCGGGCAGCAATTCCCCTCCTGAAACCTCAACACCAGATCAGGTTACAATCAGCTTCTTTGGCACCACGCGCGACATCACTTACCTGCGTTTGACTCCCACTTTTGTTGAATATATCAGGAGCCAGCCGGAACAGATACGGCAAGACATGATTACACATGAGGATCGTAAGCAAGCGGCCCGCAACGCTCGCCGCGATAACACCTTGGAGGGACTGCGTCTTGTTATACCAGAAAATGATGATGCGAGAGAAGATGACGCCACATCGCACGATGTTCGGAGAAGCTCAAGCATGATCAGTCCGATGGACCCAAGCAGGAATGAGAATCTGCCATCGACAGCGAGCACATCGGCGTGGAGAGAGCTGCTTGGTGGTGCAACCGCAAGTGCGGAGCATGGCCAAGCCGTGCTCTTGCCACAAGGGGCGGGACACTCCGGAAACGTGGGCGCACGCCGAGATACCGGCACTGTCGTAGGGGAGGTGGAAGTGTCAGATGATGAGTTGTCTGAAGATATGCTTGAGGGTCGTCGTAGCCTCAAGGGAAAGGGTAGAGCGGTGGAGTACCAGCGTGAACAACGTGACTCGCAAAGTGACGGCGGAGCGATCGCTTAAGGACCTTGATTGTGCTATTGAGTGTTCCAGAAGACACTCTCATTCGTCCAGATTAGTGTACGACAGAAATGCAGTCAGATTTGCACATGACCGCCCTTGTCTCTGCAGGGTTTAACTTTATTTCTAACAGCTTGCGTCTTGCGGTTTCAACCTTTTGATTGGCCGTGGTGGACCCCATCTAAAACCGCACAGCCGGTGATATTCAGCTTCGATCTCACTTCAACTACCTTACGACTAGAGCAGTTCCACTATACCAAGATGGCAGAATCGACAGAACCGCACGTCCTCATCATCGGCGCGGGACTGACTGGCCTTCTCATCGCCCACGGATTGAAGACAGCCGGAATCCAGTACACCATTTTTGAGCAAGAAGACCATGGCGCCTACCGACCTAAAGAATGGACCATGGGTGTCCACTGGGGGTTTCCCTTGATGGAGAAATTACTCCCAGACGAAATCGCCGCGCGACTTATTTCGGAGGCTAGTGTGGATAAGACTTTGGACTATGTTACGCCGCCGCAGAACGGAAGTCGGATTTACGATGGGGTGAGTGGGGAGGTTTTGAAGGAACTGGTTGCTGAGGGGAGATTGGTGAGGGTTAGTAGGAGGAAATTGAGGGGTTTGATTAGTGAGGGCATTGAGGTGAAATTTGGGATGAGATTGAAAGATTTGGTGTACCTCGAGGCCGGGGGTGTTGAGGCGGTTTTTGAGAATGGAAACAGGGTTAAGGGAACAGTTGTTGTGGGTGCTGATGGACCGAGGAGTGCGGTGAGGAGTTTGTTGTTTCCGGACTCACCGGAGGAAGAAGTGCAGTGCAGGCATCTCGACGGACTCGTGCATCTCTCGACGACATTTTCCTACGGCGACGCGGAGAAAGCGAAACATGTACGCTCCGCGCATCCGGTCTGGAGCATGATGATACATCCCGACGTCTTCACCTATGTCTGCATCCAAGACGTGCCCGACGCCGATAAGCCAGAAGATTGGGTCTTCTTCATCTTCATTGTCTGGAAAGGCGAGAAAGACCCTAACTGGACCCAACAGGATATCAGAGAAATCGTGCGTGAGAAAGCGGAGAAGATCCAGGAGCCTTTTAAGAGTGCCATTCTTTGGATTCCGGAGGGTATAGATTTGCCATCTGTGGATTTGGGGTATTGGGTTAGTAAGGAGTGGGATTGTAGGGGAGGGAGGGCTACTTTGGCAGGAGACGCGGCGTGAGTATATCGAAAGACCACCGCATTTGGTTGACTCACTTATCATGATATCTGCAGACATCCTATGCCGCCATATCGTGGACAAGGGCTGAATCACGCGATCTTGGACGCTAGTAAGTTCGTGGAGGTCATGAAGAAGATTGCACATGGTGGGATGGACCAGAAGGAGGCAGTGAAGGGGTATGGAGACGAGGTGGCGAAGAGGGGTGGAGAGGAAACGAGTTTGAGCACGAAGAATGCTTATATGGTGAGTTTTCATTGTTGGTCTTGGGTGAGAGTGGTAGCTGATGACACGCAGATGTTGGCTTATGATGAGTTCAAGGAGAGTCCCTATATGAAACACGGGCTAAGTAAACAGTAACAAGGGCCAACAGACACGGTCGGAAGAAAGAAATCGGCAGCGACTGCTAATGTCTATTACGTTGCGGGAAGTTTGGATCATGCGCCCCAGAGGTGTTAACGCCGTTGACTGCCCATGTCACTAAGCGTATACACTGGCTTTCAGTCCAAAGAAACAGTACACAAAACCTCAAAACAGGATCTCCACACTTGGAGCTATTTCTTGTTTGGAGCAGCTTTGATCTGTCTCCATCGCTCGACCATTTCCGCCTTCTCCTCAGCTTGCCACTCTGCGGACTCTCGAAGCTGTACAGCATGTGCTGCTCTATATTTGAAGTCCTGATCTTCGTTCGCTTGTACTGCTAACACGTACTGAAGCTTCGTAGGCTGTGGAGCGTTAGCAAGGTAGGCACATCAAGTAAAATACGTGTCGGCTCTATGAAGTTCTGTGCTATGCGAAAACACCCTGAAGCCGGAAGTCCGCTTCAGAACGAGCAACCGGCCTGCAGCAATGCGGGTTCTAAGGTCGACTTATCGGAGATCGTAAGCAGAAAATTCCTCTGACGGCACGCGTTCGGGGTCCTTTGTCCGCTATTCTGTTGAAGGCGCCGTACCGGGAAGACATTCGTAATATTAGGGATAGTATCAGCTGCAGACGAGCCAACGGGACTCTTGAGGTAAGAGCAGGATCCATCCCATTTGGAAAGTGTCTAGACGGTTCCTTCCTGTCGAAGGCGAGAACACGATACTTTGACTCGTTGAACTCATGGATGATAGTCTATTCATGCGTCCCAATCCGAATTGGTCTATGCCAAGTCTAAGAGCCGAGAGCTGTGCTGACTGTGTAGACAGGGCGTCACATGGAGCTTACCGTCTGAGCTGAGAGTGCAGCAGTGTGCTTACATCGCCGCATCAGCTTATTCCAAAGAGTCTGCCATTTTGCAATGAAACAAGATCAGCAATGACCGCGAAGAGCTCGGACCCATGGCATGGTTCGACTAGTGGCCAGCTGAAGCGGCCTCTTCGTCCAAGCGAATGCTAGATAGGTCGCGGCCGTCTATATTTGTCATTGTCGGTGACTAATGTATGAGTATCCATATTCATGTCCCATCTATCTCTAGGCCTCATCTGCCACTAGGTATTCATTGAAATTTGAAAGTCAAGCACTGAGTGTAATGGCCAAGATTATGCCCCTTAGAGCAATGGGAACCACTTTCACGGAAGACCAAGTTACAGCACTGCTGCTAGAAACGCCGGTCTCAGACTATGTTGGCGCTCTCGCTTCGATGATTTGCAATGGAAACCCCGCCAGTTGACACCGCAACCACGATTTTGCCACCAAGGTTGGTATTTTGGCTCTCCAAAAGCGTGATGGTTCTGAAAGTCTACTCTAAGACGACGGCACTAGATATATCAAGCGTTGCTGTGGACGGCATTTCGTTTGGTTCTGTCAGTACAGCTTTCGCTTGGAGTTGACATGGAGTTGACTGTCGATTATCCTAGCATGAACTAGTCAGAGCTCGCCGCTAGGGTGTTACCGGCCAATATGTAGCAGCTTTCCCAGAATCGAGAGTTACCTTGAACTTGGCATCTTCCAAAATGATCTTATTGTTGGAGAGGACCGCCGCGAAAGGCAATGCAAGTAGGGGATGACAATGTAGGAAAAGAGGCGTGAGGTCAAACGTAAGCTTGCCGCTAGCTTCCGCTAGACCCCGGCTCATTGATACTTGATTAAGACTTGATGTGCGCACCGTTGATTCTATGAATCATTCACTCAAATCACATGTGATTGAACAAGGCGTTGACATCAATTTCGTTTGAACATCGGAGAGCCGAGAATTCTATCAAACACAATCGCTTCCGTACCTTGCATTGATGTCCCCTGTACAACATCTATCCTGGCAACGGCCTCGCTTCTAGAAGCAAGGAATTCGCTGTGTCAAGCGACGCCAAAATCCATCTCTAGCCTTCTTCTTTTGCTTTGGGCTTCTAGCCATGTCTGTAAGGCTTTCAGGGGCTTGCGATGTATGGGCAACAAACGATCCATGCACACTAATCTGGTCCACATTTGAACGGGTTGGCTCCGACTTTTTCGAAGATTCATTTGCGTCAATGCGACGAGATTGACTTGCAAGTCCTGTCTCGAATACCATCAAATGGAGCAGAGATTTCTCCCGCACCGGTACTGGAATACGAGGACCACGGAAACGGACAGCTATTGTTGCCTCTTCGATGACCGCATCCTCGTACTCATCATTGCTGATTTGGGAGAACGACGACATGCTGCCGGGCTCATTGGCTTGCTCTTCTCCCAGACGATCTACTTCGGAGTGGTACCAATCCATAAAGCTTTCATAGCTCTCCTGTGAGGCATCGGAGCCTCGTAGTCGATGGGAATGAGCACCCTGGCTCGAGGTGGAAGACAAACTCCATCTGCTCGTGGGATGTGCATCTAGGCCGGTAACGTCACTGAAAGACTTTTTGGCACCTTCAAACTCAGGTAGTAGATGGTCTAACGAGCTGAGGGCGGATGAAAAGCTGTCAGAGCGCTCACTGCCATGCTGCACAGCCGATGGCCACTCGAAGTCGTCGTCGAAGAGATTCTCATCTGGCGGGTCAATGTCCGAATCCTCCGGAGGCAACGTCCGAGGGCTCACAGACTGAGACATCCGTGTCGCAGGTTTATTCCAATGGATAGGTTGGAAATCTTCTGGTAAAACAGGTTCGAAGCCTCGCTCGCGTATCCATTCTTCGTTCATTTTGGCCCACTTCACCATGCGCCATTGATTCTTGACGCTACCGGCCCAGCTGTAGTCCACATCTCGTCCTCGATCTGTTCGGCGGTCCCACTCGCGTCGGCGGGCGATCATGCCTTTGCTCGGATGGCTGAGAATGAGTTTCTCGCCGGTGACTAGGCTCGGAAGTAATTTTCGCTTCTTTGCCCAAGATTTCGCTGGGACATTCCAACGATCGTGGTCGGAAGAGCGACGCCTTGTGGTTATAAAGTGTGGGTCTCTTTTTCCACCGAAGAGACGATATAGTGACTGTTTGATTGAGGGCGGAGCAGGTGGATGGTCGTCCATATCTTGGTACCCTGACGATAGGAAGTCTCTCGTCAGATCCGAAGAGACCATTTCGATAGCGATGGAACGATTAGTCTCAACGACCAAGACTTCTGTGTCTTGAGGGGAATGATGCGCACAATCTAATATTTCCGATATAGACTCTGACGTGTTTACAAGAGACTCTGCCAGAGAGCCGTTGCAAAAATCAGGTACGTGCTTGCTGAAATCCAGGAGTTGTACTACCCAACCTAATATACGAGTGAGCGTGCCGAAGTACAAAGCGATTGTGTTGTTAACGCGTGAATGGAGCTTTGTTTCACCGGAAAGACAACGTGAATGAAGGACAGAGCCTTCTTTGTCTGCTCCAGCTTCGATCTTGATTAAGCGTTCATCTCAATCGCATGCTGCCTTTACTGCTTCAGGCGGTGACTTCTTGGGATTCTTCAGTTCTATTTCGAGCTTTCGATAAGTGTCTGATCAAGCTCTTTGACAGAATATCCGGCTGGAGAGCTTCGCTTTTCGCCATCTCTTGCGATAACTCGCGTTTTCTCCTCCCGCTCCTCTGCCGTCATGGGAGCGTGGAATCCATTCAATTCTGCCTCCAGAGCGGTGTCCGATTTGCTTGAAACTCCCGATATTTGGGAAGTCCCCTGTCTATGCTGACTTGCACTATTGGTCGGCTGTGAGACAACGAGGAATCCGGCCTGTCTGTTGGTATGCTTTGGAAATGTCCCGGGCAATTTATTTGTTTTGGACTCTCAACCAAGAGCCACGTAGATTATTTCCTGCTGTACTGAATGAGCGATCTTTGCGGCACTGCTGAGGTCACGAAAGGTCGTCTTCCCTATCTGATGCACTGTTGAGACGCTTTGGAGGCTTCCTCCTTAAGGCATCTGTGAAGGATATCCAGCAGAAAATCCGCGATACGCTTGCCGCTGTGCAGTAGAGGCGTCACACGGTCCCATGTGCGCCCGTTACCTGGTGGTGGAAACGGCAGCTGTGTTGAAGTCGTGACTGCGTGAGTGGCTGAATGTACTGCCCAACGAGTGTTTGATGCGGTCGCGAAAGCCACGGATGCTGCACCTCGTGCGATGTACCGCCTTGAGATTTGACATTCCGTTCTTCCTGAGCTCGTAAAGGGATTGAGTTGAGCCGAGCAAGATATGCCTCACTTGAGCTCATCGAAGAAACTGAGTTGAACCGGTCGAAGGGAAATTCGCCTGCGAAACCCGATTCATCTTGGCGTACAACACCCTCCGACACATCATTCGCTGCAAGAGTTGGCGCCGGCAGGTCTGCTGAAGTTTTGTCAAACGGATCATGCTGCGGCGATTCGGAGCAGCTTGAACGAGTCCGATCCGCATAGCTGATAAGTCTCCATCCGGACCTGCGTGGCCTGAAGTCCCGCGAGGGCTCACTCCTCGTCACATTCTCCTGGACACGACTGGCGTGCTGTGGGTCCGACATCTCCTAGTCGTACCGCTCCCAGTCAGCAGCATATGAGGAGCAGACCCGTCTCTTTATCGTGAGCTATTGTGTGGAGCCTGGATCGGGATGGAAGCTTGCGCGAGAAGATCAAGAAGAACACAATGCGCTAGATCTCTTTATCGTTTGGCAATTGAAGAACACCCACGTCGTCGGTGCTAAGCTCCTCGTTCTTGATAGCTTTAGTGAAGTAGTCGGAAGCTACCTCCTTCTACAATTGGGGTTAGGGTTAGGGTTATGGCTAGCCCACTCTAGTTGGACTTCACCTCGAGCTTTCACGTCAGCAACGCCCCAACACGCGTCGAGTCAACACCATCAGATACACCGTACCGCTACATCCGATATCTTCATCAATTACAATGGCTTCGCGAAAGATCCTCGTCAACATCTCACTTTTAACCGCTCCAGCAGCCGCCATCTTCCAAGCCGGCTACGGCTTCGCATTCTCCCAAAACACTGTACCACAACTCTACGACGAGAGGCCTCACCATAGCACGCCTATCTTCGCCCGCATCTTCAAAGCGGGCGCCTATGTTGCCGTGCCAATGTCCCTCCTCTCCGCCGCATCTTCAACCTACCTCTCCATCCTCTGCACGTCTCCGTTGCAACGACGCCTGTATACACTAGCTGCGCTCGGCGCATTCTTACCCCTGCCATACACATGGGGGATGATGATGGGTGGCAGTAAGAGGCTGCTTGCGATCAGTGAGAGTGTTGAGGAGCAGAACAAGAGCGAGCAGACATTGGAGCATAGGCAGTTGTTCAAGAGCTGGGCTTTCCATAACCATGTGAGGAATCTGTTGTATACGGTCGGTGGGTTTGCTAGTCTTTGGGCTGGGATCTACGGATGAGTCTTCATCAGCAGCGCGGATAGTAGACGATCTGAGCGCTCACTGACCCAGCCAGCCACACGAATTAATGAAGAGATGGTGCTACTTGTGTGCACTGATGAACCCAGATACGATTCAGATGCTCGATCTTGAGCAGCCATGGCCGTAGTACTCGTCCAATGCGCCTCAATACCTCTTTTAGACTCAAACTATCACCGAAAATGACGCGCCCGCTTTCGATAGAAACATCTGCGGCTGCAGAAGAAGTACTCAGGCTCTCAGACTTCCGTTCCAATCTACTGGATCCGTCCATTCCACCTGATTGGGTTGTGCGCTTCCTCCTCAGACGAATCTCCACGTTCGAAAGAGAGGCAACCCGAGCGTACGAGGCCGCCCAAGAAATTCTCCGTAGAGGAAAGCTAGATTACGACGCTGCGCTAGACAAGGAGCCTCGTACGCTGGAGGTCGACATTGACGAATTCTTGGACCGCAGAAGAGCGCAGTCTGAACAGAGTAATGAGGACGAGATGGCTCAGCTTCTACGGACGACCTCTAAAGATCTCAAAGCGGGTATGGCCTCGGAGGCGAAGTCGATCCAGGCAGAGACTGCAATCCTCCTGATGATCATTGAGCGTGAGGGCCAGAGAGATGGGACCAATACGGGAGAAATGATATTCTAAGACATGGAGAAGTAAAGCAGGAATTACTTTCTAGGTGTCAGACATCGATGATGTTGTGCTTGCTGACCAGCCCGAAGCTCACTATGTAGACTACATGCACTCTGGCGTTTCGAATGGCTCTTTGGGACGTGCTCGTGCGACCCAATGCACCTCTGGACCGGTCATGGCCAATCTTGCTGCGCCGGTATTGTTTCCAGACAGCTTCGCAGTGATTACCTTTCCCACTTTGGCGCGGCGATCGCGGAGCGACATTCATCAAGTGACGATAATCTACGGCATTCACAAGAATACCTAAGATTCCGACACCTTTATGGCTTCATGAAAGTATTTTTCCCACCGTGCCCGCATGCGGCGCCCTGATTGAGGTGATAATTGCCTCGTGCTAAGGCCTCGCGACTTCCTCAAATGGGGTCTGCGGACAGCTCATACCTACTTCATGGCTATGGCACCTGCTTCATACTCGTCGATGTATCATCAAGGCATTACGATTGCACGATGTCATCTTTCGCTTTCTTACTCGTTGTATCTGGCTCGCCTGCTAAAGTGTCTGCCACACATCTCATCTGTTCATCAGCATTGCGCATCGTTCCCACGCTCTTCTTGGAAAAACATTCTCATCATCGTCATCACCATCATCACCAGCTTTAGATCATATCAGGACCACTTCAAACACCACCCGATACACGTTCGCAATGTCAAGGAGAGCATCCAGCCAGCTACCACCGCCGCCAGGCCGGGACCCGAACGACACGGAGCTCCAAGATGTCCGACCCCAAACCTCGAATGGTTCCGCCCAACGGAACGAGTCAGATGCCACCGCTGTCGATGACGGCCAGGTCTCCCCGCGAGGCTCACGGATAGCAACGTGGCTCAGCAATCCACAAGCGGAGCAAGACGGAAGAAGAAGAACGTGGAACAGAATTCCATCTAGATCAAGTCACATCCGTACGAGCTCAGATGCAACCGCTTTCGATAGTGATCAAAAGTCTCGATCAGGCTCCGGAGCTGGCCACACGCCGGGCAATCGACTAATTCCATCACCTCCAAGTACATCTGACGGCCGAGGTGTTGTTGCTTTGCCATCGGGACTGCATCCTGCCTTTCGCTACCATCAGTCGAGCTATGCAAGCGACCAATCTACAGTTAAGTCCTCCGAGAACAATAGCACAAGTTATCCACCCCAGGAAAAAAACCGATATCTGTTTGGCGGAAACTCTAAAGACAAACTGTCCACCACTGAAACTGATATGGGTCGCGGTGGACGATCACAACAAGAAGAAAAGACTCCTTTATCATCCGACATTCGTGTGCAGCCGCAGGCAGGCACAGCTCCCCCTCCTGACCAGGGACAAAATGGACAAAGTAGCCAGGCGACTCAGTCCCGGCAAAGCGGACAGCAAAAGCAACGCAAAAATCGCAAGAACGAGCAATGGGGAGATACTTCGAGAGAGCCTCACTACGACAGCGACAAGATGCGAGAGAAGCCGGGAACTCGCAAGGGCGCCCTGTTCAGATACTATGCGACGCAGGCGGAGTTTTATGCACTTCCTGTCGCTCCTGGGTCTGAAGAAGTACAGCTGATACAGGGAGAACATTGGGTCTTCTCAAGCCGTGACAGTCGCAAGGGAAGGTCAGTGTTTTCCCTGGGCGGCAGCCTCCGTATGGTATGATACTAATCCGGCATGACTTCCAGACATGCAGTGGTTGTGAGACTTCCTCGCGATCAACCCGGATCGCAGCAATGGAAGCCAACCAACGACTTCAAGGGAACTATGCGAACCATCGGCAACATGTTCTATCTGAAGGAACGCTTGACAGAACTCAGCTACTAGATCTTCCTGGTGTTTCTCGTCGGAAGCATCTTCTGGATCATCACTTCAGTCTTTTCTCTTTTGCCTCTCTTTCGACCGGAAGTATTGCCTCAGAAGTACCTGGACGACTTTAGTACTGTCACTGGTCTGGTTGGATCGATTGTCTTTCAAATTGGAGCTGTACTGCTGATATTTGAGTCTTTCAACGATGGGCACCTGGAATGTTACCCTCGGGGCAAGTTAATACGATCAGAAGATGGTGTTGAAAGCGTGTAAGTATTCTCTCCAGCGCCTCCCAAACACGAAGAATCATATCTTCCTTCCCGAACGAGCTAGCCTGGGCTGAGTCTGCGGAAACTCGCGCGCCGTCGATTCGGGGCAAACCCTGCTAGAATCGACTACTGAACCTGCGAAGAAGCTGAGATTCTGTCATTGAGAATGTATTAGCTAACATTTGCAGTGAAACCAAGTGGGACACCGAGAAACCCCACTGTGTCAACGAAAACCGCAGGATTTGGGGGAACAGGATTCCATGGCCAACTAAGCAATCGATCAAGACTCATTATTGGTACAACATGGGCTTCTTGGCAGCACTTTACCAGAACGCTGGATCCATCATCTTTCTCGCCTCCAATCTCTGTCGCTACAAAGGTCTCTACGCACATCTCACCACTCGCGCGCAGGAAGACGGTGCTGTATGGGCAATCAAAATCGTGGCCTGCGCTCTGTTCACTTATTCAGGACTGTTGAATGTATGGGAGACGCAACCGAAGAGAACAACGCTACGACCAGATTTAATCGGCTGGTGGGTTGGAGTTTTCAAAGTCGTCGGCGCCATATTTTTCTTGGTCTGCTCGGCCTTTGGTCCCGTGTATGTGCACACTGCGAAGACATGGGCTGCTATTTCATCGGCAGCTTTGGCTTTGGCAGGTAAGGAACCCGAACCATGGCTGCGGAAGGCGAGCAATACTGATGAGAAATGCTTCAGGCTCCTCTTGTTTCTTGTTGGCAAGTCTTTTGTTGGGGTTCGAGTGCAGTCAGCCGACGCCAACCATTATAATACCACTCAGCGATGACGAGGCTCAGCAGTACTACCAAGACCGGGACAATGCTGCTCAAGCAAACGCCATCCGGGATGGCGCTCTACAGCAAGAAATTCTTGAGATGAGTGGCCCATTGAATCCTGCTACTCAGAGCAGTTCTGCACAGGCCGAAAGCCCTCAGCACGATGGCGCGCGTCCTCGCGAGAGAAACGTTCGAGATGGTGATGACCCTTCCCAACACATCGAAAACGGCACGTCGCAAGGTCCGCAGAGACACGAGGCTCGAGCACGGCGAAGATTGTTCAAGAAGAAGCCGGAGCGAAAAGAGCAACAAACACAGTCCGTCCTCGAGCAAGTTAATGGCACGGGCCCGAGTCATGGGCATAGCATACCACCGCTTCCGGAGCTGGAAGCCCGGGAAATCGGTCGAGGTGATGGTGACCAGGCCGACCACGTCGAGAACCGACCACCGCGAAGAATGTATCCACTCTATGATTAGAGCCATGAGCTGGCTGCATGGGTTCCGAGGACTCAGTGAGGTGACGCGGGCGTAATTTGTTGCTGGTGGCATATGACGATCGTTGGCTTTTGGAACGTGCCATGCCGGTGTGCTTACAGCAGTTGATCGGCATCACCGGGTTTTTGATTTTTGCGTACTACAGGATTCTTTTCGCTGTTTGGGATTGGAACATATCGTTACACCAATGGAATGGTATAGAAACAGGCTGAAAGTAGCTTTGGTAGTAGCAACAATTCATACTTGATGATATGCAAATTCCCACAGGTTCGACTGACCCGCTGCATGATTGACCAGGGTCCTTTTGCAGGAGTTTGGCAAGATATTGGCCGCTGGTATGAATTTGTTGTTTGGACTCGAGTAGCCTTCGGCATTGGTTGATCATCTGATTCCTTTCCTGGCGAAAATTGCGGGATGTCAAGAGGGATCATTTGATCCCCGGAAATCTGATGGACTATGTTGGTGCGGCGGAGTAGACGTCGGAGGGGAAGAGTATCATGCAGGGAAAGAGTACCTATTTACCTGCTATGAGTGTGCTTGCGAGACAATCAGGGGAGAGAATGAGACACATTGGGGCATTTGAATTCTATGCACGGTAAAGTGGTGTTGCTAGCCGGTTTACAAAAAATGTTTCTGTCGTGTGTTCCGCCTCGTGTTCTGTAGCACTCTGCGCTCGAATCTAGGGTCGTCTGATACAATCCTTGTGGCAGGAGTAGTGGCACGGCTGGCTTACTTCATGTCGGGCAAAGTGGCGGGCAGAGTGGGAGGCGTCGTCGACTAGGAATTTTCGTGCAGCTGCGGCTTGCTGGCAGATGACAGTTGGTGGTCAATCATCGTCGTGGAAAATGGAGGATGATGTCGATGTGGAGGCGTTGTGATTGTGAAAAGTTGCAAGAGACGTGAAAGAAGGCGACGAAAAGAAAGTGCCAAGAAGCTTAAAATGCACGGACTTTAATTCACATGCTTGAGCGAATTTGAGCGAACTACAATCGAGTTCAAGAGACTCTCATCGAGATCTCTTCTTGTCTCACTTCAAAGCCAGAATGATCTCACGGAAAAGCTCGGCGTCTGCTCCATCTGCAGGCCCTCGCTGACTCTTTGCTTAGAGTCTTCCTATATCAATCACTAGCAGAATCTCTTGCTCTGCCCGCGTGCTTCTGCTGACAGTCAGTTGACCTTCTCTTCGACTTTCATTTTACACTGCCTTCTCCGCACAGTCACACTCTTTGAATTCACACAATAAATGCCAGCAATGGACTGGATCCTGATGCTGATGGACGAAGTAAGAATCGAGCCATTCCGCGAAGGCCGACATGGAGTCGGACAATGTAACTACACAATATCAGTATCTCTAGAAGTTACATAGATACGATCGACTTACCTTCGTTCGCTGCAAGATACTTGCGGTATTCGAGCCACGGCTGGTCAGTGAAGACCATCTCACCCCCCAACTCAACACTGGCCACCGCACTAAACTCGGCGTTGAGCGAGATTTTGGACCGCTCGATGTGTTGTCCAAGGAGCATTACGTCGAGATGTGCGTCCCGTGCATTCCACAAGACTTTGAAGTCCGCGGGATCGAGGCCCTCGGCCATGCCATAGTCGACTTCGACACGCGAGATGAGCGGATGGATCTTCGGATCGATGCGATTGAGATAACCTCGGATCTTGTCGACGCTGATGCTTTGAATGCGGCTCTGTTGATAGTAGGCGCCGCGAGCTTCGGCGTATGTCTGCTTGCTGGCAAGGAGTAGGCCCGGTGGGTCTATTGGTCTGTCGAGCTTGACCGTGTTCTCTTCAAATGTCATGTACCAGACGTGGTTTCGTAGCTCTGCGGGCAGCTCGAGAAGTGGCGACTGTTGCTCGGGGGAGTCGATGATCTTTGCAGTGCTCGGGGACATCTTCGACGCTAGTCCACCCATGATGTCCAACTGACTGATGTTGATGTTGGTCGACCACTGGTATGTTTCGAAGAAGATGGAGCGGCAGATCTGGTCTCTTTACAACTTGCGGATCCGCGCTTGGATCGTGAAGATTGAGTGGTGAACGCTAAGATCGCGATCACATTCACCTATTGCTGAGTATATAGATCAGCTGGCAGCAATGGACTCGAATCTGGCACCTTCTTCGGACAGCCACACTCGTAGCTGGGCCTCCCCGCAAAGTTCGGTTCTGCATCCATAGCCCATAAGCGATGCCAGCATTTCCGCGGGTTGACATGGTCGAAGTCAAAGTAACGCGCCTGAGCTTGTAGAGTGGCACGTACAAGCGGAATGGGCCTATCTCCCATAGCTGCGACTGTTCACTGTCAGCCATCGTGAATTTGAATATCATGATAATAACTTACATGACGACTGCATGAAGGCGTCCTTGAAGGTTTCGAAAGGCTTGGCTGTGAAGACAACATCGTTTGCTCTGGTTTTGATGCTTGCTTGGATAGCATTCGGATCGATCTGGTCGCAACCCTCTTCTTTGAGTCCTTGTCGAACCCACACGACCGCGCATTCCGCGAGATAAGCGACATCGAACAGGATCTCGTCCTCGACCCCAACCCGACTACTTCGGCCTTTCCCGTACAGCCCTTCCATTCTGGAGGAGGTGTCAATATGAACATTCTCCACAAGGGGCAAGTAGGCAGCACTGAGAGCGGATAGGCGCTTTTCCGCTGCGACACTGCCAGTACTGTGGAAGGTGCTTCGTCTATAGTATCTGCGCATCGAACAGTCAGCTTCAGTGTGTATAGGAATGAGGTTGCTAAGGTGCCTTACGCCCCATGCGCTTCTACAAAAGTTTGCTTGGAGGCCAACAGAATTCCAGGTGTCTCGTAGCTAGAAGCTTCGCAATCAACGATGTGGTTCTCAAAGAGAAGCTCGTAGACATGATTCCGGAGTTCAGGCATCAGGTCAAAGAAGCGGAATAGCTGACTGCAAGACATGGTATAGCAGTGTCAGACTTGATGATATCTATGGCCGAAAAGAACGTGGATCGAAGTCATTCAGTGTTGATCAGTCTCCCAGTAATCGGATGCGAAGTTCGCAATTTTGGTCGCGCTGTGCGGCGATCGATGCCTCGTCGGTGAACTGACAGATATCTTGCAATCGAGATGTCATGCAGAGGAAGGTCTTGCCTCGATGGGAGGAGATGCGAAAACCTGTGAAAGTGGATTCGTCGATGGGAAATGGAAGCTGAAGAAGAAGTGAAGTGAATGACCCCGGCTGTGCACAAACCTTGATGCCTCAGGCCAATGTGGCTGAGGGCCAATCTCACTTCGTGATCCATCCTTCTTCTCTCGTCTCACTGCAACTACTTCGTCCACGTGTCACACTGTACAGGCCGCATCTCTCTGCCAAGCAATGCAACTCAGATGATATACGCTGATGAAGACTCAAGTTGGGATGTCGCAACGAAATCTCTGATCCTGTATTTCAAGCAAGCAGGATAAGATGGCGGCGCCAAATACGATACAAAGCTTGGAGCAAGCGCCTGCGCAGCCTTCATATGTACTTCGAGGCCACTCAGCGCAGATACATGCAGTGCACTTTCTTCGCGATAACACTAGACTGCTCACTGGCGATGCTGACGGATTCGTGGTGCTGTGGAATACAGCGACGAAGCGGGCAGTCGCAGTCTGGAAACCACATTCAAGCACGATTCTTGGACTAGAAAGTTGGGACGACGACAAAATCATCACGTAAGGAGCCGATGCATATGCGAAGCTTGGGATGGGGCTGATTATAGACAGTCACGGCCGTGACAATAAGCTCTGCGTTTGGCAGCTCACAGAAGAAGACGAGCCTCATCTCTCCAAAGCCCTTCCGATCAGCGAAGATGTGAAGGAGCGCAGGCAGCCATGGCTCTTACATAGTTTCAGGGTTCATTCACTGAACTTCTGTTCCTTCGCAATGATCCCAGCCGAGCCCCACGGACACAATGACCTTCCATCTGACGGAATCTTTGTCGCCACGCCAGGAGTTCAGGACGGCCATATCAATGTCACTTCTCTGCCGGACGAAGACCGCATCGCGACAATACCAAGTCCGCAGGGCCAGAATACTGGCATGGTCATGGCGATAGGCCTCCAATTCCAGAAGAACGAGGCTCGGAAAGAGCTCATCGTGGTCGCGGGCTATGAGAGCGGACAAGCATGCATCTGGCAGCAAAAGGACGCCAAGCGACACTGGCAACTCACTTACATGCAGAAATCGCACACGCAACCCGTACTTTCTCTCAGTATAGCACCCACGCAGGGCACTTTCTTTACTTCTTCTGCAGATGCTATTGTGGCGAGACATCCCCTGACATCATCCGTGCCCACCAAAACTATTCAGACGAAACACGCTGGCCAGCAAGGTCTGGTTGTGAGATCGGACGAGAGGATATTTGCCACTGCTGGCTGGGACGGGAGGATGCGCGTGTACAGCGTGAAGTCGATGAAGGAACTGGCTGTGCTGAAGTGGCATAAAGAAGGCTGCTATGCGCTTGCATTTGCAAACTTGAGCGACAAGGACGACACAGATGGATCAGAGAAGACAGAGATTGTGTCGAAAGAGGCCGATGGTGCTCTGTCGAAGCGAGACCTGACGGTGTCCCAACAGCGTGCAGAGACTGCGAAGTCTACCCACTGGCTGGCGGCTGGGAGCCAAGACGGGAAAGTGTCCCTCTGGGACATATACTGAAAACGAGAACCGTACGTGTAACCCTATCTTGCTTCAATACGACGTGTTCCCTGGGCCCTGGGCTGATAGAGAGAAGGACTAATACAAAACGACCCATCTTCGCAGCTCGTTGAACTTGCGACACTTGCGGATCTCGATCATTGGATCTCCAACGCCGCAACCCCTTATTCAACCTCCGAGATCTTCAATCCACCATCTTCCAAGTTCCATTTGATGTCCTTCTCTCGATGGATAGGTCCGCCCAGGTGGAGCTGCGCGTACTCCTTCAACGTGGCCAGGCTGACCCAAATCGGCTCACTGCGTGTGGGCCGAACGGAGTTCCTAGAAAGCCTTACGAAGCTCCATAAGCTGCCACTGCTGCTGCTGCTACTGCTGCTGCCCTGCTGGCTCTGAGCTTGGTTGTTGGCCCAGAATCGCCCCGGGGGAGTGATGGCACGGCGGCGACCCCGAGGCACAAGCTGCAGCAATTGCGCACCTCTCCGCTGCTCCGCTGCGTCCCACATCGAAGATCTCACCGGTTCCACATCTATCATGACATGCACGAGCCCCTCCGACAGAACATGGTCGCCTCCGTACGTGACACTGCGGAGAGTGACGTATGCATCATTCAGGGGCTTAGCGACGTACGCAAGGCGCACATTGCGCAGCATGTGGACGCGCTCTCGATCGAGGGATTGGAGGAAAGTGGACAGACCTTGTCGGTGTGGAGAGCCGAAGATGTTCTGGCCGTAGAAGATAGGGAGGGCTTCCGCGCGAGTCTTGCGGTTGAGTTTGCTGGGTGAAAGATTAGTACGCGCCGGTGCTCTTCGCGTGGGAGAAGGATACCTGATAGCGGGCTCCGAGACTCGGCACGAGACGATGGTGACGGGGAGGATCTGAACGGTGCTGAGCTCGTAGATCTCGTTGCGGAGCTCGACGGGGAGATCGAGGAAGCCGACCTAGATGGGTCAGTGGTCGACTTTCGAGGTGAGATCAGTCTGGCGTACCTTGCGCTCTGCAATTGACGAAGACGAAGACGCCGAGGCCATGGTGTTGTTGGAAGTGCGAACAAGCGATGTGCTGGAGACGATGGTCGTCAGTGCAGGTCGTCGTGTTCGTGTTCGTGTTCGTGGTGTCTCCCAGCACCGAGCGGCTTTGAAGGAAGGAAAGAGCAAGCTGCGTAAGGAAGGCGCGCTAGCTGACTCAGCGCCCTCCTTATTTTTCATGTGCGCTGCGGCTCGAAACTTCCAGATTGCATTCAACATTCACCACAATCGCCTTCGCACAATTGAAGCCCATTCGCACGGTCATGGAGCGGACGTCTGCGCCTGCACCATCCACTTTGCCTGCAGCAACCACCATGGCCTCCGACAAGCTCCAGCTTGTGCTTCCCACTCACAAGCCAGCACCAGACGAAAAGGACGAGGTCGCGTGCACTCCAGCTGCGCCCGTCGAAGACCAGCCCATCAAGAAGAGCACCCTCCTCAGCCTGGCAGCTGAGCTCCGCAACAAGATCTGGGAATACGCCGTCACCGATGCCTCGCCGCTCTGCTTCTGCCAAGCCAACATGAGCGCCGTCAAACAGCCACCACTCACCCTTGCCAACCGCCAGATCCGCCACGAAGCGCTGCCATTCTTCTACACCTGCAACGTCTTCCAAGGACCCTCCACTAACGAGATCACCACGTTTCTCAGCAACCTCCTGCCGGCCCAAGTCCACTTGGTGCAGTACATCAACAACGAACACACTTTCATGTTCCTCGACATTGCGGCGAATGCCATGCGGCGCATCATGCGCGAGGCCAAGACCAGGAGTCATGTCGATGATGACAAGCAAGTTTTCGTTCAAGTCCAGGTGGCGCTGAAGGAGTCGATGAACGCGAATCTGGCGAGGAATGCGCAGGAGTTGCAGGCCAAGGTGGACATGTGGCGCAGCGGCGGCCGCGAGCAGTACGAAGCTGTCTGGGTCTCGTTGGAGACGATTCGGGACTATGAGCAATTGAGAGGTGGTGGTGTTGCGAAGAAGGAGGATGTGGAAGACGAGGCGTTGCTGAAAGATTTCGGTAATCTTCTTTCTTGAGTCAGCAGAACAGGATTCAAATGGTTGAGAGAAGCAAGACGGAGAGTCAAGCACATGTAAATAGCGAACCGATTGCGTAGCACAGTGTTGCCGCTTCGCATGCGTGAACCTCACATTCTCTTCAGATGTGAGCAGCACGTGACGGCAAGTGCACGAGAGTATCCCCCTGTAAATCAGATGTCAGCGCACGGACTCTTCACTTTCACCGAAGCCGCGTTTACTTAAACCCACCTTCCAACTCTCTTTCACTTTTCTACCACCACCACCGTCACCATCAAACCTCCAACATCTCTGTCCACACTCCACCACCACCGCAGTCAGTGATTTCGACTGCTCGAGATCCCATCGCAAAGCGCAGCAGACGGTAACTAGAGCGACAAAGAAGTCCATCTCCAGCTACCCACACTAATACAGGTCTCATAGGACGAGAGAAACTCAAGTGAGGCCCACCTCCACCTCGTCACCATGGCCAGTCAAGACACCACCACCGCTGCCAGCACTTCCAAGAAAACCACTTTCCTCGACCTCTCCGCCGAACTGCGCAACAAAATCTACGAAGACGCCCTGGTCCAGCCCAAGGGAATCAAATTCCGCTATGATCTGAGCCTCCTAACCCAACCAGCCCTCACCCGCACCTGCCGCCAAATTCGCCACGAGAGCCTTCCGATCTTCTACGGCCAGAATTTCATCACATCTTTCAGCCTCATTTGCCTGATGGATGCGGTGAGCGTAGTGCCACAGGACCAGCTGGAGAAGTTTCAATGCTTCGTGCAAAGTTATTCTTGTTGTTTCTCCTTGGACTCTGCGGAGTATTCTCTGAGTGAGATTCACAAAAATTTGCGCGGAACAGGACTGGTGGCCCGGGTGAAGATTTGCGTTAGTCTCACGGATTACGAAGAGTGTGTTTGGGCTTCGGCGGAGGATTTGAAGGAGTATCGCGAGATAAGTAATGAAGCCGGTCGGATGTGGGTTTCGAGAAGAGAGGACCTTTGACAGAGTGGAGAACTTGGCGGACCTCACGCTTACAAGCGTCAAATGCTAGCCACGGGTAGGGTTGGAGGAGCAGGAGTGAGAGATTGCCGTGAAAGGCGGGCTTCAAGGACGGTGGCAATGTTGTGTGCCGTCTCGATAAGCTATGATCAGCGTGCTCTTCCATTAGACAGCTTCTTTCTTGAGAACACGCACGGCTGCCAGTCGGGCAGTGGCGAAACATCAGCAATACTGGCCAAAATGAAGCGCTCAAACCATAAGACGCTAAAGAATTGCACTCACATGCCACCCATCTCCTCATTGCCGCATGTTCCGTCTTCACCATCTTCGTCAGACTCCATGTACTCATCACTCCCGTCTCTCGCCCCTTTCGACCTCCGCTTCTTCCTCGTTACATTGGTGAGGATGCGCTTCCCAACTCCCGATCTCTGAAGTGTCTCCCACATTCCATCGAGGTCATTGTACTGTCCGATATCGTCCATGGTAACCATCTCACGCTTGCAGGAATCCTTATCGTGAACAGTGGCGTGTGAACCAGACCAATCCGTTTCCCTCTCTTGTTCAACAACGACTGGAACCGCGACAGCGTTCCGTTTCAATCCATCCTTCACTCGCTTGTTCAGCTTGCGAAGACCAGGCAAGACAAAGCCCGCGGGCAGAGGCTCATCTAGGTTGACCCACTGAAGCATGCTGAGTCGAGCAGAGTCCAGGCGGTCGAGCCAGGCGATGATGTCGTAGATAAAGCGCGAGTGGAAAGTGTTCTCTTTGTACCAAATGGGCAAAGCCTCGCGGCGTACCTGCTTGCTAGCAGCGAGCAGAGCTGGTTCACGGGTGAAGGGAGCCTGGACCGCCAGCTGAATTCCAGCGCCATCGACTATCAGGTGGTGCTCATAGACTGCAACTCGGTCCTCCTCTTCGAGACTGAAGAACGTGATTCTGCGTTGTGTCTTGGTGTGATATCTGCTGGGGATGTGGGGAGAGAGCGAGCTGATGGACATCTGTGCCTCGTGTGCAGCGTGCTGTTTTGGGCGAGTCGCAGGTGCCTTAGGCAGGACCGCCTTTCCGCTGCCGTCCTGCTTCTCGAGCTTGCTACTAGTATAGCTGACCACCCTCGATGTCACGCTCGGTGGCGGAAAGGCAGAGGCAGACTTGCGCGCCCGCATCTTAGGTGGGCTGGCAGGAGCAGACTTGCGCGGCCTCATCTGAGGCGGACCGGCAGGAGCAGACTTGCGCGCCCTCATCTTGGGCGGACCGGCAGGAGCAGATTTGCGCGCCCGCATCCTGGGCGAAAAGGCAGGAGCAGATTTGCGCGCCCGCATCTTGGGCGGATTTGGAAGCAAGACGGCATCCCCAAAGTCGTCGTCTGAGTCTTCCACGATGACTCTCCGCCTCGCAGCCCCTTTCACCATGTTTCGCCTTTGCTGTGTCGGTTGCTGTCGCTCGCTGGGTCTGGATTTTTGCAGCGGTGTGGATCGCGTCGATGACAGCACGTTCTGCTGTATGGCATTACAGTATTCGACAATTCAAAGTCCGTCCTCTCGGTGCTTTCCGCCGTTTCCTCGGCTTCACGGATGTTTGTTGCGGCGTTTGTTGTTGTCCGTGAAAACTTGTTTTGGGGGAAATTGCAAGTGAATCCGAGGGTTGAAGTCGCCAGTCGCACCGCGCCATCGCTCTTTCCTGCAGAAGTCGACTGGCATTAAGTTGTGCAGGCGCGAACAGCGCCGAACGCATCTTACCGGAAGGCTCGAGCTAGCCAGAGGCAGCTCGACAAATGCCCCCGGCGGTCGGGTCGATAACGTGGGTTTGTAACGGCACTCCTTTTTGGTATATTCCTTCTGAGAATGCACTTTACAGCCCACGGTACGATCATCCTCATAAGGCTGACGAGGCTCCCATTGATATTCCGTACTCTTTGACAACTGAAATTTTTCAGAGTGCCTGCGGCGGCAGCGGAATGTTGTCAATCAGCCTGACAGGCACCCTATCTTCCCCCATCCCTAGCATCTCTCCCTCTCCGACCTCTTCGAGAGGCAGCATCTTGACAGCACCACTCAACACAGCGCCTTTACTCGCATGAACGCTCTCCACCTCCTCCAACGTATCAGGATCCGCCAGACTGATGTAGTCCACTTCGAAAAGCGCCCGCTCATTCTTGTCCAACAAATCTTGCTCCAAGCTCATACGGTTGCAAACGTCCCAGCTGGAAGCCAAGATCTCGTCTCTGTTCCTCCTGCCCATATTGTACGCTTTCTCCGCTGCCCTCAGTGCTTTCGACAACACAAGCCCTGCCTTTCGTCTCCGATCACCCAGATAGACATTCCTGCTGCTCATGGCAAGACCATCTGCCTCTCGCTCCGTGGGAATGATGCGGACTTCGGTATTCACGTGGAAGTCTTGTACCATGCGCTTGATGATCACCGTCTGCTGAACATCCTTCTGTCCGAAATATACTCTCTCTGCCTCCACGATATTGAAGAGTTTCATGCAGATTGTCGCGACACCTCGAAAGAAAACGGGCCTGCTCTTTCCTTCCAGCAGATTCGCCAACGGTGTAATGGTCACGAACGATCCTACCCCATCCACTCGTGAGTCTGGCGGAAGTGTAGGATACATCGTCCTTGTCGTCGGTGCGAATATCGCTTCTATCCTTCCCCTGCCCTCTTTCTCCAGCTCGCGGTCTAGCTCTCTGAGTTGTTGGAGATCGGTGTCCCATGTCTTGGGATAGCTGTCCAAGTCCTCGTTTATGCCAAACTGAGTGGGATTGACATATACAGACACCAAGACTTTGCTGTTCTCGGCGGCTGCGGCTCGAACGAGGGAGAGGTGGCCTCGGTGGAGAGCTCCCATGGTGGGCACGAGGCCGACGGACTGGTCTTTGAGGAGAAGATCGCGGCGATGGGCGCGGAGAGGAGCGACATCTCGAAAGATCTGGAATGCCCGGCGAGGGAATATGGCTGTGAGCGACGTCTTCGATGTGGAACGAAGGCTCAATGGTCTGCTTTTTGATGTGAGTCCAGCCATGGCTAAGCGATTGGTGCACTTCCAGTCGATTACAGGATTGAGTCGGGCCGGAAGAGATGGGTTGAACTTGTACTTGTGTAGCAAACAGAGCCATGCAGCTCCATGGTGATTTAATGGATCCCTATGCAGATAAAATACATGGCAGCGGTGGCAGCGGGGAGATAATGCAACTGGCCATTCTTCAGTCTGCATGTGCAGATGGAAGCTCAAGCTTACATCTCGCGCTAGTGTTACGGCAGGTCATGTCTCAGCTTAGGAATTAAAGACTCGGATTGCCAGCGGAAATGTTGCGAAGAGAAACCCGAGACCCGATAAGCAGCAAATGTCACTTGAAGGCGATTGAAGGGCTTCGGATATCCCCAAAAGTCTCGAGGACAAGTATGCCGGCTGCAGTTGGCAGCATGCTGATGCATTTGAGGAGGTCAGGGAGGTGGGATAACAAATGCGGTTTAGCGCAGAGTCCTGAATCTTAACGAGTCTGGAATTTTCGACTTCGACACACCACTTCCATCGACATCAACAATCGCTGATAAAATGGACGACGGACTCCTGGTAAATTTCCAAATACCCGAGGACTACACAGCTCCATCCACGAAGCTCAAAGGTACCGATCACAAACCCAGAACTCCGTTCGACACAGTGCCACTTGGGAGACATGCTGATGAGATGCAGGTGGCCGATGGAAGGACCGTCTTACTGCCAGAAAGTCGGCCGAATATGGACGGAAGAAGGCCTTGGAACGAGGAGATGCGCCACCACCTTCTGCCGTCCAGCAGGCGGAGAAGCCTGTCTTTGTCGAAGGGCGGCCAGCAAAGCGAGCACGTACTCAGCGGGCCGACGACACACTACCGAAGACGAGTAATGGAGAGGTGATATCGTCTCTATTCACGTTCAATCCAGCCTCTCGGACGATTCCCGAAAATGCGGATGGTGACAAGGCCAACGAGGAGCCTCTCGTAGAGCCATCGAACGCGCCACTTGCGGAGAACGAAGAATCCAAATTCACCTCGCTCGGGCTCTCATCCAATCTCGCTTCTCATCTGCTACGGAAACTCGAGATCAAGGCACCTACCGCTATCCAGCGTAAGGCAGTCCAGCAGCTCTGTCATAACGACACAGACGCTTTCATTCAGGCCCAGACCGGATCAGGCAAGACTCTGGCATATCTATTGCCTATTATCGAGCGCATCACCGCGATATCAAGACGCATGAAAGAAGCCGGAGAGTCCTTCGATCGACACAGTGGTTTGTTCGCAATTATTCTTGCGCCCACCCGAGAACTCAGCAAGCAGATAAGTACTGTGCTGGAAGATCTACTTTCGTGTTGCCACTGGATTGTGTCGAGTACGGTCATTGGAGGGGAAAAGAAGAAGTCAGAGAAAGCTAGGTTACGCAAAGGACTGAATATTCTGGTCGCGACTCCTGGCCGCCTTGCGGATCACATCGAAAATACCGAAAATTTGGATCTTAGCAATGTGCGCTGGCTAGTCCTGGACGAAGGTGATCGACTGATGGAGCTCGGATTCGAACAGGATATCCAGAAAATGATCAGCGTGCTTAATCTGCGCGCAAGGAAAAAGCAAGAAAAGCCGATTCCTGGTCTACCTAGCAGAAGAACAACCGTTCTGTGCTCGGCCACAATAAAGGCAAACGTGGAGCAGCTACAAAGTATATCACTAAAGGAGCCTGTCTCAATATCGGTGGATCAAGCTTCGGAACCTGCCGAGGACGGAGGTGGTGATGGAGAGCCAGAGAACAACTTCTCCGCGCCCGCGCAACTAAAGCAGGGATATGCAGTTGTTCCGCCGAAACAGCGGCTCGTCACTCTCGTGGGATTACTAAAGCAGACGTTCAAGAGGAAAGGGAGTGTGATGAAATGCATAGTGTTTATGAGTTGTGCGGACAGCGTCGACTTCCACTTCGAGCTTCTCACAAGTGGGTCGCCGAAGACTGACACGGTGGATGCTCCTGTGAGCTCAGAAACGACTACAAATCCCCGAGTTAAGCAACGTGCGCCGCCAAAGAAGAGCTCGAAGCCAGGGAGCATTCCACAAGGGAATACGATACCGGAAGCACGAACCGAAGGTCAAGCGGCCGCGATCTCTGGGAAAGACAACCCCGTCCAGATGTTCCGTCTCCACGGCTCCTTGCAACAAGCGACGCGAACGAGCACTCTCAAGGCATTCACGAAGATGACAGACCCTGCTGTTCTAGTGTGTACAGACGTGGCATCCCGCGGTCTCGATCTTCCAAACGTGGACCTCGTCATCGAATACGACCCACCCTTCAGCAAAGACGACCATCTCCACCGAATCGGCCGAACAGCGCGCGCGGGAAGAGACGGCAGAGCGCTCATCTTCCTCCAACCCGGCTGCGAAGAAGGCTACGTCGAAATCCTCAAAGAAGGCAAACCTCGCAATCTAACCCGCCACGACGCCGATGAACTCCTCCAGAAAGGCTTCGGACCCGAAAAGGGCGTCGCTGCCACTTCTTCTTCGCAATGGGAACAGACTGCCACCGATTGGCAGTTGGAAGCCGAACGCTGGGTTCAAGAAAACCCTAAACATCTCGAACAGGCCCGCAGAGCTTATCAGAGCCATATCCGAGCATATGCGACGCACGTCTCCTCGGAGCGCCACGTGTTCAATATGCAGGAATTGCATCTGGGGCATCTGGCCAAGGCTTTTGCGTTGAGAGATAAGCCTGGCAGTATCAACGTACCGGGCATGAGACCTGGGAAAGACGCCGGGGCTAAGAGTAAGAAGCACACGTTGCAGCAGCAGCAAGGGAAGAGGAAGCGGGACGACAATGGGGATGGGGAAGCTGGAGCGGTGGATCCTAATGAGGCGAAGAGGAAGATGATGGCGAAGATGAAGAGTCTGATGACGGGTGCTTCTGAATTTAATACGATGTAGGCCGGGCGATGGCTAGATAGTTTGGAAGACTATACTGAAAATGCAAAGCCAACTTTTCAGGCATCAAATTGTTCCTCAAGCTGCTCTCAGTCCATTATTCATCAGACTCCATCCCCAAGACTGAGAATGAGACGGAACAAACCCACAGACCCTTCCAAGTGAGAAGCCCCGAACCTCTCTCCCTAACTTTCAAAAAAAAAAAAAAAAAAAAAAGAACCAAAACCTCTCACCTCCTCAAATCCAAACCATCCCTCCCCAGCCTCAAAGCCCTCAATCTCTCCTCGTGATCCCCAAACTCTCGGCGCACAATCCCTTCCAAATCAGCTGTTTCGGGATGTTTCTCATCACCAGGAACCGCTTTTTCGAGAATCTTCAAATCCAAAGCTTCCTCTCGCATCCCTCTATACCCCTTTCCGAGATCCGTGAAGATGTCCAAGGAGATGAGTAATGCCCCGGATCCGCAGAGTTCGAATCTGACAGTTATTAATTGCGGGAGACGTTGTCCGGGTGGGGCATCTGTCGTTGTGACGGGGGGTATGTGTAGAAGGGATACGACGCTAGTTGGTGCAGTCGGAGAGGTACCCGAGGGCTGTTGTCCGATCCGTTCCACATGGAATACTTGTCCAGAAATTAGCTCAGAATTTCCAACAAGTCGCAAGATATTCTCTTGGCTTTGATGGAATGCGGTTTCTCTCCAGGTGATTCGATTCCCCGGGACTTGGATTCTTCCTTTGGAGGGAGATCTCGCCATGAGGAAGTTGAAACGCAGCTGAGTGGCCGCGATGAAACGTCCCTTGATGATTTTGCTGTACATGGTCTTATCTTGTGAGACCCAGATCGTGCGCAGAGCTCCTGGACGTGGTATGGGATTCGAGAGGCGTGCCGTTCGTAGGCGACGAGTCTGCGGAGTGGGACTACGCCGCGCCGAGCCAGTTGCACTTCCCAGCAGCGAATCTTGGTGTTCGTGCCGCGGAGGGATATCGCGCTTCGACGGCGTAAAGGTTGGATTTCTCTGGTGGCTGCGTGGCTTCGGAGCCAGGCTATAATCTTGTTGTGTGCGAATGGCGGGGGCGATTTCTCTAAGAATACGCGATGAACGATCCCATGTTCGAAGCAATTGACGGTGGTCTTGGGGTCCAGGTCTCTTGCGACCAGAGGTAACAGAGCTTCATTGATGTGGCGAAGCTGCGGAGCTCCAGCGATTAATCCTCGGCGCCAGCTTGCAGTATCAATCGAGGTGGCCAGCATTTTGCAAGTAAAGGCGAGCATGGCTTCGTGTTCGATATCCAGGTACGAAGCGATATGTTGAACCAATTCAACAGGTAGCGATAGCAAGCCTGTCACCTCATTCTGACGCGCCTTATTGTTTTGATGCATGCGCAATGTCATTTGCGCGAGAAGCTTCGTTGAGAATTCATCGTGTCTATTGCAAGTGTAGATATCGGTAACGGTAGAGAGAGGTGCAAGCGTGACTCCTGATCCAGGGTGGAATGTAACAAAGTCGCGCCTGACAGTGAGCGCAGTCTCGCAGCGGGTCTAAGCCGGATACCTGGGTTCCAGATGCGTTCCACCCACGCGCGAAATCTTCAGATGCACGAGCCTGGGGCAGCTGGCGCCATTCCCGGTACACACTGGTACCGCGAGCAACACCATTTCCCATCAATCCACATGAATTCCAGCATACCGACACTTTGTCGGATCTTGCCCGGTGGAATCCCGTCCGAGAGTAGATTGACAAAAGCCTTCGCTATGGATTTCTTCTCGTCGATTTTGATCATGACTTCTTGCAACTGGAGTGTGTAGTATGGATGAAGTCGCGTATGATCTTCGTAGCATCTCAGTAGCTCCTGAAGCGTTGTTTCTTTGGGCCACTGAGCGAAAGCTGCCTTTGCCGAGAAGTGCTCATGTGTCACGCTCCAGGCGTCAGAATTTACATTGAAGTCTCTGTTGTTGATGGCGCCCACTATCATGTGGCACATATGCTCGATCTGGCATCTGCTGAACTCCAGCCACGTGGGCCACTCGGCGCGGGATGGGGAGTTTGTAGCGGTGGAAGACATTTCCGTTTGATTCCTTGCGAGTTGATATATGCGCGAGTCGGCAGATATTATTCTCGGTATGTCTTGGGGTTTAAAGATGTATTCCCGTTGCCGGTGCTGTTAACAAATCCCCTTACGCCCTGAAGGGCGTCAGGCAATCAAGGCAATCGGTCGGCTTCGCTACAAGGGCGTTAGCTAATCTGCACAGGCTTGCGACCAGGCTGGCCTTGGCCCAAGGAAAAGGAGGGAGCACGTTACGCTGCAGCGGCGTCGCTTATAGTTGAAGTGGAGGCTGCATGAATCCTGTAGGCGCACGGACCCACGTCACGCTGTAGGTCGAGTGTCCATCTACTTTTCTCGCCACGATCGAGGCCGAGTCGAGAGCATTTTGCACGCCGCTACTGTAAGCATGTGTTGCGTGCCGTTCCAGACTTACCCCTGCATGACGTATCGTGGCTCCAAGATAAGTCGTCGCTCGGTATCTTACTTTCTGACACATGGCCTTCAGCCGCACGCCCGCTGTACCAACGCTGTACTTGAGCATGAGAATCGCCAACAGCGATAGTAAACTAGCACCTGCAGATGGACGTGTTTCCGCGTCTTCGGGCAAGTAAGGGAGCAAATCATGTCGTTTCTCGAGCTCATTTTCGGAGCCGAGCAGGATACGACCTGGCGGCATCCCGAATGCTCCCGACTGAGCAGCGTGTCTCCCGCACAGCGTCAAAGAGTCGCTCCGACGGAGGTACCGTCCTTTGCGATGAGCCGTATAGGGACAGCTTCAACGCACGCCGCACTAAGTCGCCTGGGCTATGAGGCATATACCATGGATTTCGAGCGTTCGCAGACATTACAGGCTACGAGTTGTGGAATCCAGCTTACGAGACCAAATTCTCCAACACCCCGTCTTCGGAATGTGCAGACGTAAATCAGGCGTTCTTCGACAAGGTGCTGGGGTATCTTTCGGCTGCCACAGATATGCCACCCGCGAGCTTTAATTTGAAATTGCCGGCAGCCTATCCGGATGCCCAAGTCATTGTGGTCGAGAGGGACGAGGACGAGTGGCTGTGTTCCTTTGAAGATATATGTATGAAGACGTAGTCCAGTCCGCTCGTGAGGATCATCGCTTGGCTGGATCCAAAGAAGGCAGGTCCGCTTATCCAATTCCTCACTCGTGGTGTTGCAGAAGACCAATTTCGCGCCATGTCGCTTGATGAATTCCGCCGAAATGCTCGAACGGTATCCAGAGACCACTACGCCTCCATTCGAAAGAACTTGCAAGACCAAGGCGAGGAAGGCCGACTACTCGAGCATGAGCTAGGCAGTGGCTGGCGACCCCTCTGCCTCTTTGCTGGAGAAGCCAGTGCCGGGAGACGCCGGATTTCCTTGAGTAAATGAGTCTTTCATGATCCAAGAGAATATCAAGATCATGATGATAGTAGGGATCAGACGCAACGTGGAAAGGTACCTGAAATACCTACTGCCGTTGCTGTTGGCGAGCTTGTTGTCTTGGTATCTTGCTTCAGGCAGATAGCACACCAATGACTCGCTGCCAGCGCGGCTTTATATCCCTGTAGAAGACGAGGTGAGGTCGCGATGCCAACGTTTTGTGGTGAAGTTTGGGTCAGGAAAGGAAATTGGAACGAGACCATGAATGAATATATGGTCCGGCGTACGATACTATCGCTTACTAAGTATGGCGTGCGCTATTACTATTTGGGAAGGAAACCAGGCAGCTCGATTCTCCACCTTCCCGCCGGTTAAGCTGTCCCGAACAACAACGTCGACAAGCATCAAATGCCTAGGCTCATGCGGATGCGATACATAATTGCTTGATGTTTCTTCTGTAAGCTATCATTGACCTCGTTCCTAACTGTCATCTACAGTAGTATTTCACCTCACCCGCCCTTCACGAAGCGTAAGGTCATCCTCTCGCCCTCAAAGGTCAATAGCGGACCACCAACACGATGACCATGACTTCGCGACTCGAGACCCAACCGCCGCCCACGCCAACATACTTGCTTTCCTACCCAAAAGAACATGTACTGCTCATCACCATTAACCGGCCCAAGGCCATGAACAGCCTTCCATACGCCTCTCATTGGGAAGCAGATGCACTTCTCCAATGGTTCGACAGCGAGCCCACACTTCGAGTGGCTGTGATTACCGGCAACGGAAAGGCCTTCTGTGCAGGGCAGGACCTGATTGAGCAGAAAGACTTGGCAAACATTCGAGAGGCGGCAGCAAGAGGGGAGAAGGTCGAGATACCTGACAGGAGGCTGCTCACCCATCCCGTGAGCGGATTCATGGGCGTCAGTAGGAGAACGGGAAAGAAGCCAGTGATTGCGGCTGTGAACGGATGGGCGATGGGTGGTGGGTTCGAGATATGTCTCGGATGGTAGGATTGCATTTGGGGTGTATGAAGACAGTGGGCTGACCGTACCCCTCCAGTGACATGATCATTGCTTCGCCAAAGGCAGTATTCGGTCTCCCCGAAGCTATGCGCGGACTCTACGCCGGCGCAGGTGGCCTCTCGCGTCTGGTGCGTCTCGCAGGCATGACAATTGCTTCCGAGGTGGCCATGTCGGCTCGTTTTCTATCTGCCACAGAAGCGGCACAGTACAATATCGCGAACCGAGTGTCACAGACGCCCGAAAGTGTCGTCGATGAAGCAGTCGAGCTCGCAGCAAAAGTCGCTTCTCTGAGTCCGGATGCGATCATCGTCACCAGACATGGACTCCGAGCGAGCTGGGAGCAGGGCAGTGTGGAGAGAGCCAGCCAAGAAACAGAACTGCGCTTTGGCAAGGCACTCAGGGAGGGCGAGAATATCGGTATTGGTCTGCGGGCCTTTGCCGAGAAGAAGCAGCCCAAGTGGGTGCCGAGCAAGCTCTGAAGTAATGTTGACTGCCGAGCCAGCTCTGATTGAAGTCATGTTGACCACCAATTGAGCCTCACGACTATCAAATGCAATAACGACATTTCAATAGGCCCAAATATCCATCGTCATGATGTTGAGTATCCTGGAGACATAGCGAGCGGAGCGGAGTCATCGTCGAGGCCTATCACCCAAGGATGTGGGATGAAATGATGCCTCAAGATATTCAGAATTTTGTGCAAGAGATCGGGCGGTGACAAGACTCGATAACACACTGACCCACAAGCTATATACGGCCATATCACTGATATCGGCAGGAACGCCCATTGCTGGTACCGAAGTGCATTTTTGGTGAATGCGTGAACACCCAGGAAGTTATGCATATCGACGCTCGCTCGGCGGACTCATTTCGTCGAACAAAGCTTGTCTGATCACCTCCGACATCGCTTACACTCACCACCTCGGAAACACCATGGAAGACTCGGATACAGCAGTCGACGACGTGCTTACTCACAGCCACAGCCAACTGCCTCGGTGGCACATGATGGCTCAATCCGGAGATCGCTGTGTTCCTGTGGTGAGGCTCTGGCTGGGCAAGGCCGGGTCTAGCGAAACTTTGTACATCCCATAGGGCCACTGACCGTTGCTAATAGCTTCAACCTGTTGTCGATAAGAGCGCTACACGCTACTTAACACTCCAGCTCTGTCGCCCGCTTTCCAATAGTCCTGTGGGCTTATGAAGACCTCTTCGACGCCTCGCGATGAACGTGGCCGCGGCTTACCGATGAAAAGCCAGCCACTGCCACCGCACCAGCATAGCCACTACTGTGCGCGCCACGGAGAACGAACACAGATTTGAGGCCAGGATGGTTGTTGTGATTCAATCACTAGCTACGTACTAGTCTCCTCTGCAGATGGATCGCCATGTGCTCTGCAGAAGGATCGCCAGTCCCGCAGCCATCTCGTCATTCATTCTGCCTGAGCAATGCGAGGAGGCGAGCTTACTGGTCGTTCCGCTCGTGAAATAGACTTTTCGAGCCCGTGATTGACGCACGCAGACATGCCGGAGGCTGGAGTTGAAACGCCTTTCCCCTCTCAATAGCCGCCAGTACTGCCCTAATCAAGCAACCCGGGCAGTGCTGCCCATCGCCAGGCACGCAGCCGCGGGAGCATATTGGAACAGCAGATTGTGAAGTGACTGCAAGCCGGACTCTTTTGCCCGCTTGCGACCATGGCCTTCCGAGAAAACTCTACAGCCGAGCGCTGCGCAGCGTGTCATGGCCGCAATTGATTAGGTCAACGCCCCCGATAGCGTGTTCTATCGTTACCTGAAGGGGCTGCTGCAACAACATGCCGTGTACATCTTTGGCTTTTGCCCTCTTCATCCTGGTCTCACCTAGCTTCGTAGAAGCATGGGTCCAATTTATCCGGATATCCGCCGTCAAATCATACTACTGACTACTGGCCTGAAAACTACAAGGATTTTATGCAACCACTTACATGCCAGCTTGGTAGATATTGCCCTCGGTCTACGTTCGATCGCATCTAACCTCTTTCCTCTTCTTTTGGGCGATATGGTTATACGCAAATTGGCGCGCACTTCCTCGTGGGCTACACAACGGATGCGAACTTATTACCATGGACGCCATTCTCTTCTACGGCGACCGAGATGAAGCGACTCGGAGGCAGGTCCGCTCTGCTGCTGCCTCCCATTCTCATCGCATAGGACCACGCAAACCCAAGGCAAGCAGGCGGCCACGATCAGACTCCAACGGCGCAAAGAAGAGGAACCCGGAGGCGGATACCCCGATATCCTCTAAGCCGGCTGACATGATCGAGCCCTTCCCGAATGCGCTAGACGTTCAGCATGCTACAACTCCAAGTCAATTACCAGATCGCTCATGTCAGTCGGAAAGCGTATCCTCACCTGCGGCCAGGTCCTCGTCAAGCGCCACGTTGAGCCGCGCGACTCCCACCGGCTGCACAAACATAAGCCCAGAAAAGGCGCTTAAAAGACAGGCTGCGCAAGCAAGATGGGAGCAGCTACAGTCTATGCAACGGATACAATCTTCTCAACATACCAATGGGATATCACAAAGCGCTGCAATGATCGACTTGAAGCCTCCAGGACAACCATACCACGGGCCACCACCTCCTCCGTTGAAAACTGAACGAATCGAAGGAGGGCCAAGCAAAACGTCGCATTCGAGGAACAGCTCGCAAAACAGCGCGGCTTCACCGTCCACTCGATTGCCTCAGTATTCTTGGACAGAGTATCCGCGGTATCCAGTCAGCGGCCTACCCGGCTCTGTACATACATTTACTCCGGCTGGGACCGCTGGAAACGGACTGGACTCTCATGTCTCGCAGCTTCCACGGCCTCCAGCTCCGCGGCAAGACATGCCTGGTCTTCGCCCATACAACTTGAACTCAATTGTTGCCATGCCTCGAAGTCAACCACGACAGCATCTTCAAACAGGTGACTTTTCAAATCGCGCCATACCTGAGCGCGAACAGTCTGCGCAATGGACCGACCGTCCTGTCAAGAGTGAGCCCTTCTCGACAGCTCCTGGATGACCTGAAGAAAGCTCTATCGCACTCATCATCTAAACAGTCGAACTCTGGACCTCATTACCCGTTCGGGACCAAAAGTTTCATGCCGATAGACAGAGAAGACAATCAACAACCATCCTCGTATTCTCGTACATGCATCTCGTTGCGCTGTGTGGATATGGAACATTATTCCAGCGCTACAACGGAGTCTTCCGCGATGTCTTACTGCTGTCCGCACAACCAGTACGATCACCGACATGTCCTGAAGAGGAATTTACCGACCACTTCGGGAGATGTAGTCCGAAGATGATCACATACCCGATCGGGAACGTCAAGAAGCATAAAAGGACCATCTGAAACCCGCAGACGCAACATGATTAGCTGGCCAATTGGTTTTGAAAGCTCCACTTACGACTTCGATTTCCGAATTTAATTTTCTATTGGTTTAGAACTTGCCGTACTTGCATGTCGCATCCGCGAGTGTGCGAGGACTTGGAGGCTGGCTGGCTGGTCATGTGGCGCTGGCCTTCATCTCATATCCATGTCAGCGGAAGCACAACGCAGGGATCGCGGCGATCTGGTCTTGGCCCCTCCTGCTGTGGGCTCGGCATAGCCCTATGGACGTTATGCATAGACGCATACAGGTCACCGCGACGGAAAGGTTATACAGGGGTCTTGAAAGACGCTGCAGGAGGGGTTGTGCTTTAAAATTCTGAGGATGTGTCCACCAGATGATCTCTTCCTAAAGCCGGATGCGAACACTACACACTCACCGACATCCCTTGAATGGAAGTTCAACTGTCCGTGGACTACCTTCCGGAAAGGTCTGGACGCAGTCAGTGTTTGATGATACTCTTGACATCACCGCAACTCGCTGTAGAGCATGAAAAAGAACTCTCGAGGCCTCGATCGACAACCCGTGGACGACAACTTCGTCTCTGCCGATAGAATCTCGCAAGCTTCTACGTTGCATGAAAACGATGCGCACTTTGTCGCACCTGACGATGCAGGCGAGTGGTCCATCCCACAACCGTCTCGCCAACACATACGACCGAGACGACAATTTCTGTCGAAGGGTATCACATCCCAGGTCGCCAGATCTTTCGTGTTCAACGCCACTTTGTCTCATGCATAATTCCGAACCAGAAGAAAGCGTCCGGCTTGGATTGATCCGTACCGGATGCGCAACACAGTGCTATCAAGTGAACACATGACCTGCATGGCAGCTGATTTCCCAACTTCATGGGCTCAGTCGACACCCGAACATCCAATCTCTTGAGCCAGCCTTGTTCCAGCTGAAGAAATGTGCCCACACTAGCTGGAATGTTTACTCAGTAACGCAGTAGGTAGAGTCCGCCAAGACATAGACTCACTTACCAAGTACTTGCGACTGCAGTTAAGACGTTATCTGTCAACTGTTGGCATGTACGAACAAGATCCAAGGAAATGTACGCTTGAATAGGCTATAGCTCATTCCTCGTGAGCAGAGACATCGAACCATCTCCGGGTTACACAGACATTGCATAGTTTCCACATGAGGCAAGTCGTCGCATCCAAGCCTTGACTTGACTTTTCCATCGCACACTTGCTGGAATCCCTCCTTCGAGAAAGAAAATTGCACCTGGTTTGTCCCGCAAGACTCGGTGCTACGCCAGTGCAATCTTGTTTCCCTGCCATTTGCTCCTTCGAACGCCTCTTGGCGAGCACAAGCCGCCACCAAATAGCCACCCAAACTCTCACGACGACAGACATTTCCCAAACAAATTTGATAGTCGACACCGTCGTCCAAGCCCTGCCGAATAGCTTGACCATGAAACTCACGCAATAAAGCAAAGCGATTACATCCAAGCCTGGAATGAGTTGAATGTACGCGAGGATATGTAGCCGCAGGAGAGCTTCACATAATGGCTGTCAAGTCTGTAATCAGCAAACACAACAAAACATAGCGACTTATTACAATACCAGGCGGGAACACTTACGGCATATGAGTCTGTCGCCTGGATGCTGCACGAGTCTCTATCTGACATGCTATAATCCCTGTCTGACATGCTCCTCTTTGCCCAAAGTAGAAGGTACCGCGGCTCCTCTTCGGGTCAGCTTGTGCTGTCATTCGATATGAAAGGAACAACAAGCTTGATGGCGTGGCTCTATATCACTCATGCAGAGAGTCGATCTCAATGTGAACATAGCGCGTCGCCCGAAGCCTTTGTCTACTCCAGCCACAGCTCTGTTCCGTGTCAAGATGGTATAAACGATCATGGTGGCCGCCAAAGTGTGCTCTTTGACTTGAAGAACATGGCTTACGGTGAGAGTGTAGCAGTGTCGGGACTATCATGTGAGAAGTTTGTGAAGTGAAGCGTAGCGTTGTAAGCGCTGCACGAGCTGAAGAGGTCCTCAAAGTTTTTCACGACAATAATGGTTCAAATCTCGGCCTGCATCGCCGCATTCGCAGGCCTGACATTTGCGGCTCCCTCAGGACTCACGCCTCGAGACCTGGCCAAACCACGCAATGATCCGTTCTACCAAGTTCCGGCAAATATCTCATCCTACTCTCCAGGCCAAATCATCAACTCCAGAGCCACACCCGGCCCCATCGGCGCAGCCCAGCAGTACACATCTGTAGATATCAAAGCCTCCTACCAACTCCTCTACCGCACCACCGACGCGCTCGGAAATGCCGCCGCAGCCGTCTGCACAGTCATTATCCCCGACGAGCCGCAATATGACAAAGTCCTAGCCTACCAAACAGCCTACGACTCTAGCGATCCAAACTGTTCACCCTCCTACACCCTTCAACAGGCTTCCAAACAAACAAGCTATGATCCCCTCTTCATGGTCGCAGGACTCAACCAAGGCTGGATCGTCACCACTTCAGACTACGAAGGCCTGACAGCGGAATTTGTCTCGGGTCTCACTTCCGGGTATGCGACTCTGGATTCCATCCGCGCAACGCTCGCTTCGACAGCAATTACCGGAGTGCTTTCCAATGCCACTACAACAGTCTGGTGTTACTCAGGCGGCGCTCTGGCGTCCGAATGGGCCGTCGAACTCCAACCCACCTACGCAGAAGAACTCCAAATTGCAGGCGCAGCATTGGGAGGTCTAACTCCCAACGTAACAAACGTGCTGCGAAACGTCAACAAAGGAACCTTTGCCTATTTAGCCTTTGCGGGGATCAATGGTCTCGCGGCCGCATATCCCGATCTGGCCACCTATGTCGACCAAGTGCTGGTACCAGAAAGAGCAGCGGCGTTCCGGGAAATAAACTATTATTGTACGAATGATTCCCAAGCAGAGAATGGGTACAGTTTCCAGGATATATCCACCTATTTTGAAGGAGGCTTCGACGCGCTGGACAGTGGCGTTGCGCAGGATGTCATTACCAATGGAGCGACGATGGGAAGGAGGAGTACGCCGACAACGCCCATGTTCGTTTACAAGGCCAGTGGAGATGAGGTCTCGCATGTTGAGGACACCGATGCTCTGGTAGCAAAGTATTGTGCCGCGGGGGCGAAAATTGAGTACCAGCGGAATGACGTTGGAGAGCATGTTAGTGAAGCCATCCTGGGCAGTGGTGCAGCGATCAACTATTTGATCGACAGGATGAATGGTGTTCCGCAAAGGGCAGGATGTCAGACGATGGATGTAACAGTGACGGCGCCACAGAGTGCGAGGGGTTTTACGGCGAATTTTTTGGGGATCTTGAATGATATCCTCCTGGCGCCTGTGACACCGCAGTCGTTACAGGGCATATAGAAGTCTTTGTATTGACAAAGCATCGCTGTCGAGTTTTGCGTCAATCACAAGGCCATTGGGAAGTCTCGTGCGAGCTGATAGTCTTCCTTCAGGCCCGAGGTGGTGTCCATGGCGCCCGTAGTCTCCATAGCGCATCTTCGTGCGTCCGCTGTCGAGCCGTCTGGGATATGCTGATCGGTCCACTGCCACTACCGGATTGCATCGATTGCGATGCCAAATTGTCTTCCGACTCTTGATCACTCTCGTCATCAACTTCAGCTTCGAGTTCTTGCCATGATCTGCTATCCAAGTCAAGCTGTTCGGTGTGTATCGCTTTTACGGTCCACTCTTCATCTGCTTTCTGATTTCTTTGCTCCAGACTGCCCTACACACTTGAAGGACGACGCTGCACACAGATGGAAAGGTTCTCAGGCGGTCGTTGAGCAAGCTCGATAGCTCTCTCCTTATGGAACGACTATAAAGCAACCTCTGCGGATAGTCTTCAGAGCTTTGGTATCGTCGCTTGGGTAGGGCCGATACATGACCAGCTTGTGCAAGATTGGGAAGTCGATTCGTATGTAGCGGATATGGCCTGCGTTCGGAGAGCACATCTTCTCGAGAAGCTGATATATTTGAGTGCGGAGCTCGCCAGAGAGCCTGAACAATCACAGGGCGCAAGTCCCCAACGTTGCGCGCATCCCTGGGAGAGATGAAGATTCTCGAAGCATGGCGCATTCGGCAGGTGACTGGTAAGGACGGCAGCTGATCTTCGTTCATTCGACCGCAGGCTGTAAGTTCGGAGACGTGGCCATCTCATCGGCTGCGAGTTTTGTGTGTGATATCTGGAATGTAGTTGCGGTGCTTCAGTGGTTCCCACAATCGACTTGGAGGTGACGTGAAGCTTGCGGCGCTATCACCACACGACTCGACACCCAACTTTCGCGCGCTTCTCCGACTGTGAAACTCAACGCTCAATGGCATAACAACCACGCAACCGACATCGATGGCGCGCCCAAAGATCGTGCTCGATGACTGGCGCAACCACATCGAGCAATGGGCCCGAGAGGGAGCACGCAAAGAGGAGATTCAACGGAGACTGCAGGAGCAAGCCAACATCCGAATAGGCACGTCTACTCTCTCCACCCATCTACGCACATGGAACGTCCGGTTCAATCGCGCCCCGATCAAGAAGACCGACGGCCTCAAACAGCGTGTCAATGAGCTCTTTCACGAACGACCGAGCATGAGAGATGAAGAGACGGTTCGCGTATTACAGGAAGAAGGCTTCCAGATCAGTGGGACTCGAGCTTTGGCCAGGCTGAGGAGAGAAGGCGGATTGTACAAGAGGGTAGAGAAGGACCAGGAGGAAAGGATTAAAGAGGAGATCACTGAGGCCCTGAGGCTGGAGTTCGGCCAAGACTTTGATATGCCCGAGGACATGGCAACAAGAGATCTGTCTGTGTATCTACGCTCAAAGTACAACATCGTGGGACGGTATGCCTTCCGGCCAGAAGCCTGGACTGGCCGTATGCTTCAATGAGATGCTAATGGCGCAAGCAGGGACCGCATACGTAAAATTGCGGCAGAGCTGAACCCGGACTGGGTGCAGCGACGCAAGCAGAAGGGCCAATTTCCTCGTCCTGCATGCCCAGCGCCACGTTCATATCGAGATAGAACCGCGGCCGAGCAAGGTTCGTTTCCAAGCCATGGCAATTCTGCTACTATGGAGTCTGATATTGACCCGGGAGGCGAAGAAGCCTTCCCAGATATCTCGAGACTGGCTGAGCTGTCAAGGGCAGTGGACAACGATGCACAGCTGATGCCTCAGACTGCGTCTCCTGTTACGATCCCCGGCGAGTTCATAACTCCATGGCTCGATCCGGGTTTGACTGAACCGCCCTGAAGCTACGGATCCGCAAAAGCACACTCGTAACCAAAGCCACGATTGCATCACATCGTCGGCCATGTTCTTTCCATTGTCAAGACGCTCGCTCTGTTATGGATGCCCGACCTAAGCAAGGATCGAATCCATGGCGCGTCGGGTTCCGATCATCCGACAGTGGCGAGAGAGGACTCTCTCTTCTAAATGGGGAAAGGCCGTTGCAACATCGCCACGATGCAGCAAACATCCTCACCGGGACAGATCTCGAAATACATCAGGAGACACTGGGTCCACACGTGACCCAACTCCACTAAACCCCGGATTTCTCCACGCAGATGTGCCCACTCTGCCAAGGCTGGTGAAACCGACAGGGTTTTGGTCTAGAACCGATTGGGGAGGGGAAGGGATCACCGGGGATATGGTAACGCTGTCGCGGCTCTGTGGCTGCGGTTGGCTGCAGGCAGCACGTCAGGGCCAGCTTTACGCGTTCTTCGAATTCGCACCATCAAATCTTCATCCACATGGCGACATCTTCAACAAACAACATGGCCTTCCGACAGACCTCTCCCCTACTGCGACTGCCAGCCGAATTGCGCAACGACATCTTCTCCTACGCCCTTTCCGACTCTAGGCTGGACATTGACAAGCAGTATCACGATGGCGGCACGCATTTACCCGGTCTTGTGCTCGCTTGCAAACAGACCTTGATGGAGACAAGGGTCATGTACTACACCAAAGCAAGCGCCATGAGCAAGGACCGTTGGATTGTTGGCAAATGGCTCGCACGTCTGAATGCTCTGCCGTCGTCGCATCCACACAGGCGAATCGAGAACATCTGTCTCGATTGCCGAAATCGATCAGAACAAACGCTGCCTCTGAAGCTGGGACAGCGATTTGCACTCAGTCATCACAGTGCCTTGGCACTAAGAAATTTGAGACCACGTCTCGAAGAATTGCGTCGGCGCCTCGAAGGAAGCGTCGTTATTATGACATGCATTGTGAGCCCAAGTCAAGAGTTGCTTTGGACCGAAACACCGTTCGCGCTGGATGAAACGATAGAGAGAATGTGGAACGGTAATTTGTCTTGCCCGGCTGGACGTAGAAACGTGACTGACCGACATTACAGAACTGTCTGAGGATGAGCAGAGGACACTGTCGATTAAAGATTGGATGCCTTCTGGTACGGCCGGTCTGTTTTGGAGCTCTTGAAGGGAGTAGAAGGTTAACATCACTGGGCTTATGACCAACCTAGAAAGAGCGAAAACAACAAATGCAGATCTCGGCAGCACCACGTCAATTGCTGTTCGCGGATCAGTCCCTGTGATGCTGGAAACCACATCGAGAAGCTTGTGATGGTGAATGATAGTATATTCACGTGTTAGCGGCGGCTTCACCCGTGCCTTCCGCTTCGGCGGGCCGGAATGCGATGCCGATTTTCCGATTTATGATTTCTTCCAGTCCCTCGAACACACTTCGTGCTCAACCAAATCACAACATCGAGGACTTGGGCCATCAACACCAACATGGCGGCTACGAAGGGCTCGCCACTTCTGGACCTGCCCGCGGAGCTCAGGAATGCGATCTATGAGATGGTGTTTGAAGGCCACATTATTTACGTCGCAGCTCCGAAACCCAAGGCACCCGCACTGCTGCTTTCCTGCCGAAAGATCCACGCCGAAGCGACCGACATATACTACTCCTCCGCGATTGTTTACAGCGAATGGACGCAAGCTCTTCGAGATTGGATCGATTTGCCCACAGAAGGACGAAGAAGACATTGCGCCCTCCTCAGAGACATACGCCTGGACGTCCAAAAGCATCAGCTGTCGGATAAAGCTAAAAGGGGTCACGAATCTATCTATCGCCACTCAATGGAAAGGCACACATGTGCGGCGCAGTTGAGCCTCATATCGCTCCAGACGCGATTGGCGCACCGAAAGCAGGTATCTAACCAGGCCTTGGACCGAGACATCTGCAAAGTGGCCGTCATGACGCCGAGTCTGCGGATGGTCTGGTCTTGCGCGCCATGGGAGACGCTTCGCGCTTTCGAGGACGGATGGAAAGGTAAAAGGGCTCGTCAGTAGCGTGGAGCCGGTGCTAACGTCCTCTCAGCATATGATCATACAGCCCGGGTGAAATGCTCCCCGAGCGAGGTGCTTCGGCAATGGGACGACGTGCTTTCATGGAAGATTATGTGAAACCGTCTTCGCCCGGACATATCTGACAGGACGACGTAATGGGGATCGGAAGGACGTGAAGACTAGCGCGGATCGATTCGTCGGCGTTTTCATGTGCAGCCTTTGCTACAGCGGCATGAGGTTCGTCCTTTAGCAGTAAAATCGACGCGTCTAGCTTCAATTTGAGCACTTGCTACAGTGGCCGGAGGTTTGTCCTTTGGCAGTAAAATCGACGCGTCTAGCTTCAATTTTCACATGCTTTGTACCTTCTCTTTCACATGCCCTAACTGAGCCATATGAATGCCTTCTGATAATCTCCAACCCTCTGTCTCTCTGCTGACAACACACAAACAGAACCATACTCACACACCATCTTCAAACAGAAGTCACCCTGACCCACCAACCCATCATGGCGCCAAAACCAAAGTCCTGGAAGAAAATCAGACGGGCTGCCGCTACCCAAAGGCGCCTCGTCCCACAAGCAGCAGCTGGCTCCGCCGTCGCGCAGCTCTCCAAGACAAGTCTCACAGTAATGGACCATGCCGGCAAGATCATCCGCAACGACGGAACAGCTCCAGCAGGTATGAGGTCGCGCAATGCCCCACAGGATTCCAAATTCCTCGCTCTCCCAGAGGCCGTTCGGAAGCGCATCTACCAGCACGTCTTCGACGGATTGACAATCACCATGCCTCCGAAGTCAGCATCAAATCGGACAGCACGCTACCCAGCACCCGGGATCCTGCTCGCATGTCGACTGATCATCCGCGAAGCCAATCCGGTTTTCTACGCCACTGCTACTTTCTATTTCGTGCCCTGGATAGAATACCGGCTGAAAGCATGGCTCAAGAGGATTGGACCAGGACGGAGAGCGTGGCTGAAGAATATCCATCTCGGTGTGCAACAACCAAGCTGGGGTGATATGGATGCGCCGAAAGAAGTATTACAAGGGCAAGCGCAGGACGGCGAGGCTAAGATTGAGCGGTACCGTCGTGAGTTTGAACTGGAAAGCGGTGTATTGAAGACGGAGTTGTATATTGACGGCACCTTCTGGAGTTCTTCTCCGAAGGAGCTCGTGGCAGCTGCTCATTGGGCTCCGATCAAGTGCTGGCATTGGATCAAGGAGCCGAGTGAGGCAGTGGCGTGTATCCTTAAGAAGCCGTATAAAGCTGGAGGTGAAGTTTGAGTGTTATTCGTGGGAGAGGTCGGGCCAGTGTGGGTTTCCGTGGTTAGCAAGGGGGTAGTACAGCTCGGAATACTCTCGACGCCTCGGTCACATGCAGGTGGTGTGTCTGAATGTCTTCAGCTACAATCAATCTGTATAAGCTTTCTTGCTCTCACTTGGACCTTCTCCATGCTCCATCCTGTGCGCGTAACACTTAATAACATACCTTCCATTCACACGACAGAAGAACTTCCAAATAGCACAATAACAAGCCTACAACGTCTAGTGTGGCACCTTCCAACGACGACCCAAACAGCTTGCGGACGACGCAAGCAGCAAAAGCCATTCGGGAAAGTCGGCGGACCGACTCTAGCTCAACAGAACTCGCAGCTACTCATTGAGCTGCGCAATGGTGTCTCTGAGCTCATCTTTGAAAACGTCGAGGTCCAAGTCCCACAAAGAAGCGCGAGTACCTGGCACGGCCGTTCCAAGGCACCTGGCTTATGAATCGCATGAAAGCAGACTCATGGCGAAGCAGTCGCACGCTACTGTCCGTGGACCACCTTCCGTATCAGATATCGTGCCAGCTATCGCCTGAGGCAATGGACGAACAAGATCGGCCTCGCCCGCACCGCTCTGTTCACAAACGTTCTCGAAGAACCTCGGTACTGGGATCAGCCGAACCAGCAAAGAAATGTTCTTAGTTAATTGGAAACCAACATGCGCAGGGATGCGAGGGTTGAGATGAAGCCAGGCGTTTAGATGTTACGATGCAGGCTCAACACTTTCGTCTGGACTGACAAGCCTGCTGAACTCATCGAAGAGACTTTGAGGGCGGCGACTTTTCTCCAAGGCGGTCGCGGATTGGTCTGGACTTCGTCGAAGCCCCAAAAGGAGTCTGAGTGCTTCTTGGAGTACGCAGATGGTAAGTCGGTTTAACAAGTTCCTGGCTGAGGATGGCCGAATGTGTTCAAGGCTACACGGAAAACCCTTCGGAGTAGCAGCAGGAGTGAAGACGGATGTCTCTGCGCCATGCGAGCTGTTAAACAGAATTCCTTGTTTGCAGTAGCGTCTGACTGATGCTGTCTCATTACTGGCAGAGGCTTCCACCCTCTTCATTGTGGCTTGAGATGCTCATTAGGAAGTCGTGTCGAGAAAGAGCATTATTGGCCTCTTGTGACGCGGGTCGAGAAGAGATGTCTTGATGGAGTTCTTGGCATACATGACGAGTTTCATGTGATGCACAGGGAAGAAAACGTGAGGGAATGCTTGCGATGGGAGGCAGGCAAGCAGGGGACGCGATAATTCTCAAATGCTGTAAGATACCGTAGTGCATGGCTCGTGCGCGAGGATGTACCGAAGAAAGCCCGTCCTCGGAGCCTCCCGTCACTTTTTTCCGTCCTCCATCTCCATCTTGACGACTTCACGTCAATCATCTAGCATACCACCCCCATCTAAGCAATGTCAAAACGGGAAAGCACCGGCGAGGATGAGAGGTCTGTTCCACCCGTCTATGCTCCTACTCGCGCGATCGTCTGACACTCAACAGGCCGCCAAAGAGACCACGCCAAGAACATTCATCTCAGCCTCCTAAAGTAGAAGAGATCCACTTTGCGAGACAGCTACAGGACCTCCTCATATTCCGACAAGATGGCATCCAACAGCTCCGCAATGGGGTTGCTTCCTTTAAGGCCTTTTTGGAGAGCATCTTATATCACAAGGAAGAAGACCATCGCGGAAGACAAATTTCGATTCTCCGCGAGTACCTCGAAACTCAGAAACCTTCAGAGAAAGACACAGAGAGGCCTTTCTTGCCCCAGCTATGGCAGGCGTGGTCTTTTGCCAACCAGAATAACAATGACCACTTGGCTTCGTCAATATCTGCTGTTCTGGCACTCCTTCTGAAAACACTCTCTGGTGTACTTGATCTTCGGGAACATGGTGTTCTTCTTGGCAGAACGGTCCTTCAACATCAACATTTGCGCTTGATCAAGCGGTGCTTGGATGCTCCGAAGCACAAGGACTTTATCATTTCGCCGTCCTTGCGCCTACTCACTGAGGTAACAAGCTTCGATGGAGGAGTCCTTGCCCGACAAGTGTACAAACGAAGAGAGGAGACCTTCGACATCAACAATCTCCGTCGACTATTGGGCGTGGTCAAGCTTGAGTACGTCTACCAAATACCATACAGATCGCGAGACTAACTTTTACTTGCAGTATCTCCGAGGAAGAAGCCCGGCGCAAGCCAGCATTAAGGACCTTGACTCTGCGATACATCTTGACGCTTTTGAAATACCTGCACGAAGGTGGAAAGATAGATGTGTTGAAGAACAAACCTCTGTGTGGCGCGATGTTCCAACACATCCAAGATGACCCTTCTGACCTAGTCGCCGAGCTTCTCAACACTATGGAGCAGAGTATACTCAAGGACGCCGAACTTCCTCGATCCTCGAAAGCTGCACTACTTACGCCACAAAATTTGGAAAGAGTCACATCGATTGCTTCGAGGGGAAATGAGGCTCACAGTGCTTCGGATAGAGCATATGTATGGCTCAAGACAGTGTGCACCCACCACGTCTACGGCGTCTTCAGGAAAAGCGGCTGGTATCCTCCTGGAACAAGCCACCTCAACTCGACCGGCTCCGATAAACTCATTCAGCTCGGACTTGACAGTATTGAATTCTACGACAGCGCCGAGTCCATCAACGTGCGGAATCCAATATTACTATCTTGGATCCAAACTTTGCGGGCTCAGAGCAACGAGCGGGAGAGGGAGCTTCTCATCACTTGTTTCGCTTCGGCGCCTGAACTTGTCGCCGCTTACTTTTCGCAAAAGCCGTTCCAGCTCGAGCCAAAACTGTCGAATACGTGGATTGGATATGCGTCGCTGATGTTTGAGGTCGTAAATCTTCCTGTGCCAGAAAACTTTGGAGACGAGGAAGAAATCCCGAATCTACCACCACAAACCTCCATCGCGGTCGAAAGCATCTTACCACGGCCTTTGAATCGAGGCGTTCTCACACGCTGTTTGAATCAGAGCAGCGGATTGATCACATTCTTTGCTGTGCGGATACTCGTTAAAGCTTTCGAAAAGCTTTCAATTGTGTTGAGCCAGCTGCGCCGTGGACCACATACGGAACAAGCGCTATGGGACGAAGCTGCAGAGAGGCTGCGCGAACGGTCCGATGCGCGTTGCCCAGCGATGAAGGATGTCATCGCTGCTTATCGAAAAATACCAGATGACCACGAGCATGCCATGCAGCGCGAAGCTGCTACAAAGCTAGTGTCTCTGTACTACGAGGTCAGCCCTGTCCAGGCTTTGGAGGAGCAGTTTGATGTTTCAGTTGCACTGGCTACAGCGTTGCGACGCAGCGAGAAAGCTGGTGCGAATGACGAAGAGCTTCGAACATTCAGAGCGCTTGAGCTGGAGCACCTGCTCAACATTGCCCGACACGGGACAAACATGAGATGGTTCAACAAGCAAGGCAGTCTCGAACACCCGCCCTCAGTGGCGCTGCTCAGGATACATCGGAAAGACAAGAGGAACAAGCAAATCAGGTCGCTCTTAGGCCATGTCCTGACCGAGAACGGCATTCTGAACCAGCAGAAAGTCAACGAAGGCCCATCTCCGTTGGATGCACTTGTTGCGAGCACCCTCGATCTCCAGGATGGAAGTAGTGTTTGGGCCTTTGTCGAGGATTGCTTCACCCGATGCGTTCGACAGCCCGTGAAATATGTCGACAGCTTGGAGGCAATTTCAGCTGATGGAAAAGGTTCAATCGAGGGCGTTAAAACCAATCTACCGAGCCTCCTTACTGCTGTCCTCCTTGAACAGGCTTCATTCGTCGCCGCCCAGTCCGACACCGCAGGTAAGGAGAGACAGGCATGGATCGTCCAATTCCTCGGTCTACTCAGCCAGACATCTGACGATTGCGAAATACTGCGACAACTGTCTACACAAGCTACTCAGACCCTTGGTCTAAAGATCAAGAAGGCCGACAAAACGAGCGCGAAGGCACTACTCGCAGATCTGACAATCGAAGAGACCGGAACCAGTGCCGCGGAGGCTGAGCAAACGGTCATAGCAGGAGAGACACCTGTGCAGCTACCGTATGAGCCTCCTCAAAAGGAAGCTAGCAGCCACCCAGAACTTCTACGATGGTCACAGAAAGATCTCGAGCTTGCAATAGAGGACGGTGATGTCGACGCACTTATTTTGGACCTTTGCTCCGAGCAAGTCAGCGTACGAAAGCAAGCGGCTACTCAAATCAACAAGCTCAAATTCCAGCTTCGGGCCGCCACAAGCCAGGAGAACAGTGCCCAGCTTGCTCTCCTTGTCGGCGAGTTAATGGAGACATTCGAGCAGCAGTACACCAATCCTGTCAACCCAATGCCCTACATTGCTGGAACCTTTGCGGTGCGGGCTTTACACGTACAGACTCAGCCTCAGCATTTCATCTACCCCAAACTGAACCACTTCCTGATACGAGGCCCGGAATGGCGAGCCAACACACTACCCAGCTACTGGTTATCCACCACAGTCCTTGACCAACCAAAGGTCGACGACGCATACTGGCGCGAGGCTCAATGGGTTCTAGACTGGCTCGTCGATGGCCTCCGGACCCCCGCTGACCTGGAAATCTTGCGACGAGGCAGCATTTTCGAGAAACTCCTCGGCTTATGGATCTCCCCTGGCGCCGCAAGCCACAAACAAATCCGAGAGAAATGCTTCGAACTCGTATTCCGCGCTTCGTGCGTCGAAAGTGGGAGTGATTTTCTCATCACGAGAATCGGGATCCTGAGCTGGCTGGATATGGTTTCTACTTCTGATGCGAAAGCTGCGGTGTTGAAGGATCGAATTCTAGAGACTTGTGATACCGAGCGAATCCAGGCATGGAAGGGAGGGAGGAAGGCTTCGAAGATTGTATGAAACCCGTCTGGGGTAGAGAAAGTGATGAGCGTACTCGTGACATTATGGGCGACGCTGTATCTCCAAGGTTTAGGACGAGTTTTCGTTCTCATGTCAGCTACACTCGTGTCACCGGATCGAACGACTTGCAGTCCATCCTGGGATGCAATTACATGACCAAGCATCATTGCGTTCTTCTGTACAAAATTTCGATCCCAGCTCCTGTCACCTTACCTCTAAACGCCATGCTTTTGATCAAATCCCTCACCCATAAGAATTCCCACTTAAGTCCCACGCTCGAATCGGAAAGAAACAGTGACGCAAAGAAGGGAAGAACAAGATCCAATCCACTTCAAACTCTCCCCTTTTCCATTCTCACAGCTAGCTATCCTCTACTGCTCCTTAGCCGTCAAAGTTCCTTCATCGCGTCGCACATTCTACCCCATAGTCCGCTTGGGGGAGTTCTGAGCGTAAAGACTCGTATCTTGTCTCACATCTCCAACTCTACCTCCTCTGCATTCCAAAACCAGGCGGCAAACCACCGCCTTCCATCGGACTCCGGATAGGCGGAAAGCCAGGCGGCGGACCACCCATACCTCCGCCAGGCCCGCCAAAGAATCCAGGAGGCGCGTTAGTACCAGGTGGACTCTGCAATCCGTTGCCTCCAAATCCAGGGGGCGGCGGTCCTTCAGCACCCCGGGGTACCTGTTGAGGCTGCTGGCCCTGGTTCTGGAAAATGTTGATGTTATGGAAACCAGGTGGATGGCGAGGCATATTAGGATTGAAGCCTGGCGGAGGCGGACCACCACTTCCTCCAACTGGAGAAGTGAGTTGATGGAAGTCGGGACCGCCAAATTGTTGTTGCGGATGAGCGCCTCCTTGAGGTATTTGCATTTGCGGCAAATTGGGGTGACCACTCATGCGACGGTTGGGTCCGACTCCAATGCCCGGTGGAAGCTGCTGAGGTTGAGGTGGCTGGGGCGGACCATCTTGGAACGGACGACGCATTGCCTGCTGTTGCTGTTGCTGTTGCTGGATGAAGCTAGGATCGTCGTAGAAGCCGGGAGGCGCGCGCTGAGATGTCCGGCGCTGGGGCATGTCTGGCATTCCCTGCATCATGCCTTGGTCTGGACGGCTCTGATCTTGAGGAAAGTTTCTCATCAGCTGCTCTTCGAACATACCGGCAGCTTGTTGGGGCACCCGAGGCTTAGGCGCATGTGGCTCTTGTGGCATAGGAGAGCGGTGCTGATTCTGCAGAAAGCGCTGCAGGTCTGCTTCGGTCATGGCACCGTTGTTAGGCAAAGCTTGCTGCGAGTGTGGTCGCGAGTTGGTCCCTCCATTCGCTCGCAGCAAGTTGAGCAGCTGCTGACTTTCTTGGCTAGGCTGGCCTTGTCGATGCCTCTGTTGCGCGAGTAGATTCTGCAAATTGATCTCTGGAGACGCAGCTCCCCTTGAAGGAGGATCAAACATTTGGAGGTTGTTGCGACCAGACATTGGCCGTGGCTGCTGCTCTCTCAAAGCGTTGAATGGAATACCACTCGGTTCTGCTGGCGTGGCTGCATCGATTCCCTGGGTTCTGGGAATCTGCTGTTCCTGTCGCTGGGCCATGAACCCATTCGCAGACTCGTCGCCCACGTTACGACCCTCGTTGCCAAACATGCTGTCGCCTCCGAAAGGAACGTTGCCTGCCTGTGGAGATTGCGGCGCCGGGGACTTCTGAGCAAACATACTCGTGAAACGGCTCTTAGGTTTCGCGGATGTGCCATTCTGCCCACTGGTCTTCACAGGAAGAGGCGACGAAGGAGCAGACTCTTGCGGCGGCGGCGGCGGCGGCTGCGCAGGTGGCTCTTGTGCAATCTTCGCGGAACCAAGCATCTGCAACACTCTGTTAAACCCCTCTTGTTCTTCGGCTGAGGTTTTCGCCATCGCATTTGCTGCTTGTTGGACCTTCGTCTCCTCAGGAGGTGGATGTGGTGGTTCTTCGGCCGCGGGCTTGAACATGGACGCAAATCGGCTCGTTTTTGGCTTGCCCGTGGTCGGCTTGATCGAGCCAGTCGCTCCTGGCGTGGACACTGGATTCGCTGTCGCATTTCCGCTCCAACCGCTGAAGAGTCCTCCCTCAAAGCCTTCCTGTAGTTTCAAAGGCGCAACGCCGGCTTTCGGCTCAGGTGCTGGAGGCGGAGGTTGTGCAGCCTGCACAGGTGTCTCCTGAACAGGCTTTGCTTCCGGCTCTACTCCCTTGGGCTTCTTATTCTTCATGCTCTCCTTCCACTTCTGGAAATCCTCTTGCGTGCGAGCTCCACTGTCCATATCAAAGCCCAGTTCCTGCTCCTGTTTCGCCAGCGGATCGTTCTCCATCCATTCAGGCTCCTTCTCTGCGTGACCCCTGTCCCCATCACGTTGGTCGCGCTTTTGCTGTTCTCTTTCGCGCCAACCACCTGCTGGTCTGTCACCGTTGCGTCGATCCTCTCGGTTGCTGCTCCATCTCGGATCATGCCTATCGCCAAATCCATTGCGTCGCTCGCCGTCCTCCTTGTCATGTCTGCCGAATCCGCGCTCTCTGTGCTCTTCTCTCTTCTCACGCGCAAGCATCCAGCTATCCCTCTCATGCCTGGCTCCTTCGTTCTCGTTGTTCATACTTTTGCGATTGATGCCGCGGGAAGTTAAACTTGTTGTATCTCCTGAGCTTCGTTCAAAGTCCGATAACTTTGGTACGGTGTTCCTGCTCGATGCAAATACCGTCCTCGGCGGACCAAGCGAAATGTCCTCTGTGCGCACACTCGAATCAGCATCACGAATGATCGTACCATATCTCACAAGGTACTCACCCCTATCTGCTCTTCCTCTACCTCCCGTCATAGTCGGCCGTCCTGTCGAGAAGCTCCCCATGGGACTGCTCTCACTCACAGCGCCTCCCCCCAACCTGCCGCCCTTATTGCTCCCCGGCTGCTTGGCCTGCTGAACACTACCATTCGTCGCATTGTCACTATGAGGAATCCTTAGCTTCTCCCTCACGCCATCGCCATGGTCCAAGTACACATACTCTATCCACTGCTCGATCGCAGGCAAGTTGTCCGGTTTGGCGACGAGCGATGAGTCGCGCAGGAAGATGAGTTGCTCGCGGGTGTATTGTCGGATCGCCATGATCGGCGTCCTCTAGTTGGCTTGTAGCCGTATGGCTGAGGGATATGTGTCGCACTGATAGGTGCGGGCGCAATTGGGGTCGGTGCGGGTGGAAATGCCTCAGTGGGCGGGCGGACACAGGGGCGCTGTCGCCGCCGCCGAAGACGAGTTTTGTCGACTCGGTCTCAGTCAATTCGCTGGGGTTATCCACGTCTTGGGATAGATGTGGCCGTGCTCAGGTCGCAGGGCGCGAGACACCGCCAGAGTCGTCTTTCCGCAGAGCCCTGGAGCGCAGGATAGGAATGGCTGTGTAGGAGGATTTAGCGATTCGTCCTGGATATGTGCACTAGTAATCTTTGTTCAAAGAAGGCGGCTTGAAGTCATGGAGCGCGGCAGTGGCAGGTCGAAGGAGGTGGTGGGTGGATTGAAGGGCGGTGGTGGGTGGAGGTGGACTTGAAGCACGTCGGTCTCGGAGATGGCTAGCGCTTGGGCCAGCACGTACACCCATGCACCCACACACTGTGCATTGTGCTTGTATTTCGAGACCCTGTTCCATTCACTTGAGATGTCCCAGCCCAGCACAAGGGATTGGCGAATCAAATCCGATCAAGCGGATCACATACATCTACTACCCCTGGTGATTCTCTCCGGAAACCAGCAGCATGTGTCACCAACTGCTAATAATTCGACTGGACTGTAGCAGCGCTACATGTATTCTCCGTTCTCTCGTGAGCCATTCCTAAGGTCCTGTCCATCGATATCGATTCCTCCAATTCCCTCACCAGACTCTCATACCCAATCTTCTAAGAATACTCTTTCGTCAATTCATTCTTCTCATTAAGCCATAGACATTCACAGCCTTCAAATCGTTGTTGTGCGCGATGACGTTAGCCAAAATACCTGCACCCTGCCGTCAGTCAAGCAGTCAAAAGATCAATCAGATTGACGATCTCGTACGGGAGATACGCATTCACTGCTCACCATCATCGTCAGTATGCCGGGTCGAACGCTCATCAGAAAAAGGCGACGGGCATACTTGATGACTTCTCCTCGTCCAACTCATCCGTCTCCTTCCAGAAAGCTGTGGGCCCTGCTGGGCCGTGCAAGTCGTAGTCTTTGTCAAACCAGTTGCCGAGGATACCTCTCGCGGACTTGATGCCGCCGACTTGGACACCTTCGCTGCGCCATCGCTCCTCGCCATGGAAAATAGAGAAGCTCGTCCATCGAATTTCGCCCTCCGGTGTTTGCCTCACAGAGCCTAACGCATATTAGTTATTAATGTCACCAGAACCCGTATACTGTACTCGCCTCGTATTCTAGAGTTAGCATTTGGATCCCAGCTCGCGTGCAAGCTTCTACTGGTCCCCCGAAAATGGACGACAGGCAGTCGCTCGCCCTGGAAGTTGCTCCAGTCCATGCCATCATCGTCCTCGTCTTCATCTCCACTTCCTGGTGGTTCAATTCGCGTCACTTGCAACTTGATGCGGATCAGTCGAATAGCTACAACAGCAAACACAAGACGTCAGTTTGGGTGATCACGTACAGTCTCGCAGAGGTCAATCAAACCTTCTTCTATGTCTATTGGCTCGCGTAGCTGGTCGTCGGGAATCCTGTCGCTGAAGTTGAAGGCGTATAGGTCGTTGTAGTCGAGGAAGCAAACCACCCTCATCCAGGAGCCAGTAACCCCGTAGGGATCCTGTGCATCAAGGCTGAGTGCGAGTTCCCGAATTTTGAACATCTCCTCGTCCCGTTCCATCTCTCTTGTTGGGCCGGGGCACGGGACCGACTTGTAGGAGTTCGGCGTAGCCCCAGTCCACTCGTCTTTCCAGATCTGTGGGAATCTTCCTTCACTCCTGCGATAGAATTTGTTCAAGTTGTATCCCAAGACGATCATGATTGCTTCCACCTTTTCCCAATCAACTCTACCACTGCCGTCGTGCATAAAAGGACCCCACAGCGTATCATCCGTGTATTCCCTAAGATCGTACACCTTGCTTCTGGCAAAAGGATGCGTTGTGAGATTTCGGGACTGACTTCGTGTGCAGGCACTAGGGCTCAGCTCCAGGCCCAGATTAGCATGCCGAGATGAGAGGAAAGACCGGAGGGTTCGCTTGGGAACTTCGTCGATTGGAACGCCAAAGAAACAATGGAGCTTTGCGGAAAGTTGTTGCAGTTCCTCGGTGTCAGCAGGTAGTTGCATCTCGTTGCCAGCACGTGCGAAGAGAGAGGAAGAGCAAAGGAAGGTGTCCATGTTCTCAGCGAGCGCTGGAGTAAACTTGGCTCGTAGCAGTTGAATATTGAGGCTTTCGTCTCCGTCAATGTGCGCATTGCCCATCATGCCAATAATCTCGTCGGCCACGAACTTGATGTTGTCCCTCTTGACGGCTCTGTCATCGGTATCGAGTATTTTTTCCATCTTAACCAATCTGTGCAGGGCATCCTCCCAGTCCAGCCGGGAGAGAAGATCTCCGTCCGACCGCTGCTTGTCTTTGTCATTCGCATCCCTACTCTTCGCGGGCGGTTCATCGTATCTCCTCACGTACAAGTCCTTGTGCAGTAGTCTATTGCCTCGGATGTAGCTGTGCAATGCTCGACAGCTCCGGCTGATGGCTGACAAGTCGGCGGGCTCGATCTCAACGAAGATGCAGTGGAGGAGCTCGTTGGAGAGCTCTAAAAGACAAGCCATTGGGTTCTTAGGAGGGCATATCGTTCTCTGGAGTGGTGCTTCTGTCGATGTCACTACTTCTGGCACTGTCTCTACCATGGCTGACGCGACAGGCTCCTGCAATGCTGCTGCCGTCGACTGCTCGGTCGACGCAGCTGTCGGAGCTTCGGCGACGACGGCTGTTGCCATGGTGGGCGGTACAGTTCGAACGAGAGGGACGGGGACAGGAAGAGGAGAATGGTAATGACGGAAGGATAGCGAGGCTTACGGAAGAAGGAGGATGTCTCGGGTTACATGAGATCGGGGGTAGGGATGGAATGGCTTTAATGGCTTTACTTATCGCCGAGCCGCAATCGCGAAGGCGGGCAAGTGGGGCTCTGGGGATCCAGGAGCTGGCTCCGAACTTTAAATATCACTTCATGTTCGCTTCATCAACATCCGGCCCGAAGGACAACTCAGTGGCCGCAGATATCGACGTTGCGTTGTCATATCCGGATCACCATACCGCCAGCTTGACCAAACGATGCAGTACCTCCGACAAACTCTTCGCCTCCTCCATAGCTTCGAGCACGCTAGGAGAAGCAAGAGAAACAGGACAACGAAGACATTGAGGTCCTCAAGAGTCTGTCAGCAAGAGATCGCATGATAGTTTCAAGGAACTGGAATAACCTACCATACATTGCTTGAGGGGATTCCTTCTCTCTCAGTGCGCCGCTCAAGAACGATGCCGTGAAATACCGAGAGCTTGTCTCTTGTGCAGACTTGACGAAGTTTAGGACATGAATGCAGTCTCGGACGATGTGCTGAGGTTAAGAGAGACCAAGCCGGCTAAGGGCAGTGGGCCTTCTACGCTTCCAAAGGGTCTGCTTGACAACTGCCAACATGCTTGCCTGATTCCAGTTCAGCGAGCTGCGGAAGTTACAATTTGACAGCTACTGCTGTTCCGCTGCTGTCCTCTGGTCCCTATCCCAGATGCTGTGATATCTCATATGTTTGTACACTCACTGCAAACCGGCTTTGCTCAGGAATAACTATCACACCACGCTTGATACAGATCACATTATCGAGCACCGAATTCTTACTTTCTTGTCGAGCGGTGAGGCTTGCACCCATCCGGCAAACATATGGCCCTTTCCCTGATACCGTAAGATCAACTTTCGTGTTACTGATTTAATCATTTAGGTGCTGCCTAAGTCTCTATAATAATAGGACTCGCTTTGTATAACGCAACTGGGAGATGAATCAAAACATGCAAATTGTACTAGTAGAAGACAAATCGCGCGAATCACCAAAGATTCGGGTTATTCGGTTTGAGTCGAGACAATCCGGTGATGCATCATCAACCTCAGCTTTGGTGCCAGCACATCAGGCTTCCGAGATTTCTGAAACTCCTGAGAGCCATTCCGGAGCCGAGTTGGGCATACCGAGCGCTGCTGCTCTGTCGTCTCCACCACCAGCGAACGGTTCCGTTTCTCAACAGCCGCCGACTAGTAATCTGTCTTCACAGATGCAAGGAGCTCCTACTCAAGTGAAAAAGGCTCGGGCCACAATAGAAAGGACAGGGCGGTGCAAAGTACGGCTGAAGAATGTTTTCTGGTTGATTGTCAATGCGTGTTTCTTGAGTCTTCTATTCGAACGCAATAGAAGATTTCACGTCTGCATGTCCACGGAGAACTTTGTGGCTATTTCCGCCCTGCTTCTCATCATCGGTTCCAACTTGGAAAGTATGCTCTTGGCCAGTCACTCTGCGTACGGCTTTCTCACGGCTCACTTCAAAGCTACCACATGAGCTCTCACTTCATGTGATCACGCAGCTCTGGTATTCAGAGTTCCGACGAAGGCTTTTCGACTTCACAACCGGAAACAAAATGGAACCAGACATCCGCTGCACATCCTCACCAGCACACTGCAAAATCTGTTCCTCAACAAGCGACACAAACACCGATCCCTGCAATCACCTCGCCATGTGTGCTTCTTCCCGAAGAGCCCAGATTAGGCTTCAAATCGACAGCAGCAGCACCAACCCCGAACAGAGTCATTATCAGGAAGCCAAATGTCTCATCGAGGGCGACCTTGCCGATCTTTGCGAGAAGTATGGGATTGAAGGAGTCCGCGCTGCGGGCTTGGACTTTGTCTTGGCTTGGAGAGCTATGGAAAGGCAAGGATGTTTTGGATATGAGAAGCTTGTGATGGAAGAAGCGGAGGATGAAGGACCAAGACGTGAGTTGAAGAGAATGATTCTGGGCATTTTCGAGTGGTGCGGTAGTGGAGTGGCCGAGATTTTTGGGATTGAAGACGGGTTGCTTTCAGTTGGAACGAACAATGGAACAGCAAGGGATAGTAGAGAAGATGCAAGAGCAACGGATCGAGATTACAAAGCGAAGTGGAATACCGGTATCGAGGACTCTATGGAAGATGTCGTGTGGAGCAGAGATGAGATTATAGAGGATGAAGGCGATAGTATGGAGGATGACAACGAGAGGGCCGACTTTGTAGGTCGCCCCAGCTTCGACCTGTCCTCCAGTCAGATTGGAAAGGCAACGGAACTTGAACAAAACAACGACGACATGAACACCGACGATGCCGAGCTCTCTAAACTCGTAAAACAGGCCTCAGGAAACCCAGAGCTGGACGTCAAACAAGAGTCAGGAGAACTCGTAAGGGATCTCCAAATGTCACCGAAGACTGTTTCATATTCGGCCATGTCTGGTGGCCCAGAGCATACGACTACGACAGAACGTACAAAGACCAGTGAGAAAACGACATACTCAGGCCGAGTCGTGACGACAGCATATACAACTACTACTATCCGGACCATTACCGTAACTCGACTCATGAACGCAACATATGAACCTTCCGCCAATAAACTTCCTCTCAACCAGAAGGCTATCGCGCATGAGAGCAACGAATTTTTTGATAATTTCACAAAAGAGGAAAACAAATGGCTTGAAGAACAGGTGCGAGCGAAGAAACCGCACTGGGAAACTGCAAAGGAATTCAACCTCCTTTTCACGCCATGCAGAAGCCACAAGACAATCCACACTAAGCTTGCCAGACTGGGTCTTGATACGAAGACTGTTCGGGTCACGTGGCCACAAGAGCAAGAGGCATACCTACTCGATTTCATCAAAAGTTCTCGCGGGATCAGAGAGCAGCTGGAAGCCTTTAATACCTACTCCTCCAATCAAGGATGGCCCACTCGAACTTTCAAAGCGCTCGAGACAAGACTGCGCGATTTGCAAGGACCAAAGTCGGCTGCAAGCGCCTGGACCGTGGAACACGACGAGTACCTATGGCAACTCCTACAGGCCAAAGGCTCTTCTGGTCAGCATATGACGGCTTTCAATGCTCACGCTTCCCAAGAAGGATGGCCGATTCGATCGCGCGGCGCTCTTAGCAAGAAGATCGCCGCGTTGAAGCCTCAAAAGGTCGATCAACAAGCGCCCGCATGGACCTCGGGGCCAAAGGAACAGGAGGAATATCCGTCTGCATCTTTAAGAGATGATTGTTCTTTGTCTGACCTCGGGAAATCAGGTGGATCCACATCGAGTGCCGCATGGCCAAAGGCACAAGAGGTGTACCTCATCGAGACGCTCCAGGACGACTGCGCTGTCGATGACCAGCTGGGAGATTTCAACGCTCACTCTGAGGTGCAAGGTTGGCCGTTGCGAACCGGCAATGCTATTAAAAGGAAGCTGTACACGTTGCGAGGCCCAGGAAGACACATCCCAAATTCTTGGCCCAAGGGACAGGTGGAGTATCTCGCTCGCAACATGCGAGACGATGTTCCCATACGCGTGCAAGCAGAAGCCTTCAACACCTATTCTGCGGCCCAGGGTTGGCCCATCAGGACTGTCAATGCATTAAAAAACAAGATGCCTCAGCTGAGGGTGAAGGTGAGTTCTGACAACTAGGAGTGATGACACCATATCAGCCTCCCTGAGATTTGGCGATTGATGATGTAGGTTTCACATATAGCCTAGAACTAGTGCCAAGATACTCAGAGAGACTGCACTTCTGCCCTCCTAAAGCCTGAACATCTCTCAACCCAACACGCTAGCCCTCCTCGCCGCCCTCTCCGTCCACTTCTCTGCCTTCCTCGCAGCCTTATCCGCTTTCTTCTGCTGCTTTCGCAACTTCTTCATTTCCCTCTTCGCTTCTTTCTCCGCCTTCCTCGCCTCTTTCCAGGGCCTAACCCTTTCCACATCATCACCCGCCACCGAGGTCGGAGGCGTGAGGATGGTAGCCGAAGACCCCGACGAATATCCCCCCGAGCTCAAAGAATCCGAGCTAGTTGCTTTCTCATAGCTTGGTGGTGGAATGCCAACATTGTCCAGGACTTTCGGGTTAACGTTTTGCAGGCGATGAGCATCTGGATTTGGTGGAAACTCGTTGGGGCTGATCGATTGAGGTGATATCGGAGCTCTTCCTTGTCGGCAACCGCGGCATGTCCAGCACATCTTGTAGTAGTGATTTCGTGCTTTCGAGAGGAGTGGAGTCTTGTTGATAGGAAGGTGTCTAGAACAGTATCGTTCTCCTGCTGCTGTTCAGACTGGTCGACGGTAAGAATCGAACCTGCAGTCTTCTTTGTCTGATTGAAGAATGTTCTCGGTGTCTCCCCTTCAACATGCGTGAGAATGGGGAAATTATGTATATCTTTGATCCTGTTGCCTAGAAAGCAGGAAGTGAGGTCACGCCTCAGCCGAACTCAAGTTGTGGATCGATCATCTTCTTCCGAACGTCGGAAGGAGTTAATGGATTGCTCAATGTCACAAGTCGCAGTGCGAAGTCATTGTTATATCAAAACACAACAGATGTGTGTTCTTCCTTTTGATTTGCATGTCTTGTTGAAGGCGCTGAGGTAAGCAGCTCGCAAAAACGGCCCAATGCGGTTAGGCGTTGGAAGAAGGATCACTAGTAACTGGTTGGATAGAGCAGGCTGCCATACTTAGCTGATTGTAGTATTTGAATTCCTCAAGGGTTTAATCAGTAGTCGTAGCTACACCGCACTCGTCCAGAGCGTTGCTTATGATAGGTGAACCGTCATCCGCTGGTCCGTCCGCCAACGTCTCTATGTACTTCTTTGGCAGCACGTAGTCGTCCAGTACAGGCTTGAAGATCAACGGATACTGAGCTGAGAGAGAGCCGTAACCCACCAGATACTGTCATTTCCAACACGGTCTCGAGGCCCAGTCAGTCAGTCCTCCATCGAGAGCTTACGGAGCTCAGCGATCGAGGTCATATTGTGAGGATAGATGTGATTCTGTCCGAAGTCAAGCGCGTCTTCCATGGTGACATACGAGGCGGCCAAACCAGCAAGTAGCGTGTCTCGTGGATAGCGAATGCCAGACTCGGATATGGCGCCGTGGAAGTAATCCTGGAACAAGTCGCTGTTGATCGCATGATAGACCCATAGACTAGAGAAGAACGAAACGAACGAGGTGTTCTCTCGACATTGCATCTGGTCATGAGGATGGAAGCAACAGATTCTGATTGGCTGATGTGTGACGAGATGCCTCGGCACTCTTGTCTGGTGGAACAGCCTTTCACTACCAAGTTGCACCTCTTCTACACCCCAATCGAGTGCTATGAAGTACACCAGCCGATACCTAGCCTTACAGCTGTCGAACGAGAATATCCCCATGCCAATCGTGTCGTTAGAGAGCCCGGAACCCTTCCACATCATGCATTCGAGCGGATTCGCGCAATAACACTCCCACCTCCCTCGATATCGACATGTCTTCCTCCTGGACCAGCAGCGGCGCAGCTGGCCGCGATGCCAACCGGGAACAATCAGACATCGCCATCGTCGGCTCGGACCTCAAGATTGTTGACTCGGAGCAAGAGCTCCTTGAACCCTACGCCAAGTTCCGCGAAGAGCCAATCAACGCCCTCCAAGAACTAGGCCTCCATGTCCTGGGAACAGCATGGCGCTCCTACGACAAGATTCTCGGACAGGAGATCTTCTACCCTGGCTTCTCGGAGCAGATCAAGGAAAAGGTGCTCAAGCAGCCCAAACTGAGGGAGAAGATACGCGAATTGGCGAAGAAGAGAGTGGAGGTGGAGTTGGAGCAGGGACTGCTCGGCAAGCTGGGTGTGGACGGGGAGAACGATGAGGACAGAGGAAAGAGATTGGCCAGAAGGACCGAGATCGAGACACAGTTGCTGGGCGTTGCTGAAGATTGGACGGATAAGATGATCTGCAAGATGGATTCTCGCTACTTCATCCGTGGAGCATACTACCTCGCGACCCAACTTGTCACCCGAGCATACCATCAGGGAATACACGTCAGTTCGAGCGAAGTTCTGCAGTTGCGACAGGTTGCGGAAGATGCTGCCAAGAAGAAGCAGAGCATCATCTTCCTACCATGTCACCGAAGCCATGTCGACTACGTCTCGTTGCAACTCATCTGCTACCGCCTTGGACTTGCTCTACCGATCGTTGTTGCTGGAGACAATCTCAACTTTCCGCTGGTCGGACCTTTCTTACAACATGCTGGCGCCATGTGGATTCGGAGGAGCTTTGGAGATGATCAAATGTACACGACCCTTGTTCAGAGCTACATCGATACCCTCCTGCAGAATGGTCACAACTTCGAGTGTTTCGTGGAGGGTGGCCGGAGCCGTACCGGCAAGCTTCTGCAACCGAAGTTCGGCATTCTCAGCTTCTTGCTTGAGAGTGTGCTCTCTGGTAGAGTAGAGGATGCAATTGTGTGCCCGGTCAGTACACAATACGATAAGGTCATAGAAGTCGACTCCTACATCAGCGAACTTCTCGGTCAGTCGAAGAAGAAAGAGGATTTGGCTTCGTTTCTCTCGGCATCCAACGTCCTAAGCTTGAAGCTGGGCAGAGTCGATGTCAGATTCCACAAGCCATGGAGCCTGAGGGAGTTCGTGGAAGCACAAAGGGCGAGATTGCTGCAACGTAGTCTTGGAGAGCCCGACTCTGGAAGTACACTTAATGAGACGACATTGAAGAGAAGCTTATTGAGTACGATGGGGTACAAGGTGCTTCTGGAGATCAATGAGGCATCTGTGATCATGCCAACAGCTCTCGTGGGCACTGTGCTACTCACTTTGAGCGGTCGGAGTGTCGGTCGTACAGAGCTTCTCCGGAGGGTTCTCTGGCTGACTGACCGGATTCGGAACGCTGGCGGAAGAGTCGCTCATTTCGCTGAGAGTACGGTCGAAGGCGTTGTTGACAAGGCTCTCGGCGTTCTTGGACCTCAGCTGGTTGGAAGGATAGAAGATCTGCCGGAGGAGATGTACTACGCGGAGGATCGCTTCCAGCTGTCCTTCTACCGCAACATGACTATCCATCTATTCATCTCGCAAGCACTGGTCTGCGCGTCGATGTATACAAAGGTAAAGCTTGGCGGTGGACCGGATAAGGAGAAGATGAGTTACAAAGAGCTCTATGACTACACTTACTTCCTCAGTCAGCTGTTCCGAGCGGAGTTCATCTTCCCTACAACACCCTTTGAGGAGAATCTGCAGTCGACTCTGACAAGCTTGGTGAACGACAGGGTGCTGTCCGTCTCCCACAGCGAAGACGGCAAGATCGACACCATCTCCATTCATCCGGAGGAGCGAGCTCTTGACCTCGAGAATTTCGACTTCTACAACTTCCTTCTGTGGCCGTTTGTTGAAGCTTCTTGGCTTGGAGCAATCGCGGTATTCATGCTCGCTCCTCCGCCAGCGCATGCAAGCTCGGAAGCTTGGCTGGATCTGAAGACTTTTCAAGATAAAGCCCAGCTGCTAGGAAAGACCTTGTACCACCGCGGTGACTTGGTATACTACGAAGCTGTCAACAAGGAATCTCTCAAGAACGCAATTTCCCGATCAGAAGAAGAAGGCATCATCATCGTGACCAAGCCTACCAAGGACTCAAAAGCTCCTCAGCGAGTGAGGCTGAATTCGGAATGGATGCCGAGCAGAGACCGAGAAGGCCGTTTGATTGCGGAACGAAGACTCTGGGCCTTCTGCGAATACATTAATTTGAGCAGACGAGACGGCGAGGGCACAAAGGAAGGCGCAACGGTACGTAGGAGGATTTTAGGCCTGGCGAGTGTGGTTGGCGAGGAAATGTTTGAGGAGGCTGTGAGTGAGGCCAATGGTGTACAGACTACGAAGATCAGGAGAAGACAGGGAATCAGAACCGGGAAGGAGAGTAGACTGTAGATACCCCAAAGCTTGAGTTGTTATATACAGGCGTACATGCATGTGAGTTCGATATAATGCTTGGCTCTGCTACGCTAACTCAAATTAGACGTCACACCCCAATAACATCTTGCGCTTTTTCTTTCTTGACTTCACATCACAGACAATGGAGATTTGGTCAACAAAACACTCATCTATCCGGCTCGCCGGATCTCGGCAACCCTAAACGATCCTCCCCTCATTCGCGCAGAGCTTCCAATGCAGACATCAGTGTCTTGAAGGAACTTCCGGGCATAGCAGGGGATTCTAAAGAAGGAACGCATCATCCGGACTTCGAATGGCACGAATACGCCCATGGTCGTCCTACTACGCTCCTAATCGAGGTGCACGGCACGGATTGGAGCAACATGTCGAATTCCTCTTGACAGCTGGAGCATCTGCCAATAGAGTTGATCTCGAACGCTTGAAGAGGTACGATGAAGAACGCTTTGCAAGACATCCCATGGAGAGGAAGCGAGGGTTTCGAGCAGACATCAAACATTTGTTCAGAATTCTAGTCCTTCTGAGGAGCAGTCGATTGTTGTACCGCTTTGAAGACGAAGACTCCCAGGACCGAACCGGGAGGACGAACCGGATCTGCTCTGAGCCGATCTTTTCCATTTGTCAGATCCATGAGCCGCAGTCGAGCATGGCCATTGACTGCCCTTGAGGTAGCCGCTTCTTGTGCAGATGTTCGAATTCCACGGGCGATCCTGGATCGAAAGCCGGAGATGTCTGCTCGGACGGCATCGTCTACAGCAGAAACAATTTCGAAAAAAGTCTCTCGCTATGCCCCTTCGCCTCTCATAGCAGCTATCCGACACGGCGAACGAGACGTTGTCGACTTCCTGCTTGACAACGAACGACTTTCATCCCCACGCTATGCAGCTTTCCGCCCCTACCGCGTGCATCTAACTCCCCATTGTGGGCGGCGGCTATGTATCAGCAACACGAAGTCCTCGACAAGCTCAGCCGCATCCCCCCCCCCGAGACCAGCTCGCTGCACGTACGCCGGTCTTCGGAGCGAATCTCGACATCGAAGCGCTGAAGATCATCGGCCAGTAACGCGATTCGAGATCCCCTACCCTCCACCCCCTTTACGACCACAACCTATTTATTCTACATCGCCTACATGCCCTCGAATTGAACCATCCATCGATCTCTCCTCCCAAAGCATCATAGTCTGGCCTCCACGACGTCCAAACACTACCCCTTACACCTGGAAACCTAAACGACTCGAAAGTCCGCGATCTGCACGCCCAATAATGAAACGAGACCCGTTGATTTCGGACCTTCAGATTTAAAATTTTCCACGAGCAAAAAGATATTATTTTCTATATTGCTGAATTTCCGTACACACCACTTTTGCGTCGTACCGTACCGTACCGTACCGTACCGCACCAAGAACCATAATGCTAAAGATTCATTGACGGAGATGGTGGAAAGGGTTTGAAGTTCGATAGCCATAATGCATAATGCTAGCTAGCGCCTTCGGACTTTCCATCTTTGTTTGAAAAACGAACATTCAAGCAACCTGGACATTAGACATCCATCGCCAATGTGCCTTCTTCTCAACTGCACTGCACTGCACTTCTACCCTCTCTCTCTCTCTCTCTCTCTCTGAATAACTCTCAAGGCAGGTATGCATAGATACATGTACACACACTCCGTTGGGGACTCCCCATAAAAATTTTCTCGCAAATCATCAATCACCACCACCCTAAAGCGCCAATATGAGCTTTGGTTTCAGCATGTGAACGCCACGCGACGACACTAAGTAAGATAGGCAAAACTTTTGGGAAATGTTTACTTTACAGAACTACAGACAAAAAAAAAAAAAAAAAAAAAAAATTCTCTTCTATAGAAAAAGGTCTCAGATCTAGATATCTAGATATTGACGGCATGATTTCGAAAAGAGGAAAAAGCCGCAAAACCCTTCCTCAGAAACCCGAACAGAACCCACCCATATACCTCACCAACCAACCATCCATGGGCCTCCACGGCCGCAACGGTAGCCCTCTCCACAAGCGAGCTGTCCGAGGAAATCCCTCTCAATCTCGACGACCAAGCAGCCCTCCTCTCCCAGCGCCTTTCCCAGAAAATTAAAAAAGTCATCATCCATCTCCAGCGCATCAACGGATGAAGAGAGACCATATTGATGGAAAACCACAAGAGCGAAGATTCACGTGTGGACACCGATGACTGCACCAGACGGACGGCAATGCGAAAGGCATGTATGTACTCGGTCACGCCTGCTCGTGTCAGTGGCAAGAGGAGCAACGCAATTAGCAGAAGGGAAGAATGCCCGGAAGAGGACACCAGCATAGCAGGTTGATAGCAGTTTGGAACAAAAGTACTGACAAAATGCCCAGCTTCGCAATGATGTCCTGAAATGCCTTTTGGAAAATGATTCTTGTCTTCACAGATGACGCCTTCAGACAGCCTTTGCCTCCTCACCGTTGTAACTTATCCGCCAGTGATGTTTTTGGGACATTCTGGGATCCTCTTCGTTAGCGGATTGGAATGCTCCCGGCATACCCTGCTGTTCTGCTGGCCCCAAAAGTAGGGTTCCGACTTGGAGGAATAGCGTATCCGGTGCCAACTGGCTGCCGACTCGTCCGGATGTTGGCACTCATGCCTACCCCAGCCTGCGGGCTACGGTCGTGACTTCCCGCGCGGCTTTCAGTACGATATCCAGGAGGATCAGCGCCGATGCTTTGACCATTCGCAAAGCTCTGATTGTAGTGTCCAAACGTAGGCTTGGTGTATTGCTGGGGAAGGCGTTGTCTGGGTTGTTGCGATGGACTGATGGTCGGCGCACTTTCTGTCCGATGGTCAGTACATGCTTCGACCGTTCATTCGTCCTTAAGCTTACGAGCAATGCTTAGTCCAGCACGACTTCCAGGCGGAGGGTATCCTCGATCTCGATAGCCAGCACGCGGGCCCAAATTCATCCGCGGGCGACGGTTTTCACTACCACCGCTTCCGGTACTTCCATTGCGACGCGTCCGAGTGCCTCCTCCTTGATGCTGTGAGGCTCGGGCTTGGCCATCTGCAGCTTGCGTACCTTGCAGGATGTTCTCCGCGTCCTCCTCGACAGCGACCTCAATCCCAGAAGCCATCTGGACTTGCTTGAGCTTTCTGTACATGTTTTCGAACTGTTGCGCAGACTTGCTCCTCTCCTTGCACTTCGCGTCGATGGACTGGACTTTCTCTTGCAACGCAGCGTTGTCTTCGTCCATAGCTACAGCACCGTCAGTTATGCTCACCTCGACACCATAGGCCTCTAGGTTGACTAACCTTGCAGCCTCGCACGCAACTTGTTGTTCTCATCATTCGCCTCTCTCACCACACTGTCCAGATGCGCCGTGAGAGAGTGATATCTCTCCGTCAATGTTCTCGCAAGATACTCTTGATAAGTGATCTCCTGAGCGACCTGATACGCCCAAAAGCTCAAGCCTCGCTGGGCACATTCCATGATGACGGTAGGGCTAAGACCGCTGAGGATGCTGGTCTTGTAGTCTTCGGTGGGATTCAGGAGCGTAATGACAGCATCGTCCGGGTTGAGGAGGTATGTGGAACATGCTGGACACTTGCGCTGGCCGTCTTGAGGTGCTGTGAGATTGAGGCGGTCGGCGCAATGGAGACAAAAGATGTGACTGAGAGTGGTGAGCGTTGTGCTGACACCGAGTGCGCAGTACCTACCTGCAGGTCGTAACCACCGCTCGGTCATCAACAATCGCACGGCATTTCAAGTCGTTGCAATGAAGCGAGGTGTCCATCTCGATGGCTGTTTGGCGTACGTCGACAAGTGTGGTAGGTCTGGAGGACAGAGTAATGTCGATGTCGAGGCCGGGAGGGAGGATAGCGTTGGGCGCATGTGAATGCTGACCAAACTTTTCATGGAAAGTGCAACATCTGAGGATATCCACTTGCGTCGGCAAACGCACTTTCCTCATCGCCAGTCAGGGAAGGAGCATTCTGGAGCAATCGTCCGACCGATATATAGAGTTCTTCTTTCATACAGGCTGTCCGATCTTACAGCATAAAATACATTCTTGACCCAATCCAATGTCAACATCTTGGCCGATCATTTCCTCCTCATTGTGTTGTTGGACAGGGAGAGCGAAGGTCTGAAGACAAGGCGGCCGTCAGGATAAGTGAGTGATGTCAACAATCAACTCAAAACGTGCAGAGAAGCAGGTTACAAAGGGATATCTTTCACAAAACAAACAAAACCTTTCCAAATTGCCAATCACACAAGTCCAATATCTTGCGCCTGGTAACTCCTTGCGGCAGGCTTTTCAAAACGTCGTCAGGGAGGCACGCACAGGAAATCGGGTCCAAGATTTCCGGTGTGCGCCAGCGAGTCAATGTGCACCCTCGGCCGGCTGGGGACGCTCGAGGCCGGCGGGACTGAATTTGGTGACCGGCTCTTCTGGCACTTCCTCCAGCTGGTGTCCGATCTGCTCGTCATCGAACACCTGAGTCGGCACCTCGGGAATGTCGTCCTCGCGGTTCTTGTAGCTCTGTAGGCTAAACCTCTGCGGCGTCACAGCCGTGCTCTCAGAAGACACCGACATCGACGTGGAGCTGCGATCGTGGATGAGATCCGGCGTGCCCGGGATGGTCGAGGTACGCTTCGGGTGCAGATATGAGCCGGTGGTGCTGCCAGCGCGGTCACCGAACTCCGACTCTGAGCCGTTGCTGATATTGTCGTTGTCGCCATCCATAGAGCTGCCAGAGAGATGTTTCTTGGCTGGGCGTTTACCTCTCTTCTTGGAGGACTCACCCTTCTGCTCGTCATCGCCATCGGATGTGGTGCTGCTGGTGTCGGCACGGCGCGCAAGGTCGAGGCCTTCGACAGCAGCGGCGCACTGCTCCGAGATGTTGCGGATGATGTACGTGATGGCGTCGGTCTTGTCTCGGAGGTGCTTGTCTGCGACATCGAGACTGAGGTCAGAAATCCGCTTGCGGCTTGAAGTCGTTCGGAGACGAGCTTCGGTAGCTTGAGATGGGTCCTCACCGTCGAGGCGTAGCTGAGATAGCCTTGTGCTTGATCGCGAAGTAGTCTTCTTCGCGTCACCCTCATCCTTCTCGCTTTCGGCCGTCTCATCCTTGGCGGCATTCTCCTCGACGTCCTGGAAGTCGTAATCGGAAGACTGGCCAAGTTGCTTGACAATGTGCTCCATGTGGTGCGATTGACCCTCAATCAGGGCTCGAAGGTGTAGGACCACCCTTTGGGCCTCATCGCGCTGTCGAAGAAGTGTGGCATTGGTGTGCTGCATGGCCGAGAGATCTTTCTTGTTACGCTTGCGTTCCCGTTCGAGTTCCTCGGCAATTTCTTGCTGCAACACGAGCGCCTCGAGAGCATCGTCGCGCTGCTTTTCAGTGCCAGAGAGGCGAATATTCAATCTTGCGTGGTCATCCTTTTGTTGGTCAATCAATGAGGTGAGCCTCCTGTTTTCTCGCTTGTGGCCTTCGATCTTGACCTTGAGCTCATTGGTCTCTTTGGTGAGTTGTTCAGCAAAAGCTTGGAACTTGAGGAATTGCTGCTTCCAGCTCTCAAGCTCCTCCACGAGGAAATTGTTTCTCTTCGTGACCTTTGTGAGTTCGGTGTCCATGCGTCCCTTGAGATTGATGAAGTCCTGCCATGCCTCCTGGGCGTCGCGAGAGTATTGGTTCCGCTCTCGCACAATCTCGTTGAGGTGTCTCATCGAGACCTTCGTCATGAGCGTCTTCTTCTGCGAGCCTCCGAACATGGCCTTGACTCCGGTGTTCTTGCCCTGTGAAAGTTGTTAGCAAATCCAGTCGAGGGGACGGTGAGTGTCTACTGACAAGCTTCTCGCAGGCTCTGTCCACGACCCTCATGACATCCTCCTGGCTCCACCACCCTGGGTCTTGCACACTTTCGACCTCACCGCGCATCACGATGATCTGACCAGCTGGAATCAGTTTGCCGCCTCCGTAAGCTGATCGCAAATGTTGAGGCACTCCTGTGGGAGCGACGTCGCCATGCAGAGCTTGCGTGATGCGGGTGATGAGCTTCTGGCGCTGCTTTGCGCTCCAGGCTGTTGGCGGGCTGGAAGTGAGAACAAAGTTGCGGTCCAGGTCGACGACCAATGCATCCGAAGGTGCAGTAAAGAGCGTGCGGCACTCGGCAGTCATTCCCAGAATGTATGGGCCAGGCTCCTGCACCAGCTCTTTCGCATGACGAGCGTGAACCAATGGAACGTAAAGCCCACTCCATTCGTAGACGCGAACCATGCAACGGATGGTCTCGCTGGCTACTGTAAGCATGGCCGGGTAGTGAGAGATGAAGATGATTCGGCGGGTCGGTGAAACGGCTGCCTCCAGGACTCCGACGATGTTCGGGATAGACAAGCAGCAGAACAGAGGCCAGAGAGCAAAGTTCTGGAAGCCATTTGGGTTAGACGGAAATTGGTAGCAGAGCGCGTAGTCCTTCATGTCGATACGGACAAGGTCGTTGAGTCTCGGCGCTGGGAAGCTCAAGATGCGCGAAACCTCCTCGGCGTGGAAGAGATTTGTGGCCTTGTTCCAATGGATCCACATGCCACGGAGGTAATCGCCAAGCAAGTTGTAGAGCGGATACCTGGACAAGAAGGACAGGCAATATGGAATCCAATATGTCTCACCAGGCTGGTCATAGTAGTCGGGCTCGGTGCGCTTGCGTAGGTCACGAATTGTCTCGGCGCGCTTCTCATCGGCGCGCGACCATACTCGCAGAGCAATGCCGTAGAGGGTATGCGAGGAGTCCTGTTGCAGCACGAACGCATGGTGCACGCAATGTGGTTGGCTTGTTCCTGTGCAAATCTCTACGTCGTGAGGGAAGCAAGCCTGTAAAAGTCAGCATTGGCATCTTTGCTCCCGTGTTAATATGTATCGGTCCCTACCCTCATTGCCGCATGAAGGGACCTCGCAATGTCGTTGTCATGCTCCAATCTGGGACTGCTTCCCAGAATCTCGGGTAGCCAGAATTGTCCGACAGCACCTTTCATGTGTCCGATCTTGCCCTGAGTCGGCACTGGCGCCTTGACCCATTGCGAAGGTTCTCTACCCACACCGCACACCATGTAGGCATGGGTCAGAGTCTTTGGGGCGCGACTGCCGGTCTTGGGCTGCGGCATCGCGCCTGGCATTGGTTGTGTGATGCGCGAATGCAGCGACGAGGTGCGATTGGGAATGGCGAGGTTGTTGTCGTCGTCTCGGCTGATGGGACGATGGGACTCACCAGAGCGAGGTCGTGAGGTGAAGGATGGAGCCATGATGGTCGCAATGCTGTGGTGGAGTCCGCTCAACGATTGGGGGGGGGGGGAGATTAATGGTAATCTGGACTTTCGCTTCGTGCCCAGTGGGATAGCTCGTGGAATAGCTCGCCGACGGCGCAAAGACGCCCCTGAGGCTGGCAAGGTGGTCAGGCAATGCTCACGTCCAGGAGCCGAAGAGCGGTGCCAGTGCCGGAAATACCGATGCCTCCCGCAGGCCTGCTGACGATGGTGATGGCGAGAGGGAGCAGTGGGAGGTGGTATAAGCGAAAAGCTCGGCGTGGGCGGTGGAAAGTGGGCGTGGTGGTATTGATGAGCTGCTTGTGCTCGGAGTCTCCGCTGGCCTTGGTGAGGGTGTTCTGAACCTTGTTGCAGCGACTCCTGGCTCTTGTCCGTCCACGGCTAGCAGGGCTTCCAATCGCGCCTAGCGCTGCACGAGGTGCATAAGACCGTACTGTACAGCGCGGGTGGGTTATCCGGATGGAGTGCCCGATCGAGCTACGTCGGCTTGCAGCCTTGTCGAGCCACGAGTGGGAAATGAAGGATGACCAGCTTAGCTCACTTTCTTATTATACCGCGCGCGCGCAGAGTACAGTAGAGTGGCCAAGACGGTGGCTGCAGGCAGGACGCTGTTCTTTTGAACGCTCCCAACTGCCCGGCGGCTGTCCCCGAGGCTGTCCCCGACCGCTGCCCGACCGGGGATCGCGCGGTACCTCTGACTTGGCCCCGCGAGCCTGCTACTGCACCTGCGATTCATGTCCGGCCGGGTAAGGAGTCGGGTACAGGCAGAAGCAGCTGTAGTACAGTAGTTGTACACCACACCTACCTTATTACACCTTCTTGTTGCAGCCGGATGAACAGCCCATCCGACGGCTCCTGAACTCTCGCATACCATACCGCGCGGCGCGAGGACAGCAGCGATCTGCGGGTGCGGGTGCTGGTTGGTGTCATGTGGGGCGTGTTGGGGTCGCCCAACGTGTTCCCTCTCGACTCGTGGGCAGACACGACCCGTCTAGACCTAGACACCCATGATGGCCGTATCGAGTGTGGAAGGGTCTGGAGAGAGAGGTATCATCAGTGTTTGACGGCGAGTGGCACACCACCGAATATGCACGAGCATGCAGAACCTAATCGCTGCAGCGTTCCTGCCACAGTGTGAGCTCTCTCTCTCACAGGCTCAGCGGTGTTCCTATCGGCCCCGGCCCCCCAGTCCGAACTTACTTGCTGCCTCTGCGTCTCATGATGCGTAGCTCGTGCAGCACCTACGCCATGCCTGCAGTAATGATGATGAGCTGTTGCCGTGCCAAGGCAACACAACACGTCCCACTCTCAATTCAAGATGATTCGGGACTTGCAATGAATGAAATGCTTCGCGTTCTACTACGTCGACTGCCCGGTGCTGCGCGGTGCTGCGCGGTGCTGCAGATCGGCTAGCTTCCCGTCGGCCGATCTCTCGGCCCGCAGACCCTGGTCAAGTGCCTGGAACTGGAATCCTGGCTTCCACTTCCCTGCGTCAAAATTCACTCCAGACCACTGTGCTTCCTCTGTCGATCTCCACACCACTCCAGGCACATTCCACCACACAATTACTCGCAGACACAGCACACAGCAATCCTCCTCGACCGCACACGCCGAGGCTGGAAGCGCACGACATGTCCACCACCGAATCCTTGTTATCCGACTTGTGCACCATATGGTAGGACCAGAAGTTCCCTCGCGTCCCATCTCTCACTGCATCCACGGTACGCCCGACGCCATCGCCGGCGCTGGGCCGTCACGTGAGATCCCTGGTGGTCATTCACTCGAGTTGCTTGGCACGTGCTGATCATCACAGCTACTCCGAGAAGCCGAAGTATCGCTGTCCAAGGTGCAGCACTCAGACCTGCTCTCTTCCCTGTTATAAGAGACACCAGCAACGCGCCAGTTGCAGCGGCAAGCGCGACCCCGCAGAATATCGGAAGAAGAGCCAACTTGCCACACCTACCGGCATCGACAGAGACTATAACTATCTGAAAGGCGTGGAGCTCACAATCGACCATGCCAGCCGCGAGACCCAGGACCGAGGCATCGGCGTCCGTGGAGTTTCGAAGACTTTCAACAAGAACTTCCACCCGGACAGCAATCTGCAGAAATACCTGCGAGCGAACAATATACAAGTCCAGCGAGCTCCCCGGGGTATGAGTCGGCAAAAGCTCAATAATACCAGAAACACAAAGTAGGCGCATTCCGCCGTCTCATTCCGCTTCTCGCTAACAGCCGCTCAGGGCCGGTCACATCATGTGGACTGTCGAACTGGTAGATGGGCATGGCAATGCCGAAATACACGACGACTGCTTGGAAGACAGGACCCTGAGCGAGTTGTATGCGCATATTCAGCGTGGAAAGGGTAATGCCGAGAAGCGCAGGCTGGGTTTGGAACAAGCGGGGAGCTCGAAACCTGCGAAGAAACGAAGATTGCGAGAACGGCCAGCGGGTTGCCAACTCGGCGGACAATCCACTCCAGTCGCCAATGCGCCCTTGGAGACCGCTTCTGACGTTGCGACTGCAGTTGCTGGACGTCCAATCGTGGCGGAAGTCGAAGTTGAAGAGATTCCAAAACCTGACGAACTGCCAGAACATGCAATCGCATCAATGATCAACCCTGACGCACCTGAAACTGGAGACATGGAAGGCGACGAATCGACCAGGGAGGACCCTGCGGCGAGATTGGAAGGCGAACCCGAGAGCGGCCCTGAACAAAGTTGCTCCTTCTACCTTCTAAAACCTGGCACAAGCACGGCGTCAAAAGTCCTCGTCCCGCTGGACAGCAATAGAACACTCACAGAATCACTACAAACTCAGAGTGTCCTGGAATTTCCGACTATATACATTCTCTCTCATGCGCCGGACCAGTTGCCCGATGGATTCATGCTTGCAACAGAGTATACTCAACTTCAGAGAGGAGAAGAGGAAGAACTGGAAGAAGCCATGAAGAAGGCTGGGAGCGAAGGCATCATGCAACGCACGAACGGTCATGAAGAACGGCCGGCTCCCAGCGCAGTGGACGCGAACAAGATTCTTGACATGCTCAAGCGAGATGTGACAAGGTAGTACCCACGGTAATGCACTCTCACCGGACTAACCAGACCGGAAGTTCGCAATGAGAGACGGTCCTTTCCACCGTCTTCGACCCTGATGATGATGGCTCCGGAAGAAGCGTTCCATTAGCCCCGAGCCTCCAGCCACATCTCCTTTTTCCATCATTCATCCCACCGAAAGAACCCCAGAATTCCCCAGCCACAACCTCACATTCATCGCACTGGCCGACCACCACGCGGATGTGTTCTTCTTCTCCGTGCGCAACGCGGAGGCACCAGACGATCGCTTTCGCGGCCGATGGCAATAGTAGGTCCGGCCGGGTCTGCTCCGGCAACAAGTCACCGGCGACGATGAAAGAGGGCTCAAGCGCACCTCTGGTCCTGAGCAGTGGAATTATCCATTGCGCCGTGGTATACATGACCCCATTGGTCAACTGTTAGTGTGCCCAGCATGAAAATTCTATAGCCGTGAGAGCACGTCCACGACCGACCTCACATTGAAAGACATCCCATCCCATCCTCGCCTTCCCCCGCCGCCCCGACGCAGTCAAACCCGCCTCCCTCCCTCCCTCCCTCCCTCCCTCCTGCCGTCCATCCCCCCGTACCGAAAAAAAAAACACACACACACACACAACCTATCCCTAACTCTCCCCCAACCCAACGTTTCCCACCACAGTCTCCCTCCCTCCCGGAGCTGTCTGTCTGTTTTGTAGCCTTAGTCTTTCCATCCAGATCGAACGACGGAAGGGAGGAAGGAAGGAAAGGAAAGGAAAGGAAAGGAAAAGTGTTGCATGCAACCTTTTGAGACCGACCCCAAGCAAAAGCAAAAGCAAAAGCAAAAGCAAAAGCACCATGCGATTTGGGTCGTTCGCGTGGCGCATTCAATGTCGACTGTTTTTGTTTTCTCTTCATTCGGGGCGGATTTTTAGAAATTTTTTTTTTTTTTTTTTTTTCTCTTGGGGCTGTCGCTTGTTGATGATAAGAAGTGGCAGGGAAAGCAGAGCAGAGCAGAGCAGAGCAGAGCAGAGCGGAATGTCTTTTTGAAAAAAAAAAAAAAAAAAAAGTCTGAATTGCGCTGTATTGATTCAAATGATAGGATGGAAAAAAGGAGCAGAAACGTGCAGGCGAGCAGACTTTGTTGTTTCTTTTCGCGCAGTGGTTATTTGTTTTCCTGGCAGGTTTGAAGATTGTACTTAGTCTCTTCGTTCACTTTGGTGGTGAGAAGCTACGGTACGCAATAAATGAGCTCTGCGGAGAGTCTTGCGATGGAAACGTAGCTGCCGTTTGATGTGAACCTATAACGAGGGAAATCATAGTCCGCACATGGAGTGCCTTCCTAATCGGGAAGGAAGTCTCACTCAGAAGGAACATATCATCATTGAACGCCTACGAGTTCCTACCTCACCTTTAGCTGCTCGCTCAGAGAGCCCCCATCAGTCTGCGGAACAAACGCCCCTGATCCGTCACGAAGTGTCCAGCCTGGGCATTGGTCCTCCTGTCCACGGTCCTCTGGTTATGCCGGAAAGGAAACGCCGGACTGTAGAATGCCCGTTCTGCGTTGATGCGGTCGTTGTGGTGGTTGTTCATCATCAGATCGTACGCGAGGGGAGTGTAGCCGCCGCGACGCCGGGGGTTCCGGGCGTCGGAGCTGGGCCTGACGAAGGTGCCTGCCCAGTATGGGTCCATGGCTGGTTTTGTGGGGAGATGCGAGGGTTGACAGTTAGTGGGTTGGGGAATGGCTGTGATGATTGGGTTGGGAAAGGTCAGGTCGGTCTGCTCTTGTAGTCAATCGTGGCATTGTTCACGAGAGCAGGACGTTTCCAGGACTGATTGTATGACCGTCGTCATGAATGAAGTAGCCAGAGAAGAAATCTCACGGCAGTTTCGAGAACTTGCCTTGCACATTACTGTGCCTTGAGGTGACATAGTCCAGCCTGTTTCGCATTCCATAGGAACCAGGAGAGAGGCGTGGTCTGACAGGAGCAAGTCTCTTCAAGCATCCAGAGAATCAATGCAGAGCGCAGTGGCTCCAGCGACGCCTGTGAATGCAGAGCACGGCGCTCTTCTACCATGTTCACAGCAATTCTTGCGGGCGAAGGAACGATGGCGAGCATCATTGCGTACTTATACATCTCGTGCCGTTCGAGAGAATAGGACTGCTAGGAACCGAATTCTTTCGTTTGGGGGAGAGGGCGATATGCGGTTGTCCAGGCATCCTTTTTCCAGTCTCCATCTCGCACCAGACACAGAGAGTATGTTCCCAGATGGCAAGTATATTCGACTCCAGGTATTGCATTTGATGTTGTTGGAGTACATGTACTTCGTGCCGTGGGGAAGAAGAAGAAGAAGAAGAAGAGAAGGAGTGGGTGTCTCGGGGCGCGCTATGCCCTGCCGCGTCGGCGATCCTGGTCCGGGCCCTGAGAGGTGACGGGAGCGTGAGCGGGAGCGTGTGAGCGTGTGCGAGATCCTGGCACAGCAAGCGCGAGCGACGACCGCCTCTCCACTTCCACCCAACTCCCGACTACACCTCACCTCTCCCGAACAACCACCTGCACTCCCGTCTCTCGTGCCGCCAGCCAGAATGGCTACCCCTTTCACACAAGACCCAGCAGCAGCCGCGCCCGCACCATCCTCATCCACAACACCAGCAGAAACAGAACCATCACCATCCGCACCCACCCCCACCACCACCACCACCACCACCACAGCACCCGAACCGCGCGTCGAACAACCCACCCACTCCATCGCTTCCAACCCAATCAACGCCCAAATCCCCGGACCCGGCCCCTCGCTCGAAATCTCCCTCCTGCTGGTCTCCGGCGCCCGCCATCCCTACCGCATCGACGAGAAATACCTGCTCTCCCGCAACGTCACAAACGCCCAGGACCCCGCGACGGGCACCTTCGACCCCCTGCAGATCTCCGGCTACCAACTGAAAGAATTGATCCTCAAGGATTGGAGGAGCGAATGGGAGCCCAAACCCGCGAGTCCGAGCAGCATACGCCTGATCATCATGGGGAGGATGATTGAGGATAAGGCTGCTCTGAAAGGTATATCTCGGACACCCTCCCACGCCTAGGAAGTCGCTCGAGACTGACTGTTGTGTTTAGATTTCCCCTTCTCCCCGACTTCCCCCAATGTGGTGCACCTCTCCGTCAAACCACCCGAAATCCCCGACGACGAAGACGCCGGCGGCAAGGGAGGCAGCGCAAAGGGAGGCGCTCTACGACAACGAGACGGCGAGGATGGTGGTGCCGGCTGTCGTTGCGTCATCTTATAACCAACCACACAACACACATCATTCACGGGATTCCATGTAACAAGCATTCAGAGAGCGCGAAACAGAAGGCGCACAACGGGCACGGCATGGGATGGGACTGGCGAGGAGTTTTAGACGGCGTTTTTTCTGTTTTCATTCTTTCCTTCCGGACGGGTTGATTGGGAAGAGAGAGAAGAGGCATTTGCATGGCGTTTTTGCAAGGCAGCGTTTTCGTTTGTTTGGTTCTGCTTCACTTTCATATTCGTATGAAGCACAGCGGCTCATCGAGGGCAACATAAGACGCAGGGCGTACAGTCGTCCGCGTCTGAAAGCGTTCTGGTATAGCGGAAGAGAGGATACCAATTGCATATCGTTATCATCTGCTCGAGGCTGAAATGCAAGCCGCATTTGATGCTCAAGCAGAAAGCGGCTCGGGTGGTCCATTGATACACGTTTGATTGCTCTTCGTACTAATGCATTCCCGACTACAGCAGCTCGGAAGGATCTGGATGGCGATGAGTCCACCTATCTATCCTCGCCCGAGCCGCGATATTGTACAGTGAAGCGTACCCATATCAAGCACGTCCATCTATGCATCTTCCACCCCGTAACTCCATCCATCATGCAGCCGCGACACGCCCCCTCAATCGCCGCACATCTCATTGTCCCGCTCACCAGGTATTCATGCGAAACCGCCCCTCCATCTCCGTGTGGAAATCCACCGGCTCCGCCCTCATCTCCTCGCCCACGAACACCTCCTCCCACCCAAACTCACAATCCGTCCCCGCCAAAATATCCGCATGCAGACCCGCCGTGCCCCTGCCGCCCAACGCCGCAGGCTGCCACTCGCCCGCTCGCACGATCGCGAGTTCCATCTGCCGCTTCACCGGCTCCGCGATTCCGAATTGGCGGCGTAGGAGTTCCATTTTGAGGGCTTCTTGCTGGGAGCGCCAGTTCGCGAGGCGGGATTCGAGAGGGTGCGCGGAGGCGATGCTGGTTGATGAGGAAGAGGAAGTCGTGGTTTTGGGGGCTGGGGTGGTGAGGTTGAGGTTTGCGCGCAGGGTGTCGTGGACTCCGGGGGCGGAGGGGGCGCCGATGTTGGCGTGCGTGGTGGTGGGGTTGGAGGCTGAGGGGACGATGCGGAGAGACTGTTCCTCATGCGTTAGTTCTTCGAATAGGATATGTCGGAGAGGGAGGCTGTACCATGTTGGTTGGCTAGAAGAGGAGCTACCAGCTCAGTCAGGCTGTTGTTGTAGGTAGGGAAATTTGTCGTGCCCTTCGTCAGGATGTATTATCGTCCGTCGGTGTGAGATGTATTGCTCGTGCTGGGGAGTCTCGTTGGTGCTTGGTGATTGAATGTGATGGCGTCGATGGAGGTGTTTGTAGTATGGAGCTGTTTCCAGTTGTGAGGCGCGTGAGCTCCAGGCAAGCGCGATGATGCGGCGACGCACAGACCAGTTCCTTGCCCGAAGCAACCCCGACGTCAGCTTTCTTCGCCTCACGAGATATCTCAAGGAAAAGCTCATCTGCAGTGCCAACGGAAAGGTCTCCGGAGATCTCTTAGAGATAGTAGATCTGTGAGATGCCGGAGAAAGGACATGTGTGGTGTTTGGTGCAGGATCACATCACATGCAAGTACGATAGAGAAGCATACAATGTCGAAAATTCCACTCTTGACGCAGCTTGAGGTTTGCGTTCTCACTCACATGCGACGTTCAATGTTGGTGAAGGGAGCTAATATAGGAGAATCGAAAGTCACATGCTTCAAACAAGAGGGCATGCGGGAATGGCGAACAGGGGAAAGAGGCATCATTTGAAGACATGCAGTAAGCACTCTCATTGCACTCACTCGATGTCTAAGTCTGTATCGGCCCTGCCAACACAGTCACAACCAAGCCACTTGCCTGCTCTTCCCGCGAAATGACACACAAGAACGCCCTCGATGCTCCACGCTCAAATCATGCTATTCTTACAACATGCCCGACGCCAATACCAGCCTCATCAACGGAAGAAGCCATATGCTCATGCCCAAGAGAACCCAAGCTCCAACATTCGTACGCTCCATCCATCCTCACTTCCTACTCGAGTTTCGACAGAGCCCAGAAGTTCGCCTTCGGCTTCGACTCCAGATGGTGAAGACCACCGTTCGACGCGAGTGTGAGTTTGCCGACCGGAGGCTTCATGACCTTTTCCCCCACTCTGGTCCAACCGGGATCCTCGGAGCTGGCCCCCTTTGTCGGAGTGTCGGTCTCCAGAACGGGAGTCTTATTGGTCGATGGAGTCTTCGCAAAAAGAGTACTGCTCGTCTCCTTCAGTGGCGTATCCAGCTTCGGTACCGGAGGAGCCTTCCTGGATGACGCTGCTTTCGTGGAAGGGACGGTGATGGCAGTGCCAGCAGACTCGGGAATGCTGAGATCGATGCTGCCATTCCTGGTGGAAGTCTCGTCCTCAGTCTCCATCTCTACCGACAGCTCGCTGTTACGACGCTCCTCCTGTCCTTGGTTCTGCTCCGGATCGCGGTCGTGCTTAGCGTCCCACTCCTTCCCATTCTCGACACGATCGCGATACACACGCTTGTTCGCCCAGCGCCAGAAGCCAGCCTTGTTCCGAGCGATGATCTTGAGTTCGTCGTGATAGTGGACCAGGTCATTCTTAATTGCCTGAACCAGCTCTACGACAAGCTCGCCTTCTTTTCCAGCGGCTTTCGGGTCTACCTCCAGCGAAGCAAGGATACGCTCTATCTCGGTGCTGTCCACCTCCTTCGACTCCCGGTCCTTGGTGATGTAGTCATGGCGGACGGATTTGGTGTTGCAGGTGCTGTTGTTGAACTTGAGGTTCATCTTGATCTCCAGGTCCTCTTCCAGCTCCTCCATGTCGACCTCCACTTCCTCTTTGTCGCCTTTGGGATGCAAGATCTGGGCAATGAACTGGATATCCGCAGTCGTCACCACCTTGTCTCGCTCCATCGCTCTGACTGCCTTCTTCGCAGCCTTCCTCACCTTCTTGGTGGTCTTGGGGACCTCATACGAACCAGTCCCGTCAGGTCCAGCGACGGTATTGAGCGCCTTGGCAGTCAGAGGAGTTCTTGGGGTCTTGGGGGTATCAGGTGATCGGAGCAGCTCCAGCAGCGCGGCGTCCTCTTCTGCTTTGAACTTCTTGACCTTCGCCAAAACCTCCGCAATCTCCCTGTGCCGCTTCTCATGCTGCTCGTCCGTCATCTTGCAGGCGCTGCACCTGGAACTCCAGTTCTTGCGGAAGAGACAGTGGTATCGATGACACCACTCGACATGGTTGCCCAGGCAGATGGTGCGGCACTTGTCATGGGAGAGGGGCGTCTGGCAGATGGGGCAGTGGTGTTCTGCAAGAAGCAGTCAGTAGCCTGGCCTTCCTCATCACGGGTATGTTATCAACTTACTTAAACCACCCTGGTCCTCCCACTTGAAGAGGTCCCGCGGCATCTTTGATGTCTGCGGATGTTGCTGATGCTGTGTTGCTGAGCTCTTCGAGTGTGTGAGTAGCGAGCGAATGGAGAGGTTATACTTCGCCTTCGAGCACTGCCTGGAGCAGCAATAGAAGTACTGCAATTGTGTTTGCCTAAGAAGGTGGAACTTGGCATTCTATTCGTGCGAGCTATTGTCGTTCAGCAGGCAGCAACTCGTGCCGATCGCCGCAGGAAGTGATCAGGAAGCTGAACAGACGCAGAAGCACGAGCTCAGATGTGCGTGCCGTGGGTGCTTGCAGAGGACGGGAGCGAGAGCGGGATGGGAAGAGGGAGATATCCCTTGATCGAGACGGCTGGAAGCGGTTGGAGTGTGGTGGAGGAAATCGGTGGTTTGATTGGTTTCTAATGGAGGTTTATGTATGGGTGGTTGTTGTGGTGACAGTGCCGGGGAAACAGAGTGTTGATGCAAAGCGGACAGGGAGAGGCGACGGGGTGCTTAAGGGAGCGATTCCGGGAGTGAATTTCTGCCTGGCGGCTGTGCCGGTCGGTAATATCGGGAGCGTGAAGCGGGACGAGCTGGAAATGATCGGAACGAACGGTGCAGCCGAGATGTCGTTTGTAGTAGTCGCCATGTCTGGTCGTTCTTGCCCACTCAAATCCGCGTGCCTGTCACCGGCAAGGATGAGCTTCGGCTCAGATCTGCCGATAGCTCGTGCTCAGATCTCCCGCCACTCATTGGCTAGTTTCAGCGTGTGGGGCACAACGCCAGTTGTAAGTGAATGACTTTTACGCGCAAGAGACAGAGGATTGAATACATGGTCTGCTGGCTCAACAGACTACACGCAGCAAGAAGAACGTAACTTTTCATAGCGCGTTCATTTCTAGGATGCCTGTTCATGCATTCTTGACCAAACGCGCTCCGGCCCACACAAACGGGTAGTTGCGCTGGTACCAGTTGATGCTGGCTCGTGTTAGCGCTAGGACATGACAAAGACGCGGAGCAGAGACGACTTACACAGACTTGCGACCAGCAAAACGCGGGTGCGTAGCCCAAGAGCCACCGAGCACAATGTTGTGCTTCCCATCGTAAAAGTCGGCTGGGAGAAAATCAGCACCCGTTCAACATGCAACTCATGTTACACAACATACCGCTATAAGCGGGATAAAGCTTCATTGGTGCGAAGCCTTCCCGCTTCTCCAATACTGAACTAGTCCATTCCCAAAGGCCTCCCATCTCAGCATGACCGGCAAGCTTGTTGCCGTCTTGCGTGACAGGCATGGGGTGCCAATGCTTGAAGCCTACGTTGGCATGTGCAAGGTCAACGTAGAGCTCCTTGGGATCTGGAAGCGCTGCAGTATTGGAGCCGCCGTTAACAAAAGACTGGGATGGTGGAGACTCCTGGACCCCATCATTGATAAGATGGCTGTTAACTGCTGGAATCGTCTTCGAATTCGCCTTGGTCGCTTCACGCTTCTTGATGGCCGAAGCATGCCCGTAGATGCTGCGAGCTTCCTCCATAGTTGGAATGCGGCCACCCATGTATTGAGCACAGCCATTCAACTCGTCGTAAGAGGCAGATACTGGCCAGTCAAGAGCATACTTCAGTGGCACTGGTCCGAAAAGAGTGCGGACAGCCTTTCCGTGAGTGAAGTCGTGGATATCCGAGACACCGTTGAGATGTGCTTTGGCGCCATTCTGGCGAGCAGTGGTATCGTTGGTCCACGAAGCAGGAAGTATTTCGCTGTTCGTGGCGCTGAGATAGCGTGCGTAGTCTCCATTGGTGATCGGGCGACCTTGGGCCTTGAACGCAGGGACCTCCGTGGTGTAAGATGGCTTCTCGACGTCCCAGCCGTAGTAGCGAACGGGGCCGTCTGGCGTGTCGTGATCTTCAAGACCGACAGTGACTGTCTGCGCTGGGATATCAAACCATTGATTCGGGACAGACTCTCGCTGCGCTTCCGCAGCCATCTGCTCCCAATCTGGCTTGACTGTGCCGTCCGGCGGCAACGTCTTCTCGCTTTGGATAAGCATGTAAAGGAGCGTCTCCAAGTGCATGACCTCGTGCTCGAAGCCAAGCCAGAGTGCTCGACCGGTCCAATTATCCTTGTAGGCAGCGCCAGACTGGTACAGATCCTTTGCGCGCTGTCGAACACTTTCCTGATACTTCAAGATGATCTCCAGCTCTGGCCAGCTCTCAGGAATCTCGCTGTGCGCATGGCACTTTTCAGGATCGTCGACATCGGGATCGATGCCACGCTCAAAGATCTTGTGGAAGTAAGCTGGCTCTGTCGGCACCATTCCCGTGGCTTCGCAAAGCTTCATATCGAAAAAGGTCGGAATATGGCCCAAGTAGAAAATACAAGCATTGCGAAGCTTGATGGGCTTTTCGTACAATTCCCCATTAGGAATCATCTGTCTAGTCACCTTGTCCCAGACAGCCCACAGTCCCTGCCATTGGTCCAAGCTATGGACAGCAAGCCTGTCAGCCAATCATACGGAGCCTGAATGCAGCCCTTGCATCTTCTCGTCCACTCACCTTGGCACGGGATGCTGCGCATACGCTTCTGGATTCGTAGGATACATCTCGGCTGGTTTGCTGAGCATATGCAGTCCTGAAGAAAACATCATTAGTTTAGAACCAGATAAGAAATGACTCCGCGGGACTGTGGCCGCTCTGAGTGCTTCCACAGAAGGGCAAAGACCTGCCGTAAGACCCGTTGTGATTGGCCCAGACTGATGCTTCAATGACGCCAGCGTCTGCCCATAGTCGCAGCGCCTGAGCGAACGGTTAGAAACACAACTCGCTTATTGGGCAGCATATAAGCGCAAGACCATACCTAAAAGAGGCGTCAGCTTCAGGATAACGATCAAGATAGATAGGGCGAGGATCGGCAAACCTGAGCGTGGTTGTACTTGTAGCTCTCCTCGATGCGAACTTTCTCGCCTTCCTTGAGGGCAATGCCTCCGACGTGTAGATCCTTCTTCGGAACCACAAACGCCCGATGCCGCCCTCCCTCCTCATCGTACTCTCCAACAGCCTCCCAGTTGTCGATTTCAAAGGCATCGTAACCGAGCAATCTGTTTGCGTGGTGCAGACCGTTGATCGTGAAGTGGTGGGTGAGTCCATCACTGTCATTGTACGCCGAATATACTTTGTCCGGAATCCGACAGGCGTCCAGTCCAATCAATAAGGTGTCCGCAGGCTTAAGTATATCGGCGAACTGCGCAATGAAACCGGCTGCCTCGTCGCGCGTGAAGTTGCCAATTGACGACCCAAGCGAGAGGATCGCCTTGGGCTTGTTTGCGTTTTCGGGCTTCTTCAACCATCCAAGCCCGTCGTCATATGTACCCCACAAGCCAAAGCATTTCACATGCTTGAAAGCGCCAGTGGGCGATGCACCAAGCGTACGCTCCAGCTCAGAGTACATGAGGTCAAGGGCGTAGTACGAGACTTCTTTTTCCGATCGGTCCAGTGCATCCAGCAGAATCTTCACTTTCCTGAGGTTGCTGTTTGTCTCGATTAGCAAGGGCAGCTTAGGCATACCTTGCCTAGCGAACCTCACCCGCTACCCAACTCCAACATCATGGCGCCTGCTGGGATCCTCTCCGCGATACGGTCTGCATATTGCTCCAACACTGTGATCTCTTCCCTGGTCAGATAGTACTCATCCAAGTACGTGATCTGTTCAAACAGCTTGAGGCCTTTATTGTCATAGAGCAGTAGCGTTGGCAGAATCTTCTCGCCACCGTCGCGTGGCTTCAAACCCGAAGCGATGAGCTGTTTCAATTCTATACCTGCTGCATCAGACCGGATATCGATGATGCCAGGTACTGCGGCCTGAATCGGCGTCTCGTTCTCCAGAATGGAACCCATGACTTCAGCTGACTTGTATTGTAGTCAATGCGGGAAATGTAAAGAGAAATATCAGTGCTTCGAAGTAGCCACAATACCAAAAGAATCAAGTACAGCCCAATGCCGAAGAGTACTTACTGCACCCCGAAAGCATCTGCAGGGTTGAGGGTAGACACCAGTACTTGGTGATCCGGTCATGTATGCACAGCGGTACCTCCGGCTGCATTGTCCAATAGCAGTGGCAGCGATTCCACTGCGTCACTGCGTGTAGGATTTCCGGCATCGTTCAGCAGTCTTTGTTTGGACATGTCCAGTAAGCGAAGTCGCGCTCCCTACATGTACCCAACGTGTGACGCGCACAATCGAAATGCAAATTCTGCATTTGAAGCGGCCGTACGGGTAGGTCCGCAGAGAGGCGTACAATGGGGTGGGCCGATGCATTTGGAAGAGCCGCGGGCCTTTTCTCAGGTCCAATATGTGAGTGACGCAGCAAGTCCATAATGCTGACACGGTCCCTTGGCCAAGCGTCATCTCTCCAAACCGAGATCGAGGGAGTCCTCTCAAGCGATTTGGTCAGAGATACATCTGTGTACTGTGAGTACCAGGTGTCCCCCATGCAAGAGTTGTTCTCGGACGTGTCTTCCAACGAACATACCGTGCCTCGCAATCCTCGTGCCTTTGGACAGTCGTTTGATTGAGTTTCTGCAGGCAAGGTTCGCAGCGATGTGGCGCCGTACCTGGCCACATGGCGTGGATGGTCGTCCTACTAGCGCTCGCCTAACTGCAGCGATCCAACGTCATGAGAGCGGGTTGCAGCATGCAGCATGCCGCCGTGGAGCTCCAGCACAGCATCGAGCGAATCACATAGTCCGTCGGCATCCTGCGGCATCTGTTCCTCGCCTGACAGCTTCGGCTTCGAAGTTGCCTCGCCGGACACGTTCGTGACTCGTGGCAGCGTTTGTTGGCTGGCAGCGTCCTCGAACGTCGGAGGAAAGGAGGAGCGCGAGGGAAGCGTGGGATGTTGGGCAGCTGCGGGCAAGTGCTTGGCACGCCCAGGACGGTCACGTGTTACAGGGGCCCTCGCTAACCAACGACATCTCAAAGATTAGAAGATGTGAAGAAAGCGACGGTGAAGAGCAGAATAGAAGGAGAGGAAGGACATGCGCAACCAGAACAGGTGGAGGTGCCGTGACAGATAGGCAAGTACGCAATCGATCAATCAGGTCTTGAGTCTAGATCAACCTTCATAGTCAAGATCTTACCAGGCGACCATGTGCCTGTAGCCCTATTGTGGTACGCTGGTTCCCAGGTGTTCGTCCGCCTATTCAGGACTTGTCAGGATCTTTGTCTCGTCCATCCATTCACAGCCTCCAGAACAACCCCAGCAACCTCCTTAACCCTCGCGATAAAAGCACAATGTCCCCTCTCCACCTCCCTCACCACCCAACCGACCCCAGAACCCTCCACAAACAGTTTCTGTGCCCCAGCCGGGAAAACAGCATCTCCTCGCGGAAGCACATAAACCCTCCTGCCTTCCAGCGCACTATCCGCCCAAAGCGGTTCCTTTACAGGCGTCTGAAAGACAGAAGTAGCCCGCGGCAAATGTCCATCTACCAACTCCTCTCTCAAGGACGGATCTTCAACGTCGTGCAAAGAGTTGCTCTGACAACGGGGTACCCTGCATTGAAGTCAGGAATATTTCGACGCGACTTGGTGTGTTCCTGCGTGCATACCAGCCTTTTCGAAAAGGTGAGGCGCGAGGCCAATCATAGCATGCTGGCATAGTGAAGGCTCCCGGGAGGAGCAGGATTGTAGGAGCTTCTTTCTCGACCATCCTGCTCGGTCACTCCTTGCTTCTTACAGATAGGGATTTGAGGACTCAATGGACCAGACCAGAACAGCAGAGATGATCCGTGGTCCTTGTGAATGCCAGCCTCGTCGCAGAGTCAGCTTCGCACAGCTGGCGATGAGGCTGAGGCTGACGGAGCGCTGATTGAAAGCAAGGCGTGTAGCCTCAGCAACGTAGAAGTCGTGATCAACAGTGGGCCTTCCAGATGTAGCCTCATTCAAACCATGACTCTTCTCAAACCACTCGTACCACCAAGAACCCTCCTCCCAGTAACGGCATCTCTTCCAGCGCCACTCTCCCACTTCTCAGCTCGACTCCCACCGCCTTCTTCAATCCAGCCTTTGGCGCCTTCTTCGTCGACTGAGCCTTCAATAAAAGCTTCCTGTCGCGGATGCGTGCCGTCCACCCACTTATAGATACACGTATAGCAGTAAACATATCCAGTCTGCGCGGCAGTGGGCGTTTGGATCTCAGAGCCACAGATAGGACAAAGAGATGTAGTGTTCTCAGATTCTGCGGTGGCATAGACGGGTGCTGGGACCGTGAGGATGGGAAGCCCCGTAATAGACGAGATAGGCGGTCCATCGATACCAGAATCCCGACGACTGGGAGGCCTCTCCTTCTCTTTCTCGTTCACAGCTCCAACTTTCTTCTCAGTCTTCGGCGCCATCGCAGGAAGCCCAGAAATCGTCGGAGGTGGCAGTTCCATCCCCTCGTTGGCTTTCCTCGACAATTGCCTCGCGAAATCCGAATTATGCCACCATTCCAGAAATTTCAAAGCGAAAATGCTCGTCGGCAACGCCAACCTCAAAGCCGTCAACATCTTTGGATACAATACCCGCGACATCATCCTCGGACTGAACACCGAATTCGTCTGCCCGGGCCTCGCAGGCGGAGCATTAGGAGCCTGCGTCGCAAGCGCAATTGCCTTCTGGTCCGCATCATTCAGCCTCCTGATTCTCGATCCAATTAACCACATGAACGGCGAATGGTACTTCGTCCCATCAAACAGGTAAGCCATATTCCAAGCCAATAGCGAGAAATAATACGCCGCGTTCACGCTCGGATACACATTCTTCAAGAACCATTTGTACGTCCACATGAATTTTTGCTTCCACGTTCCTTGCGCCGGATACTGTTCGCGATCTCGGTAGGCGGGTCCGAGCATGTTGACGCCGGCTGCGTGGACCTCGTATGCTTCGTCTAGTTTGCGCTTGAGGTACGGTATGCCCACCATCACGGCCAGGTTCTTCCACACATCGCTATTCCTCAGCTTCAATGTCTCACGGACTTCCTTTGGCGCTCCTAGTCTGGTGCGAGTGATTTCGCCGCCCTTGATGCGGAGCACGCGCTCGCGTTTGAGGCCATAGAAGTTCTCTGTGAACCCTCCGCCATAGATTTTGAGGTAGTACCTCTCAATCACGAGTGAGAGGAGCGCGAAGATCTCGTCGAAGTTGTTCAGTATCCGCAATAGGTATCGTGGATTTCGATGTGTCGCTACGGCGAGGAGATATCGTAGAGAGGGTGGGACGAGGGCGTTGAGTTCGTTCTCGGAGAGGATTTCGAAGAGCGACGGTTTCTGCTCATCCAGACCGCCCTGGAGCGCGGTCATGAACTCCATTGTCGTCTTGTGAGGCGATGTGCCTTCCCGTTGGGTGTTCTGGTGAGATCATGCCACTTCATCGCGAGAGTAGTGGATGTGGTCCTTGCTGAGAGACTGGAGGGAGCACTGTGGCCGAACTCCAGCCTCGGCTTTGTCGCGTCACCCGAACACGTCGACATCGCACCTACTCAGAGGCCTGACAAGCACAAACATGGCGACTGCAAACGGCGGATCGGGCGAGAAGACATTCTTCGAGCAACAGCGAGAATATCTGATCGGTGATGTGGCTGCTGTGAGTGGGCTGGAATGGGAGGAGCCACTCTCCCACTGGATGCTAATGTTTCGCAGAGCCTCGAGAACGTACTGCAGAACATCAACAAGCTCAATCGGAGTCTAGAAGGGGTCATTGCGGTATGAGATTTCATCTCTTAGTTGAGAAGGAAAACTGATGTTTCCGCGAAGGTCGGCAATGAGTTCAGCCAAGTCGAAGGCCTGTGGTCCCAATTCGAGAACGTGATGGCAAAGGGACCCGATAAAGAGGAGCCGAAGGAGACCAAAGAAGGGGCTACAGAAGGCTCGTGAAGTGAGTGGATAGATCTGTCGGAGATATGGTAGGAGTTGGGCGGTTTTACACTACGAGATACCCACACGATGACGGCGTACGAACGGACGAAGAAATTGAGACGGAAAACTACGTATTCAGAACTGTTTCTCATTGTCGGTCATGGCTATTCCACAAAAACGCCCATCCATTAGAGGAGGCTTCCAGCGCGTCCACAGTCATCCCTCCATCAAAATAATCATATCCCAAGAATAACAACCCGGACAACCCTCTGCGCCGTCCAAAAATGCTGGTGTTATGCTCGAATACCCTCGATGCTATTCGTTTCGCTTCTCGTCGTCTTACCCTAGGCTTGTACTCAATAAAACCCTCCCGAATCTCAACGCCGGAGTCCCGTAGATGTGGGTATCGATGGCTGCCGTGGCCATAGAAAGTGCCGCATCTCGCGCAGGAAGAATCGCATCGTGCCAATGTGCTGCATCAGCGTCGGCATCGCTTGGACTTCATCTGCAGAAAGAAAGAATTCGCTCGTCAACCAACGCATGTTCCCAAGAATGGATTTGGTAGGTGCTGTGGGGTTAGAGGATCTTGCAGTTACTCCGCTTCTTCTTTTTCACCACCATTCCTCCACTTGAGCCGTTTCCGTTCCTGCTGGCGGGTATGATTATGTCGCTATCAGGTTGATCTTGCCCGCGAACAGCGATGTCGATCGCGGTGTCGAATATCTCATGAACGCCGGACATTTCTTTTGAGGAGCATTCCATGTACATGGCGCCCATCTTGTGCGCGACAGCTTTGCCTTGTTGTTGAGTGACAGGTGTCAGACCTTGTGTTTTGAGGAGCTCGATGCATGTGCGTTTGTGTCGAAGATCGGACTTGAGACCGCAGAGGATTATGGGCGTTGTCGGGCAGAAGTGGAGGACCTCTGGATACCACTGGACGCGGGTTAGCGGCTGCGATGTTTGTGAAAGGGCATTGATGACATGCCTTGTCGAGTACATTCTCGAGGGAGTTGGGGCAGTCAATGGCGAAGCAGACGAACAGTAGGTCAGTCTCCGGGTAAGACAGCGGCCTCAGCCTGTCGTATTCTTCCTGTCCGGCGGTGTCCCAGAGTGCAAGCTCAACACCTTTTCCAGACGGTTTGTGCTCGACTGTGGTAATGTAGTTTTCGAACACTGTCGGGACATATTTCTGGTATTTCGTCAGCATACACACCCATCTCTTGCGCTCGATGCGACTCACCTCCGGGAAGTATCCTTGAGAGTAGCTGATCAACAAACATGTCTTGCCGCATCCTCCGTCGCCGACGACGACGAACTTCTTGCTATATTCCGGAGGCGCCGTAATGTTGGTTCTTGCGCTGCTTGTGGTGTTGACAGTGCCGTCGCTCCCGCGAGTCGATCGTCGGTAGCTGTCGTTGCGCGTGACGAAGGACTTGGAGCTGTTCTTGCGGCGGACGTGGTCGTAGCTCGGATTGACTGCCGGTATAGACATTGCGGTGTAGCGGTCGGATTTATGATGAGATATGCGGTGTGAGGAATGTGATCAATGTTGCTCTGGAGAAGGGCGCTGGGTGGGCTGAAGCGGAGTTGTTGGGTAAGATAATCAGAGAATGATGAGGCTTTGTTTCTAATCTGGGTTTCGCTTGTTGGCCCGGCGACGAAAGCATGGCAGCAGTCGCGATCGGTGTGACGTCGTGTTCGTCTCATGTCTCGACTCTCGTACCTTAAGGTACCTTACGCGCGCAAGTTCCATGTCATGTGAATGGCCACTCTGGGCAGAGCGAAGCGACATCTCCCTTGCACAAGGACGTTTATTAGTACAAAGCACGTCTTCTACGAGGACGTCTAGCATGTGATCCGCTTGGCCCGCATCCCGCTTGGCAGCTAAGGGAACTCGGAAACTTTGAGCACTGACACTTTCAACCTGGACTTCAACTTCAATCTCCAGCTCGCAACCACTCGCCTCCGTCTGTCTCCAAAACACTTCAACCGCCGCACATGGCTGGATTCTCTCGCTACTGACTGGCGCGTCCCGTTCCGAGCATGAGCAGCCCGAGGACGACATCAGAATAATCGCCCTTCGCCTGTGCTTATCTGGACCGGAAATCACCCCCCCTCACTCCACACAGATGCACTGCCTCGGGCCAGGCCGTAAAATCTATGTCAGAACAACAAATCAACTTGCGCTTCCAGGCACATTTGCGCACCCCCTCGCCGGACCCGGACGCTGGTCTTCGTGGCCTGAGCCACTATGAGCGCAGACTGCCGAAATGGCGGTATCAACTGCGACAACGGCTGATACCGGTTGTGCGGTGGGAAACACCGTACCTCGCAAAGCTACAGCAAGGACTACGAGCGCCCCTCTTGGATTCATACTTTGCCATCACGGCCAACTTGGGAACGCATACCTTTTTCATGACTGCGCTGCCTATCTGCTTCTGGTGCGGCTACGATGACCTCGGCGTTGCGCTCGTGCAAATGCTAGCGGCAGGCGTGTATCTGAGTGGTTTCGCCAAGGATTTGGTATGTCTACCAAGGCCGCTGTCTCCGCCTTTACAACGCATTACCATGTCTGGCTCCGCTGCTCTTGAATACGGCTTCCCATCAACACACACGACAAATGCGGTCTCTGTCGCGGTCTTCTGCCTGTACAACCTGTGGGACGCGCAAGACCAATACTCGCCATGGCACTTTCGACTCTTGATCCTAGCTTGCATGTGCTATGCCACTTCGATTAGTCTTGGTCGTATGTATTGCGGCATGCATGGCTTCTTCGATGTCGTATTCGGAGCAGCGTTGGGTGCACTTATCGCAATCGGGAGAGTGCTCTGTGGTCCGGTGTTCGATGCTTGGATTATCGCGGGCGGCTGGATCAGAATCACCGCCACTGTTACGGCGCTCGCTTTGACCGTACGCTTTCATCCCGAGCCAGCAGACAATTGTCCGTGTTTCGACGACAGCGTGGCCTTTGTCGGAGTTGTCATGGGCGCCTGCATTGCTACGTGGCACCGCGCCAGATGGCTTACTGGCACTGTACATCCGGACATCGCGCTCGCAGATATGTATCCCTTCTCCAACCGCGATCTCAGCAAAGCTGCGGCAAGACTGGTCCTGGGTATTGTGTTGATCTTTCTCTGGAGGGCATCCATGAAGCCCCTCCTGCTGCGAGGGCTCCCTCCAGTCTTCCGATTCGTGGGTCACTACGGACTCAGGATACCACGCCGATATTTCCTCCAATCCAGGGACTACAGCACAGTGCCACCTTTACGAAAGGACGACAAAGTCTTGCCACCTGCGTCCGAGATCCCCGCCATGCTATCTTCGATCCGTCGGCGGAAGAGGACCATATCTGTTGGACCACAATCAGAAGCCGATGCCAGAGAGTTCATCGCAAACAGACAGCAACAGCGACGAGATGGAAAGTCTCCAGTCAGATCCAAAGCAAGCTCGCCGCCAGATTCGAACTTGACGGAGCCTTCAACCCCTGCCAGAGGCACCGTCATCACACCGGCCCACTCACCCGAAAGCAGCGCGACAACGGCGACCACCGATTACCTATCCGTGCATCCAAGTAACACTCACCTCTCCACGCCTTCGATCCTGGTGAATGCGCCAGTCACTCCTCCGGCCAGCGATAATGGTGCAGCAAGTGACAGTGGGCGGGAAGATGAGAAGAACGATCGGAAGATGTTCTCGATGCTGGAAAAGCCTCGAATCCGATACGATGTCGAAGTCATCACGAAGCTGGTTGTGTATGCGGGCATTGCATGGCTAGCTGTAGAGGGTAACCCGATCCTTTTCGCCAAGCTTGGAATCGTATGATGATTGCGTGTTTTCGAGTAGTATATGAGAGTCCCAGCCAAGGCGTCCCCGGGGATTTTTTGGCAATGTAGCATGCATGCAATATGAACAAAGCAAGTTGACTGTTTGGACTCCAGACCTACTCTCCATTCCCATTAGCGGCAAGGAGGGTTTAATTTTCGGCATGTCGAGACCAGACTCGACGTGTCACAAGCTCGCCGGATGTGAACGCATTCCGACGCTTGGCTGGAGCCAGAACGCTGAAATGGGATGTGTAGGGCCCGTAGTCGGCCGTGTCCAGTAAGTTTGCTGATGATTGTTGGACGAGTTAGGCCCGGATAGAGAGAGGATTTCCCTTCCGCAATAACCGAATGCGACATGCCTCCAGCGAGGTCGGGAAGCGACGGGATGGTTGCTTTTGGCACATGTAAGCGTCGCATCAAGAGGCTGAGGTTGGGAGAGTGTGATGAGTATAGCAACGGCGATGGCTCGGTGGGACGTCAATGTAGACTGTCGTGGATGTATACCGTCGTGGATGTATTGGAGGAGTAAAGGTAGTACTGTAGTTGTTGTCGAGATGGTGAATCCGGATGAACGATTCGGGAGAGCCGAGATCCGGGTGAAGACCGAGAATTCGTCGATGCTTCCACCTATACCCCACAACGACGACGAAGTCTATCCTCAAAGGTGACGCTGCGACTCTTTCTTTGAACAAACCTACCCTCACCCTCACCCTCACCCTCACCGCCAACCAACCTTGTCATCCTTCACCCCGGCCGCATTCTCCCACTGCGCACTGCATCATAATCATACACCACCAGCACCCCCGCGGCCACTCATCCCACAGGCACGCTGGCATACAGTACTGTACATACCAATTCATCCGGATCCGATTCGCGTCGCGACTGCGCTAGAACCAGACAAGGCTGGCACGGAAGGCCGACGGCAGATTTTCCTCACCTCTCATCATCAGCAACCCACCACACCGTCATCCCCAAACGCCCTGCACGGCTGCGCAAGCTTCCAGCTGCACGGCTTCCCGCTGACAGCCTCCTCGCTTCTTTGACACCTCTTCTAATCCACCATCCCTCCGTCGCTACACCTACGACAATCCCCTCGCGACACATCGACACCGCTCCGGGTGCCTGGGAACGATCGTGAGTAGGCTTCGCCCGGCAAGCTCTGCGACATCAGATGCGTGACGCACTGCTGAAACACCCCAATCTCTGCTGACCGCCGAAGACACCTGCCACGACCCGAAACCGGGGATCTGCCAGTCCTACATCATCATATCAACATATCGCGACGCGCGACATCCGGCTACTGCGGCCTGATTCGAGGCAAGAGCTTTGGCTGCACCTTCACTTCCCCTTCTCTGGCAGCCCCAGACACGTGGAGCACTGAGGGCCAATACCGCGTACATCCTATCGCACATCTCCCATGGAGACCTTCAAGCGCGCCTTCAAGCCCGACCGTGGCCAAGCGCAAGACCAGGACATGACGCCTGCCGACAAGGACCTGCGGGGCGTCGAGTCCGTGACGGGGCTCCGCCAGGGAAAGCGTGACGAACTAAACCCCCAAGCGCAAAAAGAGTTACAACAGTTGCGCAGCACCCTGCAGTCTTCAAACATCCAGTCTTCACGAATGCAACACCATGCTTTTGAACCCGTCTCTCTCCCCGGCTCCCAGCCAGCATCACGCGTGAGTATTTGCGAACCATTCGGGAAGTCTCTCAGGCAGCTGATCAGCCTCACCTCACAGGTCCCTTCCGGCTCTGCGACTCCCCATAAAAGATCCATGCATGCAGGCTCTGGAGAAGGCACACCTCGAACCTCACCTCCCACCTCCGCCGTGCATTCTCCGCCCTTGACGCCTGCCGCCACTCGTTCGCGAGATGGCGGCAGGGCTCCCACCAGCGCTGCTCATGTGCGGCCACCGCAAGACATCATGACACCGCAGCGATCCGCCTCTCCCCAAAGGCCCGAAGGCGCCGCTCCGGTTTCGAGCCATCCCAAGTCACAGCCCACACACTCTCTCGCACCGAGCGGAGACTCGCAACCCGCCTCACAAGATGTCAGTCCGAGTGGAACACCTGCCAGTACAGCTGCTGGAACACCGAGATCCTACACTCCTACCGGCGATGCGAAGGGCAAGAGACAGTCGCAGCTCATCAGCGATGGCAATACAAAGTTCAGATTTGGAGCCAGAGATCCAGCGGTGGGATATGCAAATTCTGGACTGGGTCCTCAACTCCCGCCCAATGCTCCTGGCGCGATGCCAAGATCTGGTTCGGGACAATTCCAGACGGCGCAGAAGACCGAGACGGACAAGCGATCGAGCTTCTTTGGCGGGCACAAGAAGGAAGATACGGACAGTTCATCTACAATTGATAAAGGGCACTCGCACAGCAGTTCAAAGTCGAATCTAAAACGATTCTTCAAGTTTGGAGGTATGCAGGAAACTGGTGACTGCATGAAGCAAGGGCACAAGCGCGACTATCGAGTCGCTCCCACTTGACAGTCCGCTCTGTCGTGAACAACACGCTAACCTCTGTTCAGATCATAAAAATAAGCACCACAAAGACGACATGTCCTCGAAATCAAACGGTGGCTCGGGCACTAAAACGCCCACCCGCGCAACCTCCGGCGGCGATCAACCGGCTGTGCCCTTCGCCGACGACCATGGTTTGTCATCGAAGTACGGCAAGTTTGGGAAAATGCTTGGATCCGGAGCGGGCGGATCTGTACGACTGATGAAACGAACGGGGGACGGAACAGTCTTTGCCGTCAAGCAATTCCGGGACCGGCACGCGTACGAGAGCGAACGGGAGTACAACAAAAAAGTGACTGCCGAATTCTGCATCGGCTCCACGCTCCACCATGGAAACATCATTGAAACAATAGACATCGTCTACGAGAAGGGCAAGTGGTTCGAAGTCATGGAATATGCGCCATACGATCTGTTCGCCACGGTGATGACCGGGAAGATGGGAAGGGAAGAGGTCACCTGTTCCACTTTACAGATCCTGAGTGGGGTGCTCTACCTACATAGCATGGGGCTGGCACATCGCGACCTGAAGCTGGACAACGTGGTGATTAACGAGCGCGGCATCATGAAGTTGATTGACTTTGGAAGTGCAGTGGTCTTCCGATACCCGTTTGAGAACGACATTGTCTTGGCGACAGGTATGCATCACTTCTGGCTGATTTCGTTGACATGACTGATTTGTCTCAGGTGTTGTTGGATCCGATCCATACCTTGCTCCCGAGGTGTACGACCAAGCGAAATACGACCCGCGACCAGCCGATATATGGTCAATCGCCATCATCTTCTGCTGCATGACGTTGAGACGGTTCCCATGGAAAGCGCCGAGGGTGTCAGATAACTCGTATCGACTGTTCGTCTCTCCTCCTGACCCTGGACAAGATCAATTACTGGACGCCAACCGAAGGTCCATCGCGGCACGAGGCGGCAGCACTGCGCCTCCCTCGAGAAATGCAAGCGGTGACGAGTCCGCACAAGACTCGGAGCATAAGCACCATAAGCAGGAGGAGGCGAAGTCGCAACCCGAAGCCGCAAGCAGAGCAAGTACCGTCTCGGACTCGCAGCCTACGATCAAAGGTCCTGTGCGCTTACTTCGATTACTCCCGCGGGAGACGCGGCACATCATCGGACGGATGCTCGAGCTGGATCCGAAGAAGCGAGCGAGTACGTATCAGTCGGCATGAATGATGGATGTAGAAGAGAGAGAAAGTGTGCTGACGTGACGATAGCGATGGATGAGATCTTGGCCGACCCGTGGGTGCAGAACGCACTCGTGTGTCGACAAGAGGAGAACGGGGTGATTGTCCGAGCGCCGAACCATACCCACACATTACAACCGAGCAACGCCGGCGGAAACTAGAAGCAAAGCAAGTTGCGTTGCTATATAATGTAGTTTGGGAGGTAGCATGGCTTGAGCGAAGACGATGCCGCTCCGCGCAGGCCAAGCAGCACTGGGCACGGACGCCACAGCCACAGCCACAGCCACAGCCACAGGCACAGCCACGCCACGCCGCTAGACTGATGGCATTGCATTGCGCCATGATAACACGAGGATTCGCTGGAAGCACGTGGCTAACGGTATGCGCGGCAGGAATTGGGAATAGCTTCGATGTGTATATTGTAAGTTTGGGTGGGGAGACGAGGGTGGAAGCAGAAGATTGCACATAGAAGGAAGTAGAGGTCTGGGTCTTGCAGGAGGGAAATTGGAATGAATCAGGAATGAGTACTTGGCTGCGCGGAGTTTAGGCGTTGCCAACAGAAGGGATACGGGTCAACAGCTCGAGAAGAGTCGAGAAGAGATGATTTCGAGGGCAGGGAGGAGAAGAGTGGAGAGAGATGAGACTCTACACCGGCCACGAAGATAGAAGAGGGGTAATGAAGGTGGTAGGATGGAATACGATAGGCATGAATATGAGTTCGCAAGTCTCGAGCTGAAACAAGTGTTTCCACTGGTCTCGAGGGAGTCGGTAGTAGACAAAGCGAGGGATGAAGCTTTCTAGCAGCGTTTGCCGGCGTTTACCAACGTTTACCTGTTCCGTGGCTCTGGCGCTCTTGAAGTTTGAAGTTTGAAAGATTGAAGTCTGGGGAGAATGAAGCCGCCAAGAATTTCCTTGCCTGGTCTCGAAGCGGAGCGTCCCGTCTATCACGAGACAATGATGACGGAGCTTTACCTTATCTTTGGAAGGAAGCAGGAAGCAGGAAGCAGGCACAGCGTGATGAGACGGTTGGTGGATAAAGCTCACACTCTTTCTTTCCTCTATCTACTTGGCAGCGTTAACGTATGTATGTATGCATGTATCTATCCACATATCGTTGTCTCCTGTGCGTTTCTCTCGTCACGGTGGCACGCGCAGGGCTCGGGTGTTTCAGCATTGTGCACGTTGGGGGGTTTCGTGGGTTTGCCAATTATCGTCATTATCGTCATCCACCCACGCAATGAAGCTTGCGGGAGAAACCTAGGCATTGATCATTGAATGTGCATTTGTGCATTTGTTGTTGTTGTTGTTGGATGCTCGTTCGTTTCTGTGATGAAACCCAACGGGCCAACGGGGGCGGTCACATCATCATGGAGACGAGACGTCGTGGAGCAACAAGCAGAGGAGGGAGATGGGAAGAGGTAGGAGAGAGGGAGAGAGGGAGAGAATTCGATTGGTTGGACAGGGGAGCTACCTTACTCGCGGTCGGTGTGGAAAGAGTTTCTGTTATCCGATAAGCTGCCTGCCTCTTGCGCCCTTCTGAGATCAGAGAGATGCTCCGTAGTGCGTGGCTGGATGATGGGAAGAGGAGGAGGAGAGGCGGTTGCGTGCCGCTGGCGAGCATGATGTATATTATATTCTTACTATTCCTGACCTGTTCTGCTCTGCTTCTGCTCTGTTCTTTCGGCGCATTCGCGGCGCGGAGCAGCATCCATTGATGAACTCTCCCATCCTATCCTATCCTATCCTACCCTATCCCATTCTATTCTGTTCTGTTCTATTCTAATCCCCTGTCCCCATTCTTCTTCTTCTTCTTCTTCTTCTTCTTCTTCTTCTTCTTCTTCTTCTTCTTCTTCTTCTTCTTCTTCTTCACTACGATTGCCGCGCGGGTAGCGTACTTGGCTCTTCAACCAACACCGGCACCACCTGCCACTAGGCTTTTCTGCTGATCAACCAAACCTCACCCGTCCCTCATCACCACTCAAATACCCACGTTCGCCGCTAGACGTCGCCTTGGCCAGCCTCATCCCACTTGTTGTTGCTGCTCTTCCTGGGGCCTCTCAGCCGGAGAAGGGAGAGGAGGGAAATGTGCACCGCAAAGGTCGTGTGCCTTCTCTGATGAGCACCACCGCCGTAGACGCCGCTTTGCCGAACATGGGTCGTCTTCATCCCAAGGCTCATTTCCTCGATCTCTCCCTCGCCCACCACACCCCCTCCGGACATTCGCGAGGCCTGTCCACTTCCACCACCACCTCCTCCACCACCACCACCACCACCACGACCGTCATCACCGCCACGCCTGCTTCTTTCTTCGCCGGAGCTTCGAGAGCGGCAGAGGTGGTGCCTCTGCGCCTTGCGCCGAGAGAAGAGAGCACGCGGGTACAGCTCCAGAAACAACGTCTGCGCGACCAGCATGCCAAACAGCTCGTGAGCACCACCACCATCCCCGGATTCAAGACCTCGGCTGGTAAGTGTCAAGTCACGACGGGCAACGCGCGATGCATGCGAGAGCGCGGCGCAGATCCATCACGCCAGAGGCGTTTCCCGCGCTCTTCGTCGCCAAGTTATGCCCCAAGTTCATCCCCCCAATGCGCCCGCGTGTTCAGCCTCAATTCATCTATCGTACATATGGCTGAGCGGTACTGCACGCGAGCACGTGGGTAACCTTGCCTTGCCATTCACTGTGGAGAGAGTGGGAGAAGAAAAAATTTAGTTGTGTAAGAGGGGAAAGGGCTGACGTTCTTCATGTCTGGTGTTCTAGCCTTCTTCGCTTCCCTCCGTACGAATCTTCGCCTGCACGCCTCGCCTCCTCCCAGTCCCCTTTCGACCCCGAATTCCATGCGTGGATCCGCCGCATCCCTGCCGCCACCCTCACCCCTCTCCGTGCCCATCATGTCGGAGAATGAGAACAACGACGTCCCCCCGACGTCTGCGAGCGAGGACCCTCTCGCCGGCGTCCCCGAACTGCAAACCTACGTGGCCAAGGAACCGCTCGAGCGCGTCGACGCCCTCAAACTGGTCGCGGATAGTGTCGCGCAACAGAAGAATGCCGCCAACCGGGCGCTGCTCTTCCACCCGTTGAATCTGGGCACCCTCATCTCCATCATGGCCGTCGTGGTCCGAGTCATGCTGGATAGGAGATACGATCTGCTCGCGGCAGGCATGACATGCCTGGGCATCACGATGATCGGGTTCGTCGGCTGTCGCTACCTGACGGGCCCATACCTCGCGGCGGCAGAACGGATCAACTGGGAATGGACGGGGGATGTGGATGTCCTGATGACGAGATTCGGAGACGAAGTGATCGGGACGGTCTTGTTAGCGTGGGAATCGGGCGACAGCAAGAGGAAGGGAAAGAAAGCCTGGCGGGGGGTGATCAAGGGCTGGACGGTCAAGTTGCGCTATCGACATAAAGGCGTGGGCACCGGGCTTCTGGAAGAAGCGGTGAAGGAGGCGAAGAAGAAGGGCGCGGAGAGTCTGGAATTCGACGAGGAGCATGCCAGTGAGTCTTTCTCCTATACTATACATACATGGCAAATTGGGAGCTGGACTCGGGAATCCTGACTGACGGATTTGCAGATTCCGTGCGGATTTTACCGAATCTCTACAATGGAAGCTTCGACCGGAGCGAGCGCATGGCGCGGGAGAAATTGCAGGCGCTGCTCGAGAGCAGTCCGGTGAAAGGGAAGAGGAAGTGAAGAGGACGAGGACGAGGAACGAGGAACGAGGACGAGACCCACGATTTATAACGAACGAAATTTTTTCAAGCTCTTTGTTGTGTGTAGAAAGACGGTTAATAGAATAGAAGTGAAGTGAGGTGGCAAGGGAAGAGGAGAGTATATTATTATATTGGAAAGCAGTTTCAAAGGCCCTTGCAGCTTTCGTCTACTTGTATGCCATGACATTATTGGATCCATCTGCTGGTGGTGGTGGTGGTGGTGGTGGTTGTGTTGTGGGCTGCCCCGCTGGCTGGTCAACAAACCGGGATTCCCGAGCCTCGGTTCTCGGGCGTGCTCGACGCCACCTCACTCGCTGCTTGGAAGTACTACATACATATCACATTCTATGTCGACTATCTATTTCATTAAACACCAAGATAAGATTCTCGAGCGAGCGATCGCACCCTTCTCTCTGGCAGCTGGGGCGGGCCGGGGATGGACTTCGGTGCATCTTCTCTCTTGTGTCCACATCGAAGGGGAAGGATGAGAGAGGTTTCTGGAGGCACATACGAAGTATTCTACATGTCTCCTCGAAGTAGAATAAATACATGTCCCTGGAGGGACATCCGTTAGTGTGCCGTCTCGGACATCCAATGCGACAAGTCGAGAAAAGGTACACAGGTAGGAGAGTGTTCCACGCGGATCTGCAGCGGCTAAGGTAGGCCTAGGGCTCTTTTGAGTCTCTTCTATACCTTGACGTGCTGCACTCCCGACGCCTTTGGAACTCTCTTCGAACGCATTACGCGGGTCGTATGCTTCTAGGCGTGGGGCTTCCGGGTTAGTCTGGTCGAACGGGTATCGCACGGGTGGGTGGTGGTTTAGACTTCGCGTTCCGTAGGAGATGGGGAGGCTCCGAGCGATGGTGGACGAGATATGATGAGTATATGTTTGGTCCCCCTCCTCCCGTTTTCGTCTTCCTTGGCTTGCAGCTCTGACCTTTGCCTTTCCTTGGTTGGATTTCCGTCCTGCAGTAACTTATCCACCGCTCCGGGACGTGTTACCCGCGGGGGATCCCTACTCATCATCACTATGCCAGGCTTCCTCAAGGCTCTCGCTCTCGGCTCTGGCCTCGTCGCTTCGACTCTCGCAACTCCCACTCCCATCCAAGTCGAGCGCGAAGCCGTCACTCCCGCTCCAACCCTCCAAGAGCGCGCCGCAGCCATCTCCAACCAAGCCGAGCTCGACAATGCCGCCTCCAGTTTCAGTGCCGACTTCGCCTCCGTCCTCGCCGCCGCCTCCGTCGGCGAGGCCATCTTCACCAACATCGTGCCAGCCCCGGGCCCAACCGCCATCCCCCAACTCCAGCAAGAACTCCAGACCATCGCCGAAGCTAACCCCAACGACTTGTTCAAGTCCGGAATGGAGATCCTCTTGAACGGTCTGGCCGGAGGCGACTACGCGGACATCATCCAGGCGTATGCCGTCGAGAACAACCAGGACAACGTCAACCCCATCCCCGCTCCCGGGATCTACCCCAAGAAGGAGTCGGACGACGCGCCGTACGATTTGTCGGAGCAGCAGCTGAGGCAGATCATCTACATCCCTCCCGACTTTGGATATGGAAAGAACGGACTGATGCCTGTCTTATTCTTGCCCGGCACTGGAGCTGTGGCGGGCTCGAATTTCGGTCCCAACTACGGAAAGCTGTTGAAGGCGCAGGGTGTCGCGGATCCCGTCTATGTCAATTTTCCCGGTGAGAATTTGGCGGATATTCAGGTTGCGGCGGAATATACGGCCTATGCTATCAACTACATCTCTGCCATTTCGGGAGGGAAGAACGTAAGTCGTCCATATGTTTTCATGTGTACGACTACAAAACTAATAATGTATATGCCCACAGGTCTCCACGATCTCCTGGTCCGCCGGCTCCCTCGACGGCCAATGGGCGCTCAAATACTGGCCCTCGACCCGCAAAGTCCTCTCCAACAAAATCGGCATCTCGCCCGACTACCACGGCACCATCGAAGCGCAACCCCTCTGCCCGGGCTTCCCCACCCCGGGCTCCGTCCCCGCCGTCTGCCAGCAGCAATACAATTCCACCTTCATCCGCACCCTGCGCAACCACGGCGGCGACTCCGCCTACGTCCCCACGACCAACATCTACAGCATCTTCGACGAAATCGTCGAACCCCAACAGGACCCCAACGCTTCCGGCGCCCTGCTCGACGCCCGCGGCGTCGGCGTTTCCAATTTCGAACTCCAGGCCGTCTGCTCCGCCCTCCTCCCCGGGGGGTCGTTCTATAACTCCCACGAAGGCGTCCTCTACAACGCCCTCGGCTACGCTCTCGCCGTCGATGCTCTCCAGAACGGCGGCCCGGGTCAGTTAGGCAGGGTCGATGCTCTCTATCAGTGCGAGCAGTTCGCCACGCCTGGGCTGAGTCCCGCGGATGTTTTTGCTACGGAGGCGTTGATTCCCGAGGCTGTGGTTGCTATTCTGGCTTTTGTGCCCAAGGTTGCGATGGAGCCGCCGATCAAGGCGTATGCGCAGAAGGACGTTCCGCAGTAGGATCGCGTGAGAGGAGAGGAGAGGAGGGGATGCGAGCGAGCGAGCGAGCGAGCGACGAAGAGTTGCTTTTTGTTTACCTTCCCAGTGATGAATGATTGATTGACGGACGAGATGACATGAGATGAATCAAAAACGCTTTTCCCTTTTTTCGAGAAATTCCTTTCGCTTTTTGGTTTTTCTTCTTTTCGTTTGTCTTTTGATCTTTTGCTCTGCTCTGCTCTGCTCTGCTCTGCTCTGCTCTGCTGTGCTGTGCTGTGCTATTACCTTGTCTCGCGTCATCTGCACCGTGTATGTGCAGTGCACTTCTAGGGCGGGCAATTTTTTGATGGGAGGGCTTTTTCCCTTGGTTGAGATGTCTTCCGTTCCAGGGCAAGCAAGTTTTTTGCGATGTCGTGAATGAATGCATGAGTAGCAGCAGCAGCAGCAGCAGCGAAGCGAAGCGAAGCGAAGCGAAGCCGCTGGTGGTGATGGGTTTGTTGATGAGGCTGGCGTGTCTGTTCGTTCGCTCGGTGATGTGGGTCGGTGGGTCGGTGGAATAGATCATGGAATGCAAAAGAGGGGGGGGTCGGGGGTTTCAGAAATGCGGTGGGTGTGGTGTGGTGTGGTGTGGTGTGGTGTGAGGCTTATGGTTTTTGGGGTGTTGATTGTTGGTTTTCCAGCCGACGAAGGGAGGGGAGAGGAGAGATGGAGGGAGAGAGAGGGGAAAAGAGAGAGAGAGAGAGAGAGAGAGAGAGAGAGAGAGGTTCAGGGTCAACGTTGCTATCGATGGCGAGGTTTGCCTTCCTTGGTGCTACCTCCTTCTTACCTCAGGCGTGCTTCGAGAGACTCCCTCTTCCACAACCACGATCTATATTCGGTCGAGTTAGTGAAGCAATTTCCTGCAGCGCGACTTAAAGACAGAACGCGCCGGCTTTGGTGCGGTTGCATTGATCAAAGGGACACCGGGGAATCCCCAATAGATTCCGCCAAGCCAAGCCAATATAGCTCACTACACGTTGTCAGAATTGGTGGTGAGATTATATAAATGTGGCTGTGGGTGTTTCAGGAAAGGAATTATGTATTCAAGACTGTCATTCAGAAGACTATAACTTGCAAAGTGTATGGACTGGATTCTGAAAACTGCCGGCTTTATAGAAGTCTACTAGATTTCCCTACCCCTGCTGTAATTTTATAAACAAGTATATATATATATATGTATATATATGCGGCAATCTGTATACGAGATCCCTTAGAGATGTCTCTCTAACAATCTCTTAGTGGTTCTATAATCGGACAAACTATTGCTGTTTGACCGTAGCAAGGCAGGGGAAACTTGTTAGCCACACACAAACAGCGCGTTTTGCCTTACGGACTCCCGCGCAACTTTCTAGTCCGCACGGGTTTGACTGGAGATAGCCTTGGTGCGGAATCCCGACAAAATGGGTCGCTTCATTCTGCTGCTCTGTCTTCTCCTAAGAAACTCCTTACAGCTCATTGCCCCAGAAGCTTATCCTAACAGCCATATTCACCACTATCTATGCCAGACTAGTCTGCCTCCGCATACGTGGGATATCAATTACCTTTTCCCATGCGTGTATCTTCGAATGCTCATGTCTGGCTTAGAGGGGAACTGCTTCTCCTCCCGGTCTCCAGCTCTGAGACACCTCGTGACATCGACATCTTCGACATCTTGCTCATCTTGCCTCTTGGTACGCAAGCTGTGGATACCTCAGAGACATCTTGATCAACTGCTCGATGTGATCACCGGCCAAGCCGCCGAAAGGGAGCTCCATCTCCAAAGTCCAACGCAGAGTCCGCCCATGCCCGTCCACGAACTCAACATTGACATAGTCAGCGCCGAAGCCCCCTTTGAAGAAGTGCATGCGGCGCCAGCTCTCGTTTCCAGACTCACGCTTCCCAACACTCGTGTCGGATCGTTTCGGAAAGATTTTAATCTTGAGGTTGAGCATCATGAGGCGGCTTTTCCACCTGTATGCTGGGATTCGATCGTTCAGGATTCGGAAGCCTCTTTCGTGACCGCAAGGAATGGAGCTTTTGGAGCGAGTGCGGTCACCCCACAATCCGCTGGATAGAAGTGGATTGTAGCACCCGTCTTGCTGTGTGACTCTTTGGATGAGAGGCACTGCGGCCGCTTGCTGGAAGAAGAGCTTTCGCTGTAGGTGAATGGAGCCGTCGATAACATTCTTGAACGTCTTCGACACGCGCTGGAAGAGGAGTAGTGTCTTGTTGTCGAGCTTCAAAAGGATGGCTTCCAGTATCTCGGCCGTATCAAGTCCCGCTTGTACTGCAGACATGATGGTGATTGTGATCTTCGAGATAGCGCAGTATGCGCGCGTTGCTATAGCCGCGATGTCGTTTTATTGTTGCTTTGGTTGGAAGAATATTGAAGTCAAGTCAGTTGGTAGCCCTGATGCTAGTCGCGACTCGCGAGAGGCACAAGCTAAAGCGTCGCGCTAAGAATAAGCGACGTGGGTGGCGCTTTCACATGCCTGCCAGATTATTTCAGGTGCTGTCCATTCTCACACGTGGAGAAAGCTCAATGTTTTGTGATTGAGGGCCGGCCTCGCTTCATCCCGTCAGTTTGACATGGCGCGTTTGCACATGGGATTGTTATCTCGACGGTCGCGGTCGCCGATTCTGCGCCATCCGGCTCGCTGTTGCCCTGACTTTGCTAGGATTTTCGGGAAGACAGTATTGTCCCACTGTGTGAAGACGCCGTATTCTCAGCCTTTCGCCCTTCGAGCCGCGCCAAGGTCGACGTCGAGCTTTTGAGATATCGTCATGCCTGGAAAGCCGTGATGAGGTTCCAATGGGCTATTGAGGTGCTGTCGGTCAACGAGGTTCTCTCCTGCGGTGCGCTGAAAAAGATCGGCGCCTTTCACTTTCCAATCTGCCCAATGATGCTGCTGCTGTTGGAAGCTTTTGTGTCTCCCGCGGCAATCTCGATCACTTCGGCCATTGTGTAGCCCTCGTGCAGGCGATTTTGTGACCTTCACTCAGATATTGCTTTCGGGGCCTGCTGGGAGCCATCTTCATATTCGTTTTCAGGGACAGCAACATGATCCTTTCAGGCCAAGGGTCGATGCATACATCCTGTTCAAGGTAATCGGACATGCTGATATCTTATCTGCCACGTGTAATTGCGGACTGTTGGACCAGGCTTCCGCTTCCTGTAATCAACGGAAGGCAAAGCTAGCAGCTTATGCTGTCCGTTCTGATCGAGCAGAATTGTAGGGAGCTGCCGGCGGATGTAATCAGGAAGCGCAACTGTTCGCTTTATGTCGTGCCAATCATCACTGTTCATGATTCCTGCTGGTTTGTCTGATAGGTCTCGGACTAAGACCCTATAACGCTTTGCTTTGCTCGACTCCTCAATGCTTGCAGCACGAATCCAGTATTGACCATCATACAAATGCCATTGTGTCCAGAATAAGCCGTCTTCCTCGTTGTAGTGCTCGCGAGCTCCCAAATCTAACTCTGTCTGCTCGGATCTTGGCCTTGGTTGGCGAAGCATCTCGAGTACCAGCTTTGGGGATTCCGAATCCTCCAAAGCACCTGCGGATTTTATTTGCATGTAGACGCCCGAGATCGTGATTCCTGCTCTAATCGCATAAGCCTTTTGATTCTCAGGAAAGACAAATTCGACAGCATGATCCAGATCCTTCAGCGATATGTCTTTGTCTGACCGGACAAGGCATAAAAGCTTTCGTAAAATAACGGCTTTGACGGACTCGCTCTCATCTCGATATCTGTGCAAGGAATTCAGGGAACATTCGACGCCTCCAGATCGCCACAGCATATTGATCGAGGTATCCTCTAACAGTTGAGCCGCTCGTTGTCGCACACGCTCGTTACGCTGGACCATCCGCGTTGCTAGCTGGCAGAGGCTGTCCTGCTTCAATGCTCTTGGAAGAAGATTCTGCTTCAGTAGTAGTCGCAGTGTGTTCCGCACAGTCAGACTAGTATCTGAATTTGTCTTGTCGTCAAACCAAGTTGTGTTGGCCTCTTCGCAGACACGGACCAGTTGGTTTTTCGAAAAGTTCAGCAATGGCCTTAGAATCTTCACACCTCCATCCTCAATGACGATCTCAGTGCCACCTTTGGGGTCGACATAAGTCCTTGGCATTCCAGAATGGTCGACACCATAAATTCCCCGACATTCGGGGATATTGGCAACGATCTGAATGCCTTGCAATCCAGTCCCCAAATAATTCGCACAAATCCTCGAAAGCACCGTCTCAGCTTGATCATCCGCGTGGTGTCCGACCAGGAGTTGTTGAATGCCCTGTCGGTAACACGCTCTACCCAGAGCCTGGTAACGAAGTCTTCGCGCAATCGTCTCAAGATTCGTGAGGGTCTTCAGATCACCGTAAGCGCCCCAGTCTAACTCGAGGATCTGTGCTCGAATATTAAGTCGCTCAAGCTCACTGGCGGCCTTCTTTGCCTCCTCCCCGCTTCCGCGACGCAGTTTGTGATCGACAATGAACCCCATGAAATCGTGCTGATTTGACGTGCTGCTGCAGATCGTTGCAAGAGCCATTGAATCAACGCCGCCACTAATTGCCAACCCTTATACCTCGCTGAGCACAATTGTATGGAGCAGTCGGCGACAGGGAGCCCAACCAAGGCGTACGTACGTACCTATTCTTCGTCTCTTTTGGCCATCTTGCCAGTGCTTCGTCAGAAGTCTGGTGACTTCTTCTTGTGCCCCCTTGATTACATTGCTTGCTGATAGAGCACGTCCATGCATATCGAACCGGACTTGCGTCGTGATCAAAGAGCCACATAGATAGAGTCTTGATGGAAATGGCAGCACAGAAATGGGAAGGCTTTTGCTCAGACGGTCGAAGTTACCCAGCGAGCGTCTGTGCATTGCTGACTCAGCGAAATGTGTACCTGAGGCTGCCACCAAAATTATGGAAGGACAGCTCTCTGCAAAACGGGTACGAGTAAACATTGACGTAGATGAACAATCTCTTTGCGATTTGGAATTGCATACATAATCACAGTCTGAAGCACAGGGGTATAGGCGCTGAAGCACGCACCGCTAGAACTCCTCCCAGATGCTTCCCTCCGCGATTCCTTCCCAGTGCGCCCTGCAAAAGACTCCTGCATGCATGACAAAAGAAGATAATCCCACTACTCCTCTGCAGCCTCCGCCATGACCGATTCTCCCTCATCCAAGACGCCCATGACCGTCTTCAGATTCTTCAGCATCTCTTCTGCGTGTGCCACAAGCAAAAGCTTCTCTGCATTCGCCGGTAATCCGAGATAAGTAGGTGGCTCACGCTCTGGCAACTCCTTGACCCACTGCAAGAAGACAGACTTTGCTGTGCCATTCGGCAACGGCATGCCCACAGCGGAGTCCTCGGCCACCTCGCCGATGAGGTTGAAGCCATCTTCAAATGCTTCCGCAGTCATCGTTTTGGTAACCAGACCCTTCAGTTGTGCCATGTCCTCTGCATCATCAACTTTGCCACCATACATCTCCGAGATGAGTTCGCGCAGCATGTCCCACGGTATGCTCTTGGGCGCGACATTTGAGCGGCCGCGGGCGACATTGTCGGTCCACCACTGGATAATGAAAGCCGAGCAGTCGAAGTCCGCGTCATTGAACTCCCAGAATCCCTTCCAGCCCAGACGAGGTGCATATCGGAGGCGCTCTTGGACGACAGCATGGAGGAAGGATAGCAAGAAGTGTACGCGCGCTTTCTCCACAGGCTGTTGCATCGCTTTCTCCGGAAGTGATGTAAGAGTATCCCTCATGTTTGCTCGAATACCAGCTGGCTGCTCGTACATGAGAACCCTTGACGCGCGCAGCAAGCTTGATGGAATCTTGGGGCTTGTCTCCATCGACAAGAAGAGGCGGAAATCCTTGTGTGGCTTAAGCGAGTCGATCCGCTTAACGAGATTCTGCAACCATTCTGTTGCAAGATGCACGTTCTTGATAAGGACCCAAGAGCCGTTGGCAGCTGCACCAGCGAGAGCAGCGTCGGCGCTTGAAACACCTTCGCTTGAACCCATAGCGACACTCGCGCAGTTCGCTTGCGTACGTTCCACCAGTTGGTCGACCTTGTACGAGGCATCGAACCCAGGACTGGAACACAGTGCAATTGGCGAGCTGGCTGTGTTGTCTTGCGCAATGCGGCCTAGATCTTCGGCCACATCGAGGAATGAATGTCCAAAGACCGCATTGATGAATCGCTCAGTCGCTGGGACGAGGCGGTCCATTCGGAACAGCTTGACCATGACAAGCTCCTTGAGCGCTTTGTCGTTTCCATTACCAGTCACTTGCGAGGCGCCTGGTACACAATCCTCGGCTCCCTCAGCAGAGAAGAATGTCTCCCATTCTGGAGAGTTCATGTCGGCCACAAGATCAGTAATGCCCTTGATCCGAGATGCAAGTGCCACTGCTTTGTCCTTGTGGTCTGGTGCAGAGTTGACATCGGCACCAATAATCGTCTCATCGAGCAGCGTATCTAGGAAGGTCTTGTCCATCGGGAAAGGAGCTGCTTGAGCCAAAAGTACCGCAAAGGTGAGCCTATCCTTCTGCAGCAACGATGCTGAGGTTTCGTTGTAGGTTTTGCCAAATAGAGATCGCACAATCGAGTCAATGCGCTTCTTCGGGTCACGCTCGCCAGATTCTCTTGCTGATCGCAGAACAGCCTCGAAGATATCCACAAAGTACTGCAGCGAGAATTGGTAGAAGTGATGAACGTGATAGAGCTGCTCGAGAACCGCAAAGATGGCAGAGCAAGATCTTGCAATGATGTCGTAGGTGCTCATGATGTTGTTGACCTCGTTCATGACGCCCTCCGTCTCAGATGCCTTTGCCGTGATTTCGGCCGCCTCAGTCTTGAGAGTCTCGAGTGTCTGGATGACATTCTCGTCGTCGAGAATGTTTCCACGAGAGTCGTTGAGAGCCTGCAGCAACATGCGCTCCAGGCGTCTGAGTCGCTGAGTAAATTCGCCTTGCATCTTGACGAGGTTGGAGCGACGCTCATCCACGTCAGGACGCTCCGACTTCAGCACGTCATTGAGAGTCTGCGTCTTCAAGCTGCTCTGTGTGACCGTGAAATTGACGAAAGTCGTTCGGCTACACACGTCTGGTGCGAAAGGCGCCGAAGGGTCTTTGGTTGAGAGGTAGAGCTTGAAGGCTGGCGAAAAGTCGATCTCTTGCCTTCCAAGCTGAATCAGGACACGACCTCCTGTGCGCTGGTATTCTTTGTTGAGAACATGGTTCAAGATTGGGTCAATGTGCTCAGCGTCCTGAATGAGGATCGGGTTTCCAAAGCGCAGCGCACTTTCCAGTTGCTTGACGAACGAGCTGTCCAGGAAGCTCGTGACAGTGAGACGTCGTTCCTTGCTTTCGTTCTGCAGAAATTCCGTAACGCGTCCAGAGGGGTCGATGATCAGTGGATAGCGATTGTACCTCTTAAGCATGATCGCATTCTCAGTGCAAAGCTCATCGACAGGCAGCGCGTTCTCGTGCCATTGCTGTCGCTCATCGGCGGTTGACAAGTACTCCGAAAGAGCGTTCTGCGCCTTGAAGGCAATGCCAGATGACGAGAGCTGCAAGGACCAATCTTCGAGCATGGCACGACGGTACTGCTGATCGTACAAGCCGGCGTAGGCTAGGAAAGCTGAGGCGAGAAAGACGTCGCCGATGATGGTCTCCATCTGCACTTGGAAGGTCTTGCTGCTTTCCTCCCAACGGCCACGCTCGGATGACAAGCTGTTCAGTAAACGCATGCTGCGGTCAACCTTCGATTGCACCCTACCCATCTCGGCTTTGATGGCTTCCGTCTGGCTGATGAGCTGGGCGTACTCCCCTTTGTAGGTTGCGATGCTCTGTTCAAGCTCCTGGAGCGTGTTCTGAATCGCCTTGGCCTCTGCCTTGGTTTGCAGAGCTTCTTCTTGGAGCTGATCGACTTCTTCGCGCAGAGGTCCAACTCGATCAAGGATCTCGGAGTAGTTAACTTGAGCCTCAACCCATTGAACAAGCGGCCCGCAAGCTTTGGATGCTCGGTTGACACGCTCGAAAGTGAACTCTTCCTTGGACAAGTAGTCCGCCTGCATCTTCGCCCGGTGTTGCGGCGTCATCTGCCTCTCGTTGTCGTAGCCAACGATGCTGGCAATGAAGTCATCGCGACGCACAATGCTGACAATGGTCTTCCAGTCGTTCGCTCTGTGGCCAAGAAGTGTGCAAACGGATTCCAGGGCAAGCTTGACACCGGCAGGCGGGTTTTGCATAGACCTCACTTCAGTCAAGTGCTGCCTCTTGATGTTGCTCACACTGCGCTGCGCTTCCTCGACGGCAGGCTCAGCTTTGGCCAGATCATTCAATACGACTTCTCTCCGCGTTGCGACTTCCTTCTCTTGCTTCTCCAGCGCAGCTTGGATCTCCAGCGACGCAGCTTGTCTTCTCTCTGCTTCTCTCTGGTCAGCTACCATTCTCTGTAATTTCTCACTGGCTTCCGCATCTTTCTTCTCAAGCTCAGACTTCTTCTCTGCCAGACTCTTCTTCAATTCGGACACTTTGTCCACAGTCTCGCGAAGCTTATCGAGACCGACGTTCAAATGCCGCTGTTGTTCCTCCAGGTCATCACGCTTCTCATTAAAAAGCTTGACGAATTGGGCAACAAAGTCGAGAAATTGGCGAGGCGTCAGGAATGTTGTCCTGTTCTGCTGGCGCTTCAGACGATCGTTGAAGAAACGAAGAGAGTGGTGGACGTGGACCATGGAGTTCACCACGGCATCGCGGTGTGAAAGTGGCATTTCGAGTTGGTCAAATGCGATTGGCAGGCTGTCCGGCGCGCTGTAGTTGCCCTTATCGATGTCGACCGATTGTGTAAGCTCAAAGGCGACCTGGTAAAGAGCTTGATCGGACCAGTCGCCGAACCAGTTCAGCACGCAACGGTTGAACAATGCAGGACTGGTGGCTGCCTTGGACGACAGGCCTTCAGATGGTGGGTTCATGGTAAAGACGACGTGCAAGTTGCGCACAATCTGCTGGGTAAACCACTTGTAGAGCTCTTCTTGCGAGTCGAGAAGAAGACCTTGTCGCTGTGCGCCTTCCTTGCAAGCGGTCATGAGAGTCGCATATTCGTCGCCCTCGAACAGACCCGGGACTTCTCCGTTTGCCAGAAGAGTGTTCATGCGCTCTAGGAATCCAGAGTCAAGAACATTTGATTCGTCCATGATGAAACAGATCTTCTCTCCCTTGCAACCGCATCTGCGTAGCACGTTGCGCAAGTCTTCGTCAAAATCTTCAGAAGAGTATTTGCCGTGCACCTTGATTTGGAAAACGGAAAGACCATTCATCCAGGCGACGAAGCGCGAGAGGGTCGTCTTGCCACTTCCGCTAACACCGATAAGAATCAGGTGACCTTGAGGTTGTCTGAACACACGGTCAATGCGGAGAACATGCTCGAGTACATCATTGAAGAGGATCAGCGGCACGTCCAGCTCTTCTTCGCAGAAAGTGCGCAATCTAGCCTTGACGAAATCTCGCAGCTGATCACGCGCGACTGGCACATAATTCTTCGAGAGCCAGTTGGAGAACAGAATGGGTCGCTGAAGCGCAACTTCTTCGTCGATGTTCGGGAAGTGCTCAAGTGCAACTTGATTGACGGTTTCCTCGGTCCACTGTCGCTCGTCATCTGCAATCAGACGATCTGAGAACAGTCGGAGCGCCTCATGCGTCCATATGCGAACAAGACCTTCAAGCGACAAGGTCTCAAGTGGACGAATGGCCTCGTAGATGGCACGCACCCATCTCGTGAGTTCACGAGGCGAGTAGACGTAATGCGGTTGTATCTCCGGAGTGAATCGCTTTTGGGACTGCATATAGACTTTTATCATGGCTTGGGTCAAAGAGTCAGCGTACCCACGCAACGTTGGGATTATCTTCAACACCGCATTGTTGAATGTTCCGTAGATCTGTTTCAATGAAACTTCGCCAGGGTAGTCAACCATGACGAGAGGCGCATGTCGCAAGAATCGCAAGCCGAGTGGAGTACGTCCTGCATCTGTGGGAGGGTTACAAGCGCCGACGAACTGGACGCGCTCGAGACTGACCCAGCTTTTAGTCGAAGTGCGCCAGAAGCCCCCGTGCTCTACCAGCTGTCTCAGGAAGGAGATGACGCGCTGCGTGCCGTATTTATCGGGAGCCGGCAAGTTAATCTCGTCGCAGAAGACGACGAGCCACCTGCCGATCTGTCTTGGAGCCATGGTAACTCCGCTGAGTGACTTCTTGTAATCACAATATTGCTCGAGCGTCTTAACGAGCAAATCCGGCGTTGTAGCACTGGAGAAGTTGAGGCCCACAACTTCCATGTTCGGGAGCTTGCGAAGAGCGCTGAACAGCGTCATCGTCTTACCAGAACCAGGTGGACCACAAAGCAGCAGTGGCTTGTGCTCTGCTAAGAAGGAGTAGAGGACTTCCTCGTGTCTGACGGTGTCCAACGTTGGGATAACGAGATCCGTCTGGGTCACGGAGTGCGTGTTGACCTCGATAGATGGGACTTGGTTCTGCCATGAGCTCCAAGCCGCACCAGGAAGATCGACATCGTAATCGATCAAAGATGTCTGCTCGGAGAGGATTGGCATATCGAGGGTGACCAGGCCTGCTAGGTAGTCGCCGAAAGCTTTGCGTTCCGCCAGAGGACAATCTCCCGTGAAAGACCAGACCGCCGCCAAAAGGACCTTCTTGGACAGGTATGCTTCGACCTGATCGTCGTCGAGCGGGAAGTCTGTATGTTGGATATTGTACTCCAATACAGAGCGGCAAGCTTTCCTCAGCAGTGAGAACAGGGTGCCAACAGCACGAATTGAAGTGAAAGTCATGATATGGCGCATCTCAAAGCATTGTTCGATCGCCTTCTTCACAAAATCATTCTCCGTCAGTCTGCGATTGAGGATCTCAGCCATCAGGTTCTGGACAGTGAGTCTGGCTTCGGTGGATGTTGACGTGCCAGTATCTTCTTCCAGATCTTCGAATGTTGCAGTTCGCAGTTGCGCGATATATCGCGAGAGCATAACGTCGATATCAACGGTGTCGTCGCTGAACCAGACCATACCACAACGACTGACGGTGGCAAGAGTGGCGTATCGAAGAGTCTCGACTTCGAACATCACTCTCACGTTCGACGGAAGGCCGAGACGCTCACCATTGGGCAGTGTGAGCAATTTATTGTCATCCAGAACACTGTTCAAGTTCTCGACCCATTCAGGATCCACGTCACCGTCAAAGACGATCCAGTGACGCTTGCTGTCTTCTCCACGAAGGTTATCGACCACCTTTCTGAGGATGCTGGTGAAAAGTCCGTCGGTCCACTCGCGAGTCGTGCTGTCCAAGCTACCGTAAAGGCTCTCCTTGGACATCACCTTTGGATCAATGACATGGCAAACACCCTCGATGCCGTCCACCTTCTGAAGCGCGGCTAATAGGGCCTGCCATGCGGTCGACTTTCCAGTTCCCGAATTTCCAACCATCATGACACCGTGATGCAGGCTTTGAATTTGATAGAGCTGCAGGACCTTGGTGAGCCATGCATCTGTCGCCACAAGTTGACGCTCCTGAACAACTTTTTGAAGAGCCTCGCGAAGTTTGTCCAAGGATGCTGGCACGTAGTGGACGCCCGGAAAAGCCTCGCCTTCGATCTGTTTCATGAGAATGGCGTCGTCTCTGACCATCTTTGGAGCAATGGTCTCACGAATGCTTTGTACGATGATCTGTGGCTCCACAACGGTATCTGCAGCTTGCTCCTGCCCAGACGCCATCCGAGCTCGCTTCAGGCCACCTGAGCTCACCAGTACACTCTTCAATGCACGTAGACCGAAGTCATAGTGAGGCTGCTTGGATAGCGTCGCACCGCACGTATCGAAGAATGGCACTGTTTGTCTCGACAGCGTCTTCGCCTCGGAGAAGCCTTGGGAGAACAGCATGACTTCTGCGATGATTTCCTTGTCAGGTTTCGACATGGCCACACTACGGAACAGTTTCTTCAAATTGTCTGGTAAGTTTGAACGTCCAGCGTATCCGGGATTCATAGTTATGAACAGTCCCGTCAGAGGATGGACCTTGAGCTGCCGGCCGATGAGGTCGATCTGAGCAGAGGAATCAAGCGCACGCTTCTTCAAGCCAACCTGAATGTTCTGGATCTGTTGTGAGACGGCTGAAAGAATACGCTCTTCCAAACGGTTGAACTCGTCAAAACAACCCCAGGCGCCGACTTGTGAAAGACCCAGGAAAATACGTCCCATGGCCTGAAAGTCGAAGGTATCGTCACAGTTGAACACTAATGTGAAGCGCCCGAGCTGCACACCCAGAGCCTTGACCGATTCCGTCTTGCCAGTACCTGCTGGTCCGTATGGAGAACCACCTAGGCGCTGGCAGAGAGCCTGGCTGAGAGTGAGGAAACAGCGATCTGTGAGGGGTGTTCTCACCAAACGCTCAGGTACACCAAGGTATTCGAATCCATATGCAAGAGTCGCGTTGGCCACTCTGATCTGCATCCGGTCGAGTGGGGCCGCACTGGCATCAAAATCGTAACGCATTTGAAGAAGCCAAAGGTAGTGCCCAGGAGAGTCGGCGCCACCATTGATCAGCTTCTCGATTGTGTCACGCTGGTGGACGAACTCAGTGATGAGATGCTCGCACTTCTTCCGATAAATAGGCTGCAAGTCGCGCAGGACTGACGCGGCAAGGAACTTTAGTCTGTTGACTTGGGTCTCGAAGAGCTTTTGCAATGCGTCGCCACCTTGTTGCAGAGCGGCACCAACACGTGACGTCCAGAATGCTTGGGTTGCCAGAACAACGATCTGTGCTGGGAATTTTTCGATGTACGCCTCAAAACCGCCCTGATCCTCCTCCTCTAGAGCCTCAAACTCTTGCACTGCGTCAGTGAGGAGCTCAGACAAAGTGTCCCGCATGCCGTTCTCCAGCGCACGCAGCCAGTCGTTAATTTTCGGCGTCTGTATCAGGTTTATCGGCGTCCTCAGCACGACTTCTTCACCCTCGCGAGAGGTGAGCCCTGTGATGTTGGATTCTTCGTCCATCGTCAATCCCGAGACACCAGCAAACATCTTGCGCAGATGCTTGGCTATGCGCAAGGTGTCGTTGCTGTTGCCAATGATCTCCAGAAGGTCTTCGTCACCAACGAAGTAGAACCGCGGGAAAGCTACACGTTCCTTCTCAAGGTATTCTCCCAGTGCCTTTTGGATCTTATTGAGCAGATCAGCCAAACGCTCCAGGGAGCGCTGAACATCTGGTATATTGAGTACTTCGAGCACCTGTGGCGAACGGTAGACCTTCTTGAGCACATTCATGAACTCGCTGTTGATGTTTGCGAACCGTGACGACTCGACAGGAAGCAAATGCTTGATATCGGCGTTACCCGTGAACACTCCTTCCAGATAGACCCACTGGCGCTGAACGTCGATCCAGACATCAAAGAGAACGTGAATGCGGTTCAGCTTGTCTTCCCAGGACGACGCTTCTTCCTCAAACTCCTTGTAGTAAGGCGAGTGTCTCATGGCTTGCAGCGAGTTGAGATGATCGCTGCACTTGGCAAAGAGATCGTCCCACCCGCGAATGAGGCGACACTTGTTCTGGTAGTTGACCAAGTCCAGGGTGTAATTTTGCCAATGCTCCCGCACGGACCTGACGAACTCTTCCAAGGCCATCTCACCCTGAGCCTGCGCAATAACATCGCGGATTACCGTTTCGCTCGGCCCGAGCTTCAGATCCCAAACGTCCCCCAACGTCATGGAAAGAGCCGAATAGCGCTTTGAAGGCTGCAGATTCTTGAAGATTTTGACCCAGTGACGCTCACGGACGGCATCTGACCGCATCTCGGTGAGCAACGGGTTGACCTTGAGTAGTTGCCGCAGTTCAGATTGCAAATGCTCAAAAGCAGCGTAAGAACGCATGCGGCTGGGCATCTCCTTGGTAGTCTTGATGAGGTTGTCGAGGGACTGCCGCAGCTTGCGTGGCTGTATGCTATTCCATGGCTGATCTCTGAGATCGTTGAGCTGCTCCCACACGACAGTCAAGTTGGCCCAGACTGACTTGTAGTCCTGCACTTCCGCGAGTAGGTCCGCAAGCATGTTGTCAGGACTAGAGGGAAGCTCGAGTGCCTCCTTTGCTTTAGAAACCATTTCGGCCTGCTCCTGTAGTTGACTGAGCTCCGTATCGAAGTTTTCCAGTGTCGAGACAGCCTCTGCGGGTGGGATGTTGCCCGACTCCGGTCGCTCTTCTCGCCATCGGTCAGTCATCTCATTGATGCGCCGCGAGACCACGCCATCTTCGGCAATAATCTTTGTGCGCAGGCCTTCGGTGTGGTCCGCGATCTGCTTGCTCTTCTTGTCGAGCACCTCCATAAGAGCGGCCCATTCATGATCGACTTGCTCAACGTACAGCCAATCTTTGGGAAACTGAAATCGCAGTCGTGACAAGGTCTGCTGCCCTTGTCTGAAAGTAGCCATCTCAGGCTCCCACACCTTGGTCTGACGCTTGCACGTCTGGACGACAGTAATGAAAGAGACGGCCTGGGACGTCGACGATGCCTGCATTGATTGGCCTTCCAAATCTTTGCGGGCTTTCTGCAGCTCTGCGTACACGTCCACGAGGCGAGTAGCGAACATGCTCGAGAAGTGGCCCAGTAGATCGTGCTGCCACTGGTCGTACTTCGCATTGACCTTGGCCTGTACCTGTTCGTAGTTGATGACAAGATGACCAAAGGACCGGCGCATTCCAGAAGTGTCGAATGTCTCTCGCTTCTGACGGATCTCCAGAATCAGTTGAAGCCAAAGGTCAAGTTCCTCTCCCAGGTCATCTTGGATCTGTTGTAGCTGCAGGTCCCAAAGTGACTGGAACTGTAGCCACTCTTCGACATACGTTTGCCCGACGCTCAGCTTGGCCTCGATGCGTTCGTAAAGCTCGCCTAGTGTGTCCATGCACATTATTGACAGCTCAGAATATGTTTTTAGTGTGCCTCGACTTTGCACCGTGAGAGCGCTCTCAAACCGGGAAGCCTGCAGCCTGGAGAGACCGCAGACAGTCGCAAGCCAGGCGTGCAAATTGTCCAGCCATGCGGCTTTAGCATCTTCCAGCGGCGGTTCAAGCTGGATCAGCTGGCTCTGCATAACAATATCATGCCCGGAGGTCTTGATGTTCGGGGTGCCCGGCTCTCTTTGCGCGGACTGCTCGTTCGCACTGTAGCCGTTTTCGAAGTCCTCAGTCCAGCCCTTCAACGCTTGCTGCAACCGTGTGTGTAGGGTTTCCACGACCTTCTCGTTTGTCTTTGCAACCCAGTAAGCAATATTCGAGTACGACTCAAGATTGAGCTGGTCAACAGCGCGCTGAAGGGTTTCTAGATGCTCACTGAAAGCCTCATGCGTGAAAGGACAGATTTGAAGCTCGCGAAGAGCTGCATCCACGGTCGTCTGGATACTAGACAGTGTTGTGACTTTTGACTGCAACGTCGCAATCGAATTTCCAAGGTTGCGAACATATTGGACGTGTAGCTTGTCGTCTCCAGTGCCACCAAGGCCACCATCTCCAGCTTGTCGGACATGCACATCGTAAGCCAAGACAAAAGTGTCCCATTTCAAGGGCGCACCTTTCGCCACCAGGGTTTGCACATCGTTTCGGTATCCGCTCAATAACGCTGTGACTTCTGACATGTTCTCAATCGCCAAGTTGGTCTGTGCATATGTGTTCAGGCTCTCCATTAAGCTGACGGCAAATGGATACACCCGACGCGCTTCTTTCGAGACATTTGTGATCGCGTGCGGTACGTTGAAATTTAACCAGAGCAAGTTACGCACTTCTTTGAATAGGATAATGACTTGCGAGTCAAAATTGACGTTGATCTCGACGTTTCCACGTGCGCGATTTTGGGTAATGGAGAACAGTCGTCCCGATATCGACAAATGCCGTCTGTCGATATCTCGAAGCCAATCATCGAAGATGGGCTTGGTGTCCAATTTTCTTCGGAAGCCTTCGCCAAGCTGGTTCAGCCTCTGGCCATCGGTGTGATCTTTCCATTTGGGACCTAGAATATCCTCAACTTTGCCCAAGTAGCTGTTTAATTGCCGCTCAATTTGGCGTGCACGAATGATGGCTCCAGAGATAGGCGGCAGGTCATGTAATTGCGCCATACCATGAGCTTCTGATTGGCCGTACTGATGAGTGAATCGCTGCTGTAGGCTGTCGATGTGATCTCGGACATTGTTCATAAGCTGAACCTGGTACTCCGCAATCGCTCCCTTGATCTTTGGTCGCACGAACAGAGCGTTGAATTTGGAGAAGACACGGAACATCTCGTTCGCAGTCTTTGCCACTGCCAGTCGATCCCGAAGACGCGCAATGATCGAATTTTCGACACGTGCTGTCCGCTCGTTGTATGCTGCTTCAGCTTGAGTCCACAACCGTTCACCTTCTGGGGTGATGTCGAGCACATCTACGTCCTTGACCATTGTGTATGCCTGGGCGATCTCTTCCGCAGCATCGACATCGCCCATTTCCTCCACGATGACCGGTGCTACTGTCCCGTCTGCAACATCCGTAGAGTCGTCATCCGGTCCCAAGACATTTGCAATGGTATTCTGCAGCTGCTCATGGTCGTCCCGGAACTTGTAGATGTAGCTAATCCGGTCCTGAGTTTTATCATGACGCTTTGTGATCTTGATCGGGATAAACTTGTCGTTTCTTCTGCGTGTCACATCTCGAGCAACGTTAGTGAACTCTTTGACGTTGTCATCCCAGAACATCCAGACCTCCTGAACTTGGTGCACGATCTTTTGGAAATCTGCAAAGCTTTGGTGCATGAGTGTTCGACCATGAAGAAGATCATGTACCCTAGCATCCATGTCCGCGGAAATGGCTTCGACTAAAGGCAGAGCGCGTCGAATCGGATAAGGACAGATTCGCAACTTCTTGGTTAGATGTGAGAACACATCGTCCAACGCATCCCTTAGCTTCTCAATCGAAGTTGCCGACAGTAGCTCTTCGATGGGAAAGCCGTGGAACAGCTGGTTGTACCTCTGCACCTTGTCCTTTGTCTCCTTGAGTCTCGTGTCGGACTGAAAACTGGCTGTAATTCCATGTCTCTTGGCCTTTTCCAGTATCTTCATGGTCAACTGTACGCCTCCGCCTGAGAGCTGCACCTCAATGCCCTCAATCGCATTCTCCATCGCCAGCCAGAAATTCTTCTCCTGCGACGTCGTCCCCACAGCCCGGTCGTCTGTAACTCTCGTAAAGTCACGAATCTGCTTGATCCAGTCGTTGGCCATATTCTGGAGTCGGTTCAGAAGAGAGCTGTCTGTGATAATTCCCTCCGGTATCTGAATAGCGGCAGCCTGCCAGTCACCACCAGCATCCGCAAGTTGCGCCTGGACAGCTTCGTGTATCTGCAATCGAGGAGCCTCGACCTCAATGTTCTGCTGCAGGTTCTGCAGTGTGATCTCCAAGTCTGCCAGCTTTCTCCTCGCGCCGGATATGCCAGTCCGAGATTCGCCATCCGACTTGAGCTTGTCTCCTGCCGATTCTGAGCCTCTTGCTGCGGCTTCAAAGAATGGTGTCAGAGCACCTCGCACGAAAGAGTGAAGACTCTCATATGGAGAGATCGTCGATGCCGTATCTGTTGAGCCAGGAAGGCCAGGAAGCGACATGTTCACCACCGAGACCTGCTTACTGATGGGAATATCCGCGATGATCGCCGCCGGTCTCTTAAGAAAAGCCACACATCCTACAGTGTGCGTTGTATACGCCACCTCTGCGCTGAGCACGTATGTGTCCTGATGCATCGGCCCATCCCCATTGACATGACCATTCTGTTGACTTGTAGGTGCTTGTTTCAGCACGTACAGCGCCATCTGCTGCTCCATCGCAAAGCGCAAACATCTCGATAGTGTGTCTTCGATAACTGCCTCGTTCAACAAGCTCCCAGGGGCCTTCAACTCCTCTTCCGTGGCTCCAAGCGTGACCTCAAGCACGCTCGAGAGATATTTGACGACCGCCTGCGGGTCGACCGCCGATGGGACTGGCGCGACCGGCGTACCGTTCGCCACGCCATTGACTCCCTGGACCACGGGGTCCTCCATCATTAAGGATTACTGCTTCGTTGTGGCCGCGCTCATCGACATCGTCCGTACTGCCTAGAGGGTGTATCTTGGCGGGGGGTAGGTTTCAGGGTGAAGGCACGGCCGTCAGATCGTCGTGGTCCTCGTGTTCCGCGATGCGAAAATAACTCCTTGGCGACAGTGATGATGAAACGAAAGGCGACGCTCGTACTTTTGGCCGTACAGGAATGTTGGTGGGGGATGTGGGTAATGTTCTTCAAGAAAGTCGACATCTCGGGCATACAACGCGTAGACCGCGATGTTTGGCGCTCAGACCACGGCAGCAGCCATTGGTGGGACGAGCCGCTCCAGCGTAAACTTCGGGTCGTGACGCTGACATGTGAGTCCTTGAAACAACCACCTGCATTTCCTTCATGCAACGTCCTCGACCTATCAGCATGTACAGTAAAGTGCAACATTTACGAACCTGAGGTCTCACGGACAGTAGTGCTAAGGTATCAGAGCAAGCAGCGTGCAATTGCCGGAGGAGCAGGAGAAGCTTGGCTGGTGATAGTTGGCAGTTACCAGAGACGCTTAGAAAGGTGCAAGAAAGCTATCCCGTAGGGCCTGCCGCAGTTTGATGGCTTCCGATTCGCTTTTACACTGATGGTCACTGAAGGGCTTCATGACTGAGCCGCGTTACTTCAGCCTCACAATATTCGACCTCCTAACCTCATTCCCACACTGTCGCGCACCGACCTGCAGCAAAGACCCATTACCCGGCACAACAAACGTCGTTTCGAAGCCCATCTTCCTCGCGACCCCAGCGCACTCCAGCATCTCTTCATCGTTTCCGACGTACACGGTCCACTCCTCAACCTCCGTCGCTCCATTCCAACTGACATACGCCTTACCATCTTCAACAACCAAACTAGGATCCCAGCCTGCAGGCGTAGCGCTCCAAGTCTGCTTGAAAGCACGATAGCTCTGCACTTTATTGAGCGCACCAAATTGCGCCTCCCATCTCAAGTCGCTGCCATCTGCTCCGGGACCGAACTCTCGAAGGATGGCAAGCTGGCCGTAACCGACGAATTGGTTTCCATTTGGAAGGTCTGCGGTGTAGGAGCCTTGACTGTCCGCGTAGAGTTCGTGCGTTGGAACTTCAATGCGTCTGGTGAGAAGAGGAGAGCTCCCTTCACTCGGTGGCAAGTCAAGATGATAGACCAGCATTCTCGTGGGCATGGTGCCATTATCCAGCACTTGATTATGATTGTCAAACATACTGAGATCAAGACTGGTCTGGGTGACATTGTGCGCTCGAGCATAATGCTGCCACCTGAAGGTCCCGTTATCGGGTAACTGTCCAAAGCTGCCACCGTTCTCTCCTTCCAAAGACCAGACAATACTGCCGTCTTTTCCAGAGATCAGGAAGACTGTCCAGAGGTGGCGTGAAGATATTAGATAGTCCTCGCCAACCAGTTGAACGGCGTTAATGTGAAACCAATCCCAGGGTGCAGCTTTCGTTCCGTTGCCACTGACGCTCACCACAGGTTGCTTAGAGGCAGTGAGTGGCAGATGATCAACTGCCTTCCATTGGAAGAGTACCTCTTCTGTCTTAATGTCCACCTCGTAAAAGAGGGCGTCCACGATCCATGCATCAGCAGAACCGTTCACAGAAGTGAGATCCATTTGTGTGTTGTTGTATGCAGAAATCAAGATGGTATTTCTTGAAGTGATTTGATGTTCGTGTATGTCGACTGATCCATTGGCTATCGAGTCGTTCACAAGCTTGTTTAGGTGAAGGTCAGGATCGAAATCGAAGGTCTTGTACTCATCATCCGTGAATGTGACTTGACCGTAGCCGTGACCAGTGTTGGCTCCGTTGGTATTGTAGCCACTCCAGTAGGTGAGATACGGGTCGCCATTCCAGTCTTGCTTCCGAAAGTCTGTCATGCCCGAAACATTGGCAACGTAGACCGGTTCCCCTTCGGTGGTAATAGTAAACCCAGCAGATTGCTTGGTCGCATTTTGGTTCTTTATATCCGCCGGTGTGATGAAAATGTGCCCATCAGACAAGGGTTTTCCATCAGCCGTGTATGTCAAGGTTGGGGGAGTGTGAGGCGAGCTTTTGAATGTTCTCCAAGGCCAGAGGTCGCCATCTGGATCCGTCTCGACTTGAACATTAGCAGAGCTGGCAAGTCGAGTCTCTGAAGCAGGCCCAGCAACAGCTTGGGAGCATAGTGAGAACGAAAGAAGAAATCCAATACGGGAGAGGAGTGCCATGACTTCGTAGACTGTTACTTGAGCCGTAGGGTGTGCGAGACGCTGCGGAAAACAGCACAATGAGACTTATGCATTAACGAACCATTGTTTTGTATTTGTTGTCACGAGAAATGATAAGTAGAGGATGCTTGTGCAACTGCGACGTTGAGGCTGAAACGGCACATGAGCCGCGGGGGATCAACACTCCGTAGTTCCCCATTCATGGGACACTGCATAGCGTTAGGAGCCCGCCCACAGCATCCTCGGCGGGATGCACGCAGGAGCTGAGATGCCATTGGACACGGGTGGACAAGTTTTCGATGTTTAGACTCTATTGTAGTCTGTAGAGCTGAAGAGATACCCATGCGCGTTCTGTTGGATGGGTATCGAGGGTGACACAGATGAAGTTCGTGGAGATGAAGAAAGGAAGAGAAGGAGGATGTCTCGCATTCGGATTCGGGTTCGTATCTGCGCCCAGGCAGTCCCGCCCCTTCGAATTGCTCTAGAGACCTCACATCATCTCTCTTCCTCTTTCGCTTTCCCTTCCACCGTCACCCACAGCACCACAGGACTACGGGACTTAAAGGACGGTCATGCCGGAACAACAGCCATTCAAGTTCAATCTCTAAGTAACTATGTCTCCTGGTATTCTTCCAGGGACGGAGCAGTCTGGGACAACTTGGTAGGGCATTCATTACTCCTTCCACTCGAACGATATGTACAGGTCTTCGCTGCCGCCACCTCTCAATACACGCGAATCATACTATCGAGTACAAGAAGAATCAGCCGGACAGGCCATAACGGTGTTGGTGGTGAGTACGGTTCTCGTCCCAAAGGGACAGGTAGATGGGTATTCGAATACCGTGACCAGTTCTGTGGACTTGTCGGTCACGATAACATTGCCGGCCAAAGACGTGCTGGTTGAGACCGTGGCGTTTCCTCCCGGTGTGGCAAGATTGGTGGTGCCAGGGCTTGACACGGAGATGCTTTCAGTGGCTCCGGATGCGGTTATGTTGGGAGACGACGGGTCTCCCGATGCATTGCTGCTCGTGGCCAGCGAGGTCAGGGAGTACGTGCCATCTGACCAGAGGCTAGTCGTTGTGATGAGTATTGTCGAGGATTGCTCCGAGTCATAGAAAGTCGCAGTAGTTCGCGAGCTCTCTACGTATCTCGTTGATGATGCCATACTGCTTCGAGAGCCTCCAAGACTTTGAAAAGTCTGCGAGGCAGATGTCGAAGCAGACTTTGAACTCGACTGGCCGCCAAAGTTGACAGTGCTCTCAGGCATGACTAGAAAGGTAAAACATGTCGTGCTCGAAGTATCGGATATGCATGAGACTGTGATCGGCAGCGAGCTCTGTGGTGGTCTTGAAGACGATGTTTCCGTGAAAGCGGAGAGAACGCTCGAAAGTCGGGTGGATCCAAAATTGGGTTTTGCAATGGCCATGGACGACAAGGTCGAGGTAAGTTCTGTGGATGGAGCTTGTGGTACTGGAGTCGCAGAAATGCCGGCATCTCCATGCCCTGGTGGAAGCGTTCCCGTCGAGACCAGCGAGCTGATACTTTCACTTGTAAGCTGTGCAGACGTTGGCCGTGCAGAGGAGCCAGAAGGTGACAACGACGAAGTGGGCGCTAACGTTGATGCCGGATCTAGATCACTTAAAGAAACCAGTTCAACTTCACTGGAGCTCTCTGAACTAGTCTCTGGGCTGCTATTGGGTACTGCGGTACCTGACGAAGCAGCTGTGAGAACCCCAGTGAGTAAAGAAGAGCCTGATAATGTTGACAGAGCCGTCAATGGGGTCTCAGCTTTTGACGCTGCGGACGTACTTGGAAGCGCATCGGGCGCTATTGCGAATTGTAAGCCAGTAGAAGGGCCCATACCAGTGACCGATGCAAAGTAGGTGCAATTGTCCGTCCCGTTGTTGTAAGTAACGGCAGTACATCCAGGCACCAGGTCGCAAGAAGTCACGCATCCGCTGAAGCCAGGAGCGCGAGTAATGGGGCTCAGCGAACGAATGACTGTCCCACTTGTCGCCGTGGTATTGCATTGCAAGGTGTACGGCTGGCCATTGACGTCGTTACAAGTTTGACCGTGATACTCGCCGCAAGCAGACCCATTGTTAGGTGGAGGCGGCAAGCATGATTGCGAAGGGGAGCCTTGAGGTTGAATGCTGGTAGTCGAAGGCGTAACTACGTAGGTCGTTTGGAACGGTGCGCTGTTGCTAGTAGCAGGAGTGCTTTGAGACCGAGTAGTGCTCGAGGGACTGGATTCTTGACTTGCCAATACCGCAAGAGATGATGTCGTGGTCAGCGGAATGTCTTCGCTTGTGGACGATGTAAATCCAGAGGTTTCAGCGCTTGTACTGCTACTGCTTCCATCCCCGGTGGTGACGCTACTCAATACCTTGGTTGAGAGGACATCGTTCGTCGAAGGCGCAGAAGAGCGGGAACTATGAGATTTCAAGCCGCCCATTGACGATGTATGCGTGTCGTTGAACGCAGAACTTGTTTTGCTCTTTGCTACCACTGCACCTGAGCTTGCCGTATCGGAGACATCGATATCCGCGGCTGAGGAGATGGTCATCAGGCTCGACATCTCTGAAGACGAGCTCACGTCTTGATACGTCGTTGGACCAGTCGTAGTACCCAAGGAGGTCTGAGGCGGTAGGGATACTTTCCAGTGCCCCAGAATTACATTGATCCCAGAAATATACCCAGGAGCTGCTGAAACCAAGCGATCTAGGGTCGACATGTATCGACAGGTGCCCGTACTTGAAGTAGAGAGGACAAAGGTCCAAGCAACACAATTGCTGCGCCTTTTACACGAAGCAGCACAGTGGCTGTAGTGCATGACCTCCACTTCTCGAACGGCTCTACGAGAATTGGTGCTGTTCAAAGCCTCGCCTGTTGTATCGCTCCTGCAATAGATCATGAAGGTGTCTCCATTTGAGTTGGTCTGCTGTGTGCCATTTACATCAGGGCACGTTGAACTCGCAAGTGGAGCAGTCGAAGACACCGAAGAGGCTGTTTTTGCTATGGAACTGCTGACTCCTGTGGTCTGCAGACTTGTGGTGCTAAAAGATCCAGAGATCGAAGACCCTCCGGAGAGCGAGCTAAGAGAACCGATGGATGGAGTGGTTGAGCCTGTTGGTTGACCGAGTGGGTTGGATGAAAGTCCATTTCCCGTCGTTACAGTAGTTCCCGAGCTACTGAAGCTGAGCGTGTCCACGGACAGAGACATCGAGCTAGCAAGCTGGCCCAAAGTGCCAGACGCAATGCTGGTCTCTGTCGATGCGTAGCTTTCCGAGCTATTGGAGCTGAGCGTATTCACCGACAGAGGCATCGAGCTTGAGCTTGTAAGCTGACCCAAAGTGCCAGACGAAATGCTGCTCTCCGTCGATGTATAGCTTTCCAAGCTACTGAAGCTGAGCGTGTCCACGGACAGAGGCATCGAACTTGCAATCTTACCCAAAGTGCCAGACGCAATGTCGCTCTCCGTCGATGCGTAGCTTTCCGAGCTACCAGTGGTGTTCGCTGCCGCTGGACTGGTGGAAAGCTCGCCCGGACTTGTGGTCGAAGAGACGCCCGTTGAAGGCGATGGCGAGAGTTCTGAGCTAGCATTCGAGGATTGGGAGGCGCTCGAGGATTGGGAGGCACTCGAGGTTTGGGAAGCACTCGAAAGACCACTCTCGTCCGAAGAAATGGCAGAAGAGGTTCCGTCTTGCGAGCCGACTGAAGACGTCTGCAAGAAGCTTGTCGAGCTGCTGGAGCCTCTGGAGCTGCTCTCCACTGTTGATGTGGAAAGGGACTCCACTGTTGATGTGGAAAGGAATACCTCTGAGCTAGTATTCGAGGACAGCGGTGTACTCAAACTACTGCTCTGTACCAGAGAAGTGACGGAAGAGCTACTATCTTGCGAGCCGACCGAAGACGTCTGCAAGAAGCTCGCCGAGCCGCTGGAGCTGCTCTCCACAAATGATGTGGAAAGGGACTCTTCTGAGCTAGGATTCGAGGAGGACCACGTTATACTCGCACCACCGCTCTGTCCCAGAGAAGTGACAGAAGAGCTACTATCCTGCGAGCCGACTGACGAGGCATTCGAAGAAAAAGCCAAACTCCCATCCACAGAATTCGACCTCGAAATCATGGAAGCCGTCTCCGTCAATGTCGGCAACGTCAAGGTTTCCTCAGGAGCAGTCGTATAGACAGGTGAGCCGGCAGTGGAAATCGTATCCGTTGCATGAACCGAAATCAGCGCGGTAGAATTTTCCAGATCTACACTCTCCACGGTAGTTTGCAGGGTCGACATTTCCGACGTAGTCGCCCGGGCGGTCGTTTCGTACAGGGATGATGCGGTGCTGAGATGGACACTGGTGGTGGTGGAGATTTGCGTCTGCGTGATGAGATTGCCTATAGGGTCGTGGGATTAGCATTGTTAGATCGAATTCGCGAGCGGGTTTTTATGCTCACCTGACACCGTGGATAACAACGTAGTAGTCGCCGGGACTGTGGACGTAGCATTGACATCCTGGGTCAAAAGAAGACTAGTTGTCGAAGGGAGGCTCTGTAGCGCTGATGAGGTACTAGTGATGTTGCTTGTGACCGCCGGGAGCGTCAGGCTCTGGATAGGCAGTGTGGAAGTCACCGCTTCGGCAGTGGTATAAATCGCAGATCCATTGACGACCGCGGTGCCCGTTTTATACGTCGTACCAACGATCGTTGCATTCCCTTCATCGGTGCTCACAACCGTACTGAACTCCGAGGAAATCCCTGTAGCCGTCTCAAGCACCGAACTGGAGTAGTCAGAGCTCAAGGTGCTCGTGGTGCTGCTGAGCAGAGTCGATACGAGCGTGGCAGTATCTGTACGTGGAGAGACCGTGGATACTTCTTGTGCAGTTGTGAAGTAGGACGCCGTTGAATACTCGTCATCGGTAAGCCCCAGGGCAGAGGTTGAAGGCAAGCTCAGTGCAGTGGAGTGAGTACTTGTGACCGAGCTTGTCACGGCTGAGAGTGTTTCCATGCGTGGCAAAAGCGTGGATGTTTCTGTAGGGTCCGTCGTGAAACGAGGTGACCCAGAAAAGATTGAATAGGTCCATGCTATGGTAGTTGCTATGGTAGTTGCTGTCCCACTAATGGTGCCAGTGACCGAGCTTAGAGCGGTGGTGATCACAGTCGATGTCTGAAGTACGCCGCTAGTGTAGTCGGAGCTGAGAGTGCTGGTGATGCTACTGAGCTCTGTTGAAAACAGCGTGAACGTGTCCGTACGAGCCGAGGCTGTGTCGACCCTGGTGCTTGTTGTGAGGTATGTTGCTGTGGAGTACACTTCATCGGTCGAAACCAGGGTCGATGTAGAAGGCAGCCCCAGCACAGTTGATCGTGTGCTAATTATGGAGGATGTCACGGCCGGCAGAGTCGTAGTTTGAGGCTGTAAAGTCGCCGTCTCCACGAAGCCAGTGGTATACCGCGTTGAGCCGGTGAAGACTTGAGTTGTTGTAGGGTAGCTTGAGCCAATTCCTGTCGAAGTGCCTTGAATCGTACTGGTCACAGAGCTCAGTTGGGTCCCAATCGCCGTAGCTGTTTGCAGCTCCCCACTTGTGTATAGGGAGCTGGCTGTACTGAAAGCCGTTGATGTTGAAGAAAAGACAAATGTTTGCGTTATGAGCCGGCCAGACTCACTGGAGACGAACGTCGTGGTGGAGAACACGCTTGTTAGATCTGTTGTATCCCGAGTGGATGTCAGAGTCAAAGTTGACGGAATCCTATCCGTGGAAGTCGCTGTACTTGTTACTGACGTGGTTACAGCTGGGAGAGTTGTACTTCGAGGTAGCAAAGTCGCAGTTTCTGCAAACCCAGTGGTGTACCGTGTGGACGCGGTGAATATATGTGTCGTAGTAGGATAAGTCGTGCCAATGCCTGTGGAGGTACCCGGTATTGAGCTTGTAATGTAACTCGATTGTGTGGTGACTTGGGTGGCCGTTTCCACCAAGCCCGTCGTGTACAAGGAGCTTTCTGTGGAAACCACTGTACTTGTTGAGGACGAGACCAGAGTTTGCGTCATCAGCCGACCAGAAACGCTGGAGACGACCGTGGTCGTAGAGTAGAAGGTCGTCAGGTCCGTCCTATCGGAAGTCAATTGAAGGGTCGACGTATTTGGGAGGCTTTGCGTAGGGGTTGCTGTGCTTGTGATCTGGGACGTCACCGCGGGTAGTGTAGTAAATTGCGGAGACAAAGTGGAAGTCCGTGTGAAGGGTGCAGATGTGTAATGAGTTGGTCCTGTGGCTGTCTCTGTTCCGGTCGAAAAGGCAGATCCGATCAGAGTCGAAGTGCCCTGTTGAGTATTCGTAAACGTGCTCGATATGGTACTTATGGCTGTCGCAGTCCGCATGTACACGCTTGTGTAGAGCGAACTTTGTGTGGAGGTGATGCTGCTAACGCCAGTGGATGTCAAAGTCTGTGTGATCAGACTTCCTGAAGTTGACACCACCCGAGTAGTTGTCGTCAGGTACGTGACTGAGAATGTGACGTCTGAGGTAGTCCAATAGGTGGTTGTCGCAGGGTAACTCGATGTCGTTGTCAAAGTACTTGTGATGCTGCTGGTATATGCCGGCAAGGTTGTTGTCTGAGGGGCAAGCGTTGAAGTCGCTGGGAAAGCTGCGGTCGTGTAAAGTGGCGATCCAGTGGCTATCTGCGTTGTCGTAGGGCGGTCTGTTCCAACACCCGTGGATGTTCCCTGCATGGTGCTTGTGACTGAGCTGAAAAGCGGATTGAAAGTCGTCGAAGTCTGCTGCACTAGTGTGGTGTACAGCGAGCTCTGAGTGCTCGTGTAGGTCAAGACGCTGGTAGAAATCCGTGTTGAGGTTACGAGGTTTCCTGCGCAAATTTAGTCAAACCTCCCGTGCTAAGTCACCGGGTAGAACACGGCGGGTGGTCCCTCTCCTCCCCATGTCACCATGAATTCCAAGACGGCCTCAAGATAGCTGCTCTACCCATGGGCGAGCTCTGAAAGGAAGCCGTGGAGAGAAATCTTGTGACATGCTGCACTCCAAAAGAGCAGACTTACCAGAAACAGTCGAGCTAACAACCGTACTGAACACAGTCGAAGTAAAAAACGTAACCTGGCTCGTCTGAACAACCGTAGCACTGACCGGCGAGCTCGTCAGGGTACTCCCAGTACTAGTGACTGTCGTCGTCCTCGCCGGCAAAACCAGAGTCGAAGCTGGAAGTGTCGAAGTCATAGCCGGTGCAGTAGTGTACGTGGGCGATCCAGTGGCAATCTGTGTCGTGGTGGGGCGACTAGTTCCTATACCCGTGCTCGTGCCCTGGATGGTGTTGACGACAGTGCTTGAGGAGTAGACCGATTGGGTGGTCGTGATCCAATTGGTCGTGAGATAGGTAGACGTCTGCGATAGGATCGAAGTGCTGTAGGCCGTGCTGAAGCGGGTGTATGTGACGAGACTGCCGGACATGGTGGAAACCTGCGAGATGAGTGCCGTGAGATCAGCCTGTGTCTCTGCAAGTAGGCCGGCGCTGAGGAGCAGATGCATCCAAACTTTGCGCTGAGAATGAAGTGGTTGTAGGGGATGGTGGGTGCTCATCATACCTGAGTGGTAGGAATGACTGTACTAGTAGTGACAGTAATATCCTGAACCGACGAATACGTGCTCGTGACTGGATAGCTCGACGTTGTTTTTAGAGTACTCGTAACGACAGATGTGACGGCTGGCAGAGTCGTGCTCTGTGGAGGAAGGGTAGAAGTCTGAGCTGGACCACTTGTATAGATGGGTGACCCCGTCACCACAGTCGTTCCCGTTGGCCGAGTAGTTGCAATGCCAGTCTGTCAAATACAAAGATCAGCCTCTTCTTAGGCCATGAGGCTCTTTTGATCACTAACAGTAGTCCCAGAAATTGTATTCGTGACGCTACTTGCCTGACTGCTAATCACAGTCGTTGTTGGCACGAACGTAGTCTGATAAAGTGACGACTGCGTGCTCACAATCGTATTGTAGATCGTGGAAGATGCGGTCTGCGTTATGACATTGCCTATCGCCACTTATGAGAATTTGGAAGCAAAACCATAGCACGAATCGCGAACTCACCAGAGCTTGTGAGAACTTTCGTGGTGGAAAAGACAGTGCTGGTGGTGTAAGTCACGTAAGAAACAGTCCCGTAAGTCGTCGTACTTGTCACAGTCGCATAAGTCGAAATGGTAGACGTGATTGAACTGGCTATTGATGTGGTCCGTGTGGATGTGGTTGTCGTCGTCGTTGTGGTGGGATAATAAGCTGTCATCAATCAGCGAACACGCTACATGTACCCACCAAAGCTCTTCTCCAGCGACCACCTACTGATCATATACCGATTCCTCTGCATGCCCGCAACTCTCGTCGTAATCAATTGTCCCGCTGAGGTTGTCGTGAAGTACATCCCATTCTGAGTCTTGAAAGTGCACATCCCCTGTCCCGCAGCATTCTGCACTCCGTAGTTGTCGCCATTGTTATACGAAGCGCCCGTACAATTGACAGACAGGTCGCAAGGTGTCAAGCAGTCGCTCCAACTGTTCGCGACGAAAGACGTGACAATGTCGCCCGTGATAGCGCCTCCGCAGACATAGAGATATTGCACACCGTAATTATCGTAGACAGCATAGATGTTGCTGGCGACGCTGGAGCATTGCTGGCCGTTCGTCGCATATGGGACCGTGGTGAAGCCATCGGGTCCGACACTGGTAGCTGTGATCGTCTGCTGGTAGGTACTTGGGCTGCGAACAGCTTGTCGTCTATCCAGTTCGAAGTTCGTAGCCTGCGGGCCATGGAAGATCGGGATTCCACGTTCATCGTAATGACTCAAGTCGGTCCAGGCCTGCGTTGGATGGAAGATCGGCAGTCCATGTTCATCGTAGTGATCGAAGTCGTCCCAGTCGGCCGCTTCGGTGGTGAGGATCAGAACACCGAGCTGCAGAAGAACTGCCACGAGTCTCTTGATTTGCATTTCCAAATCATGATTCGTCTTCAACGCGCACGACTCCCGTCGCCCAAAGGACAATGCGTGAAGTTAGCACATAAACACACGCATCCTGAAAATGCGACAGACAACACCACCACCGGTTGCCAAGACATGCCAAGACATACCGGGACCAACCAAGGGGCGTTCCAACCGCGCTGGCGGCTCTGTTGTGTCCATTGGCACCTCTTGTGCAACTAAAAAAATAGACGACGCCTCCAGTTCTTGCTGGATTGCATTGTTTCACTTGGCTTGCTCGACTGCCTTTCTTCGAACATGCTGTAGGCGTATGCTATCAATGCTATACTGCGGTCAGAATATCAGTAGAAGTAGGCTCGTACGAGCCAACACATTGTCACATTCCTTAGAGCGCACCCACGCATCTGCCGGCTTTCCGAGACTGCACGTTTACATTACCAAGAATGCAATTCAACTTCCGCGAAATGTGCGTTTTCATATAGACGGTCCTAACTCCGAGACCATTCTCTGGATGCTCGGACTATTCGTACTTTGCTGCTCTCTTGACCGGGTACTTATCGAGTGCTTCGTACCAGAGAAGCAGGCTGCCAAACAAGAACGCAAAACTCGCCCAGATGAGTGAGAGGTCGCTTTGATACTCGCACCAGCTGGGCGTGCAGTATCCGAATGCGGCACTCAAAGTCCAACCTGCTCTCATCAGGACCGATCCAAAAGAACATGAAACGAGAGATACTTACCAATACTGCCAATCAAGTTCCACACTCCTATCCACCAGCCGATGACCGATGGCGCAGGTTTCCACCACGTCTTTTGCGTCTCCAACATGTACAGTACAGAGCTGACGATGAATAGAATGCCGCCGACGAGGTAAGCAAGCCAGTAGGTGCCGTAGAGTACAGGCGTAGAGATCTTGTCGTAGATGCCAGGGAGTGACATGATGCCGCTGACGTAGAAGACCGTTGCTCCGACGGCTTCCGTGAAAGATGCGAGAAATCCAATCTCGAAGAAGTAGTGATGCGTGAGTTCGTGCCTGAATCAAAATCAGTGTTGTTTCATTTGACCTCTTTCCTTGGCTCACCAGGTTGGCCACCATTCCCACTTGCGACCAGCTGCCGGATGCTGAAGGTGGGCGGTGCGGTGCAAACTACGTCCATGATGATGCGAGCAATCTGTACGATAAGCATGACCTCGCGTCGAGCCCTGCTTTTCAGCGTCTGAGTCCGGGTGATCGCGAATGGCCTGATCCACAGCCCATCCGAAGCAGCCTGTCTGGTTCTCGTTGACCGCTTCAATAATGAGCAGTACCGCGCCCACTTCGAATAGAGTAGCACCGATGAAAGCCGTGACACCACCACCGGTCACCGACTCACCGGAGAACTCGGTGCTTGGTGCTGCCAATGGAAGCCAGTAGAAGAAGCCGCAAACGACGAAGATGGCACTTCCTACCGAGAACAACACTCCAATCCACCATGAGATATTCCACCAGGCGAAGACTGTACACATGCGCCAAATGCCGCTCAGCACGGCGGGTGCCGTTCGGGTCAGCCGTGGCGAGTCGGTGGATTTGTGGTCATGGGGGACGACCAAGATATGGCGACCTGGCAGTGGTCAACATCATGTTCTACTCAGCTACCATGAGATCCGTACCCTTTCGATTGTCGCGCGCGCGCCATTCTACTTGCGCGTCTTGCGTGGCGGGTCTCTCCGTAGATTCAGGTGCTTTGAGAGTGTCCGGCGCGGTCGTGGCCAGAGGGAAACGCGCTCGAGTGGGATTGAGAAAAGGTAGAGGCCCGCGGACTGAACCAGGAGTAGGCTGGCTTTTCGCCTCATCAAGTAGGCGCTTGTGAATAGTGGAATTGAACCCGGCGCTTCGCGGCATGGCGGCGGCCGGCGGATTCGAATTAGGTGCGTTGCTTAGGTCCATGCGAGAGATGATTTGTTCTAGGTTCTGTCGAGGCTATTGTTTCCGAGGCGAAGATGCGATACAAGTCGGAATGCAGGTACAGACACAGACACATTCTTGCCGTCGCCAACGGCATCGCTCGGTTCGGAGATCTGACAGGGAGCAACTCGGTCCGAGTTTGATGGGAAAGACATCAATATTTGATGAGCCGGATCGGTCGCCGGCACTCCCAGTCTCGTGTGCTTGCATTGTTTCTTGGAGATGAAACCTCGATCGGAGTTTCATGGTCCATTCGAGGAGCCATCATCCGGAAGTCCACGGATGTTGCAGTCCATTGCGAGGACACGCGTCCACGCCCACTCGACGATGGCACCAGGAAGCAGCGGTCGACGACCACTGCATCTGATTTGTGGCTAGAGACTTGCGTAGATGGGAACGCATCGATGCCATAAGGCGGTGAGGAAGTGAGATGAAGAGAAGATGAAGCGAGAGAAGCAAGAGAAGGAGAGGAATTCAGGGCACTTCATCAGGTTGCGGCGTTAAAGTTCAACCCGGTGCCTTCTTGCCTTGAAGCCTAACATCAAGCGAGCACCACAGCCTACAGCAAGACATGAAAGCTGCTTCAGCAGTCTTTGTTCTAGGTAGTATACAGACATCAAGCACGTCAATCCATCTTCTATCCTGATCCCTTCTACAGACCCTTCACCAACGCCGAGCGACCCAAGACATCCTATCTATCAATCTCCCATTCGAACCGGACGCCCATCGCTAATGCATTTTTGGTATTCCTCTCTTCGCACTCCCACACCCCTTCCGACCCCAGCGCTCAGGGCGCCATGACCAAGGCCAACAGCGCCATCCGCACAAACATACCGTACTTCATCTGCCGGAAGTAGGCAGCTCGCGGGTCGTCGTCAACCTCCTTGTGCAGCTCCATGTTGCGTGGCAGTGGATGCATCACAATCATGTTCTTCTTGGCGTCTTTGAGCGTCTTGCCGCTGACGACCAGCTCATCCTTGACCCGCTCGTACAGATCCTGGTCCTCGAAGCGTTCCTTCTGAACACGAGTGCAGTAGAGAACGTCCGTGTTGGCAATGATTTCGGGCGTGAGACGGTCGGATTCGGCGCCAAGCTGGCCGCGCGACTGCAGTGCCTGGCGCACCTTCGAAGGCAGAGCAAGCTGAGGATGAGCCGCGAGCTGGATGGTGACGTTGTAGTGACGGAGGACTTCGCACAGCGAGTGCACGGTCCGGCCGTACTTGAGATCACCAGTGAAGGTGATCGTCAAGCCATTGACAGTTCCCAGCTCCTCACGGATGGTGAAGAGGTCCAGCAAGGCCTGAGTCGGGTGCTCCCGAGAGCCATTGCCAGCGTTGATGACAGGATTATCCGCAGCCTTGGCGGCAACCTCGGCGCTGTCGTTGTCTGGGTGCCGCAGCACAATCCCATCGCCGTACTGATCAAGCGTGCGCACTGTGTCCTCAAGAGACTCGCCCTTCTTGGTGCTGGAGTGAGCCTCGTTGATGACGACGGTCTGGCCTCCCAGTCTCTTCATGGCGGCCTCGAATGATCCCGAAGTTCTGGTCGAAGGCTCGTAGAACATCAAGTAGAGGATACGGCCCTTGAGAATGTCCAAAGACCCGTCTCTCTCAACTCCAAGACGCATCTCAGCAGCGACGGTGAACAGCAAGTGCAGGTCTTCCTTGGTGAATTGCTTCACCGACACGATATCTTTGCCCTTGAGCGGCGAACGTGTCAACAGCACCTCCAGAGACTCGTCCACCTTGGGCTGTGGCAGAGGAGCCGGCGCGGTTGGCACTTCGGCAAAAGTTTGATAGTCAACCTTGCTGATACTGAAGTCGTAGTTTCGCGCAATACCCTCAATCAGAATCTTGGCGATCTTGACGTTGGTCACCAACGGGGTCTGGAAGTCGACAGCCATACGCCGAGTACGGTACCCCTTCGACATGTAATTGGCCGGCCGACGGTACTTGTTTCGCGAAGGCAAGTTGATGTAGAGGTCGATCAGGTTGTTGGACAGAGCGTGGGTGAGTGAGAACTCTTCGCGCTGGTCGTCGGCCCCGAGTGCTTCCAAGAACTGGCAGGGGATATTATGCTCCACGAAGAAGTCGCACGTACCAGCGGTACCGTATAGGTTGAAGCCCAGCTTGTGAAGCTTCTCGACGGGAGCCAACATCTCCATCTTCTCCTTGAAGCCACCAATGGAGAGTAAAATGCTCTTCTTGGGCAGCTTGAAGCCAGTAGACACGAGACCCTTCATGTACGCCTCATACTTCGTGCGACCGAAGCAAGCGACTTCTCCAGTGGATGCCATCTCCACGCCCATGACAGGATCTGCTCCCTGCAGACGGGAGAAGGAGAACTGCGGCACCTTGACGGCGACATAGTCTGGCTGGATGGTGAGAGGTGGGTACTCGCGCACTGGCAGGCCGGTCATGACCTTAGTAGCCATTTCAATCATGTCGAGACCCATGACCTTTGACACGAATGGGAAAGAACGCGAGGCACGAACATTGCACTCGATCACCTTGATCTCGTTGTCCTTCGCGATGAACTGGATGTTGTAAGGTCCAGTTACGTTGAGGGCGTCACCAATCTTCCGGGTGGCGTCTTCGATCTTTCTGATGGTCTCCGGGTCCAAATCCTGAGGCGGCAAGATGAGCGTTGCATCACCAGAGTGGACACCCGCATTTTCGACGTGTTCGGAGATGAAATGGCCAATCATAGTGCCGTTCTTAGCGACAGCATCCATCTCGATCTCCTTCGCGTTTTCGATGTATTTGGTGATGACGACAGGATGTTCCTTCGAAACCGCAGCAGCTTCGTTAAGGAATCGATCGAGATCAGCCTCTGAGTAGACGGTGTTCATCGCCGCACCAGACAAGACGTAGGAAGGTCGCACAAGCACTGGGTAGTCAACCTTCTTGCAAAAGCGCTTCGCTTCCTCTGTGCTAGTGAGCTCCTTCCACTCCGGCTGATCAACACCGATTCTGTCAAGCATGCGAGAGAATTTGAAGCGATTTTCAGCGGTATCGATCATCTCAGGCGAGGTTCCCAGGATCTTGACGTTGGATCGGTATAGTGGAAGAGCGATGTTGTTGGGTGTTTGGCCACCAACGGAAATGATGACACCGCTGGAGTGCTCCAGCTGATAAATGTCCAAGATCATCTCCAGGCTGATGTTCTCGAAGTACAAGCGATCGGCTTCATCATAATCCGTAGAGACGGTCTCAGGGTTGTACTTTTTCACACAAGTTAGCATATGCACGAGGCACAACTGACTTCCGAAAGACTTACGTTCACCATCACAGTCTTGTACCCGGCATTTCTCAGGGTCCGAACGGCCCTCACAGAGCACCAATCGAACTCCACAGAGGATCCAATGCGGTAGACACCGGAGCCAAGGACCATGACACCTCTGTCGTCGAAAGACACGTCGTGCTCGGTGCCATTGTACGTAGTGTACAGGTAATTAGTAAAGGCCGGGAACTCTGCAGCAACGGTGTCAATCTGCTTGACGACAGGCATGATCTGGTATTCTAGGCGGACACGTCGGACATGCTGCTCGTTAGAAGCCCAGTACAGCGCAAGCTGCTTGTCGGAGAATCCCATCTCCTTCGCTCTCCGGAAAAGCTTGGGGGTAACGCTGTCGACGCTGTACTCGCCCATGAACTTGCTGAAGTCGGAGAGACCCTTGAGCTTGCGCAGAAACCACTTGTCGATCTTGGTCATTTCCCAGATCTTGTCGACGGTGTAGCCAGAGTGCATGGCGTTGGCGAGGGCAAACATGCGCTGGTCGGAAGGAGTCTGCAATTCAGTGTCGATGTCGATGGACATGAGGGCGGGAGTCTGGTTGAAACCGAGGTTGCCTGGGTCAACAGAGCGAATCGCCTTTTGAACCGCTTCCTCGAATGTTCTACCAATAGCCATGACCTCGCCAACACTCTTCATCGACGAGCCGAGCTGAGTGGCGACTCGTGTGAACTTCTTCAGGTCCCATCGAGGAATCTTAACGACCACGTAATCCAGAGAGGGCTCAAAGCAAGCGCAAGTCACCTTCGTGACGGTGTTTCGGATCTCGTTCAATGGAATGTTGAGACCAAGCTTGGCTGCAACGAATGCAAGAGGGTATCCAGTCGCCTTGGAAGCCAATGCGGAAGATCTCGATAGACGGGCGTTGACTTCGATGATGCAGTATTCCCTGCTGTCCGGGTTGAGGGCGTACTGAATGTTGCACTCGCCGACAACACCCAAGTGCCGAATGACACGCACAGCTGTGGTACGAAGCATGTTGTAGTCCTCATCAGACAGAGTCTGAGACGGAGCGACCACTATTGAGTCACCAGTGTGGATACCCAGAGGATCGAAGTTCTCCATGTTACACACGGTGATACAGTTGTCATTTGCATCGCGGACAACTTCGTATTCGATTTCCTTCCAGCCCTTCATGGAGCGCTCAACAAGCACCTGCGGGCTGGCGGCGAAGGAGTGCTGGCAAAGGCTGACGAGTTGCTCACGGTTCTCTGCAAATCCACTGCCGAGGCCGCCAAGAGCGAAGGCAGCACGGCAAATAACAGGGTAGCCAATGCTCTCAGCAGCCTCGACGGCTTCTTTCATGTTATTCGCTGCCTTCGATTTGGCGCAAGGTGCTCCGATAGAATCCATGCTTCGCGCAAAGAGCTCACGGTCCTCAGTAGTGATGATGGTGTCGATTGGTGTTCCAAGAACCTTGACACCAAGACCCTCGAACTCGTCTTTCAGCTGAATACCGACTTGCAGCGCCGTCTGACCTCCGAAGGTACAGTAGATAGCGTCTGGTCGCTCCTGCTTGATGACCTTGCGCACAAAGTCCGCGTTGACTGGCAGGAAATAGACCTTGTCTGCAAGGCCTTTGGAGGTCTGAATGGTGGCGATGTTTGGATTGATGAGAATGGTGTAAATCCCCTCTTCCTTCAGCGCCTTGATAGCCTGACTGCCTGAGTAGTCGAATTCTCCAGCTTGCCCGATGCTCAGACCACCGCTGCCAAGCACGAGCACCTTCTTTGGCGCAAGGCGCGGGTTCCGTGCAGCGTTGGCAGCAGCCTCTCCTCCAGGGAACGTAACTGGCTTTTCCATGAGGCTGCTGTCCTTGATGACACTCTTGATGGTGTTGATGAAGACATCGAAGAGGAACTCGGTGTCCCTCGGACCAGGGGTGCTCTCTGGGTGGAACTGCACACTGAAGTAGGGGCGGCTGACATGTCGGATACCCTCATTGCTGTGATCGTTGGCATTTACGAACAGCTCGCTCCAGCCCTGAGGTAGCGATTCTGCGTCGACGGCGTAACCGTGGTTTTGTGATGTGATGTAGCACTTGCCAGAAAGCAAGTTGGTGCAAGGGATGTTGTGTCCGCGGTTACCGAACTTCATCTTCAGCGTCTCCGCACCGGCCGCGCGGGCAAGCAGCTGGTGTCCCAGACAGATACCAAAGATCGGTACTCTTGCCTCCTCGATCGTCTTCTGAATATTCTCGACGGTCTTCTGCATCATAGCCGGATCACCGGGACCGTTGGAGATAAACAGACCGTCGAACTCCTTGCCAGCGAGCTCTGGGAAGTTGTAGTCCCAAGGCACCACCTCGACCTCAACTCCTCTTGAGACGAGACATCGCAATTGGTTGTATTTGAGGCCGACGTCGACGCACAGAACACGTACGGGACGACCTGACGGATGAAGTAACGCATTGGACGGTGAAGGAGAATAAATCTTGGGGTTGGATGTGGAAACTATGATACAAATCAGATACTGGCTCTGACTGAATGCTATGTGCCAAGTGTGGCAAGGCAAGCTTACCGTCGGCGACCAGATTTCTGGTGTTGGGATCGTAGAAGTCGATTTCGTCGTACACTGCCACCTCTTTGGACTTGCGGAAGTATCCACTGCCGCCATTGACTCCGTTGACGCCATTGGGGACCAAGGCACCATTCACGTCGTGCAAGTTGGGCACGCCGGGTGTGACTGCGGGGGTTGTGCCATTGGGTGTCATGGCTCCGCTGGCAGTCGCGTGTCCATCGAGGACGCGTCGAGTCCCAGTCTGCAGCAGCAGACGTCCCAGCATGCTTCCCTTCTCTCTTATCTTCTTGGTCAATGCTCGTGTGTCGACGCCGCAGATTGCGGGCACATTCTGCTCTTTCAGCCATTGGCCGAGTGACGACTTGGCGAGGTAGTGTGAGTAGTCCTCGCCGCAGTATGAGGCCACCACCAGACCTGCAATATGAATTTCTGAGGCCTCGAAGTATGCGGGGAGATCTTGCAGGAGAGCGTCGCGTTCTTCCCGCGAGGGGACGCCGTAGTTGCCCACGAGCGGGAAGGTGATGACCAGAATTTGGCCGCGGTATGAAGGGTCGGTGATAGACTCGGGGTATCCGACCATGCCCGTCTGGAAGACCAGCTCGCCGGCGACGCTGCGCTGGGCTCCAAAGCTGCGGCCCTCGCAGAAGCGAATGGCGTCGTCGCCGTTCTTGACCTCGAGGGCCATCATGACCTCGGTCTCCACGCCCGCCATGTTCACAACTTCCCACTGCAGCAAGTCAAGAAGTGTGTGTCAAACCGATCAAGAAGGAACTTGATGGGAGTGAGAAAGAAAGTTTGGCGCGGGTTGGTCAAGAAGTTTTCTTGCCAGAAAAGTTCAGGCTTGGCGCATGGTCCCTGAAGCGGCCCGTGAATTTGAGTTTTTGATGCGGAGAGATCGCGGCGCTAACGCAGCGATCGCAGAATTGAAAACATGTGACGGCGCCCGATGTGGGAGACTCGATTGGACCCCTGAAGAAGACTCCACTCATATAGTGGTGGGGTGAATAGGCACGAAAGGTACCACAACTATTTCTGTCATCATACATTACGATTAAACGGTGAATATGCCGCTTCCAGTCACGATCTTGGTTTAGTCTCTCATGCTCTTGAGTCAACTCTTTGCGGGATCTCCCATAATTGAGCGGGAAACTTTAGCGAAGGTCTCGATGGCCAGGCAATAGTGGGAATATTCTTTATTTCCTCTCAGCTATCTTGAATAAGTCAATCTGGTAGAAAGATTCGCCTTGTTGACATCCCAAGACCTGCCGTCGTCAGGCGCAGGTCTTATTGCTACCCCAAGAAACCCCAAGACAGTTACTAGGGTAAGAAGCCGAGCACTGTCAATTTGTTGTTGGAACTCGACTCGATCATTTGCAGCAGATTGGAATCATTCATTTGCATCGTTGATGTAGACCAAGGTGACACCACCTTTGGTTGAGCTGCCCTTAACCTACTGCTTTCACTTCATTGCATGTAGTCGTGCGGTAGGGACAACCATCGCAAGTCTCATTCCGATGCCATCTTCTTCACCTTGGGTAGTAATACCCAGCATCCGATCATCAGCACGTAGAAAGCAATGCAGATCGGATGTAGTACGTAGGTGCCAGCAGCCTGAGCAATAAGACCGGTCAAGAACGGGACCACAGCGCCTCCACTCGATCCAGCACTGGAGATGAAACCAATTGCGATCATCTGAATGTTGGCGGGCAGTAAACGAGTAAAGATAGTCGTCGCGCATGGATATACAGGCCCCAGTAGAAGTCCCAGGATCGCGACGGAAACTGCATCTCCAATTACACTTGGGATGAACCACGCCAGAAGCTGGAAAACGACGACGCCGACTGTGGTGGCAAGAACGAATCGCTTCTCGCCGACACGGCGCGCGACATGTGTGAGGGTGAAACGGCCGATGGTGATCCCAGCCCAGAAACCGGAGGTGACATAGCCAACATGCGCCGGGTCACCATTGCGGTAGCTGATGAGATATGAGATGAACCAGCCACTCTCAGAGACCTCTGCTCCTTGGTAAGAGAAAATGAACAAAGCTCCGATCAAGGTAGTCCTGTTTCGCAGAGCGCGGCCCAGCAATTGCAGCTTCGTTGGCTCTCCTAGCTCTGATGCAGCTTGTCTGCTGGCAATCTGCTGTAGGCTGTTTGCAAATAGCGAAACACCCTCCTTCTCGTACTTCCAAAACGACCAGCCCGAGAATGCAAAGCAAGCAGCGCGAACTCCAATGGGAATGAAGTAGAATCGAGACCAGAGGATGCCGTTGGATACCATGGCTGTGGCGGCAATCGGGGCCACGATACCGCCAACGCCGTAAGAACCATGCGCGAGACCGAGAATGACTGTGGAATCGGCCAGGTTAGCGCAGAATACGTTGTTCAGCGCTAGGTTCAGGGCGTTTCCGAAACCCATGACGAGATATGCCGCCACAACGACCCCAAAGGGAGGCGAGCATACAATAGCGACATAGGCTACGATCATGCAGGCTTCCGACAGCATCAAGCTCTTGGCGCGGCCGAGGCGGGAGCTGATTGGGTCGTTGAAGAATGCAGAGAGAATGAAACCTGCGGCGTTCGTAATCCATATCAGAGAGACAATAGCGTATCCGATGCTGTAGTAACTTTCAATGTGTGGAAGCAGAGCTCCTGGCGCGCTGTCGCTCATGCCGTTGCCAAAGTAAGTAATGCAAGCTGCCAGGATCCGCCATTTGTTCATCGCCGGGTAGGAGAAGCTGGGCAGAACGGACGTTGTTCGGTCTTGTATTGGTGTCGGTGGCTCGCTTCTTTCCAAATCGTCAGGAGGTTTGGAGGTCTCAATAGCCCCAGTACTATCTCCTTGTGTATGCACTTCTGGGGGACATTGAGGCGCCTTGGCGACAAGTGTCGTCTCCTTCAGCGGTTTCTGCTGGACGACATTGCTGTAATCCGGTAGTTCCATCGCATCTAATTCTTCGATCGATGGCTCTCTTGTTGCTGGTTTCGCTGATGAAGTTCTTGGTGCTTCGCTGCTGGACTTAATAGAAAGTCCGGATGCAAGTGCTAGCGAGGCCATCTTGCTTCATTCTCTCTTGACTCTCTCGGGGTTTGAGCAGCGGACATCAGTAGACTTATAGGCAGGACTTGTGGAAGGAGAGTACTTCAAATGAGATGTTGAGAAGGCACGACAGAGAGATACTCAGTCTAAGAAGATGAATAATGTGCAGGCGGAAAGATACTACGTTCGGCATGCCGATCATGCGCCGTCGGAGGTATGTTCCTCTTTGGTAGCTCCGCACAAATGTTAGTCATCTTCTCTCGTCCGGTAAAGATGGATGGCGTCGTGACATTATAGCCATGGAGAGATAGAGATGAGCACCTAATGAGCATGTTGTTAGAGAGGAAGAGGAAAACCGGCCGAAGGCACCTAACGACAAGGGTCGGGTGAAACAAAGTCCGAGCGCCTCTGGACGTCATTTGGCGGGCATGAAAAGCGCCTGACATTTGGGCGAGCTCGACTTCGCGATGAACCACCCAAACAATCCACCAAGACACAGTACCTCTTCAACACCTACGTGATAAAGACGAGTGCCACGACAAGATGTTGAACTGGATGAAACAGACGCATGTGCGAGCCTAGGCCTACTATTCCCGCCGCAGAACTGACCTCCAGCTTGCAGCGTGGGCATCACGGACCATAACTACGGCCCCGATGCGATCCAATCTGTAGCCAAGCAGACCGCCGAGACCCCATACACCGAGCTCACCAAGAAGGACCTCGCCTGGGAGATAGTCGACGGCACCAATGTCGAGACCAAGACCTTCTATGTCATCGCCGACAATGGACACATTGGACTCGTGCAGATCATCTACAGCAATGTCATGTGAGCAGAATGGATGGGAGTCGGCATGGAGAATATGCTGATGCGGAGGATTCAGGGGCGTGCGAACGACTGCCCAGTTCAGCAGCAAAATCTTTGCCAAAGACGGCGGAAAGGACCATCTGTGGACATCGGACAACCTGAGTCAGTTCTCATTCTCCAAGGATAAGCAGAACTTCAAGGCCAACGGCTGCTCCATGGATCTGAGTGAGGATGGAAAGAGCTATCGTATCAAATCGTCAACGAGCAAGCAGGCCGTCGTTGATATGAAGTTCACACAGACCGCACCAGGCTTCATGGCAGGCAAAAACGGAACGAGTACGTTCGGGACAGATCCAGAGCATCCATGGGGGAAGATCTACCACAAATTTTGGCCGAGATGCGATGTTGAGGGAAGCATCGTGACCAAGGATGGACCCGTCGACTTCAAGGGCAAGGGTATCTTCATCCACGCGCTGCAGGGCATGAAGCCGCACTTTGCAGGTAAGCACCGTCGAACGAGGCGGAGAGGGCATCTGACTAACTTCGTCCAGCCGCCAAATGGAACTTTGCATACGTCCAGTCGCCCAGGTATACCGCCATTATGATGGAGTTTACCACACCTCCCTCGTACGGCGAGACGAAAGTCAACGTTGGAGGGGTGGTCACGGACAGCGAGATCCTCTTTGCCGGCGCATCGCCTGCCATCAAGGCCGAGCACACTGAAGTCAAGGGCGACAAGGAAAATGATTGGCCGGAACCAGCAGCTGCTGCTTTCACCTGGGATGGAAAGACCAAGGACGGCAAAGATGCTCACGCCGAATGGTCTGGCAACATCAAGGAGAGGACAGATCGTGTGGATGTTATGGGTGAGCTTCCGAAGTTTGTCAAGCAGATTGTTGCAGGCGCTGCCGGGACGAAGCCATACATCTACCAATACACCCCGAAATTGCCGCTGAAGATCAAGATTGATGGGGAGGAAACGCAGGAGGAGGCCCAGCTTTTCATGGAGGCAACTTTCATCTCGTAAGCGTGGGACGATATCATAACGACTGGCATGATCACAGGATGGCGTTTTGGTCAAAGTTCAGGAGTTGGTGAGCTGCACCCGCCTAATTACCCCATTTCAAGACTTGCACAACAAAGAGAGTAGTCGTTCACGTCTTCATGTCAATTGTCGCCTCAGTCAGTTTCCGGCTCATTGTCATGCGTCATTCAGTGTGTTGTCGTTATGGTCACTGTCTCACTATCACATGTGTTGCTGCGCGCTCATTCGGGCGGATTCCGCGATGTGAAAGTATGCCTCAGGCTGAGGCTACAATGAGAACCTTCCTACTCATCCTCTGCCTCCTTCAGACTGTCAACAACTTGCATCAACACCCAATGTGGAAAGGTGGTTCTTCCACACCTCCATGGTGTGTTGGTGTGTTCTGGTACGCGGCAACACTGTCAGCCTGCAATCAAGCTACCCTCTCGCTGAACGAGTGCGAGGTCGCCGCGCAGGTATCAGAGATCTCTCATGACTTCTCACGAATCTGAAGCTGACTGAGGATGCTACAGCTATCCTGTCCCATCTTCATGGCGAAAACTACATTGCCATCTGGGACTTCCAGCGCAGCGCTTGTTCTCTAGCGCTCACCTGGTATCAATATCTGATGCGAGCTGCCGCTCAAGCTCTGCGAGATCCGAGCGCTGCGCAGCAAGTGAAGCGGGAAACGTGAGTCCGCACCCTTGACGGGCTTTGCTGTCCTGAGTAGCCGCGAGAGCACCTTGAGGACACTGGGATGTCGACAGAATGCTCCATCGCACGCTCTCACTATGCCATGGCAGAGCATGGAAGCACCATAATCACCACAATGGCATGCAGGTCCAATATCGTCCTTGACGACATCTGGCCATCACCCTATGCCCTGGTATGCATCAATTCGGTGCTAGATATCACCTTCAAAACTTGCAGAGCGGTGAGCTCAACCTCCGACGGGAATCCACTGCTATCCCAGATCTCCGGGCATTCAACTTCGAACGCGCCGCACTTGCGTCCTCACTTTGGAGCCCATTCGCATTCCCAACCCTCAATGTCCGTTTTAATGAACTCGAAGTGAAGTTCACTGCCAAAGTAAACCCTCAAGTGGCCCCACTTGGCGGGCCGCGCGCCGCGATTGGCTCGAGCGTGTGCCCTGGCAGTTCTGAGGCATCCATCCCTACCTTACCTACTCAGTCCCGTCAACTCAATCAACACGACCGTATCGGTCAACACCACACACCCACACATCCACCTTCTTCTAAACTAAGACTTGGCCGGCGAGATGGCGCGCCAAAAGTTTAGCTCGATTAACGGTCCCAACGTGTTGATACGCTCCGATGTGCGACATGGTGGCCCCAGCAACAGCGCCGCCCACACAACGAGCAGTCGGCCCTCCACCATTGGCACCGGCGGAAAGGGAAAGACGTCGGGTCCAAAGGGCCTCGGACTTGAAGGCAAGACCTTGAAGCGACACCGGTAAGACTGGCCGCGATTTGGTGTCTGGACGAAGGACCAACTAACAGTGAACAGCAAAGTTCTCCGCGACAATATCCAAGGCGTCACGAAGGGAGACATCCGTCGCCTTGCCCGCCGTGGTGGAGTCAAGCGGATCTCAGGCATGATCTACGATGAGACACGCACCACGTTGCGCAGACATTTGGAGATGGTGAGGGGCAATCCTGGAGTTTCTACCAGAGGAGAGAGCTAACCAGGATCCTCTAGTTGTTGAAAGACATCGCCGCGGTTGTGCAAGTCGCAGGTCGCAAGACCGTCTGCGTCTCAGATGTTGTCTTCGTGTTGAACCGGCTCGGTCGGCCGATCTATGTGAGTCGAAATTTCTCAAGTCATTTGGATGTCAGTACTAACGGATCGCAGGGCTTTGGTGAAGGCGTCCGTTGAAAGCATCGTCAGATACCCGAAAGTTTTGCTACAGGCGCGCGCATGGCACCGGAGATGAACAACATCTGACAGGCGCTGCTACTTGCACGATACCCTTTGATCGCGCTTGCCCTTTTGACGCACGCGTAGGAGTTCAGGTGTCCACAGGAAGGCCCAGGCAAAGGAAGCCGGCATGGAAGGGAGGGCGCATGGATAGTAAGATTGATGAAGCACAGCGCGTATGATACGGAAATACGAAATTATGTCTATGATCGCACGTCATGTTGCAATGCCAGTCAATTCTCAAGCACATTTGCATAGAGAGAGAGAGAGAAGGAGAGAAGAGTACGCAGGGGGGAGAGAGCAAATACGCTAGCCGCTTCCATCGTAGTAACGTATTGTCGCTCAGAGGTCGCGTCGCGTCGCGTCTTTCTTCTTCCATGCTGCACCATCATCACCTTTTCCATTATTTTCGTGAAGCGCAATGCCAGACACGGCGCACGAACGCTTCAGCATCTTCTCGAGTGCGATGCATACCGCGATGATGGCTTCGATCTTGAGAAATGTGCTCAGGATTTTCGCCGGCCTGCCGGCAATCCTTCACTAATGGCGGCGGTAGCATGGCGTCCACCTGTCTCTGTTTGGCAACTCCACCGCTCTCTAGATGTTGAGCTGGTGTAATAGCGACTCTTCCTGTGTTGAAGAAGATTTCATACGTTGTGGCTTAGAAGCTGACACGCCATTTAGAACCACCTACAGCGACATGCGCGAGTACGACTTTGTCGTTATAGGCTGAGCTTTCAAGGAGTGATCTTTGTCGAGACCTCCCAAAACGCCACGAACAATGCCGTGCGCACCTCTTCCATAACTGCTTTGCTACTTCCGCTATATGTCTGTGCGACTTTTTGCTTCATTATCTCAGCCTCACGACAGGCATGGGCCTTCTCTCGAGATGGTGGCCTGCCTTTCTCAAATGTCTTCAAGGAAATCGATGACCACTGGTACGTACCAATCTTCTCGATCGCTCTGACCGGCACCATCAACCTTCCGGCGGGCCTGCTCTATCTCGGCTCATCCATTGCTTATATGGCAATCGTGTCGCTGACGACCGCGTCATACCTATCCTCATACCTCATCCCGATTACGCCCATGATCCTCCATCGCCTGCGGGGCGATACGATGCAATTTGGCCCATGGACAATGGGACGCTGGGATCTCCCGATTAATATCTTCGCCGCTGTCTATACTCTCATCACAGGCATCTTCAGCTTCTTCCCGCCAAGCGTTGATCCGCCAATCAATGCGACCGACATGAATTATTATTCTTGTCTGGTGTATGGTGGCGTAACATTGCTTGGTATCGCTTACTACGTGATTTTTGGACATCGTTTCTGTGTTGAGCCTAATGTTGAAAGAACACGACAGTCGAGGACCGAGCATCATCTCAAGCAATGTGAGTCATACTATGGAATGTGTTGTACGACATTCGGAGCTGCAGCTGAAGGATCCGAGATCGTCGGGACCCGCCACCAAAGCTCGAGATAAATGTCCCAGACCTGAGCCTCTGTCTCGCGCTCGTCAAACCGAGATCAGCGGAGATGTCGACCATCACGCAAACTTTCAACCGATACCTGGAAATGTCCTCGCGCTTCCTGGGCAATCTCGGACGAACGTGCCATCAGATCTACAGTCATCGACCAGGTGCAACAATCTTTAGCGCACTGTGCTTCAGCTGTGGATTCATTTATGTGATACAGTCTCGCGCCCAGGAATCGCGGCTTCTCAAGGCCAAAAGGAATGCTCCGAAGATCGGAGGAACGACCTGCAAATATCGTCTTGACAACGGAACATCTGGTACATGTCCTCTACCTGATGGGAGAAAGCTCGGCTTTGCAGAGTATGGTGCATCAGATGGCATACCAGTCTTCTTCCTCCACGGGACGCCTGGTTCTCGGTTTGAGGCGGCCTCGCTTGATGATTTGACGAAGCAGCTCAATGTACGGCTCATCTCCGTTGACCGTCCGGGGATCGGATGGAGTTCAGCACAGCCCGGCCGAACACTGGAAACCCATGCGTACGATATCGATAATTTGGCCAACTATCTCGAGCTGGACAGGTTCGCTGTCCTCGGCATTTCTGGCGGAGGTCCATATGCGCTTGCTTGCGCCAGATTCATATCCAATGAGAAATGCAAAGCGGTGGGCGTGGTAGTCGGCATGGGAGCGCCGGATATGAGCAAGAAGGGAATGCGATGGTTCAACTGGTTGGGCTTCACACTTGGATATCCGTATCTCCATGCGAAGCTTTTCTACTGGGCCGTCACCCATACTCTGGAAGGACGACTGGATCTGACGGAGGACGAACGCTTGGAGCTCGTCAGACAGCGCACACGCGCCGAAATGGAAAAGGTGCCGGCGAAAGATCGAGCCTTCTGGCAGGATGAGGACAATATCAGACTTTTCCTGCGCTCGATGCAAGAAGTCCGATCGAGAGATCTGGTAGACGGACTGCTTACTGATGGGAGAGCGCTGGCCCTCGATTGGCAGTTCAAGATCGAAGATATCCCTGAGAACATGCCGGTGAGACTTTGGTACGGAGCGCAAGACGCCAATTGTCCGCCTGGATATGGAAGGCAGACGATGGAGAGATTAGGACATCGGCAGAATTGTTTGCTGAGGATCGAGGATGAGACGCATATCAGTATGTGGTTGAATTATCGAGAAGAGTTCTTCAAGGACCTGGTGGAGTTTATGTGAGGGGTGCGTAAGCGGGTATGATCTCTGCTCTGACGGAGTTGCTATTCAGGGCTGACAAAGGGTTTAGGCCAGCAGCACCTTGATGGCCGTCGACGCAAGTGTAAATCACAACTTCACTTCACTCCACTTCTTGACTCGCCGTTGCATCACCCACTTTCATTTTGGCGGAACCCCACGACTGGTCTCGTTCGAACGTCTACTCTCGCCCCTCCGACATTGTGGGACACTATTTCTGCTTGTATGCTCGCAAGGCTACAATTCCGGTGAGGGAGCTTTCTGAAACCCATACGCTGAGCTGACAAGCAATGCAATGATGCACACAGAGATCGTATAGAAGTCTATCAGCGTGAAGCGACCAGGCAAGGCAGTACGGCGGAGAGCTTGAGCTAGAGGCCATGACGTCGTCTCGGACAGGATCGAGCTTCTCCGATGACCCAGAACACGACCATAGCATGAACGACAAGGATGTACCGGTGTGGTGGTAAGTCTATTAAGTGCATACGAGGAGCAGATTGAAGATGTCGGATAACGCCGGCGGTCCGCAATTGCGGAGCTCAGGAGGGGATGCGGATACTCCTCTAGTCTAAGGGTGAGCGGATGATGCGGCTCTACGATGGACTTATATCATGAGAGCTCCGCATTGGGCTGGGAGCTCGAGCTCTTCGACTTCAGCTTCAATCTGTTCTCCTCCACGATTCGCTCTGCGGCTTGAAGAGAGAAGACAGCCATCATGTCGACTCAAGTCACGACTCCTTTTGGCTTGGATACGCTCAATGTAGCGCCAGAGGTAACTTCCTTCAATCCTCACACCGACAAAACATTCAATTGACATGCGTACAGGGAACCAAGCTATTCGTAAGTCGTGCAATCCTTCTCATCCCAACCAGAACTCACCCTCACCTCTCCCACGCAGCTCCTCCACCTGGGCAACATCGAAGCGGACGAAGGCTGGTTCATGCGCGGAGCCAACACCAGCACCGCCTCCAACCCCAACCCAACCTCCGGCCGGCGCAAGGGCGTCATCATTGGCGTCCTCATCGACCACCCCACCGAAGGCCTCCTCCTCTTCGAGACGGGCGGCGGACAGGACTACCCGGAAGTCTGGGGCGCTCCCCTCAACGACATCTTCGCCCGCTGCGACTACACGCCGGACCACGAACTGCCCGCGCAGATCGCCAAGTGCGGCTACGACATCAAGGACATCCGCGCCGTCATCATGGGCCACCTGCATCTCGACCACGCCGGCGGGCTGGAGAATTTCAAGGGCACCGGCGTGCCCATCTACATCCACGAAAAGGAACTCAAGCACGCCTGGTTCTCCGTCGCCACCAAGTCCGACCTCGGCGTCTACCTCCCCAAAGACCTGTCCCTCGACTTGAACTGGAAGGCGTTCTATGGGAAGTCTCTGGAAATCGCGCCGGGCATCACGCTCAGGCATGCGCCCGGGCACACGCCCGGGTTGTGCATCATGCAGGTGAATCTGAAAGGGGGCGCGTGGCTGTGCACGACGGATCAGTACCATGTGTATGAGAATTGGGAATCGGATGTGCCGCAGGGGTGGTTGGCGAGGGATCATGATGATTGGTGTGAGAGTCATCAGATGATCAAGGCTTTGCAGAAGGTGAGTCCCTCGCCCTTTCATTCCCATGCTCTCTCTCCTTGTTGAAACACGACTGACGAATGCGTGTGTGTGATTCAGCGCACGAATGCGAATATGGTCTTTGGCCATTGCGCGGACACTTTTTTCAAATATAAACTCGCTCCACATGCGTATACGTAGAAAGCTAGCAATATCGACGCTTCTTCTCCTATGCTTCGTAGGAAATGGGTATCTAAAAAAAAAGAGTTTGAAATCGCGAATCTATGCTATGCCGGATGCGCATTCTGCTGGACTCGCTTCCAAATCTGTCGTCCGGCAACGGTGGTGGAGATGGTACTCGCCGTTCCAACCACAATGGGGCCCGCGGGTATCCAACCCACAGCCGCGCCGGGGATGAATAAATCGCAGGTATCGATGAGGAGCTGAGAGTAGAGTTTGGATGCCGACTTGGTGGAACTTGTCGAGACTACGCTTGGGGCAGTCGAGGCGCTTTCTGATCCCACGTCGGTACTAGAGCCAGAGAATTCCTTCTCGTCCGTCGTGCCGTCCACGGGTGTTCGTGCTCCGCTGGGTGTCACGGAGCCGCTACTACTACTGCTACTCGGAGTCGCAGACAGCTTTGTAGCAGACCGCTCCTTCTCCGGACTGGTCCAGAGTTCGTAGAGCGAGAGCAGAATGGAGAAGACCAGGGCGTAGAACCAACACTTGTTGGCTTCCTGCTGCACCCTCGGAACCCAGGAAAAGGATGTGGCGCCCATTGCATTACTCTACTTGTCACAGATTGATCAATCATCATTAGCTTTCGTTTCCCTTGCCCCCTCCTCCAACCAAAACGAACTCGAGGGGGGTTTTATGGTTTATACGTACGATGGTGAACATTTCCAGAAAGAAATACAAGCCCAGAAACGTCCCCTTGCAAACTTCCAACGCCGTTCTCAGCGGCGGCTTCGTCGTGTCTTCCGAATTTTGGATGAAAACGATGGAGCGGTACGCGTTGCTCCAGCAGGGATACCATTTGAGGAGACGGAAGTATCGACGTCCTAATAGGGATAATACCTCTCCATGATCAGCACAGAACAAACAAACAAACAAACAAACAAATCAACATCCCCCCATAACAATTTCCATTTCCTCTCATCATATGCATGCATATTATTTTTTGGAATGTTATTATTACATACCCAGAGCGAATTGTCCCCGCATCCGCACGTAGAATTCGACATCTCCCGCCGAGTCGTAGTAGTAGTGTTCCGAGAATCCCACCGCCAAGGTACAGAAGCCCTGGAAAAGCCGCAGCGTCTTTTCCAAGCCTGCCGTGTCGTCTGCGAAGCGAACGAGCGAAGCTAACATTTTGTCTCGTGTGCGATTTTAGGTCCGGCGAGGAGGGTACTTTTGAGAGGAGGTGCTGAGGTTGGTTGATGGGGATTTTGATGCGAAGAGTTTCGTAGGTGGTGGACTGAATTGAATTGAATTGAATTGAAATGCTGTTCGGCTGAAGCGTGGCGGACGGAACCTGGAAGTGATAGGCCAGCCAGCAGCGTGACTGCCACTTCCACTTCCGTCACCCGGGGAGCGGATTTCCTCTACGTCAGATGTATTAAGATTCCGGAGTAACAAGAACACGACATGGCCGGTTACTGGAAGAGAGCACGACGGTCTCGAAATTGGAGACATTTGCATTGACGAGAGACCATAAGGCTTGGCTTGACTTTCCCCGTCGAGTATTGATGGAGATTGATGGGACCGATAGCGTTTTTAACAAGGGATGAAGAACGACATTTTCAGCTATTCTATTTCGCTCTCGCGGAAGATGATATCTACCACCGTTTGGTAGATGGCGCTCAAAAAGGCCGTGTCCAGCTTGGTCTGTGGAGATCTGACCACTCCGCCAGACCATCGTGGTCCACTTTGCGCTCGCGAATCCCAATGATATCAACGACGCTCAATGCAATGGTGATTACTTGCTGGGGTATGCTACTCAGTAGCCGTACGCAGTAGCCGTACGCAGCAAGAGTATAAAATAGGGAATCAGAATTCCGACCTTCCATTGATATTCTATCGTCCATGCTGATTGACGATCTATTCTCAATACGAGTATCTAAAGTCTGGATTTTCGAAATCCGTCCGGTCTTCCATCTCCCCCGTCGCGGGGCGAGGAGGCCCGTACAGAGCATCCCGCTGCTTGTTCCGCCGAATTAGCAGTGCGCGGAGACAGAAAGAGATCACAATCTGCGCGGCTGCGCAAGCCATCGAGACGGTACAGCCGGTGGGATACGTGGGAGCCTCGGATTCGAGGAAAGCGTGGGGACCGATGATGTTGCCCGCGCAATACGCTGGCGGTCTGTTAGCAGAGAACGAACGCGTTGGAGGAAAGATGGGTCTCACCCAAGAAGACGAAGGCAGTTGCCGTCACTCGCTTCGTGTAACCTCCCACGTTGTTGGCCGGCAGCTGGAGAGCAATGACCAGACTTGCCACGTAGGAACCACAGATATAACAAGCCACCAGCAGACCCTTGTTGTTCTGGTCGGTGTGAGGGAGCTTCCAGAGCAGAGACGTGGCCAGGATGGTGGGGATGATGTACAGTGGCATGATGAGCGTCCTTGCATTTGGGAGTTTCCCGGCCAGCCACGGTCCACTGAACACGAAGAAGACTTGCCATGCCCCGGTGGGAATCCCATAAGCCGTGGTGAGGAGAGCTTGTCCGCCGGTGAGGCCTTTGATGATGAGTTTGGAAAAGTTGGCCAGACCGCCGTTGATGGTCTCGTTCAGCAGGACAAACAGGAACAGGAGCCAGATCTGCGGGTCGAGCAAGGCCTCTTTGACTTGCGATGTCTTGATGGTGGGGTTGAAGATTCCCGTCTGGTTTTGCTGGGATCGAGCGATGAGCATGGCTTTCTCTTGGGGCGAGAAGCGTTTGGCGGTCATGATGTTGTTTGGGAGATAGATCAGGAGCACGACGCCCCAGACGACCGTGCAGCCTCCTGCGAGGAGGAAAATGGCTCTCCAGATCTCGAAGCCCTTGGCTTGTCCGACGGCGAAGAAGAGGATGCCTCCTACCGAAGCGCCGACGCCGTTGAAGCAGTAGAATGCTCCGGCTCGGGAGGATTGTTGTTTTCGTTGGTACCACTGTCCGACCTGAAGCAGAAAGTCAGCGTGTTGATGATTGTTGAAAGAGGGGACAACGCACGATCATCATAAAGACAGGAGTGATACAGCTCTCACACACGCCCAGGAGGAATCGGCAGACGGCAAGACCAGCGAAGTCGTGACACGCCGTCATCAACATCAGAAGAGAACCCCAGATGATGATACTGACGGACACGACGGTGCCCGTCGGGAGCTTCTGGGCAACATACGACATGGGCCATTCCGCCGCCAGATATCCAAAGTAAAACAGGCTCACGAGCCAAGAGTACTGCTTGGAATCGGTGCCCGTCGATGCGAAGAGGTCAAACACGGCGGCGTAGGTGAGCGATTGCTTGTCGATGTACTGTAGCAGGTACGTTCCGCATAGCAGAGGCATCAACATGAAATCGACCTTGCGAACCAGCTTCCGCATTCCTTCCGAGTCCGCCAGCAGCACATCGAGGTCATCGTGGGAGATGTTGTGCGTGCGCAGGAAGATCTCGGCTTGGTCGAGCTCTCGGATCTCTCCCTCCTTGACGTCTGCGTCCGCAATGCTCATCTCGGCGGATTTCCTCTCGTCCATCTTGATCTCGTTCGTCGGTGTCGCCATGATTGTTGTTGTCGCTCTGCAGCTGGCCGATTGCAACGGGCAATCGACCTCCTCCCAGACTCGCTTTTAAACTGGAGGGACACTGCATCGTGGCAGATAACGATTGCCGTCTGTTATCCAGCGTCTCCCAATGATGCCAATGCCATGCAATGCAGTGTTGTTGCCCGAAGGCATATCAATATCACAACTGTCGGAAGGATGAGGGAGGGATGCAGTTGGCCGTGCCTATCGTTCTCGCCATCGTTCTCGCAGCCAGCCCAGCCAGCCCAGCCGAAGGGTTTTGGTGGGCGAGAAATCCGCCGGTAATCTGCCGAGAGGTAAAAATTAGAACGACGCTTAGCGACAAATATCCCGGGGTGCTCCGATCGATTGGGAATGTGAGGGACAAAGTGGATAACAACAACCATTGATCGATACATGTTCGATACGTGATCGATACAAGATGGAAAAGTCGACCAAGGTAGGCGGCCATGAGCCGCATACACCAAACACAAGACCATCCGTCAAGACTGCTTTCCTCCTGGCACCGCTCCTGGCCTTCCTGGCTTTGTACAACTTCGTCCCGGATGTGCACGACAAAGTGCAGTCTTTCTTCGCCATACCGAGTCTGTCGGATCCGAGAATCCAGGTGCAATTGAAGCAAGGAACCTACCTTGGACAGGTCTTGCCGGAAGCGAATCGTCCTGTTCCCATTGAGGCTTTCTTGGGCATTCCGTATGCTCTGCCGCCGGTTGGAGAGCGTCGCTTTGCAAGGCCAGTCCCAGTACCGGAGAGTAATGAGACGTTTCAGGCGACAGAGTATTCGTTGAGGTGAGTGTTGAGCTTTCGGCTTGGATGTGAAGAAAGCGAGTCTGACGAGCGGAGAGATGCCCGGGCAAGCAGCTCCTAAGGGCCCCTGGAGCTCCATGGTTGGAGGCCAGCGAGGATTGCCTGACGCTGAATGTATTCCGTTGGCGAAATGGCTTCTCTTTCCAGAAGAAGTTGCCCGTGCTGGTCTATATCCACGGGGGTGCTTTCAACCGGGGCTTCGCAGCGATGCACGACACCGCCTCCATGCTCGCGTGGTCCGAGGAGCCTTTCATCGCACTGTCTTTCAATTACCGCATTGGAGCCCTGGGATTCCTCAACAGCGAGCTCACGGCCAAGGAAGGATTGTTGAACGTCGGACTTCACGATCAGAAACTGGTGCTGGAATGGGTTCAAGAGAACATTGGAGCTTTTGGCGGCGATCCCAACGATGTGACAATTGCCGGCCTGAGTGCTGGTGCTCACTCCATTGGACACCATATCATGGACGTCAACGAGAAGAGAACTCTATTCCACAAGGCCATTATTGAGTCAGGAGGCGCCACGTCCCGTGCTGTGCATCCGGCCGACTCGAAGCTGCACAAGGCACAGTTCGACAGATTCGTTGCCGAAGTTGGCTGCGGCAAGGCGCCAGAATCCGAAATCCTCGCCTGCCTCCGTGAGGCATCCTCGGAAGCCGTGACGACGGCACAGACCGCCGTGTTCGATGAATACAACCCTTCCGTTCGTTGGGCCTGGCAGCCTGTGCTCGACGACGACATCATCTCGCGAAGACCGCTGGACGCATGGAAGTCTGGAAAATGGCACAAGGTCCCCGTCCTGACCGGCTTCAACCACAACGAAGGAACCATGTACGTGCCGAAGAAATTGCAGAAGAGCGACGAGTTCACCGGCTTCTTCGCCACACTGCTTCCACAACTCACAAAGTCGGACGTCAAGAAGCTTGATGCGCTCTATCCCAATCCGGCCAAAGACGACTCCTCTCCGTATGTAGACACACGAGACTTGGGCAGTCTCGGCATCGGCGAGCAGTTCAAGCGAGTCGAGGCCGCGTACGGCCACTACGCCTACGTCTGCCCCGTGAGACAGACAGCCGAATACGGCACTCAAGACGGCGAGCAGCCCGTCTTCCTGTACCACTGGGCCGTCAACAAGACCCTCCTCGGCGGCGCCAACCACGGCGATCAGATCCACTACGAGGCCATGTCGCCTCTGGCCCGCGCCGTCTCCCCCACACATGACCAGATCGCGCGCTGGTTTAACTCGTACCTGACCAGTTTCATCGTCACCGGGAATCCGAATACCCTGCGAGGGCGTGCGGGTTTCGACAGGCCCGCGTGGTCTCCGTATGCTGTCGACAAGCAGACGATGATTTTCGGTGCTGGCAACGACGAAGCTGCCGGCGGTGACCATGCGGGCATTGCCGCGGGATATCTTCCGGATGCATGGGCGCGGGAGGAGTGCGATTTCTGGTGGCAAAAGTCTGAAGTCCCCGAGGACTAACTAGTAAGTTTGAATTTTGGGGGGGTATATTGGAGAGCGTTGATCAACTTGGATGGAAATAGAAAGCATGCGGGCCCGGAGTACGCGGTCGAGCTACCTACCTACGAGCTTTTTGCTTCTTCGCTGTGGAAAAACGACGCGAAATCGATCCTAGATATAGAAGCAAGTCAGCACAAGGTCCCGCGCTCTCTTCGTGTAACATGCTTAGACGAAGTCTGGATCTCCTTTAACAATGTCCAAACCTCTTGCATCCAACGACTCAATTTTTCCCACGTCAAGGCTTTGGGGCAATGCACTACCACCTCTCAGTCTCTCCTCCATCGCTATGCTGTCAAATTCAACGACGGCTATGTCTATACTACAACAACCAAACTCTTGACCCCCGAACGGGATGTGTCCCGTCGATTTCACACTCGCTCCATGCTTTAAGCTGTGGTGGGTAAGGCCCTATCATAGGGAATAGCGGAGGAGATGTGCTTCTTTTTTTTTCTTTTTGGAAGTAATGCAGGAATGTCGGTCTTTGTATTTACATTTGTAAAGTTTTTGTGCTTGGCGATGGGGCCGGCCGGGTTTTACGCTCGTGACGTCTATGATTATGCCTGATGACTTTGACTGGGTTCATGGGCTGGAGAAGTTTGTAAGGAGGGGGGGAACACGGACAGGGAAGAGAGTCAGAAGCTTGTTTGGACATCAGACATCCTTTTTGTCTTGTTGATGGCTGCACGTGCCTTGTCATCACATCACATGCGAGACGGGCACTCGCGTGGTGGGGAGATGGGCTTCTAGCTAGACAGACCATGGGGTTTACTGCTTCCAAACGCAGATTTCCTGATAATTTGAGTTTTGGATTTTGAATTGATAGCTGGCTGTAGTCAGGATCACAGCATCCTTCCCCTTTCCTTCCTCCTCCCTTTCCCTCCTCTTCCCCTTCCAATAGTGACAGGACTGCCATCATCAAGTCCTCTTCGCCTTCCCAGCACCACCACCACCACCACCACCACCACCAGAAACATTCGCCGCAACCAGCGCAACCGCAGTCATAGCCTCCCAAGCCAGAACGGGATAAACCATGCCCCGCTGCCACAACCCCAGTTCCGTCTGATAATGCCACTCGCCGAGATTCTGAAACCTCCACAGACTATACAGACCCGCCATGCCGAGCACAGCACTGAAAGCCCGATAAACCGCATGCGCCTCAAAAGTCACACCAACCGTAGGCACCGCGGCCGCGAGCAGGGAATTCAGATTCCCAGCCACAGCGGCCGTCCCGAAACCCATCCAATGCCACCCGATGATCTTCCAGAACTTCTCGCGCGGGCCGCCGTGGATGCGCGCGATCAGGAGCATGCTGCCCGCGTACAGCGCTGTCAAGAGCAAGCGCAGATTCCTCAGCAGGAGGGCATTGTTCTGCGTCGCGCGGTTCTTCGTAGTGGCGAAGAGGAGGATCAGTTGCGCCAGGCCAAAGCAGACGCCCGCTTGCAGGAAATTGAAATTCTGGCTGCCGTGGCGGTGGGAGGTGACGTTGTAGTGTTTCAGGGGGTGCACTTGGCGGTAGTCGACGCCTAGGTCGGAGAGACTTTCGATTTTCCAGTCGTAGGAGGTCGTGCCGGCGTCGAAGGCGGCTTGGGCGCGCAGTTCCCAGAAGAACCAGCTGCCGGAGGCGATGGCGAAGAGGACGGCTGGCAGGAGTGGTGGTCTGTGTGGGAGTGGTGCTGCTGGTCCGGGTTTGGGTGGCATTGTGCTGTGTGAGGTCTTTACCGATGTGTATGCCGGTCGCTGCGTTTGATATGTTCAGGGACTCGAAGGTGGCCGGAGTCGCTTCTATGAGGAGTGTACGATATGCTGAAAGGTGGTGCGATGTCGATGATGCTTCTGCCACTGTACTGTCGCCCTCTTAACCCTGTCGTGAAGATCAATACTTGTCCTCTATGGAAGATAACAAATCGGTACAGACTCCCATCACGCAATTAGTGGCTGGTCATGCCCGAGGTCGATGAAAGTTTAAATTTATGCTCGAGACCTCAAGACATCAAATGCAATGTTTCTAGCCTAGAGGCGAATGGAAGCTCATTCGGAATGCTGGCAGTTGACTTGATCTCCTTGAGCTCTCTACGATTACCATCATGATCAGTAGTACGAACTCGTCAGCTCAATGAGATAGGGAGAACGCGCTGTACTAGTTGCTGGTACATGGGGCCGGCGGACCCGTCTCCGTCTTGGAGATCAATTCCGGATATGGTTTGAGCCGCGCTCCCAACGAGACTGAGATTCTGTAGTCGTTCGTTATTAAGATTGGACCGCTCTAAATCTAGCTAGCCACAAGCGACGAGACATGGATCAACTCCAGAGGATATTAAACCTCCTCCATCCAATGACAGGCGGAAGCGGAGGTTCCGGATTTTGGTCGTAGATGTCGAGATATTTCATGATGGGAACCTTCGAACATAGCATGTCAGATCGTGTCGTGCGTTCGTGATCGGCAGCAACTTACCTCCATCAAAGGCACGATTCTCGTCTTCCGAATAAGCTTGTAGCCGAAGTACAAGGTGAGGATTATTGGAATGTTGATGTAGCTTGATACGAACGTCTCAGTTGACCAGCTGACACTCAGGTGTTAGCGTAGTTTGAAGAAAGGACACGACTGAACGACTCACTGTCCGTGGATAAAGGTGGTATAGCCGCCAGTCAACAAAAGAAGGGCGAATGCAACGAGACCTATCCAAGCAAGGTATGGCTGGAACATTCCTTTCCAAGGCAGGCGTTCACGACTGATCCCCTGCTTTTTCATCGCATAGTAAAAGCGCAGGTAGACACCACAGATGACCATCCAGTCGATCAGTGCAGCAACGGAGACAAGGTCTTGCAGCCAAGAAAAGACCGTAGAGGCGGAGTCCTGCAGCGACATGTAGCCCAAACAGACGAAGAGGCTCATGAAGGCGACGGAAGCCCAGGGTATGCCAAGTCGGCTTGTCCGCTTGAAAAACTTGGGAGCACGTCCATCTTGCGCAAGGCCATAGAGGATACGAGAACTGTTGAGTAGACCAGCATTGCCAGCGCTCCAGGCGGAAGTTAAGACGACAGCATTGATGATGGAGGGCACGACTTTGATCCCGGCTCTGGTGGCTGCAATCACGAAGGGCGATTGGGCTGCGGTTCCCGAAGATTGAAGGAGGTTTTCATCGTTAGACGGCACGATCATACCAATCATGAAGATCGAAAGCGAGTAGAAGATGCCGACCCTCCAGAAGATGCGCTTTGCTGCCATTGGAATGTTCCTCCTAGGCGACTCTGTTTCTGCTGCAGCGGTACTTATGTTTTGGACTCCAGAGTAGGCATATACCGCATTGGAGAAGACTGTCCAGAAACCCAGAAATCTGCCAAGATCCCCGTTGATGCCAAGATATTGCACGAAAGGTCCAGGGTTGCGCCAGTATTGGAAGCCGTAGGTGTGATGGTCCGGCCCACCTCCACAAGTAACTACGAGAGCCATGATATCTATCTCGGGGTGAGCTTTATTCGTTCGAAAACCGAGTAGGAACACTTACTGACGCCAACGACTAGGAGGATTTTCAGCGTTGCGAACTGTGCAATGCGAGTTAGAGGAAGTCTTCGGTTTTGGTTGAATTGAAACTCACGATGAACTCTAGCTCGCCGTAAATGCGCACGAGAATGATGTTGCTCAGTACGAGCAAGATGCCGAAAACAGTGATCCAGATGCCGTTGTTGATGTGGACCCAGAATTCGGTCACTACCGCGGCAGCAACAATTTCAGCGGGAAGGGACACCATGTAGCTGTAGATTGAGTTCCAGCCTTCGGCGAAAGCGAGAGCAGGATCCACAAAGTACTCCGCATGTCTGATAACGCCACCACTGAGAGGAACCAAAGCGCTCATCTCTGCTATACTGAACACGGGAGCTGTCACCAACATGCCAACAAAGGTATATCCGAGCCAGGCTCCAAGGGGTCCAGCTTGCGCCAGAGCTTTGCCAGAACTTAAGAACAATCCAGTCCCAATCGTTCCAGCGAGGGCTATCATCTGGATGTGTCTCTGGTGAAGTCCACGTCTTGATGGCGTATTCGATTAGCCTTGGACAGTTGAGTCGGAGAGAGTGCTTTGGCTGACCTGAGGTCTTTCTTCTCTGCAAAGTCAACCGGCTCCTCTCCGTCGTACACCGCGCCGACCTGGACGTCCACATTTTTCTCGTGATCGCGCTCGCCATCTGAGCTCTCGTGGAATATCTTCTCGAACATGGCGGGAGAAGAAGTTGAGATGGAAGAAAAGCGAGGCTCGACTGCGAGGAGGAATCGGAGCACGTTATACTCGCAGCTGTGCCCCTCGACTGATTCGCGAATGGCGTATCAGTGGCGAAGGTGCGAGATAAGAAGCCCATATCTCATCAGCCAAAGCCGGGATGCTTTGCTTCAGTATAATCATGTTCGCTTAGCATTGCTCCACATAGACTGTCGGCGGCATCCCAATGGAGATGCTATACCCTCTGCCAAGAGAGGCTCAGGTACCGGGCCGCGATCAAAGAAAGGCGTCAGTGGGACTCGATCGGGCTTTGAGCATGTCGTGATGCTCGCGTGATAGCGAGGTCGTGTGTGCACTCGCCCTATCGGGACAACGGGTGAAGTTGCTATGGGGTTACTCCGGAGTACACGTATTGCAGTGATATGCCCGAAAGAGTATTCTACGCCGTAAAGTAGACCTGCTCGTCTCCAGCTCCGAGCTGATCATCCTGTTGAGGCATCGATCTCACGATACCTTGTGTGATGATATTCAATTCATGGCACCGGTGGAAAATAGCAGCCAGAACGACGTTGACGGAGATGGAGGAGGTGGAGTGGATGTGATAAGGAAGAAGAACGCGGCTCGAAGTGGAATGTCTCTCTTGGCCTGAGGCATCGACGCTAACTCGATTGAGTATCATTGTTTTCTGCCGACCTCTCAGCATCTCTTCCGACTATCAACACCCGGGATGACGCGGAAACTGCAGAAGGAGCTGGAGATCGCGTGTACGGCCGTCCAGCACTGCGCCGTCCTCACCCAGCGACTCCAGAGGGAGACGGTCGGCCAGGACAGTCAGATCAAGAAGAGCGACTTCTCGCCCGTTTCAATAGGAGACTTTGCCTGCCAGGCCTTGCTCACCGCTGCCACCCAGAGTGCATTCAGAGGCGACAAGTACCTCGCAGAAGAGTCGGCGGATGACTTGCGCCAGAATGCCTCGCTTCTCGATCAGGTCTGGCAGCTGATACAAGACGTGAAGCCGGCGTTTGCCTCCAGCAATCTCGCCGTACCCGCTTCCAGGCAGGAAGTCTGCGATCTGATCGACCGGGGCGGCAAGAATCAGAAGAGCGACGAGGGCAGGACGTGGGTCTTTGATCCCATCGATGGGACTCAGACCTTCCTTCGCGGCCAGCAGTATGCTCTCAACTGTGCATTCATGATTGACGGCAAGGAGGAAATCGGCATCATCGGCTGTCCCAACCTCCAGGTCGACTCCGATACTGTCTCCGAAGATGACGTTGACCACAATGGCATGGGTCTCATGATCTTCGCCGTCCGTGGAGAGGGCACTTGGATGCGGCCGATGCAGAGTGGTGGCACACTTTTGCCTGCAACGCGGTTGGAACGCCACGGCGACACGGCCACGCTCGATAAGTTGGTGTGGTCGGACTGCTCTACTTACACATCGACTATTCTGCATTTGCATCAGCAAGTGGCAGCAAAGCTCAATACGCCCTGGCCGGGCGTCGATCTCTTCAGCTCGCTCATGAAGTATGCTGCTCTGGGTCTCGGACGCTGCCACATCGTCATGCGGATATTCAAGTACGCCAGCTGGAGAAGCAACATGTGAGAACATCAAACGCCACGCCTTGGAAGAGTTGAGGCTGACACTTCGCAGGTGGGATCATGCAGGCGGCGTGCTCATTTTCGAAGAAGCTGGAGGCAAGGTCACGGACTTGAATGGCAAGCCGATCGACTTCACCCAAGGCAGGAAGATGGCCGAAAGTAAGTCATCCGAAGACCGACGCTGAAAACGGATACTGATGGTCCGACCAGACTATGGACTCCTGTGCGCACCCTCGTCGGTGCATGCCGAAGTACTCCAAAGCATCCACGAGACTCTGCAAGCCTACGAGAAGTCGCAAGGACCAATACCGTGGAGCAAGTAATGGAATGAATCCGACCAAAGAATATTGCCAGATCGTTACAGGGCATGTCACAGATAGACGCACGACGAGTACTACATAGATAAAGGTAAGATCAGCATCTGATGAGCGCCATGAATTCTGTATTCTGATATCTTCAGCTATCTCCGTACAGACCGCTCGCATGAAACCCTCTTAAATCAGCTCCTGTTCTCCTGCTCTCGCTTCCTGATATGCTCTTGATAAGCCGGATCCAACATGACCACGTCCAAATCACCCTTACCCTTTGGCTGACTATAGAGCTTCCAAGCCTCCTCCGCTACATTCCTCGCATTCGTCACCTCCGATTCGTCTGCAACCCGGCCGCCAACAACGATCAACGCGCAATGTACACCCTTGAGCTCGAACTCCTTGTGCAGCGATTGGACCAGATTGTACTGTGCAGCCTTCCCAGTCGCCAGCGAGAAGAGAGCCGGGAAGGGATCTTTGTACAGCAACCCGGAAGTGACGAGGAACGCAGGACTATGTGACCCCTGCTCTGCAACCTTCACCAGCTGCGGCAGAGCCCATTGCGCAACCGTGTACAGACTAACAACCGAGATCTAACCGCGAGGGGCGGACAACATCAGCTCCCCACCCAAAAAGATCCCAACAACACACCCACACCCCCAAAGCGAAAACTCACTCACCCTCAAATCCGCCTCCAGCTGCTCCGGAGCAAACTCAAACATCTTACTCGCACCGACGCGCGCCGCATTGAACAGCACCGCTTCCAGGGGCGTCCCGCTCAATTGCCGGTCGATTTCCCCCAGAGCCCTGCGCACATTCTGTGTATCTGCCAGATCTATCGGGATCGTCGCCACCGAGGCCTTGGTGGAGGATTTCTGGACGAATACGGCGTCTTCTTTCATGCGATTCGTGTCGCGGGACAGCAGGATGATCTTCCCGAAGCCTCGCTCGGCGAAGAGGGCGGCGACGTTGCGCCCGATTCCCGGGCCGGAGCCGAAGACGATGAGGGCGTTGTGTTTGGACATTTTTTCTTTTTTTTTTCAAACTTATTCAAAGGGTGGTTCTTCCGAATTTCGAGAGGAAAAATTATCTTGCAGTGTGACAAAAGTGGACTTAAATCGATGCATGGACGTTGACGCAATGCTTCGAGCTTGAGGTGCGGAGCTCAGATCGGTCCTTGTAGCCGTCTACAAGTACGAGAGCTGTCGAGTGGCTTGAGATTCATATGCTGACACAGGTTGAAGAGGAGAGAGATCCTGGTGCATGTTTCTTGATCGTCTACTACAAACAACAGGCTCTACGAAATCGGGCTCTAACCCTTTCCACCCCTGGCGCGACTCGTATATATATCCTTCGAAGGGCGACCTGTGCAGCACCATCTCAGCATCTCGAGACCAAACATACCTCCACAGAAGAAGAAGAAGAAGAAGAAGAAGAAGAAGAAGAAGAAGAAGAGTAAGAAGAAGAAGAAGAAGAAGAAGAAGAAGAAGAAGAAGAAGAAGAAGAAGAAGAAGAAGAAGAAGAAGAAGAAGAAGAAGAAGAAGAAGAAGAAGAAGAAGAAGAAGAAGAAGAAGAAGAAGAAGGAACCAGAGACGAACCCCACTGCCTGTCCCACTCCCAAACGCCGCGGATCAATCAAATTCAAGTCTCATGTCGCTTCCAGCAAACTTGCGGAACCATATCGGGAGGAACGTGCGCTGTGGTGAGAGAGCCTTGGGGATGGATGGATCTCTGGCAAACTCCATCAGGACGCGCAGTCGACCTAGGGAGGAATTAAAGTGAATCACCTCTTCCGTCGGGGGCGTGTTAATCCCCAACACGAAGGTCCGAGAAGTATACGCTCCCTTCCAAGGCTTCAGGACTGCCAAGAAGGTTGGAAAATCGGCAAACCCCTGACGGCGAACATATTCTCGAAAGCGCAGATGGTGATGTCGATTTCTAGATCCTCTGGGTGTTTCAACGAGGGAAAGCAGTTTATCTTGCTGCCGGCTAATTGGTGAGATTCTCAGGTGGGTATTCTCCCTTCCAGCAAAATACACACATGATCTGTTGACCAAACCGAAAAGACTGGGAACATGTCGGATGACGCGAACGGAGTCGTCTGTGGCAACAACATATTTGGAAGTTCTTTCTTTCACAACTGACGGTAGACAGGTGATATATTGTGACACCAGTCGAGTTGCAGAAGATCGTAACGGTGATCGGCTCGGAAGTGGTACGATGGACGGACATTTGAGGCATCTTTTGTTCACGATGTTTCTGACTGGAGTTGTAGACAGTGGAGGAGTCGTTGTTAGGGGAAAGCATGGCCGTTACCTTGACGACTGTAAATCTGGGAGGACTCTTGCATTTACGTGGAGCCCGAAGATCAACCCTAGAAAGCCAAAGGATGGTCAATCGTTCACTTCATATGCTTCGCAGGTCACTATCTGTGCATGGCTTCTCCAGTGGGCTTCACAGAAAAGGGACAATTGAGTGCAAGGGGGCCGAGAAGTTCAGTGTTCAATTCTTTCCGCGCATTAGCCACCGCCCAGGGAGACATCCTTTCCAAACCGGAGCCACTTACCGTAATGCGATACCATCGACGTGTAGACAGCACGGCCGAATGCCAAGAACTTACATGTTTCAGATCTGGACCCTTTTCACATGGAGCCTATTGTCCCGATGTGTTTGGGATTTCAGCTTGCGCAAGTGAGGTCTATTGTCAAATTCCAGGTGAGGTGAAACAAGAGCTTTTACGATCTGAGAAGCCTCACCTGGACAGAATGTACAAACAGATCATCTTCTTACTCTTCTCCTTTCACTTCCCTTCGCTGTCCAGCACCGATAACAAGAACAAGAACGAGAACCGGACGACACCATGTCTCCCAAGAAGAAAACGAAGCTGGCGGTCAGATTCAGCAACGCCAGGAACCAGACCCGGTCACGCCTCTTGGGTCTCCCGGCGGAGCTCCGCAATCACATATACCATTTGGTCCTCTCTGAGATGATCACCTACATCAGCAAAGACACTGTCATCAAGACGCCAGCGGTCACTTACAAGTCTCGTCCAGTCCACGGCTTCTGCTTCGACCAGACGCCGGGTGTCCTGCTTACGTGCAAGCAGATTCACGTCGAGGCGATCAAAGTATACTACGCAAATGCCGACTTTGTTTTCACGGCTGCCAGCCACCTCGAACGCTGGGCAAGGAAGGCTCGACCAGAAAACAAGAAGTGCATTCAGAAGGCCAGAGTCCACGTGATGTACGATGCAATGCGCTCGTGGGCTGTTGTGTTCGCCGAAGTCGACTGCTTGCGGAGGTCTGCGCAGTTGCCGACGCTTTCCTACGGTTACAATTCGCAAGGTGTTTGGCGTAAGTCTGCCCAAAAGTGGTGATCCTTCAAATTGCTGATCATTTTGCAGGGTTGGACAAGTGCCGTAACTTCAAATTTTGCCGTCGCTGAAGTTTTCTATGGTGTTCGACGCATCTGCTGTGTGAGACAATTTGAACTGAACGGTGTGAGAAGGTCGGGAATGCCCAATGAACAGTGAACAATTGGTGGAGTGATAGCGCGCATCTGAATGATCAGTGGAGTGGATGTGCCTCGAAAGGTCTGGAACATTGTGAGCATTGGTCGGTGGAGTGAACGAGCGAGACTGTGTCAGCAATGAATGAACATCTTTGAAATGTACCCAGTTTCGCTTCTCAGCTCCTGATGATCTGTCCCCCACCATCAAAGCACTCTCTCCCAGCTCGAAGCGTCGAGGAGCGCTCTGCAGGCAGGCCAAGGTAGCGCAGTAATTTAGCCACTAGCCTTGGAGAATCGCTCTTCGCTAGTCGTGTAACTGCTTGTAGCCATTGAAAAGGGCTGCCGAGTAGATAATCTAGCGGTGTCCGAATGGGATTGATCCACCTACCGTCGTGCGAATATGAAAATGAGAGACATCTTGGCAAGACCTTTTTGAAAGTTTATTCTTCATGATGATTCGCTATTCCCACCAGGTCATATCAGCGCCTTATGAAGATAAGTCCCAGCTCAAGCCCACGCATTCCTCAGCTGTGGACCATTTACCGCGACTCGGGCCAGCAAACTCCATGATCCGCCCATCAAAGTGCCAAAGGACAGCCCTCGCTCATATCAGGTCGATGCCCATCCCAATCCTGTAGGCGTCTATGCCTGCTGTGTCTTCTTCTTGTTGGCCTCACGGCCAGCGGCGATGCGCTCCAAGATCTTCTCGCGGTCCTTGTCCAGCTTGAGCTTTGTGATTTCGATCTTGGATGGGGCGATGCCGATGGGAACGGATTGGCCGTTAGACTTCTCGCGGGAGACACGCTCGACGTGAACGACGTATTTCAGGCGGTAGACAGAGGTGATCTTGCCCTCACGGCCCTTGTTGCTGCCGCGCTTGATGATGACCTCGTCGTCTTTGCGGATTGGGATAGCGCGGACCTGCATTGAGATTTGTTAGTACGCGTACTATTGAGGCGGTCTGCATGTGGACGAATGTACGTTGTGCTTTTCCCGGAGTTCTATACAGAGTTAGCATAGCTCTTTTCGCGCCTCGATTTGATGTCTCTTCATACCCTTGCTCAAAGGACAGGACATAATTACACGGCGCACGGAGGAGGGAGCCTGGAAATGGTTCTTGCGGCTCTTTCTCCGGCTGGAGTGCAGGCTGGTGTTGATCTTCGTCATTGTGGTTGGCGATGGACGAAGTGCTGGATGCGTCGGGTCAGTAAGGTAGGATGTCGTCGACAAGCTGGCCTGGAGATTTTTGGTGTGTCGAGGCTTGGCGCTCGGCCGCTCCCGTCCTCCCGCGCGGCTGATGTTTCATGGGGCAGCTTAGGACATCGGGCGGCTTCGACGAGCGCGTTGTTGGTAGGAAGCAGCATCATCGCGCCTGCTGCAGCGACACCTTCTGGAAACGATATTACCAGGCGAAACATACATCTACGTACGCGACAACGATCACGTGGCGACTACCCTGTCTCCGCACCGCTGTCTGTCCTGATCCGACAAGCAAGTTTGCCCTCGACCGCATATCGCGCGACTCAACACACGCGGATATGCCCTCCCACATGCTCCGATTACAATCCGTGGTGACCTCGACGTAAGCTGGCCGGTGGGGACGCGAGGTTGAGCGGGCATGGCGCCGTACAACTACAGCAACTATTACGATCCAGTGGGAAGCCAGGCGAACCAGCAGCCCCAAGGATATACCTACGCCGGACAATCCTCTGCGAACGCGCAATTTCCGAGCCAGACAACGTCCAATTATTCCACAGAGTACAATCAGAGCTACGATGCTGCGGGATACACGCGCAATCAGTATGGCACAACGCAGCAGCCTCAGGCCAGCTCCACCACGAATCGCGCTGCGTCGGCTCTGAGCTCTCTTAGCCATCAGAACTATGGCCAGGCAACAGACACACGAACGAGTAATGTTGGAGCATATGATAATTCATACTATGGAACTTCTGGCTTCACTTCCATGCCAAACCGCACACAGTCCAACAACTCCCCACTCTACAACACTGCAGGCTCCACCTTCGGAAGACTGAGCGTGCCAGACCCGTCGCAGACCAGCTCGACCACGTTTGGAGGCACTCAGACACAAGCCGAGACAGCGACCACGAGCGCCACGAGCAGCCGAACGTATAGAAACGCTCCTTCGAACGCAGCGTATAACTATCAGAACTCTTACTCACAGAGCCAGCAGCAACCTCCACAGCGATATGCAAGTCCCTTGCATGCAGTACAGGCTCAGCAACATCAGCAAGGCCATAACAAGCCGCCCTCGCGAAGCTCCAACCACGCTTCCTCACCTCGAATGGCCGTGCACAACCAGCAGCAACTGAACCAAAGTCAGCGACAGCCAAGCGCCTCTGTGGAACCTTCGCCAACCACGGTCGATCCTTCGCAAGTGTACGATATGCGCGCGGAACAGCAGCGGAAGGCACAAATTGAAGCTGAAAAGCGACGCAAGATCGAGGCACAACGGAAGGCGGAAGAGCAGGCGCGGGCAGCAGAAGAGGCGGAGCGGAAGGCAGAAGAGGACCGGAGAGCGGAGCAAGAACGAGCGGAACGAGAAGCTCGAGAAGCCGAGGAGCAGGCGAAAAAGGCCGAAGAAGAAGCGACGAAAAAGAGGGCGGCGCAAGACCGCAAGAACGAGCAGCGACGAAAGGCGCGCGAAGAGAAAAGGCAGAGCAAGACTGCAGCCACAGCCTTGACACAGATGGCCTCGAGTGCTTCTGGGGCAGACGCGATGATGGCAGCAATGGGCGAAGAATTCTCCGGACCTCCGGCAAATGACGAAGAAGCCGAAATGCGCGAGATGTTCAAGAAAATGCGCCAGTTTAACCAGCGTAACCCTGCGATGCTTGCGAAATTGTGGGAAGAAGAGCGCAGACAGCACTCCGTGCAGGCAGCCTCACCACAGCCTGCGAAGCCTGTGCAAGCTCCACCGCCGAACCATCCACACCAACAGAGAACCTCCGCCGCAATATCCTCGGCCCAGGCGAAGCAGCAGCAGCCATCCGTTAACCAGCAAGCGGCCGCAGCAGGTCCCTCTCAACTTCCCGCACAATCGTCTCCCGTGCAATCATCTCCAGCAACTGCGGCGCCGTCTCAACAAGGTAGTGCCGCACTATGGCCGCCTCACAAGAAAGGAAGCCTTGCGGCGGCGGCCGCCGAATGGCTCACCAATCTGCCTGAGAACCGCAATGCTTTCCGTGTGGTCGGGAAGGAGGAGCTTCTCAAGATTCTCGACACTAATCCATCGTATGTACAGCTTTGCGAATCAGTCGAGAAGAAGGGGATTAAGTTTGAACGTTCTGGTCTGGCCAAGGAGCTGCTGAAAGCGGTCCCTGATGGCTTGCGCGCACAGGGACCGAAGACTACGAACGGTCATGCTCCGGTCACCGGTCCCGCCGCGCCTGTCAGTGGCACGAGCTCTCTCGTTGAGCCAAAGAAGCCAGGGAGGCCCAAAAAGGATGGGCCGACAAGCTATGGAGTGCCGCAGGGGAGGAAGAACCGGCAGAGTGAGACGGGCGTCTCATACCAAGCGCCCACTTTCACTTCACTCTCCGATGCCGCGCAGCAGGTCAAGGCAATGAGCACCGCGACTACATTTCCGGAGGAAATTTCGAATTCTTTGGCATCTGCAATTGCCGGTGACGCGGCTTCGGACCGCTTTCAAAGCCCACATCTCGCTCAGCCCACATCGAAGAATGGAAACAGTCGACCGCCGTCACAGCCTCCGCCCCTTCAGCCCCAGACTTCAGCTGTCAAGGACGAGTCGATCCCACCGCAGCCCATAGAACCACCCCAACCACCAGCAAACAAGGAGGAAGCGGCACGCAAGCGCACTTTCAATGACCTTGTTGATCTCACAAAGGGAGACGATTCTGACGATGATGGTCCGCCGCGCAAGTTACAGCAAACTGTCGCTGGCCCACCTTATGGTGCCGTGAAACATCCCGCACAGCAAAACGACGCGTTCCGTAAACCAATGGACTATCAGACCTTCATGCGCCAAAATGCGTTTAAAGGCATTGTGCCAGGACAAGCACCCATGCATCCCGCCGCGCCTGCACGGCCTTGGGTGGCTTACTCAGCAAACACACTGTTCAATAAAGCTGATCAACAGCAGCAACGGACTCCTGTTCCCTCCCAGCCGCGGCAGCAAGGACCTACCGAGGAGCAGAAACAGCACGAGCGGATGCGTGGTAAAATGTTGGTTGAGCCAATCATGCGTGATCGTGTGGCGCGGAAATCCAAGTATGATAGCCGGACCATTGCAAGAGATGTGCTACTGGCGACTGGGAGACACCCCGACATGCGTGCGCTAAATGCTCACATGAACAGCATGCAGAAGCTGCTTGGAGATCACGGTGGTGTCATTGATGGAGCTGGCAACAAGAGTGACCTAGCGACGATTCGATGGGACATCATCGACCCCGGTGAGCCCACCAAGGAGTACAAGAAGAAGGCGAAGAGCGCAAGTGCTCAGCGTGGGGAGGAGGCTGGTGATTCCAAACTTGATCCCGACCCTATCGATCAGGCAGACGATGAGGGCGATGCATATGAAGCGCGCCCTGTCGCCCATTCGCGACAAGCACTCCCAATCGAAGAGGTCTTGAGGAGGTGCGGCGAAGTGGCATCAGCAGAAGAAATGGAGCAAGCTGGCGACCTCAAGATGCGGAAGCAACTGCTGAATCGCTGGCATGCGCGGCAATACAGGATAAGGACGACGAAGGAACGACAGGAGAGCAGACAGGCTGCTACCGCTCTGCGGAATACTACCGATGCTGGAGAGAGTGAGGAAGATGCCGCTCCTGTGCAAGACCAGATACGGAATGGTGCAAGCACAGGGTCCACTGCCAAGCGCGGCCCCGGCCGCCCGCCCAAAATAAGCGACGTCGCGTCCTCCGCAAACAACACTCCGAATCATCAACGCGCAACAGCCATCGGCACACCTGCTCCCAAGAACACAAATTCATCGCCAGGAAGTGCCAATATGTCGACTGGCGGTGCTGTCGGCTATGCGGCTTTCCGCCAGCTGGACGAGAATGGCAACGTGATCAAGAGGAAAGGTCGACCCGTTGGTTGGCGCAAGAATATTCATTCTCGCGAAGCACAAGGTCTCACCCCCGCCAAAGGTGGCGTGCCTGCATCGAAGCCTTTAGGTAGTCGCCTGCGGCAGTCCATCGGGCCTAGCTCTGGCAGCAAGGAGCCCTCGGTCCAGCCCCACTATCAAGTTTACAAATGTCGTTGGAGCGGATGCACAGCAGAGCTGGACAACCTTGACAAGCTCAAGAAACACGTTGTCAAGCTGCACGGTGCACCCGACGATGAAGGGAACTTTCAGTGTCGCTGGGATGCTTGTACCTTGACTGGTCAGCACGTGGACTCCAACGGTAACGCTGGAGACGGTGGTGGCGAAGACGCGACATTCGAGGGCATCGAACAGTGGATGAAGCACGTCGACAAAGAGCACATTGCTAGTGTGGCATGGAAGCTCGGAGATGGGCCGAAAGGTGGAACCGTCTCAGGTGAGCAGAATCTCGAGCATGATTAGGTTGATGATGCGTGAGAAGGGGAGAAAGTTGAGCGCGACTGCTCGCACAATCGGCTCTTGTATAATATCCCCCAGCAGCAAATCGCCCTGAATACATGCACATCTAATTTCAATCCCATCGACTAAACAGTACTAATGCACATGGTGATTCGACAGAACAATATACGGACTCGGATTCTTATCTTTCCGATCGGCAAGGAAGGAGTGTTACGCCTATCATCAGACCGGCATGGGAACAAGCTCAGGAGGGCGCAAGCACGTACAAGAAACTTGTCATTCTCACCTCGGATCTGCCTGGTGGTAAGAAGCCAGTCGGCAGGCCGCCCCAAGACCCGTCATTTTCTGGCACGTCGAAGGAGGAACGCGAAGCAGCGGCAGAGCTCAAGAAGCTCGAAGAGCAGAAGAAGCATGAGGGCGTCACGATGGGTCAGGAGGGAAGCAAAATGGCCAATGCGAAGCGGCGGAGAGGCTTCCTCGATGACGAGGACTTTGAGGACATTGTCCTCGCCGATGAGGACCATGAGTGGACTGGTAAGGTGGAATGAGAGGAGTTGCGATGGACGATCGGTCGTACCGAGATCCAGCACGTAGGATATATGTGTCAGAAGCTTTACGGTCCCTTCTCAAATACCTTGCCTATGCTTGCTTTTCATGTTGTTCTATCCGTGACTGATGCCTCTCCGCCAGTACGTCTTGCCGTCTGTCCAGACTTGAGTGTATTTTTGTACAATGTGATATCCTTGATAACGCCGCGCTTATGATACAAAACAAGTATCTCATTTCTCCCTCCTCAATGCTGCCTCTCATCATCTCTTTGGCAGCGATCCTGTGGCTTCGCGGCCTCTCCACCCCCGTTGGTTCAATTTTCCCACGTCAATAAAGAAGGCCTTTCACCCCTCATTGCGCCACACTTCACCCTCTCGCATTGATCTGTCCCGGTCCAACGTTGTCTTTGAGAGGTCCTGTTTTGGGTGCTCCGGTCACGGGAGAGATCTTCTGTTCATGTTCGTCGGAATTGATTTCGAGGAAATGGTAGAGAACGATGAGGAGCATGGAAGCTGCGCCGAGGAAGACAGCTAGACTGTAGAGGGAGCCGTCGGAGATCATGTTTGTAGTTTGAGGGTTCGAATCGTCTCGGTTGTGGTGTTGAAAGGAGTAACTGCCTCGGGCGATGGCGTCCAAGACGGAGTGGAGCAAGTGGATTGAAGTTGCTCGGCGAGACCTTTGATCGTGTCAGGGTTGGATCAGTGGTTGTTGAATTGCGTCGTGCTCAATCACTTTCACATGCTTGGGATCTCCAGCTGGCCTCCAGAGAGCTCAGACTTTCGGGTCGCGTGCCGAGCCGTCAACACCCAACGTCATATCAGAAATTGGATAGCACTTCACTCCGCCACGAGACACTTGCGACAAAACCTCTTCGTGTGCGCCATAGACTTCGTCGCCGCCAGCGAAAGCTACCGCTTCGAGTCACACATGGAGAGCTTTCCCTCGCCTATCTTCTGAGACACGACCACACCTCCGATCCTCAGATTCACCACCACCCACAGCACGCGACCACCACCGCGATCATGCCTCCCAAAGGAAAGCAACAGGAGCCTAAGAAGGCTAAGCCTTCCGTCGAGGACAAAACTTTTGGAATGAAGAATAAGAAAGGCGGCGCTGCGCAGAAACACATCAAGCAGATTGCCGCTTCTGTCAAGGACGGACAGTCCCCCGCAGACAAGAAGAAAGCCGCCGAGAAGGCGCAGCGCGAGAAGGAAAAGGCTGCGGCGGAGCAGGCGAAGAGAGAGGCTGCAGATCTGTTCAAGCCGGTGCAGATCCAGAAGGTACCTTTCGGTGTGGATCCCAAGACCATCGTGTGTCAGTTCTTCAAGAAGGGCCACTGCGACAAGGGCAAGAAATGCAAATTCTCGCACGATCTCGACGCCGGTCGCAAACAGGAGAAGAAGTCGCTGTACACAGATACGCGAGATGGTGAAGAGGAAGAGGAGGGCGAGGAGGCCACGAAGAAGAAGGACAACATGGAAGACTGGGACGAAGAAAAACTTCGAAGTGTGGTTATGAGCAAGCACGGGAATCCCAAAACGACGACAGACAAGGTTTGCAAGTTTTTCATCGAAGCTGTGGAAAATCAGAAATACGGATGGTTCTGGACATGTCCGAATGGAGGGAACGAATGTAAATACAAGCATTCGCTTCCTCATGGGTTTGTGTTGAAGACGAAGGAGCAGAGAGCGGCAGAGAAGGCGGCGATGGACAAATCGCCGCTGAACACGTTGACTCTTGAGGACTTCCTGGAATCGGAACGGCATAAGCTTACGGGCACGCTGACGCCAGTGACGCCGGAGAGCTTCGCCCAATGGAAGAAGGGGCGTCTGGATAAGAAGGCTGCCGAAGCTGAGGCACAGAAGATGAAGGAGGCTACCGGTCGTGCACTATTTGAGAAGGGCGATTGGGAGGCGAGCGACGACGATGATGACGACGACGACGGTGGTTTCAACCTGGAAGCGCTACGGAGGGAGACCGAGGCGGCGCGCCAGAAGAAGGAAGAAGAGCGGTTGGCCGCGGAGACGGGTGAAGTCAGCATCTCTTGAGGTATTCTCGACCTGCATGGAGCGACCCGATGAAGTGGCGAGAGAGTTGCTGGGAATCAGCGAGGGACTGCTACATTGTGCGTATGACACTTTTGCTCAAATGCAGTTCTTGCAGCGTCGACACTTTCTCTGCACTTACCGTCTTCTCACTCGTCCAATCACAGCTCTATCCTCCACTTGAATACTTACACGATAGCGCAGCAGAAACATTTTTGAACGAGGATGTCTGAAGCCGTTCGAGCCATAGCATGTGCTCCCGTCCCTTATTAGCTTCCGGCAAAATCTCGACTCACCAAGGAAACCCATCAAATCCGCATCTTCGACGCAATGCAGCAACCAAACTCTCTCTTCACCGAGATTTGCAATTTCCACAAGCAGAGCTGAAAGTCAATGTACCTGTTGCCATAGCCCTTGCGCACCAGACACTTGACCTGCCGGAACATATCGCGATGCTCCTCAGGCAGAGTGTGCAGCCACTTAATCACCAATTCGCGATCCACCAAGAACTTGGCGCCGAACCCACCGTAATAGGATGCCGCGAACTGGGCTCGCGTGGCGCGCGAGACGAAGAGAAGGTTGCGGTTGATTTTGGTCTGATTGGAAGTACCGCTCATGTCTTTGCGGATGTTGCGGCCGGTTTCAGCGCGGCGGATCGTGCGAGTACCCGGGTTGGCGGTGAATGTCCAGGCGTAGATCTCGTCGTAGAGTTCTTGGGGGAGGGTGAGGAGGAGGCGAGCGAGATCTTCTGCTGACGACATGGTGGTGTTGTGTGTTGCGTTGTTCAGCTTTGGAAAAACGTGTCGCTGTTTTGGGGGGTTTCTTGTTGTGAAAGGTGTGTATGCGTATGCGCGGGCAGAGGTATGGGCTTCTCGCGTGGTGTTTGGATGTGCACGTGGAGACGTGAGTAGCGCGATGGGCTCGCTGCTGCCTTGAACGCTCGCGCTTGCCTTGCAGCCAGAACACCATCACTATCACATCGAGCGAGCAGCATCAACATTCATCAACCGACTCACGCCGCATCTTGAATACACTAACCAGCACCAAAATGGCAGCGCCCGATCAACAGCGTAGTCCTGACGAGCTGTTGCTTGGCAACCCTTTCAGCTCGAGAGAGATGCACAACGCACAGTAGCAAAACAGAGCTGTTGAAAACACTTGGAAATACATTACGTTCTTGATAAGCGCTATCGAATGCTCGCCCAAGAGCAGCAAGCTCGCAGAATGCCACTCGCATCGCCCATCCCACCTGGATCGAATCTCTCACAAGTCTGGCCGTACCCATTCATCTCGCTCCAGTGTCTTACGCGCTTCATCATTTCAAAAAGCCGCACTCTACTCTTCCGAGTACCCAAACCGCAGCCTATCCGCCACCTGCCCGCCAAACAAGAGCGTGGCCAACGCCCGATACCGTTTCCCCCGTCGATCGTAGTAATCGAGGACATCCGAAGCCGACGACTGCGTACACGGCCAGATGATCCGCAACTCCCGGATCATGTGCCGATGCTCTGCAGGGACCGTCTGCAACCACCGTCTCCAAGACCCGACGTTGGCGTTGGAGTCGTGTGCTACGAACACCACATGTTCCCCGCCATAGTACGAAGCGGCGAATTGCTGGCGGGAGAGATGGTCCACTTGGAGAAGAGTCCCGCTGTCAGGGGCGATGAACGTCTCTTGTCGACCGCGATCGATGTCGCGGTTTCTGGTGTTGGCGGTGAATGTCCAGTTGTAGATCTCGTTGTAGAGTTCTTGGGGAAGCTTCTCGAGTCGTTCGCGGAGCGTTGGGACTTGGTCGGAGGACATTCTTTTGGTGGTGGTGTTGTGGATCGCTCGGTTGTGTGTGATTTATGTTGCCTGGGAAGTCGTGTAGCAGAGCCGCGTATTTGATAGTTCCTGCGTGTGTGTTGTTCCTTCGTAGTAGTGAATGGGTGCTGATCGCTCGGTTGTGTGTGATCTATATTGCTTGGGAAGTCGTATAGCAGAGCTGTATATTTAATAGTTTCTGCGTATGTGTTGTTTATTCGTAGTAGTGAATGCATTTCACGCGGCCTCTTCACCTTAGGCCGAACCACTCACGCATTAAAGAAGCATTAACTAGGGGGACGAATGCAATTGTGTGATTCACTTAACTGCATTTCACGCGGCCCCTTTACCTTAGTCCGAACAAGTCACGTATCAAAGAAGTATTAAATAGGGGGATGAATGATATTGTTTTGGTCGCTTCAATTGATCTTCGGGCTTGTGCAATAAGACTGTTCCTTGTCCACTAAGATCCTTATCCTCGTCTGTCTTCTGCCCTAGAGCCCTAATCCTTATATTATTACCGCTTCCTACCAAAACCCCAATTTCTCCTATCTCGCCACGCTTCGACCGATCTCCTTCACCTCCTCCAATTCATCCTTACAATCTTCCACGACATCGACAACTATCTCCCACGCATCTTTCCCCAGCGGAAAACCGAATGGGTATCTTCCCTCCTCGACTAACAACGCTATACATCACCTCTACTACCGCTCCCGACTTCGCCTAGCTCCGAGCGTGTCCTATCGAAGAGAGCATCGATAGGAAAAGTCTAGATCGCAGTAAGATAAGCAACATGTCGCTTTTCTAATGATTGTTAAGGAGTAGGCTCTAGAGTCGCGTCTATGGAAGGGATGGATGTAACGTCCCCACGGAGCTTTAAGGACCTTGTCTGGGTCCTCGGGGATGGGTTAGACATCTTGCGAGGTTCTAGCTTGTAAGGAGGTGGAGAGGAAGGTATATAATGCGAGAAGCTAGAGGATTGGGTCTCCAGTTAACGGGTTTTTTTTTTTGATCTCTTGGGTCGTAGCTAAGAGTTAGCTCGCTAAAGCCTTTTGTGAGTGCTTGTTATAGACACTGACCTATCTCGGGGATGCAGGCAAGAGACCGATGAACCTGGATGTTAGCTTGGCAAGTAATACGTTACACGTAGGGATGAACGATTGTGAGCATAGGCAGTGGTGTTAGCTTTGGAGGTTGGCGCAGGGAGCTTCTTTCCCTAACATACAATCCCATCTAAGCTTGGAAACCCGCAATTTCTTTTTTAAGCAGGGCGAGAATTTGCTCCGTTTTCTTGAACTGACCAGCTATAGCTGAATCTGCGATCATCGTTAAAGTCACTCCCTGTTGAAGCAATCATCGTGAAGCTCCAGCGAACCGCGCGGACTCAATTCCAGGTAATGCTTCCAACTCCGCGACGACCTTCTCGTGCTGCTCTTGACTTCCATTGAACACTTTGAACGTAATCGTGCTGCCTCGGACTTTGGGATTCAGAGCAGGCAACACTCGCAAGGGCGTGCGGCTGAGGGTGCTCTCCGTACGGCCGTAGGGAATGTCTCCCAGAACGGAGCGCAGACGATCCAGGATGCCATGCAGATTCAGTTCGACTTCGGTCTGGCCGTGGAACCCGGGCTTCGAGACGACTTCGAAGTGGACCTGGGAGACCTCTGGCTGGGATGCAGCGGACGTAAGGTTGACGCCCCTAGCGACGTGACGGCGATGCTTGCCTCCAGTAATGCTTTGAGACTTTGGCGACGGGTCTTCGGCGTGGTCTGGCGGGTTGGTGCTGTAGCATGCGATCTTGACCATGTTTCGTGCGCGAATCGAGCTGGACAGCGAGCGTGTCGCTGCCGCTGGGAGAAATGCTTGACGCATGGCCATCGTGGGATGCAGAAATGACGGCTTGGTCGTGGTTCTCAAGTTCTCTTGAAAGGATCCCTAATGGTGCTTCTTTCTTTTCGCTCGAATTGTGTCGGCACCTCTGGCTGCATTGTTCCCCGTTGCAACTTCTTTGTTTGCTGTGACTTGTTAGTACGTATTGTTAATAAGTGAGAATTCGCAGGTTCTTGCTGGCGTTTTTCCGGGTATTAACACGAGGGGGACGTACTGGAGTAATGGCAAGCAGCTGATCCCGATACGCTATGAGGACATGCTGACCCAACAATTCTTCTGAGAGTTTGTGGACTCGCAGCTTGCAGATTTTTGAGAAAGTAGGCCCGAGGTGACGCACACTTGAAATGTGATGATCAGTTAGTGTGCGACCCGGAGAGTCGCCGAAAAACCTGTCTCACCGACGATTGACCACTCCATTCCTCCTCGATCTCTTCATTGATTTGCCGTTCCATGCCAAGTTGCTTCTGTCTCGTGCCTCGATCAAGTAGCTTCAGGAGAATATGAGGAGGGCCGGACGGTAGCTGAGCGGTTCTTCCGACTCGATTCGGCCATCTTCTTCGACGATATGTCGAGATCGCGGCCAGTTCAGCAGCCCGACGTGGGATGCTGAGTCCGAGATGAGTGTATTTGGGCTTGCTGTCGACGAAGATGTCGCAAGATGGACGGTATATGGAGATTGCTGTTCAGGAGAGGGAGGTTAATACCTGATTAGGTTGCCTCACCACGTCCACGACCTTTGGCGCCATGTCACGACTTTTGAGCATCCTCTTCTACCTTCTCTCTTCTGGAAGCGGGAAAGTTCTTCTTCTTCTTCTTCCTTTACAGTCCACTCTCAGCCATCTCTCGCCGCGGCATCTCCGCCGACAAGATGCTTCTGGCTGAGTCAGCAGAACAATGAGGCAGTCTCAGAGGTACCAGTCAGCACAGTCGCATCCGTGCCCACGTTGCATGTACAATGATGGAGATCCGGCTTTTGACTGCAGTGCCTATATCCGGAGCTCCCCAACAAATCCTTGCATATCAGGGAGATACAATGACGGAGATCCGGCTTTCGACTGCAGTGCCTATATCCGGAGCTCCTCAACAAATCCTTGCATATCAGGGAGATACTTCAACCCTCGCGCCGCTCTTCTTATATCTCTTGTGTCATTGAAAAGTTGTCAGCATAAATTGTACAAAGTACCACGAGGCTACAGCGTGATTGGACTCGAAAAGCAACGGTCAACATGGCATCGACGGCATCCACCTTGGGCTTTCGCGTTCCCGCCTCTCCGGCTGCCATCTTCCAACTTCTCCATGCTGCCATTGTGACGTCCACTGCAACGGCTTCTCTCTACGACCCGACAAGCTTTCAGGAACAAACGGGCATCTCCGAGCCGGCGACTGCGAGGGTGATCTGTCAGTTTGCTCGCAGTTCAGTCCATTGCCCCTGCTGACATGACATTTGCTGTAGCTTTTTTCCTCATTGCACTCAAGGCCTATGAGGTTACGGGAGCGCTACAAGACAACAGAGCAACGTACTGGGTTTCTACGATTGGTCGTGCGGCGGCGGCCAGCTTGATGGTGTACTGCGGTGGTGCATGGGCGAAACTAGCGCCTCTTGATCTTGGAAGTGCGGCTGTGCTTGGCATCTGTATGGCGTTCTCACCGCCAGCCGCAGCCGCAAAGGCGAAGAGTGGGTAGAAGTCGAGGAGAATATGGCAGTGCCGTCTATGTTATTGTGTGTTATGTCTCATGGTAACTGCGAAAGAACAGGGCCCTAAGCACCCAAGACGTCACGTGCCCCGTCTCGAGACACAGTCGTCGCGTCATGTAAGCGCGTGCTTTATCAGATCAAACCACTCCCTCCATTCCACTCTCATCGACCAACGTATTATCTGCTACACCAACAAGACATGTCTCATCAGGATTCTCATCAACATCCCGACGATGCGCAAGATGTAGATCACCACGAGGAAGACTCGCCGCTTCTGGAACGCCAAGATGAAGCATCATCCACCTCGTCCCAAGAAACCCTCTCTATAGCCACACTGTTAGTCCTGACTTGCATCAATGGCGGCTTGCAGGTCTTCTTCTCCACCGTCATGGCCAATCTCGCCGTAGGTCGTGCCCTGCAGAAGACTCCATCCCCAGCACTGACTCCGCTCGCAGCCCTACCTGCAGAAACTCGGCCTTTCCAAATCCGCAACATCAGCCATTGTCATCGCTCTCCCCCTCTCAGGCGCTTTCGTAGGCCCCATATCCGGAGCCTTCAGCGATCGTCTCCCCACAAGATGGGGTCGCAGGAGACCCATCATCCTCGGTGGCACCTTGCTAGCAAGTGCTTTCCTCATCCTCCTCGCTTGGACGGAACAGATCGTCAAGCTAGCTGGCGGCGAGGACGTTTCCCAGTCACCAATCATTGCTCTGGCTGTGATTTGGACCATTCTCCTCGCGATTTCTGTCCAGCCGGTGCAAGCAGGTGTTCGGAGTCTGATGGTAGACATCGCACCGGCGAACCAACAGAGCCGCGCGAGTTCCTGGGCGGGAAGAATCCAGGGCGTGTCTGCGATTTTCAGTTTCTTTGCTAGTTCGCTGCATCTCCCTAGCCTACTCGGACTGGGACGACTCACACAGTTCCAAGCGCTGGCTGCTTTGAATTTGATAACGCTGGGATCTACCGTGTTGACGACCTGCATCTTCATCCAGGAGAAGGATTCTCGCAGACTGGAGATTGGAAATGGAGGAAATCAGGATAGTGTCATGACGGTCATGAAACATATCTTCCGCACTGTGAAAGGGTTGCAGGGAAAGATACGACGGACTTGCGAGACGCAGTTTTGTAGTTGGTTCGCTTGGTTTCCTTTTCTCTACTACAATACGACGTATATCGGTGAGCTTGGTAAGTCAAAGCCACAGCACACAAGCGGCGTCCACTACTAATCGACTCCCAGCCACACCGGACACGTCCACCAAACCCTCAACAACCACGCAAGACGACGGCAACGAACTAGCCCAAGCCGGCTCCCTCGCAAGCCTGAACTTCGCAATCGTAGGCTTCATCATGATCACCCTCCTCCCCTGGCTCCTCCCCTACATCACCCGCTTCCTCCACACCCGCAAAAGAACCCAATCCCCCGAATCTTCCTCTTCCTCCTCCTCCTCCTCCGACCTCCGCGATCTCATCTCCCTCTGGATAACCACCCAACCCCTCCTCGGCCTCCTCCTCCTCCTCACCCTCGCCGCAGCATACCAATGGCAAGGCATCATCCTCATCGCCCTCGCGGGCGTCCCGTGGGCCGTGACGCAATGGGTTCCGTTCGCCATTGTAGGCTACGAGACTTCGAAGCTAGGGCTCACGGGTGACGACGAAGGGGATGCCAGCGGCTCGGGCGCGATTATGGGGGTTCATAATATGGCCATCTCGCTGCCTCAGGTTCTCTCGGGACTGGTTAGCAGTTTGACGTATTTGGTTGCCGAGAAGGCCGGGAGTGAGGTTCCGACCGCTTGGGTGTTGGCTTCGAGTGGCGTTGCTGCGTTTGTGGCGGCCGGGTTGGCGAGGAGGATGTTGTAGGAATGGGGTAGAAGGGATGGAATGGAATGGTGTCGGGAAACTTGAGTATATGGTTCTCTCAAAGGTCAGACTGTCTGACTTGTGAACGAATCTGTTCTCTTTCCCCTCAATACTAGCTAGCGTCTGCTCACGATCCAAGGCGTCAGCGCACATGAGTCTTTGTCACAAGGCATCAGTCTGCCTCCAGGTCTCCACCTCCTTGCCTAGACCAGGCACAGGTACCTCCACATTCTCAACAGGCACCCCATCCAGAATTTTTCTGTGTCTCCGTCCCAGAACACCGTTTGCCGCCTTTGCGACTGCCCTTCTGCCCTCCCATATCGGTATAAGCTTTATCGTCGATACTGCAAACAAAGCCCACTGAGACAAGGACCACAACCCGTCCCGTAAAGGACTCCTTGGAAAAGACAAGCGTACATCGGAATCGGCCAGACTACGAGTAAATATCAACATCAAGATGATGCTAGCGATTAGGGAGTCGCTCGCGTGGGCGGAGGAGTATAGAGCCATCCATCGTGGTCTGCGAGGGAGAGCTCTCTGAAGGCGGTAAATTTTTGTCGCAGATAGATAGTTCCAGCTTTAGGAGCAGCCTGGTCGGGCGAAAAGTCGACGTGGCCACATGTTGTCTTTTGGTATGCTCCGGTCAAGACTCTCAGGTCTCATGTAGGTTGATGGGCGGCGTCAGAACTAGAGGATCACACGAATATTATCTTCCCAGCCACGAGAGGCAAATTCCCAGAGAGTGAAGCAAGAGTGATTGCGCCATGCTCACTATGCGCTGTCAGGAACTATGCTAGAAGCGCTGCGGCAGAGCTAGCGAGGGGTGAGATGATGGCTGCTGCTTTCAATTGCTTCTTCCACATGATCGTGCAGGCTGTCGGAACGATGGCGGAGTCGACAAAGATCCCGATTGCTGTTACCAGAAAGTTGACTTCGAAGCCAGCGTGATGAAAACCGCACGCTATGCCGGCCGGAAGGATGGCGAAGCCAACAGCTGTGTACTCAGAGAAGCGCTTTAGCTACTGAGAAGTCGCCCGAGGCTTGATATATGGTCGATAGACGTTGTACGAAAGGAGAGCGGTCGTGGCTACTGTTTCTGAGGACTTGGAATAGTCAGCCAGCACTGCTAGATGCAGGATGCTTCGACGATTTACGTTGCTGGGGTCACGGCCGTGAAGACCATCAAAAGCACAGCTACAACGCCGCCTCTGTCCATGAAAGCCATAGCTCCATAAGACATTGCCACCCCGGCGAGACCTCATATGCATTCATTCGGTTCGGTTGAGTAGGAAACGAGGGCAGTGTCTCAGCGGCGATAGCTGCAAGCCCAAAGGTACTCGCCAAACACAAAATGGGATTGTAAACCAAGCCAACCCACCGAGAAGATAGCCTTGTAATGTGCTTCGTGGATCCGCTGTCATCGCCTTTCGAAAGAGCTGGGAGGCGACGGCAGCTAAGAAGCCAGAATCGACGAAGATGAGGTTGATCTTGTGTACACCATGAGGGTGAATGAGCATCACGATGTAAGTAATGACAGTATAGTATGCACCTAATCGCTGGTCAGAATATACGTGGCCAACGAACAACAGAGTCACAGACCCAGTCTGTAATGAATGTAGCTTCAATGCTACTCGTCAACGTGTAAATGACCACTTCGATGGAAAACAGAAAGCAAGATGCACCTCTGCTGATCTCCGTCATAGTCGAGAAGACAACACTCCCACCGACAAGCAGTTTTAAAGTTTGACGGTTTGAAAGACGAGCGAGTATATCGAGAAGGCGACGTGTGCTGCCGCTCCGCACCTGACCTTGACAGCCTGCAAGTACGTCTGGGCATAAGGAGCTTTGCGTTTGAGCTCCACGGCGGCCACCCAGAAGAGCAGAATCTGGACGCATGCACCTGCCATACTAGAATGATAGGGCTAGATGATGAATATCAGCGTAGACGCGAATGGTCTCCATACCCAGAATGGTCCAGATACTCCATACTGATATCCAAAACACGTACTCGTCAAGAGCGTAGCGGCGATAGTCCAAGAGCTTACGACCGCAGATGCTGTCAAGCCAGTCTTTACAGAGTGCTTCGTCGTCATGAACATTTCCGTGTCCTGGACTTCCTTCATATACCGCGCCAAGTGCCACAAATTAACCACATGCCAATTGCAAAAGCGGCGCCAGCACCGACAATAATGTCATAGCCGATTCCTTGATTCAGTGGTCGCCCGGCGATATCTGAAAGGTGTCTGCCATTTGAGTGTCCACTGCAGAGGTGAAATGAAGGCCATCGAGCTGCTGAGGAGGATTGCGGAACCACACTGCAAAATAAGTGAGTACTTGCCACGCAGAATAGTCGTATCCCGGCCAACTCTTCCCAAAGTCCATTCAAGCATTGATATCGCATTGGCCGCCGCTGATGTTATAGCTGGAGAAATGATGCTATCGCGTTCTCGGCCTATCTTTGATCACTGGCCAGATGAACGCGGGTAGGTACCAGCAGAAAGTGGTTCGCGATGCTGGGTAGCGAATTACGATGGAATGTCTCGGTTCGAACGTGCCATTTAGGAGCCCTAGTTCACTGGCGGCGCATCTGTGCGCTTTTCGAGTTGCATACAATCGTCGACGCAAAGCTTCGCAGCTCGCCACTCTCCGCAGGCCACACCGGTCACCAGTTCCGGGCAGAACAGCGTAAAGAGTATCCATTTTGCTTTTTAGACGAAGTAGGGTAGACGACCAAGTTCTGATCGCGCATTTAGAAACGGTGCGCTATAATTGCCGGGAACGTTGTTGCAACACAGCTCCAGACAATGTTCGCGGTCCTTCGTTCGTTGGGAGAGCTCATCCAGCCGGATACATATGAATCGAGGGCGAGCATGTGCGCAGCGTTGCCAGTTGTCTTGGACATGGCGATAGCCTGCAGTTGTGAAGCGATGCCACTGCATCTACATAGGCCGTTTGAAAGAGGGGAGATAGTAAGGTACGGAAAGACGCACTCGCGCCAAGGAGACTCGCCTTTTTGGCCCCCAGAGTTGACCCCAGCTGCAGGACAGCCTCGTGCGACAGATACCCCGTATCTAGATCCACAAGGAGTCCGTAAGCCATGAGGCTCACTCGGAGGGTGCCTCGAGAATTGGTGATGACTGCGGGCTCCAACAAAGCTGCGTAGGCACAGGCGTCTAGATCGCCTACGAGAGCGGCCTGTTGTGAAAGCGGCATCATCAATCATTGACGCCCAGGCGTGACTCCGTTATGCTGAGAGTAAGGCTGGCGAATAGCATCTTGCATGACTGCACCCTCCTGCACTACGCGAGATGTTATCTGCCTTGCAACCTCATCTAGAAGGGTGTTGGCCATAAGGCAGGCTGAATGCAAAGCCTACCAACGGTGGTAAGACAGTATCGCTGCAGCGGCAGAATGAAAAGTGATATTGGCAGGGGCTATTTTATAGCTTGTAGTTTGTGAGAGAAGTTTGTGGGAGAGATGAAGTCGAATTGAGGGCGAATTGAAAGTTGACTAGCCTCCGCGTACACGGGCCACACGATTGGCGCCATCGCCGTGTGCTTTCTCGTGCAAAACCATAACGACGACAGCACTCCAATTTCGGCTGGGAACCTGCACATTGTCACAGGTAAGGCTGCCTTCACTGCTGTCAGGCGTCTTCTGTGCTTTGCATTGTAGCTGGGATAGAATTCCCTGCTGTTCCCTACCATGAAGCACACAAGAACGCTGGAAACAGCTAACACGCTACTAAACCACTTCATATGTCGGCGCTGCTTGGATAAGGCAGCGAGGTCAACGCAGGGCCAGTCATGCATAGCTGCTAAATACTACCATTCTCGAAAGCTCCAAACACCCGCGAGACCTCTACGGCCTTTTCCGAGCACGAGCGCCATCACCAAGACGAGCCATATAACGAACGTACTGCCTAATCCACGAAGACCATTGCACACTGGAGGCACACCTCCAACAACCCTTGAAGAGCATCAGCGAGAAGTAGAAAGAGTAGCGACAAGCGTGAGAAGTTTCTATGACCGGAAAGAGAAGTTTCGAATACATCATGGTTCAACCAACAGCACGCGGAAATCCGCATTGGGCAGAGACCCGAGGACGGTGGTTGATACGAGCAGGTTAAACCATGTCGTGAAGTTGGATGTCGAATCCCAGACGGCCCTGGTGGAGCCCAATGTTCCTATGGACAGGTTGGTAGAGGAGACGTTGAAATACGGTCTCGTGCCACCTGTGGTTATGGAGTTTCCTGGTATCACTGTTGGAGGTGGATATGCAGGTACGGCGGGAGAGAGCAGCTCCTTCAAGCATGGCTTCTTCGACCGCACGTTGAACAAGGTGGAGATTGTGCTTGCCAATGGCGAGATTGTCACGGCATCGGAGCATCAGCACCCAGATCTCTTACGCGGTGCAGCAGGAGCTGTAGGTACGCTTGGCGTGACGACTATGGTCGAGCTTCAACTTCGCAAAGCCACCAAGTTTGTCGAGACAACATATCACCCGGTCTTCAGCATGGAAGAAGCTATTGAAAAGCTTCAGGACTTCACCTCCCGACCCGACGATCTCGACTATGTCGACGGCATCATGTACTCTCCAACCAGCGGAGCTATCGTTACTGGCCGTATGACAGATACACCGTCCAGCGGCCTCTCAATACAACGTTTCAGCGATCCCAAAGACCCTTGGTTCTACCTTTACGTCAAAGACAAAATTTCAAAGCACCAAGCTCCAACATCCGACGCCATTCCTCTGCCAGACTACCTCTTCCGCTACGACAGAGGAGGCTTTTGGGTAGGAGAAGCCCCATTCGATTACTTCCCCGGCGTCCCGTTCAATGACTTCACCCGTTGGTGGCTGGACGACTTCCTCCACACCCGAATGCTCTACAACGCCCTCCATGCAAGTGGTAGATCAGAGCAAATGATCGTGCAAGACCTCGCATTGCCCTACGACACCGCGGCTGATTTCGTGCGGCGGATGGACGACATGCTCAAGATCTGGCCACTATGGCTCTGTCCACTGAAGCAGAGCCCTCAACCAACAATGCACCCTCACTACAACGCCTACGAAGCGGACGGTAAGACCCTCAAACCAATGCTCAACATCGGCCTCTGGGGTAAAGCGCCTCCAACCCATGAGGGCTACATTCAAGCCAATCAAGCCATTGAAGCCACGCTCCAAGACTTACGCGGAATGAAATGGCTGTACGCCCAAACATACTTCTCCGAGCCAGATTTCTGGCGCGATTTTGATAAACAATGGTATGAATCTTTACGAGAAAAGTATCATGCCACGACGCTGCCGACCGTCTGGGAGAAAGTAAGAGTGGATATTGACGCAGAGCGGAAGGCGAAGGAGTACCAGCCTCTTTCGAAGAAGATTCTGGATATGTGGCCCGTCAGTGGGCTGTATGGGCTCAAGAAATCTATTGACAGTGGTGATTACTTGCAGGCGAGGAAACCGGCCTGGAAGGAATGGGTGCCACGAACGTAGCGGGTTGACCGGATGTTGTGTGTTGTTCGCCTTGGCCGTGCTATCCGGCAAAGTCGAAGGCTGCGCTGGCAGACCCGGATATAACGGCTGTCTAGTCGGATTCTTACGGCACCGAAACCTGTACATCAGCTTGCTAGGGTTGTCAGAATTGCCAACGCAGCGCAGCATCTACACAAGCAGCCCTTGGGGCAAGAGCTCGAACATGGAGTCAAAGCGCCGACACCGGCCATAGCTAGGAACAGGCAATGTACTCCGGAAACCTCAGACCTAATGTCTTCATAACACAGCATAAGACAATGTTCCTTCTCTTCGCTCCGGTTCCATTTTCTCGCAATGTGAGCTCACTCTTTGAGGTATCCCACTAATCCGCGGCTCCAAGCGGACTTGACCAAGGGAAAAGATTCCGTCTTCCAGAAGCCTGCCGCTTTCAACCGAAGGTTGGGATATCCCCAGAAGTACCGCACGGCGGCAATGTCAAGGTTGCACGTGGGATCGCGCAAAAGGACGTCTGAAGCCTTCCTGTCTGAGGCATGGTCCGTGAAATCGGCCCGTTTATCAGTCGAAGGTCATATTATCATGGACACGGTCCGCTTGTAATGAAGAAGCCGCGCCTGATCTGGTCGTGAGAAGACACGCCTGATCGCGATACGGACAAGTCACGAAGAAAGGCTCCTGAATCGTCATCCCACTCGACCCGACAGAAGGGTTGCTTCGACTTGCATCCTCGTTGTCGAAGCGTCGGAGCGGAAGCAACTTGCCCGGAGAGGGAAGATCGGGGCCGCAACTACAGATTGAGAGATCTCAGGACAAGGATATCGGGCCCTTCGCTACGAACAGGTTAGAGGTATGCTTCTTCGACTTGGGTTGGAGATGAAAGCAGCCCATGATCGAATGATCCGGAATTCGAGTGTTCTGCTGCTGCTTCTTCGTGGCTTCCATTGGAAAGCTTGGGCAAAGCTTGGATTGCACGTGTGTGAAGTAACTGTGACAGCTTCGACGATGCTGTGGATGGGCCGATTAGGCTGTTAGAGCAGTCTGTGCACGGCGGCATCTGCGTCACCACCACCATCAAGAAATCGCCAAAGCCGCCGTTTGCGAGTGAATGAAAAAGCCTGCAATTGGTCGACTCGGACGCTCTTGAGTGCGTGCAAGCACCTCGCGAGGCCCGAATGCAGCGTAGATACTCGCATGTCAGATGCTACAGAAGCGAGGGCGGGCGGGTCGAGCGCAGCACGTGAATGAAGAAAGCTAGGTTGCATTACAGGCTGGGTGCTGGCATATAGCCTATCTGCATAGACCCCACCATCATCGATTCCCTGGTGAGGTTCTTGGGTTGTATCGCGCGGCGAGTGCCGTTCGCAAGCAGATGCTCGTGGGGGTGCGGAATGATTTAGGCGGTTGGGGCATTTAACCCGAACCCCGGTTGGCACAGTGAATTGACGGTGAGGCTGACTGTCATCCTGGATGTGGTCCATTCGGGGCATCATGAGCTCTCTGCCAATGACTCTCGCAATTGAACTTGGTGCATTCGTCACCCCAGCTCCACCAGCCGGCCACAAGATGACGAGCAAAGACCTCTAGTGCTCTGTAGTCTTTCTGTTGCGTCAGCAGGGGTTCGATCAATCCCTTCAGACATGGTTTACGAGAGTGCAAATCGGGCACAGCCATTATGACTCTTCGCTTGGGCGCAGATTGACAAGTCTGACGGGTGACGACTGATCCTCTCCGCTGCTTGCGAGCCAAAAGGAGCACTTCGTAAGGCTTCCTCCAGAGCGAATCGATATCGGAAACCGGCTCTCCTTTGACTGTTGTCTTGAGCCAAATCCACTCCTCTTCCAGCACCAGGCCCCATTGATCGAAGATGCCATCTTCTGCCAACACCAGTTCTCGTAGTGATTGACGATTGGTAATCCAAACGCCCACTAGGCATTTATCCGCCATCAGCATGTCGAGATCCGTACCCAGTATGAGGTGCTCAATAGCTTGCAGAGAATGGGCTGTGCTGTAACCAGAGCCAGTCTTGAAGTGCGTGCTCCTTTTGACTGAGCGATTCGGCCAGGGCGGGTCCATGAGTACGAAGTCGAAGTGTTTGCGAGTTTGATGGCTATCGGCTTGATTCCTGATGGCGGCATGGAAGGCTCTTTGAGAAGAAGAGAGATCTCCCAAGTAGAATGAGGAATGAGGCGGCATATGAAAAGCACTGCGCTTATTCTGCGAATGCGAAGCGGAGATGTCGACTGATTTAGCTGCACAAGTTGTTTGAAATCTGTCATCCTCGTTGCAGCATACCTCGTAGTCGGTCGACTCGCTCGGAGCATGATTCGGAGGCACTGAGACTTGATCCTTATGGGGTGAGCTGAAGGTATAATTTTGGGTGTTGGAGTCCAGATTTTGATTGACAGACGAGTGGTCCAGTTTGCGCTTCTTGCCTACTCCGGTTGAGTCCGAGGTCGAAGCGGTACGTCTTGGCAGGCACCAGATATCGTCGTACTGCTTGCGTACTTCTTCAAGAGCCGAATGCAAGATTTCATGATACTCCGCGTCCAGTGCTGAATCGACCGTGTTGTTGTTGAGATTGGCGCTCGCTTTCTCGGTCTTTGGCTCCTGCGGAGGGAACGGATGCTCCTGTGGCTTCGTAGAAATCAGTAAATCGTGGCACGGATGTTCGTTTGTTCCTTGGGCTGCAGATATAGATTGCGGAATGTCGAGGAGTGTGATCGTCCGTTCCTCGTTCTGCCACAATATGGGTGGTGCCATTCTTCAGGAGGTTGCATGGTATGTCGAGTCCCTATGGATGTTGAACCCTGGGTGTCATTATCGTCGCTAGATGCACACGACCAGCGCTCCTCCTTCCCGAAAAGGCAAACGTGATGCTTAGCACTGGCGTGCATGTGACAGGCCAGATGTGAGCGAATGCCGAGGGTGCGGCTGCCGAGGGAGCGCTTTGTATCGGCCCCATGTCTCGGCAACGGCGTCATTCGCGCTTGTCTTCCTCCCCAGAACAACATCCGCACGAGCTCCCACTTTCACACGGCCAAGAAAATCAATCATCTACCTTACACCTATTGCGCAGTATTTCTTAGTCTACAACATCTCAACTCCCATCTGAAGCGTCATCCGCGTATCAACCCCTAAAGCCGGCCGGCACATCACCGACGAGTCGCTCTCCGGAAATACGCACAAACTCTCCCCATGCGGCACATAACGCTTCTCCCCTAAAGAACAACATCTGAACGCGTGAAAGACAACGCTTTACATGCGATTACGGCCGATCGATGACCAGCTTTGCGGACGGGCATGTCAGCCATGGCACGACGCACAATCCGTCCCACGAACCACATGAGATGACCTCCCGGCCCTCCGCGGGCAATCAACCCGGCATCTGCCCGACCGACAGCGACAACCACCTCCCAATCCACCTAGAGGAGAAGCCAGAGACTGGGCGCAAAATACCTAAGCAGAGTTGGGAATACGTGGTACGGAGTGGGACAGCCGGAGGAGTGGCAGCATGCGCAGCAAAGACGGTAGTCGCACCGTTGGATCGAGTCAAGATCCTTTTCCAGGCCAATAACCCACAGTTTCAGAAGTACACAGGCTCGTGGACTGGTGCAATAGCTGCTATCAGAGACATTTATCGCACAAACGGAGCCAGAGGACTGTTCCGAGGTCACAGTGCTACACTCCTTAGAATTTTCCCATATGGCGGAATCAAGTTCTTGGCCTACGAACAGGTGCGCGCGGTGGTGATACCCAACAGGCAGTCGGAGACACATGTGCGGCGGTTTGCAGCAGGATCGATTGCAGGAATCATCTCTGTCTTTTGCACATATCCTTTGGAAGTGATCCGCGTACGACTAGCCTGGGAAACCAAGTCGGACAAGAGGATGAGCGTGCGGGATATCTGTCGTATAATATACAACGAGCATCCGCCGGCTCCAGAAGTAGGGCTTGGGAAGTCATCACTGCCCAAGTCCGCTGTCGCGACGGTCGAGGCAACCCAAGCCGCAGTCCGGACAATCACGCCCCAGCATGGAATGGCTAACTTCTACCGTGGCTTCACGCCGACATTGTGGGGCATGATCCCCTACGCTGGCGCTTCTTTCCTCACTCACGATGCAGCGGGCGACTTCATGCGGATACCTCTTCTTGCGCCGTATACAATCTTACCCATGTCAGAACGGTCACAGAAGCAGCTTGCGCCTAACAAGCCCCCTCCCTTACGAGCATGGGCCGAACTCGCCACGGGTGCAGTAGCCGGCTTTGTCAGTCAAACAGTCAGCTACCCACTTGAAGTCATCCGACGACGGATGCAAGTCGGCGGCGTTGTCGGCGACGGTCGCAGACTGACCATGGTGGAAGTCGCAAAACAGATCGCACAAGAGAAGGGATGGCGAGGTTTCTTTGTCGGACTGGGCATCGGATATGTCAAGGTGGTGCCCATGGTGGCCACGAGCTTTTTTGTTTACGAGCGGATGAAGGTGGGCTTTGGAATCTAAGACCTTTTCTCAACGAGGCATACGTCTGGGGCAAGCGAGGGCGTTCTTTTTGTTTATAGAGATGCATCGAACGGCGTGGAGTCAAGGGGTTGAACATACGGCGGAGGGCGCATCCATGACGAACCAGGGAGTGGAGACTTTCGAGTATCAATATCATATCGATAGCAATTCAAAAGCGCACTTATATATATCGAGCCTACGCCCTCACAACCACTCCATGTTATATATAATATCGGATAGACTGTTGAAAGCAGCCGCTCGCTCACCTCTCGGCCCCACCTCGGCTACGATTTTGCGTATATATATTATTCCCCGCAATGCCAAGACCAGCTGTAACGGCTCCAACGAATGAAACCCTCCCTCCATCGTCAACAACAGCCATTCCCTCTACATCCGACTCCTCGCGCCCAGTTGAATTTCGGTGTCTGCCATTCACTCGCTTCAGGAATGAGCGACTGCTGTCTGGCACTAAGCGGGTGGGAAATTCTTCAGCCGAGCAATCGGGCAGAGAACTCACTACACGGAAAGGTCAGACTGGACTACGCGAGAGTTCGGTGGTTTGAGATGATGGGGTTGGGGAGGGTGACGTTTTTTTTTTTCGCTTAGATTTTTTTTTCTACTTGTGAGGGAGGGGAGGATCGATTGATTGATTGTTTGATTGATTTGTCTTGTTATGTTATGCTGATGATTGAGAGTGGGTAAACAGGGAGGGTTGTGGTTGTGCGTTCCTTTTTTTTTTTTTTTTGGATCGTTGAAGGCTACTTCCCTTTTTGGACGGACATGAGGTCGAAGTCTTGGCATACTGGCAGCGCGGTAGGAATTCAAGTCAAGGTAATGGACATATTATTGTGTCACAAGTATCGATGCAATACTACACGACGACCGGACTTGGAGGGTATGGTGGCCTAGAATCTAAAGGTATGTGAGGACTGGGCAGCGCTTGCAGATGTCACTATTGACAACCCAAACCCCACAGCTTTCCTCTCATGCTTCTCTGGATCACAGTTGCGAGAGCCATGTCGCCCGTGAGCAATCTTTCAGTGACCTTCTCCCGCCTCCTAGTGGAAGTTGCGAATTCGTTTCCATATAGTCGAAAGGGTCACAGTACCACGCAACTCACCAGCAAGCTACAATGGCAATCTTCAGACGACATCCCCCACATACCAGCGTTCGACCTTGAATAGAAGCCAGGTACGTGGCGGTCGTGAGTAGCAAAGCACATGCTATCATACACATATCTGCTACCACGGACCAGAAATTTCACCGCTTCTCGAGCAGGAGCGTTGCTGACCAGTTTTTCCACTGCGGGAAGTCTTACTCTTCTCCGGTCACCTCTTCGGTTCATCGTCATCATCTGAAAGGCCCTCCAGAAGTCGACAATCTCCGTCCGGGAATAACAAAATACGAGTCCTCGTCACGAAGACTTGTCGTCTGTAGAAGAGCACATACCTCCTGCCTGGGCCTACCTCATCGGGGAATCCGCTATCTGTGAGAGGGGCGACTCCTCGCCTCGAGACATCCCACACCGTCCAGGTAGCAAGGGTCGTCCTGACTTCGGTCGGTGGTCTTTCACCCTCACCCGAAAGGAAGGAAAAAGAGATATCCAACTCATCCGATTTCGTCATCCGGCTTCAGGCTGAGAACCGCTGGCGGCGGCAGCGGCGGTGTGCTGACCACCTGTTCGTGGCAACTTGGAAAAAACGATGATTAGCAGAGCATGCGGCAGGATTTCGCGAAAGATTAATTACTCTACGTAGCGTAGAAACACGTGGTGATCAACGGGTACAATGCCTGCTCGCGTTTCACGTCATATCCGCACGGGCGCGCGCGCGGGCCCTTGTCGCCATGGAGAAAGAATGACGGTGCTGCAGCGGAGGAGGTCTTCTCACACCATCGCGGATTGAGGACGGAACGACATCATTTCCCCAGGCGATGAAGATTGGATCTTGCGACGATGATGATGTTTTGTATCCTCTGGGCATGAAATTCCTCTGTTGCCAATTTGTCCTTCCCCTTGCTATACCATCATGCAACGTCATTCCGTCGATCGATGCTCCTTGCCCGCCGGTGCCCGTGGCCAGAATTGACCGGATACTTGCACATTGCGATGGCAAGACCGATATCCGATCCTCGGTTTGTTTGTTTTTTAATCAAAGTCTCGGCTTTGGGACGAAATGGAAGTGAAACACGCGCTTTCTTGGGGCCAAGTTTGTGGGGATCTGAGACCTCGGTCCAGACTCCAGGCCTGTTTGGAGCGACGGAACCCGATTCCATCCGCGCCAGGCCAAGTAGTCCTGCTTCGACCGGTCTTGGTTCGTCTGCGAGATCGTGGTCGAGCGGGAGAGATGGAGCTTGTGGTGGGTTCGTGTATTTTCATGATGATGGCGACATTATTGCCGGTGCGGAGGCGATCACGAGCTCGGATGGGGTAACTACACGGACGTGAGGATGAGTTCGGGTGTGAGACAGCATGGGAGAGCAGGCTACTTGCACAAAGTGTCACGGGTATAACGAGAGAGGATACGGAGATGGGAATGAGTGAGGCGGTGCCTGCTGTTCTCGGATCGCGAAATGGTCTAATCAGGGCAGCGGCAATGCCAGAAGACGGAAGGAAACCCTGCCGTCCGACTCATGGGAAAGAGTGGAACACAGGAAACTGTGGGAAGGCCATCGCGATCCGCCATGGCGGTAGGCCCGAACGACTCGACCTCTGTCAACAGCCCAAGGGCCGCAACCTACATCCTCCCGGCAACGAGTCAATGGAGCGGTCCCCGAAGCCTTATTAGTCTTGACCTTCTCCAGCCTTCATCCCGCAGACGCCTATATGCATCGAGCCTGATCAACTAAGGGCAGTTCGTTAGCCTTGGTAGTAGATGTCTCACGCTGCCACACGAATAATGGCCCATCACGCATCGGAAACGCCTTACTTGTGGAGCGTGACAATTTCGGAGCCATGTCAAGGTCGTTCGTTAAGGTCGTGTTGCAATAATACCCTAGTGTGCTAGCGGAGAATCACTTCACAGGATCTCCAGGGTCTCACACAAGATCTAACCCCGCGTGGAGAAGGCCGACACTGCAAGTTCGCCGCCGGCCGGAGCTGAAAGATGGGAACAGTGAACACGTCCGCATCCACACCCACACTCACACCCACACCCGTCGCCTATCTCGCTCTCCGCTCTGCTGCCCTTTTATTTTTTCGGGGGGCAACACGGCGGGGAGACAAGACCACCATAGTAGACAAGCATACGAAACGTCATTCCAACCCGGGCGGAAGAAGCCATGTTGCCTCGCCAGCCAGAAACCCGAATGACGGTGTACAAGTACGCAACGGCCGTACCTAGACGAAAGCCCGCAAGGATAGAGGGAAGAACTTGCCACCGCCCGTAATCGGCAAGTAGGAATAGAAGTACATCCACGCGCCCCCCGTCGGGTTCTGCATGAGTAAGCCCGATCGAAACCTTTCCGGATATCCATTTATCCAAATCGTTTGCTGTCTGAAACACGCCTCGGTGTGAGGCAAAGGCAGGCGGATCCGGAGGGCAAATCGGTACATGGAGCTGATGATGATGATGATGATGGTGATGATGACTCGAACTTCGGCGTCGGAAGCGACGACGTGGGCATGGTGCGGTATGCGACCGGATGGAATGATGCATCCTCTGCGTACCCGTACCAGTACCAGTACCACGAATTCGATACCACCCACAACAGGCTACGTTCCGTCTTGCTTGCCCTATCGTATCGTATCGTATCGTAGACGGCGGTGAGAAAAGGATAGCTCCGAACAATAGGCAGAAAGGGAGAGAAAGAACAACCCGGGCGGTTACGAACGACACAACCAACATGGCAGTCAAGTCACCCCTCGATGAGACGGGAGGTGCGGACTGACGATGAGAAGAGCCGGGGAAGACTGTGACGCGATTTCATTCTCCTCTAGCAACAAGGGCAAGGCAAAGTAACCAAGCAAAGTAACCAAGTATTCTATACTAGCACGCGGCTAGTATCATCAGCACAAGCACAAGCACAAGCACATGGGCGTGGGCGTGGGGCGTGGAGGGAAGGTGGGAAGGGAAGGGGGAAGGTGAACTAGGCCATTTTACCTCCCGAGCCGAGGAATTTCTTGACCGAAACTCTCACGGGAGTTTCACGGAAACCCGCGAGATTATCCCGGGTCAGGTTGGGGGAGGGCGGAAATGTGACTTTTTTGGCTTTCTCGGCTGCTGGCTGGCTGGCTGGCTGGCTGGGCTAGGTGGTCATGGCTGGTCATCATCATCGTCGGTGTGAGAGAACAGTAGTACCTTAGTAGTAGTAGTAGTAGTAGTAGTAGTAGTAAAGTAGTCTCAGGCCTGATATATATCAGTTTCCGATCAGCCCTTTTATTTTCTTGACACACATCGCGATCCGATCATCACACTGTTGTTGGTTTGACAAATGACCTGTCGTTGTCGTCGGCGTCACCGGACCTGAGCCACACCACACCACACCGCATCCACAGCTTGTTTGTTGCTGCAAACGCGTCTGCTGCTGCTGCTGCTGCCACCGCTACCCTATATAGTAGCTGTATGCAGTCATCGATTTTCCTTTGGACGAAACCTACCGCCGCCGCCACCATTACGACTGCGACTGCTCCTGCTATTCGTCGCCACCGCGGAATCACCTACGAGAAGGACGCCGAATCAACTCGACTTCCAATCTACTAGTCTGATCGCAGACGACTTGCCACCAGAATGCCTTCCTACTCCTCGTCGACGTCAAGTCGCAACACCTCTCCCGCTACGTCACCCTCTCCGTCGCGCCAAATCGGTTGCTCCTCCAGTGCTTCCTCGCAACGAAGCAGTTTCAGCTCGATGAGTGCTTCTACCACCCTCACCAACCCATACTCGACATGCGCGTATCCCAGCTGGCCTTCTGGGTCCGCACTACTGAACAAGACCTCTGGAACGCCGACTCTGTACGTGAGCGATGAGGATCTCTTCGGCGACGACGACGAGGCCTACTTGAGCGAGCCGCCGCCACCCCCACGACCTGCCGAGGCATACCTTGCACGTCCTCTGCTGCCTCCTGTTGTCCCGATCAAGCCGAGACAGTGCAGCACCAGCTCCAAGAAGAAGAGACGGAGCTCGAGCAAGGCTAAGGAGTGAGTGTGGGGCGGAAAGGAGGAAGTGCGGCCGACAGAGTGTCGGCAGGATCAGTATGGAAATCATGCGGAACCATCACCATTACCCGAAGCGTCCAAGAAATACGTCCAAGACGACCAAGACGACCAAGACGACTACTGGACAATCATGCCTATACTCAGGCCAGTCACTCGGAAATTTGCTGACGATGTGCTGGCCTGGAAATGAATCAACGGACCGATGTTAATCCCGCTTGCTCGACATCGAAATACCGGAGTGCATCATCACCGCAGCGGCGTATTGCCAACACAGCGACTGAAAATTGCACCGAACGGCGATGCACGATCCTGGTGTGACGGGTCCGGAGCGAGATTGCCGCCATCCACGGAACCGTGATGGAATTGTCGTCACGGCTCCAATCTCAAGTGACGACAGCCCCATCACACCGCCAAGACCATCTTAAACTGGAGATAGAGCCCATACCAGCGGGTGCGCAAGGCGATCTCGCCTTGTGGTCGCAGGAGAGGTCGCGCACGCGGGAGGAAGGTTGAAGTTTCACAAGCGAGATGCATCTCTTACCACGATCGTATTGCTTGGTACCGCGAAGTACAGCAGCGAGAGGAGACAGGAAGCGAAGAAGCGTCGCTGCCAGAAGTGGAAGCATTCTTGCATGCAGGAAGAGATCAGCCAAAGGCGCTTACACAGTGCTTAGACGTAGTTTTTCATGTGGAGTACCTCCACAGCCATCAGATAGTACCTGATAATGACGGAAATTTTGTGAAGATGCATCTCAGTTGGTTCGATTTCAAGTCGGTAAGCGCATGCCGTGGTGTGATTCGATGTGATGGGCAATTTTTTCCAGACAAAACGGCCATGCGGTGAGGCCCACGTGAGGCGATGTCACGAGGTCGGAGGCCCCGAGAGAGCGTCGCAGCACAGCATGATGGAATTGCCGGAGTGGGGGTGTTGCGGGCGACGGCCAGCCATCTGCATTCTCTCGCCCACTGGATACGCTGGCCGTCGCGAATCCAGCCCGAGGACTCGTGACCGCGAGCAGGTGGTACTCGGCACGCTCGACGTGTACGACTGGTGTCTGATGCTGGCAGCGCGCAAAGTGCTTGCAGGCGGACGCTGCAGCTGATGCAAGGTCGACAGGTTCCCACGCACCGCAGCACGACGCAGCTACGGAGCAGTAAGGTTGGGTCTCCGGTGCCAGACCGCTCTGTGCTGCTGCTGCTGCTGCTGCTGCTGCTGCTGCTGCTCCGAGGCGGTGCTGTGCATGCGCACCGCTGTGCACTGCCGCCTCACCTCCGCTCCGCCGTCCTCTCTCGCGCCGCCAAGCCGTGACGGGAATCGCCATCGCGAGGATCGCGCTCGCAACAGCGGTTGCAATAGCGATGAGGAGGGCAGATCGGGATCGCGAGGCACATGACGGGCTGATAAAGAACAGATTCGAACGAGGTGGTGCTGCGAGGGGAATACTACTATCTGATGTTAGGCGCCGTGAAGAAAAGTCAAGTGTGACCACAGTTTGCGGGCGCAGGACGGTGGATCTTCCCGCAGCCAATCAGCGGGCGGAAGCCGCACTTCGTCTGCTTCCAAGTTCTCGCGAGTCCTCGGCCTCTCTCTCCGCTACTCACAAGATGCTCCATAGAGCGACGCTGGACGGCAGGCGGCAGGCGGCAGGCGCTGCCCACATGAAACAACACCCGTCGTGCGTGGAAGCCATCAGGAATAGGCCCGCATTGCAGCCCGCCTTTCCCGAATCGTCGCCTGGGCTCTCAAGCGTGAACGACAGCAGCAGACCCGGCACGGCTCTCGCGTCCGTCTGTCGCCTCGAGAGCCCCTCCAGCAGGGCGCATACTCTTGTGAGCGAATCGTCCTCTCTCTCTGCCACCTCTCGCCCTCTTCCCGCCCCCTATAGGTGCCCTTCCCTGGCCTTTCACACTCGTCCGCTAGCCGCTTTCGATTCCGCTTTCCCTGCACCAGCGACGTCGATGGCCTCCTCTCCCAACACCCTACGCGCCGACCTGTGATTTGGCTTCACTCAGATTACGTCGGGCCAGCGAACGGGGGACCAACGACTGCTACGAGAGCTCTCCCTTCTCCCGTTGCATGACTCGACTTCGTGTCGTCTGCCCTTGATTAGTTTGGCCTGAGCAGCCGCCGTGCTTCACTCCTCATCTACAGAACTCTTCCCGTCAATACCTCTCTGCTGACTGACGACCCTCTCACCGACCCTCGACACACTGCTGGAGCGCTGTCTGCGGCTGTTGTGCCTCTACCTTTCCAAAATCGTCGTAAGGCGCGGCTGCATGCATCCTGTCCTGCACGCTGCACGGGATCCTATACGCGGTAGTGGGGCCTATAAGGCGCACGAGAGCTACTCGACAACCGCTCGCGAGCTTGAGGCAACACAGAGTGTGACTTCACCAGCTTAGCGCGCATGTCTTGGTATGTAGGACCGCTCCCATCCATATACAAGAGCGTTTCATCCCGCCCGCACTGCATTGGGTCGAGGGGACGAGACCAGACCAGACGTGCCCAGTGACCGGCCTCAGGATTCCGGCCATGACCACATCCGCTCTCCTCGGATCCCGACTGACATAGCCAATGCAGGAACGCAACATGTCCGTCGGCCAGGTCTCTCGACAGACGTCTCAATCTTCCCGGTCGACGACTTCGAATCCGCGAATCATAAGCCATACACCTCCGCCGATCAGTCTGACTCCCGAGAGCTCCGATCAGGAATTCGAGCCATGTGCGGCGACAGCATCCTTCCTGCTGTATTCGCAGCGAACTCAGATCCTGGTGCTGCACCACGACACCCTGTCCATCGAGCGGCGGTTCGAGCTGCATCGCGAAGATGTGCAGTGGATTGTGGTGGACAATGTCAGTGACCGAGGCTCCGGGCGGTTGGCGGTCAGTTTCGACAAGGGGAGGACGGCGATTGTGTGGGACATACTCAGCGGTGGAGAGGTTGCGAGATTCTCGGCGTACGAGGACATGCGGACGGCATGCTTCATGCGCAATGGCAACATCGCATTCGGTAAGGAAACCGCGTTGGTGGAAGAGGAAGGTGGGTGGGATGGCTGACGGGGAAGCAGCGAACGACCAGGGAAACATCATCTTGTTCGAACCTTCCACTTCCGAACACATCTCGGCACGAACCATCTTCGATCCCATCACGGCCATCGCACCCGCCGCCGACTGCAGGACCTTTGCCATTGGCTATCTCAATGGCTCCATCCTCGTCGCGACGCTGCAACCCTCCTTCACCATCGTACACACCCTCAACGCCGCGCGATCCCCTTCTCGCATCACGGGCCTCGCGTGGCATGGATCGTCGTCGAAGCAGAAGACCGACATGCTGGCCACCCAGACCTCCGACGGCGACTTGAGAGTCTGGAGTGTGCCGAAGCAGTCCGGACCCGACCCTCCCAACATTATCCGTGTCCTGCACCGGTCCGAGGTGCAGTCCCATGGGCCGTCGTGGTTTGCGTGGTCCAAGAACGGACGCATCGTCCAGCATGCCGACGGGTGAGTCTTGACACTTGCATTGGAGTCGTGCGATTCATGTGGTAGCTGACCAATCAACGTGAAGCGAGACTCGTTCCTGGGACGTCCGCACCAAAAAAGTGACCTACGAAATAATCCCAACCGTCGATGGTGTGACCGGCCTCACGAATTACGGCCCCAGTGCCACGTTGTTCACCCTCGGCCGTAACCATACCGTCTACCAGTACGATATCAACCCGAGTAGCACGCCTCTGCAGGTAGCCAATGCCCAACATGCCCCCGCCAACACGCCCCCAACCCCTCCGACGATGCTCGAAGAACGCAAGATTCCCTATGCGGACTCTTCGCGTGCTGCCGAGCAGCCGATTCAACTTGGGTACAGCGAGACTGAGAGCAGCGCGGATGAGAGCGCCGCATTATCTCCTCTGCAGAAGATTGCGCGGGAGATGGACTCGCTCGATGCCCTGGAGTCAGAGATCCGCGACAAGGTGACGCCGCTAAGCCCTTCAAGTCGGGCTTCCTCGACAAGCTCCAAGAGCTCCGGGCGCCGCAAACAGCGGCAATATCTTTACGATCCTCCAGGCTCGTCGAGAGCCTCCACAAGCACCGGCTACGATGGAACGGAATTTTCATTTGGGCCGCCGATGCGACCGGGGCACGAAAGCATGTCGAGTCGCTCAGTGACTTCTTTCGCTTCGCAGTCGCAAGCGCGCCATTCCAGGAGAACTTCAAATCTCAGAAAGGAGATCTTGCGGAGTCCCCAAGAAGCCGAAGATACTGCCAGCATGGATCTGTTCCCACATATCAAAGCCCGCTTGAGAGGAGTGGCTTTCCGGACGCCCCATTATGGCCAGTCAGCTCGCACTCCGGAGCTGTTGCAACGGGAAATGCTCAGCGTGGTCTTCGGCTGGAACGACGATGTCAGGAGTCTTATTCACGATGAGCTGTCCCGACACAAAACTGGATCAGCAAGCTCTGTGCTTCTCGCGAGATGGCTTGGCGATATGGGCGCAGATAGCATGGCGTCCATGATTGGATCCGAATCGATGACTTCTTCGGACTGGATGCTGCTCGCGCTCAGCTCGATAGGTGCGGAGTCGCAGAAGAAAGTCGGCGAGGCCTTCGTGCAGCGGTTGCTGGAGAAGGGCGACATTCACCCTGCGGTCGCCATTCTACTTGGATTGGGCGAGACGCACGATGCCATTGAAGTCTACGTTTCTCAGTCCTATTGGCTGGAGGCAGTTCTGCTGACTTGCCTGACATGCCCTTCGGACTGGCAAAGAATCTCATACCTGATCAGAAAGTGGGGAGAGACGGCAGTTACGCAAGGCCAAGCAGAGTTGGCTGTGAGGTGCTTTTCCTGCACGAGCATCGAGACGTCTGAGCCCTGGTTCTCCCCACGCGCTCAAGATGCTGTATACGCGGCACAACAAGCGCGACTGACAAGTCCAGGCGGCATGACAAGTCCGCCCGTGTCGCCTCCATCACGCTCTGGGTCAGGTCGCTTAACCGCAAAGAACGCCTCGTTGAAGCTGATCACGTCTTTTGGCGACAAAGGGGCGCCACTCTCCGGAGATCCCGGAACCACCAAACCAGCTCTGACTGCCATTGGCGTCACACCGATCGCCCAGTCTGCTCTGTCCCCCGGAGGTGCGCAGCCATGGAGAATTGGTCGCGAACCTTCGACTGCCCGAACCGCGACCCCTGGTGGATATTCGAGGAGCAAACGACTTCCCTCCAGGAGCGACATTGAGAGGGCAAAGAGGGACGTCAACGATATGTCTACTCCATTGACTGCGGCACGAGATAGATCAAGAGGTGGAAGCCGAATGGGAAGGACGCTAATAGTACCGGAGCCGACTACAGCTGTCAAGCCAAGCGCCAAAGACTTTGCTTGCGGCGTTGACGATGGCCATCTTCCTTCGCCAGCACACGATGCATTCAACCGACTTCGGCAAGAGTCACGCAACCGGAACACGTCGAGAGAGCGAAAGCCAGACGGCCTCTCGGTGCAAGTGTTTGAGACGTCGTATGGAGGTGCAATCTCTCCAGGCCCAAGCACGGACGCCAGTCGAACAGATAGCTCCAGTCAGCACGGCGCTTTAAGTCCTGGACCTCCAACTGGTGGCAGTGGGCGAAGCAACAAAGCGCGCGCTGTGGATAAGTACATCAGCAGTGTTGAAGAGGCTAGGAGTGCGGCTCGGCAAGAACGAGCCAAGAGCAGGCATCGTGGAGAGAGCCGCAAAAGGGGAGAAAGTCGAACAGGAGCCGGAAGAGCTAGCAGCCGCATGCGAGATGCTTCCGAGGGCCGTGGACGTGACGTGAGAACGATCAAGCCTGCGAAGCGCTCACCCTCGTCACCCGTTCCGATGTCACCGTTGGAGATTGTCCAAGCAAATACAAAGCCGCAGAACCTTGAGCCAAACACCGCTGTCGAGCCAGCAACGACAGATGACGAGAGCTTCTACAAGATCACCGTTGCGTCTCCCACCGACTCTCACAGAAGCGGCAGATCATCCAGGGCCAAAGGAATGCAGGAACGCAAGCCATCCATGGACAAGGCTGCCTTGATTGGCGGGTTGGCTCCTCTCAACATTGGCGATAGTCGTGGTAGAAGTTCCGAGCGCGACATCGAACCACCTTTGCGATCGCCTTCTCTCCCTCTGCTGTCTTCGAAACGCTTTGGCGAGGATGATGATGATACAAAGAGTGACGGGCGCCGCTTACGTTTCCGAGCTCGAAGCAACAGCCGCCAGCCTGGGGAGGATCTCCAGACTCGTAGACTGGCTCAGCGTGATCGCAAGCCTCTTATGGAGGATCTCCCCAAGGCGGACGAGGAAGCCTACCAAGCATCGGAGTCGTCCGTCTCTGCGAGATCTGGCGGACTTAGAGCTCGCGTTCTTACTCGTAAAGAAATCGCAGCTCAAGAGCTAGAGGCTCGTCGCCGCTCACTGGCCAGGCGACCCTCTGCTCCTGCTATCCCGCTCCCGGGCGATATCCTCTTTGGCCGTCCAGGCATAGGGAACCGGTCCCATACCGACCTAGGTGACAGCCCGACATCTTTCAGCCCACCCCTCTCAAGAAGCCAGACGGTGGATCCCGAGACCATGTCGAGGACGAGCAGCTACGGTAACAAGATTTCTGGAACTTCGACACCGTCGGCGCCCATCGGCTTGCCTGCGACTCCTCGAGCTATGAGACATCCACGCTACATGAGCACCGATCCAAACGAGCGCAAGGGGACGCCACCTGTGCCCGAGATTCCCGGGAAGTTCAGCGAGCTCTCAGGAAGCAGTCTCAGCCAGCTCAATGGCTCCAGTCTAAGCCAGGCCTCACTCGCTTCAGGGGGCGTCGAGCATGACTCTACGCTATCGTCCAATCGGTCCAAGTCGGCTCTGTCTGAGAATAGCGACTCCATTGGCCCACTTCTGCCGTCAACCGTCTTCGGTCAAAAGAGCGGCCAGGGAGTGCCATCACGCTCCGCTTCTGCTCCACCAGAGAATCAAAATGCGAATGTGCATCCTCTCTACAAGACTGGCCTACCTGCCTCGAATCGCCGTCTTTCAACCTCTCGTGGCCACGTTCGCAAGATTTCGCCTCCCGATGTAGGCGCGGAGGAGGCAGGACCTGCTAGCATCGATGCTGCGCTTTATGGTGACCAGCAAGTGATAATAATTCCAGAAGAGGATCTCGTGCCTCCACCAATGTTGCCGGAACTGCAGCATCTTGCCATTCCACCGCCTCCGCCTCCGCCGACAATGTATCAGCAGCAAGGCCACACCAACAGCTCAGGTGTCATTGACATTGCAATCGACGAGATGGCCCCAATGCCTCCTTCCGCAGTCGAGACACGTATGCCAATGCTCCCTATGCCCATGGAGCGGGCTCAGACCGCTTCCCCGACGGCTCATCGGAAGAATACATCAAACAGCGACAGCTTCAGCTCCCGTATCCGCGGATTTGGCGGTCGTATGCGCAGCAGCTCCAAGAGCCGTACCAAGTCGCCACCGCTGGGCGAATACAAGCCTGCTCCTTATGAAACCGTCCTCCCGCCTGTGAGCTACGGTCACGGTCGTCACGGTAGTATCACGCACGAGCGAGCACAGTCCCCATATGAACAGGCCATGGCTGCGCAGGACACAAGCAACCAGATTCCACCACCTCCGCCGCCTCCACCGGCGCCAATGCATGGAGGTGAGGCAAAGCTGAGCGAGACGGCGATTCCACCTTTTACTCTGCCGAATCGAAGCCAGAGCACGACTGGATACCGCAATCCGAAAGAGATTCGCGCAAACATGCCTCCGGACACTTTGCAACAAGGCGTCTATCATGGCGGCTTCTTGTAGAGGTCTACATTTCTATTCTTACAACGGCATCTATCTTACCTTCTCACGACTCCGAAAACGAAGCATTTCGAACGACAAGACATGAAATCGATGATGCTCGACACTCCAAAATCCAACATCATAATTACCATGAGCATCTAATTCCAACCAGCATTTGACTATCATATTGCATGCATTTATTCGCGGGAGCAGCGAGCGACGGCGTACTATCATTCTTGCATAGCGGATCATTTTTCTCTACTTCATGGCCAAGACAAAACAATCTATTGTACAGCACATGTTTTTGGCGACTTTTTTTTTCGGAAGACCAGCAATCGGCTCGAGTCTGTACCTTTTTCTCTTTGTGGACGGACGGTGGACAATCTGCAAGACCAAGTTTCGGAAATGCCTCGCGGCAAGAAAGTTGGGCTCACTCCACGCTTCTTTGACGGCCGAAAATTGTGGTATTATCATTAGTTTAGGTGTGTGTTGTTGTTGATGCAGACAGACAGACAGATGTGGATAGAAATTTTTCGAAATGGGGAAAAGTGTGTCCACGCTAGATACGACTATTCTTGCTTCTGTGTGCTGGCTTTTTGATTTGATTCTCCTCGAATGAGAGTGGTGGGAATCGTCTGTCTACTGCAGCATGTGTGTATGCCCTATTCTTTGCGGACGAGCAGCGGATACGCGCATTGGGCTACTGCCCTCGAGTCAATGGTGAGGCTACGAAGCGAATACGCACTGTAACTGTATCCTGCGAGCTCAGTCACACCGTCCGGCTCGAAAAAAATCTGTTTTCGGGGCGGAAACGTCGGGTGCTGGGGAAAATCCAATGGTCGCCGAAGAAAACGATCTTTCAATCGCCGTTTCTTGTTTACCGCAGATTCGGTGCCGGCGTCGTGGAGTGTAACCTGCTTCTGCCGTGCGACCAAGAGTCTTTTCTTTTTCGTACCTGCGCACATGCGCAGTGCGTATTGATTGTATTGTCCCATTTCGGGGGCCTGGGGTTCGGAACTGGAGAGACAGTCTACTTACCTAGTTATTATTGATCTTCTGCAAATTTGATGGTTTTGACGTGGCAATTTTTTATTGAGACTATAGCTCGTATCATACAGGATGAGTTGTCGGGTTCCATGTTGGAGATCAGGAGAAGGGCTGCTGTGGCTGCATCCACAGCAGGGGCGAAGTGCTGCAGCTTCTTGATTGGTTTCCGAATTCCTGATTGGGCGTGGTAGGCCATACCGGAGTATGTGCTGTTTTCTCGTTAGGAGGAAGACATGGTGTGACGGGCTATTGGTGCATGCGCAATGCAATGCAATGCGGTGCGGTGCGATGCGATGCGGGTATGGTGTTTTCCGATGGGTTCGAGAAGGGTGGGTTTGCAGATGCTGTGTGTTGGCTGGTAATGTGTGTGATAAAGGGATACCACCACCACCTTCGGTCGGTAGATTTTTGCCGAGGCGAGCATTGGCGAAGGTGCAGTGGTGTTGGTGGGTGAGGAGAAGATGGTGGTGATGGTTGGTGTGACGGTGGCGGTGGTCACGTTGAGTTCCGGCAAGGACCGAGCTCCGTTATGCCTCAGGCATACAGGCGTGTGATGATGGAACTCGCAGCTTGAACTTCGTGATGGCAGTCGCGAACTTCCCAGAGACACCCACGAACGCCTCTTTATCAGCGCACAACCACAGCCCGAGACTCGAGATGCCGCCGAAGGCTCCAGCAAAGAGCAATGACCGGGCGGGCGGCGTCTTGGCCGTCAACGCAGCAACACGAGCCGCTGCGAACAAGGGCCCGGCGCCCAAACTGAAGCTGAACCTACGACGATTGCCGCCAGGACTTACTCTCGACGAGTTCGAAGAGACGCTGGGGGATAACTGGAAGCTGGGCAATGGCAAGGTTGCCTGGAGGGAGTTCTGCCCTGGCAAGGTCAAACCAGGCAAACACCCACAACAAGCCAGATGCTACCTCCTCCTCGCCAACGAGCCTCTGATCTGGGAATTGGACAAGCATTTCAGGACCCTCACCTTTCATGATAGAGCCGGAACATATCGGCTACCGGAACTCAAGAGTTTGCCACCTACGATCGAATTTGCCGACAACCAACGAACGCCGGTGAGCGTCAAGCAGAGGGCGGATCAGAGACAGGGCACGATTGATCAAGATCCGGAGTTCATGGCATTTCTGGAGGGACAGACACGGGCGACGGAGAAGCTTGCGCCGCTCGATGCTTTGGGCGCCGAGAAGAAGGAAACGGAGAAGCCGGAGGTTAAGAGCACGCCATTGATAGAGGCTTTGCGCGAGAAGAAAGCCAACAAGGCCAAAGCTGCTGAAGCTAAGAGCGAGAAGAAGGACGGCAAAGTCCATGCAAGAGCGGATAGCAAAGATGCTGCCGTCAATAAGAAGGACGCAAAAGAGGATAAGACTTCACAGCAACAGAACGTGCAGCAGGCTTCGAAGGAAGCTGTCAAGGTGCTCAATAAGCAAGTTGCCAACAAGCAGCAACAGAGCCAGCAGCGGCCCGACTCACCTCAGCAGCCCCAGGCTAAGAATACGTCTCCCGCGAAGTCGAAAAAGGCCGCCCAGAGTTCCAAGCCTCAGAACACGCCGCCCACTGGGCCAGCGAATAACAAAGCATCAGCTGCCACTACAACGCCACAGGCTCCGGCGTCTCAGCGGGAACCACGTACCAGGCCACAGCGTGGCAATGCCGAGGGCATCAAGAAGATGCTGCAGAAGGATCTTGGGATTAAGCCAAAGCAAGGGCCGGCCGCGCAGAATGCTTCGTCTAAGTCATCGCAAACTGCAGCTACGACTCCGACAACACCTTCCACTCCGATCGGCACGAATATTGGCAACAAAACCGCCACAAAACAACAAGCGCCTTCAGCCCCAGCATCGCCCGCGCCTGCTGCAACTAAGGGACAGCATCCACCGTCGGCGCCGAAGCAACAGCCCCAAACTCAGGCGGGTATCTCTGCAACGAAGGCTTACCTCAAGCATGCCAACCCAAGCCAGGGTATGACTGAGATCTTGATACAGCAAGCGCTCTCGCAGTATGGCGAACTCACCAATGTGACTATCGATCCTAGAAAGGGTACTGCGATTGCACTGTTCAAAGATAGCGAGGGACTGAAGAATGCGATGGAAGCAAAGCATGTTCCTGTCGCTAATGGTAAGGTGGAGGTGCTCGAGTTTAAGGATCGAGCTTCGGGTGGCGGTCGTGGCGGATTTAGGGGTGGACGCGGTGGTGGTAGAGGCGGTCGCGGTGGCCAACAAGCGTCGAATGCTGCTGCGTCTGCACCAGCTGCGCCCAAAACTGAGGCTGGCTCGTAATAGCAAGGTGACTACGCTGGCACGGTAATTGATCATGAAGCAGCGATTATGTGATGCGAGAATCATGGAGATGCGGGATCGCCAGTGCGGACGACAGAAGCAGCACTGGCAATGCATTTGGTATATCGAAAACTTGCAGAATCACTTCACTTGCGCAGTGCTAGTCAGATCGGACTTGCGTTCCTAGTGACACATGGTAAGAAAGCTAATGTCACATGCTAGCGACGCTATCCGCATTGACCATATACATGAGTACTCAGGCTCTGATCCTCTCGTGTAGCTTCTGACTTCGGACATCTCCACTCAAGGCAGTTGTACATCAAGACCAACCTCTGCAACACATCACAGAGCATATTCAGAAAAGCAAAACACCTACTATACCATCCAACCAACATCAACAGCAACCACGCTCGACACTCTATTCGGAACCAATTGTGCTCAGGCACTACTTCTTGCAACCGATCAGGACACTTTCAAGCCCGATCTCTTGAGTACGATGGCCGATTTGACCACAGCTCGGAAGCGCCCTGCGGCGGATCAGACCTGTGACACCTGCGGCGAGGAAGTCACCTCATGGGACATGAAGAAGTTCAGTACATGTGCTCAGAAGCCCTGCAACAAGACCTGCAACCTTTGTTGGAAAAAGTATCTCAAGGTGACGGCCATGGAGACCCCTCTGAGAATCTTGCAGTGTCACGTCTGCGATCAAGAGCTCGATCTCGACGAACTGCTGAGGAAGCCACTGTTGGAGGCACGGGACGCAGCTCAGTGAGTAGAATTGGATTTGTAGACCACCGAAGCTGTACTGACGCTGATTTTCAAGTTTCCGATACCGCAGACGTCAGCGCGAGATGGACAAGAACGGGGAGCGAGAATGCCTTAGCGTGCTCGTGGGAGACGGCAACGCTTGCAAGAACATTCAAGAGCATAATCGCGATGTTCGTATTTCCAAGTGCGAAGGATGTGGCGGAGAAGATTGCACCTTTTGCGGCCACACAGAGCACTACGGTCAAACCTGCGACGAATTCCAAGCAGCATACGAGGCCGAGCAGAACATCAAGTACAACTGGAGCTGGACGACGAAGCGAGGCCCGGGAGAACAGGACAGGAAGGTCGAGATACCCTACCCGCTCTCCACCAACGAACTCTTGGGGTATATGTACGACTACGAAACGCCAGTCGAGCAGATCCGCCCATGCCCACACTGCGGCATCAAGATTTCGCTGGAGAAGAAGTGTGCGCGCCTTCGATGCATCAAGTGCTCCATGGAATTCTGCATGAAGTGTGACGCGCCGTATCTTGGTAAGGACGGCGTTGCGGAGCTTGGTAATGCTGCGCACACGCTGCCATGTCACTATGCTTCGAGAACAATCGAGGCTAGGCAGATGACTGGAGCCAAAGCGTGGAAAGCGGCCAAGGCTGTCGAGCGAGCTCAAGGTTTAGTTGAGACACTGAACAAGAAGAGGGCGATCCATGTGCAATGAATGATGCGTCAGAGATGGAGTCGTCAAAAGCATTGTCTACTTGTTGACTCATGGTGTTGCCATGGGATGCTCTTCGGACGGCGGTGCGATATAGCATCTTTTCGCATTGGAACGTTGTCTGCTACCCAATTATCCCGGCGAAAACAGCGGCAATGGCCAGTGGGACAGCAGTAAACCAGCTGTAGCGTCCGTCTAGACAAATTTCAATGCGATAAGATGTTGTATACATCTGATACGAGTGTAGGACGAGCATTGAGTCACAGATATGCGAGGAGCGCATTTCTGAATCTTGAAGCAACACTTGGTAGATGAATTTTGCTCCGAAGCAGAAGTGCCGAACCGGACAAGGTGCTCACGCAACCTAAGTGTAAACTAACAGAGCCTCGCTGGCCGCCAATGTGAAGGTGACTTGTCCTTCCTTGACAGTCCCGGTCTCCTGGACAGCAGTTCCTTGAATCTCACACGTTCCATTCTGGAAAGTTTGTCCACCAACCGTCGGGTTCTGCCCTTGGTCCTGTTGCGAAGTGGAGAAAGGAGCAGTCAATCTTGTAGCTCGAACGCTGGCCCCGCTCAGACCAGACAATGTGAAAGTCTGCGTGGAGCGAGTTCCGGAGGCATAGTAGTCCGAGTTATACAGGAGCACCTTGGTGATCTTACCGCCGGAGTAGATCGCCCAGGCACCATAAGTGGTGCTGAATGTGTCCAGTGGAGCAATCTGGTCGGCTCCAGCGAGTGCCAGAGTAGCAAAGTAGGCCCCATAGTATGGCGCGCCAATGGAGTAGCGTCCCCACCAGCAGTAGGGACCTGAAGACGTGTCAGTCGGCAAGCCGTTTTGAAGTTTTGGGTTCTATTCCGAAATCGTGACTTACAGTTGCCAATGGTGCCTTGATGAAAGTATATCGACTGCGTTCCAAGGTGCAGGAGCTGCAGAGAGTAGTCCATGACCCACAGACCCGATCCATACATTCGGCTAATGCCTCCTCCGCCTTGAGTTGCTATTTATGGTGTCAATGGAGCGGTTCCAAACATCTCGGCAAGTTTACACATACCAGAATTCGTCTCTCCCATGATGTGCGGCTTGCCTTTGGCATTGGCCGCGGCAATCTCAGCCTTGAAAGGTGTGATCTGCTTTGCAATCGCGCTGTGGTTCATCAGCTGCGGCAAATCGGCAGTGGACGGGCCTTGCGCATAATTGTGCGAGCAGTAGTCTTTGACGTATTGGTTCGAGTCACCTTCTAACGCCGTAAGACCTTGTATGTTGAAGCCAGTGGTGCCAAAGTAGACCCCGGCAGAGATAATATCTGTCTTGGATAGCGCACTACCAACGGACTTCTGCCAAGATGTCTGCGAGGCGAAGTCGTTGGCCGGAGTGTATGATCCGCCATCTGTGTTGATGGGCGAAGACGCGGAGTAGACTGTAGCACTGGTCAGAGGGGCCCAAGAGCTTTAATTCGGTGTCCCTTACAGGTAGGCTCGTTGCCAAGTTCGATGGCGTAGAGGTTCTTCACTTCAGCAACTGCCTTCTCAGCCGCTTGAATGGTGTTAGACAAATTGTTCAGCTGACGATTGAGACCTAGCAGAACCGTTAGCACCAGCCGCAGGTGGACATTCCATGTTATCAATACCAATGATGGTGCTCCCGTTGTACGTTCCCGCCAGAGTCAGGAATGAAGGTCCATACGTCAAAGATGCAGGAGCGTCTGTAGGACTGGCTACAGTATATGTTACTTCGTTAGGCGAAGAAGCATCGTAGGTGGCTCGGTCTCTGTGTATGCATGGTCAGTCGAGAGCAACTTCAGTGTAGCAGACTGGCTTACTGGGTGGTTCCGCCAATCCGCATGGGCGGCCAAGTTCCTGTGAGTACTTGCAGATTTTGAAGGCACTGCTCAGTGGAGGCGAGGTCGGTATAGCCTGGCCATGCGAAGAATTCTAAAGACACTCCAATCGGTGCCTTGAGGAGCTGCTGGCTTGCATTGGCTGGTGGCGTTGAGGGTACTGTGAAGGAAATTGCTACAGCTGATTGCACCGACAGCACCGCGCAGAGTATCGAGAGCATGATATGCTTGCGTTCAAAGGTTGCTCTGTACGGGTGGGGATAAACTACTTCCTGAAACTCGATCCTTTGCTCAAGCATATATTGCGGATGCGTCTCGGCGGAGTAATCAGCCTCCAGGACCGAGAGATGTCCAGGCCGGTCTAGATGTCTCTATCCAGGCGATTCGAGTGAGGTTCGTGACATTCAGCGGTGCCATTAGTCCAAAGCAAGAGCGTCTCTTCCTCGTAGTGGCGTGGCACCCACGCTGCGGTGGTACCGTCTATTCTTCCAACACGAATTTTCAATAAAACGGCCGGGGTCCTCGGCGCTTTCCGATCAAATCTTGCCTTTTCTGGACGACACAGAATCGGCGGTGGCCTGAGCTTACAAATCCGCAAAATGGTTTTGCCGACTGCCGAAGCGGCACTCGCTGTGAGTCGCGACTCACTCTACTACTACAATAACAACTTACGATGGCGACAATAAGGCTCCATAAGTGTCGCGCACCGCTATTGTCGACGTGAACGGTTAATATGAAGTCAGGCGCAGCTTTTGGCTTTATATTGAACCCGTCAATAGCGGTACGCGGCTTTATATTAATTAAAAGCTATTGTCGCGCTTATACTATTGTAAGTGCGAGTCCACAATATCGAACAATAAGGCAGCTACTAACAATAAGTAGGCTATTTTATAAGAAGGCATTCTTATCTAGCGAACCTAGACCTCTTTTCCTACCTAGATCGTACTCGTAGACTCGCAAATCGACAATTTATAGCATTAATCGACTAGGAGACTCTTACATTTATCTATAGACGACTCTACGACCGATACTAGCCTAATTATTAACCTACTCCTTCGCCTCCGCCTTAGTCTACGCCCGAGAGCGCCCTAGTAGTAACTATATCGGCCCTAAGGTAAGCTATCCGAAGCCTAAAGAATAGGCAAAAGCTAATTAGCGAGTCTAGCGAGTCCTACCGTAAACTAGAGACGTAGGATAAGACTACATTCTAGTATATCTCCGATAAGGATTAGTAGCGCTATTTAAACAATCTTAAATCTAGTAATAAGTAGGTTCGTAAGTCCGCGGCTAATAGCCTACGGCGGTTTACTTACGCTAGCGAGATAATAGAGACGGATCTAGGTATACTTTTTCTAATTTATATAGACTCGCTACTAAAATCTAATCGACTCGTAGGTATACTATCTTCTAAGCCTAGCGGCTATAAGTAGTACGCTACGAGAGGTCTAGATTACATTATCTATAAAGGTAAGGAATATACTTAATACGCGTTCTATAAGCGCTACGGTCGCCTAGGTTATAATAGTAAGCTCTAGAAGAAGTACGAGAAGTAGAAGGATAAGTAGGATAACTCGCTAAAGCCTAAGCCGGACTCGTAGGCTACTATAGGTAATTCTAGGGCTACTATAGGTAACTCTAGGGCTGAGATAGGCGACTCGTAGAAGCCTACGAGTCTTTAAACTAAGATTACTAGGCTTAAGGAGGGTTTAGGGTTTGCCTATAAGCGTATTAATAATCTAGAGGCTAAGCTCTACTATATAATAGACTTTATTACGTAGCTACTAGGTAGCGAGTAGTTCGTAGCTAAATATAAGGGTAAATATACTTAGTAGATAGTACAGATTAATTCTAGCCTACGAGTTATAGCGAGTATAGCTAATTTTAGCCTACGATTCCGTACGAGTCGGGTAGCTTAGGATATATAGAATCTTAGAGCGATTAAATCGCCTACGAATCTAGTAATTTTAGGCCTACGAGTCGGGCAAATTATAATACTACGAATCTTAGAGATCGTAGAATCCCTAAATCGCCCGCGAGTCTACCTAATTTTAGCCTACGAGTCGGGAGAATGTTAATATTAGAGATCTCTAAGCCTTTAATCGTTATTATATTTATACTATTAACCCTATACGCCCTTCTATCCTTTTAAAGCCTCGCTACTAACTCGCTACCGACTCGCTATAGCTTCTTTAACGCCCTTGTAACCCTTTAAAACTCCGGAATCCTTATATACTCCTTCCTTAGCTTCTTATTCCTTATTGCCTCCGCTAGTACACTCGTAGTACTCGCTAGTCCGCTCGGGGGCGTACTCGTAGGCTCCGCTAGTACACTCGTAGCCTTAGTATCCTTAGGTAAGCTAGTAACCTACCTATCGCCCTAAATCTCCGTCGCTACCGGCGACTCGCTAGCGACTCGCTCTACTAAATCCGTAGGAGCAATCTCTATTCCTTCTTTAATAGTACTTAAATCTATAGGCTCCTTCTTTATTACTATACGTGCCTCCTACTTTACTACTAGCTTGCTTTTAGGCACTCGTACGTACGTAGGCTCGTCGTCGTCGTTATTATTAGTAAGGTTAATAATATCGATAGGGTTATAGGCGCTTAATCCCTAGGTACCGGATATAGACGAAGGAGTAGATCGATAGGGTAATTCGCGACTCGCTTAACGTTTGTAACTAACTAGCGGACTAGTAGAGGCCTCTTTCTCGGTAGATTAGGCACTCGTAGAGGGACTCGTAGGCTAGCGGAATTTAGCTAGTTTATTAGGGCTAGTAGAAGGCACTACTTTAGATTCGCTAGTACTCGCTACTATACTCGCTACTACACTCGCTACTACCTCCTTAGCTATCTTTCTTTTAGCTTTAGTACTAGGCCTCTAACCTAGACGCCTACTACGATAGCGCCTATTAAGGCTCTTTATTAGATCCGGATCTAAAGAGGAGCTGTCGTCGGTAGACTCGCTAGACTCGCCGTAGTCCTTCGGAAGCCTATTCTACCGCTTATCTTTAGCTACAAGGACAGCGACCCTAATATCTACCTCCTTTCGCGTAGGATTTGCCTAGTACCTACGCTTAAATAGTAGTAATTGCTCGTTAAGGTCGTCTTTGTCTCTACTGTTCGAGCTTAGTATAATTAAGAGCTTCTACTCTTTGTCGTACCGGGTATATATAAACGGACGTTTGTAGTACTATAGGCCGGTAACCTTCTTAACCTTAATATAGCTAGCGTATAAAGCCTAGTAGTAAAGCTAGTTACGAGTACGCGGCGAGTCGAGTAGTAGGGCCTTAAAGTCGCTCTAGTAGCCTACGATAGACTAGTAATCGACTAGCTCTAGATTATCTCTAACCGTCCACCTCTACTAGCCTTCCTTCTTAACTACATTAACTACTACTTTGCTTATATACACTATAACGTAAAGCTTAGGGCCCTTTAGTACTTTCTTCGGTCTACTACCCTTGTTCTACGACTGCGAGTCGGCCTGCGAGTCGTCTCGTAGCTCGGTACTACTACTACTACCCGCCTTAAGTCGATTCGTAGCGATTAGCGTGCTCCTATATAGACTCGCTTTACTAGTACGAGGACCTTATACCTCTCCGGATAACGGATTAATACCTACATTACTAAGCGGGCGGATATGCTACTTCTTATTAGCGGCTAAAACGGCATTAGTACGGCTAAATAAGCTTTTAGCGAGTCTAGTAAAGCTACTATAGCCCTTTATAGACGCGGGCTCCTTCCGCCGTAGAGTAGGGGAATCGATCGGATCCGGTACTAGTATTAAGGAAGGGCCTACAGTCGACTCGCGGCGACTCGCTATATTAGTGTCTACTATAGTAAAGAACGGGTTCCTAAGGCCGCATTTACTATAGCGGGGCTTATCGCTATACTCTTTAGTATAATTAAGAGTATAATCTACCTTGTTAGATATATAGAAGTCTTCCTAGAAGTTAGTAGAAGAAGCTATAATAGACGTATATAGAAAGATAAGACGTAGTATTAAGGAATGTAACGTTACGAGTCTACTACGAGTATATACGAAGCTTTATAGAGGCTCCCTAGTAGTAGTAAAGACGGTTCTCGTACGATTAGACGGCTCGAGGCTATTTAAGCGAGTCGGCGCGATATACTTAGCGAGTCGTCTACTAGTATCTAGGTACTACTTAGCTACTCCTCGGAGGTACTAATAAGCGTGTATATAAAGCTTCTTAGGCCTATTACCGAATCCGGGTTCGCTACCTTTAAAGGTTAACGGGTAGCTAGCGAGTACGAGCTGTTCGTTTACCTATTATAGAGTTGTCGGAGGCAGGTATAAGCTAAGGTCTATATATAGCGAGGCGTAGTTAGCGTAGGAGTAAGAGAGGGGTAACTCTATAGGCGGGTAGCTAGAGCTGCGAGTGACTACGAGTACAGCTAAATTGGCTACGAGTACGGTCCAATTTCGAGCTACTTACCTAGTACTAATATAGAAAGCTCTTTAATTACCCGCGGAGCTTACTATAGCCGTCTATCCGGTTTATCTACTACTTAAGAGTAGTACTCGCTAGACTCTTAGGGTTAATTAGATGCCTACGCTAGGTAGTGTCCTCGAGCTCTAGATACTCGTAGAGCAAATCCGGTATACTACTAATATAGCTCTTAAGGTTTTGTACTCGTACCGGGTGCCGATTCTACTCTAAGACAAAGTAACTAACTATATAGCGTATAATTAGAGTATAGATTACGAGGAAGGCGAGTCGATTAGATAGCTTAGCGGCCTCGAAAAGGTGTAGGTTAATATACTAGTTAAATAGGTCTCTCTAGCGATTTATAGCTAATTTAGCTATCTCGCCCTACTAGTACTTAATAGTCTAATTGCCTTTACTCGTAGTATATAAGAAGGCCTTAACAAAGTCGATATTACGGCCCTCGATAAGCTCTCGAAGCCGTAGATAGGCGTCTACTAGTATAGGTGTCTCGACACCTTAATTAGAGCGGACTCGCTAAGGGACTCGCTAGATATAGTTAATTATAGTATAGTACTACGAAAACACTAAGTACTTTGTCTTTACTATTAGGCTAACGTAGAACTAGATAATCCGGCGTAAGTAGACGTTAATATAGGCGTAAATCTAAATGCCGAATTGCTCGATTTTGTAGAAGGCATTAATTAACTAGACGTAGTTAGGCCTATTAGCTTTTAGTCGTACGTACCGTAGCCTATTCGGATAGCGATTACGTGGTTCGCGAAGCTTATATAGTAGAGCGTTAATTTGCCGTGAAATCCGGTAGATACGGTCCCTAGTAGGCATTAGTATAGTAAGAAGAGGGCTACGAGTCGGCTACGAGTCGATTCCCTACCTACCTATAATATACTAGTAGGTTCTTAACTCTCGTACGAGCTTGCGATAGCTAAAGTCTTAGGTTTGCCTATTAATTAGTACTACTCGAAGCACCTTATCGACGTAGGTAGTAGCTACTTCTAATTCCTCGTATTCTAGTCGACACTTAAGGCCGTAAGTACGGCGGAGCTCTTAATACTGCCTTAAAGAGATATTATAGCTATTAAGCCGTAGTATAGTATAGCTCTTCTTGTCGCTAATAGTATATAGCTAGAATAGCTCGGTAATCCGCTTAATTAGTACTACGTTACTACTATAGTTAATTCGAGGGCGAGTAGTTACTCCCTATTATAATAAGTATGTCTATAGAGTTCTAATACTATAGCGAATGCCCTTAGTATTATATAGGCTCTGTACGACTCGCTAGTAGGTATATCTAGTATAAATCTAAAGCTTAATCTAGAGCCGATAGGGCTATAAATCGAGAGCCTAAGGCGGTATAACGACAAAGTAGGCAATAAAGGACCTAATAGATAGATTGCGAGTCGATAGCGAGTACATCAGTGCCTAACCACTATAATTATAGTATATAAGTGTGGTAGTGCGGTAGCAAAACCGGCAAAACCATTTTGCGGATTTGTAAGCTCAGGCCACCGCCAATCCCTCTCCAAACTCATCCGCGCTCAGGAACTTCTCCCGCCCGTAACAGTAAGTCAAGGTATGGAATGGCCAAATATCATCTGTGCAGAGTTTCACGACAGCCCGCACCAATCAGCAAGCCTACATCGGCCACTACCGCCCTCCTCTGTTCTGGTCGTATTGTCCACGGAGGCAGTCAAAGGAATAGGCGCTACTCGGTGAAGGTGTTGCTATCTTTGATCAAGCGCTGACGAGGTTTCAGGTGTTAATGTCGGGTAACCTCGACCGCAACAGGGCACGCGTCTCTTCATACACGAAGAAACTGATCCAAAAACCTTATTCTGACCACACTCAGAAGCAGATATGCCGACATCTCTTCCTCGTATTGTGTCCGTATTGGCTTCTATTTCTGGCACTATATGCTGCATATCTGATGTGCTCGCCAAGCATGACCAGGCACGGATACCGCGGTACCTTCGCCACGTTGATCTCCTGCACGAGACTGCCCGCACTGCCTCCACACGCACACGGCTCCTCTGGGCGAGGGAGAGGTTGGACACTTTCATCACCTTGTCCGAGAGAAAGAGACTGACAACAAGATCACGACCCTCAATGAAAACTGGATCTGGGTGCCGCTCTACGTTGACTCGTCAGCGGAAAATACTGCTGGCACGACCGTGACCTTCACGCGGCACGTCACCTTGCACAATGAGCCTAAGCTAGCCTTTGCTACATCTCTCAGCTGATACACGCTACAAGCTGTATGTCGACAACGAGCGTGCTGCTGGTGGTTCAGTAGAGGTAGCTCATTCGTCTGGTACTGCGAAACTCTCGACATCTCACGTTTTCAGCGACAAGACGACATTGCGATTCGAACTGAGGTCCTATGCTACTTCGCCGCAAACCGAGCAGATATCCCGTTTAGTCGCACGACTTTCCCTGGTTTTACCGTTTATGGGTTGATTGAGGATGGCATCAAGCACGTAGAAATTCGCACAAAGGACATCGGCCAATGGCAAGCACAGGTTCACGAAGTGGTCAGGTTTCCAACCGGTACGGCTGACGACGTCTTTCTCCATATAGGTGGATCCTTCGCTTAGTATACGCCTACAGACTTATAGACAACTAGGTCTACGAAAGGGTGTTAACGCAGTCTACGGTTCCAAAAGTAACACCGATACCGTATTCGTCTCAGACTCTCAACGGCGACCTGCCTGTCCAAATGCCCGAGGAGACAGTTGCTACGATCAAATCAACCCGACGATGCGACAGTGACGTCTCTGCCGATGTTTGGACGACTTTCGTTTCGCATGGAACACCTTTACAGCTCCGCCGCCCACTCTTCGCATACTTTGAACCTACAAGCAGACGTGCATTCGACTGCGTTCCTGGAATGGCGCTCTCATACGAGTACAAGCAGCACTATATCCATTAAAGCTAATTATACTGAGGGCTACGAGCTGGAGGTCCAGAATTATATTTCTCTGGGCACAAAGCATATCGTCTACACACGAAAAGCGGTCACGTCGTCGGCCCATTTGACGATTCAGACCGGTAAAGAAGTACACTACCAGCCTTTCTGGTTCCGTACGTTCCGACTTATCAAGCTAGAATCTACGATTGGACCATCCCCGGTCACACTGGCCTCTTACAAGGCGACGCAGATAAACCATCCGATGGACCCAATGCTGATTGGCAGCAGCCCTCTAAACCTCGAAGCGGGGGAAGTTGGCATATTTCCATTCGAACGTATGAAACTGTACGTTCGATGGTTATTCGGACTGTCCCTTCTACGAACAGGTGCAGTATAGCACGAAGAGTCGTGCTGTTGGCTTTTCCCACTATTTGCTTGCCGAAGATGATACACTGATGCGGCAAGAGATTCCAAATTTCGTGTCTCCGACCACCATGGAAGGCCTGCCTCTATCTCGATTTCCATCACCATCACACGTCAAGCAGCTGATCGCTGCATTTCCTCTATGCTGGGTGCTTGGAATTTGCGATCACCACATTTACTTCGGCGACAAGTCGTTTACGCGTACCTTCGTGCCTCGAATTGGCAGGGCATCGAGCTCCTCTGACAGCTGGTCTGGCGATAGAGTGCTTGTGTGCGGTCTGCCGGGCTAATGAGTACCGAGTTGCCAGTCACGAGAGCTTGCGGAGTCTTAGCTGTTACGCCATACATGGAAGCAACTCTAGCACTCGTGCTACCAGCACATGGTAACAATGTCCACAGGGTGACGTGCCATCCAGCCTTTATATGGCTTCTACATGGAAATATAGGATGGTAAAGCAACCTGGGCACTCGACTTTGGTGCGTACAGTTCGCATCTTCCCTGGAAGTACCTAACGTGCCAAGTCGTTGGCAAGACTTCCGATACCATGCGCATATCGACTCAACCAGAGAAGGGCCCTACGTCTATCCGGGATGAGACCAACACACCCAAAGCCGACATGATACATATCGAAGAATCGCCTCAGAGCGAGCGTGTTATGCGATCCACGGCCGACGTACTCACAGTCTGGCAAGCCGTGAATTTGTACAAACTCGTCACAGTGGTAGCGATGACTGCAGAATTCTGCGCCTCTCTGGACGGCTATCACACTACCTTGAACGGTAGTATCGTCTCCGGTAAAGACTTCGTCAGAAGTTTGCAGAACCAGAGTCCTTAATTTAGGACTGCGATAGCCGACGTGGAAGTCATGAACATCTTCGTGGATACTGAAATGAAAGGCGAGCTCATAAACGGTTTTGGCGATCTCGAATATCGAAACCGTATAGTTGAGGATGATTTGGTCCGCGAGTTATTCTCGCACGAGATGCAATAGAGCATATAGCCGATCCCGAAGACCTGCGCACTTGAAACGTCTGAAGAAATTAACTGCAGCGTCGACTTCAAATTCATAACTCCAGGTAAGCCACAAATGCGGTCACGGGGCTTGCTTTTGTAGGAATATCCTTTATGAGCTCTGGTTCATGCAGATGATGAATGACGGTGGAGAATACACCTTGAAGGCACAATAATGGCCCTCCAAAGGACGATATCGTCGCCGCAGAGCACGCGACTCTGTAATCACGTCAATACATCAGTAAGTGTCTGGTACCGATTGAGAATTTGTTCCTCATGAATGTGCAGGGGGCGGAATCATTTCCTCCCATTCATCAATATTTCACGAGGGTGTTCAATCAAATCCTCACCTCCGAGCTCGGCGGAGGGGTAGCAGTGATGTTTCGTCACCTTGGTGAGCTACACCCATGCACAATGCGCTTACAAAACAAAACAATGCCTCAGAAGTCCCTTCATAGTTGCCTTTAACACATTGTCCGATCATATCTCTAAAGTTCATGTCCCTCCGAACAACCTTGACCAGAACACTGGCTTCCACACCCACGCGAAGAGCGACCTCCATAACCTCGCACCTCACCCAATTCCCAGCCGTACGAACCATGGCCTCCCTCCCAAGCACCATGAAGGGCGTGATAATCGAAAAGACAGGAGGAACAGAAGTCCTACAACATAAGACAGACCTGCCGATCCCTCAACCGAAAGAGGGCCAGATCCTCGTCAAGAACGATTACATCGGAATCAATTTCATCGATACGTACTTCCGAACCGGACTCTATCCGGCGCCTTCTTTCCCTTATATCTTGGGAAGAGAAGCAGAGGGAACTGTGGTCAAGACTGGCTCGGGAGAGACGTATGGGTTGAAGGAGGGCGATAAGGTCGTGTGGATGGCAGAGGGTGCCTATGCGGAGTATACTGCTGCACCGGCTGCGAAGGCTGTGAAAGTGCCCTCGGAAATGGACCCTAGGATTGGCGCTGCTGCTTTGCTGCAAGGTCTCACGGCATTGACGCTGGTCCGCGAGGCTCATCCGGTGAAGAAGGGCGATTGGGTTCTGGTACATGCTGCGGCGGGAGGAACAGGTCAATGGCTCTGCAAATTGTTGAAAGCAATTGGAGCGAATACGATTGGCACTGCTTCGACGCCGGAGAAGATTGAAATCGCGAAGAAAGCGGGCGCTACGCATTTGATCAACTATTCGAAGGAGGATGTGAAGAGCAAGGTCATGGAGCTTACCAGCAACAATGGCGTTATTGCGGTTTTTGATGGAGTCGGAGCTTCGACATTCGACCTCTCGCTGGACTGCCTGGCGCGGAAAGGTACCATGGCCTCTTTCGGAAATGCATCCGGCGCCGTGCCTCCTGTCACCATCTCCAGGCTGAGTGCGAAGAATGTGAGGCTCATGAGGCCTACTCTTTTCAACTACATCGTCACGAGGGAGGAGTATGAACATTACGTCAACGAGCTCTTTAATGTCATTCTAAAGGACAAGCTGGAGGTGCCAGTCCACGAGATATACCCTCTGAGCGAAGTCGCTCGATCGCATAACGATCTTGAAGGCAGAAAGACCACAGGTAAATTGCTCTTGGACCCCAGCAAGTAGATATGATTGGAATGGAATGTAAATGTGTTGAACCAACATGGCTTACACTCGATGTTTCTCACGTCTCTACATCTTCGAGCTGCTCGGCTGCGGCGCTTTGTACATTTGTGTAGCAGAAGCCTGCGTTGCTCGTCAGACGACATCCACCTATGACTGCTTGTGCATCTGCGTCGCTGATGCCTTTCCATGTTATCAGCATCAACCCTGAGACCTTGCAAACAGGAAAGACAACTCACCTGATGATTGGGGAACACCAGCATATCAGCAATGACCACATTCTCCGGCCGTCCTGCCGCAAAGACGACCGTCTCCGCAATATCGTCGGGTGTCAAAGGCGTGCAGCCCTTGTAGACAGCATCGGCCTTCTCCTTATCCCCATAAAACCGCACGACCGAGAATTCAGTCTCCACCTGTCCCGGATCAATCTCAATAATTCTTATCCGCGAACTGATCAATTCAATTCGGATCGCTTCCGTGAAAGTTCTCACGGCAGCCTTGGTAGCGCAGTAGATGCTACCGCCAGGGTATCCCACGCGTCCGGCGATGGAACCAATGTTGATGATGTCTCCTTGTCCCGATTCCCCGCGGGTCTTCATGACCTTCAGACAGGCCTGTGTCATGTTGATGAGACCGGTGACATTCGTGTTGATCATGGTATGGATATCTTCCTCTTTGATATCGCCCGCCTTGTCCACGCCCTTCACCAATCCTGCGTTATTGACCAGGACATCGATATGCTGAAACTCTTGCGGGAGGTTCGGGATGAAGTTTCGAACCTCATCGGCTTTGCTGATGTCCAGTTGTACGGGCAAGACTTGGACTCCTGACCCGACTTCCTTCTCGATATCGGCCGCGACTTGCTTGATGGCATCGAAGCGGCGGGCTGTGAGGATGATTTTGAGGTTCGAAGGCGAGGTACGGGCGAATTCGATGGCGGTGGATTTTCCTATCCCGGAGGAGGCACCTGTGATCAGGACGATCTTGCCTGCGAGGCGTTTGCCCATTGCGGTGGCCATCGTTCGTGCTGCTGGGAAGAAGGGAGTAGTGGTGCTCGCGGGTGGATGGATGAGTTGTCGCGTCGTTGCACTGAGTGTACGGAAAAGTGGGCTGGATCCGAAGAGACGCATGAAAAGGGAGTGGAATTTTCAGAGGAGTGACCTAGACTGATGAGAAGATCTTTGTCTGCTGCCCGGCCGGGTGATCGATAATGCTGAACGATACGCCTCCAATGCCTGCAGAAGCTGAAGCTGGGGGGGGGCAGCTCCAAGTGGGGTCTTTGGCCGCTGTCGGCAGACCGGGTACGTGGTGTGATCCGGATGCTGATAAGGCGAGATATGGACATGAGAGATCGCGAAGACGATTGTAATCGTTTATATAGAGCGCTTCGACCCAGCAGATACGTTGAATAAGGTTTTTATAACAGTTACAGGCCTGTAAGAGGATCAAGGCTCATCCAACAAATCCCTGTCTCAAGACCAAGCTATATATTTTATTTTGTCGCTCGCCGGCCATCGATCGCAACGGTTGAATGGTGTAATGGGTGAGTCCCCAGTTGCGTATGTTTACCTCACTTATAACATTAACTTACTTGTTTTCAAAGTTATCACATCAGATTCTGACGCTTGCAATCCAATTGCACAAGACGCGTTCTGGGAATCCCGGTTCGATTCCGGGTTCGACCTCAAACAACTTTTTTTTGCCGTGGGGAGTTGTTCTATCGTTGAGGAGAAGACAGGATGAATTTTTCTGTTTTGCTCGGCACTCGGCAATGCACGACGTTACTCCAATAGCCCTTTCCTTCTCCAAATCGACACTCTGTCGAAGAGATGCCAATTTTTTTCGTTCCTCGACCGGCGACTGCCATGTGCGCCGTCCTCAATATTCGCATGTGATGCCAAGCCTCGGAATCTCGCAGAGAAGCGACGACCCGAAGCGGCAACACTTTTCGAGGCAGGAACGAAAACCCCATCAAGACTGACTCATGACCATTCAAAGATTGGATATACACACATACATGGATGGCATAGTATAAAACCGTCTTGCTCATAGCAGAGAACGTGGGAGACATTTCCAAACGATTGTTGAACTCCGCGAATCCCACCATCATTTTTTCCAACCTGGAACGAATTCCTTTTCTTTTAAGAAAAAAAAAAACTACTGACTGTTGTTCCTCAGATCTGAAAAAGCAGCCGAGTTGCCCGCAATCATCTGCTGCGCACGATCAAACTCAGACATGCGCGGCATCTCATTCGCTGTGGTCGGGGGGATGGAGTCGTCAAGTGAGACGGCATCGTCGGCGTATGCCCTTGAGGAGGACTTGCCGGTATGGTCGTCGCGGCCGTAGTACTGAGCCGTTCCGGCGGAAAATCGATGCGACTTTTCTTCGAGCTCGTAGCGTTGGTTGGGAGCAGCGTCGTCGTTGCCATCCATTCCAGAAGCGGACGGTCGTCCGGAGCGCATGGTGGTGAGTTCACGGCCCGTGACCATGATGTACAGGCGCTGCATGAGACCGGCGAGGGCTGGCATGCAGGCGCAGACGACTCCGAGGTTGATTTCGACGTTGGACCAGATAGCGATGGGGTTGTAGAGCCAGGTGACGTTGGACGCGTTGCCGAAGGCCGCAAGGTAGCGGAGACGGATGATACTGCACAGGGTGACGAAGAGACCGACTAGGAAAGTGGCGACAATGGCAATCTTCTTGCGGCCGGGAATCTGCAGTGCCAGGAGTCGTGGCACTGGAAGGATGATGGTGAGGATGTCGAAGAGAATATTCAGAGATGCGGAGGCGTAGATGAGTTCGTTCTGGTCGATGCAGTAGCCGTGATGCGTTCCATCCCAGCGTGTCCAGGCATAGTCGATTGGCTGACATTCCAGGCCAAGCACAACGAGCACAAGAGCTGCGTACATGAACAAGACGCCAATGAGGAGGATGCAGCAGCGATGGAACCATCGATGGCCTGGAGTGGAGCCGGCATCGGGCCACATGCGCAGGTAAAGCAGCAAGATGGAGATCTTTGTCGACGAAAGAGAGACGATGTAGGTATACTCCGAGACGTAGAACCAGAAGAGGATAGCAGTGATGTTCTGCTCGGGGTTCTCGACCATCCAGATGTCCTGTCCGAGGCCAACGTGTGTCATCATGTCGAGGATGATGTCTGACGGGATCAAAACACACCAACTGAATACGATGACACGGTCGTCCCAGCCATAGCCCTTTCCACCCAGCGCGGGTAGTCGAGAGAGCATGCGAGCAATCAAGCAGATTGTCGCGAGGGTGAATATGGACCAAGTAACGCCTCGTGTCATGCCAGAGTTGTTGCGGACAGGAGCATGGCAAGTAATTGCAGAATACTTCTCGCTTTCCAAGGCATCGATGATTGTACAGTTGGCCAGCATGCAAGCACCAGCGACTTCCGTGAAAGGCTGGCTTGTGCAAAGACAGTCACCGTTGGTCGCATTGCATCCAGAGAAGGGAAGAGCTTGGGCGATACATTGTTGCTGTCGACCTTGTCAATCTTGTCGCTCTGAACCGCTCACGAAGCATCTACCCACCGAGCATGTCGAAAGCTGTGGCAGCTCCTCTCGCGCCGCCAGCAAACGATATTCCTCCTGTCCAAAAGAATACTCCCGAGTATACGCAGAAACAACCGAAGAAAGAGCCAAGAAAGCCGCAACCGCGGAGGACTTAATCTTCGACCGTGGTGCGGCCATCTTCCCAATGAGCCTCTTGGAAGTGCGATATGTGAAGAACGAAGTACAGCCGTACGGCTTGATGTAGTAGGCAGGTGGCGCTGTAGAGGTGTAGGTATCGCCTCGGTCCCGTCTATTAGACCGTTCAGTCCAACCGTTCTCCCCTCCGCCTTGATCGATCTGCGCAGTCGTTGAGAGCCCTTGGACGTGCCTACTGGTGCCCCATCTACAAGAAGTAACAAGGATGATTTTGCAGCGCCTGATCGACCATTGCGAGAAAAAAGTTCGACATGGGTCAATGGCACAGGTGAAGGGGATCAGGGTATCTGAAAAGGAAAGCCATTGCCGTAGCAGGATCAAGCTTACTAACGGCCCCTAGGGGATGTTGGAAGGTCGCAGTAGCTCCCGAAGATCATCAGGGACAAGTGCAGCCGCCTGCGGGTTGCGCAAGCCGCCGCAGCGATAGAGTTCGCCTGAGTGTCGCAGAGCTGCCGTCGCTGCTGTGCTGTGATGTGAACAGACGAGAAGTACTGCCACTGTGTACCTTCCTTCTGGACCCCTTGGTGGCTCCCACAAGCTGTCGAGCTCCAAGACTGCTGGAGCCTTCGGTGTGACTTGCAACAACAAGAATGGCAGGAAACTTGCATCGACGTCCAACGCCCAAATTCCGAGTGTGTTGCCCGGCCATGATACTTGTAACAGTCCCCTAACCGTCGTAGGCGGATCGTCGCTGGTCGTTGTCTCATCAAAACATCTCTGTGATAGGCTCTGATTGCGGATTCAACGGTCATAACTTCTAGCTGGGCACTGCCAGCTGATAATCTTCTCACCAGCACGCGTCGATAAGACGTCTGTGTATCTCGCTCATTCGATCGTATTCAATTTTGAAAGACGTTGTCCAACATGACGCTTTTATTGAAGCTCCATCTGCTGCTGCTGCTGCTGCTGCCCCTACTGTCGAGATGCTGTAGCCGGATCGAGAGCGGACCGCGGCTTCTTTGTCACCTGCGTTCGCACACGTCTTCCATTCGTCCGGCGCAGTTGTCGAGTTTGCATGAGTAGTAGTGAGCGCCGTGTCTGATCATGGAACACCTGCAAAGTCGTTAACGCGTGCGATGTACTGCGAAGTACTACCACTGCCGTAAGATCCGCCGAACTGGTCAACAACCGCTTGAGTGTTCGTTTGCAGGACGATTAAACAAGGAGAGAATTCGTCCAGCCCGCTATGACTGACATTAATGATAAGACTTGAAGGAATAGTGAGAAGATCGGCATAGCATCATCTGCCAGGCTGTTCAGATTGTTGAAGCGTCCCCAATTGCGTGAGAAAGACGCCTCTGTATGATTTCTCCAGCGGCTTGTGTACATAGCATTACATTCGTCCCCGATATTATACAGCAAAACCCAATTTTGACATTTTCGTCTACCAGTTCTGAGCGCCGCCAGTTGGGGAATACTTGTAGCCAGGGAACTTATTGAACAGCGACTGGTCGAACTTGTCGACGGTCGGACAGTCCATATCAGCGACGACAGACAGGATTTTGTCGTTGAGGAGGTCGGTGATTGCGCTGGACTCACTCAGGAGCAAGCTGGCCGAGTCCGGGATCAAAGACTGAGCGAACTGAGCAAAGAAGCAGGAAGCCTTCGGGCTGTCGGTGTTGAAGAGGTATTCGAAGTTCATGACGCCACCAGTGAGGTTGCCAAGGTCGACACCAGCATAAGAGTTGACACCGTTGGTGTTTCCTCCGAGACGGAAAGAGTCTGGGTACGCGCTGTACTGTACACCGAGATCAGAGTCGGCCTGTGGGATATCATATGGGTTGGTCAAAGTACGGCGGTACCAGTTCTCGGGAATGCGCTCCTGGCCACGCTGCCATGCGAAGTCCGGATAGTCTCCAGTCACAGCAAAGAATTCCTTGAAGGTATTGCCATCTAGGTAGCCGCTTGGTTCGGCTTGAGAGTGGTTGCTCATCAAGTTGATGACGAAAAAGTAAGCGGCTGGAGCAACCAAGATTCCTGAGAACGGAGCAGAGAAGAAGTATGGGTTCTCGGCGACGGACTGCTTGCCCTTGGCCTCGTAATCCTGGGCGAAAAGATCGAGAGTGTATCGGTCGTCGTTCATTCCAGTCTCGTATGCTTGCTTGAAGCGATTGATGTCCAGGCTGTGCGCGTCGCCATTGTTGGTGTAGGCATCAAATCGGCCGATGGACATGTCAGATTCGTAGGTGTTGTGGGCGTATGAAATACCCTGCGGCTGTCCCAGCAGGCTCGCGGTGAGTGTATCTGATGGTGGGGGACCTCCGATGGACCATTGCTGGAGAAGTACATCGCCGTTCATGATGATCGCATACGCAGCAAGAAATCCAGAAAGACCTGGCCCCATTCCGAAGGCCGCAGCAAGGCCCTCGATGGTCTCCGTGAGAGTGGTAATTCCACTCCTGCTCAAGTATCCGTGGTTGGCAGCAGCGTTCAGTCCGGGGCATGGCCCGCGAATCTCGTCGTCCTTTGGCGCGGCCCAAGCATGGTCGCCGCTGGTGGACACATACTGGGACTCCTCATCGAAGACCAGGCAGGGAATGTTACCGCAGTTGGATCTTGCCCTGCTAATGGCTTGCAGAGCGTCTGTCGAAGGTACCTGGCGCTTCTCGAGCTCGTCGATTGCGAAGGGGAAGGCGATAGCCTGCAGAGAAAAGCACAGAATGATAGATGTGTACTTCATGGTGAGTGAATGACAAGAGGCGTTCGCCAACGAGGCTGTAAAAGTGCGAACGCTCCGGGACCAAGAAATGATAGGGCGTGAAGAAGCAGTATTCGAAAGAGAGAACGCAGGAGACGTCGAGAAGGATTTCAAAGAGACATATCGAGACGTTTCGGATCACGTTCCTATGGTCATCGGGCTCGGCTAGCCAACCTGCTGTTGAAGCCGACTCTCAACTTGCCATTCCTCCGGTCGTTGAGGGAAGAAGATCGCCATCTTCAAGTGACAACGCTGCGAAGTTAAGCAAAACGATGTTCCCAGAGGAGAAAAGAAGTTCTCTTGTGGCGCGTCCTCGCAGCTCCGGGACTGTGGGGAGACAGGCAACGTTCCTGGCGTAAAGGTTGATACTCTCATGCCCTGATCGGCGCTGCCGCCGCGAACCTTTGCGGGCGGATATCGATCTTCCATGCTGCGCCATGTCGTCGCTTCATATGCAGTTAGCGCAAATCATCCGAGGCTCCTGACTGGTGCGCAAGCCCCGTGCCCGCCAACAGGAAGCTTCAGAGCGAGCACATGGGCTTCGTTGTCCATCATTATCGTGATAGAAGAGGAATCAGTGCAGCTCAAGCAGACTGATACTAGTTACGGAGGCCTCTTGATTTTGACGAGAAACGATGAGGACGATGTCGAAAGGTGTGAGGAAAGGAAGAAGGTGAAGCGGGAAGACGGGACAGTGGGCCGGAAAGACTTGGCGAAGGCCCCAGCTCGAGCTTGCACGTGATCTATTAAGTTCTTCGTGGAGAAAACCGCAATGGCGCTCAACGAGTATAACATCAATCACACCATCAACTGCGATGCAACTGAATCTCCCCTTAAGATCGAAGCAAAGCCTCCCATGACAGCGCAGTAGTTGTGGCGAGTTCTCAAGGACAGGATCTCGACCATGATGAAGACGTCACTGGTTTGGAAATCAAGCTGCTCGATTATCGAAGCTGATACGATTGATCCACGCTCGCCATAGATCGATATCACAATTAAGGCACATACAGCCTCGAATACGCTGCAATATCCGTCCGACAACAGATACACTTGGTGTAGTTCCGGGCAGCCAGTCCAACCCTGCAGTCATCGCACATGCTCAGACATCCGCACGGCCACACCAGGATCGTTCTCGGTGAACTTTGGCAGACTACACACTGAGGTCCACCTTCGCCCATGCCTTCAGCGCCGCTTTCCCAGGTGTTGGACTTCTGCGCACGAGTCTTGGTCTGTTGTCGTTTTGCAAGGACAAACTTTTCCAGCTCGCGCTCTTCGTCCTCTTCCGTTACATGCTGTACAGAATTGCCGGCGCGGAGACCAGTGAGGATCTCCGCGCGACTTCGATCCTGATTCCGGCGATATTGTGAGCGCGTCATGGGCCGCGACGACTGCAGACTGTACGAAAGCATTCTCGCTTCTTCTTGGTCCGCCTTGGATCGTGGATCGAGCAGTCGGGAGAGAGAACTGAAATCCAGACCGGCATCAGACGATGCAGGCGTGGACTCTCTACTCCGCTCACCGAAAGGATCTGTTTGCGTTGGTGTTCGCCTACCACTCTCTGCAATATCGTCTGTTGTGCTCGCATTTGTGGACATCGAGATCACACTCGTTAGGTCGTCGTCCTGTCCTGCCTCTGACTGGTAATCGCCACTCTCGTCGAGATCCCCAAATCTGCCGCCAGTGTGCCACCATCTGTACACAGCATCTGAGATCTGTTGCTCGTCTCGATAGGTACCTTGCGCCTGTTTTCGTCGCCTCGTCTCTGTTTCGACGTCGAAATTATTATCCCGTGGAATGCGGAAACTACCGTCTGATTCAACGATGTTGAATTCTTGGAAGTCAAACTGGGTGGGTCGGTTGTGGGCAGATGGCCGCCGTTGACCTTGAACTACACACGCAGCCTTGAGCAGCCAGCTCGGTCGATGTTCAACTCCCACTCTGCGCAACAAATTGAGCAGCAGTTGGGCTTGTAAGCTTATGAGCAGCCAAAAAATGCCGGCAATGAAGTCAAAGGTGAGCTGCATGCGGCTTCTCCTCTGCGACATACCAAGACCGCTGTCCATCTCTACGGCATTTGGCTTGTCGACTTCAGACTTCGTCGGTCGCGATTTGCGCTCTCGTGCGTACGGCGACTGGCTGATTGCTGCGTTCTGAGTGTCGACAAAGCCCACGCCTCTAGCGATACCTTCTCCGAGTAGCTCCAATGGAACAGCCGGAGCCTTTCGCTTGTCAGCACTCGCTGCTAGTTCATCAATCCTCTTTTGCTCCAGCCAAGTCATCTGAGCAACGTGAATACGACTGCCCTCGTTGAGGTAGACCGCCTCGCTGGCAGCTGTCAAGACATTGAACCCAATCTTTAGTAAGGTGGTGTAGAAGTCTTCCGACATCTTGATGCGTATTGAAGAGCTCTGGGAGAATTGTACGTTAGCTTGAAGGTTGTTGTATGCCCAAGATAGCCGTTGCCGGAAGTTCAGGCCTTCAGCAGCGTCCTGCGGTACTGAAAGCGCCGTGATGAAGATAGCAAGGCCGTATATAGCAGCACAGACGCTGATTCCAATGAGGATCAGAAGATGCGGGATGAATCCAACAATGCAGACTGTCGGAAAGCGCAGGACACCGAGGTCTGCGATGTGGTCAAGAGGGCTAGTAAATATCTTGGCGAAGCTCCAAATGAAGGCCGACATATAGCAGCAAGCCCATATACCCGTATTGACAAGTCGAACTTTGTGCCTTATGCCTGTCACAGCTAGGCTGGCGCTGCTGAGATGGCTGAAACAGGATATCAAACAGACTAGTAGTACCTCTGGAGGGACGTTGAGGCGCTGGAGAATCTCGGAGCGGCTGATGAGTGGACTTCCTGTACCATCAGATCCTGAAGAGCCGACTGGGTCGCCGCCTTTGATGCCGAAGAAACCAAAGCCGAGCGCACTGCTGATCATGGCTTCGCACTCTGCAAAGGCCAAGGAGTGCTCGAAGATGGTCATCCCAGTCTCAGGCATGGGCTGCTTGCCTTGAAGGGCGCAGCAGAGAGTCTCGAAAAGCTGGCTCGTGCATAGAGTGATGAAGAACCAGTAGAGCAATGACATGGATCCACGTAGCGCGCTCTTGTCATCCTCCAGACCAAGTAGCGACATTTGCCGCGCTTGACAACAGCTCACGTCGTCCTTCCAGAACAGGAGCGTGGAGCTAAGGTTGTACAGGAAGCCACCTTCGCCCGCGAAGTCGATCGCAAGATGTTTCAGAGGATCGCCGTAGCGTAGTTGAGGGAAATCAGGGGATGTTTGGCATCTCATAGCCTCTAGAATCACGACCATTTGAGTTAGAAATGCAGCGATCGGAATCGCGTACAAGGCAAGTCGCATGTGCCATCGTAGCCGGAGATGCTCGCGAGAAGAAGCATAGAACTGCGTCCGGTTCAACAGGATGGCCTGAACACGACTATGTCAGCGCAGCGACCCAAAGCCTCCCGCATACGCCCCACTCACCGCGGTGAAAGTAGTCAACGCCCACCTTGAGGTCAAGTAAGAGAAAATGCCACCAAAATTCTTCAATTTCCCAATGACCTGGACTATGCTCATGAATATGGATGACCCTCGGTCTTCTCCGTCTGTCCAAGCTTCTCTAAACGTTGCCTCCAATGCTGCAGCCGTGCTCTGAGCGAAAGAGCTCGCGTTTGTGATCGTGGAGTCGGCCGTGGTCGATTGTGAAGTCGCGTCGGCGATGACGCTACCACCGTTGAAGATCTTGCCAGCGATGTTGTCCATGGCATCGGGCATGTGGAACAGTGCAAACGAGCTCGCCCTCTGCGCCAGCCTCGGGATGACGAGGATGAGGTCCCGTGCAGAGGGGATGAACGAGGCATTGTTTGCGGCGGCGGCTTCCATCTCTTTATTGCTGCCCAGCGGCCTGAGACAGGCTTTCCCACGATCTCGCGGATCTGACCGAGGCGTTGTTTGCTCGTTCCGGACTGGGATGTTGATGTTCGGGGGTGCGGCTATGGAGGGGAGCGTGATGCGATCGGATGTTGCGACATTGCACTCTCGACAGTCAACAATGGGGCGGAATGAAGACCGAAGAGCAGGAGACGACGTTCATGCCCGCAAGGCGGAAGAACAGGAAGTCATGTGTAATCGGGAAGAAGAGTCGCAGTTGCAGCTGATCACATGTCTTCCTGCCCTCGGTATCGGTCCCATGCCCGTGTTCCAGATCCCGGTGCATGACGAAATCAAGAGCACTTGGGGCTCTCCGGCGGGTGCCGAATGTCTGTGTCACCTCACTCTCTGTCCGGCCTCAAAAAGCATCCACAAACTCTGCAAAACATCCACTTCTTAGCTCAAAATGGTCGTCTCAAATAATGTCATGACCGACGACCCGACTCATCAGTGGTGCTACGCTCTAGAGAGAGCGAACACACAACATTACGAGGTGCACGGTCAACTCCTCTATCCCGCCACCTTTCTTCTTGGAAACATTGAGTTATTCTGCCTCTACCCCAACAATTGGGAGCTCTAGCCTCATCTCTTACTGACAGAGATGATCTCTACTTCTTGCCTGTCCTCACCGCACATCATAACATCAGGTCCGCCGTGGCCTATGCAATGCTGACCCGGAATAGACTTCGCCTTCTGCTCGGAGGACTGGAGAACTAAGTTGTCCTCATTATTATCTGCCATGGAATCCTATCTAAGCTGCTCCTGGTGTCGTACGAATGGCTCACATTCTTTAAGGATGCGATAATCCCTGATCGTCTTCTTGTACTCTCAACATCTCAAAATACCAACCATGTCGCGGGAGGCATATCTGCCGCCATCTTCGGCTGCCCGGGCTGCTACAAGCCAAGCTCGTGTCCACTCTCCCTCAGCAAGATTCTACGCAAGACGTGCGTCTTACAGACCAGTCTCTCCACAGCTTCCCCGCGAGGAGGCTGACAATACAACCGAAGTGCTCATGAGAAGAATACCAACGCTCTCAAGCACTATCAGCCTTGCTTCAGAGCCACATACGTTCAGATATCAACCGAGCTCAGTGAAACTGCCACAAGAAGCACGTTTCGAGGGCCAAAATATCGTCCACTTTCAAGTCAGTGGCAAACATGGGACCTTCGACCATTGTTGCTTTCACCTCGCAGTCGTGCCTCCGAGCAGCAAGATCATCAATTGCACGATTGACCAGACAGAAGGTCAACAATTCTGCAGCCAGACGAGCCGCCCGAGAGAAGATGAGATGCACCTCTTCGGCCTTGGAATTTTCGACACCAGAATCATCGGCGCCTCCCGCATCTCCAATAGCACCATGCACGGTGGTGAAATTACGAATACCTCGACAAGGACTGTCGTCTGCAACGTTACCCTTAACAAGGTCAATCTTCGTGGTGCCAATGTCACCGCCTGCAACCTGGAAGACTGCACTCTCACTTACTGCGAAGTTGTCAACAGCAAAGTCACCACCTCAAAGATCACCAGCTGCGACATGGAAACTTGCACCCTGGAAAAATGCACAGCGAAATATGAGCCTTCCAGGTACGATGGCTCTCAGTACTTGACCAAGCCAACTTCTATCAACAACTGCCACACTACCGATTCGGAACTAAACAATGTCTCCGTCGAAGGTGGAACGATTGAAAGAAGCCACTTTTACTTAACCTGTACTGTAAAGAGAAGCGATTTCAACGACTGTCGCTTCCACGGTGTCATGCGGACTAAGGATTGCACGTCAGGGATGAGGGATACCCAATATCTCATTCATTATGCTGGAAATCGCTACCTGGATGACTTCGTGAGGCTTGGTTGGCAGCAGGTAAGCAGTCTTGCACTGATTTGAACAGTAAGGCACTAATTTACTTATTCAGAGACCTTGACCACGTCAAAAGGAACTCCGCACCAGAAATATTGCTGGGGGATTGACCAGACTTGCGAGATTGGGGCAAGGAGTGGAGATGAATCCGATGAGGCCGGAAACAAGGCGACGATACTGCGGATGGATCCAGACAGACAGCATTGGTGTTAGCGTTGTTAGGTATCTTTAGCGTTACATAGTATGTTTGCTTAAGATAGTGGCGAAGTAGTTGGTACTTCGTCCGTCCTTGCTACTTACAGTCCCGTTAGTAAAACCGTCGATTGGCTTAGTACACGTCTCTTTATTTTGCAGAGACCGCGAATCGGCTTATTACACGTCCCTCATTTTGCAGAGACCGCGTACCTATCGACTTATACGGGCAGGATAAGGCTTGACCTGACTGCGGGCCCTTAATGAGACTGGGAGAGTATACAGCCGGCGCCTCGACTGAATTGGACAAAAGATGCAGGGTAGTCAGGTGCACAAAATGTCATATGGCAATCTACCATGACTATAAGGCGGAGTTCGTAGGTAGGTTGATACACGAGGACATGAGAAGCTGCAGTGGCAGCAGTGAATGGATCAAGCTTGAGGCCAGAGTTCTAAGGTTCGTGACTAGGCCTTTGTCTGTAATTGAAGGCATGCTGGTGTGGGAGAACACTTGAAAGCTGGCTGTTGACATGGTGCGCTTGAGGAACTAGCTCTGGGTGGGCGACGACCTGGCCATGATTTGCGGAGATTCATTGCGGCAGTGATGTTTCCACATCGCACGTCGGAATGCCACCTCTACGACTGATACCGTTGATCATGCGCTATTCGTCTCGCTATTGGCTTCGTTTTTGCTGGAATTTCTGAGAGAACAGTGACTTTCCGCTGCAGAAAGACGATGTACGACGTCCTGACCAGCTGGAGGATACAACACAAGGGAGCTTTCGTCCATCTATGCTATCCCACTGGCTATAATGCCTGTATTTGCTAGAATAATCCGTCGTTATGGGAACACAGTAACACTCCGATGCATCAAGAGCCTATACTCATGTTCTCCATTTGCATAAACTCGAGTATGCCGAGACTTGGCAGTTCGCATGTGAGTCTTGGCGCTGTGGGTGGATGTAAACACGCCGTTCAGAGTAGCGAACCGTATCATAATCGTTCACATTGGATGATTCTCGTCCAAATGGCTGCAACGCCGTCTCTTGGCTCCTCTTGGCTCCTCCTCGTTGATGTCTCGGAACAAGACCGAAAAGCGCGGGCATGAACGTACCTGAGACACGTTGTTCTCATGCCGTGAACTAATTATGCGCGAGATGTTGGATCCAAGATTTCCAGTCTCGCGTCGCGCCAACGGCCGTCAGCTGTGTGACAGCTAATAGCTCCAGCGAGAGGGTCTCTATTCATGTGTTGTACAGTGTAGGAGGTGAAATTGAAGTCTCGTGAGAGCTTTCCACAAGTGGTTCCACATCGGAAGCAGTCTTGGCGCGGAGTTCCCCGAAGCGGGAGGCCGAGGGACAAGCTCCATTCGCGCGGAGAAGATTTGGCGGAGAGGGCAGGAGCTCTCCGAGGATGTGATGCTGCTGTGGAAGGAACGACCAGCCGCACACGCGGTAGCTGCCCGCTTCTCTCGCGCGAGGCGAGTCGTGTGCTCTTACCTTCCATCTGATTTCCCTCTCACTCCGAGAGTCTCTTCTCCTTTCCTGTACACACGACCGATCATGATACGGTAGGACGAGCGCTATTCTGTCAGCATTACCGGAGAGTGATATTCACCCGGCTGGGCACGGCACCGCGAAGATGAGGACCACACGAATTTCCGCTGCTACACGCGCTCTGAGAAGCACCTCCCTTCCTGCACGGCACGCAAACAGGACCTTTGCAACGAGTAGCAGGTTACAGGACACTTATGGCTTCATCGGACTGGGGCGGATGGGTAAGATACTCCGCTCGCACTAGGCCCACGCTCCCCACTGACACTGCAATGGTGCAGGCTATCCCATGGCCAAGAACCTCCGAACCAAAATCCCAGCCTCAGACACCATATTCGTCCACGACGTGAACCCGACAGTATGCGAGCAATTCGCTTCCGAATTCAAGGGCGTCACTGCCGCCAAGACTGTGAGGGAGGTCGCCGAGAACTCAGTGAGTGCTTTCCCATCCATGGAGACTGCGTGGTCTGGTGCATGCTTGCAGATGATGAACGTGACAATTTTCCCAAAAATACTCTATGATCTAAGTTGACTCTCCTACGCGGAGCTGTTGCGTCTGATTACCCAAATCACAAAAGCCAATCCTCTGAAATCGCAGCACACCCGTCACCAGTCCTCCGGACGATCCAAAATATACGACATGAATGTCAAGCTAATGCTCTCTGCTCTTGCTCACAGGAAACAATCATCACCGTCCTTCCCGAACCGCATCACGTCCAGAATGTCTTCCTCGAAATGCTCCACCCACCGACCCTCCTCACCGAAGGCCCCGTGAAGAAGGAGCGCCTCTTCATCGACTGCTCCACAATCGACCCCAAATCCTCCGGTGATGTCGCAGAAGCCACCCGCTGTTCCGGCCAAGGCCAGTTCGTCGATGCGCCCATGTCCGGCGGTGTGGTAGGAGCCTCTGCCGGCGCCCTCACATTCATGATGGGCGCTGCCCCAGAGTTGGTAGACAGGACGAAAGCAGTACTCGATATGATGGGGAAGAGAGTCGTACACTTGGGTCCACAGACAGCAGGGCTGAAGGGCAAATTGGCCAATAACTACCTCCTTGCTCTGACAAACATTGCTACCGCTGAAGCGATGAACATGGGTGTGAAATGGGGTCTCGATGCCAAAGCTCTTGCGGATATGATCAACACTGCTACTGGACGCTGTTGGCCGAGTGAAGTCAACAACCCCGTTCCTGGAGTCATTGAGAATTCTCCGGCATCCAAGGGCTACGAGGGCGGATTCGGAACTGCGCTCATGTTGAAAGATCTGAAATTGGCAATGCAGGCTGCTACAGAAGCGGGCATCTTGCCCGAATTAGGGATGCATGCCAAGGATATCTATAGCGCGATAGAAGGGCACGAAGAACTGAAGGGCAAGGACTTTAGTGTGGTTTATCGGTATATTGGAGGCAAGAATACGGATAAGCTGGAGGGGTTGAAAGCATGAAAGGTTGATTGAGTAAAGATCTGAAGGCAGGTTGGAGATTTCTTGGAAAGTATTTGGATGTTGCTAAGACTGCCATTCATAGTGGTGTTAGTACCACCTCTTGTGTGTATACAGGCATGCTGTCGGAGTAAGAACTCTCTACAAGCAATAGCTTTATGGCCCAGATGACGATATTGTACAATGCTATGTTTGAAGCTGTGGAGGGTGTGTAGGATAGATACTACCTACCCAGGGAGATACTTCTCTCGGTGATTATTGTTTGCCCCAGATAGCATCCCAGCCTCTGAGATTCAATTCCAAAGGCCCAGCCAGCGTGCCTGACCTCGGAGCCTTTTCTTCTCCTGGCTCGGGTAGACAAATCCACTCCCTCAAGCACCCCGGCACGTCTTCTTTCGCATGGCTAATAACCAGCAGTGCCTGGCCCGGCGACAGGCCTTCAAACGACATCTTATCAATCTGCGCCAGCATACTCGGTTCCGCGACTCCGTTTTCTACCCTCGCGATTTTCTCTCCATGCGATAAGAAGAGGAGTGCTTTGTCGCGCACTTTATCATCTATGCCGCTTAAGGCTTCATCCAGAATGACGAGGTCGGGCGTTGCGACGAGTGCTCGAAGGAAAAGGGCAAGGCGTTGGGAAGAGAAGGAAAGCTCCGCGAAGTGGGTGTCGTCTGCCCAGGCGAGATCGGAATCGTCGTAGGTCGTTTCTTCCAGGACGCGATGCGCGGCTTGGTATCTTCTCCTGCGGACGGCCTCGGCTTCTCTGCTCCCGCCCGGCCCCAGGTTGTCGAAAGCATCCTGCATAGCTTCGAGCGTGGTGCGTGTCGCCTGTTTGGGGTTCAATTCTCGTGCGAACCATCTTAGGAAAGCGTCTACTCGCCTGTCTGCTTCGGCGGTCAGTTTTGCGCGCGCGAGGGGTGCGTCTGCCCAGGCAGATTCTATTGTTCTGCGCACGGTGAGTCGTTTGGGGAAGAAAGCGTGTACTTCGGGGCTGGAATGGCCCATTCGTCGTTGGATATCGAAGAGACTTATGCCTGGCTCGCCTGGGCCGGGGAGGCGTGAGCGGCCGAAGAGTTTGATGGGGAGGCTGTAGGTTTGAGGGTGGTCGGAGGTGATGAGGCTGAGCATGGTCGTTTTGCCGCTGCCGTTGGGACCAAAGATCCCGCAGCGTTGGCCTCGATGGAGATTCCACCAGAGGCCGGGTTTCTCTTCGCCTTCGACGTCTTGTTTCCAGTTGCCGAGTACCACTTTGTCGCCATAAGCTACCTTGACGCCTTGCATCTCCACCAGCGCCTCGCCTGGTGGAAAAGCTGCGGATTCCTTGGTCCAACCGTCTCTGCTGACCGCGGCTGTGATGTCTTTGTTGTGTGGGTTCTGCGCGGTTTCCAACATTTGATAGACGGCCCTCATTTTCGCTGTTCTGGGCTTAGTAGCATCCGCCCTTAGAGGCTTGTTCACACGTCTTGTGTACAAATGCCCCTTGGAACCTTGATCCAAGATTTTGAGCGAATCGTCAGTAATCACTAGATGTGTGATCCAGTCTGGAATGCCGTCTTCAGGGCGCAGGCTCATGATGACCCGAGGATTTTCGCTTGTCGCAAGCTTTTCCAATAGCGAGTCCATCATTGCCGATGTGTTGGGGTCCAGGCCCATGAAGGGTCCGTCAAGTAGAAGGACTTCCGGCCGCGCCATCAGAGCTTTTGCAATCCGTGCCCGTCGCGTCTGACCGTTGCTCAGATTCGCCACCGGCATCTGCAGGAGAGTGCTGAGATTCAACTGTTCAACAACAGCTTGCAGATCTGCTTTGCTCGCTTCGCTCTGATCGCGCTCCAAAGCATTGAGTTGTGTTTTGCCTGACAAGTAGTCCAGAACCGAGTAATCCGTCTCTTCTCGTCTGCTCTCGTACCGTGCACTAAGATACGCGCCACGGACATTATTACCTCCGACGCCAGTACCTCGTTCAGCATCGAAACCAATGTACTTGACGGCATGCTGAGGTGAAGTCGATATATCTGACAGGTACGGGTATGTCCTTGCGGTTGGTGGAATGCAAATATATTGGCCGGCAAGGACCTGGAGGAAAGCCGTCCTTCCTACGGAGGAGTCCGAGATGACAGCCCAATATTCTTTATTACCTCCCCTAGAATATCGATACGGTAGGAAGAAGGAGAGGTCTGGGAACAGCGCAGGATTGCTCGATGCTGAATCGTCTGATGGATATTGTCGATAGAAGCTGGCCTTGTTGATGGCAATTACATTTGGAGAGTATCGAGTGTTATGCCGAGGTTGCTCCGGTTCTCGCCATCTCCTTGTCGTATGAAAGAAGCGACATTGATGTCGGGCGCGAGGTAGACGTTTCCACATGTCCTGAGTGGTGGATGTAAGGTCACAATTCGGCGTCACATGTTCGAGTCGACATGGGAGAGGTCCACTGCGCAAGCATCCACTGGATTGGCTCTCGGCTCGGCCCGATAGCGGTGACGTCGGGTAGGTACCTCATCTCCGCAGGTCCTTTGAGTTCGACCGAGGGCGGGCAGCTCTTGGCAGCTCTCTACTGATACAGTATCTTTCCTCGATTACCGCACTCTAACATGTTGCCCTCATTACAACCTCCACGACCACAGGTGAGTGGTATGAGCACCTGGAGATTGGACTTGCTTTCTAACAACGTCTTCAGCTCCAACGACAGACTGACCAAGTCCCCATATTTCAGCAGCAAACCCGCCAGTCTCATCCTGGAGCTCCGACGAACGATCTCGTGACAGTACCGAGGAATCAGATCGAAGCCATGCCCCCGTCAATGACTCCTGCCAAGTCTATCAGCCCACCAGTACCAACAGTGTACAATCCCGCAACTACCCATCCAGTGTTCTTCACGAACAATTTCCACAGACCGCCGTTTCCCTCGCCGACGAACGCAGCGATGAGTCCAGTTGCTAGTGGATATGTTTTCGCCAAAGAGCGTATTGGGTTGCGGACAAAACTATGAGTGCTTGCAGATGGGGCAGAAAGAGATTTTCCCGGACAGCATCGGCAGTATGAAGGGCCGCCTGTGGTGCGCCGTCAAGAGAGTTCTACGATCTTCGACACCGCCAACAATGATATGAGAAAGGCAGCGACGGTTTTGCTCGGTGCGCGGAGCGCCAGTCTCCGCTTCGACCAAGCAATGCACTATTAGCTTGCTTGTGCCCGCGGGACCTTGGAAACTGATCAGGTCATATTGTCCGAGATCAGGCGTAGTTTCTGTAATGCGTTGCAGAAATGGAGGGCCCGAATTGTGCGACAGACAGAAAAACGGCGAGAAGGACACATTTGCGAATCAATGGAACAGCTCTCAGGAGGCCGTGGCACACAGCAGCCGCTCAAGGAACTCTGGCATCGGGACGACATAACTGGCCCGTTTCCATGATTAGCGCGGCATCCTCACATGGCATGAATGCACACGAGAAATGTGTTACCTGGGGCGAGAATGATTCTCGCAGCAACAATTGGGCCTACTGAAGAGTCGAGGATGGTTCAAATATCGTCCTTACAAATATCCTTTCTTTCTAGGACGAATTTGGTATCATTGGAGGCTCTGGAGGCCCGTAATTCCCACAACAGGGTCAGCGGGTGAAAGAACGAGTGCGATACCGACACAATCGAGACTTGTCGGAACAACCATGACTCTTCTTTTCCCTACCGCGGGACGACAGTGCCATATCAGGCGTATCTCACCCGAGATTGCCCAGGTCTATATAAACCAGCTATGCACGAAGCTCCTAGTCTTTTGACATCCCGAAACGATCTCATCACTAGTGGGGTTTGCTGATCCTTGGGACCGACTTATCGAGTGATACTTCGAAAGATCACAGAGTATTCTTCGACCGTGCCGGCTAAGCGCATTAGCAATCGCGTGACACCTGTTACCTTTGATTGTTAAGTGAACGTTCATGGCAGGAATTGTCACTGATCGGCTTGATCATGACATCGATTGTAAGATGACTACGACTACAACTGCAACTCAGCGTGAACCCCAGGTGAAGGTCGACGGCAATTGTCCAAAGTGCAACCTCCCGTTCACAGTCGACGGGGTTTGTGGATACGCCTACGGCAGCGGTTAGGGAACTGCTACGAGTATGGGCTCACGGGCGTAATGTGGAAATTTTGAATGCTCAATCGGGTTGTGATGATCGTGATGTATTCTCCTACTAGCAACCCAAATATCGCTGCTCTACCCATCTCGGCTCCAAGTCTCCCGCAACCCTACATGCGACGACTTTGATGTCGGGGTAGACGCTCATCAGCCTATTCAAACCGTTCTTCCCGGCCATGTAGGTCACAAAGATGATGCGATGCTCCGCCACGCCGTGATCGAGAAGAACTCGCACTGCCATGAGAGCCGCTCCACCGCTGCTCATCTGCGAGTCCAAGAGGAGTACACGCTTGTGATTCGCAATGTCTGCTGCAAGCTTGTAGTAGTGGAGTTGTGGTTCGCCAGTACGATAGTTGGATTGAATGAGCATTCTTCCAACTCGACAGTCGGGAATGACTCGCTTAAGTCCGATTTCTAGGCAAGAGCCGCCACGGAGTACGAGGGCGGCAGACACTTCGCCGTCCAGCTCCAGACCATTGTACGTTTGACCTGGGACCGGAGTTTCGACCTGCTTCTGCTTGAAGCACAGCCCAGCGGCAAAGGCTTGCTCGACCAGCATAACAGACAGGCGATCGAAGTAAAAGATGAACTCTTCTCGAGCAAGAGCAGGGTCCACAAGTGATGAATTGATACCCTGAACCTGGTTTGTGCGCTCCAAGATGTGCACGTGCGACGACAATGGAGCATCCTCTGCGACCTTACCGAGGCGGCGGAGTTCGATCTGGTGTAGCTTAGACTTGTGGTCCAGGGTCTTGTGGATGCGGTCCGAGACCATTTCGATTGCGACTTTGTTCTCTATACCTCGCGGTACGATGATATCTGCGAGCTTTTGTCAGCGTATGCCCTCGATAGTCTGCTGTTGTAAGTGTGCATATAGAAAGATTTCCTATCAGACAAGAGAAAGATGGTAATTGTTTTTCTTCAATGATGTTCAGTTGAACTATGCTTTGAATTATGGATCATCATGGAAGTTCTCGCGAAGAAGGAAGGAAGGTAAAAACGTACCTGCGACGTTGCGCTGCGGCTCCACGTACTTGTGGAAATTGGGTTTGACAAAGGAGAACCACTGCTTGATGCAGCCTTCAATGTCGCGGCCTCGTTCGCGGACATCGCGGAGAACTGTACATAGTTTAGCAAGGCTTCACAAAGCGGAATAGTTCTGAGAACTTACGTCTTCGGGAGAGACACAGATCGCTGTCGGCTTCTGTGAAGATCTTCAAATCCAGCAGGTCGAGGACTCGTTCATCGTGCAAGGCAAAGATGCCTTCCAAGACCAGAACATGTGGCGAGTAGACTGTGTGAGTCTTGTCGAGGCGTGCATGCTTCTCGAAAGAATACACAGGGATATCTGCCTTCTTTCTGAAGTCACGTCAGAAAAGCGGGATCCGGGTATTCAGTACGGCGACTTACCCCGACTTGATATCTCGCAGCTTGTCCACAAGCACATCAAAGTCAATGGCTCCCGGAGCATCGAAATCGTACTCATTTCGGAATGCGGCTTGGGATTGCTCCGGCGTCAAGACTTTGTAGAAGCTATCCATGGACAAGATGACGACCCATGGCAAGCTCAATTCCTTGATGATAGCCAATGAAAGTGATGTCTTGCCGGAGCCTGAGCTACCGGCGATGCCGATGATGGAGGTATTGGCCCATGGCGGCGAATAATGCGCCTTGGGAGAGACGCTTCGGCTGTTTGGCTCGAGTTGGTTGAATGAGCTCAGTGGGAGCTCCAAAGAAGGGAGGCTCATCGCAACCGCATGGAGAGGACCGATGCCGTGACTTGAACAGTCAACATGGTCGAAGATTAAGTACAGGGATAGGTGGCGAGGAAGTGAGGAGTAGTGTGGTAGGTGTTCAGCACAAGTTCACGAAGCGCGAAAAATACACTCCCCTCGAGTCGGGGCGGTCAAATAAGTGGGACGGTCACGTGCCGTCATCTATTTTGTCGTGTCAGAAAGGTTGGCCCGAGCGGCACGCAGCTTCTTCCAACTTCACCGATCAAATCTGCATTCTCTCCAGCCAACCTCACAATCGACCCTCATCTCCCTTCACTTACTGCTGCCGCCTCTTCTTCCAATCCTGCAGCGGATCTCGGAAGAGATGTCTGCCGTTTCTTCCTGGGGCTGAAATCGGAAATGGTATGTCCTCGCCATGCATCCCGCCGTCCACGCCGTACCGCGCTGTCACATAGGCCGCTGTGGCAGACGATACGAGATCTCCGGTCCCGTACCCTCACCGCGGCGTGACGAACTTGTGCGATTAGATGCTGACGACGAGTACAGAGCTCGCCTGCCCATTGGGCAACATCGACGATGCGCCAAACACACTCCTTCGACCGCAAGGTCGAGCACATGAAGCCCAGTAAAAGGTATGCTGTCCTGCCCCCGCCCACCTCGCCTGGTCTACATGATGTTGTACACACAAGTTGGGAATCTCTCCTAGAAAAAGCTGCGGAGACAACGTTTACTTGTATCTCTGATAAAGACCATGGTCCCGGGATTGCGGAGTCGCGCCTCATGTCGGGTCGGCATCGCGCGGGAGACCAAGTAATCCCCATGATGCTGGCGAAATCGCAATCCCGGAGAACCATTCCGCCTTCGGACAACCTGACAGACACCACGATGCAATGGCTGACATATCTATCAGTGACATCAACTGGGTCATAATGGACTATCTCGTCTCTGAAGGCTACCCAGGCGCCGCACAGAAATTCGCACAGGAGACCAACATCAGCAGTCATTCGGAAGCCATGGACAGCATTCGAGAACGCGTTCATATCAGGAACGCCATACACAGAGGAGACATCGAGGATGCAATCGAGTTGATCAATGAGCTGGACCCTGAGGTATGTCGTAACTCAACTTTTCTCCCTTCCTACCGTCGTCTACGCGAGTTGGAAGTGTTGCCTGAAGGCCCTCTCTTTGATAGAGCCTCTCGGAGAGCACATGACCATTAGCGAGATGACCCACGCCCTTTCATGATGATTTTCAGTTTCATGCACCACGCATATCCACCTCACGGGGTGTTGATGATAAACAACTACACTTCAGTCCTCAGTCTGACTTAGCAACTCTGTCGCACTCTTCTCAGCAGCTTCAAAGGATGTTCAGCTGCTAAATATATTTGCGAAGATTCTCGATGTCAACCATTTACTCCATTTCAGCATCCTACAGCTCCAGCTCATCGAGATCATTCGCACCATCTCGAACAAACCTGGTGGAAGCCCTCAATCTGGCGACTTCCGTCCTGCGCTCGAGTTTGCCACGAACCAGCTCTCACCTCGAGCCCCTACGGACTACAAGTACCAACAAGCGCTGGAACGCACAATGGCACTAATGATCTATCCGGCGGATAAGATGCCGACCGAGTTCAAGGAACTTTTGGATTTGAAGCTTCGTGAGAAGGTCGCAAACAACGTAAACAAAGCGATACTGGAGAGCAGAGGACAGCGCTCTGAGGCCAAGATCCGTCAGCTGGTGCGAGCGAGGGCATGGGCGGAGATGCAGGCACGAGACGCAAAGGTGGACCTCCCTAGCCAGATACCCATCGGGCTGGATGCTCCAGATGATGCATCCCCCAGTAATGATGCCATGATAACGTGAGATGATTGATTGATGAATTGTTTGGGTTAGCGTCGGCGTTTCGAGGGCGTTTCTGCCAGTGAAAGTTGCAATGTCTGGGCAGCTGGACAAGACGGCGTTGGTGGATAGCAAGAATACATCAAAACTTGAAATGATGGAAGTCTTATCACTCTACCTGCTCCCGACGCACGTCAATCGAGCACTGGTCGTATCGTCTTGTGATCTGTCGGTTGATGTCGTGATGATGATTTGGCAAAACGTCAAGTTGAGCTTGAAAGACTTGAAGATGACCGTGATCCCTCGGCGCTGGTGCCCGGTCAGCGTGTGAGAATCATCCTATCTGAAGACGTACAACAACTGAATCCCAAAAGCACACGCAGTCAGACATCACATCACGCGTTCGCTTCCTTCACATGATATTCGCCTGGCCCAAGCTTCTTCTGAATTATCTATAACAAGTCTCCAATCGAATCCATCTTTGGTCTTTTGCAACATCTCCACACACAACACATCACCATCGAATAGGAGCATTCGAACTCCAACAACACAGAACAATTCAACAGAAGTTTACCATCTTCAACAGTATTGACTGATCTCTCCCACCGATACTGTTGGACTGCGCGAGGCATCACCGCCCAGTTCGACTTACACCGCAAGCGTGGAAGCTAAGCTGCAACTGCTACTTACGACAGTAAGTACCTGTCATGATATTGAAGATATCGAGACTGATATTGGAGCGCGGAAAAGCCTTCACAATCAGCGCCCGTGGTCTGACTACCGTCATCGACCGTGATCTCACTACCATTATCGACCGTGATCTTGCTACCATCATCGACCCCGTGATCTCACTGCCATCACGGAGGGCGCAGAGATCCTGATTTTGCCAGATTCTCGACCAGAACGGTCCTAAAAGGTGTGAACTGCACCACCTCAGAAACATCCACACTTTCACACCCGCTACGACCCATACCCGCAACTCCGAGAACCGACACAAGCGGCGTAGAAGTCCCAGATCCTGTAGCGTATCAAGCGGTCTCCGGTCTTGATACTATCCAGCTGCCACCCACATTCTGGGAGCAAGCCGAGATCAAGCATACTCCTACAACTAAACCTTCTACCATACGCAAATCTGAAGCCAGATTTCGACATGTCTGGCCGGTCTAGCCAACCCATATTTGTCACTCCAGCCCCAGGTGAGGCAGAGAGTTCTCAGATGGCGGAGATCCGCGCCGAGAAGCGCCCTGCGGACGCAACGATCAAGACGGAAGAGCCACCCGCGCAGCGTCCGAGACTCATAGCAGGCTCTTCGGCTGCCACGGTAATCGTGATTGACGATGATGCCGATAACGATAACGATGAAGAGAGTACGTCCCTCCCTTCGCTCTTTGCCGCATGCACACTCTGCTAACACGAGATTCTCCCAACCAGACCAAATTCTCGTCGATATCGAGCACATCGACCGAAAAAAGATTCCCAAAGACCAAGTCCTCCCATTCGTCCAGGAAGAGCTCGGCAAGGTCTACGAGCGTCGGGCCCGCGAGGCGGTGCCGGGGTCCCGACTCTCCAGCACGCTCGAAGACATTCGCGTTCTGATTCAGCATTCCCCCAAGACGAAGATCATGAAGCGCTACCGGAACAGCTGGAAAAGGATTCTAACCCGGGCTAAGATCGCTCTCTCGGAAGAGCTCGACAGGACGGAAAGCGCGATGGAGGTGTTGGAGCGCGACGACGATGTCGAAGTTATTGATAGGCAGGTTTTGAAGAGGATGAAACTTCGGCTGAAGCGTGCGGAGGTGGATGCTAAGAAGGCGGAGGATCTGGTTGCTTTTTTGGAGGGTCATTGATTTCCTGGACTCGAGAGCCTAAGGCTGGACCGGAAGGCGGACATGAATCCCTTCTTATGCGCGGGCAAGCAGAGATATCCTGCTCTGATGTTACTCCTTTGATAATTCTGAGCATCTCTGGCTAGGCCATAGAAGACATTGCAATCTGGGTCGACGAAAGAATGGCCTGAATAGGATATAACATACCATGAATGAAGCGGCGGCCATCTGCCACCTCGTCCACCTCTCAGACCACATTCATTTGCGCAATCTTCTAGCCATCAGTATGAGTCGTCGCAATAAAATAATGATGACAAGTAACAAGGAATCCTCAAACCCAAGAGATGTCGTCTGACACCGGCAAATCCTCGGGCGAAGCCGGATGACGCCCCCCCCCCCCCCCATCTCTACCATACATGTACCCTATCACCCATATCACAGACTACATATAGTAAAATCCCTCCGTCAAACCACACCCAAATCCCATCAACACAAAAAAGAGTCAAATCAAGTCAAGTCCATGGAGCGCACCCCTCCACCCTTCTTCACGGAGAAACAACCCCTCCTCACCCACCCAGCAGAAACAGAAGAAGAAGAAGCCGCAGAGCCCTCCCTCGCCACCCTCCAACGCACCGCCTCAACCGCGCAGCGAGCCTACATGCGCGCCTGGTCCCGCAGCACGTCCGGGAAATGGCACCGACGCCTCATCTTCTCCGTCACAGGCCTCTTGCTGCTAGTAGTAGCCTTCGCGGCTCTGTCGACGACGACGCTCCTCGTCATCAAGAATCCAGAAGTTGAAGATCCGATTCCGATTCGGACGAGCAAGAGAGTCCCCCTCGAAGCACACATCATGTCCAAATGTCCCGATGCGAAGGATTGCTTGCACGATTTAATCCTGCCCGCGATGCAGGAAGTGGAAGAGCTCGTGGCGTTTCGGTTGAGTTTTATTGGATCGTATGCTATGCTACCTTCCCCCTTCCCTACTCCCCCCTTCCCTCCTCCCTTCTAAATACTACTACTACTACTACTACTACTACTACTACTACTACTACTTACACCCTTACCCCTTACTTATTTCATGTACAGAACTTCAGACGACGCCGACGACGGCATCCTCTGCAAACACGGCCCCGCCGAATGCCTCGGCAACATCATCGAACTCTGCGCCGCGCACCTCTACCCGGCCCCGAAAATCTATTTGGGCTTCACCATGTGCCTGACGCGGGAATACGAAAACATCCCGCAGGAAGCGCTCGTGGCCGATTGCGCGCTGGAGCACGGGATGGACATGGCGGCGCTGAATCGGTGTACGGTGGACGAGGATGGGGCGTTGGCGGTGGAGGCGCTGAAAGCGAGTTTCAACCGGAGTGCGGCGGCGGGCGTGACGAGGAGTTGTACGGTGCGGTTGGAGGAGGAGATTCGATGCGTGCGGGATGGAGGGGCGTGGCGGGATTGTCCCGGGGGCGCGGGGGTGGAGGATCTAGTGAGGGATGTGAAGAGGCTAGCGGCTACGGGGACTTTTGCTGTCTCATGATGGGATGATGGTGAGACAGGGATCGAGTTGCAGCTATTGGAATGCACCCAGAGTGGTGTGGTCTTTTTTTGCTATCGAGTTTCTCGCTGCGGTTGCCTCGTGGAAAAAGGTAACATGCTCCCGTAATGCGCCTTGCGCATATGCTTGCTTGCTTGCTTGTTTGTTTGTTTGCGTGCGTGCTTGCTTGCCTAAGCTGCTGTGTTGATGCCGAACGCCTGTTGAAATGCTCCGTTCCGTTTCAAAAGTCAGAAAACAAGAAACTGCCGTCGTCGGTCCAATTCGTTCCTCTCGTCGTTTCGTCTTGTCTTCGTGCAGTCTTGCAACTTTCTCGTTGCTCATGGCATGCGTCATATCGTCCGCCTTCGCTGGATTGCGTTCACCACGGTCCCCACGTCCCCCGGGCGCCACCACTAGAGGCAAGAATCTCCCAACGACCCATCCTCTCCGTGGTACAGAAGGGATGCCTCAACGCCACGCCAAGCACGTATTCGACCCAATCTCGGTTCAGCACGACATCTCCCTTGCCCAGCTCGGGGAAGTTGTGGAGCATCGACTTCTCCGTGCCGACGACTCGCGTGGTGGTGGAGACCTGGGACTTGGACTTGGCGGCTTTCTCCTCGACCATGTCCCACAGGCGGACTAGGTACTTGCGGTGCAGGGCGTCACTCCAATTTGAAGGAGCAGGAGGCGCATTGCGGTGGTCGTTGGGGCCCAGTTCCAGTTGATTGGAGATCGCCTGGGTTGCGCGGGAGAGGAAGGAAGCCCTCGGGTGGTCCATGCGGTCCGTCGTGTCCTTGGAGAGATGAGGTCGGCCGATGAGAGATGCCGTGGAGGTGATGGCGCGTGGCAGTTCCGGCCGGGCAGGTTCCCGTCGCGCTCGGGTGATGATGGTTCCAGGGCTCACGGCGGCAGTCGTGGTGGCAGCGCGGGCAATGTTTGGGCGTTGCAGAGATGCGTGCGCTGTCGATATCGACAGCGACCTGTTATGGTTGGGGTCAGTTGATGTGGGCGAGGTCAAGTCTTCCATGTTGATGGCGGGTGGTGGTGGTGGGGCGGGGAGAAGCGGGCTGCGCTCGTCAGGCAGCGCTGGCGACACAGCGTCGTGCTTTCCCGGGGCATGCTTAGTGTGAGGGAGGATGAAGTAAGACATCTGCCGAGAGTGCAAAGGCCGCTGGTGGTCTCGACTTCCGGCCATGCTTGCAGGGGAATTTCTATCTTTGGGGTAGGTGCTGGGGTGTCGGAGTTGAGGGCGGGCAATCTCGAGGGGAGTTTGGGGTTGGAGATGGGGATCAAGACGGCGGCGGGAGAGGTAGGTGTTTGCTGCGGTGGACGGGAGGATTTGCGGTGGAGGAGATGCCGTGCGTGTTGGGCAGATATGAGGGTGGAAGAGAGGCGCGTGGTGGCTGTTGCGAGTAGATGGGCGCGTGGGCAGACTCCGACTCACCAGGCTCAGGACTTATTCACCCATGTTCCGCGCGCAATGTGGCAGCTCGAGCAGGCGAATGCGTGGTGTTGGTGGACGGCGAGTAACTTGTATGGCGAGTGGTATGGTCGAGGTGAAGATGTTGTTTGTTTCGCGGCGGCGGCGGCGGCGGCGGAGAACGGGAGGGACCTCGAGCTCTGGCACTGGCGCTGGCACTGGCACTGGCGGGTGGAGTCGAAGTGTGCGTGCGTGCGGGCGGCGGCATTCACCGAGCTCGCTCCAGCTGATCGCTGCACTCACTCAACTTCGGCAATTCTCCCTCTCCCTCTCCCTCGCCCTCTCCCTCTCCCTCGCCTCTACGTGCACGGCACACATGTTTCCATCGCATCATCAATCTCGATTCTCCTCCAACGCGAAACATGTCATCTGGCTGGAATGCGGCCATCGGACGTCGGGCAACGAGGCATCTCGGAGACAATGCTTCTGTGCTGTGCTTCTCTCTCTGCATGGCGGGGCTCACATGGTCGTCGGGCCGACAATCACGTCCAAGAGGCTGGGTGCTTCATCGCCCACGCTGCAGGATGAGGCCATCGGGCAGCACGCACGTCGCTTGCCGAACGTCGAGATCGAGTCGAGACGGGTTCCATCATCCAAGCTGCTGGTCGGAGACGGCGAGGGCGAGGGTCAAGGAGAGGGCGCGGTCGACGGAGACGTAGGTATGCAAGACGGACAGATAGATAGATAGATAGATGGATGGATGTACGAGGGCTATCTACCTTATTATAAGAATACTTGCGTCGTGTCAAGCCTTGCGTGGTAACGTGGTACCTCACACCGCTTCGTGGTACGAGACACACACACGCGGGACCGGCATCCAATCCACAGTGCTGGGCACCGCCAACAACTCTTCGCCAGTCGCGGTGCGCGGCAGACGGAGATGGATGCCGTATGAGCTTCCATCCTGTAAGCCTGTCCTATCACACCCATTCGTGATGATTCCCTCGGCCGTGTTCTCCATGTTGAAGCTCGCGCCGTGCAGCGTTGCCCGCTGGGAGGAGCCCGGCCCGTCCGACGACATCGCACGGTCAGCCTCGGTATATCGTCTCGTCTCGTCTCGCACCTCTTCATCGCAGGATCTTTGCATGTCACCTCTTCCTGGCAACGCTTGTCGATGGGGCCGACCGAAGTCTTGCTCGGCATGCCACTCCTGGACTCACATATGTTCGGTGCCGACATTTCGTGGACATGGCGCTGGGTCGTCGCGTCCCGTCAGCCTTCTAGCGCGTGGTTAGAATAGCTGCCATCATCAGCCTCGTGGACGCTTGGCAAGAGTGGTATAGCCAAATGGCTGCACCATAGCATCCCCAATCACACAGTAGAGGCGAGGTGGAACAGGGTTTTCTGCCCTCGCTGTCGTGAGAGATTCTCCACGTCAAGCTGCTCAGCGCTCCAGATGGGAAAGGATCTCGTCCAGAAAGCTAGGCTGCGAGCGAATCTAGTCCCCAGAAGTTCTGCTTTGTCATTGTGATGGGATAGTGCCAAAGAGACGCCCGGAGAAACGTTTTCCCGTCTGCGGGGCTCGCGGGGTAAGGTAAACTGCGGTGGTCTGTGCGGAGACAGCCCCCTTCGTCTCACCTCCATCGCTCACTGCATCCTTCACGTATCTCTACGCGTCCGCTCATCAAAGCCTGTAAATACGAGGCAACTGACGAGCATGACAGCTCTTCCAGCAGTCATGTCGCGCATGGACTTTGTCGTTACGGGCAAACCGTCGGAAAGGTCTTGGCGGGTCTGGACGACGAGCGAGAAGGGGATATATGAGGAACGCTCTCCACTTGGTGAGGTCAAGGGATCAGCGTAAAAGATCTCGGAATCGACGGAGTGCTGGTAAAGGCATAGGTTTCATGGGCAGCTGGCTGAAGAGAATACTCGACTCGAGCAATGGTGAAGTGGTTGTCAGCGACGATTAAGATTATTCATTCACTTCCAAATCTTGATCGGTATTCGGCGTTTCCATGTGGCGCGTTCTCGACTGTAATTGACGCGTGGTACGTGTAACTCGATGACTCGACCTTCTTCTGAACCAAATGTCTCTGGGCAAATTACTTACCATAACAAACAGATGGGCCGACCCTTGCCGCCTTCCGTCGAACTCGAGTAAAGTCCTTTCTCTGATTCCTGAGCTTTCCACACACCATCCACCGCACCATCGCTTGCTCACCAGCAGCATCAGCGCGTGATCCTGTTCGACCAACTGGTACGTTCTCCCAACCTCTCTGTATCTCGAAAAGACGACGTCCGCTTATCATCCTACAGCTTCGCCCATTCCCACGGCAGCGACAGCAATGTCGGAGAACAACGCACCCGCGTCCAAGAAGCGCCCACGCAGTGACACCGGCTCAACCTCCGACGAGCCGTTGCCAGCTGCCATCGGAGGTCGCCAGGGAGGAAGCAACACCACCGACCTACGGTCTATGTCTAGGGACCCGTACGCCGGCCTCATGCCCAAGAACATCACCGAGCGCCCCTCTAACCACGACGAGCGCTTCATGTACGACCGCTGGACTGGACCCACGGTGTACATGGGACTCCGCGCCGCTGGCAATCATGAACCACGCGTCGTGCAGCCAGGCAACCCCAATCTCCAGCCTGCTCATTACCACCAACCGGGACAAGCTGGCGGTTCCTACAACACTTTCCCAGCAGAGCCGTCGGGAGCCCACGCACGTAGGCAGCCGTTGATGCCAACCGCCCTAGACGAGTCCGGTGAAGAGTCCAGAGAGAACAGCGATCCCTTCCGAGCACAGCCACCACGAGCCATCCCGCAGCGGCGTCCACTCATGCCAATTGTTCCAGACCAGTCTCAACAGCAGTACGGAGGAAACAACTACACCTTCCCGCCGCCAGCACAAGCTCCGCAAGCATTTGCCCAGCCAATCTGCCCAGGCGGCCATCCACTGGCTCTGACCCGCCAGATCGTGGGGGCGATGAACCAAGACATCAAAGACGAGATGCGAGAGGAGCTCAAGAATGAACTGCGGGAGGAAATCAAAGAGGAAATCAAGAACGAACTCGCTGTGGAGGTGATTCAGGCGATCAAGGGGGAGATCAAGAAGGAAATCCAGGATGGCATCAAGAAGGGACTCGAGGCGCTGGCTAAAGGCGGAGATCATGGGGATTTGTGAGAAGTTCTGCTTTCGAGTCTTGATCCCTTTGGGAACTTTTCTGGTAAGCTCAGTGCTCCGCTGAACTGCAGGATTGGAGAGAGGCTGAGGAAGTTGATGGCTGGCTGATTGCCTTGCTTGCCGATCGAGTTGTGTGTTGTACAAGAGAAGAGTGACTGAGACTGCTGAGCGTTCAGCCTGATGGAAAGCAACTAGGTAGCTATATGGCTCCTGCACGGCCTGTTCTCATAGACACTACTAGTCCTACATGTTGCTCCCAACCCCTTCTTCCCAATCAATAACGCACCAAGCCGCTATGAAAGCGAATGAACCCTTGTACGCGTCGGCACATCACGGTTGCGATGTCGGCGACTTTACGTAAAGAATCGTCCCACTCCCACTGCTCTCCCAAGATCCGCCACGCCCGACGCTGTTAGAGAAGAGACCTACTCCTTCGGGCGAAAAATTATCAGATCTTCGAGAGCTTTCCTTTGATCTGATAAATTCCTCCCCACCACCACCGCGATCACCATATCCATTGTATACTTTTCGCACAAACCCCTCGACGAAGGTTTCAAAGAACAAATATTGCATACTTCTCGGAATCTTGAATCCGGACAGATACTTTGTACGGATCGCGACGGCCCCAATCGCGCATTGTTTCTATCATATCGAAGCCAATTTCGCCTCCCGCGCGCACAGGTGCGTATCGTATCGAGCATGACGAATAATTGTCCGCGGACGAGGGTTCTGGTCGCCGGGTGTTCGTACGCAGGCATCGCTACGGTCGTGAACCTCCTGGATCTCTGCCTGGGCAAGCCGGCGCGGGGGGCACCGCACAAAGTACCACACGAGTTGGCGGTAAAGGGCGTACCCGTTGATATTCACATTGTTGATGAGAGAGATGGATATCGTGAGTTTTCCAACTTTTTTTGGAATCCTTTCGAGATGTCAAACGCTCACGTGTAGTGAAAGTCCATCTCATCGGCTGCCCTCTGGCTTTCGCTTCCAACGACGCCGCGCCGAAAATGTGGGTGCGGTTTGAGGATGTTCCAGCCTTGCAACATCGAAACGTGCGATGGACGCAGGGAAGCGTTATAAAACTGGACGCGGATCGACGTGTTGCTCACGTGAAGCATTCGGCCTCCGGCGAGCTCGTGGAATATGCGTATGACTACTTTGTCGCTGCCACCGGATTGCGGCGTCAATATCCGATCGTACCCCAGACGCTGACGAGGAAATGCTATCTCGCTGAGACGGGTGATCATATCGAGACTGTAAAAGGAGCGAGCGAGGGCGTTGTCGTGATCGGTGGAGGCGCCGTGGGGATCGAAATGGCCGCGGAATTGAAACTCACGCAGCCGAAGGTTAAAGTGACGTTGGTGCAGTCGAGGGACAAATTATTGTCTGCGGAAGCCTTACCGGATGAGTTCAAGGCTGCCGCTCTGGGGGCTTTGCAAGAAATGGACGTGGAAGTCGTCTTGGGACGCGGTCGGGTGATGGAGACGTCCACTGTCGAGGAGGACGATGGTAGCTCGGTGCAGATACTGACACTCGGCGATGGAACGGTACTGACTGCAAGCCATGTTATCAACGCGGTATCGACACAGATCCCGGTCACGTCGTACTTACCCCCTTCAGTTCTGGACAATGGAGGCCTCGTCAAGATCAACGAGAAGTATGCATGCATCATTCGCCCTTCTCGCCCTTTCTCACCGGCTGGCTAACACTGCTCCCCCCCTAGTCTGCGTTTCCTCGACCAAGGCAAGAGCCGTCGCCACTACGCCATCGGCGACATCGTAGCCTGGTCCGGCATCAAACGCTGCGGTGCCGCAATGCACATGGGCTTCCTCGCCGCCCAGAATCTCCACCAGCAGATGCTCTCCGAACGCGAGGGCATCGCACCAGACTTCGTCACGTACCCGGAAGTGCCCCCGATGATCGCACTCGCTATAGGCCGCAAGGCGGCAACGTATGCACCGGCCGAGGGCGTTCACTGCGGCGCAGAGCAGATGCGGATCTTCTTTGGCGACGATTTGGGTTTCACGGGTGGGTGGATTGAAAACACGCCTATTAGAGCTTCGCGTGGTTTGCTTCGCTAACCTGGTGTTGACAGGTTGCTGGAATCATCTGAAGCTATCGGAGCCGGCGGATGGCACCGGAGTCAGCACGTATGTTGCTCTACCGCAGACGGCGCCGTATCGGGAGATGCAGCAGCAGAGCGCGGTCACAGCTTGAAAGTAGAAATGGCTGGTTGACGCGCTCTTCTAAGGACTCGGATATCTGAAGGAGTAGATTGTTAATAGAAGGTTGAGCAGAAAGCTGTCTCTCTAGCTTTGCACGCCTGGCATTAACACTACTCTTCGACCTCTAAAGGCATCCGTCCGCCCATGCGTTGTTCTCGAAGCCATCATCTGAGTTAGTCTGTTCCGTCTTCCCGACAACATTCGACCGACTTGTTCTCAGATTTGGCTGCATTGCATGTTGACGGTCTCCGGATCAGGTCGGCTTGGTCGTGGCCCTCTCCATCCGATCGCGTTCTAAGGGCGACCAAGCCATATGAGCTGTACCGTAGGTATAGACCATGTTACTATAGCTATGAATTGCAACGCCACTAGCGCTCGGCCCTGTCCCCCGCGTTATTCGATGCACAAGGCTGATCCGGCTCGTAGGGCTCGGTGTCTGTCGCTGGGCCTCCATCGCTACGGAAAGTGCAGTAACATCCATGTGTAAAGAAGTGCGATTAGCCTTTGGTTGGAGTGTTCCCAATGTGGTCGATGGAAAAGCCCACACAATGTATATAGTTTTCCATAGCAGTTCCGGTAAGAATTACGCAAGCCATTTTGTAGTTGGACGGAGAGGTGCTTGATTTGGCTAGAGTGTGTGGTGTCAAGCCACTATGGGCCTCGTCAGAGAGTCTTTGCCCCGATACCTATCCTTGGTATGCCCTTGTCCGGTTCCAAGCGCCAACGAAGAGACAATGCCCTAGCCTGAACGTATCTTTGTGTCTTTGGCAGCGGATAGTCGATAACGCCCTTCGATGGCGAACTACTTTTTCAAGAAGTCAACGCCCTCCTGCTACATCAAGCAAAGATCCAGTGACATATGAAGATGCCGGAGAAAGCAGCCATACAATTGCTTCGGCCACCTCGTTCGCTTCTCCAGGCCGCCGTAGCGGTGTTTGACTGCCCAGTCGCTCAGACCTTCCAGGATCTCCATATGATGCGTGGATCTCGGTGCTGATGATCCCAGGCCGCACCGCGTTCACGCGTACTCCATCGGGACCCAGCTCCTTGGACAAACCTACCGTCAACGTGTCCACCGCACCTTTTGAGCCGGCGTAATCGACGTACTCATTCGGAGAGCCCAGCCTGGCAGCTGCCGATGAAACGAACACAATACTGCCGCCCGGTCCTCCACGGAATGTGGGCAGCCGCCGGGCGGCCTCTCGAGCACAAAGGTACGCGCCAAGTACGTTGGTATCGAAGACGCTTCGTAGCCGGTCGAGGCTCATATCAGCCAGCGGCATTGAAGGCGCCGTGATGCCCGCATTGATGACGACGCCGTGGATGGGGCCGAACTTGGAGCTCATGGAGTCGAAGATGGCGGTAACCTCAGCTTCTTGTGACATGTCGCCCTGTAGTGCCACTGCATCACCGCCAGCCCTCTGGATTTCGTCCACGGTTGACTGGGCCGCGTGTGAATCTCGAACGTAATTGACGCCGACATTCCAACCTCGCTGGCCTGCCAATATCGCTGTCGCCCGCCCGATGCCACGCGAAGCGCCTGTGATCAAGATATTATTCAATGATGCCATTTGTTGTGTAATAGTTGGCAAGCAAGGGGGGTTGTGAAAGACGCGAGCAGTGTTCCGGCCGGTCAAAATGGGCCGAAAAGGTGGAGACTGGGTGGTCGGTGCGCTAGGGGACCTCACTTCAATGTTCCGACAACCATTCACTCACCAGATTTCTTGCGTTCTGTCACATGCAAGCTTCCAATGGATGGCGTCGTCATAGCCTACGCATGGATGCGCCAACGACACCTTGTACATGGTGTCAAGCATGGCGTTCAAGTGCGACATTGCCGAAACACGATAACCGAACCGAGGTCGGTAAAACGTTGAAACGCCTGCTGAGAAATCAGATCTCCAACACTGGACTCTTGGTAGTAGTTGTTGCACCTGCAAGCTCACGTAAGAAATCGCTCGTTTCAACCCGAGATACTTCCTTATATCGCGAAAAGCCCATTGCCACATTACAAGCCCGCATATCCGGCAGACTTTGCCACCGAGGCCGTTACTCCGTTGCCAGACGCGGACATGGCGCCCACCGGTTACAATGAGCCTGTAGTCGGCGTTCCGTACTTTACGCCGCAACACAGGACTTCTCCTGGAACCCCTTTTGACCCTAATGCCTGCATACCAACTCTCTTCAAGCCTCTCACGATCCGCGGCAAGACCCTTCGGAATCGCATCATCGTAGCGCCCATGTGCCAGTACAGCACAGCAGAAAGCGGTCCTCAAATTGGAGCACTTACTCCGTATCATGTTGCGACGCTCGGTCATTACGCTCTGAAAGGCGCGGCCCTAGTGTTCATCGAAGCCAGCGGGGTTCAACCGAATGGCCGCATCAGTCCCAATTGCCCGGGCATCTGGAGCGATGGCCAGATTGATGGCATCAAGGCCGTGGCCGACTTCGTGCATAGCCAGGGCGCTCTTTGTGGCCTCCAATTGGCCCATGCGGGTCGCAAAAGTAGTACGCTTGCGCCTTTCCTTGCTGCACAGCAGAAGAGACCGAGTGTACGCGCAACGAAAGAAGTTGGCGGCTGGCCAGATGATGTGGTTGGTCCTTCTGGAGGCGAGAACTTTACCTGGGATGGTAAGAGGAGCGATGACCCGGATGGAGGCTTCTATGCTCCTCGAGAATTATCCGTGTCTGAGATACGCCTGCTCGTGCAGGACTTTGCAGACGCAGCTCTACGATGTGTGAGAGCTGGAGTAGATGTCTTGGAGATTCATGGAGCACACGGGGTAAGCATACTCAATCACGGTCTTCGCTACACACGACTGAAATCACCTAGTATCTCATACACGAGTTCCTCAGCCCGATAACCAATCGTCGTAACGACTCGTATGGCGGCTCCTTTGAAAATCGTACAAGATTTCTGATTGAAATCATTCAGTCCATCAGATCTGTGATTCCATCCCGAATGCCGCTCTTCCTCCGACTTAGCTCTACCGAATGGATGGAAGAAACAGATATTGGGAAGCAGCTGGGAAGTTGGAACGTGGACAGCACCATGATGCTCGCTAAAATTGTCGCTGAACTAGGCGTTGACTTACTAGACGTCTCGTCAGGAGGCAATCATCCACAGCAGCGGATCAGTATGTTCGACTCCAAGGACTACCAAACCAAGATCGCGGGCCAGATTCGAAAAGAGCTCAAAGCTGCTGAGAAGCACATGTTCATCGGCGCCGTAGTAAGTATGGATCTGAGCTGTTGTCGTCGTGCTGCTGATCAAGTAACTTCGCAGGGCCTCATTACTGAGGCAGAGCAAGCCCGAGACATTATCCAAGATCACAATGACAGTATCAAACAGGAAGCTGAGACTGCCAGGCAAATGACAGAGCCGATACATGGCCAAGATCCGCTAGCCGACGTAATCCTCGTGGCACGACAATTCATGCGAGAGCCAGAATGGGTTTTGAGAATCGCATGGAGACTCGGAGTAGACATTGCTTGGCCTTCACAGTTCTTGAGGGTAAGATTTCCAAAGCTTTAATCAACAGGTGACGAAGCGTAAGTCAACGACAGTGCAGCATGCGACATGGATACAGAACACCCACAGATAGACCTAGAAATCATCCCACGCATCGACATCGCATGTGTCTTGCAGACCGTGATCGACCGTTCGCCCGTCATGACGGCTCAGCTGTCGATCTGCGGCTCCTTCCCGTGCACACGGCGGCTCTCGAGAAAAGACCTTACTACATTCGCACTCTGCCGGATCTCACGTTACCTCTCCACGAGAAGCCACTCGCAGAGCAGGACCGTCAAGCACTGAAGCCATTGGCGCAAGAAGCATTCTTCCAAATGCCATCCAAGAAGCTCAAGGTCTACTCGCACGCCTTGGATACTTTACTTGACCAGGCTGTCCAGCAGAACGGACCATCGGCCTCTAAGTGCGATCTGATGCATGAAAGACGCGCCTGTCAAGTATGGCGATCGCCTCCCCATGGGGCAAGTATGATTGTCCCAAGCCGTCAACCGCGGATGAAAATGCGGGGATACCAAGCACGTTTCTCTACGCTACTGCAAAAGAGGCTCTTTGCAGTCTTGAATCACAGTCGACAAGGTGTGACCTGCGTGTGGCGCTGGTATAAGTTGTTTTGCTGTGTTACTTCAAAGCCTGCGGTCTGCCTTTTGGGTTTCCAGACGCCTTGACCTCCACTGGCGATACCTAGACCTCGCCAATGACCGTCACGATGTTGTCTCTCGTCGCCGCCTCGATCTTTGCGTGCAGCGCCCTTGCTGCTCCAGTCCAAGAAGGAAGATTCACATTCTACCCAGTACCCACCCCTCTCTCCGGAATCTGCGATCTGAGCGAGGACCCAACCAGGAAATTCATCTGGTATGAGGACATTCTCGTGAACCGAGTCGGTCGATTCAACCCGGCGACTGGCGAGATGAGAGACTTTGCGATTCCATTCACAACACCCGTGTCGAACCAATCGTTCCCAATTCCAGACGCTCTTCAGCAAATCGTTGACCGCACCGCTTTCTCTTGCGCCATTCGCAATGGCGCCGACGGAAACATGTATGCGGCAAATGGTGATCGGAATCAGCTTGTGAGGATCCGCGACCAGGCGAGCGAGAACCCGAAGATTGATGTTCTGGGCCCAGTCGATCCCACGGGCAACCTGTTCCCTTTCAACGACCTCTACACCACGGAAGATGGTCTCTACATTACGCAGACCACTGGCAACACGTTCGAGTTCTACAGCTTCAAAGACGAGACATTCACGACATACAACGTTCCTACACCGCTTGCCCTTCCACTTGGTGTCTTCGCTGCTTCGAATGGCTTCATCTACATTCCCGAATTGGTGGGCAACAAGATTTTGGTGAGCTACGTCCATGATCAAAGACAAGCGACATTTCGCTAACGCACGCTGCTCTAGGAATTCCAACCAAAGACCAAACAAATCACCGAATACCCTCTGCCACTTCCGCTCCAAGGGCCCGCCGTTGCCCGCGCCGAGCACGACGGCAAAGTCTACTTCAGTCTCTTCCAAGGCGACGGAATTGGCCGCATCGACATCACCACCAAGAAGATCGAACTCTTCAACTCTGGCCAGCCCGGCGGTCTTGGCGGCGTCACTACTGGCCCAAGCAAGGAGGGCAGCGTCTTCGGCACTTATTTCACCGTGAACGCCATTTCTGTCCTCAACACACAGACGACAGAATACAATTTTATTGCCTTCCCGGGTACATTCCAGCAATTTATTCCGCAAGGTGGTGGTAAGTGATTCTCCACGCAGACAGTGCGGAGATGTCGAGTGCAAATAGCTAACAATTTCTCATGTAGTCCTCGGAGACGCCCCACCGTACATCGACGTCTCAGCCGAATACCGCGATAGCGAGAATGCGCTGTACTTCGGTAGTATTCTCCGGAATGCTCTGGGCAAGTACGACTTGAACGGCACTGGGTACTAAGAAGCCCTCTTGCATAGGAAGTGCATTGTCATGATTTGCATCTTTGATGTGATCATCCAGTCCAGATTTACAACAGAGTAATGACCGCTCTATCCCGACTCCGACCCCTTTCCTCTGGCCTGCTCCTCCGCGGGCACGTCGTAGGGCGCCAGACGATCCCGTAGATCCACTCGTACACACAGATGTAGATGAAGAAGCCCAAGATGGACAAGAACATGATAGCCATTGGGAACCAGATACTCTGCGCGCCGAGGAAATTCGAAACCCGCATGATGACTTCCATCCTCTCTCGCGTGTTTAATCGTGAAACTGTCGCCGCGTTCTAGAACCGTCTTGGCTGAGACATTCCTCTTCGCTTTTCGTCCCGCGACGCTTGGCTTCGGGTCTGGGGAAGATGCCTGTCGTGGCGGCGGCGGCGTTTGACGGGAGCTGTTGGTGGACTCGGTTGTTGTTGTTGTTGTCTTCTTTCTTTCTTTCGTGATGCGTGCGTGCGTCCTGTATCTACTCCTCCTCTCCAGGTCCGCGTCGCACAGCGTTCCTGTCGTTATAAGCACTAGAATTACGCAGTCCCGTGCGATGTAGTGCTGATCGCAACACGAGATAACACGGCTGACCATGATCGGTCACGAAATGAGGTTCATCGACAAGGTCAATAGGTTTCCAGGTCTGGGACACGGATCCCCCTCGTCTGGTGCCATTGGACCCACGAGCTTTGTGCCATGTTGTAGCAATTCTGCTTCCTTCATCAATGGCGACGACTTCTACACGAGCCACGGCACAGACCATTCGTTTCGATCTTGCTTCCCTAGACCGCCAATTGCATACCACAGATAGTGTACCGCTTATAGAAATGTCTCAGAACGCTCGACCTGGTACGACCTCGCGCGGCCCGACGACGGCGCAGGGGATGCCAAGTTCGGCCTTCAGAAACTCCACGAGCTGCCCTGGAACCGGGTCAGACCCAGAGAAAGTACATAGAGTAGGGCCCATCGCTGTATTATTACAGGCCTGTGTCTGCAGCGATTTCTATTCCTGTCACTTTCTCTTGCGACGACAAAACCTCAGGATCCCGGAAAGATGATGCACAAAACCGCTTCGTTTTCTTGTACTTCGAGGCAAGAACGCGAAGACTATGATTCGAAGACCACTCCAACACCATGGCGTCGACGACCGCGAGCCCGCTCCCTCTCCGATCCCTTCTCGCCTTCCTTTTCCTTTTCGTTCGGGTCGCAGTCGTCGCGGGAGACAACGACCACGATGCAGCAGTACAACTCGTCCCTCGACAAGATCTTCACGCGCTTAAAGACTGCCTTGCAAAGGCGGGAGCGAGGGCGATATACCCAGATTCCGATGCAGACGCAGGTGCAGATGGAAGCGCTGGAAGTGCTGGAGACGGAGGTGGAAATGGAAGCCCTGCCGCCGGCTTCCCGCGTTCGCAGAACACGAACTACCACTACACGCCCGCAGTCGTGGTGCAGCCCACTTCCGCCCAAGAGGTCGCAGCCGTCGTTCAGGCAGTCGCTCAATGCGCTGGCGCAGGATTTCGACTCTCGAGCTTTGGTGGAGGCCATGGGTAGGTCTCCCACTGCATACTCCCTCCCGAGTCGGGAAGATTTTTGGATGCTAACATTATCAAAGCTACGCATCGTACGCCCTTGGCGGTCACGATGGCTATGTCATCATCGATTCCAGCGGTATGAAGAAGATCCATCTTGATCCAGTCAAGAAGATTGTGACGGCAGATATGGGCGTCCGTATAGGACCTTTGGCGCAGGAGATTGGGAAGAAGGGGTTTGGGTTACCGCATGGAACCTGTCCCTCGGTTGGACTTGCAGGGCATTCTTTGAGTGGCGGATGGGGATTCTCGAGTCGGAAGTGGGGATGGCTGATGGACCATGTCGTCAGTCTTGTTTATGTGGACGCAGAAGGGAAGATCAAAGAGGTATCGCAGGCGTCGAAAGGCCCGGATGCGGAGATTTGGTGGGCGATGCGTGGCGCCGGCGCCAACAATTTTGGAGTGGTCACTTCGTTCGCGTTATCGGTTGTGGATGCACCTGCAAAGGCTGTCAACTACAAGACCATCTTCAAAACGAACGACGATTGCGCTGCGGCACTACTCAGCCTCCAGGAACTTGGGAGCAAAGCCGCTTCTCTGCCTCCAGAGCTGGGTGCTCAGCTGCTAATTTATGGCGAAGGATCCCCAGGAGACCCCGGCGCCGGTTCGTTTTCCGGTCAATACTTAGGTCCTCAATCACAGTTTCAGCCGGTTCAGCAGAGGATGCTGCAAAGCTTGAAAGCTCACGGGGTCAACACGCAGGCAGCGGATTGGAATGTCACCGAGAAGACAGGCTGGGTCGAAACTTTGACAGACTTGATGGGTAACCTCGATGCGCCTCCAGATGTAGTGCCATACTATGCGCAGTCGTTGATGGACGACGGCTCACCGGGGTACACTCAGGAAAGCGCCCAAAGGATCGTGAAAGCAATCCAGGCCACCGTCAAAGTCGAAGATACCAGTACATCCTTGTCATTCGACCTGAATGGTCCTGGTGCGGCGACCAATAGCCCCGACCCATACGGAGATTCTTCTTTGGGGGCAGCCGGACACCGGAAAGCGTTGTTCTTAAGCCAGCTGTACAACTACGGCACTCCAGGGTTCGACAAGCCACAGGCCCAGAAACGAGTCTTCGATGCTATGGACGGCGTATCCAGCGCCGTGAGAGCCGCGAAGCCAGGAGCCAGATGGGGGTCCTATGTTAATTACATCGATCCTCGCCTTCAAGACTTTGGCAGAGCATATTATGGTCCCGGTCTTGAGAGATTGAAGTCCATCAAGAAGCAAGTCGATCCGAAGACGATATTCGACTTCCCTCAAGGTCTCGCACATGCGTGAGCGCTGCGCTGCGTAGAGTCATTGCATCTCGTCATGCAACATGGAGGAAAGTGGTGTACGTCGTCTCCGGCTTCTTGGTTCTTATGTGTAGTTGGATGAATGTGTCCTTTATGACAGCTGTAACGAAACCACGATAACTGCTTTTTGATCACTGTTCCCGCTGAGCAAAATGAGGAAGCGGATGAGGAAGTTTGGGAGAAGAAACGTCTCAGCTTGAACTCGGGTCAAAAGTAGAGCGCCACGTCGTCCCTTCAAATTTTGACGCAATCAATCAATTTCTTGAACAGGAGCCGAAATCGGTGCCGTATTTCCGGCCCGACGGATGCCGAGATCTGTGACTCCCTAAACATTGCACAGCAGCTTACGTCTATTAGAAATCAACACCGACCAGATCATCTTGAAGTACTTCTAAAAATCAATTCCCCGACGGCAAACTGTGAAAGAGAAACCAGGACTACAGACTCTCCTCCACCAGCATTAGCAGGTCTCAAGTTCCGACCAAAGACCATCGAAACAGCAGCCAGAACATTGGACAAAAATGCCAGAAGATATAAAAGTAGAGTCAACAGAGTGGCCACTTCAAACGCCTCCGCCTCTTCCTCCAGGATACGAGAAGCACCACATCGTTTTCTTGGAAGCCGTCCATCTCCCCTTGGCTCCTTTACCGTTCGAATACTCCATCGACTCATACCAACGGACCTTTCGCTCAGAAATCGCCGAGAGAATCAAGCCCGCAACGATCGTGATATCCAATGTCAACACTGTGACACCCGCAGACATGGACACTGCGCCCCACCTTCAACTCTTGGCGATCCTGGCCACCGGCATGGCCTGGGTCGACAAGCCGTATTGCGCTAGGAGAGGGATCACGGTGCTCAATGCGCCGTCGGCAAATATCGATGCTGTTTCGGAGCATTTCCTAGCTTTGTACTTTGCGAGTCGGAAGAGAGTTGGTGTGATTGATCAGACTGTGAGGACCAGCGATGAGTGGTTGCAGACCAACAGTCTGACGAAGAAGGTCTGGCCGCAAGGACCGCCCTTGGGGTGTAAGCAAGAGACAGTTGGCATCATCGGGTATGGAGCACTGGGCAAAAGAATAGAGACGCTATGTCGTGCATTGGGGTTCAAAGAGATCTTGGTAGCAGAAAGAAAAGGCGCACGGGATGTCAGGGAGGGCAGGATGGATTTCGAAGAACTTCTGAGGAGGAGTACAACTATCGTTGTTGTCTGCCCGCGAGAACCGGAGACGATTGATCTCATATCCGAACGAGAACTGAAGAGCATGCGGAAAGAAGCGCTGTTGATCAACATTGCACGCGGTGGCATCGTAAACGAAGCCGCTCTGGCGAAAGCACTACAAGAAGACTGGATCTTCGGCGCGGCGACCGACGTTCTCAACACCGAGCCTGGTGGGCCAGGCACCACACCGCTTCTTCCAGATCTGGACAAAGGGGAGAAAGAAGTACCTAATCTCATTGTAACGAGCCATGTTGCATGGTTTTCTGGTGTGACGATCGAGACGCTGCAAAATATTAATAAAGATGCCATGACTGCATTTGTCGAGGGCCGGATGTATGATCCAAAAGTCAAGGCTTGCGTTGCTGTACATGATGGCAAGATATGGAAGTGAGAAGGACAATTATAACAAGAACCTCTGACAGCAGCGTATGAGACAAAGTATTTCCGTAGAGACCTGGTTCTGGCACCATCATATCCTTAATTGCAGCCTTGTTCAGCCTTGTTCTACAATACACAGTCTCTTGTTACGCGGTGCAAGTCGGCGACCATAAGTCTATTTTCGTGCAATTGGTGTTAGGTAACATCTGTCGGCATTCCCCAGAAGTCTACAGCATGGAGACCGCGCGACGGCACAATCGATACCCAAAATTCCCTTTTCTCTAGGAGATTTATGCTGCGATTTACGACCCCGTGAGCCGCTCTTTTGTTCCCCATCTTCATACGCCGTTCTCATTCTGTCCAGTTCGGCAAGCTCTTCTGCATGTAAGTGCTCATAACGCTCTTTCCTGTCGCGCCGATCCTCCACGACGGCATTTCCATCTTGAAGAGTAGCCCGGCTCTCGTACGTGACCGTACCCAACTCACCATTTTTGTGCTGTTCCAGGCTATTTCGAGTCCCTTCTGCGATATCTACCACCGTAAAGCCGTGAAGATTCTCCAAAGTGACGCACCCATCCGCAGGCAGGACTTGCTCGTACCCGCAACGACACTGCAGTGCAACAGACAGCGGCTGGAGTAGTGGATTGAAAATGTGTATCGAGCCTGGCACATTCGAGGAGCTGTAGCCCCTGGCGATAGCTCTTGACAGTGACCTGGAGCTCGCACATCATCGCACTAGAGCGAGGCGCCGACGTCGCTTGAATCGTCTCGACCAAGCTCGGACTGCTCAACTTCCTGCCAACACTTCTTGTCCTCCTGACGCGGCTTCTCTCCATTCCGGATCTTCTGACGCTCTCTCATGATCCCATCATTGGGGGATAGGGTTGGAGAAATCGCGCTTGAACGGGTCAAGCCCAGTTCGTGGGAGCGTCATGGAATTGCACCATCGGGTGCGGCTGCTCGACGAAGGGAGGCGTCGGACTTGTGAATGTACTCTATTGCCATGTCGATGAAAGTCATGATGGAAAGTGAGACCTTCTCCAGATATCAGTGATCGGATACGAGAGAGCCGATCATATTGGGTAAGGCTTCGTATTCTTTTTCCTTCGGTAAACCAAAAAGTTGTGCGGGTGTTGCGTGCTTCTTGATGCACATGGATCATGTAGGCATAGGTCCTCGGAGGAGTTGCGAGTTTGATAGTCAATACGCAAGAGGCGGACCAAACGCGCAGCACGTGAAGTGGAGCAGCGCGTGGATCTAACTCGAGAAGATCATTTACGGCCCGGTAGTAGCGTTACGTCAAGTCCTTAGCGGTTCCACAATACGAGAATCTGCGATCTCTAGATGCTGTTGCAGCGCTCCTGGACTTGGACCACGTGAAGGCAGCGGCTTCATCTCCACCACTTCTCCGCCCTTCCAGAGCTGCGTGCTGATGTGAGGCTGTGCAGCAGCGGGACCTGCTACCAAACCATACCTCACAGGTTTGCCGTCGGCGCCGCTGACGAGTTCAATTGCAACGGCGTTGGAGTTCTGATCGGCCAGAAGAGGGGCATTGAATGCTCTCGCTATTTCCAGGGGCGACATCGAGATATTGCGTCCAAGGTGCCTGGCGGAGGGTTTCTCGTCAGTTGTACAACACAGTGTAATGGAACAGTCGACATACCAATATCCTTTGAACATCGCTAGAACGATCATGATGGCAAGCATGTTGATCACTACCGCACCTGCCATGTATGGGTAATGTGTGGTGTAGACACTTGCTACTTTAGCTTCTGAGGCTGGATTAATAGCCTGCAAAGTCGAACTATTTCCCTGAGCAAGTGCGGTGCGGAACATCAACTCGCGGGCCTGTTGCAATAAAAACGGCGTAGGATCCTTGAATTTGATCTTGCAGAAGCCCATAGTAGTATCAGTAATGTCTTCCATGTTAGCGAATTGAGGCCCAGAAGGGCCGTCAGAGCTGAGCGTATATCCAGCAGCTATGGAGGTCATCGTAAGCGTGGCCCTAGATTGAATCTTTGAAGACTCTGTACGTACCGCCCGAAAACATCAGATGCGTTATAGTATTGTATCTGCTGCTCAAGGCAAATGCATAACCACCAATTGGCGTCTCTGATCCGTATATCTGGATTGAGTACTCTGTCGTGTTGAGCACTTCGTCGTCAAAGATATCGGTCGACGAATCCAGGGAAATAGTCGAGGTCTGGCCATCAATCACGATGGGATACCTTACAGTAGCCGCTTGCAGAGTGCAGTTTTTGACTATCAGGTTTCCAGTGCATGGCGCAGTGTTTTTATACTGGATATTCAGACTGACGTTGCCAGGGGCTCTCGACGCAGACCAGTAGAATTTACTCTGGAAAACGTCTGTAGTCGCGAAATTGATGGAACCGTTTGATAGCGTTGATGCAGCATTGAAAGGCGCCGTGGATGACTCGCATGTCGCTGAGAGGCCTGCACCAATCATTCGGCCAGAACACTGACTGTTCGCTGGACACCCGGCGGCATCGGCGGGCATCGCATCGTTCCTGTAATAGGCCTGTGCACTATCAATCAGATCGCATTTTCTGGATAATAGATGAGTGACTTACCTGAACGACTGGATTGTATTCATCGGTGAACAGCGGAACATCGTACGCACGCCCTGAGATGTAGCCAGTGCCTCTGACAATCACCTTGGCAGCCGGAAAGGAGAGGTTGACGAGCGAATATATCGTTGAATCCGAAACCGAAGACGATCTTTGTAGCAGTGGGCCATTGATGGGCGTGATAGCGACAAAGACAGCAGCAAAAGCTACGAAGTTGAAGTATCGTCCGGATAGGAGAGCTGCCATGGGCGCAGTGCCATATCGCCAGTAGCGGTGCAGATCACCCAGTGACGTGCCCTGCTTGATAGCTTTCATCCACCAGTTGAGCTTGAAATTCATTATCAGCGGGTATGGACTACCGTGGGCATGTATGTGCTTACAGTGACGGCTTCGCTGAACGCCGCAGCGATCAGACTGTTACTGATCGTATACGAGACTGATAGGTACACCGTAGGGGAGTACTTCCAAGCCGTAATGAGATTACCGTCGGAGGCCACAAGGATGGCGATAGCGGCTATGTTAGCACAAAAGGCTCCGAATAGCGCAGAGATCCCAGACCATGGTATACGACGAAAGATCCCAGGTTGCCAACTATGATTGCCGTCTAACGACGTATACGGTCCCTTTGTGGGAGGAGTCTCCATTGTGTCCTGTTGCAAGAATGCCGTAACTTCCTAGTCGATATTCGTCATGGGACAAAATGCTGTGCTCAGTGTCTTGTGTATCCGCGGGAGGAGCGACGTTGACAGTAGCCAAGTGTTACGAAACTGTACGCTCGTATAACACACAAAGGTGAAGTTTCAGTTTCTGTAGCTCGTGATGACATATAGGGCGTTCCTCGGAACTCCTAAGGGTAAAGTACGCATGGCCTCGTATTGCCAAAATTGGCTGCACTCTAGTGCCTTGCTGTCGATCATGTATCGGATCGTCTTCCGATGTTCACAATAATTTGTTTCCCATCAATGAAGAAGAGAAGTCTTCCTTACGCCTCAATTCTGGCAAAGCTGCGCACTCATTGCCGCAGACCCCGGATCATGTCCTCTGTGACCTTGGACAGAGTCTTCCGATTGCCTGTAACCATCTGTCTTTGAAGTGCTGCGTATCACTTGCAGTCGAGAAGATCTTGTCCAAACAGGTTCATTTTCCAAAGCTTAAGAGTGATTATTCGTGCCAGGGTCCTCGTTTCAGGTGGATGGAGAAAAGGTATAACGTCTTGTGGCCAAACATTCCAGCACGTAGGCAAGGTAGGACCAACGTACAGCGCAGTCTCTTGATGTTACCGAGGACATTGAAATTCCGTGCACAGCCGCCATCTCTCGCAGCACCAGTCGTAGAATGATGTTTGCTGTGTGAATCCGTTCATGGGGTCAGTGGTCGCAATTGGAATCATAAAAGGAGCAGAAATATCGCATATCCGGCAGGGGAGACTTCAGAGACTCTCCCAGGTGTTCTGCGTAGCGTCCGCTAGACACAGGGCCCGAAAGAAACCAGAATGAGGACTTTGTTACCTTTCTGGCTGACAGTCGCGCTCCTGACGATCCAATCCGCAGAAGCTGCACCCACAATGAGCGGTCCAGACGACAGAACGTTTACTTCGTCATTCGAGATCGATTTACTCAACGCAAAGTCTCAGCCTGTCGCCGACACCAATGAATTCCCGGAAAGTAACCACTACCTGACCCTCAGCAGCTGGGCCACCGACTATTGCGATCCTTCGAACAACGCTGGTCACTGGACTGGAACCACCAATGTCAGCCGATGTCTGTATTTCCGTTCCGGTACGCGGTCTGTTTGGATCCAGGAAGCCGTTGGCTGCGAGGCTTCTGGGGCAGTCGACTGTGCTGGTAACGGAATGACGGCAATGTCCACTGGCCATTGCTTCGATATCCCACAGCCGTATGCGATAATCGTCACCTGTACCTGAGCCTCCCAGTGGCCAGTCACAGAGAGGACGTATGAAATTCTGCGAAGAGTCGCACTAGCCAGAAAATGCGCGCACAGCGTCCTTGTCTTGCAATGAAGCAGCAGAGAGCGATAATTGATGACTTTGATCTTGCGAAGATGCAGTCTCTCTCCTTTTCATCATCAACCCAATTTTGTTTGTTCATCCGTCTAGGGCTTCCATGTTGCAGGAACAAGAAGTCTCACCGGTCTGTACCTCCCACTGCTGTGGAAGCCTCCCAAGTTCAATGAAATTTTTGATGCCATCGACTGTTGAAGGAGGAGCCTTCTTCGGGGCCACCTAAGTAATCTGTGATGGTCATATTGATCGCTTATTGAGTTACGCAGGGTCTCAGAGACAGAAATGATGAAAAGCAGGTAATGAGTGATGGCGGATGCGACAATTTCGGGAGAGTTGCGAGACTCTCACCATTCCCAGGTCCGTTGCTGACTAAAGATTTATTTGTGATGCCTGAGGCTAGGGCTGCGCACGGACGCTACAATCAGAAGCCAACCTCATTTGCTGATGAACGCTTCAGACGTCGTTGCGAGGAAAGCTCCAGTCTCGCAGATGTAGACGCAGTGGTTAGAAGGGGAAATTTGTGTGACAATCAGGCTACTGTCAGGACACTTGAATTATGCATGATGATCTAAATTACAGGATTACCCAGCAAATGTGGTTGTTGTGCGCACAAGTTTTCACAACTCTACCACATCCTTTAGACTAGCGGATTTGGCTCTTCTGCGAGGACGGACTCGGTATAGAGCCCCATCCAAGCCCCGTCGGAGACCCAAGCCTATGTCTGCAGATGTCCGAGCCGCTGAGCAGACTGATTGACCTTATCCTGGGCTGCTGCGCGTCTATCTCTCTCCTGCTGATCCGCCGGGGCCGCGGCGATCTTGATTTAGTCTTTCGGATGCTTTCCGTCGATCCGAGTCTTCTCGCGATACTGCGTGTCGATGCGGTCGTAGGGAAAGCATCCAATGAAGCCCGCGGCTTTGATGTCGCCCTTGTAGATATCGTAGAAGACCGCCTCTTGCACCGCGTTTGAAAAGTTGAAGTCGAACTTCAGCGAGTTGACGACGAGCTTCTTCTCGTAGTCCCACGGGAGCTTTGCATCGAACCAGCCCTCGCTCTCAAAGCGGCGAGTAAGATCGACGATCTCCTGGACTTCTTGAGCCGTCAGGTCGAATTGGAAGACCCCATACAAGCTCATGGACTCGCCGTTGAAGATGATTTTCGCCGGAAAGAACTTGTAGACCGTCTCTTTCTCTTCTTTGGAGCGCTGACTGAACGCGGAGAGTGTGCCGGGGTCGGGGGCCGGCCAATGGTCGTCCTCGTGCTCTTCAGTGTCATCCAGAGACGACCGCTTGTCAGCTACCCAAGTTGCATAGTCGGTCTCGCCAGTGAGGTAGTGCCGAGGACCCTTGTGAACGGTGGGCGAGTAGCCCTGGTCCTTCAACTGCTGCAACTGAGCTGCCGAGGGACGCGAGCTGTTGTTGTCGTCCGTCATGTCGGTGTACCACCAAGCGTAGGTGTCCATGGTCGGTAGAGATCGGAAGCAGCTAGGTCGCAGGTCAGTTGGGTAATTCTCCGAGTAGTTCCGTAAGATAAGAGGCACTTACTGGGTGATTGAAGTATAGCTGCTGCTCGACGTTTTCGGGGTGTGTAGACGGAGCTCAATACTGTGCATAGGCTACGATAGAGAGGGTGTACAAGTGATGAGCAGGTCGCAAGTTGTTCGTTGCTGTGTAGGCGGTGTGGTTCCTAGGAAGGGATCCCTGGTTGATGCAGATAGGCGAGGTTTAAATAAAGAACTGAAGCTTAGAGAATAAAATCGCTGCCTGAAGCGGCCCGACGCTAACAGTGTTGTAGCGTGGCCAGGTGAATATAACATACTAGCCTCGGAGTTAATAAAATCATAGTAGCATGCGCAGCAATAGCATGGACAATTATACAATAGATAGAGAGAGGGAATCGCAGTGCCATTCACTTCAGAGCAAGTTGATCTATATATGTCACTGGAGGGTGAAGGCTAAGTTTGCTCCCTACGCAATTAACGCAGATCAAACAATGCAAACCAATAGTACAGAGGCTTTAAAGCTTGCTGTATGAACAAAAAAGCTATGTCTAGGCGGATTGTTTGCTGTATTCAAAGACCAGTACGAGATTTGAAGAGACTGGTGGATATGCGATATAGTTCCTCTACGACGAATAGCTCTCCAGAACGGGAGGTTTGGAGTCGAAGGAGGGAAAGAGTGAGTTCACAGGGAGAGATCTAGAGCGCTTCCTTAATACCAACCGGTTTTGAATCCTTTGAGCAGGCTCTTGAATAGCTGTTAACGCCCATGGTGAATCTTCTCGTTGCGAAGTTGCGTTTCGCTCAAGAATCTATGATGCTCCTGGGTGTGCAGCGACTGTCTCGGCTGAGAGGCTAGTCAAGACCAAAGAAGAGTGGATGCTTAGCCCGCTTTGTTCTTGCTTTGACCTTCTCCGTCGCCACGTCGATCATTATTGTGGCTCTTGCCCTTGATATTACTCCATTCGTTACAGCATGGCTGACGCTTTATCTAGATATAGACGAGGTGTTAGCCCCAAGTTCGCCGGATGTTTCCCTAGGCGTAAGTGATTGCATAGCTTCCAAATCCCATTTCGATTTCGGTCAACCCTACCGCACGAAAGGACACTAGAGGCAAGTGTGTCGATCAAGTACCGTCGAATATGGTTATGCAAATGGCGTCGAGGGTTCAATGCGTTGTGGGCAAGGCATTCTGAATCTTACGTGGTTCATTCACCGAAGCCGACCCTTCGTTTCCCACTGCACCACTCCGACATGGCTGTCCCGCGCTAGTGGAAAGATAGATGACCTCTTCTTTCGAGAACTCCTGCCCCTGGGCTATCGAATTGTCACATGCCAGACGAGCAAATTGCATATAGCGACTCGCCCCTTTCAATGACCAGAATGGAGTATACGTCGATCACGTCCTCGTATGTTGGATGTCCAGATAACAAGCAGGAAGGAGAGCGTTCTGTAACAGGTTGATCCAGGTCTGACGCATGGATGCGAAGGGTTTCATTCCTGTTGCAGGCAATCAGCTTGCTTGCTGCTATGCATGTGGTTGCGAACCAGCAGACCCCCCTCCAAGCCACATCCAGGGGAAACAAACCATCTCACTCTCCCGCCGATGAGAAGGACTCCATGTAGCTCCCATGAAGACCTGGCGATGAATGACGGGGTTACTCCAGCAGAAGGATGGCATCATCCTGCCAATGTGTGCAGTCTCCGCTGGCGAGCTTGGCGGCGGCACACACAGAATTCGACCAGTCCTTAGGAAGAGATGCAATAGGTGCGGAGATGCAAAGCCTCTGGGTGGGAAGGACGAAACAGATCAAGGGCGACATGCTTGGCAGGACATCGGACTCGGCGTAACGGCCACCGCTCTTGGCAGAGCAGGTAGTCATGCATTAAGCAATGATGGCATAGATGGATGCCCGCAATCAAGTATTGATGGAATTGGGGCACATGGAGCATCGTACAATGGTGGTTTGGTGGCCTCTCTAGCCAACTGAGCTCAATATTTTATGGGGGATGGGGCGGTGGCCTAAGCTTAC